GTCGCGATGTGACCAGACTTTGAGCGCTTGATATGGAAGCGAAATTCCCCACGAGCCAGCAAGTTGGGTCTTCTACATCCTTCCGCCTCTGTCTGGTCTTACTCGCTAATCAAGTTCTGTAGCCTATTCTTTTCATTTCCAGCATTTTCTCCGGTAATACCAAGGTGCCGAGCAAAAGTTCACAACTGCCGATAGATCTTTAATTGACGCAGCTTGGCACTTGGCATCACCGTTTCGTTACCTTGGCACCGAGAATTCTAGAACCCACGTGGTGAATCGTCCCCAAGTACACGATACGACACTTCAGGTTGCATTACGCGTCTAGATCGATCGACGCTCCCCTGTCAGTGTGCTCTGTGTCTTGCGACAATTGCCTTAATATTTACGAATAGATGATAGGCATTCTCTGAATCAGAGGGTGTATGGTAGTGTATTTTTGAGGGCTCAGTGAAGATATTCCAACCACCATCGGACATAAGGAATGCAACAAAGGTAGGACACAGGCATCGAAGATCTAAGCTACGCATCGGATGCTGCGGAAGACACACGATTGACACTTTCTTGGCGCATCTTGGCGTATGAGAGTTGGCAAATGCTCACACAGCATCGGGTCTCGCAGCGTAAGAAGTCCGGTGGCACAGTAAAACAGCGTTTTCCCAATCAGCAATAGAATGAACCAGTGGGTATTTTGAGTGTTGCATTCCCTTTTGCCGTAATTCCGAGTAGTGAATCCCAGCTGCCATGCTTGAGTCCATGTGAGGGGATGCAACGACGATTTTGACTATGTAACCTTGAAGATGCGGCAAATGGAGGCGGTATGCAGTGCTCACTCGGGGTTGTAATATGGCCACCAATTAACGAGTTTAGTTCATAGCGGGGAAGATTACAGTGAGTACAACCCTAAATTAGGCTTGCTGATTAGCTCTAGTAAACACCTTAAAGTCGGTATCGTAAATATCCACGCAATCTATACTATTTGGGACGGCTTTTATGTAAATCTACGCTTCATATCGACGATGACGCCAGGCTATAGAAGATATCATAATGCAACCACTACTCTCAAAGTTTTGCCACGTGGCTGACGCTGCATGTTTTGTCAGCCCAAACTCAGCAAAACTGCTACGTAGTGGGCGCTGGTCCTTTTAAGCTTAGCCATCAAGCTTACCCCTCTCCCGGTTACAGAATCCATCAGAACTCAGAAACGCCAGAACCAACAAGGAACAGTCCAGTTCTGCATCCCCAAAAACTTGGAGTGTTAGTGTTGCATTGTGTCAGCCAAGAAAATGGGGATGGGATAATCACTAATCACCTGCTCAATTATGCTTCTGTTTTAAGCAGTGACTCCCGGACCTACGAGATCAGCACTAGTCAGAGTGCGCTGCTACCTCCGATGACAAGTCCATTCACGATGCTTTGAGGGGGAGGCGCCAGAGGGTTTGTCACTCAGCAGAGCTCCGAAGCTTCGGTACTGGAAAGTGTTTTTACTCGCTGTGATAATTCCATTTTCGTGATCAACAACACTCGTGGAGATTAGTGGCTGCAGCAGCGTAGCACAGGGAAGCCGAGGCTTTGGGATGGGATCAAATACTGGACGCCATCAACGCTGCAAAGTGAGGATCGGCTCTTTTCATGTCAGATTCGGAACACAACAGCCATTCAGGCTGATCCTTGACCTACAAAATGGGTTGCACTCGGGGCAAAGACTCCCTGCCCCCTACCTCCCATAGCAATGCTGACTCGGGCTGTTTTTCCCTGTTTGCGAGACACAATACCCAACTTACAGATCGGCATTTCACCCTTGTCGTCCAATTAAAGCCAAGGCTGGGCAATAAAGCTTGGTCTCTTCTTCTCCACGTCCATGCGTCGACCTTCCCGTAAAAGCTTAGAGTCATCGCAGATCGTGAGCTTTGGCTCATTTCTTCCCCCGCATCGCATGGGCTAGCTTTGGGGTTTGGGGGGGCTTGCGGGCGTTGACGTACGAGGCAGGTTAAATGGTAGAGTTGTTTACGTGGTAACAAAAGCCCTTTCTTCCTCCCCCTCGCACTTTGTTTTTTTTTTCTTGTTTTGCTAGTAAAGGACAAGCTGTCATCTCCGCGGAGCGTAGAGACTGTTTCGCTATTCTAGACGTGTGTTATAAGCTTCTGTTCCTGCATCATGACTACCGATACTACGGCGACACCGCCGAGTGAGCAGGAGAAGCCTACAGCTTTTGATGTCGAGAATGTCGCGTCGACAACGCTGTCCAATGTCGGTGCGGGGGCTGCTGTTGATGCTGAGCGAAATGCACTCTTAGCTGCTCTCCCTGACCCTGATGAAGGCAAGAGTGAAGAGGAACGACGCGAGATTGTAAGTCGTTCAACATATACTCCGTATCCCAATGAGAATGCATGGTGCTGACAATTGCTCAGGACAGGAAATTGGTCTGGAAGGTCGACCTCTGGCTCATCCCCTGGCTGTCGCTGCTCTACCTTCTCTCGTTCCTGGACCGAACCAACATTGGCAATGCTCGTCTCGCAGGCATGGAGGATGATCTGGATATGGGCCCGGGAGATTACAATGTCGCTCTCACCATCTTCTTCGTCAGTTACGCCCTCTTTGAGCCAATTACCAATGGTCTTCTCAAGCGCTTGACACCTCGCATCTTCTTCACTGGCATCATTATCGCGTGGGGCGCCGTCATGACCCTCATGGGAGTCTGTCACAACTACCCAGGTCTGCTTGCAGCTCGCTTCTTCCTCGGTGTCGCAGAAGCTGGCCTCTATCCTGGTGTCAATTACTATCTCGGCTGCTGGTACAAGTCGTCTGAGATTGGTGCTCGCGCTGCCATTTTCTTCTCCGCTGCTGCTCTGGCAGGCTCCTTCGGTGGTCTACTCGCTGCAGCTATCGCCAAGATGGACGGTATTGGCGGTAGACCCGGCTGGGCATGGATCTTCATCCTCGAAGGTCTCGCGACTGTCGCTGTCGGCGCCTTCTGTTGGTGGATGGTCTTTGACTGGCCCGACACAGCTCGATTTCTCTCCCCAGAAGATCGTGTTCGTGTTCAGCGCCGTCTCATCCTGGATCGTCAGGGAAAGACCGCTGAAGACTTTGACAAGCGTCACATCTGGGCTGCCATGAAGGATTGGAAGACATATGGCTACATGGTTATCTATATGGGATCGTTGATGCCCCTTTATGCCTTCTCTCTCTTCCTGCCTACCATCCTGCGAAGTATGGGACATGTCGGCACCAAGGCGCAACTTCTCTCCGTTCCTCCTTATGCTTGCGCTGCAGCCGCCACTGTCTTTGTCGGATTTCTAGCAGACCGAACCAAATGGCGTGGCTACTGTAACATTGCTACTGTCTGTGTCGGTATCATTGGATTTACCATGCTTATCGCTTCGCCTGACCCGCATGTTCAATACGGCGCTGTGTTCCTCGGTGCAATGGGTAAGTACAAAACACTGACTTCTTGAGGCTTTTACTAATCGAGAACAGGTATCTATCCCACCGTCTCAAACACTGTGTCATGGGTCAACAATAACATCGAGGGCTCATTGAAGCGTGCCATTGTTCTTGGTATGGTCGTCGGTTGGGGTAACCTTAATGGTGTCGTCTCGTCCAACATCTACCGTGAGACCCAAAGACCTCGCTACTTTGCCGGCCACGGAATGGTTCTGGCCTACCAGATCGTCTTCCTTCTAGGAGGTTCCATCTTTATGCACTTTGCACTTCGATTGGAGAACCGCCGTCGTGCGAGAGGATCACTGGATGCCAAGTATGCTGCCATGACAGATGAGCAAAAGTGGATCAGCGGCGATGTGCGTCCTGACTTTAGGTACACTCTCTAGAGAACGCATATTTGATACATTGCGCTTTGTTTTCATGTTTCTGTGGGAGGCTCCTTTAGCGGGATAGCTGAACCGGTATGAATTGGAAGAAGGAATATTATAATTACATAGTACTCATAGAACACTGTTAGTATTGTTAATGGCTTTGATGCTCGAATAATGAATCAATTTTACGTATGCAAACATTCTGGTCAGCTCAGGATGCATTGGGACCTCGCTCGGTTCTGAAGATGCTCGATACTTCCGTAAGGAGAATGCCAAGGGTCTGAGACAACGATAAGATGTTCCAGCTGAGCCCATATGCTGAGGGTATCACACAGAATGGTCGAGACCGCGCCACAGCTGTCTAGACTCTTGATGCTGGCCAAATCATGCACTGGGTTGTGAGTGCACAAGCTGGTAACAAATATATGCCCTACTTCTCATTGTTGTTGAAAAGCACACCGACTCCATCATGGCATCGCTTATTATGCTGTGAAATCTGTCTACAGGCCGCTATGCACGATCAGTCGTTCGATTACAGTATGAATCTTGTCTTAGTGTCACTGGAACAGACCCCGCTCTCTCTTTTCTTGATGCAGGGTTTCCAGTGGTATGATTTGAGACAAGTTTCTGGCAGTTAAAGCGTACGTGATCTAGACAGTTAAGAAGAAGCTTTCCCAGACGTCGTCTTGGTTATTTTCTTCCATCATGAGACATAGTCAGTAACATCCTAAGCTTAGAACTATGTGAACCGACGACAAGAGTTCGGGGTTTCCAGAGACTGGAAGGATAGGATAGAGCAAACTATCAAAGGGAACCCGAATGCTGAAGAAGGTCAGAAGAGCTCCTTGTTTTTGACTACTCGTGGTGTTAATCTCTGCGGCCTGCACCATGTCACAAAATAAGGATCAAGTCTAGACTGTTTTACTCGAGTACCATCAATTGTAAACACGTGCCCATCACCGCTATGTCTGTAGAACCCCTTCCATCAACATGAAACAACCTCGCAATAGGCCCCTCACCTTTTCATCTTACCGTTGCCCTGCTTGCTCTATAAGAACCGTCGAATCCGCTCCTCTGTCGGTTGATAAATCATCACTCACCATCAAAAGACAGAAACTCAACAGCTTAACAAAGTCCAGAAAATCTCAACTCAATCCAATAAACCTATTACACTTTCCATTCAAAATGAAGTTCTCCATCGTCCTCGCTATTGCCGCACTCTCGGCCGAGACTCTTGCGTGTGCCAACATCGGGCAAGTCTGCCAGAAAGGCGACCCAGATGTATGCCAGTGCGGTGCACCTCTTACCGTAAGCCATCCTGCCTTCAGTCATACGTGTATTTGATTGCGTATCTCTCGAACTTTGTAGCTGCTCTGCAACCGTGATCTTCTCCCTGGTCGGGGAGGCGGTGAGTGCCCCCATCGATGGCTCGACGGCCAGTTCTCTGCATTCATAAGAATTCTTCTAATCCAAGTAGTTCGCCTCTATCACTACCAGATTGGTGATATTTGTCCTCTTGTCAAACGTGGAGGAGTATGTGTTGATGGGAAATGTGTTCGACGCCCGCGTCATCCACCTACCCCTAGGCCTACTCCTAAGTAGACGAAGACGCAGCATAGTAGCGTATCGTGCATCCCAATCAGATTGCAGTACTCTCGTTTAACTCTAAGGTCGGGGTATTGGGCCAGAATTAGTTAGAGTTGACAATATGAAACCCAATATGACAAGTTGACCCTCAAGATATATCAATCCAAATTCTCAAAAACCCGCAAGTTGAATTCCTTGGGCCGTACATACAAAAATTGATGCTCTGGTCTACTTCACAACAAAATTTCTTAGGTTTCTAGCACCACCTTTGAAAAGTTCTCCATGCATGACCCCATGCACGTACGCCTCTCCGACAAGTGTGTATGTCTCATCGCTCTGAGGTCGCAAAAGGTATGGAATCTTTCCTCCCAACAGGATACAGACTTCATCTCCTGGCTGCATAACAAGTGGACCTACCCCAACAAAGCCTGTGGACGTGAGAAAGGCACGCCTCGTGTGCATCCTCATAAGAGCGGAAGCATACCAAGAGCCTTCTGCAGACGAAGCCTCCCCAGTCTCCTTTCCTTCCGCTGTGTTGGGTTGTTGAAGATCCTCCAAACCCTCCGCACACTGAGATCCCCAGCCCTGGTAAGGCACCGTTGTGAAATAAGTAGTACCATCAAGTATTCCAATGCGCGCAGTATCCAAACGCTCTTCTGCAACCCTAATTCTTGGGGAGCTGTCGCAAAAGCCTCGGATGCTTTTGATCCATTGGTTGACTGCGGTCTGGTTGATGGGTTTTAACCAGTTTGGGTCCCAAGTTGCCCCGATCTCTTGAACTTTGTCCACATAAATACCTTCAAATGTCGCTGTATCGAATTGTGGAAATTTGGGTATCGCGGTATATGTGTCTGACGCCTTAAAAGGGGTATTCCACGCTGGCTGTGCATTCGGATGCAGAACATCCATGCTCCAGTCAGGTACCCAACTGGGTAGAGAAGCAAGCTTCCTGGGCCTTTGACAGTACATGAGAACATCAATAGTACCTTGTTCTAGGATCTTACAGGCTGTTCCTCTGTAAACCTCTTCAACTGTCATAGAGTAGTCTGGAAACAAGTCAAAATGGTCTCTGTCTCCGGCCAGGTTTAGTAACGCAAAGACACGATCACGCGGGTCGGTTGCGTGGACAACGTTGTAGTCCACTTCTAACGTGAGCGATACCGCGACAACCTGTAAAAGGGGTTGGCCATATGGGTTCACTCCATCTGAATAATAGACATAGTGCCATCGTCTTGTGAACAAGTTGAACACATAGCTGCTGAGCGGAGTGGAGTAGACATAATTCAGATTCCGGCTCAGCGTCTCAAGGCCGTCGATGGAGTTCTTCTGCGCGCGTTGTTGGACAATCTTCGGGGCATCCAAAGTCTGATCTATGAGATCGGACTTCACAATCCAGTCACCGCAAGCAATGGCAATACGCCGACCAACGGCAAACTCCTGCATGACCCAAAGACGTTGCCAATAGCGTCGTTGGCAGAAATCGTGAAAAGCCGTTTTGGCAGCATCTAGATCAATAGAACCTTCCTCTTTGTTGCCAGAGTAAAGCTTCCGCAAAGCTTCAAGGTTATTGGAGCGCAGGGCTCGACCTGTGTCACGCATTAGGCGACATATGAGATCGCTGCCCTCATTCCCGTTACCCAACCACGCGATGACTTGGTCAGCTTCCCTATAGATATAGTGCATTTGGTGAACCTGGTGGCTCTTCTCGACCTCGTCGGCTTGGTTGATGCACAGCTGGTCTACCCAAAGCCAGCGAGGCTTTTTGCGAAACCGAAGACGCCGAAGGGCATTCTCGACGGTCGAGCTAATGCCTATTGTCGTTCCATCAATGCTAACATGTCTTTTGGGGCTATCTGGGGATTCCCAGACATATGATAAGGCTGTATAAGGCGGGGAGTCGCCACGAATATATTGCTCAATATTGCAAACGAGGAAATCTGTTCGCTCGGGTTCAGAAGTAGATTCCGCCAGAGAAGGCTCTAGTTTGAGGAGTCTTATCCAATGGTCAGGGTCTTTGAGTTGACGGTATTTGATATCCGAATACATCTCAAGATTTCATTTATCAACAGAATAATAGAAAAGCAGTTCAAAGGAAAAGCCATGGCTATGCTGACAGGTGCTGGCCTTCCCCACCTTGCCAAGGATATTTAGGGGTGAAGCTCTCAGCAAATACTACCTTCCCTGTGCTTACGCCACGTGGGCATCGCATTTTTCACACAGCAAACAACTCTTAAGGGCATGAGGGAATTAGTTCGCGACTTGTATAATCTCTAATAGCCTCCTAGACAGTAAGCTTGTCGCTAGCCGGTCCAAACTTGCCAATGCCAACCTCATCCTTCTGCATAAACTCTATTGGGTTTTGGTGATCCTCAACATATCCAACTCCACTAACAGCCTTATCTATATGGATTTCGGTTAGCTTCTGCCCTCTTTGTGGTTGCATCATACCGTTACGTACAGTAGCCTGCCAATCTAAGGATGTCATCCGGAAGAGTTCGAGCAATCTCGATGGGAGTACTGAGGACTTCATCCTGGTCAAGCCGGTAGTAATCACGCTGCCTAAAAAGACGTCAGCAGGATTCTGCATGCCATAGTTCGTTACACTCACGCAAAGCACGCAAAGAGAGTGCGGAGAGCGTCAGGGTCTGATCTGTCACACTTATTCTCTCCCGCAGCGTGATAAGTGGCTATCAGGGACGTCAGTTTAGCTAATCCTAGGTCTTTAGTCAGATACCATTAAATGAGGAACTCACATCCTAGAGTAAACAATGCCGACCCAGGTTCCATCTCGGCATATGTGCATTCTTCTAACTTGGGGATACGATCAGCGCCCCAGAGGTGACTGCCAGGGATAACAGCCGTAGCCTAAGCGAAGTCATGGTCAGTCCGTGAAGTGCGACACTGGAAGAGGATATTTTACCCCATTCTTGTATGTGCATTTAGATCCAGCAATCAAGCAACCAAAAATCGGAGTGAACAGGGGATTGCTCGGGTCTGGACGAGTCTGGTATGCGATTTGGTCCTACACCGTATCACCGTTAGATAACAGGTCTCGGATATAGCTTCCAAGTACATGCCCTATGAAGAGGCTGAGGTTTGGCCCCTGGTACCAATCGTAGGGCTGCCGTTGAGGCCAGCACGTAGCCACTCTTCTGTGGAACCAGCTTATCTCCTGTGTAAGATGAGAACTCATCGCTGGCCCTAAGTGTCAGTCAAGCCGTTCTATGAGGTCAAGAGTTTGCCGACTCACTTCAGATAGTGTGCCATTATGCCCTGCCAAACGGGCAGCCGCATGATCTTGACAATTTGCTCAGGCATCTTGGCCAGCAGTCCCTAGTAACATTAGATTGAGTCAAAGGTTCAGTGATGAGTATACTAACGTAGACTCGCTGGGACCCTTCGGGGAAGAAACCTTCACCAAGCTCATCGTGGGTCGATGTTGAGGTGTACAGCTTGCGGCCAGAGAAATGAGGCTCGACTTGAGAGATGTGTTAGTATTGGCTCTGATATTGAAGCATACTGGGTACAAACTCGCTGCCATAGACTCTTTCAGAAGTTCTGAGGAGAGGAAGTTGGAGACAATGACTCCGCCATCTCTGTCGATGACCTCAAAAATCTTCTCGAGGGGCTCCGATGCGTCGATGGTAACAAGTGAGGGCGCCATTGCTTTGATGTCCGAGTCTGATGTCTGAGTGAGAAGCTACTCCTCTGATCTCTCTCCAACGCTCGTGAGACCTTGCTTGTTTATAATGCTTTAGGTTGATGTCCGAGTCCGGAATGCTATCTCTAAGGACTGAACATGACCAACACGAATCCTTCTCTCATATGATCCCGGATAATCTCGGCTTTTGATAAGAAGGTCCAAGCGAAAGCATGTTTGCCATCCCAACTAAGACTGGGGAATAGGCCCAAATACCGATCTTATCAGACATGGTTCCCCTCAATTCTATCGTGTGACTTGGACTGATAAGCCGATGGCAGCTACAGTTCCATGTGGGTTTATCTTGGACGTGTTTGTTTCCCAAAAGTCCATAGTTGAAAGGCGAAGGAACGCTAGTGGCTGATAAGTGATCCCTTCTGCTGATCCATTGCCCCGGAAGGATCTTGACGTAGCGTTGGCTGCGGCAGATAACAAACTCTCGCCTGGACCTTCTCACTGTATCCCATGCCTGCCACTGTACCTTAATGATTGTAGATTGCGGGGGTTTGGTCCGGCTAAAGGTGCATTTATAGGGCGTGTAGTAGAGCTAAGTGAGTTATCAGTAGAGTCTCTTCTTTCCGGTGTCGCTTCGCGTCCTTGGTTTCGGATCAAGTGATTGCCAATCAATGCAATCAAGGACTTTAGTGTTTGTTCATATCCTGGGATGATAGGTGTATCGTAGGGTGCTTGTCGAATAGAACCGCACTAACAGTGATCTGGGCCTGATGATACGGAACCGAGACCTTGGTTAACCATGTTGAAGTACACGCTTGATCATCCTGTAGATATATAATCTCAAGCCTGCTATTGCCCTTTTGTCTGCCAAACTTCCTTCTTATGTACTATTCTTCTAATCTGTTCTCAAAACTCCGTTACTCTGGTAATTGTCCATCGACGCCTGATACCACCATGGATCCCTCGTCTCTCAACCCAGAAACCTCCAAAAAGGGAGGCGATGTTGAGCGAGTCGGTTCAATAGACATTGGCGGAGTTAGTGTAGTCAGTAGCCCCATCCCTCTATTTGTCTTCTATTGGGAAATCCCTAACACAATCTTGATAGACCAAAAGTGACATTCCGGAGCTCGACGGTGATGCCTTGACAGCTGCTATCTTGGACTCTGTCAATCATCGCCGCTCGAACCCTCGACATATCCAACTGACAGCCTTCGCCGGCTCAATCGGCGCGTACGTCCCTCATTTAGCTATATGACATCTCCATACTGATAGGAAGTAGTGCTCTTTTTGTCGCTATTAGTTCTGGAGTCCTTTCTGGACCTTTGTGTCTTCTGCTGGCCTTCATGTTCTGGGTCACGGTTGTCTTCTCTGTTGCACAATGCCGTGAGATCAATCCTAGTCTTTGCGATTCTCCTGCAACTAATACAATGTATAGAGATGAAGATCGTAACACTCTTCCCTCTTGATGGATCCTTCATTCACCTAGCTGGTCGCATGGTTGATCCAGCCCTTGGGGTAGCTATTAGATGGAACCACTTGGTAAGTCGAACAACGTTACCTTTACATATCTACCTCTACTGACTCCAGAAAGTTCGCTTAGACTTCCTATGTCATCTTCGAGGCTACAATCATCAACACTCTTGTCGAATACTGGGGCTACGATGAATCACCCGCCACCCTCATTCCTAGTAATTCCTTCGACTCTGATTAAATGGTCAATCACTAAATAACTCAGTGTCTCTAGTGTTCTACCTGGCGATCAACGTTTGGCGAGCAGACCTCTTTGGTGAGGCAGAGTGTGGGTTCCACCATCACAGCTTGTCACCCCTTTACTGACGATGCGACATAGTCTGGCTAGCCTTGGCCAAGGTCATTCTTGCTGCTGGCTTGATATTGTACACAATTGTTGTCATGCTAGGAGGCAACCCACTCAACGAGTACGTTTTACACCTCGTCCATTGATTTATCACTAACAGCACATCGAAGCCGCTTCGGATTTCGATACTGGAAAGACCCTGGAGTATGGGCTGGTGACGATGCAGGCTCACGCCTCAAGTCATTTATTAACGCTGTCAACGTCGCCGGTTTTGTCATGGGAGATCCAGAGTATATTTCGAGTCAGTACACCGTTGTTGGCTTGGCATATCAATACTGACATGGTTCAGTGATTGCCGGTGAAGCACGGGATCCTCGTCGCACTGTCCCACGTGCTTTCAAGACCATCATTCCCCGTTTGATGATTTTCCCTCATTGGTGGCTGCCTCTGCGTCGGTGTAAGTAGGCCTTGTTTCTTCCTGAGTTTACTGCCAATTAACCGTATAGATCCTCGTCCCCCACAATGACAAGACGTGAGCTTTCCTGGTCATAGTCTTTATTCAGATGCTAACGACTATGTCAGTCTTACAGGCGGCGCAGACACATACAGCGGTGCCTCTCCATAGCAAGTTCCCTGAGCACTTAGTTGAACACTAGCTGACCGGCCCAAGCGTCATCTCAATGGAACGCCTTCAGATTCCCGTCCTTCCATCCATTGTCACGGCTGTCCTGATTACGACTATCGTCTCGGCTGGCAACGCGTACACCTTCAATGCTTCTCGAAGTCTCCACGCCCTGGCCCTTGAAGGACAAGCGCCTAAGTTCCTGCGCAGACTGAACAATAAGTACGCACATTGGGTGCATTAGGGACACTTCACTGACTTATTCATCAGGGGAGTGCCTTATCTCGCAGTCATCGTCGTAATGACGCTGGCTTGTTTGGCGTTCCTGGCCCTTGGTTCGACCAGTGCCAAGGTACTTAACTGGATCTTGAAGTCAGTGTCTTATTCTTGATTGTGACATGGATGTGCTGACTCGATGATCTCCAGCTTTTGTACCGCTGCAACTATGCTGTGCGTGTTTTCAACTGGCGTTTCATAGCTATGATTATGTATCTAACCTCACCTAGGAACTGGACTGTCATGGCAATTACATGGATCCGATTCAACGCTGCGATGAAGGCCCAAGACATTGACAGGGAGACATTCCTACCTGTCAGATCCCGCTTTCAGCCATACGCTGGCTATTGGGCATTTTTCTGCGCATTCATCTTTCTGTGGTAAGCGTGATGATAGACGTCTCCAAAACTAACACTCATAGGGTCCAAGGATATGCCGTCTTCCTCAGCAGCAACTAGAGCACGGCAACTTTCATCTTCAATTACGGTATCGTAAGTATTATTTCATGTTCCCTGGTGACTTGGCCTGACAAGCTTCAAAGATTGCTCTAGCGGGTAGTATTGGTCTTGGGTGGAAGCTCTTCAAGAAGACTCGGTTTCATCGTGCTTCAGAGGTTGATCTGGTTTCGCACTTGTATTTCTTCGGTGTACTCACAGAACACTACCGTCACGAGCGCGAGACTGCACCTCAAAATCTTAAGGATAAGATTCTTGCAAGCATCTTTTGAGCATTTGAGCCAGCAATTGATGGTGGAGGAACAGTGAAGGGAGTTCACATTGCAGTGGCATTATTCGTCTCACATATTTCTCTAAATATAACAAGACTTATTAGATCAAGCCCTAATTATCTCCTTCACAACCTTTGAAACGTTATCAGGCTGGCTAACCGTGGGTACATGTCCACTATCGAAGCTATGCACTCCAACTTCCCTTCCACTTGACGCTTTGACAGCTTCAATCATGCCACGCTGGAACTGAGGCGGGATAATCTGATCCTGTTCGCAAACTATGTAATGCACCTCGACATCATTATACCCAGGATAGGTTAGTGGTTCTCGAAAGCTTGCTGTTGAATGCTCTGGCATCTGCTTCGCCAAGTCAAGAGCTTCGTCGAAAGGCAAGTCTGAGAAGGTGTGAGTGGCGTGGCCCTTAGGATCAAGAGTCATGTAGTCATCCTGAATCCAATATTAGCAACATGTTCTAGAACTGGACGATATAATGCAGAACCTTGAGATCGAGAAAGTCAGGCAGGGCTGATCCAAATGTATCCAAGTTGCAAACACCAGGTTGCAAGATGACAGACGCAAGGTATATGATCTTGTCGATTCCTCCTTGCTTTCCCCCAGCCTCGCGAGCCTTTCGTGAAAGCTTGCCAAGACTCTGTGTTCCAGGGATACCTCCATAGGAATGGGTCATAAGAACGACCTCCTTCCCCCCGTCAAGAAGCTTAGAAACAACGTTGGTGATCTCATCGACATCATCGCTCATTGTCGCAGGCGGGATATTACCCCGCTTGCCAACTGATGGAGTATCAATTACGCGCGAGTCGATACTATGTCGCCCTAGACTCTCCGTAAACACGCGATAGTGTTTGGCTGGCGCAAACGATCCAGGGACGATAACGACAGTTGGGCTTCCCATTGTCGAGGTTTTTTGTGTGGTTGAAACTGTATGAAGAGCAAATAATTTGCTGAAGGCTGTGTATGAGAGCAATCGTGTCCTTTTGTACGCGGTTTATACAGTTGTTGTACTACGTTTGTCATCGGATTACAATTCCCATCGCAGACATCTCCGCGTTTTCGGAGGAGATGCGATTTCCTCTGATTGGTAATATTGGGGAAGCGTTACTTGAATGAGTAAAAACACCGCGATCCAGCACGTTGAACTCCATCGCAGAGCTTGAGCATGAATCCTGTCAGCCCTAAATTACTGCGATCTGCAGAGCCAAGGCTTGGAGTTCGTAGCATCGGTGTAAAGGCTCGAGTCATTGATCATCGGTAACATAAATACACAGAGAAGTTAAGAATAGCTTATTATAGTCTAGAATAAATTAGATAGACTTTGCAGGCTTTCTCTCTGACTGTCTTCGCATTCAATGTAAACGTCTTCCTTCATACAGTGCACGCGCCCTAGGACTGGCTGATTACAAGGTTAGCGAGTTTGAAGCAATCACCAACCGCAGACTCTCGGCAGGACTCAATCGAAAGGAAAACAGCAAAAAATACGATGAAGTGATCTGCTGCACTGATTGTAAGAGCCTCCTGGGTAGCTTTGTCTTGAGCCTTGAGGCCATTTACAAACGCTGAAAGAAAGCAGTTTCAGGATTCGGTAGAGCCAATAGCGGGTGTAGCCACTGACAAAAGCGAGCACGCCTTTCTCAACAAAGCTTTCTCAACAAAGCTTTCTCTTTCACGAACAGTCATTCCCCATTGATCGACTGAACTTATTTTTGGCATTCTTAAACGCGTAGCCCTTGGCTTTATTTTTCTTTAATTTCTTCCAATTGTTCTATTCTAGTTTCTTTATTCCCCAGCGCTCGCGCCTCCATTGGCTCTGAGGCAGCGCCTAACAAAGGCCCCAGTTTCGCTAAGCGCCAGGTCTTAACGGCAAGCAACAAACGATTGGGCGCAATGAATAGCGCTGGGCCTCTTTGTTAATGACCTCGTTTCATCGTTGATTGGCTGCTGATTGTCTAACATGAGAAAGCGCATCAGCGTCTATTCACGACGTTGGTCATTGATGTTGTATAAAGATGTGACGATCTACTTCTGTTGGTTCTGTTATCCAAATCACTATCGCTTTACGACTCATCGTCTATTTATTCTCTCTTTTTCTACACTGCTGTGCAGTTCAATTCCATTCTTTGGTCATTTGCTATCATCAACACGCGAAACACGCAAATCATCTTCAGCAGCACTTTAATACCAATAATTCAACTTCAATATGGGCAAGTTTGACAACGCTATCAAGGCCGGCCAGACCGCCATCGAGCTCGGCAATACTGCCAGATCCTTCGCTGGCGCAACCTCCGAATTCCGCGCCGCTGATAAGAAGGAACTCGGTCGACAGGCTGGCCGTCATGCCTTCAACGAAGGCGCCGAGACCGGAAAGGCCATGGGAAAGACTTGGCTCAAGACCTTCGAAGCAGTACCTCGTATGGTCTGTCGCGGTCTTCAGTTCCTTTTCGCTATCATCGCCTGCGGTTTCTACGGCCATCGCGTCGATAAGGCTCAGGACACCGATTACGGCTTCTCCCCAGAATGGTACTTCGCTCTCGTCATCGCTGGCCTCTCGGCCACCACCGCTATTCTCTTCGTTGTGCTTACTCCCCTCGGCGCTCTTCCCCTCATCGGCAGCAAGCTCAAGCTGTTCAAGACCTACCGTGCTTTCGCCTGGGATCTCATCCTCTTCATCACCTGGCTCGTCGTCTTCGGAATCTTCGCCGGCATCTTTCTCCACCGAGATAGCGACGACAAGTACAAGGGCGCCAGCACCGGCGCCATGAAAACAGCTGTTTGGATCGATCTCGTCAACTCCATCTTGTGGCTCACTTCTGGTGTGTACGGATGCATCAAGACTTTCTTGGGTGACAAAGCGGACGAGATGACAGACAAGGTTGGACAGAAACTGTTTACCAAGAAGCAGAAGCCAGCTAAGGAGGCCGGTTACGCCGAGAGTGTTTGAACACGGGCAAAGCAGCTACATTGGGGTTTTCATGTTTTTATTACGCATTTTCTTATGTCAGAGCCGGCGTTCTTCGCATCTTTCGCATTTAGAATATATCTATATCTATCTCCCGATGAATACAAAATTTCAACCCGTAATGTTATGTACAGAACAAATACTATCTTTTTGAACCATGATTACAAACAGCTGAGACCTTGTTCATAATTTTCAGGACGATTCAATCTCAGCCTTTGTCTATTTCCCGAGACAGCTTCTTTCAGGAATGCCACGGTGGCAACGATAGTTGAGGCTTACGAGCGGTGCAGAAGCGGGAGTTTGCTTCAGCTCAGTTATTACAGTCCTCCTTCGAGCAGCGCATGGATCCTGCAATCTGTCCATCACCTGCAGTATTATTATCTACTGGGGCCTCATCAGTCGTTACAGTCAACGTCGTGATAGGAAATGCCATGATGATCAAGGAGTTTTAACAATTGAATATTATTTTCCAAGAGCGAGTGCTTTAAAGATACTTGAGCCAACAGGCGCAGAAAACAGAGATAGATAAGAAACTGGGAGGTAGTTTTATATTCCTTTTTGATGTCATGCATTTTTGAACCAAGACTAAAGATATCAAGGTAACTTTACAACAAATCCGAACCGGAACAGCTCACGAAGTTGAAGTAGCCAACCATTTCCTTGCCTTTTCCTTTATCACAATAGCAGAATCAGGCCGTCTGCAATAAATTGTTCGCGATCCAGAGGGCAGAGAATGAAATACAAAGAGCAAGCCGCTGGGTTGAGCCTCTCAACGTTCAGCCTGGGCCAGAGTCTGTCCTGATTCATTCATGTCTCTTGCATTCTATAGCTGCCTTTTCGAGAGCTGATATTTACATCAGGATCTTACCGAACGCTTCACCAAGCCCGCACTCAATCAGCCATGCTTCCAAAGCCTTCATGTCACCACGATTCCCTCTCGCTCCTCTCTTCTCAATCATATCCGTGATCTCTTGCATGTCCGAAAAGGCACGCTTCAGATCCGCTACCTCCTCTCGATATCGCTCGCTGACCTGCCCTCACTGTCAGCCTTTCTCATGCCCATCCGCATACTTGACGTACCTTTTTGTGATGCGCGGGAATGTCGCCCCAGCTCTCTGTCTTGATGAACTTCATAAAGTCATCAACCGCGACTGATCCTCCTTCCAGACACAGGATACCTGGCTTGCCAGCTAAGAGAAAGCCAGTGAGTCCGTAGGTCGGTGCATAGTTGACGAGATCATCTCGCTTTGCCCTTGTGCTGATGGAGGGGAAGTAGAACCAGACTCGGACTAACGACGCGTCTGCTATTGGGGTATTCGCAATTTCAACTTGCTTCAAACTCAAGAGGTGTTCAGATGCGGCCTCTTTTATATGCTCAACGACTGAAAGAATATCTTCATCGGGTAACTCCGTATTCAGCTTTGCAACATCTCCTTTGCTCATCCAGTCCGGCTGTTGTATTCTGGTCTTTATTGGCGGTGGTTCTGTTAATCCTTCTTCTTTTTGGCACGTCAAAGGCACTGTCAATGTGAGTTGTAAAGTCCTTGTTGAAGAATCCTCATCTTCAATATCGACCCTAAGCTGGAGGTTTACAACTGTCTCTGAAAACTTGGGTGCGGCTTCCCCGTCATTTGCGCACCAGTCCCTCAGCCTCTCAATCAGAGCAGACGCCGCAGAGTCCATGGCTATCGCATCATCCGATGCATACATTGCCATGAGGAGGTCAATTTGACCTAATTGGAGCTCCATGAGCTCCTTCGGCAAGGCATTTTGGGACCCCTCATCAGAAGACATGACGACAAGAACAGTCTCTTAGCAACCTGTGAGATCAACAAAAGGACAATACCGAGGCAGTGCCGCCGCAATAAATGCCACTTTACGCGTGGTTTGTAGAAATTGATACGCGGCGGGCGAAAATTCACCAATGACGGGTGAAAAATGCCTCCGACAGGTGTCGTTATCTTATCTTTTCCGAAGCTCTTATCTTATCTTGACATCTAGGCTCAGCTCAGCTACCCTGGGCTGAGTGAAGCAACTTCAGCAAGAATGGAATTGGCTAAGAGCATTGTGAATAGGCATAGTATCTTGAGCGGCTCTGTGAGGCCAGGCACTTCTTCCTTTCCCTTTTCTTTATTTCGGCACTTCCCGCCCCTCAGCATTCACCTACTACCATTGATTAGCACGGACAGCCAAGACAGCTACTGTTCTTCTCCCAATGTTCGATCAACATCGAAGTCATTCTCATCATGACAAGCCCAACATGCTAATCGTATTTCATTGGACATGGGCCCTCATGTCTTGCTTATCATTACCCAAATGACTGCAGATGCGCATCATATCATCCGTTAGTGCCGTCTAGTGTAAACATTAAAATGACCGTGTTTGGTGCCTCCATGACGCTCAGATGATGGGCCATTGAGCTAGCAAGCACTACAAATAGTGCAAGCTCCGAAAGCCAAACAATGCTCTTCATATCAGTCAACTATTCTACAAATACGAATTCAATTACAGCTCATAAATATCAATATGTCCCAATCAAACGTCGGATATCCTTCTTCATATGAAGGCGGAGATCAGCGCCACTATAGCAGGGAGGAAGTTCGTGAGGAGGGTCGCACGCACCCCAACGTCAACATCGAGGGTTACCGTAAGTTCTATAATACTTTCGATCATTGCCTTGTCTAAACGTTTATAGTACACAAAGAGGGAATTATGAATGAGCTTCGAGAGGCCGACGTAAGTTCTCAACTCTAAGTATAAGATTACTGGCTAAGCTTCACAGACCAACAGAATCATTGAAGACCGCATGAAGCACGAACCAGGCTTCGCAGTAAGTCCCACCAGAGAAACCACGCAGGCGCGACACGAACATCTAATGGCTTGCCTAGGCCACCATGCACGGCAACAAACCCTCTCGGGGTGCCGAAATCGATGCCGAGCTTGCACGAGACGATGCAGAACAGCTTGAAAAGAAGAAGGGCAAGACAGACAGCATGCCTGGAAAGAAGATGGAACATAACACCAGTAAGAGCGAGTGAAAGTAGCAGATGGATCAGGAAGAGGAGGAGGCTCGTGCTAAGCATAGCACTCGTGGAACAAACAAGCATGAAGGGCAGGGTATGGAGTATGTTACTCGCAAGAACCACAGTAGCCGGGAGTAGATATTGATATATGTTCCACTATCAAATGACACAGCACATGTTTTTGAAAGGTGCATTAGAACTCATCATTCTCACGTGAGTGCCTGATGATTTGTGCTCGACGTGACCTGGAGGACAGATTCTGGCGACCTCAAAGACCTGAACTTTGCTTAGTTAGTAATAAGTGCCGAGGAGAAAGATACATCGTTAAAGATTGGGAAGCTTGCGCTTCTGGTTTATAGGTTTGATGGGCGGTGATAGGGATGAAACTTAACATCTGGCATAATCAACAGTATCTGATAACATCACTAATTGCAGGAGCCACCGAAAGTAAGAAACTTTTTAGTTTTTTGGTTTTATTCGGCCGTGAAGGTATTAGATTCATACAGTCGTAATCGGACAATTAGAAATACACGAGTTCATAATACTCCAGTCCTCTTCTCCAATCATCCCCAGAAACGCATCTCAACTTATTACCCCATTAAACCATCTCCTCACCACGAGCACCAGTTCCGACAGGTCGTCGGGGAATAGAACCGTTGTCATATCCGTTGCCATGCATGTGCTCAGATCCATCACTCTTCAGGCCGTGTCCGTGTCCATGTCCGAGAGAGCTACCACCGTGAGACCCCCAGCCAACCTTGCGAGTGAAGACGGCGTCAACAAGCTCAGCACCACCCATGGAGTAGTTGAAAGGAGCACCACGGTTAAGGGGAATGTGGTTGAAGCGCCAGTCCCAGACAGCAGCGTAGGTCATTCGGTAAGCGGAAAAAGCAAAGACGGTACCAATGATGGCACCAGCAAGGACATCGTGGAAGTGGTGATACTTGTCGATGGTGAGAGCTCCACCAATGAGAACAGCTCCGAGAAGAGGGGCGTAGGTGACAATGAGCTTCCACATGGAAGGATGGTAGTTGGAGAAGACCTTGAGCTTGGCGTTGAGGTAAAGGTACAGGTAGACGAAGCCGGCAAAGGCAGCAGTGCTATGTCCACTGGGCATAGACTCAAGAGCATCGTTGATCTCACTCTTGTCGCCAGTGCAAATATCGGGGGTGTAGTAAAGCTGAAGATATCCCTTGTTGTTGTATCCTCCCATGGTGCGAGCGCGGGCCATGTCAGGCTTGCACACCTCAAGGAAGTGAGGTCGGAATCCACCGATGAGCCACTTGACGAAGACCTGGAAAACGGCGGCGGTGATGAGGGAGTAGAGAAGACCGATGACGGCGTTGTTGACATCCCAGAATGAGCGGATACGGATCTGCATCACCAGGAAGACGAAGATGGGAACAAGAGCAGCCAACATGGCAGCGGCCCAAATGGGAACGATCTCGCCTCGGAGAGGATATCCGTACTCGGGCCAGACTATCTCGCCGTCGGAAAAGGTAACGGGGAACGATCGGGCGGGTGCGGGCTTTGCAAAGTAAACCTAGAAAATCGTTAGACTGGTAATTGGGTTTTTGAAAGGATAAGAACTTACACCAAGACCGATAGCGCCCATACAGGCCATGGTGACAATGTCGAGCCATGTACCCTTGAGCCACTGCCCGAAAGTAGGGCGTCGTGACATGGGAAGAGGGTCGTGAACCGCCTTTTGGTGGTGACGGGTCTTTGTGCCAGGCGAAGCCCGGTGAGGAGACTTTTCTCGACGGAAGAAAGGCATGTTGGCGATTTGGTGATGCTAGATAATGGTGTTGAAGGAAAAGCCGACCACGGATTGAGCGGCTCTGTACCCAAAATTAATAGGTACTGAAAGAACTTTGCTGGTTCTTGTCCTGCCGTTCACAAACAATTGAGGCTGCTTGCCCTTCTATAAATCCGTGGAGAGGACGGTGACACGCGACATGGCGATACATGCTGTTGACGTCACTAACGTCATTCAACCGTTTCACGCCAGCACCAATAACACCAACAGCGCTGTAGGCCTGTCACAGCATGCAAATTCGCTACGTAAAGCCACAGTCGACGTCATTGCACAAAATCCTTTTTTTCCAGGAAAAGTGAGCCTTGGACGGCAGACTGATGCCGAGCGGGCTTGCAGGCGGCAGTTTCGTGCCGGACAACCAATCATAGCCTTGGCAGGTGTACAAGGGATGTGTCTTGGCTTGGGACAAGTGTGGCTTGATTCTGACGATCTGTGTTGTTTTTGCTAATAACACGGGAATGAGCATCGATCGATGCTTGGCCAAGGCGTTTGAAACCTGCTAATTTGTGCTGATGATTCAGTGGTTAGCTCATAGTTGCACCGGAGCACAAGTCCGTAAACTCTGCCTGGACAAAGATAGCAGAGTATCATTAATGAGCAGGTAGATTGATGTCAGAGTTATTGCTTTAGTCATGCTGCACTAAAGCAATAACTCTAAGACGTTAAAGTATCCATAATTCAGTTAAACTTTAGAGCTGTAAATAACCTTGAAGCTCAAACAGTTGAGATGCCAGGGGATGGTGGCTGATGCTGTGGCTGACCACTACGAAGCTGTCCCAAAAACATGATTTCAGCAATCACTCAACGGTCAGTCCACGTCGTTTTCTGCCAAGTCGGGATCGACTCAATGGCATGAACAATTTAGACAAATCGGCGATTTACTACGTAGCAAGTAACGATATGATCGAGTTCAAGCTATATTTCGGAAGCTTATGCGAAAATCATTCAAGGGCTGAAGTCTCGGCATACGACAAGAGCCCCATCACAGCACCACAAAAATGCCGAGCACTAGACGAATCATGAGTTAACCGATTACGACCTTCTCAATTTCAACAACATGATGCAATAGTTGACGCGCGTCGGAATCCTCTCACCAAATTCGAGATGGCAACAACGATCTTGATATGTGAGGAAAACTCGAAATTGTCAACTAATCTGTATGTAGTTAGAAAACAGAGAGCACATTCAAATATCAGACAGTCAGGTATGTCACAAGACATGAAGTAAGTTTCATTGAAGATAGAATACATGTTCAACCGAATTACACCCCATTAGTTTCAAGCAATGACCTAACACACTACCCATTACCCCCCTTCTTCACGCTTTGCTTGCAAAAGTTCATCGTTCATCGTGTAATCATCGCAATACGACATCAGCACCACCAACGACCAGATAAATCAAAACCCTTTAAGGCTTCTTGCACTGTCCGGCCTGGATGTTGGCAGGGTTCGAGCAAGTGTTGCACTTGATAACATTGCCAGCTCCCTTGCTCAGGTTCAGGATATCGTTGTCGTTGTTCTTCAGGGTGTTTCGGATAACAATGTTATGGTTGGACTTAGGAGCTTTGCCGCCGAGAGTAATACAAGCAAGAGAAAGAGGTTGTTCGGGAGTAGCAGCACAAGCATCGTCGTAGATGAGAATACCGATTCCTGCAGAATCGGTACCACGCTGTCCCTCAATGGTGTTGTCGCGAACAAGAATTCCGACAGCGCTGCCGAGAATAATACCCAAAGAATTCTTGCCGCAAGGGGGAGGAGTTGGGCCAATGTAGTTGTGCACAATCTTGGCATCTTTCACGCCAGAGTCGACAAAGATACCGACGCAGTTGTCGTGAAGCTTGTTGTATTCAATAACTGCACCGTTGGTCTGAACGCAGACGCCGATGCCGTGAGCAGAGACGTCATTCTTCACAGTGTGCACATCGGAAAGGTTATCCTGGCAGATACCGGTGGGGCCACCAGAAGTGGCTGTGACAGTGTTCTCACGGAAGACGGTGTTGACAGAACCAAGGGTGAGAGCACCATAAGCACCACCATCAGTGAGCTTGTTCTTGGTGATGCGAGTGTTCTTAGCGCCGACGATGGCGATGTTGATGCCAGAGAAACCTTGAACACTGAAGCCAGTTACCGAAACTCCCTTGACGAATCTCTTGACAGAGGTGACTCGCTTATGCTCAGTCTTGTAGTCGGTTGTCTGGACCTTGTAGCCAGTAATACAGATACCAGCCTGTAGCTCGTTCTTGTTCGTATCTTGAGTCAAACCAGTGCATGCATTGCGCTTGTATGTCGAAGGCTTGGTGAGGACTGCACCACGACCCTCAAGCTGGATACCGTCCTTGTCAATGACCAATTGCTCAGGATAGGTACCGGCCTCAACGATGATGCGATCACCGGGGGAGGCTTTCTTGATAGCTTCTTGGATCTTCTTGCCGGACTTGACGTAGATAGTACGGCCATAACCGTAGTAGTTCCTTGAGTCGGAGGGGGAAGTGTACTTGTACTTGTCAGGGATAGCGCAGCAGTGCTGGTCCTTCCAGTTGCACTTTCCATTTCGGCCTGCAAAAGTCAGTAACAATGTTGGTGGGCTTCAAGTGATGTACTGACGCATGAGACCACCAGAGGTATCATGCTCTGTGAAGGGCGAGGCAGCGGCAAGGCCAACGAGGCCCGCGAAAGTGAGGCTGAACTTCATGATGGGCAGTAAACGATTGTCTTAGTTTGAGAACTGTATTGTCAGTACAAAGCCTGCGGCATCAACAGAGCTTATATACCACCGATACCCCGCATCAAGATCATCAAGCCATCGGTCCCGAGAAAAAGGGTCAAAGGCTGAGATCTCGCCCTCAGATGCAGCCACTCAAGATATCATTCGCTTGGTTCTACCTGAAACGGTAAGACAATGGTTAAGGTGGTTGCAGGACGCAAAGACGGCGTCGAATAGTGGTTAAGCCACTTTCTTATGGTGTAAGGGGTGAGGCGCTGATAGGTGCTTAATGCGAAAGGGCATGATTTAACGTTGACGAGAAGGCGTCGATATTGACCCTCTTTTGGAAGAAGAAAACACCATCAAATCATCGTCCTCAACGTGTTTTCCTGCGTTTACGAGTCTAAGTGCGCCAACTTGATCAGGGATGGTACGAAGTCGACCTCTGCAATGAGACCAGAGAAAAAGATCAAAGCGGCGGCCTTTCACAAAAGAAACAGGCACGCCCGATTCTTTCAATAACTTGAAATGCAATGACAACAAATTTCTGTATTGATCTGTGCGAGACTGTCACCCAAATGAACTCCTCAGTCCTGCTCATCAATATCGCAACGGCCAAGCACGCCACAGCGTCGCTTCAATACCACCACTCGCGCAGCCACGAGCATCCGGCTTCGCGAGGACCCGAGGTTCGTGAGGGGAGAGGGCAAAACGGAATATGCCGTGGTGTGGCTTCGCCTTGTGCCTGAAGTAAGGCGCCGACTATCAAACTATAATTCAGCCGCAAAGGCTCGATCCCCTTGGAGCAAACGGTCTGACAGGGGTAGTGCCTGAATCTCCTTTCTAAAACGGAGATCAACCAGCAGATGTTGAGATCGATAGCACCGTAGATCCGGACTACTACCCCACACTTTTGTTTTGTGGTGCATCGTTTGAGACTTGTTTCTCACTGACGATCCGTCTCACAGCAATGGACACCTTTTGCCTTGAGTTTGGCCACCTCCTTGAGAAATTCTTAAGCATGCTGATTTGGTGCCGTCCACAGGGCTGAACAAGCACAGATCAAGCTGAAAACTAGTGGCATCCCCGACAAGTTGATCCTGCTCTGAGTTGGCTCCCCACGACGTGGTCGAACCCGAGACCCTCGAAATGAAGCCGGTGGCTTGGGCTGGATCGCCGAGGTTGATTCTGGGCCTTTTCAGCCCAGCGATCATCGAATGCCAAGACCACGTTCCTGCGCTACTGGACTCGGGAATCGATGTAAAGGAGACCTAATGAGGGGTCATCGGACCAACTGCTGGCTCGCAGCGACAGCTCTTTTACCTCCTCAGTTAAAATTACTATTTGGCCCCCTTCTTTAACCAACCTTGAGCATCTGCTACTGAATAAACGATATCCTTGCTTATGATATCGCTGATCTCGGTGGACGCTGATGCGCATCTGTTGTAACAGTCTGTCTCTGTCGGCGAATTTGTTAGTCAATCATGGTAAACCCGCACATGAGGTCTCAGAAACATCCCGTTTACCCGACAGGGCAGAACCCACCAACCTTATCACCAACGCCAATCAGTTCCCAAGCCTCATGGTCAAGGTTCCGCCCCGCAACCTTCCCCGCACTTCTGATGATGACGACGGAGTCTCTTGATCCCCTCAACTCTCATCATATCGTGAAAAAACCATCAATACATCATCACTTGATACTCCAAACATCCTGTCATCATGGCCACCACTGCTGCTTCTCTGAGCTCCCATGGAGTCTCGTCAGCTGTTCCTGCTCCCGTTGCCATCAACGCAAGCCCGCTTTTGGACACTTCGGTTCATCCACTTAGCTCCAGTTCCGATCTTCTCCTTCGAACCCCATGTCAAAGCACCCCATGATGCCATTCGGCGTCTGTTTGATCATCTTCAGGCCAATCCTGAGAATGCGTCATCTCTCAATGCTGCGTATCCCAAGCGGGGCATCTTCAACACAGCTGCGATGAACAATACCACTTCTGATCAGAAATTCACTATCGATCTGTCGCCCGCTCGTAATGGACGTATTCCAGATGCCTTGCGCGAGAAATTGGCCGCTGATGGATTCAACGAGGTCCTGGACTTCTTCGAAGAGGTCAACAGCACCTATATCGCTCAAAATCATGTCCATTATGCACGAGCTCATCGGTGCTGATCTCACTCAAGTCCACAAGACTGGCAATCTCAACTACCGTCTATGCGACTACAACACGGATACTGCCGACCCGACAAGTGACAATGGCTGCGGTGCCCATACAGACTACGGCACCCTCACTGTTTATTATCTTCCAAGACGGAACATCAGGGCTTGAGATTGAAGACGCCGAGCAGCCTGGTCTTTGGGTTCCCGTTCCCGGCGATGCAACGGTTGTCCTTGCCGGTTGGTGCGCTGTAATTCACAGTGGGGGCAACATCCGAGCAACCCGTCATCGAGTCAGAAGAACTCCTGGTGTTCGAAGACTCAGCGCTGTTCTCTTTGTTGCCCCAGATGTCGAGGCCACTCTACGACCTCTCGAAAGTGTCGCGGTTGCCCGTCCCTTCACAAAGAAGGTCATGGATGGGCAATTGGATGCTGGGGAGTTCAAAGAGGTCATGGGCAAGAAGTGGAGACATTGTGAGGGCAATGAGAAGTCTGATGACGGGGATGACACGGAAACACAGGACAGTGAGATTGAAAGATTCATCTGGGCTTGACTGAATAAGTATGAGCTCCGTTAAATCTGATTGGGTCGCGAGTATCGGTATTAGACAATTCCACTTCGATCAATCCACCTCACGGCAAGACCGAGATCGCCGCATTCCTACATAGAGCTTGCAAGGATAACAGAGACGAACAGTTCCTTGATAATGTGCAATTTCACAATTCAAATTGCATAACTCAAGTTAACCGTTTTATGTCTTCTTAATTGGGTAGTATCAATGCAAATCTCTAGCTCTGATAGGTTAGTCCCCGAATGGTTCCTGGTTCTAGTCGACGTCGAACCGGCTTCTCCTCACCACCATCCTCACGTGTCAAACATCTGCCTCGGCATTGACATATTCAACTTCCTCAATCGGTATAAACAAATTCCCTCAAATCTGACAGATCAATTGCTCTCGTTCTAGGTATTACTCGACAACTCATGGTAAAATTAAAATCTCTGCTAAAATGGCCTCCCAAGAAAGGTAATTATGTCGTCGCGCGTCTATCACTCATTTCATTACTCGTCCCTCATTTCCCAATTAACCTCGTAGTTTGCTGTACTTGCTTATAGCCCTTGCAAAACTGTCGTCGATTCCTTGTACCAGTGCTTTTGCGTTTCCTTGGAGGTCTTTGGGAACCTTGGATATGACTGCTTCGGAAAAGTCCTGGCTCAGGGCGCGCTGTAGGTTGAGGTTGAGGAGGATGACAGGGCTGACTTGTAGTCTATCGAAGTTGGGTTTGGCGGCGATGATGGTGTTGATGGTGAGCTCGACGTCGGCGCTGAGCTCAGAAGTAGCCTTTGCGACTTGGAGGGTTTCCTCGAGAGATAGAGGCTCAGACTCGCGAGCGATCACAAAGCCCTTGTGGATCTCGGTGAGGAGCAGTGTTGACTTTGTAGTAATTGGCAGAGCACCGAGGAGGGTCTGAGGCCATGTTGCTACGGTCTTGTTGAGAGCAAGCGTGGCATTGGAGATGTTATCAATGGCTGTCGAGATAGAATCTCCAGATGCGAAGGCAGAGCCAGCGAGGGCAATCAAGGGGAGAAGGCTGAGACGCATATTGTCTGAGAGCTTGATGCAACGAGTAATCGATTGGTCAATTGAACTGCAAGATCTGCCAAGGAGAAACTCTTCGTGTCTCAAGAGCTACCCCGTCTTTAAGTACTGTCCATACCGACACTTCACATGCAAGTCTGGTTTTTTTCCTGCTGTGCCTTTCGGAAGGCTGCCATGGTGGCCTCGTGTAATCCCAACCAGTATCCCCGCATCTATCCTCAAAGAGGAACTCAGCCCCGTGTTGTCGACGACCAACGCCTATGAACCCATATCCCCATGGGGTAATCTCTTGGTAGTTCGCGGGCTTTTTGTCTAAGTGGCTGATCTTAACTTGGCAATCTACGATATTATGTGGAGAGAAATGTCAGGTTTGCAAGGATTGCGGCATGTTTGGCCGCGGCTGTCACGGTGAAAAACATGCGATGGAGTTGCATGTGTGCGGATTAGGGCTGTGACGAAATCTGAATTGAGGGATTATGACGACTAGAGTGACGAAATGGGTTGGTTACATTGGCTGAAGGATTCGTTGAAGCAAGGGTTCAGCGGCGATGTTGCTCAACCAACTTATGCAGCTATGGGTACTTGGGCCCGATGAAGCAATTGCCCGCGAGATTAAGCAATTGATTAAGTTGAATGTGGTGTTGCATCCCGATGGTGTGCTTCTTGGTCATGCGTGAGAGAAGAAGGGTTCTATACCGCATTGCTTATAACTAGATGGTTGACTTATGCTTATTATGCAGGGACTACCTGTGACTAGCCCAGACTATGTCTGCATCTCTCAGCTGACAGTCTCTGATTATCTGGGAGGGGAAGGCATAAGAGGTGAGTTGGCTCTATTGCCTTTGGAAATCCGGAATACCAAGGAAGTGATATTAACTTCTGAATGACTAACAGTCAGAAGACATTGACCTCATTGAAAGTCTGTTTAGACTTTGAAGAATCCCGTGTGTCCATGTTGAGCTGAACAGCCAGGTCGAATTTAAGATTTCTGGTGGTATCCATAGTGATTCTCTTTTATGCAAGATCGAGATTTTCCGTTGTATCCTGTGGCACAGAACATATGCCTTCCGTATTCGGGACGTCACAACTCGTGACTTTCATATCTGCCTGTGATCTTCGATGTCAGACCTTTCCTCGAGTTTTCTGATTGTGAACTCTAAAAGCTTCCTCGAAAACGCTTGGTTACAGTTGATATTCTCATTATGAGGGAAGAAATATATAAAGAATGATATAGAGGGCGTTCTTCTTACTGACACAGTAAGCCCAGTCAACTCACATGATACACGATCAATTTGAAAATTGAGAGGATTGATCATCCGTAAGACGATGGTTATTACGTCAATTAACAACAGAACACTTCGGCGAGTTTCCGTAATTCATAGTAAATTTGCATGTGAGCTGAAGGATCGGCCTGCATCTGCAGCTTATGTTGATTGTTGCTATGGTTCCCAAGGCAGAAGCTGTTGGTTGTCTATCAATCCGAAGATTGAGTGGGCAAGATGCAAGGATATTGGTAGCATCTTCCTCAACAAAATGAATTGCAGTTGCAGCCAGAAAGTTCCTCTTACAGGCCTTGAGTATTATTCATGTGAGCAGAAGTGAGCTCTCCCTCATCCTGACGCTGATGTGGCCGCTCCAGCTTCAAGGTCAGCCAACTCAGTAGACGATGCATACCTTCGTCAAAACAATGTCATATTCGATATTCATCAAACTTTAAAGCCATATAAAGATCTTGGACTGCTTCCGACCAGCACACTATTTAGCTATAGTAATAGGAACAATTACAAGATAATAGATAGAGGTTTTTAATACAGTGAGAAAATACCATCCTTTTCTAATACACCATGATGTGGCACCAGAAGCTTTCCCGAAACCTAATTGAATCTCGATATTGCATCAGATCATCAGTATAGAAAACGCGAGACCGTTGGCTTGTTTCTGTTAGGAGAGTCGATTAGGAAGTGTAGCCAACTTGACTCATGATTATTTCATGCTAAGAGCATACCAAGCTTGACGTATCGACAAAAACCTAAATTCGGCTTGTTCGCAGAGATAGTATTAGCTCTAGCTATCAATTAATAACTACATAAGGAGCATCTATGAACAGCTATGGAATTGTTAAACATGTCTTAGTTGTCAGATAAGATAAGAGACATAAGATTAGATTGCTTGTCGCTGATTAAATTATTGATAAGATTGCTGGGCTGTCATGTGCTAACTCACGTGAGACGTAATCACTCATCCGAGAGAACAACCTGGAATGGGCGACCGATTTCCGAAAAATCAACTTTGCTTCGGATGATTAAATGCGACAGTTTATTTTGAATAAACTACAGATACATAGCCCAGAAAACCGATAAACTACAAATGCCATTCACTGGGTAAGATCGTCCACCCCAGAATGAAGGTGACGCGTTCAGCTGGACCTCCAGTATACAAAGCTACCCTATAGCAGAAGGACAACGACACAGGATGTGAGATGTTTTATTAACAAAGTGCTACTGTGACAGAGGACGTAATAAAATCGTTCAAAGAAATTTATGGCACGGTCGGCACTAACCCGATCTGTTTATTGGCCGTTCTTGGGCATTTTAGGGTGTTGGCTGAGCAAGTATACTGATTGAGTTACCTTTGGAAGCTTAACATGAGGCTGCAAGACCCGAATATTATCGCAAACATATCGCGTCAGCCTGGTACCATGTACAGTAGGGAGCTGAACAATAAACAGACTTAGTAGTTGAATATAATTGAGTCTTGCCTCATCGCCGATGCCAATCTTCCAATGGTTATGACGGATGCGGCTATGATTCCTTTAGTGGTGTAGCCGAAGACAGAGGCCCGCAGCCAAAATGACGATGTTCTCGCGGAACCCCATCCTGGCCCAAGAAACGAGCCAATTGCTTCAGCCTTCACCAAGTCAAGCCCTGCCGGCAATCAATGCAAGTAGGTGGTCGGCCTCGGTATTATCAGATTCAATGCCACTAATCGTGGCAGTTGCACGTCAACAGACATAAGGTTAAACAGATGCTTCAAATCGTCGTCAAAGAAACTCTATTGCCAAGCTTTGCGTAGTGCACCGCCAAGTCAAAAAGGTTCGTTCACCCATCCATTAGCCCGAGTCGTCAATCGGAATCCGAGACCCATCTTTTCTTGACTTCAACTCCGCCTGCTTCGCTTGCCTCGAGGAGATTAAGTTTGTGCAACTCTTCATTTTCCCTTTCTCCATCTAATTCCGGAATTTCCTTGTCCTTGCTTGTTTATTTGCCGCGAGAGAAAAAACCTGATTGTCGCACGATCGGCGGAAAAACTAACCACCACACCAAAAATCAGTGGGGGTCCCTGGTTTCAGAAATTAACGGCCAAGATAAGTTATAACATTCGAAGTTGCTGACATGAGAATCACGCATTTTTGCCAATATGAAGCGGTGATTATATACATATCACCGGAATCCCGCAGCATGTAATACAAATAAATCCACCTCGCGTGGCTGTTATCTGCACCAAGACTCAGATCATGAACCAAAGCTCCAGGGGACGAACCCCCCTGTAAGGGAGGGCATTACAGGGGGAAACGTTCAGGCCAGTGGACGGTGCGAACGCCAAACCAGCGCTTCACAAATGACGCAACAACTGAATGAGACACTTGTCCGTGGTCAGGGGACAGGCATTGCCCGGCAGCTTGACTCGTTTGGGGCTAGACACCTCTGTAACCTTAAACCCTTCAAGCTTTTTGGCCTCTTTTTATCGAGGCCAAGGGGTGAAAGATTGAGTTTTTGAGTTTCGCAGAGCATGAAATGTCGCTTGAGCGTTGCATTTCGAGCCGGAAGGAAGGTAATTTTCCCGTTCCTTTAGGATTTATGCTCCATCACATTCCAATTGGCAATAAACATTGCAAACGGTGCGTTGGGAATTTCCACCCGCCAGCCACCCCAGTTTCTAGCGCTCTTAGCCAAGAGATTAAACCGTCAGGGGTGAGCGCTGGAGCTGTAAGGGGCAGACGCACCGCGAGAGAAAGGCCGTGAACCATTGGTTCAATGGCCGTCTTTTCTCTTTCATCAAAGGACTTGGCATTCTATTGATGGGTTCTAGACCCCCACAACCTTAAAAGAAACAACCTTAAAACAGCAAAGTCAGTATCACGAGGTAAGGGGCAACACCACGCCGTTGCAAAACTATTGACGATAATTCACCATGCTAAAATACAGAGCCATTACCTTTGTAACCGCATGCAGACTTGTTTATCTGGCGCTGCTGCCGCTGGTCTCACGCTGATCCTCTTTCTCACACAGTTTTCTCCACCCAAGTGACACCCTGACATGGTCCTCTTCCAAGCCTTCTGTGGAACCCTGCGAGGGTCATGCCAGCTTTTGCTTTGCCGATCAGGGGCACCCGTAGGGCAATTGTAGGCCTGTAGACTCCAGAAGTCTTACGCGTACTGTTACCTCATATACTCCTCACAGTAGATCTCTTTTTTTGGTTTCAAAGTGATCGTCTGTCTCTCGCGCAAACGCAAACCCAAGTCAAGTCCCTCCTTACGCTTGTCTTGAACCTTCCATTGTTTAATGTCTCAGTTTTTCTTGTTTTTGGCTCTCTGCATTCCAAAACTCTGTCTCTCGCTCCCTTGAACAAAACTCCACCAACATCCATCGCCATTTTGGATTTTTCTTCATTCAGATGGTTTCATCTTCAACATAACGAATTCTTTTCCGTTTTCTTTTTTCGTCATTCGCTCGCCGCGCTAGGCGCCACAAACAATCGTTTCTCATCACTAAAAATAAACCGTCACAATGGGCGCAGCACTCCCAACTTCCGGTGTTGCGCTTAACCGGGTGCTGGCCCTCGGCTTGACGCTGGTCGTCATTCTGGGCATCGCCATCAATCAGCTTCAACTAAGCGATGATCCGTATCGCTGTAAGGCTCTGCTTAATGATGGAACCTGGTTGAATACTCCTGCAGAGAATGGAAGCAGAGCGCCTTTCACGAACTGGCAGCCGCCTGGATGTATGATTCACAAGTACAAGAAGGAGGAGATTGAGGAGTGCATGGAGGGACGACACATGCTTTTTGTTGGTGACTCTACGACTCGACAGGTCTTTTATGGCATGGCTCGTCTGGTAAGTTGATGATTTAATTATAGAACGATGTCGAATTCTTTTGTCGATGGTTGATTGCATGACCAACGGTCGCTAACACCACGACAGCTTGACGCAGAAAAGGCCGAGGAAGTACGAGCAAACAGCAAAAAGCACGAAAGCCACGATGTAGAATTCGGCGGTATTCGACTCAAGGAAATCTGGGATCCATTTGGCAACGACAGTGCCGTCGCCCGCAATGAACTCACCCTCTACCACGAAGAGAGGATCAACGAGGTCCCCATCGAAGAGCAAAAAGGTCCCGCCCTGGCCTTCATGGGAATGGGAGTTTGGTTCGCCGCCCGCTTCGAAAAGGAGGAGTCTATCCCCATGTTCAAGGCTGCTTTTAACAACGTGTCCGAACTCGCTTCCAACATGGACTTTGAGCCTTTCGGTAGCCGGCCCATGGACCCTCGCGATGGAATTGGCAACGAAGTGTTCTGGGCACCAATTGCCCCGCCCTTCTACGACATGCTGCCCGAGTACCGCAAGACTGGTGTCGCGTCGCAACCTGGTGAGGTTGAGGCCATTGATGAGTTCCTCAAGGCACAGGAGGAGGAGTCGGGTATTCCCATGTTGTGGTCTTTCCCCGCTTTGTCGTATGACCAGCAGGATGCTATCGGCGACCACGAGAATGGCTTCCATGTCACCGACAGCGTCGCTGAGATGAAGGCCCAGATCCTTCTCAATCTTCGATGCAATGCCAAGCTCGATATTCAGAAGTCTTATCCTTATGACCGCACTTGCTGCACTGACTATGGCCAGAAGTCATTTGTCCAGATTATTCTTGTCACTCTCGGTATCCTCTACGTCGGCGGTGCAGCCATCACCGAGATTATTGCGCTTCGATCCAGCGAGGCTCCCAAGTGGGCCATCTTCAACCTCGATGTCGCTACCTTTGTTACCGGCCTGCTTGCTTGCTACTGGGCCGACCGAACACAGTCTTTCGCCAAGGGTTCAAAGGAGTACAACATGTTCGACTTCAACCTCATGTCTGCTCTCTGCTTCATCGTTGGCTTTGCCTTCATGACCAAGTCCAAGCCTCCACCTCCTCGACCTGGCGCCGCTCCCGCTGCTGCCCCCGCGACTCTCGACGATGCGAAGCCTTTGTCGCGTGACCAGACTGATGAGTGGAAGGGTTGGATGCAAGCTCTTATCCTGGTCTATCACTGGACCGGTGCATCCCGCGACCTGAACATCTACGTTGGCATCCGTCTCCTCGTCGCCGCCTATCTCTTCCAGACTGGTTTCGGTCACGGTGTTTTCTTCAGCTCCAAGAAGGACTTCTCCTTCAAGCGTGTCGCCGCGGTTCTTCTCCGTCTCAACCTTCTCAGCTGCGCGTTGCCCTTCTTCATGAACACCGACTACATGTTCTACTACTTCGCTCCCCTCGTCAGTTTCTGGTTCCTCATAATTTATGCCCTCTTTGCGATTGGCCAGAAGTACAACGACAACACTTGGGCGCTCATGGGTAAGATTGCTGTTTCAGCTGCTATCTGCCCTGGAGCTATGCTCTGGACACCTGTTCTGCAGTGGGTTTTTGATGCTTTGAACATGGTCTTCCGAATTGAGTGGGATCTTCATGAGTGGCAGTTCCGTCTTGGTCTCGATGGTCTAATCGTCTACGTCGGCATCATTATGGGTGTCGCTTCCGTCCGAACAAAGCTCTACAACAAGATCCTTACCCAATCTTATGGTCTGGCTGGTATCGCTGGTATTCTCTCCATCCCTCTATACTGGTGGATTGCCGTCAGTAGCGCCGAGACCAAGCAGGATTACACTGCCCTTCATCCCGTCTTCTCTTTCATTCCTATCATGGGCTTCATCGCTGCTCGCAACATGTTCCCCGCCGCCCGCACATGGTACTCTCGAACTTTTGCCTGGATCGGCCGATGCTCCCTCGAGACTTTCACTCTTCAATTCCACATCCTGCTCGCTGCCGATACCAAGGGTCTTCTCCTTCTCGACATCTTCCAGGGTGACGGCAGCCTCCTCTGTGACCGCTGGAGGTCTCTGATCATCATCGTTCCCGTTTTCTTGTGGGTCAGCTCCCGCGTTGCCGATGCTACTGGTGGAATGGTCAAGCTCCTGACCAAGGACTGGGCTGCCCAAGAGCAAGAGGAGCAGTACGATGTTGAGGCCAAGGCTGATGCTGAACCTCTCATGAGTGGCAACATGCTCTCTGGCTTCAGCATGGCACCATTCACGCGACACATGCCCTCCAAGTCCTCATGGGCCAACAACCTCAAGCTCCGCATGCTTGGCCTCTTTGTCCTACTCTGGGCACTCAACCTGGTAAGTTCCTCTACACTCTCTTTCACCGAAGACCATCTCTAACATCTCTCAGTTCTATTAGACATTCATCACACAGCATCGGCATTAAAACAAGGCGTTTGGAGTAGCGAGTAGCATTGACGACGAGTCAGCTGGGGAACATTCATTCATTCCGCACGAATCGCGTGTTGACTTTTCTTTTTCACGGGCGCATTCACCCGACTTTTGGACATGACATACATTCAAGGCTTATCAATAAGCTTATGCATAAGCCTACACGGCACGACATAGATTTTATATCGTAATGATAGATTTTAACATGATTCAACAATTGCCATCTCTGTATACTAACAATGACTCGATCCTAATTCCGATGACCGATCTGAGCGCTGGGATGCGACTTGTGTGATTGGATGATTGATATTTCAAACAAGGCTGACAGTGCATTCGCGGAGTTTTGGATGAGGTGAAACAGGGCGGGTAATTCTCTGACTCGGCACAGGCAATTCATGCGTCGAGACGGTCGTGTGATTGTTGCGGATGTATTGCTTGTTTCATCTAAAATTGGATGCACTTCGCTTGGGCCCAAGTTCCATTCGAAGGAACATTGATCCATCTCACGCGGCTGTATTGGATTAAATCCTTGTAGACGGTCATTCATGGCGAAGGAATGCACTTTGGTGCAGGCTTGTCAGAATCTGACAATCAGATTTGGTCAAGCGACATTGTCTGCAACCTCTCATTGCAACTTCGTTGTCATGTACACGATGATGTATTGGACCAATTTCCCATGTCAAATCATCCGTTCAAGCACGGTGATGCTTCTGGTGCTTATCAGGTGCTGTGATATTTTTCTCTTCAAATTCCAGTCGGGAAAGAAGACACTTAGTGACTTAACAGATCTATGCGCATATTACCAACCGCTTTGTTAGCGCTTTAACACTTGTCCTTCCACCATAATGACGTTGGTATGAACCTCAGAATCGTGGACACTAAATGAGCCAATATCATAGAGATTCTTTGCAAATCATAGATAGTGGTCGGGACATCTATGACTCTACATTGCAGCAAATATTACATGTGCTTTGCTTGATTTCACATTTCTCCTGGGGAGTCTTTCATTAACATCATACATCCAAAATAATGCCTAGCAATATTCATCATTTACTAACTTACAAGTATTAACCATGGATTTCTGCGTCCCTTCAGCACTGTCCAGTACGACAAAGTCAGATATCCCAACTGTCGGCACCAGCTCCACCGTTGATGCAGAGGTAGCAAATTTTCTGAAGCAGAACCCAAACCTGCACCTGGGTGGACAAGACGACTTCACCGTAGAGCGGGCAGAATATCTTAAGACTTTTTGCTTCGACGCTTTGGAACCTGATGAACAAGCACCGATTGGAGATGCGAGTTCTCCGCTGGCCGTAGCCCGCACGGCACAATTCAAATTCGTCGCTTCTACCCAAAATCAGGCCATGACCTGCGCAAGAAGAATGAATCCGCTGCCTTGATCTACTTTCATGGAGGAGGCTACACTGTTGGCAGCGTGGATGAATTTGAGAACGGCCTGAGAATCGTTGCTGAAGAAAGTGGCGCTGTCATTATTGGAGTCGAGTATCGACTTGCACCAGAATGGAGCTTCCCGGTCCAGCTGGATGAGTATGATGCAGTAATCTGTTGGTTTAAAGGGAATGAAGGGAAGAAACGAGGTATTAGCTCTGAGAAGATTTGTGGGGGCGGTGACTCTGCTGGTGGAAACATGACTGCCGCTGTCACTCTACGAAGAAAAGATAACGGAAAGAAACCATTGAAGGCACAGCTCCTTTTGTACCCTGAAGCAAGACTTCCCTTCGACACAAAGCGGCTATCGAGAACAATTACGGCTACTATCTAGAATGTAAGTCTTCCAACAACGCAAACGCCCTGAAGCTAACAGTGCGGGATGTAAGCAATGGCATCTTCTCTTTCACGGATCACTACGCCACTCGCGGCGCACCGTAAGTCACCGCTATATCTCACCGGGAATGCAGAAGCCAGAAAACTTGAAGGACCCACCACCTGCGGCTGTTTTCACCTGTGTCTTTGACCCTCTCCGGGATGTTGGGGTAGAATATGCGCATCTTCTTCAGGAAGCGGAAAACACTGTCCATTGGAGCCATTTTGACAGCTTGACACATGGGTTTCTGCAGTTTGCGCCGTGGAGTGAAGAGGCAATGAAGGCTACGAAGTTGGTTGGGGTGGAGTTGAAGAGCTTGACTGAGAACCAAGTGTTTGGGTATCCTATCCCCCCCCAAACCAGTTAAATGAGTTTGTGTACATAATATATTCCATTGAAGCACATTAAACATCGGCCCAACTTATCTAGCATTCATCCTTTGACCCAGTCCTTGAATTTTGACCATCTCTTCTTCTTACCCTCACTCGTCGTGTTACTTGTATCTAAAATCTGCTGAACACTCCCCGCGTCTTGGCTGGAAGGGCCAACACTTGGGACAGTAATGGGTGTCGTCTGACTCACAATTGAGCCAGTTGCTGAAGTCTGGTGGTTGGTTGGAATTTCAGCCGCACTTTGAGATTTCTGGGCATGGGCTGAAGCTGTCTGAAACGAGGCATATTAGAGCATTACTAGACAAGATCATAGACAGCCACTGTTTGACAGAGTATATTTACGAAATAAGGTAGCTGATAACTCAATTTACACTACTCGGGGCGGTTGGTATACAGCCCTTGCATAAATCGACCATTGCCATACATCTCCTCCATTTGCGCATACCACTCATCATTATCCGAATCTGGCTGCGGGATTCCATCTGATTCATCGTCTAAGTTCGAGTCAATCAAACATTGTACAATAAGCTTCATCTGAATCACTCTCACCATCTGAATCAGAAACAAACTCATATGGGTTCTCGGTTTCGATTCTCTCCTGGTCGTCTGGAAGCATGAGTTTGGGACGATCCAGGGCAAAAGGACCCTGTGCTCCCTTGATTGCTTTTTCGCTGATGGAGCCACCGCTTCGCTCGATTGAGATTAGAGGACGGAATATTATGGAGACGATGTAGTAGTCAAGTTTGTTGGGTTCTGTTTCATCTCGGATCCAGCGTTGACCGTGCCAAGTGCTTGAACCGCTCCATCGGCTGACTTTTCGATTGGCATCTGAGGTATCCGCGTAGAGAATAACACCATCGGGTCGTTTGAAGAACCATTCATCAACCATCTGCTTAGCAATCTTGTCGATCTGGTCCTTCTTCCGCTCCAACGACTCTAGTTCAATGCAAAATTGAGTCGTGCTTGGAGTTAGCACTTCACAAACGCCCTCGATCCAGTTTCCCTCAAAGTGCAGAGGCTCGTCATTTTCCCAATTCCACCAATCAGTGTGACGAATGGTGAGCGTTACGGTGCGAGGAGCCAGGTGAGGTGTATACAAGATATCTTGAAGACTGCCATCCTCAAGTCTGTACATCTGAGCGAAGACTCTCAATCTCTCAATCTCGACATTGTCTGTGCCGAGAGATCTGGCAATCTTTGCGAGCATAGGTCCCAGGCGTGGGGGGGCTTTACCAGGTGGAGGGGCACGATCTTCACCTGTTGCCCATTCTGTGTGTTCTCGTAGGAGAAATGGCTTGAACCAAGTTTCGCGGTAAATAGCGCGACATGTGCGAAGAAGTCTGGTATCGGTTGATTGAGCTGCTAAGTAAGAAGGGCGAGTGTAGCATGTGTTTTCTCTGAACTTCTTGGTTGGTGTCGGGTCTGGGTGATCCGTGAGGACATAAGAGAAGATGCTGTCTCTGACTTCTCCTGGGAGCTTGGAAAAGAGAGGACTTTCCTCTTGAGGTATTGGAGTCTTGGAGAGAATATCTTGACGAAGAAGCGTCGCCATTTTGGTTGATGGATAGACGTCCAAGGATTGAAAGAGTAAGGTGAGCTTATCTCGAACTGAGTTGTGTATTTATCGCATGCTCCAAGTTAGGCAGCCGTGCGGGGCTGATCTGGGCTACCCAGTCAGCCAAGAGAATGAGGCTATGTTGCCTAAGCCAACAGACATTTCACAGCAGAGCCAACAGTATCTGTCTGATTGCGACGAATAAGAATAATCAGTCTGCGGCTCAGCCCGCGTGCTATAACATGAGTACCTCTCTGAATCCACTCCGAGTGGGCTGACATTTATGGCAATAAGGGTCAAGTATTCGGAACATTATCTATTCAGAAATCTCCGAGATATATAGGCTATTCATTTATCATTCCACATTTAGTATCCATAAAGGTTGACCTGCTCAGAGGTGGAAGCGCGGATGCGGCGGTTCTCGCGGATTAGGAGGACGCGAATAGCCCAGGCACAAGCAATTGAGCACAGAGCAAAGCCAGCAGAGGCACCGAAACCAATTCCATATCGAGGAGAGTCACTCTTGGGCCAGAGGTAAGCACCATAGATGTAACCGATCTATGCCAAAGTCAGTATGTGTGTTGAAGGAAGAGAGTCGGGTATCTTACCTGTCCACCGACGTTGGTCATGGCCAAGACAACAGCCTTCTTCTCCTTAGTCTGAGACAGAGTAGAAGATGCCCACCCGATGATAACAGAGTTGACAGCATAAGCGCCCACGGGGAAGATAAAGCAGGCGACGTAGCGAGCAGCAGTGTTGAGAGTGCAGGCAGCCAGGATGAAGCCAGCAATGGCAATAGCTAGACCAGCAGTGATGTGCCAAGTACGCTCGTGCAAGCGTCCAGAGTTCCAACCGAAGAGAATACCAGCAGCACCAGCGAAGATGAAGGGAGGGCAGGTCATGACGAGGGTGATGGTAGTGTTGAAGCCGAGAGTCTTGATGACGCTATAGCACTGTTAGTTTTGGACATGCAAAGCAAGCCAGGATCACTTACGTAGGGAAGAAAGAGTTGAAAGAGCATGCAGACAGATGGAAGTTCTGCATGAGGCAGAAAAGCCATGTTCGCTTATCAGCGCAAGCTTGCTTCAAGCCCTCCCATGATGAGCCGCCCTCCTCAGAGTCATAGGCCTTGTCCTTCTCCATGCGCTCATGAGCAAGCTGCTTCTCGCGTTCGTTGAGCCAGCGGGTGGTGAGGGGAGTGTTGGGAAGCATGAAGAAACCGACGATGGCGACAAGAGCGGTGGCAGCACCCTCGATGATGAAGAGCCTAGGAACTGTTAGACGGTTTCGAAGATTGGGACTGAGGAACTCACCATCGCCATCCTGCAAGACCAGCCTTTCCATCAAGACCTGCAAAAATACCAGCGGCAATGAGACCCGAGAAACCAGTGGCGAGAATCTGAGCGCAGTAAAGCAGGGCAATTCGAGCAGCGACCTCTGTTCACTATTAGAATCCTGTATGCTTCGCAAAGATGAGAAACTGACCTTTGCGGGTATAGAAGATGGAGAGCATGTAAGTGGCACCAGGGTAGAAAGGAGCCTCAGTGATACCCAGGAAGAATCGGCAAGCGACCAATCCACCATAGTTCTTAACAAGAGCAGTGCAAGCAGAGACAGCAGCCCAAACCAACATCCAAGCACTCATGTACATACCAGGCTTAACCTTGGTGATCAACATGTTGCTAGGAACCTGCATAAGAACGTAACCAACAAACAAGCTAAAATAATCAGCATTGCTTCAGAATCTCGGTATTCGCGTCAACGTACATCGAAACAGTCGTATTGAACTCTGTACCAGTCATGTTGAGATCCTCCTCCAAGTTATTCAATCGTGCCTGAGCAATGGCATTTCGATCGACGTAGTTGAGGAAATACATAACACAAAGACAAGGCTGTAAAATGTCAGTAACACAGCCAAGCATTGGCGCGTTGATCACTCACCATGATCCAGAGATCAAGCTTCTTGACAAGGCGGATCTCTTCAGGGTCTGTCTTCTTGGCAGTACCCGTCCAATCTCGCTCCTCCACCTGCGAAGGCTTCTCATCCTCGAGAATGCTATTAACATGCGCGAACTCGGGCGCCTCACGCTTCTGGTCAGTAGTGGTAGCCATTATTGCTGTTCTTCGAGTGTTGGTGAGTTTGGCGTGAAGAAGAAAATTTTCGTAGAGGTCTAGGCTCTCTATATTTATGGGCTCTGGACTAGACTGGGTCGGTGATCTTCGTGGGGGGTGGGGAAAGAACCTGGGGAAGTGGTGGTAAACCTGGGGTAAATGGCCTTCGGAGACAGAAGTAGAGGCCGGGAGCAGAAAAGGTTACTTTCAAGGTTATTTGGGAGGGGACAGTGACGCTAATGACAACTGTGTAGTGTCCCATTTGGTGCTGCATGGGGTTATGGCTGTGGAGATGGTGAGTGAGACTGGGGAACCATTAGATTTGATGGGATGACCGATGCGACTCTAGATCCAGTCAAGAATGAGGAGATGGTCATAGCGATTATTGCATGTCAATACGCGCATTCGACCCGAGAAGACGGTAATTGTCAAGATACACGAGTGTGTTTTCTCTGTTATCAATCTGGCTTCAATCTCGTTGCCATTATCACTTGTCCGCTGTGCATGAACTCCAAATTTGCAGATCCAGGCTACGAGTCATGTTATCTTAGGCATAAAGTATGCTTAATCCAGCCCTGGATCATCCTCTCAATGACACCACCATCACTTCAAACCTCCGAGGACAACATCATCGGCGCTACAAAACGGCATCTCTCCGTCACAGATCCAAGTCAAGATGAGATAAGAGTCAAACAGCTTTCACGGAGTCTAATTTTTACTCCGTGCAATTGTTCTCAGAGAAATGCTATCACGCAAAATGGTTCGGACACTGATCAAGCTCCGATGGTTCACGTGTCGCGCTACGTGCCGGAAAAGGGTCGAGACTCCAAGAGATAAAACACCAGGCTTGGCTAGATCTCTTGGGGTTTTTATCTGGAGACTTCTTGGCTGCATGGAGTTGGTGGGGTTCTGGGGTAGATTGGATGATATTTATAAGCGGTATTTCATTATCTGATACCGATGGTTGAGAGATGAATGCATGGGTTATTTGTTGAGGCTGCTCCGACCCCAGTACCCAGTATTGAGCCACCATTCTTCTCTAATACCTAATATCTGCCCTAATTGACGAATGGTGAAATGACTGCCCTCTGTTACTTTTCTATCAGAAAGGGCGGTTTTGGAGTCATAGCAAAGCTTGGCGATAACAGTCACGGCATCACGACCCGGCCTGGCAGAGCGGAAAACGGTTACCGGAAATGCGAAGTCAGAGACTCTATCACCTGGACTACCACCATAATGATATAAAAGAGTGGAAACTTGATATAATATCTTTCTATAATTTGAGAAGAAATAGACAACAATACAATTGCAGTTCGAGGCCGAAGAGTCCTTTTCGTGGGCTGTTCAGTGGCAGGCTTTTCCGTATTTTCGTAACCTCGCGTAATTGTACGGCAAAGGCGCCAGGAAACCCGCTGCAATAGACACCAAAGCAGCAAGCCAGAATGATGGATCATCAAGAGCAACTTGTCCTCCCGTTAAATAGTAGTCCACGGCGTTTTCGGCCGCTTCCATGGTCAACATAGAGATGAGACTCATGCCAACCGCTGTTCTCATCGCAGTAAGCCATGATAAGCCGTCACGCCCAACGCGTAGCATGACCGTCTCCAGGAGAATGGACGTTGAAACACCAGAGGCCACTAGCTGGTCAGTGAGGTCTTGATTGAAGTTGATTGGTACTTACTTGAGATTGGCATCACTATTCCCATACTTAGCCCCGGGTAATAGGCTTGGAGAAACCACATGGCTGCAAAGTCACCGATTGTACATCCGATGAGGCATCGCGTAGTGTTGACAGAAGCCCTCTTCCATGTCGGTCTTGAGTTCCAAAAAGCCTTGGATGTCATTGATACTGGGGCTGGAGTCTGTGAGGCATTCTTTTTGCTACAGCATTGGCTGCTCGTCCGGTTCTTTTGTAGACCGATACTGATTGAGGTAGCGGTCATGGCGGTGGCGTGACGCGATTGACGGGTTCCGAAAAAGCCTGCGCGGCGCGCACAAAGTCGACTGGAGTTCATCAGCCCATTCATATTTTACTTGTTACATATAGACGAGTAATATGAATTGAGAAGAAGGAAGAATCGTTCTTTGATCGGAATAGACGGGATTGTTGTTTTGTTCGCCACGCCGCGAAATTGACTCAGTCCCACTTAAAATGCTCACTCACCAACAAGAGTCATCGATGGTTGACGACAAGCTATCACTCAGTAAAACTCACGATAAATGAGAGTATATTTTGGGGCCCACAGTTTATAGTCGATGAATTTCATTAATCGGAAATAAATATCTGATTGGCGATGTTCTCAGAAAGTCCTATCTGTTTTCCGGAGCACGCCGCAATATGCCTGGGCGCGGTTCATGTAAGTCACAAATTGTAACGAATCCAATCTGGGAGCTGAAAGGAAGTTTGGGGCCTGCATCTAAAGCCGTGAATTCATTTCAAGTTCACAGGCTGGTAGAACATCAATCCAAGTCATAGCTTCGGAGAGACCCTGAATTGAGTCCATCGACAAGATGCTGGAACAGACAGCCCTTTTCGCTATTCTTGTTAGCCAGCATGACAGAGGTAAGCCCAAGAGCAAGATTACCACCTAAATGGGTCTCTTTACCTCACATTTCAGGCTGTGTATCCATCTGAAGGGGCAATACTCAATTGTTATCACAAGGTTCGATCGTATATGCAAGGCCTCAGCTGAAAAGCATCAGCCCCAAAACGTGCCTTGGCGGAGCCGATAGCGGAACAAGCACCGCGACAGGCTTGAGCCCAACATTGATTTGTCATCGGATCAAGCTTCAACTTTGTCACGATCATGCATTTATTCCTTCGACTGCAAAAATACTTTCGCCCTTGATTTGTAAGCTGTGTTAGTCTTATACTGGTCCTTCTCTTGAATTTCCTGTATTCAGAAGTACCTCTCATAACACCAAAAGCCACACAAGATTCGAGATCCGCCAATAATGGAGGGCAGGAAGATTGTGATTTCAGGTGCAGGCCGTGGCCTTGGTCGTGCTTTGGCCATTGTCGCTGCTTCTCAGGGGGCTACTCCAATATTGCTGGGAAGATCTCATAGCGCATTGCAAGAAGTCAGTGAGACAATCAAGAGCGATAACGGTGCAACGGCATACCCTATTATATGCGATCTTTCAAATCCTACCTCCATGGCTCAAGCAACGAAGGAGATAGCCGAATCGCATCCTGATATCGATATCTTGGTCAACAATGGTGCTCACTTCACTGAAGGCAGCTTCGACAAGCAAACCGATGATCAGATCGCATCAATCGTCGGCTCAGCAGTCACTGGCACCATGATCTTGACACGACAGCTTCTGCCGTTACTGAAACAACGACCACGTGCAGACATTCATAACATTGTATCAATGTCTGGTCTTCAGTATGCAAGACTCACTGGTGCTTCACTTCCTTTCAGAGCGGCAAAGGCTGCTCAGGATGGTTTCACTCAGGGATTAGTGGAGGAGCTGAAAGGTACATCTGTACGCGTCACTTCAGTTTACCCTGGGTTGATTGAAGATTTATCCCCTGCCAGTGCCGAATGGGAGAAGCAGCGTGGTCCTGATGAAGGCATGACGAATAAGAACGTCGTTGACACGATCATCTACGCACTATCGGCTCCCCCGAACGTGTCATTACGCTCTATCGTTATCGAGCGAACTCACTCAGACTTCCTGATTTGATTGGTCGAGAGTACAGATATCCAGAAGAAACGAGTCTAATAGCTTCAGAGGGATGTACGACAGGGAGAAAACTTATAGTTGTGGATGTGATTTGTTCAGGATCATGTTATTGCGATAGAGGTCACTAGCAATGGATTTACCGTTCACCTTTGATTCAGAAGCTCTTGATATCTTGATAGCTACAGTTTTGATGTAGTAACACTAAACTACTGACAGTCCCTGGAAGGGCTCTGGTGTGATTGTAATGTCAACCCTCTTCTCCCACGGCTTCCGTTCCCTTCTCGCTTCAAACCCAGACTTGGATGATATGCCCGGTGTTGATATCGAGGAGTAGCCGGACTTGCGACTAGGCCTGGCAGGTTCTTCACCTAGCTGAGAAAGGAGATCTTTCTCCAGCCCTTCATAAAGCCCTGATGAATCTTGAAATTTGAATGCTTTGGAGAACAATGCGGTGACCGTGTCCCACTTATACCCAAAAATGAGAGCCAGACTAGATACTGCCAGAGTCAATGGTATTGCAGATGACCAAAATATCCTCTGGTCCCTGTCTAACTCCCGGACATCTGCAGTGTTCATCCCAAAGAAACTCGTAACAAAAGAGCTGCACATTATCAGATCAGTTGGCACCTGCGTTTCTGACGTGGAATACTCACAGTGGAAGAAAGAACAATGCGACAAAGGTAAACACCCTGATGGCCTTCCCATGACCCTCGTCGAGCACCTCTATCATCTGTTTCATGTCGTGTCTTGTGGCGGTCAAAATCCTCTGCATCATCTCAAGTGTTTTTCCATCTGCCTCTTTTCCAGAGCATACATATCCTTGCGGTGTTCCAGATCTACCCAATCTGTAGTGTTGTGTGTGAAGAAGTCGGGGCTCAGAACCTGATTATAGGTCTTAACCGTACGAGTTTGAACTTCGGAAATGATCCGCAAAGCCTCCATTTCCTCTTCGAGAGCAGAGATTTCAAGAAATCTGCGACGTCTCGGGTCTCGCACTGCAACGAATCGAAGAGCTGTAGACTTGACACGGCACTGCTCGACAACATCCAGCTTCTTATTCGTCTTCTGATAGATGGGACGGGCATGAAGATTCCGTAGTAGCGTTATAAGTAGAAATTCCAGGCCTATTGGTGAGATAGTGAGGCGATCTATATCGCTCTGGGTCTCGCTAGCCATCATCACATCCCTTCTGGCGTCCTCAAGCTGGCTCTTCAACTTCGATTCTACGTTGTGAGCTCGACCGCGTATAGCAATATTCTGCCATATCCAGTACCTATCAGAGCGTATGAGATTCTGTAGACGCTCACAATTCAACCCCGAGATCTCTTTCGCAGTGACATTCAATAAGGTGGTGATAGATTCATAGAAAGATACGAGGCTTCCGGGGACGCGTGTTTCTTTGCCACTGACGGACAGATTAATTTTTCTTGTTCTTTCTCGAACATCAGTCAAGGTATCGATGAGTTTGGACGAGACAGACACGATATTGTCCTTTGGGTTAAAACTGAAGGGTTGCCACTGAACCCATCCAACGCACGGGTCTTTGAATATGGAGCGAGCTTCAGGGGTGCAATGGATATGATACCTGTGTAAATGACACAAAGCACCATATAGAGAAGAATACACTGTATCTTTGTTGCAATCATCACAGCCATGGGGTGGCAATGCCTTCATGTATATGCATGTAAACCCAGAGCCATGACTTGGAAGTTCCTTCGAAATCGTGAAAGAATATTGCTGACCAAATGGATTCTTTGGCAGTGACATCTTTGGTAGTGATGAAAGATATATCTGCTGCACAATGTCATCAGCAAGTGATCATTCAGAGTCAGAATGTTTCAAGGCTTACACACATGATCACATCCAGGGCACCCCAATAAGCACTTATAGCTGGGAAAAGAAACCAATCGGCTGGTGGAAAAAAGAGATCAAAAATGTCCTCTGACAGTTTCAGAAGAGTCGCAAGAATTTCAGACTTGGGGTTCCGGTGTATACGGTTTGAGCTGGGAGGTCCTGGATACGGAAGGGCGTCTTTCGCTTCTTGTTTTTGTGAGGTTACGCCCTCATCTATAACTGATCGGAGAACCCGGCATTTGTAAGCCACTTCACCCCTCGTGCTGGATGTATGCAGGATATCAGGAATACCAACCTCCTTAAGAGATTGATCAATCGTGGCTAGTAACCGACTGAGAGCCATTGCACCATCTGTTTGCGAACCTTTGCAAGCCTTCTGGGCCAGAGGCCAGGCAAATAATGGTATGCCATTCTTTGTCGACGTGTTGAAAGACATCGAGAGCAATGTTGGTGGCACTGGCGGCATGTTAAGGGCAAGTGTCCCTTCACCAATACTTCGACAAAGCATCTCTTTTGCCGCTTCCATAGTTCTTTCAAAATCTTCTCTATCGAAACTCTCTTCCTCAAAAGCCTCTCCGATATCCCGATTCTCAATACCGGCGGAAGCTTCCAAATCTGGACCCCGAATAACCTCGCTTAAAATCTCACTGGAGATTCTCACCAATTTGAAAGAGTGCCTTTCAACCTCGCCTGAGGACAAGTAGTCCAACCAAGTTGTACAATCAACACCGTGCTCGTGCTCGTCAACTAGCTGGAAATCATTGATATCAAGACCATAATTGCCTGACGATTCGAAGATATGTTGCCTGAAATCCTGCTTGTGGTCAACGGGGAATCTGGCCATGCACGCAGAATATACGAACCTTGTAGGAGCAATCTTCTTCGATAATGATATAGCATTCGGGACTTGTTATTCGGACATTATAAACGACTGGCCAATTACCGTCTAGTTCGCTGCTGATCCCGATACTGACGGTGTCGGCCGCCATCTGCTCCAACGATAACACAGAGCAGCTGATCAGGGTTCCTATGAAACAATCAGGTCACTAGAAAGTACTTATATGTTGTTAAACGTACCTCTGCCAATCAGAAAGAACAGAGCCTCAGGGATATCTAAAATACACGAAAGATTGGATATTCGGTCTCCAGAAGTTGGGTTGCTGAATGATGTTTCTTGAATGCCCCCAGTTTCAACGCCATAAAGAAACTCAAGCAGTGTTCTGGTGAGTTTCCGTGCTGTGAGATCTTCTTGTTCCATCTCTGGCAGCGCGAGAAAAGGAGTCGAGAGAAAAATGACAGGCTCAGTGTCTTGAGTTCCATCAAGGTCGCTCTGCCCAGAGGCCCATATGTTACGGCCCACCTGCCTTACAACAGTCCCCGTGTTGAGCTGTAGACTCTTCCCGTCGTATTCAGTGTGTCTCTAGATCACCTCCCGTATAACACTTAATACAACACATTTGAGTTGAAGGCATATAAATGGGGAGTCGGTCACAAGACTCTATTGTAGTTAGTAGAGATTCAAGGGACAATATACAAAAAGGGCATGTTGATAGGAAAGGAAAGCGCGCCTCTAAAGTTTCCAAGTCTGTTTCAACACCTTGTAAGTGGCTGAATTATTGGTAATATATCAGCATAGGGGTAATGAAGAGCTTTATACGGCAATTGACACCTACAGCCACCTCATCCTCACGATGCCAACCCTGTCCTTCGGTTCTGAACTGCACCTTAGAATGGTTTTATGAGATCTTGCGTGTTCATGATAACAATCCGCACTACGGATCGTTATCAATCTCATCGAAACCTCTCCATCTTGAAGGAGCGACCTCGGGCTGACCCAGGCATTGTATGTATCTGAGGGTCTTCGTTCTTCTCGAGAGCCACGCGCTTGTTTCTTAATATGACCCAAGGAAAGTGTGTCCGAAACCAAAAGCTGATTTACCCATGGCCGCATTATCGAGTCTTTCATATCGTTGGGCGTGACGGGGTGGGTATGGAAACTGCTGGGCGTTGGTAAGAAGGGTACAGCATGGGTAGAATGAGGCGGTCTGCCATCTTCGATTCCCAACGATATCCGTTCGTTGGGAAGTTGAATTGATGGAGGCTTTTCTTGATCCTCTTTCTCGGTCTTCTGATAAGGCTCACTATACCTAAAGAGTTCCTCCAAGTCGATCGGCCCGAGAACCCAAGAGATGATAAAGGTTTCTCCTTCTTGAACAAATTCATAGCCTAGGCGACAAAGGGCATACCACGAAACAATGCGAGTGGAGATTCGTGTCTGGATTTCCTTGGAACTTCGGCCTGCTGAATTGCTGGTTGGTGCAGAAGAAGATGAGCCTGGCGATTGCTCCCAGCAGTCACCAACACTTTCCATATTGGGTTTATTGCTGGAATCTGACATGCTTTCAGTGACTTATCGCTCCTCAGGACCAACTAAAATATATCTAATGTTTGTATATTTTTAGTGTTCGATATTGAAGGTTCACAATCAGCTGGACCCCCTGAAGTATATCCAACAGCCACGACTAAAAGGGGGCCGGCGATTCGTAACATCATAAATAGCTCAACTAGACGATTGACTGGCTCAACTGCGCCGCGGTGGAAACAAAATTTCCATGAGAGCCGTTGCACTATAGTGCTGGCCCAGTAGGACACGAACATCGGGGCTTGATCTCAGGCGGGGATCTTCTGAATCGGGACACCTTTGCGAGATGAATCGAGTTACTGCTCGGCATAATTGCCCGAATTCGTGTACTTCACTTCGCCTCTTCTCTTATCGTCGATTCTTTAGTGTGGCAAGGCAGAAAGGCCGACCTGTGGCACCAAAGCCGGGCACTTTTGAACATTCAATGCATATGCCTCGTCTAGGATGTTCAAAGTTTACAGTCATTAAACCGATACATTGTAGTGGTTCAACCTTTCCCAAATCAAAAAGTACCTTGGAGGTATGTCCAGGGAGTTCAGAAACGAGAATGATGCGGAGGAAAGGGCGGTTCGACAAAACCAGCGGGTTTTCCAGTACCTCCCCCCAAAGGTCCTCCAGCACACAAGTCTCGAAGATTTCGATCCAGATATGACCGACTTTTATGGCTCCGATGGGACCGACAGCCATTGGGCACTGTCATTCATCCCTCTCAGTGCCTTCTCTATCCCTGCCGAGTTAATCCTTCGGCTCAAGGCCTTGCTGATCATTAACCCAATAGACACTATGTCGATTTATCTTAGTATTCAAGCAGCAAGCCTTTCCCTACGGATCAAGGAGTCAATGAACCTCGACGCTGAAGGTTATGCACATGGCACAACCGGACGCCTGAAGCACCCGGTTCCCGTGATCGACTTTGAGGTCTTCATCCTCTATTTCTCACACTTTATCCTCTGGCATAGGGTTTAAAGACTCACAAGGTATAATCGCTCGAGGATGTCTCATGATAAGTCTTTACAATTCTTATCCTAAATTTTACCAATTTCATCATAAGTTATCATAAGCTATCATAAATTTATCATAAGTTTACCTAAGGTGAAATGCTGAAGAAATATCTGTGTTCCACTCGGCCTGAAGTTCGAGGAGTGCCTTGTTCTCATCGGCGTCTAGTAAACCCGAAAGTCCGATGAAGTGATATGGGCGGCGGCCTTTGTCAGGCTGTATTTCGACGGCAACTCCGGGCTTTTCTTCCCAGCATTCGTGGTCGATTAATTAATTTCATATGGCAAGTCGACCTAGACACTATGCAGGTGAGCAACTACATCGTCGACGAGTGGTAAGTCCTCTGCACGTGAAGCTATTGCTACAGCAGGTTGTCCCTCGAGTGACTGCAGCATTTCAGAGTCTCCTTCTAAGTCGCAGGAATCTCAATGTCGAGGCTCTCTTTCTCCAGAGGCTCATCAATCGTGGTGGCTTGCCTGAGACTAGGGAACTTTCCTTCTGCGATGGCTCGGATGACCTCCAACTGCATAGCGTCCCAGGTAAGGACTTTGTCCCTTGCGCCCCATATTAGACGGTTCACAGGTAGGTTTGACTCTGGATGAACTGTAGCCGGTATGTATTCCGATCACTGGTCGCATCGGATATCTTGTCCACCAGATGCTTAACTGAATAAGGGAGAACATGTCACATAAAACACAGCTATTCTCACCCAGTGGCTCATGTGGTTCACAGCATTATTGCATAGGATCTTGGTTAAACTTCGAGCAACTTGCTACGTAGTCTTGGGTACAAACTAGGATGAGATTAGTATAGACCCATCACAAATTATGATATCAACATGGTCAAATACAGCAAGTTCTGGGTGAAGTCTCTTTCCTTTGGCTGCCTCGAAATATTTGTTGTCCTCTTACTACACCGTTCAGCCAATCTTTGATGTCTCCTTTACTTTGTACTCATAGCCTCTGGGCAGAGATCATGATCGGACATCAAACAAACCGCTCTCCTCACAAAAATGCCCGCTTCAACCTTTTTCCTCCTCTCCTCATACCATTTCCTATACTCGTCCTGCTCCTCTTTCGCTTTCTCACGATGTTCTTCCTCGAGAGGGGGAGGCATGATTCCTGTCAAAGGCTCGTACCACTGCTCTTTTGGTGTCTTTGTCCCATCAACCCCGCGAAATACCTTCACGGCTTCTTCGCTGTATGGAAAGTGATCAAGAATTGCTTTGATAAGAGGCGGTGGAAAAGGAACGGCGTCGACAACATCGCGATCAGCGGTGAGGGACCGATAGATTCCGTCTCGGCCGAGATGGCTTATGCCCATGCCCGTTGGGTCATGTTTCATGGTCGCCAAGATATGTTCGAGTTCTTTTTGGGCAGGATCTAGATCTTCATATTCCACGCGCCTGCTTCCAGGTGGAAAGGTGCATTCCGTAGCATTTTTGTCATTTTTGTCAGCTTGTTCAGCCATGATGGTGATACGCGCAAAGACAATAGATTCGATGTCGGTTCTTGGCACTACACTTTTGCCTTCATGCTGCTTTTATACAAGAGCTGTTGGATGAATCGTCGTAATAGCGCTGACTCTTCGGTCAGCATGTGATGGATCCCTCATTCTAGACTCTGGTCTCTTCAAGGGCCTTGGTAGATCATTGCCTCAGTCACTCCTCGGGGGTTGAAAATGACGACACTCGGCATATAATATCAGATCATTTGTCGTCCTGGTATTCGAAAGAGGTTGAAAACCAACAGCCATGCCAATGAACGTCGGTTCTCGTGAGAATGATAAAAGGCAACGACTTTCCGTGAGTTCCTGGGTACTTCAAAGTCCTCTGAAGTATTGTTAGTCAGTATACTTTCGGATTTTCAGCTAGGATCAAAAGCCGGCAGCCGACCAACTGAGAACCGTTTCCATAACGGGATTTGTTCTCCCTCTGGCATAGCGGCACCCCCAATTGAGCAATTCCATAACTCCGAAATCCCCTCACGGGCTTGCTTTTTTCAGCACCGTTATCTTTGTTAGACGGAGGCCGAAAGTGGTACGATGTCGGAGTAAGCACTAATCTTTCCCAAATGCGGAGTTACCTATTTAGTAATCACCCAGCCAGTGCGAATATCTCATAAACCTCAACCTTATACCACGTTGTCGAGGAGATTTTAAGCTTTACTAGACAATGTCACCGATGTAGATCTCTTCGGGAGATTCTGTGAATTGAGTTTTATTGGACGGGATCTTGAGATCTGACGCCAACATCATGAATCATAGTCACGTTGTCAAGTTTGCTAAGCCACTCAGGTTTTCTTAGCTGAATTGGTTTGCAGTGAAAGGATCAGAGATCGTCAGTAAGCGCTGGAGGGGAGCGAGTGCGTTAACTGACCAATAACTGTTGGAGTTTGGAAAAGTTAATCTTCAGGAATGACATCAATACCTCGGTTAACTCTCATAACGGCTTCAGATCATCGTGTATTAGAATTTAAGTTACGGTTATGATGTATATCCTGCCGAGGGTATGTGACTCCTGCTGCTGTCCCGCATCACATCCCATTGACCAGTCGGACTCCACGTGAACCACCTGACGATCGATTCAGATCAGCAAAGTCAGTCAGCCCATCTGCAGCGGCACAAACGTTATTCGAAACGGGTCGCCCTGTGGTGGCAACCTAACGGTTAAGATAATCCATCATTGAAGGCTTCTTCATCCGGCGAGGAGGGGAAACTTCAGTATCGACGGCTGAGTCTTTCCAATTGGCAGCGCTGAGGAGACGAGGACCAAATATAATGGCTGTCCTCTTCGCAACGTCGACTGCAATTGGTCCAAGCCTTTGAACTGCGTCCTTGATAAAATCGAAGATGCTTGTGGCGTCGCCATCTTTTCCGATAGGCCTTAACCGGTCTAGTCTTTCGCGGGGAAGGGTCATCACGGCTTGAAGAGCCGCATCTGCTAAGACAGCACGCTTGATCAAGATCTTGGTGACATCCTCGTTCGCATTAGAGGTGGATGACTCAATCGCAAACTTCTCTTGGCCGATTCTTCTCAGGCCTGAGAGAGCCGCAGAAGTGGACTTGGAAGCAAGTGGCTTGGAATCAGAGACTGCAATGTTGAGCACGGGACCAAGCCATTCGACAACGTCTCCTCCCCCTTCAAGTTGTCGAGTTGGACCCATGAGACCTTGAACGAAGGCAGCCCCTCCATCCATTACAGCACTTTCTGTGATGTTCACCTCCAGGCGACGACGATTACCCCCAAATCGTTCTCTGGAGTTTCTGGTTTCCTCAGCAAGTTGGCCTGAAAGTTCTGCACTGTATTCAGCTAGGATTGGAGTGATAGCAGGGGCGAGAGTGTCAGTTTTCAGGGCCCCGGCTTGCCAAATTTGTCTCATCTTGTCGAGAATCTCCATTATATCCTCATCGTGATCGGAAACGAGGAGGGCTTGAAAAGCAGCTTCAGCGAGTACCGCACGCTCAGCGGGCCCATTCGTTTCGATGTCAGTGCTCTGAGAAAGTCTGCTCTCTGTAAGTGATCCAAGCAGAGTTCCGACCACTGCACTAAGAGGGCCACCGATGGGACCAAGGAAAGGGGAAGCAAAGGGCAAGGCATCTCTTCCCACGTTTACCACGCTTTTCAAGGTGTCGAAGAAGTCCTCTTCATTGAAACCTGAGGTTTCAACTGTTCTGCCAGGGTAACCTCTGTCTAAACCATAAGGCTCATTGGTGCCTCTCTGCGCTGTGTTAAAGGTGTCGTCAATGAAGGTACAGCAACTTACAGGTTGGTTTTGAGTTTGAACGACTTGGACCTTGCCAACATCGCCAAAGGTCGTTCTCTTGTCAAATAGACTGATCAAATCGTCATAATTGTTTCCATGGGCGTTTCCAATCGTAGTGCCTGAGTTGCTATCAAAGCCACCGCCACCATAGCTGTGAGTTCCAATTGCACGAAGTTGCCCATTGGAGTTGCGCAAGACTGGGGCACCAGATTGTCCTGATAAAATGTCAACGCAGGTTCAAGAGTTGCCAGTTGCGTAAGATCTTACCTGCAAAGGTTGAAATAGAATACTCAACCATATGGCGAGGGCTCTCTCCAATGTTATAATCACTCTTGGCAAACTCTTCATACATCTGAGCACCTTGTTCATCCTCCAGGGATTGATCGCCAGGATATCCGACGACGCCCAGGTATGTACCATCACCTGTCTCTGGGGTTTTGAGATAGCTGAAGAGGCGTAAGTTACCCGTGAAAGGCCGGTCAAGTTGAATGAAAGCAACATCCTTCGCACGGTTGCTCGAACCCTCAATCCATTCAACAGGGGTCACAACCTTGGCGCCGTATCGCGCCTGGACCTGAGATGACCCGACAGATTGTCTGCCATTGTAACCAATGTAGCACTTGATCTGATCAGCTGGGCCTAGCTTGCGTCCCCAGTCGTGGACAACATGACCAGCGGTGACGAGGAGGTCTGGACGAATGAGCCATCCGCTTCCCATCATCCAAGTTTGTTGCCCTCCATCTTGAAATCGGGACTGGATCTTCACAATGGCTGCAAATCGTCAATCAGTCCTTGTTCCATGTCTCCTCATTGATGACAACGTACAGCGATATTTTCCTCCATCTTGCATATCACGGGAATCTACCAACTCGCGCAAATCTTCTCCGATGATGGACTCTGAGCTACCTTTACTTCCATCGTCCGGAAGAATGGCAGACTCAACTGGCTTAGTAGTTGTAGGCAGCGAAAGCGTCCAGGCAGCGGCGCGACTGGGCCCTGAGAAAGCCATGTTTAACGTATTGAAGATCTGGCAGTGAAGTTGTAGTGTTGCGACAAGATTCTGGATCCAAGTTAAGCATAAGGATAGTGCAAGGTTGAGAATAGTCTACTTTTGCTATGAAAGAAGTCGTCTTTTTATCTATTCGAGTAAGCATTCAGCCAACCCCCTTGCCTTGATGCCATGGAGTTCCAGCTGGTCTTTTTTAAATAGTTTCATGCATAAAAAATGGTCTGCATCAAATAGTTTATGTCTCTCGCGATTCACATCGCAGCTTGGCGAGATCTAGACCGAAGAGAGTGATCAGCTGGCCAAAAGAGGGCGCTCAAACGTCCACGCTAACCTGCACCAGCCAAGTTTCATTCGTATTCTACGCCTGTTTGGCTGGAGCGATCGATTCAGCCAGCCACAATCTGAGCAATTATGGACAATTGACTCTGGTTTCATAGCACAGTGAATGCTGTGGCGAAAGGAGATGCGACAATTATCTCTTTGAGCGGCATAAGGCTCCGGCAGGTCACTCGCCCCACATTGCTTACTAACAACACTAGTACCTGCGGGGTACGTGAAGTTCTCGTCAGACAGCTTCTTCATTCAACACAGCCAAAATCATCAAAATCCTCATACAAATTGACCCTAACGCGTCTTAATTAAAACGATGAGCTCCCAAGAGATACCTGATTATATAGATGATCACAGCTTTGATACCCCGCCTTTGAGGGCGGCTGATGACCCCACCGGCGTGCCTAATTTTCCGCCTGAAGAGGGCTGCGGTGATGATTTTCAACCTTTTAACCTAGAATATCGTGATTTCAAGATCAACCCTCTACCCAAGGAACCACTTGAATTATTCTAGCTTTTCGTACCTATTTCCCTTGTATAGTCATGGATTAAATATACTAATAGCTGGGTCACTTACTTACTTGAAAATGGCATTATTGATAACTGGAATACCCCCCTTTCTAAACAGTCCTGCATTCTCAAGTGGGAAGGCATCTCCACTGCAACAGCTTATGTATGGCTTGGGGTCCTTATTTACCTAGGAATTCATAGGGAAATATCGATCAAAGACCATTGGAAGTCCCCTAGCCTAGGAGATCAGCGCCCTCTTTACTCAATCATCAAGTTCATGCCGTTACGGAAGTTCGAGCTGATTACGAGGTATTTCTGCACTTTTGACTACACCAAGCTCGATGTGAGGGTTGAGAGCGACCTTCCAAAGACCTTCTAAGCGGCTGAAGAGTGGTCTAATCACATACAAAGCGTGTCTATCGAGCTCTATTCTCTAGGGACTAACCTCACTGTAGATGAGTGTATGATCCCTTTTACAGGCAGATCAAAAGAGATAACAGTCGTCAAGAATAAACCCACGCCCGTGGGGTTCAAAGTCTGGGTTATCGCCCAACAGGGCTTCTTTCTGCAGTGGCTTTGGCACGTGAAGGCATCACCATATAAGGCTGTTATAGTCGAGCTACCTACACCAACGCCGTATGGCAAGAAGGGAAAGCTACGGACCGAGATTCCTCTCAACAATATACAAAGCGTCGTGGTTCACCTACTAAAAAGGCTATCAACGCAGACACATCACGTCTTCACGGATAACCTCTTCTCGTCGCCGCAGCTCTTCTGCCTTCTTCGGCAGCTTGGCCACGGTGCCACAGGCACGGCACGCCCTAACTGCGGCATCACCACCGAGATGAAGCATATAAAAGAGACCGGAAAAGCTCCTGACGGCATAGCTTTGCAATATAATGAGGTATATTTGATCCCGACACAAGATAAACAGGTATGGATAGCTTTACCTGTATTTCCCTTACTAATTTGTCCTTTTCCTTTATCCCTAGGTCATCTAAATCGCTTGGAAAGATAGCAGCATCGTGCTCTTCCTTTCAACTGTGCTTAGCGGAGCCCCTTACGAGCGCATACCAAAAAAGAGGAAAAAGCCCGCCAAAAGAGGCATAAAGGCAGAGTCACAGCGCCTGCAGCAGGTCTTTAATGGTGATAGCTTCAAGATAATCCCTATTCCTACTGTTGCCGCTTAGTATAACGATGAAATGAATCACGTTGACCGCGGCGATCAGATACGGTCTTATATAATATATTAGCACCGATTCCGGCGCGGTCCTTGGCAAGCGTTGCTTTGGTCTTTCCTCCTTGAAGTTGTACTTGCGAATAGCTTCATTTTACAGAAGAAAACACGGCAGCCTCGTTAGAAGCCCTATAGCATGCTTAAAGCTTGGAAGGAGTGTATTTATAATGCCATTTTCAACAGATATGCAACTGAAAGTTATATAAGGAAGAGAGGCCGTATAGGAATGGAAGAAGACATCGAGGATATAGAAGCACGGCAAATTTACCTATAAAGAGATATTAATTATGTCTATCGGGGCATATATTTAAGCTGCCTAGCTTGTAAAGGCTTCCGGTAGGGTCAGGCCTGACCCTTTAAAAGGAAGAAGGAAAAAGGAGGTTATCTACAGCCGATATCAGGAAATGAATGAAGGGTGCAGACTGTGTACGGCTGCAAAGTATGTGATGTAGCTATTTGTAATACGGCTGACTGCTGGTACTTCTATCATATGCAAATTTAGGTGTGTGAGAATGTACTTCAAGTAGCGCTCATTTTGATAGGTCCTACACCCCTGTCGTGACCCCGCCGGAGCTTTATGCCGCCTGAAGAGATAAGCCAAGATCTGAGCTGATGTGCATCCGATGGATAGCTAACCATAATCTCAGAGCCCATCAAGAGCTAAGCATGTGAGCCAGTGGAGAATGACATGTCACAAAGGTTATCTGATCAATGCTTGAGAACGTAGCGAAAATGATATTATGCAGAATATGCTACTAAATACAAGGATATAATATGCTCTTTTGGGTTATGTACTTCCTCGCACCCCTGCGCGAAAACAATTTTTAAATGCAACGTCCGTTCCAATCGTTACTCGCCGGGCAGTCCGGCTGCGTCTATAGTGTCCGTATCCGTAACTTCTATAGTGATGTGTATGCGTGTATGATGTGAGTTGTGAGTCGTGCGTGTGATGTGATGTTTGTTGGTGATGGTTGTTTACGAAGAGGCCTCTTCGTCGGTGACACCCTCACGGGCGTGCTTGGTGCCATGGGGCTCGCCAACCCACTTGGAAGAAGTGATGGGGTTGACGTGCTGGACGTACATGGTGTCGATCTCCTCAAGAGTTCGGTCCTTGGACTCGATGACGAAGAAGAAGACGATGGCGACGAGGGCAGCACAACATCCGGCGTAGACGAGACCGTAGAAGTAGTCAATGGCATCAGTGATGAATCGGGTGCTGAGAATTGTTAGTGAAAGCTCGATGTGAGTTGTAATTGCGAGTTAACTTACAAGAAACCGATGAGGAAGTTGAAGAGCCAGTTGGTAGCAGTAGCGAGAGCCATGCATCGACTGCGGTACTGGGAAGGGTACATCTCGGCGACGACAGCCCAGACAAGAGGACCCCAGGTGGTAGCAAAGGCAGCGATAGCCAAGCAAGAGAAGGTGACAAGGACGGCACCAGCGGCGGGAGTGGAGAGAGGGTCCTTTCGGTCAAGGGCGAAGTGTCCGACGAAGGCGTAGACGAAGAAGCACATCATCATCCAGGCGGCACCGATCATCAGGGACTTTCTGCGACCGCACTTCTGGACGACATAGAGACCGCCGAATGTGCAAGCGCAGTTGACTGAGCCGAGAATGAGCTGAGTGACGTAGCTGTCCTTAAGACCAGTAGAGGCGAAGACGGTGGTTCCGAAGTACTGTGATTGTTAGTCAACTGTTGCGATGTGATGCCATTTAGAGTGTAACTTACGAAGAAGAAGTTGATACCAGTGAGCTGCTGACCAGCCTGGAGAGTGATACCGAGGATGGTACGGTAGGCCATACGAGGACCAGTGAAGATCTCGACAAGGCGGGTCTCGGGAAGAGCCTGTTCCTCCTCAAGCTTCTCGCGGATGTCGTCGATCTGTCGGTTGACACTGGGGGAGTTGATGTCGAGACCAGCAAGGTTGGCAATGGTCTTTCGGGCTTCCTCAACCTTACCCTTTCGGTAGGCGAATCGAGGAGACTCGGGAAGGAAGAGGATGCCGACACCGAGAAGAAGAGCCCAGAGGAAGTTGAGACCGTTGGGAATTCTCCAAGAGGCGCTGCCATCGTAGTGGTTGGTACCCCAGTTGACCATCTCAGCGCACCAGATACCAAGAGTGACGAATAGCTGATAGCAAGAGACAATGAGACCTCGAATGATGGCAGGAGCACTCTCACTCTGGTACATGGGGACAGCGACAGACAGAGCGCCGACACCAAGACCTGTTACAAGTCGACCGATCGCGTGTTGGTACCAGGCGTGTTGAGAGGCGACCTCGATGATGGTGCCGACGCAGGTCCAGAGAGCAGAGATGGAGATAGTCTTGCGGCGACCAATTGTATCGCAAAGGTTACCAGCAACGAGAGATCCGAACAAGCAACCAATTGAGAGAAGACCGGTGATAGTTCCCTGTCGGGCTGCGCTGAAGTTGTATGTACCATCGCCGTTGGGAACACCGAATCGCTCGCCGTAATCCTTCATCATGAAATAACCAGAAACTTGGCCAGAAGTGAAACCGAAAATCATGCCTCCCATCTTTTTTGACCGTTTAATTAGTTTAATTCCATTACGATAGCTTGTTGTGGTGTTGAGAACTTACAGATGCGACCAGGCCCATGAAGCAGGCCCGGAAGGTGATGCGACCATCGGTATCGGGAGAAGGCTTCCTCTCGAGATGCTGACCTTCGCCAGCATGTTCATGGCGTTTACTACCAAAGAACTTCATATTGAAAGTGCTGAGTAGACCAATTGGTCAATTGAATGTTTGTATGTGTGTGATTGATGTTGTTCAAGTGTTGTACACGAAAGCTGTGATGAGGCAGAACAGAGATTGAAGCAGCGAAGAGGTGCCATTTTGACTGTCTTTATTGTGGAGATGATCGTCGAGAGCCATCGCGGGCACCGAGAGACCAAGACCATGCCAATGGGTCCATCTCATGACCTCTGATGGTCATGCTTTGAGCGAAAACTCAAACCCCGGGGGGCTCAGGCAAACGACTTGCGGAGACTGACGTGGGTGAGCAAGAACTAAGCTAAGGTTTGTGGACTCGAGGGACAAGACTTGGAGAGAAGCGGAGCAGCTCTGAATAGAAGGCCCGTAGAGTCACGTCATGAGAAAAGAGTCGAACTGTGTGAGGTAAGCATTCCTGTGCCTGTATCTTATCACGCTTTCATCGACAAACGCTACGCCCAGGAGGGTACAACAACACGCCCGTGGGCTGATTGGTCTGGCGGAGGTCCCCTAGTCGCCTTAATCCAGATTCATCTCCGTTCAGAAAACGGTGGATCGATGAGAGAACGTACGTGGGGTGACAATTTTTTTCTCTGGCCCTTTCTACTACCGGCGCCTTCGGCATTGATGACGCACTTGGACCCTGTCAGATGAATAATGGAACCACTTTGATCCATATTTTTGTTCCAAGGATCCAGTTTTTGCTTCCATTGGTCTTCTGGCGGCATCTCTTGGCGCGAAGATCTTCGGCAGAGCCTGCGTCGACGGGAATACGCAGGCCTTTCCAGATGAACATATTGAGCAGAAAGACAGAGTGTAAAGAGACAGACTGTATTGTTCAGTTGGTATCTAATTTACTACGAGTTCATCGAGGAATTGCAATCTCCCTTCCCGCCCCGACATTACTAGTCAGCTTCCTCATATTTCCGGTGCTCGCCTTGCCCGCTGAGCAGAGCCCCATTCACATGATATGACACCGAGTGTCGCCGAATCGGTCGGACCGACTGATGATTGGAACGTCGGTCTCGCGCAGATTTTTATTTCCGAATGCTTGATTCTGGTGTTTCTTCTCAATTCCTGATTCTGATTGTGGCCAAAACAATGATGTTATTGTCACGGCATTCATCTCCCGTCAGATACCGCATCTGATCTGATCTTTTAACGGTATTTCCGGCAACGCCAAATCGCCGGTTTATTTCCTACGTTCTCGTGAGGTTTATTTTGCTGTCTCTTGTACTCAATGGTGTAAACTCGGCCAAATGTCTCGAGTCTTATCCACGCACGTTAGAGACTGGCCGAATTGAGCGGAGCATGCTCAGCTATAGAAGCTCCATTGAGAAAACAGAGTTCATGGATTGGATAACAACGTCGCTGTGCTCGGTCATTTTTGGGTCCAACGATAAGCCCTGGAAACTCAATTGGAACAAGACAGAAGATCAAGACAGGCATGCAATGATGCGAGATAACACCGAGCAAGCATTATTGTCTGCGACATAAACAACCCAACATGGCAGGTAGAGAGACATGCATTCAATTGTCGTGGTTTGCGTGTCTGAATGGCATCACCATCAACAGTCGTTGAATTAATCGCCACGCCACAACTTACACAAACTCTGCATCACACAAAGAATCGTTCTCGAACCTCTGTGCCTTGTTTCCATTCCCGCAGAGCCTCCTTTACCCCTGGACCCATGGCATCATAAAATCACCCATGCTAATGCGGCTCTGCAACGGCGGAACACGATACCGTATCCACACGGGCCGAAAAAAAGAGGCACTCGGCGATACTCGATGTGTATTCCCACTTATAATAAGTGGATGCTATTCGGACCCGAACGTTTGAGCCGTCCCATCCAAGCCAAGGAACAGAGTAAAGTTAACGGAGTGCGGAGCCCGCGCAACATGCACATGCACGGCAATTAATCGCGGAGAGAAAAAAGTCAGAGATCGTGGGTGATGGATGACATGGAGAAGTCCGTCACCTGGAACAGGGTCTAGAGTATGGAGGATGTCGGAATATTTGACAATAACAGTCGACAAAGGCCTGATCTTGACTATCTTGTCGGATGACGATTGCAGTCTTTGTTTCGGAGACAGCCATAGTCTCTTTGCTATGACAAACAAGTTGAGATGCAATATACATGAACCGAGATTAATATCACATGCGGTAAAAACTATTGAAGTCTAGGCACGAGATCAATATGCACTTGATCAAATGACCAACTGTATCATTTGACTAGCAGATTCTTCTTGAGAAATTTTATATACATATTTGAGGCTTTTACTATGTAGGACCATTGAACTCTATGTCTGTTGACGTCGTGCTGATCTTCACCTCTAAATCTCTCAACTCAAAACGCGTCCAACGTCTCACCAATCCAGACCTTCTCGAATCTCTCCGTGTTGCTAATCCCCTCAATCTCCATCCGGGGATAACCAGCAGCACGCACGCAACCCTCCCATCCCACACAGGATAAACGCTCCCCCGGGTCTCTCTCTCGGTCTTACCCACAGGTCGCGTATCCGCCTCATCGTCCTCTTTTTCTTCCCCAGTCCAGTCCCCTTCATGGGGTGTGTAGGTATTTCGCCGAGTAGCTGTTGCCTCCCCCAGAGCCACTCCTCCTCCACAGAGTTAAACCCCCTTTTTTTCTGCAGAGTTCTCCTGACAAGCTTATCGGTCCTTTGGGACGAGAGAGACCGCGGGCAAGCGAGATTTTACATCCCGCATCCTCCGCATTTATGAGAGATATGCGGGCGGTGGGAAATTTTTGCAGTTCACATGAGAGTTTCCAACATACGATCTCGGGGCAGGCATCTATTTGGAGTTTTTGTAGTAGAGTTGAATGCAGAAGGTGGGAAAGTATCATATCATTGTTCCATCCTTGTAAATCCGGGCATATCAGTCTGAGCAGTACTGAGAAGGCCTCGTGAGGACTACCCTGCACATGCGTTTGGTAAGATACAGACATAATGAGATAAATGCAATTCGAAGCAGTTGTTTATGAAAGGGATTGAAAAGAAAAGCTTTCTCAATGCATAGACATACATCGTAGTCCCACCAAGCCATATGATTGGCATGTGAAACCACATGTCTATATCCCCTGAACGGCACCAGAAGTCTGAATCAAGAGCTTTATAGTCACAAACGCGACAATGAGAATCTCCGCCTTAGTTGTGAGGTCTGAAGATATTCGAACGAGACTGGAAACTAATCCCCAGCTCCTTAGTTGGGCCACTCTGCAATGAGCGTCTTTTATTCAGTATTGATCAATGCATATGCGCTCAAAGCCTATCAAGTAGGAAGGATTCTCAAGTCATGACTATGTGATGTGTTCCAAAGCGGACCCACGATATAACCGGATAGCTAGACATAGAGGCAAGCCACAGATCGTGTCCCCATAAAGATCTGATCGTCTTGCATCGAAGATGTGGCTCCCTTGTCGTCTCTGCACAGCCACGGCGAATGCATGTGAAGATCATACGATTGAAAGTATTTTCAGCCGCGCTGCTGTAACTGTATCGTCTCATACCCCTTGCTGGAAAGCATTGCATCTAGCCCTTCAAAGACAACAGGTACTTGCGTAAAAAGATCCGCCATGCTCTTGATAATAATAAGGGCCTACAACTCTGCTAAATTCTTCATATTTCTTTTGAGGAAGGCAAATGGTCAAATCAATCAATTTTGCCTCTATTTTTCCGAAACAAACGTACTCTTCTAAAGTTCTCAGTACCGTCAGAAGCAAACCTCCTGCAACCTTTCCCCTCGCCCTTTCGGGATGTCCATGAAATTTCCCGCGCAAAGAACGAGCATAGCCTCAAGGCTCCATATACGAAAAGGCCCAGAAGAAGGTCTCGGGTCCAGAAAATACATGTTCAGGCAAGAACAAAAGGCCCAGGCCCGAGCCAAGGAGAGGCGTTCTTTCTCTCACATACTCACTTACGGCATACCTGTATAAGAATCGGTGAACCATTCATCAAGACATCACCTAAAGCTTTCTCTCAATCTTCCATGCCCCATCATGACCGTCCTGCATCCCAGGTTAGCAATTCGGCCTAACCATCGCTTTAAAGCATACCCATCATTTGCAACTCTACTTCAGGCTCTATTGTCAAAATGACAAGTTCGCTTTAAATCCCTTGTAAGTAGGTCGATTAGCAATCTCAAAGTGTTTATTCGAATCGTCAACCATTGGGGTGGGGGAACCTACATCAAGCTCATTTCAGGCGCTCGATCCTCTCGATATATCCGAAGTCACCAGGTACAGAACCCTTCGAGAACTTCGAGAGCCGCAAGGTCTGAGCCATAAAGCAGCTCAGCTTTATGGAGTACCCGACTCAGATTGATATCTTATCCTAATCTGACCTAAATCTTCTTAGTTTTAGGAAAGCTATCTGTCTATGGACTTTCAGTGCCTAAACCACCACTATTAGGCATTAAACACGGAGCACGCCTTATAAAATACACAACACTGGATTATATCATGTATCGGATATTTTTTATCTTTCTCAGTGTATCTGCTTCCACTCATGCAATATCCTCGCATTCTCTGCGCGTCCCGTGAGCCTCGCCAGCATCTCTGCGTTGGCAACATTCTGTGCCGTCTCAACCATGGGCTGAGCTCCCTTCTCCAGTAGCCACCTTACGACATGAGCTCCCCTCTCTTTTACGGCAGCATAACATAGAGGAGTCCCCCAGTGGTACGCACGATCGGGTATGGTAGAATCCATCGCATTGATCTCTAGTTTCATCTCATCCACAAGAAATATCAGCATTTCTGCTCGTTCCCTTCTTGCCCTGGCATCATCTCCAAGTACCTCATCATGGACTTCTTGACGATTATTGTGAGGATCTGCGCCAACCGCTGCTGCCTCCCCAGCTGCTCGGTGAAGTGTCCGGTGGCCGAGTAATGCTCCCTTGCTCTGTAAGAACCGGAACGTTGCAACAGAGCCTCTGACAGCACATGTCTCGAGTAATGGAGCCGGTTGCGGGAAAATCTCATAGCCGTCCAACTCACCATCCGTGACTTGCGCGCCATGCTCAACCAGCCAGCGCACCAACTGGTTATCGTCGCAGACGTGATCGATTAACTTATGGCCCCGCTCAAGGGAGCTTTCAACCTCAGCCTTGTTGATATCCCAACCATGAGCTAGAAGCAGCTCGAGAAGAGCGACGGAGGAGTTTGCGGCGACAGTAAGAGGTGATAGAGATGCGGTAGGTGCCTTTTCGCACTCTAGAAGATATCTCACCAGGTCAATACTCCCATGGCGGACGCACCGTCTCAGTATTGATGGAAGTAATTCCTGAAGAGAACAACCAAGTCGAGGATCGGCTTCGATCATTTCCATGGCGGCAACGAGCTGCGGTAAAGATCTTTCGCGAATTGCATCATTGAGCATGCGGCGGGGATGTGGAGATTGCATCGCTTTGTTTGTCCAGGGAATATGTTGCAACTATGATGAATGGTCGCTGCGAGCTGGTATTTGTACTGCTTGGTTAAGGCAGCAATTGCATCATTGAGGCAGGTAAACCTTATCTGATTGATAACTACTGTTATGTCGGCCGGCTATAGGGGCCTCACTGTTCAACTTTATGATGTTCTTATCATCTGTGTTAGCAGCCTAAAGTTTAACCTCATGGCCAGCAAGTAGTCATACAACACTGTTCAACTTACTAATACAAAAGCTAAAAGGTTGGATAACCTTTTCACAAGGTTAAAAGGAAGAAAAAGAAAATGATGAATGGTCGAGGTAGGTGGCAATGATTTGGCGAATTATGTTAGATTTAAATCAAGTTCATTGATAGGCGATGCCCCTTTCCTGTTATCTCTTCTGGTCTCATTTATAAGTTATAACTAACTGCCTTATCCTTCTGCCTCCAATGAAGATCTAAGCTAAGGGAGAAAATTCAAGACAGCTCACCAGGGGAATAGATCTTATCCCAACTACCGGGAACCCTCTAGAAAATCATGCAAACTGCCAAACCTGAAACAGGGGGAAACCTTAATTGTCTTCGAGTTTTTCTATTTTCTCTGATTCTGCCTTTGTTGCGTAACTGTTCTAGCCATTTCAAGCAGGTCAAGTTGTCGGTCCGACATGTTTAAACTTCAAGACTCAGACACAGTAGTACGTCAGCCAGGTAAGGATGCTGTTCAGGGCTCAGAATGTCTATACGTCTATGCCTGAGAATAGACATGGCTTCATGATATTCTGTTACTGATCGAAGCAGAGGGTTATGCTTGATTTCGAGTGTAAAGAAAAGGCTGCGGTGCTGCCTTGTTATATATGTACTCCAATTCACTCTGTGCACTTTTCTGTCTCCCTCGCTCATGATTACACTTAATAATTCTCATGAATAGGCCAATGATAGACTGTAGAAGTCTTAGTTAATAGAAACAAACTGGACTAGTAAGAACCTTAAAGGCAAGGGCTTGGCAACACTAAACAGATGAGATTCTTGCTATTAAGAAGACCCTAACCATTTCGTTCAGAATTATACCAAATGAGTGCTATAGCGTCAAGGCTTCATAGGGACTTACTTTCATACGCACTTCCTTATTTGCAGTTAGTACGGAATTTACCAAGAAACTTTTGTGTCGAATGAGGTCAAAACTCAACCATCACCAAATGTTGAAACGGAGATATGTCTGTGCTCGCCCTGCACAACTACAAGCCTGTCCAGCTGGCTCGACCCATAGATAGCATGAATCTGTATTTTGATTCAAGCCAGTCCTGGTGCATAACAGGGATTAATGTGGCTCAGTCCAACGTCTTCGTGTACTCTTCCAATCGAGTTGCCGAGTAGGAGAAGTCGGCATCACCGAACAAGATCCCATCAAATTTCAGAATAGAGTTGAATTTGACTTCGGCAGTTGGAAACTTCTATGTCGTATCACTTGCCAGGGACCGAGCTTCACGGCAACTTCTGGTCTATATATTCTACTCGACGATCCTCAAAACTGAGACTCATCAATATTTACCAATAGTCATTCGTTCGTTATAACTTCTTTCACTCATTTCTAACAACACTCATTCTCTCATTTACTTCCTTCATTCAGGCCCAGTATGGTCCGTCTCGCCACTCTTATTCTCTCTTTGGCTTGCTCTGCCTTGGCATCTCCCTTTGTGAAGCCATCCGATGGATCATTGGAACGCAGAAAGCTCTCATCTTTGTCTGCCAGTGGCGCTGAAGTTGCGATTCATGAGAGGGTCATCTCGAAGGCAATCACCAAGCCCGCTATTGTCTGCGACCTGACTTGCAAGGCTTGCCTAGCGAAACCTGCCCCCAAGAAAGGCAAGGGCACAGGCAAGGGCAAAGGCAAGGGCAACGCTATTCCCCGCTCTCTGGCAGATCGGAATCTGGCACTTGAAGAAAGGTCTTTGGATGATATTGAGGACCTTTGGGGGACCGATGCATCGGCTGCAAACGAATATGTCATGGAGCAGATTGACAGTGTCGCGGGAAAGGACGACGAGTTAGACTGGAACCTTATCCAGCATGACGCTGTCTCGGGTCAAGGATCGTGGAGTGACAAGCCTTTGCGAAAGTACATTCGGGGTCTCATGGGGTGAGTGATGCACAAACACAGCCTACAGTCTGCCATGCCGTTCAAGTTACTAAACAAGATTCTAGCTGCACTGGTATCGTCATCGTCTCTGATAAAGGCTACTGGTTCGCTCATTTTGTAAGTCATTTCTTTTCCCGAACGTCGTCTGACCCAAAACAAGACGCTAATTACTATAGATGGAAACTGGGTTCCTCGACCGCGGTGACAACTGGAAGAACAAGATCATCAAGCCTCTCCAGCAGGGAACCAACAAGTTTATCACTCCTAGGTCCTTGGCCAAGTCTGGCGGCATTCTGAACAAGGCAAACAACGTCAAGATCTATGTGTCAACCCCCCGTACCAAGACGTCCACCGAGCAAAACCCAGTCCTCTTGTACAAGGCGAAGGTCGACGAACTCTTATCTCATATCACTGGAAGAGGCGAGCCTTTGAACGGTGTTCAAGTCATCACCCGCGGTTATCTCAAGCCCGAGAGTGAGGCGGAGCTTGAGGCGTTCCATAACAGAGCCAATGGAAAGGTCCTTGTCGAGTACGATAACAATCAGCTGGATGCCAACGGAAACCAACCCAACCCTAAGGAGCGCATGTACCGAGTTTGGCTTGAGCACAAGTACTACGAGCACAGATTCCGTTAATGGCGATGCATCTAACCGGGGGGGGGGGTTGTTTCGTTCGACGGTTTTCCCCCTTGCCTAGCCAACATTTCTTCTTAATCTAGTACACATATTCATAAATTTAGCAATAAGTCTTTAGAAGAATTTTATCCTAAGGCTTAGGGTGAGATTTAATGAATTATCCTAACTTAGGCCTAATTTCTACGCTTCTTTTCTAAGCTCTGCAGCGCTCTGAAGCATACAAGTCTCTGTAGTATCTATTCTCTGAAAGATATCCTAGAATAGTCGTGAAATCAAATTGACAACAAGTTTTAACGAAGGCTTCAAACAGCAATAGTTCTGCCTAAAATCGGCATCGAATGTTCACAGTATGATTCTCGAGGTGCAATTCACTTGTTAATCTATCCTGAATTGGGATGACCCCCTCGTAAATCTAAGAAGTCTGGTTCCGATGAGCCGCGTCGTCATCACTAATGAGTTTCACACCCTCCCATTCAATATATATAATATTTCCGCCCTATTTGACTGGATTCAGATCTAGACAACGCGTTGAAGTGGAATCGTGGAAACTCGCGGATAAAAGGCATGGCCTGTCAGAGCAGAAGACAATTTCAGCCTATATTGACTACATCCAGAACAGTAATACTCTGCGGAGCTGAAGAATAGGTTACAGGGCCCTACATCAGCCAGAGACGTGTATTCTAGACAAAAAAATTTTAAAGGCTTGGATTCGAAGAATTCTCATCTATTTATGATGCATTATGCACATCTCACACGACTTGTGTCGAAAACATACTGCCAAGTCGCAGGGTCCTGTCGGCAGTTGCCCTTGGCGTCCCATACTGCTGGGACCATCTGTTGGCCCCCTAAATCCTCCAAAGTATAGTCTACGAACTATATGATCAGCAGCTTGAAACAGTGATCGTCCAGATCTTGAACAACATGAGGTTTCTGTATTGAGTCTCTGTTCACGCAAGCATCTAGGATCTCAAAGCTTCAGGATACGTATCTAATCCCCAAACACAAGAATCGGACATCACCGCTGCCCCCAACGTATCTCTGGTATCCAAGCTTGTTGCAGTCTGAGTAACCTTAAAGCTTAAGAAGGAGAGACTTTGTTTATTCACTCAAGCCTAGAACACTGCAGGGTTATGGTCAGATACAACCGATGATCGCTGGCCTCTCGTAGGTGCAAAATTATTCCTCACGGCTACAACGGCTTTTAACCACGAGGATCGGACGTTACCACCTTCAATTAAGCCTGCGAAGATCCGCATCGAAAGTCAAAGTCATTCATATTCCAGGTAAGCTTAATTGGTGGACACGTCGCTAAAACAAACAGCATCAAAATCCCACCAATCTGACCTCGTCACTTTCATCCAGCCTTACTAGTTTCATTCTTCCCCATGCTCATATTGGGGGTAGTATCCTCCATTACCCCAGACTTCGGGTCGTCGTGCAGCTGATCATATAGAGCAAGTTGAGCAGAAAATCAGGTCATTTGATTGGTCTCCGCAAATAACGAGTCGAGGCGGAGAATTGTGATGTTTAATTCCTCGAATGAGAATTGAGTTTGGTTCGAGATGTAACATTGAACGGAGTTTCACTTCAATGACTAGCTTGCCGTTTTCGGACTCGAGCGTGATTGTACGATGCTAATTGGTGCAATGAGCGAATAACAGGTGCAGGGGCCTTAGATCAAAGGGGAAGATTAATTCAAACTGATATATCGCGGTGAAAGAACATATGATGTTGATAAATATTTAAAGGATGGGATATCCAGTGAGCCAAGAGACTTGTTCACTCAGCATCACAACTCAAGTCTTCTCTAGAAACGTCTTCAGAATAACCTCAACTCATTCATCATCATGAAGTACACTGCCATCCTCGCCCTTGCTGGCGTCTCCTCCGCCGCTGTCACCAAGACTCTTCCCAAGTCTGCTGGTGCTACCTCATTCCCTACTGCTGTTCCTGTCAAGGGCAGCTACGATGGTGGCATGAAGCGATTCGAGCGAAGCCGTAAGCCTCTTTATACTTTAGTTCAGAACCTCTGACTAACACTTTTCCTAGCCAATGTTTGCCAAGGCCAGACTGAAACTGGTGAGAAGGATGCTATGTTCATTCTCGAGAACGGCGCCACTCTTTCAAATGTGATCATCGGCGCATCTCAGGCCGAAGGTGTCCACTGCAAGGGTACTTGGTGAGCAAGTTTCTCTCGACTCACCGTTTCCTCATGCTGATTTGACTTTAGCACCCTGAACAACGTCTGGTGGGCCGATGTCTGTGAGGATGCTATCACCCTCAAGCAGGCCAGTGGAACTTCTTACATCAACGGTGGTGGTGCTTTCCATGCTAGCGACAAGATCGTCCAGTTCAACGGCCGCGGCACCGTCCAGATCAAGGATTTCTATGCCGAAGACTACGGAAAGCTCGTCCGCAGCTGCGGAAACTGCGAGGATAACGGCGGCCCTCGAAACGTCGTCATCCAGGGCTCTGTTGCCGTCGACGGTGGTGTTCTCTGCGGCATTAACACCAACTACGGAGACACCTGCAAGATCACCAACTCGTGCCAGAACAAGGGCAAGTTCTGTGACCGCTACCAGGGTAACTCGGACGGGTCTGAGCCTTCCAAAATCGGATCTGGCCCTGATGGCAAGTACTGCACTACTTCTGGAACTACCACGAGCTGCTAGACGATTGATGAAATGCTATGAGAGACGGATGGAATGATGGTGGTTTACTTCTTGGTAAAATTCTATGTACCTAAGCTTTATGTCTGTACATACTGTGAGTTTAGCACATGGCTTGTCCCAATATCAGTTGCAGTTTACTTTATGCATAGTTGTTGAGTTACATGTTGAATTACGTGAAAGCCTCACCGCTCCAACGAAACCATGAGTTATTTCATACGAGTCAGTTTTACAAAAGATCATTGTCGACATTTGATACCTTCAACTTACACCAAGCCGAATGGACATCTACATCCGGACGGCTCACTCGGAGTAGTGCCCGGTAAATGGGCTCGGATATTCAATCAACCCTTAAAACAAAGTGCTCACGACAATTCAGCCCAACCTGCGGAGCCAAGACGTTAGCCTTACGCCTCTTCAATTGGTCAAACCGGACTAGAGACGGGCTAGTTGCTTAATTGGCATGTCGACCGAAACCTGACGTGATTACAATTGTCAAAGCTTCCCCATGTCAACAGTTCTAGACCATTGAGAAAGAGTTAATGTTTCCCTGACTGCCGATGACCCGGCATATGGTGACATATAAAGGGTCGTGATTTTATAAGGTTCCGGATCCGATCTCCTTATATCGTTAGATGTCCCGCGAAATGGATATGTTTGCAATATATTCTTGACACTTATTAGCAAATTGATACCTTGCCCATTAAAACAGGGAGGAAGCTAAGATGATCTACGTCGGAACTTTTTCCTAGTCTCTTGCAACGCTAACGATTGCCTTCCAATTCTCGGCAGCAAAATATCCCTGCAGTGTATCAGTTGACGATCGTTTCAAGTATCATCAATTGCTTGTGACTGGCACTTTTGAAAATCAAAGGACCTTGATATCTTTGATTCCTGCTTGATTGAACTTGTCAAGACCTTTTGACTGAGCTATCAAGCTTATTCAGGGGGATTCTTGAAACCAACTCCCTGACTCGGAAATAGATCGCCACGCGTCTTCTCGATTGGCTGACACCCTCGGGCGATATCGTTTCAAGACAGATTAGTGCCCCAGAGAGCAACTCTCGACTTCAATTGGCTTGTCTATCAATCTGCTAATTGGCACCCCCACTGCCCTGGCGGTAACCGATTCACCAGTCAAATCACTAAGCAAGGCAGTGAATAAGGAGCCTCATTAATTATGCACTCCTTTCATCTCGTGGCAAATGGTGCCTTCAAAGCTTGAATTACTGCATCGCACGTTTCGGTTGGTTAACTCGCTTATGGTTAATTCTTATGCTATACCTCGCCAGGGACGCGACGTGTGGGATCGTCGTTCGCTTTAGGCAGGTAGTGGTTGCGGCCGGGGTCGACTATCTTGAACGATGACGATCATCGTGGCACATGTTTGACAAGATAGGTTGCGTGCCGAAAGACGACCAACCCAACATCCGATCAAGGAACATGGCTCTAAGTGGAAGTGGACAGCTCAAGGGGAGAGCTTCAAGATAAATAGAAGTCTCTGTCTCCAACAATACCTTCTTCTCATCAAGCAACTCAGCTCTTCAGTCTTTACAACTACATTCACTCAACACCACTCTTTACATCTTCATTCTTTAAGTTTCTCCAACTTACAACAATCTTTCGTCAAAATGCGATCTGCTACTCTTCTCGCTCTTCTCCCCTTTGCGCTGGCCGCTCCCTCCCGCCGGGCCGAGCCCGCCCCCATTCTTCGCCCTCGCGGTGTCAAGCTTGTCGATGGCAAGTACATCGTCAAGATGAAGAACGGTTTCCAGGCTTCTTCCATTGAGAGCTGGGTTGACAAGATGATCGAGTCCATCGAAGCTGATGCCGATTACACCTATTCCAAGGGCTTCGGCGGTTTTGCTGCCAGCCTCAAGGATGATGAGCTGAACAAGCTCAAGCATGACCCCAATGTCAGTTACTTCTGACTCATATGGATCCAATCACAAAAGAACCCAGCTAACAAGGTTTAGGTCGAGTACATTGAGCAGGATGCTTACATTAGCATCACGGCTACTACTCAGCAGAGCAATGCTCCTTGGGGTATTGCTCGCCTCTCTAGCCAGAGCCCTGGCGGCAGCACTTACACCTACGATGACAGCGCCGGCGAGGGCACTTGCGCCTATGTCATCGACACCGGTATTGATGTCGACCATCCCGTAAGTATGACCAGATTCCACAGGTGAAACAGTCTAACCTAACACAATTGCAGGACTTCGATGGTCGCGCCAAGTTCCTCAAGAACTTCGCTGGTGGTTCCGACAGCGACGGCCAAGGTCACGGCACTCACGTTGCTGGCACCATCGGTTCTACCACCTACGGTGTAGCCAAGAAGACAAACCTCTTCGCTGTCAAGGTCCTCGGCGACGATGGCTCTGGTACCAACTCTGCTGTCATCGCTGGTATGGACTTCGTTTCTGGTCACGCCAAGGACGAGAACTGCCCCAAGGGTGTCGTTGTCAACATGTCTCTCGGCGGTGAGACATCCGATGCCGTCAACCAGGCTGCCAAGGCTATCGTTGATGCTGGTCTCTTCCTCGCTGTCGCTGCCGGTAACGACGGTGTCGATGCCTCAGGATCCTCTCCTGCTTCTGAGGAGAGCGCTTGCACTGTCGGTGCCACCACTCGCGATGACACCCTCGCCGACTACTCCAACTACGGTTCTGTCGTTGACGTTCTCGCTCCCGGTACCGATATCCTCAGCACCTGGCCCAATGGCAAGACCAACACCATCTCCGGTACCTCTATGGCTTCGCCCCATGTCGCTGGTCTTGCTGCTTATTTCCTTGGTCTGGGACAGAAGGCTGAGGGGCTCTGCGATTACATTGCCTCCAAGGCCATTGACGGAGTTATTTCCAACGTGCCTTCTGGTACTGTTAACAAGCTTATCAACAACGGTGTTGGTGGCAGCAACAGCAGCAGCATCCGCCACTAAATGTAGGCCAGTGGCCTCTCTTTTCTGAGTCCGATATTTTAATCCGAATCTCGGCGAGATGGATACATATTTCCTTTCTGTACCTATTATGAGGTAGTTTCCTAGCTGTATGACTTGAAGCATTGAACAATAAAAGCATTTTTTCGGCCGACTTTTTGATCCTGTTTTGATCCGTGATTCTGTCCGCCTTATCCAAGTTTCCTGCCATACTGCTTACAAGCTCCTTGAGCTTGCAGCTTCAATGATTGCCTGGTGGCAATATGACTTTCCGGCACTGTACGTTTACGTTTCCTTGTTCCTGATGGATCATGAAGACTTCAGGGGCAAAGAAAGCCAGTGATCCAGGGCGGCCCATTCCAAGCTCAAGATCAGTGGCTTGCTCTGTCCTACTCTTTCCAGCCATCTCCAGCACCGAGGAACCAGTTCGCGCCCACGAGTCGTAGTCCATGCTTCTCAACAAACTTGGCAGTATCGAAAGACCTTCTTTGCGTGAACTCTTCGCCACCGACATCCTCCTTTGCAAGATCAAGACTGACGGGTTGGCGGTACAAAAGAAGCAAGTATCTGTGAGGCTTAGAGCTACGTATCAGTTAGCAAGTGGACACTGAGTTTGTTGGGTCATCTCAACTTACTCGTCCTTCGGGCCAGGACCCAAGTATTCTGTGAGAGCAGGTTGCACTTGAGCCACTGCATCTCCACCGCTCAGAGGCCTCAGGCCAGGGAGAACCCAGTGGCGCCAGAAGGCAAACTTGGGGTCATCGGGCGTTGGCGCATCAGGATCGACAAGCAGGAGCATGTAGGTAGCATCTCCAGGAGCATCGGGCTAACCTCATCAGCATCAGGTCTCGTTCAAGATCTCCGCAACTAACCTCTTGGTCGAACTGTATGCTTGGAGCGCGCTTGCACTCACTCGCACGAAACAAGTTCCCCAACTCAACGTCCTTTCCATCAAATGAGACCTTCAGATTCGTCGTCGGCTTGAAGTCTTCCGGGATTAAGCTAGCTGCTGAACCGGGAACTAGCTTGGCCTCGGTCAGGGAGCTTGATAGAGTGGTTGACATGGTAAATGAAGTATCGGATTGCTTGATTTGGTTGTGAGGGTAGCGTTTGGTAGCTGAGTGTCTGAGGCTGGGTCGATGACGGTGTATTTGAATGGGTACCCCACGTTGGGGGTTTGTATGACGTTACATTTGACTGGTGGAAGAATGTGCGTGCATCACGCCAACAGAGCAATGCCCCCAATGTTAGCAGTCCTTCTGGAGCGGTAGCAACAATTGACTTTAGAATCAAACATTTTGACGCGTGAAATGCCGTTCTGGGGCGAAGCAAGCTCCGGGAACGCGTGCGGCCCGGCTGCCCCACTCGTTAAGCTTATCGACAGCGGGCTGAAAGGCCATCAGTCAATGACGTAATTGCAGATGGTATAGGGTAGTGTGACCCCCATCAACATCCAAACAGTCACAGCTGTAACACCCATTTTGGTAAATTGTAAGAGTAATAAAGTCTGATCTATATACGAAAGTACGTTTTTTCATTATTGTCTCTCTTCTCCATGTGGGGAAAATGCATAATCACAGTGGGCGTGGATATTGGTGGACTTTGCTCTTTTCTCACCTATTCATTTGAATTCAACACCGAACCATACGTTAAGTTTGTGGGTTTCTGAAAAGACCCACTTACATAGCTTTCATTGGCTCAGACAGCGACAGATAAGATAAGACCACCAACATTACATCGTAGTCACGTGAAAAGTATCCCCGATCGCGGTAGGTGCTAGCGCGACTTGCATGATAGAATGCTTTGCCAACTACAATACCCAGGCCAACAGCGCGCAAACTCTGCAGCAAGCTCACTTTTGACGCGATAACGACTGCGTACCTCCATGCGCTCGAGGAGCCTTCCTCTTTCAGCGAACCTGCTTACGCAGACACAACGCGACAGTGAGAAGACGAGGAGCGTGGCGGGTTGCCGACTGCACTTGATCTTGACAGGATAATGGAACATTTGAGTCTTTATGATTGGGAGACTTCATCACTGACATCGGAATCCCAAGATCCCCCGTACCTGCGATAGTGTCTTACCCCACACCGACAACCATCCTCCCGAAACCGATCGTGACGCGCTTGCGAAAATGACCACATACATGGCGCTCTTCGCCCGAATCTCTTTCAACCCACAAGAGCTGAGTATGTCGAAGAAACCGTGATCGCGACTGTGACCAATTTCCACCCGACGAGATGCTCTGATCTGGGCGCAATCCGGATGCCACGATGTCCTCCGACCGAAACAATACTACACTTGTGAATCCCGAGATGGCCTGATACATGCAGCGGACTTGTATTATGTAGAGCCCGAAACCAGGCTTGTATTCACAGTCCGGTCGGGTGAAATTTGGTTGCGCATCCGCGCGTCGGACTCCGGAGCCCGCGAGAACAACAGGGCTGAGTGCATGCCGCTCTCCGGCTCGAACATCGCTTCCAAAGGGATGGGCTTTGTTAAGCCACGTCCCTTGAAGGCCGGAATGTTCGCACTCTCGGGTTTCCAGTTCCGTGTTTGGGGAATTGTAATATTATCCGGTGCCTGATCGGTACACGGTTAATAAAACATGCTACGGCAGCTCGGGAGAGGCTGCGCCTTAGACGCGACAAAGGAACGATCAATGAAGAGAGCTCGGATGCCATAGTAAAACATCACCCGAGTCCCTGAGGTCTTCCAATGCGCACTCCGATGGCAAACGGTCCAGTCGTATCTGTCCTACGGACGTTATCCCTTTGCGCATCCGTAGGTGCTCGGGCGGGGAGATAAAGTTCGAGTCCGATGTTTCGAGATATCTCCCGATCATGCTGCCACCAACCGCCAATTATCCAACGGTCCGTAGGATCTTGCGCCCCGAGCCCGAGTTTTGCACAAGAGGAGGGCCGAGTCACGCGATGCCGTTGGCCGACGGACTTGGCAGCCCGCTCAGAGACCGAGACCTTCGGTGTTCGGTGAGGACATTGTCCGAGGAGTAGCACCAGACGTGAACAGCTGGATCATACTGGGGAGTTAATCGATGGTATCACGAAGCTTTTATCGATTGAAATTGTGCGTTTCATGGTACAGACAGAAGAAAAGGTTGGTGAACATGGCAATGTGAATGTAATCCTCATGTGTCTTCAGTCGAGCTTCTCAAACCACCTGCCAATGGCCGACTTTGCTTATTGCACAGCACCATTATTTCGTGAGGATATCATCTTGAGTAAATGGGAGGCTACGTATCGTCTAGATGTCGCGACGAATGGTCGCAACAAACTCTGCTTTATTGCTTGTTTTTGTAAGCCTGGTACTCGTGAGTTCCCGTCCACTTTAGTACCCGGAAGAGCAAAGTCCGTTTCCGACAGTGGAGAGACAGTAATTTAAAAGATACTTCGTGCGCGCATTTCTTCCTCTTCGTGATTCCTTCGTTCCTCAGACTTAGACTATCCTCAAAGATAACAGGCACCTCTTCTGAGCACTTTCCTCGAACAGTAGATCCTTTCCGGCAGCTAGTCATTCTCCGACGATAATATCTTGGCGCCCTCTTGCTGCAATGCGTCGGCTCTATTGAAGGTATGTATACCATGCCTTCAGCACTGTTTAACGGGGGCATCGCTGAGGCATTCCTCCGTTCGGAAGATCCGGGGTTCCCTGGAAAGCTGGAAGGCGTTGCCTCTTTTACTTATGGGTTCGAATCCTTGTTTTTTTAATAAAAAAATCTAGCCAGATGGAAAGGCTGCTCTGGAGCTATATATACCGTGAGTTGTGCAGTGATCATCGGGGGGCGTATCGAGACATTCCTCTCGTTAGAGTGGTCTAGTGGTTATGCATATGCTAACATGGTAACATTTGCTTGCAAAGTCGGGTACGGTATGTCCTCTTTTTGCCTTGCCTTGTGGTCACGCGTTCGAGTGCTGAATTTTTTGTGATGTTGATATGGACGACACAGATTCGGTTGAAGCCATATACACCATAATCTAATTGCTACTCCATAGGGATCGTAACTCAGACATTCCTCTCAATAAAGTAGTCCAGCAGTAAGAGTAATGCCTTGCCATTGCTTATAAAGTTGTTTACAGCCTCGGTTTTCTTTTGCTCATGCGTTCAAACGTGTGGCCTTTCTTTTTGGAATAAAACTAAGAGGCTATTGGACTGCTCGGCGGTGCTGGTCTTTTATACGCACTGGTGTGTGAGCGGGACCTGAATTGACAGACCACCGAGCGACTTGCATTGTCCTGAAGCAATAAACTTCTGGCGAGGTTACTCAATAGGCATATATACCATAATCTGATCAAGGCTGTCGGGGTTGGGTTCAGACATTCCTCTCGGTAGAGTGGTCTAGCGGCGGATAGTATGTAGCTTCTGGCTACAACTCTCCTAGCTTTAAAGTCGTTTACAGCCCTTCCTCTTTTTCTCGCGCGTTCGAATGCTTGAATTTTGCCTGGATATCGATCTGAACAACACAGGTTGTTGTGTTGACAGTATATATACCCTGAGTTGAGCAATGCTCAGCAGGGGTCGGGTTTAGACATTCCTCTCGCTAGAGTGGTCTGGCCGAGTGGTTAGTGACGTAGCCGAGTACCGCGCCAGCATGAAAGGGATAATCGCACTAACGCTCACTGGCTTGTAAAGTCGTTTAAAATCCTTCCTCTTTTGCTCGTGCGTTCGAATGCGTTAAATTTTTGGAATATTGGTCTGAAGAGATGAGGTTGTTGTGCAGTGCTTGCCAGTGCACGCTTGCAGTGGGCTGGTTGGTGGCAGACCAGTGAGCGACTTCAGCGGGGTTAGTCACCTAGCTGGAGGTCAACGCTTGCTGGAGTGGGATGGCAGTTTGCGACTTTCAAGTCACCAACGCAAACATCAATCCACATAAAACACTTTTATGTCTGATGAATATATGTTGAAATGGAAACTGTATAATCATCGATGGCCCTTCCCTTTTCTGTTTCTTTGATCCGTGTTTGGTGTTTTTCTTGACTTGTCAGTGAATCTACTAGGCACTGAGCTTAGTGATGCATGTGTTTTGACTGGCTCCAGTCCACTGGTGGTATTGCTCGTGAAGTGCGAACTGTGAAGTTGCAGGTCCTGTAGAAACAGGGTGATTGCGGTTGTCAACAATTGGTACAAGACAGGTCCTGTTTCTACTTTACGCGCGTTTATGTTGCGCTCGAGCCGAGAGTGAGTAAAGAGGGGATCGTGAACCCCTCATGTACTTCCATAGTGAACCAAAAACTCGGATGGTCGCTAGGCCAGGCCCTCTTCGGAGGTACTGGTCAAAGATGTGATCATCCACCTCCATTTATTTTTGCATCTTGAAGGTCTTGAGTTCAATTCCTCATCAGTCGGAGACTTTTCACCGGCGCCTCGGCATCAATGTCTTGGATGATGCGTTGAGATGATCCGACCGAGAGGCTTGCAGGAACCACTGACGACGCAGGTACCGCGCCTGGAACACAATTGATTCCATCTGTTGCAGAATGGAAATTGATTCCAAATGTAAGCGGGGCTCATGATTGGCTCATGATTCTCGGCTTGTGGTGGATGTTTGGAAGTTTGTTAGTGGAACTCGTTGATCTCTGATCATTTGGAATCTATTGTGTATCATTGGCAATTGGTTCGACATCCCCTGAAACGGATTTTCACGCCGGCTTTAAGAGGCAATTGAGCAATTCATGCATTAGGAAGTAACAACGATCGTTACTACGCAGTAAGTTCAAGTCAAGTCGTAATGCGACGATGGAATTGCCTCACTTTTATTACTCTGTTAGGAAGAATCGTGATGGAAGCCAACCCCGCTCTTTGGCGTGGCATTACGGGGGACCAAATCCGTAGTGGTAGCTGAAGCTCCCCTGTTTCTCTCCAGAAGCTCAAGCGGGGTGAATTGGATTGGTCTACGACGAAACGGGCTGCTATCACGCAAAGAAATTGGGTTGCTGTGGTGTTTGTTTTGCGGGGCCGGCCCAGTAAGAGCCGGTACTAAACCGATCACGGGGGTCCATCCCTCCATTGTCATGATGCTCCATGAAAGGTTATTCAGTGGCAATCATTCCCAGTCTTGTAGGAATCATGATCCAGAGAATGAATGATTGATTGTATTTCTAGAGACTTCTGTAAGGCATTGATTCCTCAAACAAGGCCCGATGTCTCTCCCCGACGCCGAAGTCTTCCGGGCCTTCAACGAGACTTGGTTACACCAGTTGCTCAGTTCGGACAGCTTCCCCGCACTTGCGATGGGCTACAGTGCGTCATGTAGTTAACTTTTGTTGACAAATCCGGCATAAGTTTCCGATGATACAGTCGTCTCTTGTTTGACGAGATTCCGAGCGTGATCCGGGGACACCGTCTCGCCTCTAAAAGAGTCCACTCACAGTCGTTCCTTTTCCAATCCACGTCCCTCGCGTTACGGTATAAATGCCAAACTCCACCCCCGCATCTCCTCCATGCCTCGGTTTCTCTTCCCTTCCTCTCGTATTCTGTCCTTGTCTGTAGCGAGGAGGACTCTGAACCAACAATACACCAGATTATCGCTTCACACTTCAGCTCCAAAAATGGCCGACGAGAGAAAGTGTCCCGTGGCCCACAAGGTCCCCAACGTCGCTGGTCACGGCGTTACCCATCAGAAGTGGTGGCCCGAGGCCCTCAAGACCAACATTCTTCGTCAGCACAGCGCCGTCACTAACCCCTACGGCGAGAACTTCAACTACGCCGAGGCTTTCAACTCTCTTGACTACAACGAGCTTAAGGAGGATCTGCGAAAGGTCTGCCGTGATTCCCAGGACTGGTGGCCTGCTGATTTCGGCCACTATGGTGGTCTCTTTGTCCGTATGTCGTGGCACGCCGTTGGAACATACCGTGTCTTCGATGGCCGAGGTGGCGGCCGACAGGTAAGAAATCCATTACACCCTCTCTCTCAATTGCGCACAAGTCTAACAGCGTCATAGGGTCAGCAAAGATTCGCCCCCCTCAACTCTTGGCCCGATAACGTTTCCCTCGACAAGGCCCGCCGCCTTCTCTGGCCCGTCAAGCAAAAGTATGGCAATAAGGTCTCATGGGCCGATCTGATTGTCATGGCTGGCAACGTCGCCCTCGAGGATATGGGCTTCAAGACCATTGGTTTCGCCGCTGGCCGTCCGGATACTTGGGAGGCTGATGAAGCTACCTACTATGGTGGCGAGGATACTTGGCTCGGAAACGACGTCCGTTACTCTGATGGTCACCCCGGAACTACCAAGCCTGGCGCTACCGATTCCGATCAGCCTGAGGCTCCCCACAAGAACATTCACACCCGCGAGCTTGAGAAGCCTCTGGCTGCTGCTCACCACGGTCTTATTTATGTTAACCCTGGTCAGTATTCCCAGAGCCACTGTGTTAATGCGCAATCACTTACTTTTTGCAGAGGGTCCTGATGGCAACCCCGATCCTGTCGCCGCTGCCCGCGACATCCGCGAGACCTTCGGCCGCATGGCCATGAACGACGAAGAGACCGTCGCCCTCATCGCCGGTGGTCACACCGTCGGAAAGACCCACGGCGCTGGCTCAACCGACCATGTCGGCCCTGAGCCTGAGGCTGCTGATCTCGCCCAGCAGGGTCTCGGCTGGTCCAACAGCTACAAGACCGGTAAGGGTCCTCACACAACCACCTCCGGTCTCGAGGTTACCTGGACCAGCACTCCCGTCAAGTGGAGCCACGACTACCTCAAGTACCTCTTCCAGTTCGAGTGGGAGCTCACAAAGAGCCCTGCTGGCGCTCACCAATGGGTTGCCAAGGACGCCAACGCTACTGTTCCTGATGCCTTCGACCCCAACAAGAAGCAAAAGCCTACCATGTTGACCACCGATTTGTCTCTGCGGTTCGACCCTGAGTACGAGAAGATCTCTCGTCGCTTCCTCGAGAACCCCCAGGAGTTCAACGACGCTTTCGCCAAGGCCTGGTTCAAGCTTACCCACCGTGACATGGGTCCCCGCGACCGATATCTCGGCCCCGAGGTCCCCAAGGAGGTTTTCCTCTGGCAAGATCCCGTCCCCGAGCGTGACTACAAGCTCGTCGACGACGGCGATATCTCCGCCATCAAGAACGAGATCCTCAAGTCCGGCGTTGACGTCTCCAAGCTCGTCTCTACCGCCTGGGCTTCCGCCTCCACTTTCCGAGGCAGTGATCTTCGCGGTGGTGCCAATGGCGCCCGTATCCGCCTTCAGCCCCAGAAGGACTGGGAGGTCAACAACCCCGCTCAATTGAGCAAGGTCCTCAGCACTCTTGAGGGCATTCAGAAGAAGTTCAACGACTCTCAGTCCAGCGGCAAGGCCATCTCCCTTGCTGATGTTATTGTTCTTGCTGGTTCCGCCGCCGTTGAGAAGGCTGCCAAGGATGCCGGTGTTAACATCACCGTGCCCTTCGCGCCCGGCCGCACCGACGCTACACAGGAGCAGACAGACGTCAAGTCCGTCAACCACCTTCAACCTTTCGCCGATGGTTTCCGTAACTACGGCGCTTCTACAGACCGCGTCAAGCTTGAGCACCAACTCATTGACCGCGCTCAACTGCTCACCCTCAGTGTCCCCGAGGTCACCGCTCTCGTCGGTGGTCTCCGCGCCCTCAACACCAACTGGGACGGCTCATCCCACGGTATCTTCACCAACCGTCCTGGTGTTCTGACCAACGACTTCTTCGTCAACCTGCTCGACATGAGCACTGAGTGGAAGGCCGTCGGTAACGGTGATATCTTCGAGGGCACTGATCGCAAGACCGGCGCCAAGAAGTGGACCGGTACCCGTGTTGATCTTGTCTTTGGTTCACATGCTGAGCTTCGCGCTACAGCTGAGACATATGCTGAGGCTGGTGGACAGGAGAAGCTTGTCAAGGACTTTGTTGCTGCTTGGACCAAGGTGATGAACCTGGACCGATTTGATCTTGCCAACGGTTCTTCGCCCAAGGCTTCTCCTCGTCTGTAATTTATGAGCAATGTAGCAAAATACCATTGAGAATGAAATGATTACGAATTTTACTAGTTAATTGTATCTGCCCTCTATTATCTCCTACTGATGCACCTTGTGATCTTGTGTATCGATCATTGATCTTGACTTCATTCAATATTCCAAGAAAGTTTGTGATGGGTTGTGGCCGATGAGCCTCGGTACGGAAGTTGATCGGAGCTTACAACACCGTGGCTCCGATAGGTCCTCACAATTCTTGCACCAAATGGCACCATTTGAGCGACTTCTATAGCCCAAGTTCATCCGCTAGGAAGTTGACCGATTGCTTGAATAGTCTCGCTTTTGACGTATAGTTTTACTGCTTTGCGGCGCATTTGCTGATGTCCTGTTCCAGTAGAAGTTATCCTCGGATCCGATACCGCGCGCCGGCCCCACTACCGGGTGATCCCCCGAGCATTCCGATCATGTGAAGTGTCATTCCGATGAGGCTGAACGCAAAGTCACAGATGAACGACAAGCGTGTCATCTTGTGATCGATTGATAAGAAATGAGCTGCTTTTTCGTCACGCCTTTGCAATCACAACGATCAAGACCCGAAATCTTAGATTGACTGGGATAGAAACTCTTCTGCATATTACCAAAATGTAAAATTCCAGTGCGTTCATCTGGTATCTGTACAGAGTTAACTCACAGAAAGTACCACCCAGTGGTCTTCAGAAAGGGTAAGGTGGGAGCTTGAGAAGCTTGCTGCCGTATTAAGAGATGGTGGCAGCTTGACACACCATCAAGTCATTTGAACTGCAAGTCATGTCTCCAGCCTGAGAACCCTTTCAGGAAGCGAGCAAGAAAGATTGGCTTATTCACGGGCTTCATGATTGTCGATATAGAGGAGGGAACATAACACAGCCAGTTTAGCCACTGACCCACTGACAGACCTGGGCGACTTTCTCCAACAAAGCGGCTATCTAGAGACCGCTCTGAAGGGTGCACGAGTCATTCGAGAAGTGGTCCAATAGACCTACTCGGGGTATTAGTTAGGAGCTTCCCCATCTGTGTATATTTATATAGGACTAGGTATATTTTAAGGATTATAGTAGTCCCTAATAAGAGAGACTTCTGATGGACTATTAAATATAAGTAAAGAGTGAATAGTAACCAGGTTACATTCTCGTTATGTCGTGCCAAGATTCGGCTGAACTCAAAAATCCAAGACCAACGACAAGCATACTTCATTCTGTTATTGAATGACAAGATATGAGCTGCTTTTGAGCCGCGGCTCTGTAGCTCATTGACCTTCTTCCAACCAAATAACTTGCGCCTGGATTCCAAGTACCTTCAACGAACATGTGTTTCTTTTGGTCACTCTCAATATGCTCAGCATTTATAACCTTGGCGTCACCGTATCAATAGATATCTCCTTCGTAACCGTTATATCGTATCGCTACGGATTCACAAGTCCTTCCTGGCTGCTATTTGGGTTCCCCGTTGACACACTCGTATGAGCCGCGGGATATGAATCAAGCTCAATTTGGCCACTCTTGGCAGCTCGACTGCGACTCTTGTTCTGACTTGTTTTCGTCCGTGAATTCTCGGCGTAGTAATTTCTTCGTGATCGGGATTGTAGCTTTGCTAATCGGTATAGACCGGGACCGGTGACAATGATGACAGCTACAACCAGTGGTTTAGTAATTGAAGTTTCAGAAAATGTTAAACTTACCGATGGCTGCCTCGATTGTTCCCCAAAGAGCAAGCCAAGGCACTGTAGGCTGCCCTCCAGGTTGTCCGATCTGCGTAACACGGACTGTCGATGCGATGATACAAATCCAACCAAGGCCGAAGAGAGCTGCGATGCTGCACTTTCGAGATAACGGCATCTGAAGCGTAACGATCAGCCGTAAAGGAAGTCCCATGACTACCACCTGGTTAGCATTGGCGGGCATGCCATTGATATGCGCTTACTCAACAGGTCTGTGAGGACATCAGTCGCATACGCAAACCACATGCTAATAGCGGCTGCTTTCACATCGCGAGGTGTCGTGCACTTCCCAACAGCGAACCAAGCCTCCATACTAGAGCAGGCAAGGAAGAGAGTGACGATATTGCCGACCAGTGTCTACAAATAGCTGGCGATTAGCTCGTTAATTGAGCGGCATCCCGACGAATCTACTTACCAAGACACAAAACCCCACCAAAGCATACCATAGCTTCATGTAAAAAGGCAGCTGGACTAGTAGCTTCTTGTACATCCAGAGCAGCGCGAACTTTGCGGACCAAAGGCAGAACCACAGACATGCCGAGACTGTGAAAAGCCCTTTCTGAATGAACAATGCATCATCGTTAGCCGTCGTATAAGGTTCAATAACCCCTTCTCCGAGATCCGTCAACCGAAAGAATGCGGGAACGATGTAGAGGTAAAGAATTGCAAGGACGAGGAAGAAGACATAACAAGAAGCCAGCCACGCATCCTCAACTCGAATGCTTTTATGGTGGATGATCGCGAGGTAGAGTCGGAACGCAGCTGCTATTGAAGCAACAACGATCAAGGCAATGCCTGTATTTCGAATCGAAGATTTTGAGACTGGTGTTTTCACCATGGTGATTGCTGGTGAAGAGCGAGAGTGTACATGCTTGAAAGCAGGCTGGCGCAGGATGAAGAGAAAGGTTGAACTGGCTGATCAGAGAGAGAAGAGGAAAGCTGAGTTCCTCCAGGACAGGAACCAACAGTCACAATGGCACACTGTATCGAATTTCTTCAGCCAAGCAAGCCATCATGGTGCCGTGCTGAGAGGATCGATTTCCCTGCCAATTACATGCCAGCAGTATTCTCGCATTGACCGTGAGGACTAGATAAGGGAAGAAGTGGGACTAACTTGCTGACGGGCTTGACAGATGGAAGGATTTACACATGAATTAAAGTTTAATACACGGAGTAGCGTAGCATTTAACGATAAAAACCAGGGTTTGGTTTGTCGGGAGCTTCCCCGTCCGTGTACATGCATACAGGATCGGGTATGTTTTAAGTAATAATCATGGTAGTCTTTGATAATCGAAACTTTCGATAGACTAACGGGAATGTAACCTGGCTACTATTCATCCCGTATTTGTATTTAATAGTGAATAAGATGAAATCCGAAGTATAATGAGTGTCCTTTACGGATATGTCTTGCCAAGATTCTGCAAGAGTTCTGAGGATAGTTTACCCCTGTTTCTTGCATGATATCCTTGACATACCCAGGACCAACAGCATCTACGCCACTTGGCTGCATCCAGGCCCTTTCTTTCCAGAAAGTGTCAACAACAAACACACTTCGTTTAAATAAGGAGAAAACTCCTCTATTGCTTTCTCACCAGAGAAGTGGGATTGTGCAGTGTGTTGTGAGCCTTCGCATGCATACACTGTGTTTCTCCTTCCACGAATCATTTTCTTGACATGAACAATCCTTGCCCAACCGCCAACCCGGGTGAAGACCCTGGAAATAGGAACCCTACCTGCAGGATAAACGGTACAGAAATGCCGCAACATGATACAAAACCAACACATATTTCCTCATATCTCTCCCTCACCACTCCCCATTGACCGTCTCCTGCCAATTTGAGTCAATATGCGGTGTTACTCCCTGTTCATTACAGCCTTCTTGGTTGTTGTATCAAGTGCTGCCGATCCTTTGCTCGAGACGAAGGACTTCAATGTTACTCAAGCACTTCTCGACCAAGGCGTTGACGTATCAGGACTACCTGTATCTGCGGAGGATGCAAAGCGATCTGACACTGGCTGTGCCGCTGCTGTACGTGAACATGCATCTGTTGACCTTCATGTGACTGACCCAGAATAGTGCGCCTCTTTGAAGATCCTCTACGGCGATACGACTGTTGAGACGAGAAAAGAAAAGGCATTTGAGGAGTTTACAGGCTCGTATTGGTCCTCAAACCAGGCAGAAGTCAACCCTTACTGTATCTTCATTCCTCGAAAACCGAGTCAGATCTCTGTAGTTATACTGTTGGCTCGATTGGCACAATGTCCGTTCGCTGCTAAGAGCGGCGGCCATGCGGCCTTTGCTGGGGCTTCATCCGTCGAGGGTGGTATCACCATTTCGTTTGCTAACCTGAAGGGTGTTTCTCTATCAAAAGACAAGAAGATTGCTTCAATCGAACCTGGAAATATCTGGGGTCCTGTGTATGAGGAGTTGACAAAGTCTGATGTTAGTGTCGTTGGAGGCCGGCTCTACAATATTGGCGTTGGAGGATTGACCACTGGCGGTATATGTCGCTATCTCTCACCTAAGTTTCACGACTAACTGGAATTAGGCGGTATCTCATTTTTCTCAAATATCTATGGCTGGGCCTGCGACAATGTTGAGAGCTACGAGGTAACCATCACAAGTCCAGCTTAATCTCTGTAGTCACCGAAACTAACCCATCTACAGGTTGTACTCGCCAATGGCTTCATAATCAAAGCCAGCGCCACAGCATACCCCGATCTTTACTGGGCCCTTCGTGGTGGTGGCAACAACTTCGGTCTCGTCGTCAAGTTCAACCTCAAGACCATTTCTCTACCTCAGGGTGAGATGTGGGGAGGATCCCGCGTCTACACAGAAGACAAGTTCCCTGAAGTCACAGAAGCACTCTTCAACATCCTAATGAACTCTAAAAAGGACCCCAAGGCCGGCATCTACGTGGTTTGGAGTTACAATGAAGGCAACAAGCTCTCCATTCCTGCTATGTACTATGCCGAGCCCGATGCCGGCAACGCTACTATCTGGAAGGACTTTAACAATATTGAGGCTATCTCTGACACCACTCAGAACAGAGTTCTCGCTGCGTGGGGCAAGGAGACCATGAATGACAGCCCTCCGGGACTTCGTGAAGTTTACTACGTTATTACTACCAAGCTTGATCACGACATCTTGAAGTTTGCGAGGGATTATTTTTACAAGACCGTTCCTACGGTTGCTAATATTTCTGGCATTGTCCCTGTGTTCGTGGTCCAGGGCATTACTACTCCCCAGCTCAAGCAGATGCAGAAGAATGGAGGTAACGCTCTTGGTATCGACCCCGAGGGTGGACCTCTACTCATTTTGCAGTTATGCGCTATGTGGAATAACCAGTCTGATGATGACGCTATCTATAGCTGGATGTCTGATATCTTTGAGGTAGTGACCAAGGAGGCCAAGGCTCGCGGTGTCAACAACGACTACGTTTACATGAACTACGCAAGTCAATATCAGGATGTCATTGCTAGCTACGGCTCGTGTAACAAAGCTAAGCTGAAGAGCATTGCGAAGAAGTACGATCCTCAACAGGTGTTTCAACAGTTGCAGCCTGGATACTTCAAGCAGGATAGAGCACCTATTCCCAACTCTGCATACTTCTCACACTAAAAGAGAATGGAAATTTACAAAGAACATGAATCATGACAGAGACCATGCATCAGAGCGCTGTAGAGCTTAGAAGAGAAAAGTGGAACCTAGCCATAAGTTAGAATAATATAGTAAATCTCATCCTAAGCCTTAGGATCATACTAATCTAAGCTTGCTCTAAGCTATTGATGACCTGGGGAGAATTTGAAGCAGAATTGCCCAGTTGTGGATCACAATCCGTCGCCCTACAGGGAATGTTAGACAAAAGTCGACGTATCTCGTTGGCGTCAGCCAAGGTAAACGTCGTTCATTCAGTAGGTGCCAGGAGAGACTCAGCGGTTTCTCCCGGCCCAGCTCCCACGTCCTGCCTCTCGGCGTTGTCGTCATCAACCACCTCGTCCATTGTTTGAACCGGACGCCACGCAGGTATCTCGTTGCTTGCCACAGCCTTGATAACCTCGGACTGAAGGCCATCCCACGGGAGAACAGAGTCTCTCTCATTCCACTGGACCTTGGCGTCGACCAGCTTCGCCATCTTCAGAAGCTCTAGCCGGTGGACGTACGTTCCGGTGATTGATGGCCTCGTGGACCTGTCGACTCATGAGGTGTGAGATTGGATGAGGGAGCGAGTGCTCAATCCAGGATGGGTTGCCCTCCCCAAGCAAACCCTCCTCCCCTCCCAAGGGGCCGACGTCCTTCCCATCCACAGGCTTGAAGACTGGGCCAATCATCTCTGCTCCTCCTGAGAGAGATACTAATGCGCGCTTCGGCGATGGAATCCAGAAGGCTGACGAAGGGACAAGGGGCATGAAGAATCTCATGCCCTGGGAATTGGTGATCTCGTTTGCCATGGATGCTGGAAGCGCAACGAGTTGGGTCTCTGTTGCGCGAGGGTGGTACATGGGAAGACCAAGGGTTTTGATGTCGTCAAACATGCAGAGCTTAAAAGGCTCTCTGCTTGGGGTTTCCCGGTGGTTACCCCCACAAGCAATTTCACCTGATTCCCTGGCCATGACGCTTGTAGGATGGGCACTGTATGGTCGGCAGGGAGGGTATGATAGGTAGAAGTCATGACGCGGGGAAGGTGACGGATTTTGCTCTCGTCGACAATGCCTGATTTGATTGCAAGATTCGGCCGGGTGTCTTGCGACCAAGATGGTAACACCAAAATACAATCTGAAAGGATGTATGTATCTTGACAAGGCATACGCCTCATGCCAACGGAGTAAGTGAGGGAAATAGAGGACAAAGACCTCTAAATCCACCATCGGGACGGGGTGCCTGAGCTGTGTCCTCAGGTTGCTGATATACGCGAGACCCTCTGCGTCGTAATTTGTGGAGTCCTTTGTGCGCAGGTAGAGGATGACAGCTTGGATTGCTGTGTTAATGGACATAGGAAACAAAGGATTCAGTATAAGTAAGGATTTGAGCCTGGTGACAAGCTCTAGGGGTACCGTATATGCCCCCAGCGGGATCAAGGACATGGCCCAGTGTGTGTCAATCCCGTCATTTTTTTGTTAAACTTCGTTATCTCAGCAATCCCCTCCTTGGTGATGATTCCGATATGTTGTGAGGCCTTTGGAGGGAGGTACTGAATTGCCTTCTCGTTCTGTCTGATAGCCTTGCCTTCTGGGTCCACTTCGCTGTTAAAGAAATCGGCCTGGTGAAGTCATCATCTTCAAACAGATTCGGATGGACTTCACCTGTCTTGGAGCTTACATATACAAGTTGTCCGTTGATCGTCGATACTCCAACGTATAGGCTGCGGACATGCCTGCCGTTAATAGGTGCCGTTGTCGGAAGTCGTTGACGCAATCGTTTGGCTTCGTCTCTGAGAAGCAACAGTTGACAAAGGCTAACTCGCTTGCGAATCACACTAATCGGTGCATAGATCTGCCGCCTCTAGTTTGCTGCCTGAAGTATATTTTGAGAAGTGTTATTGAGAGCTGACGCCTATCGTGTGCCCCACAACGTTTCTCTGTCGGGCAGGTATCAAGTTACTGTGTAAATTAGTATGCGCTCGATGCCTGGAAGTGTCACTATGTACTAGTTAGCGGCGGGTTTAGTGCCTTCGTGGTGCTGTGTATCTCGTCCTCACCGCACTTGCAAGGATAGAATTGAGTATAGATAGCGTCTGCAATCACAAAGAAGTCGTTGTAGCGACCACAGATCATGTCATACTGGACGACTATCTTAAAATATTGCATGGCCTCGTCAAGATTAGACCCGTAGGCCGTGTGCGAATGCGTGAGTGGGCAGCTTTCAAGAACGCCTGGATGACTCTGCTTTGGCATTGGCTGTCTCTCTCGACAGAGGGTCATAGCTCCAGCGCGCTACATGTTCACTCAACTTATGTCAGTGCCGAAAGCTGCCGACGGACCATCAGTGTGGCGATGTGGATAACTGAAGTTATGTAGAGCCTCAGCTTACTAATGAAATTTACACACATGTATAAAGAGTTGTATAACAAGGGTTCTAAAGTTATGGGCATAGTGCAAAAGAATCTGAGGTGGAAGACAGGGCGAGTTCGTGATGCTGAGAAACGGATTGGGAGCTTTTATATCCCGCAGATGAGTCATACAAACAATAGACTGGAAGGTATTGATGTTCTGCTTGCATATGTCGCTTCAAATCGCACTCAGCCTGTCTCTTCTTGGGATGGATGGCTGAGGGAAACTTAGCAATCGCGCACAAAGTTTGCCCAACGGTAAGTATGTAGGGCGCTTATTCTACAACCAAGATTGGGACCACAATCTCCTACTAGAAAAACCACCAAGTTTGACAAATAAAAATCACTGGAACATCTTTGAGTAGTTGACGCTTGTGTAGCGAAAGGCCAACGGCCGCTTTCTGTATACACAGGCCCGGTGCGTGATATGAAGGGATAAGGAGTCTGAAACCTGAAGCAGCGCATTAAAGAAGATTTGTGTACATTGATTATCACACAGCTAAAGGAGGTCACTATCGGTTGCCATACCAACCTTTGGGGTTGAAGTAGGTCTACCGAAGAGAGGCTGATCGCTGCTGGTCAAGCTTGGAATAGCTTTGTTTGTGCTAAAAACTCATCCGTCGCATGGTACTCTGAGATGGGCGGCTGACAACCTGATTCATGCAGTTGGCCCCTGAAAGCCGCATCGGAGCGGCATAACCGGCACACCTACATGTCTACCTCAAATCAGACAAGAAACAAGCAATTGACAATAGCCTTGTGGGACAAACAGGTATAATGAAACCTGCAAAGACGCGGCCCGCAAGAGTCAGCTCGCCTTCGGAACGCTCAGTAATCAGGTTCCCGGCCACTCTAAAATTAGAACAAAAGATAGGCGCTCCGTACCTCAACAAAATTCGACAATAACAACGATACCCCGGAAACCTATGTACTTAAAGCTGTGGGAGAAATTGAAGGATGGTGCTAGGCTGAGGATAAGAGCTTTTCCAGCATTTGGTCGGAGTGAGTGGCTGAGTTTCTGACATCGCAGGGATTCTTTGTCGAAACTACTCGAAATTCGGGAACAGGCTTTTCGTGAGAACGAGATGGGCTTTAGGTTCCTTTCGTGAGATTGTGATGATTGAGTTTGTATAAGGTCACCGCTTCGAGCTGTTGTAATTGAACATCGCTGACATCCTCGTTTGCAAACTAGTCCTTCGCTTTGTCACCGACACTCGCTTCACATCACAATCAACAAACACTGTACAAAAAAACACCAAACCTTAACAACAATGATCGTTGGTCGTGTAATTGGCGTACTTCTGCCATTCGCACTCGCAATCGCGGCTGCCATCTTCACCCTTGTCCCCGCACTCGCAGGCATCACAGACAAATCCCTCCACATCATCCAGCTCGACTTTGAGAACCTCAGCATCAGTCCTGCAAGTGAGCTGGTCGACAAGATCTTGCCACGTGCCGAGACGATCGAAAAGAATATCACAGCCGAAATTCTTGGTCTTGACAAGACCTACGATATTACACTCTGGGGATACTGTCACACCGATAAAGATGACAAGCGAGAGTGTTCAAGCCCCAAATTTGACTGGGTTCGAAAGACCATACGCACAAACTACATCAAGAGTGTCGATAAGGATGTTGAGGTCAAATTGCCGAAAGAGATCAACGCTGCTATCCAAACCTTCGGATCGATGACGAAAGGAGCTGAAGTTGCGTTCATCGTTGCTTTGATAGAACTGGCCATCGAGATTGCACTTGGTATCTTTGCAGTATGTTCTCGCGAGCTCACCTGTTGGACATGGATGGCAAGTGGCCTTGCTTCTGCGTTTGTTCTCGTGTCAGCTGTTCTCTCCGCCATCATGGCTTCTGTCTCGATTGGTGCAGTGGAAACTACAGCCAAACTCTACGGAGTCAAGGGAAAAGTCAATATCGTTTTTCTTGCCATCATCTGGATTGGTGCCGCCTTTGCTGTCGCTGCAAACCTCCTCTGGATAATACCAACCCTCTGCTGCAGCACTGGCAAGCGAAATAATCCTGAAGGAAAAGGGTTGCTCGAGCGCGGTACTCACTCTGGAGCTTATGCCCCTATTGATGATGATCACGAGATGCAGCCGACATATCATAATCGTGGTCTGGCGCCATCTCCCCGGACAGATCTTGCCTACGAGCCCTACAGCCACCAGGTTTAACATCAGGCTTAACACCATGGGCTAGATTGAGAAATTTTGAGTGATACGCTAGATGGTGGGCGCAATTGTAAGCATGTTTGACGGTGGGATGCTTCAACAGATTGGGGGTATAGCCGTACATTTGGACTTTCATTTTGGATTTGTATTGATGGCGGCATGTGCTAGACTTTAGAAAGAAAATAAACCACAAATATTTGCACTTACACATGCAGTCCTCTCTTTTCGTAGCAAACACACATGATGCAGTTTCTCAAGGTTCAGGGGTGAAATAGATTTCAGGCCCTCCGCGCTTAAATAAATTTCAAGTATGTCCTCTTCCAGATGCCTTTCATCGCTATGGGAGACATCAACGTGAATATCCGATCTTGTTGCGCCCGCAAAGAAAACATGGACATGCTAATCGCCATCGATTGCACTGACTTCTGGGACAAGTGTCCATCGTGTAATATTTTGCTCAGCGCTGGTAGAATTGAGCAGCCAACTAAACCCAACGGTCCACTGGAATCTCTCCAATCATGCTGAAGACTGACAGTGGAGCTAACCGACTTCGCTGTAGTGCAACGGCCATGTCAGGGGTAGTCGGACTTCATCAGTAAGCAGAGCATCGACATGCTACAAGAGTCGGAGAAATTATTCAGCTCTACAAACTAAAGACTTGCTATTGGCAGTGGCTTATTGTACGTAGAGGACTTTTGTCTCAAGGCCGAGCTGAGAGTTGCCGATCTGCTGGCGCTAGAGCGACTGGCCATGAAAGGCGGATGGGAAAATGAACACTGATGACTCGCTGGCCTCTGCAAATCTCCATCAAACGTGATTTTACACCATATACTACAGTGTGACTCATTAGAAATGCCAGAGCTCCAGCCAACGAGTCACGTCAGGCATTATTCGCCCTACCCACTGCAGAATCATTCAATTCTGGTGCTTCAAGTTGGACTAAAGCTACGGCCGATTATTAGGTTATGGCCTAGATCCCCCAAAGCTCGGAGAACTTAAAGCGTTGCTACGTAATCGCTGTTATTGACAAATGCTTGTAGTATGCTCGTAAATCCATCAATTTCCCTTCGTTCCAGCTTTTCGCCTCCCAGAATTACTGGCGGGTTGATCTGTACATTCCGATCTTACCCTGACATAGTGAAACGTACAAAGAAAGGTCAAACTGGGCTGCTAAACAATAAATTAGACAAATCTGACCAGCCATAATAGGTGCTCGTGGATAAAGTGACAGATAATCAGCGCCAACGTCCTCCAGTGAGAGTGGCTCATCCAAGGGCCCATGGAGTGGCAATCAGTGCACTGGCGGCCGGATCACTAATCTAGAGGCACAGCACGGAGATTTGTTGTCATGGACTAATCTAGAATATCAATACAGCAAGTATCCAGCGGTTCAGTGGTCAACTGGACAAGCTGTCCATGTGGACCTCGTAAGCGGGAACGTGTCGGTGATGCCTTCACATCTCTCATGGAAGTTCGTATTTGCAAAGTACGTAGCTGATGCCAGCTTCATGATGGAGTAGACCCAGAGGTAATGGAACATCTATGGAGCCCTTTAGCCAAACATCTCTTGCTGACAAGCAGGCCTCTTCTTCTTTTGAGTATTTAATATCTCAAGTATCGCAAAAGCTTCCATCACTCTCGCTCTCTTCAGTCTGTCTTCTCCTTGACCTATCTACCCCAGCACCATGAAGATCGCCTCCTTCCTTACCGCACTGGTCGGAGTCCAGCCAGTCGCCGCTTGGGAATATGTCTATCTGGTCAACTCCAGGAAGGGCAATGAGATCTCCAGTGGGATGGCTTATTACGGCGAGGGCCACTCTGCCGCTAATATGGCCCGCCCTGACGACTATGTCGACATCAGACACGGAAGTAACATTCAGTGGGAAGGATTGTCTCTGAAAGGTGAGTGGGTATGATAAATCTTTATGGAGGTTTACTGACGATGCCAAGGCACTTTTGGAAGCGGTGTGAGCTTTACCTCTAACATCTTTGCCGACGCTGGTAGTAAGGAGATCAACAGTTGGGTTGGGACGGGAACAAACGGATATCAGAAGTTCAACTGCTACAAGGGCTTCAGTCCCAGAGGTTCCCCTTTTATCCTGTACAAGGTTGATGGTTGGGATGTTTACAGCATCTACTTCTGCATGAACAACGGCTAGAAGATGGGGCATACGAGGAGATGAGCAATTCAAGGGGTTTGCCAGTTGGGGCTACCTGAATGGCTTGACACTGTACGATGAGCTTGGGCCTTGAGGCAAGTAGGATGCTAAGTTGAATATGAACAATTGCCATATTTATGTGGATCAAAGTCTGCAAAATCGTGTCATACCAAGTCAGTGTGGCGATAGAGTACATCCACTGGCAAGGTCCAGTCGTTTCATATTTATGGTCAGCGGATAATTCTGCTGACCTTGTCTTTAAGTCTCAACCCTCGTGGACTATCCGGTGTTTGTGGTCCGCGGCGTATGGAAGTATTGACCTATATCATGAATATGATTGAAATCAGTAGTAAGTTGAACTAAAGTTGATTCAACTTGATGAGCAAAAGAAAAGGGAAAAAATGGTGTTACACATGGAGTTAATATAAAGTGGCAAATAGATAATGCAGAGAAAGAAAGAGAGGGGGTGAAAAAAGAAGAAGCGACGATAAAATACTGCGCACGATATACTTTGCATAAGGATGGAAGCTTATCTGAAAAGCTTCCACCTTTATTCCCGCCGTTAGAGAACTCAGCTATTGTCACATGAGAGGTGAGCTAGAAGTGGATAGGCACCGATGAAAGCAGGTTATAACAGAATCGAGCTATTTCTCGGGAAAACCTATTTAGCCGTCTCCGTCCCTCGTGCGTACTCGAGGCCTTTGAGATACTAGGGTTCAGGGTAGAACATTTATGCCTTGGAAATCCTAAAGGTTACTTTTCCTTGGTCTCAGTAGCAAATCACCCGGAATAAGGGAACTGAACTCTTTAGTTGCCCAGCTGTAAGTGGGTTGTATAATAGGAAGTGAGTCACTTCCCTCTTGTTCATTTGATTCCTTGTGGGTTCAATTTGACGCGTGCTTCAAAAGTCGATAGAAATTCCTCAAGTCGAGACATCTTGATGATAATAAGCCCTAAAATCCTTCGCATATCACTGTTCCCGCTCTATATGCAGATCTGCCCTGACTATGCCTTGCCAATCCCCGCTTCGCGTCTCAAACAGGTAAAGGATATGACGGCTACCGAGTTTACTCACTATTATTATCCAATCGTAACATCGCAAGCCCTCAATCCCTTGACCTCAGATACTCAGCTGAGTTGTCATGCGAGACAATATTCCGATAGTATTACGTAGACAGTGGAGATGTTGAGCATGGAATTCCACTTGCGAAGTAACGATAAACGAATATCTTGGTCTGTTGGCAAGGATCGATGAATGTTGGCACTGAATTCGGTAGTTGATCGGCAGATTTTGCAGTCAGCTCAGCCTCGAGTTTCTTGATCTCCTGAGGCTTAGGGGTCTTTCATGGGGTAGAAAGGATTAAATCCCAACTCGTTCCTTACGGGCAGAAACAGGCAGCAAGTTTATCCCATCGAAGGATTCAAGATGCGACATCAGCCCGTTCGAAATGATGTCATTTACGCGACATTGGAAAGTGAATTGGCTGGAGATTGTAGAATTGGGAATTACTGAGTGCAACTCCAAGAACAGTGAAAGAAAACACACGCATATATATATCGTAGGCAGACCATAATTTAATATCTCTCCATCAAACACAAGCATTATTCCTCAGATCCTGCACAAACAAACCGGAACTGGCACCCACCAATCCAACATCCATCATGCCTTCGCCTCGCAACATTCTCACCAGCCTTTTGGTTGCCTCTCTTTCATCCACCGTCGCAGCCGAGCATCTCCGTGTTGTTTGGTCTCAAGGTGACTTCTCGACCATCTCCGGACCCTCAGGCGGAAGCCAAAGCGGCCACAGCTCCGGCTTCACAATCCTCAAAGACGACGGCACTGCCATTTACAGCAAGGCCTATCCAGCCGACCATTCTCCCTGCTACAACACCGGTAGCGGACGCGAGTTCACCTTCGGAGGCGATTGTTGGACCAAGGAGCGCAAGTTCCGCTGCAAATCCTCTTTTGCTGGTGACCCTGAGTCATGCGAGGTCAAGGACCAGGATGGAAACAGCCTTGGTACTGGAGAGGGCAAGACTGATACAACCTTTATTGGCATCGCTATCGCACAAGACTCTGCGTGTGTTGTTGAGTTCAATACTGATGACGATGAGGATTGCCCTAAGGATGAGGACAACAACTTGGGTGTTAGATCTGGTTAGGTCTCAAAAATTGGTGAGGTGAAGGAATAGGCAGCAGTGCAGGCATTGAAATACGTTTTATTTGCCTTTTTGTTAGAGTTTTGAGCCTTTTGCGACCCAACCTAATAGAGTGAGTACAGTCATGGGAATATCGCAGAGCCCAATCGGGTCTCTCAGCTTCTATAGGGTTTATCCAAATGTACCTTGACCTTTTTAGCATGCCAGCACAAAGCTTGGATATTACTCATAGTGCTGATGTTGGCGGGTTTTCGATGCCCCCGAAGTAAAGTGACCAATGACCATGCTGCGCGTAAAGCATGAAAGATGGAAATAAAGCGTTTATAGGACAGATATTTGAGTCATACCTCTGGCATGCGCCACGTGATCATCTTCGCACACCACAGCGTAGTATAGGCCTCGAAATATACCGCCAGAATAGTGCTATCACCAAGAGCTATTTGCTCAGCGATCGGTCTATTGGTTCCACTCCGGCCGAATATGTGTCATCAAGATAGATGAGATGTCAAAAGCGCTTGGCCCTGGCTAAATGACCTATCAGAAGTTCCGGCAAAGCTCCAAAGTTTATTCAAGAAACAGCCGTTGAAATGGAAAAAGGCGAAATCACCTTGAGTTTCGAGTGCTTGATGCAGCTTCTTGATACCATTCGCCTGGAGAGCCTCAGTTGTCAGAATGAATGGATTACTGGCCACTATCAATGAACTCTAACTTTATCACAGTCAAGTGAAGCATCAGCCACATTGCATATAGAGAAAGTAAAGTTGGTAAAAAAGTTCTCAACTTTATAGTGTTTCCCCGTAACACTATAGGGTTAATGCCACACATTTAAGCAGGCCAATTATGCTGACGTCTATGTACAAGAACTCTTCGATCGAATGAATAAGATTTTGTCAATGCTGAAGTTGAGCAGTCGAATAGCAGTTACATTCTAGATTACCCTTGAGATACTTTGCTGAGATATTGATAAAGTTTACACAAACTGAATAAACTCATTCGTCAGGAGGTCTCTTCAGTTTATCGTGAAGTCTTCAAGATGCAAGCGTATTATAAATATCGCGATATATTCGCTTTCCATCTCTCTTTCTCTTTTGTTATAAATTTTATTATTGCAAGTCCAAGAAATAATCATATAAGTAGCTAAGGTACCCAAGAATACCTCACTTAAAGGTCAGTCAACTCTACCTATCTCACCATCATATCTTTTGCTTATCACAGCCACCATCCTGTTTGACCCCCCTACAAGATACTGACATTCTCCAGCACACACCAAATTCTACCCAAAATCGACACGAAAGTATGTGTGTAGATGACACTAGACTCGGTGATGGGGGTCAGAAATCGACAGTAGGGGAAAGTGTGGACGCTCAAGATTGGGAGATTTGGGTCAGTGGCGAGTCAGCCCCAGATGTCAAGCTCGACATGAACGACCAATATGGGCTCGCCTGTGGTCTAGATAGCTATTTTGACGCGCATGGCCAGTTCGGGGGTTTCCCGTGTGATCCTACAGTGAACGCCCAAGCGCCTTTCCAACACGTCGCATCTTCCTACTTACCACCGACATATGACCATGTCAGTCCCTCACAACTCAGCACAGAACCAGAGGTTCCAAAGCATGAAACAGACCAAGGTCAGCCGCCTAACGACGACCCACAAGTCAAATTCGAAGCCACAAATGACATTGACCATCTCAAAATTCTCTACGACGAAGTCCGTATCTTGAAGATGAAGAACGCTCGTCTTGGGAGAGAATTGAAAATGGGGCTCAAGAGCCAGCGTGACATGTCCTCGCGGTCCCTGAGTGTTGTCCAGGACCAGCTGAGCCAGGCTCACAAGTTCTTCGAATTCTGGGGTGGTCAGACTAAGACAAACACGAAACAGCTTCAAGATCTCGAGAGCCGTTGTCTTGGCCGCCACATCTGTTTGCAGGACTTGGTCGGGGAAACCGGACATGTTGTGATGACAGATTTCGAAGGCCGGAGATAATCTCAGGAAAAATTCATGGGGTCTTTGGGAGATAAGGGCTTTGTCTCCATCATCTAGGTTTCCAAGTCACGCCGCAGAAAGCAAGACAAGCCGGGAAAGGCACGACTCGAGGCAGGAATATGCTCAGAAGAAAGAAGCACGAGCTTAGAGAGCGAGGCTAAGCCTTGAGCCACGTCGCTCGACTATATAACAGATACTCAGGTTTGGGGTGAGAAAACCTGAAAGGGATTGATTGGATGCGTGGGGTTTAGCTGGAGTTATCATGAATTTGTAGAAAGCGAATACCCTGCAAAGTTTTTAATTCAACTTTTTAATAAGGAAGAGACTTTCTGATAAATTTCAGAGTTTGAAGAATAACTAGAAAGTGATTTGTTATTGTTTTGTCTGCCTGAACTCAACATCAGTGTCGGAAGTCTAATTTGAAGGTGAGTGGCGTTAATGGGTATGTAGCTAAGCGAAAATGTGAGGCCTTCCCCTTCCTGGCATAATTCGCTGGAATTCACCATAACAGAACCCTGTGAATGCTAACAGAACTGTTCATGAAGCTTAATTAATAAGAGAAACCTTAGTTAATTCTCGTTTCATGATGACAGACCGTCAATCTGCATTACCTAATCAACAAGGATATTGCTTACGCCCCTCCCAGTTTAGTTTAGGCAGATGCACAGCAAAGATGAAACCTGCTTGACGTTGCAATTTCCCAAGAAACAAATTGAGGTCATCATCATCGCCATGTCTGGGCAACAAGAGCATACGAACGGGGGCTCGTCTCCAGTTGAAGTTGCCTCGGCGTCGGGTAAAAATCCCGTTCAGATTATTTTGACACCACCTACGCCAATCGTTTCCGCTGGAAATTTTGATCGACGTGGGGAAGACACGTTCAAGGAGGTTCTCCCCGCAGTGTCTGAGGAGAAGGAGGTCGTTCAGAGGACGGATGGCTACGATGAGAAGGAAGTTTATGCTGTGAGTGAGGGGCATGATGAGAAGGAGGTCTATATACCCGCCGCGGAGAAAGAGGTTTATGATCATGGGCTTGAGAAGGAGGTGCACGACTTGAGGCTTCATGATGGACATGACGAGAAGCAAATCTATGACCCAACCGAACGTATTGCTCAAGCGCAGTGTATTGACTCACCAGAGAAAGAAGTCCTCCCCCCAACAAACCATGAGGATCACAAAGGGTTCCACCATCCAAACTACTCAACCCAGTCTCTACCAACCCAGGACAAAGAGAACGAAGCGTCTATGGCGGTCCAGAAATACAACAGCAACGTAAATGAGAGAAGGGAGAGCATATCGACTGCATCTACTGAGACATCAGAGACGAAAGACAGCGCTGCCCGGGGTTACTACCAACGCCATCTCAACAAGTGGAACCAAGCAGTTGACAAGAAGAAGAAAGCCTGGACGACATTCGCCAACAATTCAAGTACGACTATGACGGAGAAGGCCAATCAAATCGACAAGGGACTCAAGGATCGTTGTACGGCATTCGAGAACGGCACTACAGCCAAGTTGAACCAGCTTGATAGAAGTATCAGCGACAGTGTTGATCGAGCTGGTAAGAACGTCAATACCAAGGTTGCGAATTGGAAGACGGGTATGGGAAACATGAAGAGTCAGAGCATGAGTAATTTCAAGACATTGGGATCTAGATGTCAGATTGGTGCGAAGGAGGGGAAGGAAGAGAAGGAGACGCAGTGATAAAGGTGTTTTTTGAATCGCTTTGGAGCTCAGTTTCGATTTCAGTTTAGTTTCGGGTTTTGTCTCTCGTCTCGTTTGCTCATACACGATAGCGCATTCTTTTGATCACAACATTGTAATATAACTATTCATTATCGCGTCCTAGTACCACTCAAGTCCGTCATATGTTCCATCCAATTTCCCCTCCTTATCAAGCTTGATTATCGCCTCTTTGGTCCTCCTTGTCATGAGCTTAGGGTACTCAGGCGATGTAACCGGAGGTGCTGGTTGGGTTGTATCCTGACGGAGCCAAGCCACACCGCGGGCTCCATTAACGGTTTTGACGGCATATCGCAGGGTAGCTATGTCGGATTCTTCAAAAGCCCCTCCTAGCACAACGGCGCGGGGAGCATTATTGTAATTCCCGGAACCAATGGCGCTGCTGTCAGGATGAGATGGCGGACCTTTACTGGCAAGAAGAGCTGGTATGATGACTTGTCCCGAGTCTCCGGGTAAGACGAACTGAACAACTGACGGTATCAGTATTGAAGGTGCTCTGGGGCGATGTTTTACCTTCAATTTCTGGCTTGAGAGCTTCAACCACTCTTTCACCGATGAATTCAGTTTTTCCGCAGAGAATGATTGGGATCGGGTTCGTTTCCGACATTCTGGTTACTATCGAGATGGGGTTTCAAGGGTAAGCAGAAATAGAAGTGACCCTGCCTGGATGACCGCTAGAGTTGTATTTAAACCAGGTTCAGGCCAAGCTTCAGACCCCAACCTAAATGCTGACGCGACGTGATCAAGAGGGGTAAGACCTAAGCATAGAGCGATATTTCTATCATCTTGTTATTGTTTGATTGAAGCTATTCACGACTATTCATGTGCCTGCGTTGTTAATACCTCGGGAGATGTCCCAGATGGGGGCTGTAGCTCTCGGATCGTGGAGATGCCGACGGACCACGAATTGAGAAAAATGTGACCTCCACTGTAATTACCGCCCAAAGCGCTGGGTACTGCAGATCACCGATAACTAAAACCACAATTACGGGCCTCAATAAAAAATTCTACTGGTCTCAAATGACGTGAATGGCGATCAACCCATCGATCATTTCAATCGTCACAATTATCAACTGCAAGGGTGAAAAAAACAAGAAAAGATCAGCTGGAATAAGGCTGGGCAGCAAGGGATAAACGTGCATGCGGTGATCACTCTCCTTACTGCATGTCAGACGCAAGGGCCCTGTGATATTAAGCCACGCGATAATCACGCCTGTCAAGAGGGAAAAACATCTTCATCGGAGGGATTATTCCCTAGCGATATTTAACGCTTTGACTGGCGTGTCTTGTTATGGTTAATGACAACGGTATAGACGGTTCATTGGACTGCCCGTTGACGTTGACAGCTTAACGGCTACTGGTGAATATCCTACTGCCAAATTGGTAATCACTTTGTATGGCGCTTTACCTCGTAGGAAATGACATATCGTGTCTCATTCCCAAATTGACGTGTTCTTCCGATTGGGGTTACACCCTGCAGCTCTGCAGACAGCCAAGTCCACTGAGAAGTGGTAGCTTCAGCATTGTTTTCAGCATTCTTTTTTGAACAGAACCGGAAGACTTCAAATTCAGGTACGAATACAGGCGTACGTCATCTGTCTGCTAGTGACACCTGGTCCACGATGGCGTCGTGACGGGATATATTCCGCTAAGTTAGCTGGACTGCGGCACAGTGAAGCTACCAGCCCCTCATAAGAGTACCCGGTTCAAGATCACCAGTTAAACTCAACGATACGATTATGCATCGTGATCCTTTCCATGTCAACGGCGCTGCCCAATGTAACCATGTCGGTAGAGACTAGAGTTCATGTCAGGAACACACTAGCCCAACCCGCTAAGTTAGCTCTCGTTAACTTCCGTCCCCAAAATCACGATCTTGAAAAGCTTCCCCTTTCATCACGATCGGGACCTGAGCGTTGGAAACCAAATCGCCATTGGACAATAAGGATTGATCGACCAATTCCTCAGAAGCTAAGATTGGCGTTATTTGGAAAATGACGGCTCAGATTATACGGACAGGGGAGTTAGGTAGGGATGCGATACGAAACGGAACGAAACGAAACAAAAAGCAATCGACACCCTTTGTCCGGGCGTATACTAGCCACTCAATGGAATAGGTCCTTGTCTCATTCTTGCTTTTCCATCTGAGTCGTGGCTTATTACGCATTCGCGCTACCGGTAGCACTGCATCATAGGTATTAGAACTTGGTCCCTTGAAAAATGCAGACCCAACATCTTAACCTCGTTGACGACGAGATGGATTCTCAACCTCCGCCCATTCCGCTACGAGCGCAAACACCAAGACGACAAATCGCAATGAAGCAGAGGTATTCTATACTCCAATTGAGTAGCTGAGGAGGGAGGTTGACGGTTTAGCTTTGAAACGCAGGATTTAGGCGACGGAATGGCCTACTTCGACCCAGAGCTTCTACAGGCACCCTCATCGAGAGCATCGAGTCGAGCCATGTCGTACCGAACGCAAGAATCGCAAATATGGTCACATAAAGACAGAGAGGCATCGTCAATTTCTTCTGTATATGTTCCAACATATCTTCCTGCGCTGCAAGCAAAAGGCGCCGGTCTGGATCGTGATGGATTGGAGCCATTGACCGAGGAGGAATATGACCCAGCGTCGTTCGACCTCGTTGTTCCGGCGCATGCGATGGGAAAGCAGTATACCCTCGAGACACAGTCTGAGCTGCTTTTCTCAGTGAAGCATCTGTCTGTCATCTTCGACGATCCTGTTCTTCTGCAGCGCTTTACGAACTTCTTATCTGCGTCGCGGCCGAGTTCGGTACCCCTCCTGACATACTACCTTGACACGCTCAAGGCGATGAAGGCGATCAATTACGCCAATTCACTGACAGGATCGCTGAAGACAATTGATGGTCACGACTTCACGGTGGATCCTGTTACTGCGACTGTCAACGAGGCATTGGCGGAGCGGGCTACCGAGGCTTTCCAGGCCATGGTGAACCACGATCTACCTGCGTATATCACGCACACGTATATACAGACAGTCAGCATTACAATCAAGCGAAGGATAACAGATACATTGGCACCTCAATTGCGTGACCTGTCGGAAGGTCTGGCAGAGGTGTTCTGTTTGACAGATCCTTCGAGGTCAGACAATCCGATTGTATTTGCAAGTGAAGGCAAGTTCCCCGCCAGTATCATCTTATTGCGAATGCTAACGTGATCGCAGAGTTCCACAGAACAACGCAGTACGGAATGGATTATGTTCTCGGCCGCAATTGTCGCTTCCTCCAAGGTCCCAAGACGAACCCATTCAGCGTGGAGAGAATTCGCGACAAGCTTGCAGCAGGCCAAGATCACTGCGAAACATTCCTCAACTACCGTCGCGATGGATCCCCATTCATGAACCTACTCATGGTCTCTCCGCTATACGACTCCCGAGGTATTGTGCGATATCATTTGGGTGCTCAAGTCGATGTCTCCGGTCTCGTTAAGGAATGCGCTGGTTTGGACTCACTAGAGGCACTCATGGCGGATGAGAACCCCGAGAATGAGCGGTACCCCGGCGAGTCGGAACAAAGAAAGAAGGACGAAGAGAAAGATGAGTTCCAAGAGTTGGCTGAGATGTTTGATCTCGCAGAACTCAAGACTGTTCGCGAAACAGGTGGCGCTTTCCACCGTACGCACCAGCAAGATGTTCGACAAACGGATACCGTACCTGCCAACTGGAATAAGCCGCGCTTGGTATTCCGCGACGACGCTACCATCAACAGACGTCCATCTGACCCTGTTCTCCACGACACAGCCATGGCCAGCTTCGGAGGTCGTCTCAGCGGTATCTACAAACACTACCTCCTCGTCCGACCCTACCCCAGTCTCCGCATCCTCTTCGCATCACCATCTCTTCGCGTGCCCGGAATGCTCCAGAGTTCATTCCTCTCGCGCATCGGCGGCTCCGACCGTGTTCGCGAGACCCTCACCCAAGCCTTCGCAGGCGGCAACGGTCTCACCGCCAAGATCCGATGGCTGTCCAAGGCAGAAGTACAGACCAAGAACCGCAACTCTCGCGCCATGGATCATTCTGCCAGCGGTGACGGCGGTCAAGCTCCTCCTGCAAACCCAGGTCGTAATCGCTGGATTCACTGCACGCCTTTGTTGGGTTCAAACGGAGCTGTCGGTGTTTGGATGGTTGTTCTTATTGATGATGAGTCGGATCAGGCTTTTATTCGGGGTTTGAGAAGAGAGGCTCCGCCTGTGCAGCCGCAGCCTGTACAGCAGACGCTACAGGCGGCGCAAGGGTTGTATGCTGATGATGACAAGATGAGTTTGAGCAGTTTTGCAGCTGCGCATAGGAATCAGTGATGGAAGTGAAGGACCTGGGCTTGTGAGAGTAGACTTATGAGTGTACGAGAATAGGCCAGTCGATTGAAGGCCATATAGTCATATTAATGATACCTTCTTTTTTCTTTCTTTGTAAAACGCTCTCATCTTGGTGGGGCCGTGAATCGACCATCTCATTAATGCTCGAGCATCAAGGTCATGACCCACTACATACCACCCTCTTCTTGTTCCAGTGGCTTTCTATACGAGACTACGTCAGAGACCTTTATGACATTCCAAAACAGCTTTAGTGAATCCTTTGACAGTTTATGCGGCCCGGCCCGGGTGGGGACCTGGTTAACGTTATTCTAGAAGCTGGAATGCCGCGTTGATGCCAGACTGTTATGACTGTTGATGAGTTATGAAGGGCGCCGGTGACACGGCCATGTCACAATTGATTCCAAAGTCAGCTTTCTTACAAATTGACAATACCTACGTGCCGAGACTTGTCCGAACTGACATGATATTTGATGACTCTGTTCAGTAATCAGCGTCCTTCACCCAATTCCGTGACCTCCGGGGACCTCCAATTCATGTCTTTACTAATACTCTGCATAACCATGAAATCGACTTCAAACTGTCGATCAATCATCACCGCGCCAAGTCAAACACCATCAACTTGACACGTGAGATTGCGACATATACCCCGCGGATGGTGATGGAGCCGTATGCCCAAACTGGAAAGGAGCGCCGATGATATAACCTTAGTGTAACATGTGCATTCAGCGAGTATAAAAGCCATTATGCAGATGCCACATTGTCTTTGGCTTGTTGATCCGATTCTTCAAACAAACAGACCTTTATAAAGCTTTTGATCTACTTGTCAAACATGTCTTCTTCAATCATCCCAGAGTATGAGGCGGCGAATGAAAAGTATGCCGCTGCATTCACCAAGGGAGATCTCGCCCTCCCGCCCTCTCGGTATGCCCTCTGAAATATCGAGTACTGAGATAATCTAATTGGCTGTAGCCATGTTGCTGTCGTTGCCTGCATGGATGCTCGTCTCGACCCAGCTCAGGTTCTCGGGATCGAGCTTGGCTCCGCTCACGTAATCCGCAATGCTGGCGGTCGAGCTGCAGATGCTCTCCGCTCTGTCATCATCTCGCAGCAGCTCCTTGGCACCCGTGAGATCGTCATTGTCCACCATGTTTGTCTCTCCTTCCCAATCGAAATGCGCAGGACTGACATACTTTAGACCGACTGCGGCATGCTCACCTTCTCCGACCTGGATCTCAAGACAAAGGTTCGCAAGGACCTTGGTGAAGACGTTGATCACATTGCTTTCCTCCCTTTCGGAGATCTTGAGCAGAGTGTTCGAGATGATATCGCTTTCTTGAAGAAGAGCCCTCTTGTTCTGGATGTTCCTATCACTGGCTACATCTATGATGTCAAGTCCGGCAAGATCAACAAGGTTGATGCTTAGATTCAGCTAGTCAAGTGCGATCGTTGGGAGTTGAGGTGTTAGTGGGGTGAGCTGTTTGGAGATGATACCAGGTTGGGGCGTTGTGAAGCTGTGTTCAAGATGATACCAGAGAGTTCAGATAGTAATTTATTATGACTATCTTGATAAACAGACTTAATGACCCTGAATAAGGCCAAAAGATCCAAGTCCAGAAAGGTAAGTTCAGCCCAGTAGGCTTCTAGTCGAAGTTTAACAAAGGGAATGTGACAAATGAGACAGTAGGTATATGATTCATGATCAATCCATCACTGGTCGACGTGAAGATCTTCAATGATCTTGTCAGCAGCTGCAAGAGCGAAACAAGCAGCAGTGAGAGTAGGGTTGCAAGCATTCTGGGTAGGAATGACACCGCAACCTCCAAGAACAAGATCATTGACACCCCAAGCCTTGCCGTTCTTGTTGACAACGCTGTCAGCTGGAGTGCTTCCCGCGCGGTATGTGCCGCAGATATGAAGGGCGGATCCAGGAGCGAGATACTTGGGCTCTGCACCGGGAAGGAAACCTCCAAGCTTCCTAGCAACCTCTATCATGCTAAGAAAAGGAGTTTGAGATTAGTTTTGAGCTATTTATAAATGCGGCGAAGGAGCTTACTCGGTGATCATTCGCTTGCAACGCTCTTCAGCCTCCTCGTCCAAGACAAAGTTGAAGGTTGGCTGTTTCAGAAGGTCAGCCCAAACACTAAACGTATGACAAGACTTGGCTCCACTTACCTGAGGCATCCCAAATTGGTCCTTCGTCTTGTTAGAAAATGTGACACAGTTTTCTTGATCAGGTTTCATGTAGCCAAACCAGCGTAGGTCGACTACAAGGCGTTGATCGATGTTGGATGGGACCTCTCCATACCCGAAGGCATCTCGATGGATCTGAGTGTGCCAAGGATACTTCTCGGACACCGGGAAATAAACCTGAGGGTCCGGATCGTTGAAAGGGAAAGGGAGAGGATCATTTCCATGATTTTCTCTGTGCGCTTTGACGACATCTTCGCCCTCGACACTGTTGACCAATGTCCTATCGAGAACGACTTGACAGAAAGCCATCGGCTGCTCAGTCAGGTAGTGGCCCTGGGTAAACGTGTATATTATCTCACATCACGGCTATATGGCAAGGGATCTTACCAAAGCTGGAAGCTTCGGCTTTAGTCCAGACTTGTGGAGAATTCCGGGTGTTAGCACAGCTCCAGCACATACAACATACTTCTTGGCATGGATATAGTACGGCTGGTTCGTTTCAAGGTCATTGATCAAAGCCCAAGCAATTTGACCATCAAGGTCCAGTTCCAGCTTGTCGCACTGAGTGTTAGGTCTCATGTCAAACAGTCGTTCCTCGCCCTTATAGAAGTACTCAGGCTTTGAGAGTTCTCCGAGAATGGTAGCAGTGCAAGACCACTCGACATACTCCTTGTTATCGTGCTTTCGCTTGCAAGCTAGGGGCATGCTCTTCATCTCACGATCCGGATACGCCTCGGTGAGGACACGCTTGACGAGCTTCTGGCGGACAGAGTCGTCAAAAGCATCGTCGGTCTTCTCGAAGAGCTTCTCAGCCCGGCCGTAAAGAGTGTTCCATTCACTATCGCTGAAAAGGTCAGAGCGTTCGATCACCTTGTGCTGTCGAGGGGTGCAGCATGTCCAGTGAGATCCCATACCGCCGACGACACGAGTCGCAGCTGCGGCAGGAAGGTTGCCGTAAGATTTCTGGTCTGGGTTCTGGCCATTGAGGACGTAGGCCGAGTCGGTAGGTCTTTTTCCTTAGCACGATCCCTATTATGAGAGTGAAGTACCCTACCGAGGAGCCCAGGATGCTGGTTCCATGACAGGTCGTGCCGTATTGGTTGGCACAGAGAGTGGGTGCAATTCTCCCTACACATGCTTTGAGTTGGAGCCCTCCTATAATGTTGGGTTGATATACCTTAACAGTGCTGAATGCTATGTTGGCCTTTGACAGTGGTACGATATTGGCTGGGGTGGACTTACTTGGTGAACAAGCTGATATCCTTCTGGACTGCAACGCTGTTCTTCTTATGATCACCGATGCGTCGAGTTTCCCTTCCTCACTGTGAGCAGCTATGTATATCTTCATGTAGATGATAACTCACTGTTGGCCGATATCGATCATGGTAACCTTGATGCCCTTCTTGACGAGGGTGTGAGCGAAGGTGGCACCGATTGGACCGGAGCCAACAATGAGAACATCAGTCTCTTCCCAGCGAACGGTGTCGCTAGCAGAGCTAGGACTGGGGGTAGGCTTGTGGACCATGATTGCAAAAGAGTGACTGTAAGGAGTGACAGGATAGGTTGGAAGGCTTTAGTCGGTATTTCGGACAGTCTAAGGAGCTGATGATGGGCCTGGGTAAGACTGGGAACCGCCTTCTTATATATTTCAACTGTCAAAAGCTGTTGGAGTTCTCCCCTTGTGAAGTTCTCCAACGGTCGATAAAGTTTCCAGGTCTACATCAAGCTAAAAATGTGATTGAGGGGGTGAGGTTGGTCACATGCCTGAAGACCCCGCGGGACTGGCACTTGGGATCAGATCTCACAAGGAAAAGCGAGACTGTTGAGAAACCCCATATCCCTATTCCCTTTGCAAGAGAGTCCAATTCTTACTATCGTCCTGGTAACTTGAGCCACTTATAAAAATCTCCCCGGAAAATCAGCTCACAGGGCAGTGCCAAGACTATTGGCGGCTAGCTGAAAGGTGAAACACTACGCAGAGGAGAACTGGTGGAGATTACGGACCGAGCCAGAACATTCCGCATCGTATTTTCCTCATGGCCCCAGTGCAGCCTAAGTTGGAAATTGGCATGATCTATTGGCTCAGGATACAATCCGTGTCTTAAGTATTGCACGTGGCTAGTCTTCACCAGCTTCAGCTATGTCGTGAAGGCTTTCGGGGAATTAGACAGCTTAGACAGACTTGACCCTATGACTGTATTTAAGACGTTCGGAATGACGCTGGGAGGACCAAGCGGCGGGGTAAGGATAAGAATCAAGTTGGAAATCTAGTCTTGCAAAGGAAACTCTGGCATAATAACTTTTGATAGCATTGTGAAGTTAAGGAAGATTTCTGGTCAACAAATTACCGTAAAGGTCCTAAGACCTAACCTAGACCATGATGCCATGACCAGAATATCTTCAAAGGAGCGTCGAGACCTGCCTCCGAAGACAACTCGTAATATATACCATCATCAGATTTGTTCCCGATTCTGGTAGATAGGATTAGTAGTGAAACCCAAATTCAGACTCTGCCAATTCCACAACATGGCAAGGTCACCAAGCTCAGCGTCAGAGATCGTCTGCCATCCCATATCAAACTGCGGCTGCCCAGCAGTAAAACTCTGCATGTTTCTGGTGATGTCATCAGGCCACAGCTGGCCGATTGGCACAGTGGGGTTCATCTGCTGAGAGTAGGGGTAGTTCTGGAACTGCGGGTCTTGAACATGCTCGGGACATGGCATGAAAGGCTGCTGACCAGCCTGCATCCTGCCAGGGACCACTGCAGGCGGATTGTTGTATGGGTGATATTGAGCAGCTGGAAGAACATGCTGCGCAGGTTGAACCGACACCTGTACCGGAGCTGGCGCAATATTGGCTGGCTGCGAGCTTGGAAGTGTAGCGGTTGCAGAAATGTGAACAGCGCCATTGTTTCCAGGTGGTGTATCGAATCGACGCTTCTTATGAGCATCAACAGCCTTCATCCCGGCGGTCGACGGCAGTTTCTTAATCAGCCGTCGTAACACGTCATAGGGAGCTTTGGCTGTGTTCGTAGCAGTGCGCAGTTTCTTCAGAGTCGAGAATGCTCTAGCGATAGAGCCGATAACTTCCTCGCGGCGTGGCACAAGCCCATCTTCAGCGTGTATGATGACTGAGCAGAGGAGCGCTGCTGTGTCGAAGATACAGAATGGCACAAAGTGGAAGGTCGTATCTCTAGTCCATACGTACTCGAAGAACCGATGGACAGCTTCCATGAGACGAAGGGCGTAGTCAATGCCTGTCTCTCGAAACTCGAGATCAATAGCAGGTGCTGTTGACTTCTTCATCGACTTGGCCATGTATCCTCTGAAAGGGCCAAGAGCAATGGAGAGAGTGCAAGTATGCATGTAGTGACGATGCAAGGCAATCCATGGCAGATCCTCGTTAGTGGGCGTATTAGGATGATCCAGAGCATACTCAGGCGGAAAGGTCATCATGAAGCCTTCTAAAATGGCCTGGTAGTCTCGGATTTCATCAGGCTCAGTCAGAATCTTTGGTGGACCAAAGCGTTTGAATATGAGGCTGACAAGTTCGGACTGGAGCTTGAGATGCAACATGGGAGAAGCTGGGTAGTCTTCAAGCGTAAGACTTGGAAGACCGACGTCACATTCCGCACGATCGATGAGCATTGGCCGTGCCAATAGTGATGAAACAAGCCTGGGTCTAATCAGCATGCGCGGTGTCTAGGTTCCAGCCAGTACCTACCAGTCCCAGGAGTCAACGATGCACCATAGTCGTCTCTTCATCTCCAGCTCGAATCCAGGCAGTTGGTCCTCGGGTTTTTTATGAAGATCTAGACAGTAGTCAGCACTAGGCCAGCCACTCTAATAATCATCGACTCACTGATCATTTGGGCTTCGCGAACAACAGCACCGAGGACTTGCCAGCACTCTGCAAACCGCGCCTCGGCCTTGAACCAGTAGCACGAGTGCAATAGATACTGAACTGTGTAAACATGTCCGTAGCCAACAGGAATAGCGCTGTGAAGCTCTCGAGCAGCATCGTGGTATTTCTGCGTTAGTTCCTTGACAGATTCACCAACATCACTCTCGATCTTGGTTCTGAGCTGGCCATCGACATGCTGCACTGAACACGCGCAAACCATGAGTAGCAAGCACGTCCATTGAACACCACAAGGTCGACCTTTGGTGTAGTCATCCCACCAGCGGGCATACTCTTTGCTAAAGTAGGGTGGGTAGACGATGTAGTAGTAAAAGTTGACAACGTCCAGAAAACTCTGGACCAGGGAATCTGCTAAATGTAAGACGATGATCACGCGACAGCATTGGTGGTCTTACCAACGACGTGTCTCGGCGGTAACACGTCCAAAGCTCGCTTCAATTGAGCGCTGTTCTTTGGGTCGAGCCTGTACTGCTCAGAAGGCTTTGTACTCCCTGACTGTGTGATGTGAGCAAACACGCGACAGCGAAGAGAGGAAAACCTACGTCTTGATCAAGCTTGGTCAACAAATGAAGTCGACCATATCCAATCGCTTCCAAAACATCACCAACATCCGAATCGCTCTCGTCCTCCCGTCCCACCTCATCTCTCTTTCTCTTCACCTCAACAGAAGCCGACCAAGCATCTTCGCCGGAGCCAGCCTTGAAATCGTCCCTGAAACGACATTGGTCAGCGACTTTTCGCTTCTGACAGCTGTTACAGGGCCATTGACGGTTACATTTCTGCTTCCGTCGATGACACTCTGTACAGGCGGAGCGTAGGAGGGCTTCTGGTTGGGCAATAGCCTCTAGAGAGGATTTCCGAGAATCATCGGGCATGGTGATGTAGGGATGAGTTGGACATGCAGAACAAAGGGCGGGGCATCAGATCTTGGGTTTATCTAGGTTTATGTTTAGTGATCTATGATCGACGGCTAGTCCCGATATAGAAGGGATCCGCATTGTCTAAGGATCGAAAAGGAGGCTTCGGAGACGGAATAACGAAAACAGCTGCAATAATGTTTTTCCTCAAGGTGAGGCGTGCATGTCTCAGTTGTTTGGTTGTACGTTAACGAGAATTCAAGGATGGACCCCTGTTTTTTTTTATGCAGGGGCTGAGTGAATGTGCAGAGAAGCACTAGAAAAGAGGGGCAGTTGGCTTTGAGCAGTGAGCAAAACAGGACTGGGCGTTACACAAGTGATTCCACAAAGTGATACCGTAGAATTAAATGGTCATTCTCATTCAATCCATTCTCGTGTCCCGGAATCCTCGCCGATGTAGTTTATTGGTATTTGATTTGAAGCCCGCGATGATGTCACACAAATTTAAGACATCATGGCTGCCTAGCCGAGACGTCTTTTGATGGAAATCCAACCCTATCTAGCTAGTCTAGTTCATCCTTAACAACCAGAAGCCAGCATCTTCACTGTTCTCCAAATACGGCGGAGGATCGGGATAAGTATTTACAAAGGGGGCAAGTATGGTATGCAGATTCCCATCGGAAGCACACCAGACCTGCTTACAAGATCTTCGAACCTCCTCCGAATCGGAGTCCACAGGTCGAATATCTTTAGTGATAGTGTCGAAAATGTTTTCTGGTAGCGCGAAAGCACACTCCTGGAACTTCGGCCTGTTCTTGACGAATTGTAGCAGTTTGTTGATAATTACATCGTGCGCCTCGGGGTTGGAGATACCACGCTGACCGTACTCCTTCTCAAACGATATGCATAGTCTCACAAGGTTGGGGAAGTTTGTGTGTGACAGTGTATCCAGAACGACACTCAACTGATCCACCTTTAGCTGGAAAGGATGAAGTAGCCTGCGTATGGCGTTCGTGTGAACGTCGTGGTGTCCAGCACAAGCTTCATTCTCTCTCTCAAGAGGCCACCTGATCTCGAGAGAAGTGATCGCAGTGAGCCTCTGAGGGAGCAACAGCTGCATGACGTGCGATATCGTCGCCTCGCCAGACATGGCAATTGTGTTGCTCGAGTACAACAGGTCAATCATTTCAGCGTAACTTGCAACCTCAGTTAGCTTTCTCTTCCAGATGTACCATATTGCTTATCACTGACTTTTGACGACATGATAGGAGCCAGCTCATCACACCAATCTTCTGGGGTTCAACATCGCCATGCTTGCAATCATCTTCCCAAAACTTCTGCTGTTCCCCGGTATTTTCTGGTTGCCTGGGCATCTCTCCCCGGTGGCAAACGGAGCCAAACCACTGCCAGGACTCGACCTTCTCGTCATCAGACGTATGCCCCTCTCGAAAGGATAAACTCATATGAAGACGGCGATCACCAAAGGCCAGTCGCAGAATGTCTCGTCGAATATTGGGAGGAAGCTTAAACCATGGTGACTTTTGGAAAAGCGCAACAGGTCGCTGAATCACCTCATTGGGGTCTTCATCCCGGAAGCCTAATGGCGTAAGGGCACGAGGCCGTGGACCAGGTAACAACGGTATCTCGTTCACATGGTCTCTCCAATGAGGCAGAGAATCGTCCGCCTCATCTGGCCACCAGTAGCATGGCGAAGTTGGTGACCATGTAGGTGAACCTGGCGAGGATGGAGTGTCTATGTGGTAAAAGTCCGACCACTGATGCGGTGAAAGAAACTGTTCTTCTCCTTCTTCTATTTGTCTCAGTGTTTCTGCTCTAGCCTCATCTCGTCAGGTGAAGGACAAGAACTGCACAGCGACGAACCTGCTTCCAGCGACTCCGACTGCCCTAGTCCTGGGTCCTGATCTGGCTCTGAATAGGCCTGCATTGTTGCTCCTCAGTGAAATGTGATGATGAAAGAGGAAAAAGAAAAATGGTCTTGACTGTTGCCTGCCCGGTTTCATATGTTGATCGGAGAGCTTACGGTGCACGTGCATCATGCTACCAAGTTACGTAATCCAACATTCATATCCACGGCCCGTAGGGTAGATTGAGAGTTTCATGAAATTTTGACATGCTCAGATAATATCAACAGACGTATACATAGCTAAAGAGGAGCTGTCAAAAATGTATTGTAAATTTGAACCGAAGATCAAACGATCGTTGCTTGACGAAGTAGCATAAACTGTAACCATACTCGACGTGATTGCATACATCACAGCTTCGCCTCAGGTTCTCTGGGAAGTGTAAGCCAAATGCCGTGGTCTCGAATATCTGATCATAGTTACTCACTTGAACTCATTCTTCATCTCTCTGAGCTTCTCCATAACTTTAACTGGATCTGTCTCTCCAGTCGCCATTCGGATTTCCGGATCCTATTTGGTCAGCGCTGAACTCTGAAGCTTGTTAATGTGAAGACTTACATCTAGTCTCATGAACACATTATGCCGCTAAACAATGAATATCAGTCAAGCTCTCTCAATCAACCCGATAAGAATTCTGCGCGACCTTTTCATGCCCGATCGTGTACTTTCCCACTGTTACGGAGTTTGCCTCGGAGAAGCTCAGAAGCTGCTGCAAGGATTCGCTCTGCGATACCGAGTACGCGAACTTGGCATTGCTTCGCGTATACTCGTGACCGGGCTATATATGTCAGTCTACTTCTTATGTAAAGCTGATCCTAGATCGGCTGACTTACAAAGACAACTGTATCGTCTGGAAGCGATGCAAGATGCTTGTTCAGTGCCAAATGCATCTCCTCTGCAGTCCCCTCAAAGAATCTCCCGCATCCTGTCATATCTCTGTAAGCGAACGATATTTCTCCCAGTCTTTGGCAACAAACCTCCAGTGAACAAGGTGTCGCCTGTGAAAACTGCCTTTTGGTCCCCATCTTGGAAGAAGAAACAGATACTGTCCTGGGTATGACAAGGAGTATATATACTAGTTATCGTGATGTTCCCAAGCTTGAATGTCTCGCCATGACTTGGAGTTTTCGTAACGCCTTCACAATCCTTGCCTCCGATAATGTCAAGTTTGGGGTCGTTAAGTGCAGCCAGCTAAGTCTTCCCGTTAGTCTGTACAGTCGAAAGAGACAGGATACATACGATCTCTTGGTTACCGCCGGCGTGATCCCAATGGCTAGATGATATTAGTACGAAGTACTGTTAACCAGCGGTTACTATCAACGACTGACTGGTGAGTGTTTATTATAGCGACGAGATTGAGTTTGTTTGACTGGATAGCTGCAACGAGAACCGGAATAACCCTTGAGGCCTTGTCAGCCGGTTTTCAAGTAAATCCAGTCAAGCGCTTACTCTTCAGGATTCGCAGGGTCGATAATCAAAGCATCGCGACTCTCATGGTCGACAACCAGATAAGCCCAGTTGTCATTGCTTCCCCACCCTGCTAGGAGTCAGCAACGAGAAGGAGGAGGTAATTATTGAACGGTCACATACACATAGGGATCGGTTGAATAAACATGGCGCAGAACTGCTTTGGGCTATAAGAGATATGAGGCAATACGGTTATTACCAAACAGTAGAATATAGCGGTCAAAGTCATTTATAGTGTCAATAGTTTGTGCCCCTCCTTCTGAGCTTGTGATGCAATTGCATCCATTCAGCCGAGGTAATTAGAACAAAAGAGGGAATTTTTACAGAAGAGTTTAGGGCGAGGCGACGCACTTCCGCCCCCGTCAGTGCCCAAGATGAAATGGATTGAGCCAAACGTGATTGGTCTTCAGGCTTATCAGCAGCTACTGAACTCTATTTTCCAGCACAACCAACCGCTAATCTTCAGAGGCACGACTCCTGAAACACTTATCTCCATCCGGTATAAGGGAAGCAGTTAGGTAATCAGTCACAGGGCCAAGCCTGGCATTTTGCGGGGTAAGACCACTGAATCTCAACTTCTACCGATCCTTATCTTGGACTTGAACTGACGGCATTGAGTAACAGTCACTTTGTGACAATATTTATCATCATTTCTGCTGTTTACAAACTAATATTTCGAAGAGTATTCGGTCATTTTTCATCCCTTGTTCACCAAAAAAATGCCTCCTCAACAACCCAGTCAAGGCCGAGTTGCCCGATCCAGGGGCGGTTGCGTAACATGCAGGTCGAAACATGTAGGCATCGGTCCTATCCCCATTCATTCAGCCCATACTCATATGCTTCTAGGCAAAATGCGACGAAACAAAACCAACTTGCAAGTCATGTGCTGCACGTGGTCAAAAATGCGGTGGATACCGTCTGGATGTTCGCTGGTCTACCAAGCATGAGAAGCGCCCCCGACAGCCTCAATCGCGTCCTCGCCAGTCGCGCACAGAGGGCTCACCTTCAGCACAGTCTACGGAAGCTCAATCAGACACCCACTCTCAGACTTCATATAGATCTGAGAGTGCCTCAGTAGCTGGGATAAGCTCTATGGCTTCCGCAACGACAGTTGTATGCAGCGACTTTGACCCAGCTGCAAGCGCGTCTGTCTTTCATCTGAACGGCATTGTATCGCCCTTGTTCCCGATGTCTACAGAAAGTGACTTCTTCTCACATCAATTGGAACAAGAACAAGAGGATGCAAGTCATCTTATTGGTGGCATAGATAGCGACAACCACGACGCTTACTCTTTATCGAACATGACTTCCTCCGTGTCACCGTTGCAGTGGGGAGACGATTTATTAGGGTCTGTTCAAAGTGACAAAGACCTAAACTCTTCTTCAGAGATTGTATCACTTCCGACTGGCAACATGGCCTTCGATTTTGACATTCCCTTACCAACAGTCGATCCTGGCAGACTCACTTTCGAGATGACACCAAATGCAATCACATACACGCCATCTGTCCTCATCGAATACTGGTTTCGCCATGTCTGTTCTCTGTGGTCAAATTACGATTCCGACGTCAATCTCAACCGCACCATCGCAGCCGCCCTATGGTCCAACTGTGAGCTTGTTTACCTCAGCCTGCAAGCCATGTCCGCGGCGCACCTATCTGCCAAAGTGTCAATGATGCGACAAACATCCATTACCAATATGAAAGCGGCAGCCGAGATTATGAGAGCTGACTTACATACTGTCAAATCCCATCAGCTCTTTCACTCAGTACCCACCAGCCTGCTGTTCTCACTCATGGGTATCGGGACAAGCATTTGCTGGCTCAATGCAACCCATCTGGGATTGCCGTTCTTATGCGAAGCAAAAGCCATCCTTCATGCTGTCAACAAGAATAAGCACGCATTATCCGAAGATCAACGGAAACTTCTTTCCTTCTTCAACAAGAGCTGGCTGTATTGCGAGATGCTTTTATCCATGGTAACATCGAGCTGCAAAAGCCTACAGAAGATGGAAAAAATGGGTGACATCGAGGAAGCAGTTCCTGTGACTGCGCCTGTGACTGCGGATCCAATTGAGCAGGTTCCACATCCATGGACTGGGGTCTCGAGTGACAGCTACAAACTGTTCATGCGCGCAATGAAGCTCTGTCACAAATTTCGGCGCAAGATTCGGAAACCACAAGACATGTTTGCATCAGCTAACATAAGCGCTGCCATGCAACTCATTGAAGAAGCTGCCGTGGTGGAGAAGCAGACTTGTCATCTCGATGTGGAATGCCGCGAGACAATTGGAGAGACAAATGACAAGAAGACGCCCAATCAACACTTGTTCACTGTTGCTGAGGCCTACCGCCAGTCAACCCTTTTACAATTATACCAGACCTTTCCGGAACTTATCGTAAGACGACACGAGCTGGATGAATCGCAGGCGAAAGATGCTCAAGCTTTGTGGGATAACTGGATTACCCCCATCGCTCTGAGCTTGGTGGGGATACTGAAGCTATTGCCTACAGACTCGGGTAGCAAAATGACCCAGCCACTACTCTGCGTCTCGGCCAGCACTGGACTCAGGCGACAACATCTGGAGGCTAAAGTCGACGTGCCCAGAGATATTCCTTTCAGCCAAGACACCAGCTTGGAGGACTGCGACATGATCAATTACCTTGACTTCGCCGGCCTTCACGATGAGCCGCCCGAGGAATCAGAACCAGAGCCAGATCCAGATACAAATGCGGAAATCATGGCTGGAAGAAAATTCCTTCACGATCGTTTGGAGACGTTGAAGACAGTACTTCCACCGAAACCAGTTGCCGTGGCCCAGGATTTGACTAAAGCTATCTGGCAAGCCTACGACACGGAACAATGCGCGAAGTATGCCACGCATTGGATAGATGTGATGGATAGTCGGAATTTGAAGTCGAACTGGGGATAGTGTAGTCCAACATGTATTTGTAATGATATGATTGTAGTTTACATTCGAAATAGAATAATCTTCCATCGCATACAACACCCTTCATGCCTGTTTCCACAAATTTGATTTACAGCTTAGGTGGCTTGCAGCACGAAGAGTCACTCATAGCCGCCAACTTGCTGACCTTATCAGTAGTGTCAAATCCAGCCTTCTTAACAGACACTTCACTGGGAGTGATCGAGTAAGAAGGAGGCACGTCCATGACAGGGTTACAAGTGAAGAAGTGACGGGGTCTGAGCAAAAGGGTAATCGGTTCAGCGGGCATAACTGGGAAATCTTCTGGGGCGGGGAAATGCGTGATGCCGAACGTGTGCCAAAGGACGATATCAGTATTGGCGACGCTCTTGGTACCGTCTCCGACCCAGGCTCCAAGGCCTCTGGATGGCTCACCGGAGGTCTGAGCGACGTGGTTGCCAGCGGGCCAGAGCTCGTCATCCACATCTAGAAATGGTCAGCTTCACGCACATAAACTTAAGGATGAAGAATGCCTTACACTTGGTCACATGAACAGCATGACGAGCAAAGAACGCTCTCTTCCACACAAGAGATCCTTCCTTTGGCATCAGGTTGGGTACATCGCGGCTGACAAGCTTATACGAGACAGGCTTTCCGCTCTCGGAATTCAGCTTGTTCTCATTGACAATGTCCCAGGAGCGAGACGTAGCACCATTGTAGTCGGTGATAGCCTGACCCGTCGTCTCAAGTCGAGTGCGCTTAGCATAGAAGGCATTGCCATAGAGGTTGTCTGGGCTGCCAACTGGGGCTTCCGAAGGTACAGCATCAACCATGTGGACTGTGTTCTCGTGTCCATCAACACTTGGGTTGATGCGGAGGAGGAAGATATGCTGGTGGTTATGTGCGTTGACACCTGGTAATGGTCAGTCTAAAGACCGTATCTGTTATTAGAAGACTTACCTTTCTTGACTTGAGTTCCATAACCTTGCAAATCCTCGCCGGGGTTCATGACATAGGTGTTGAGAATACCAGTAAGCTTGATGTCGGGCTGGATGGTGCCGTCCTGATGGAACACCCACTACGTTGCGTCAGCAACTGAGCCATCTCATATAAATGCTCGACGTACCTGGATGGCGTATTCATAGTTGGCAGCAGTAAAGACATGCTGGACGATAAGTTTTCGAGCACGCGTGACAATAGTTGAGTTGTCGCGGAAGTCGGTGTGTTTGAAGAGAATACCGTCATCCTCTTCGTGGATGCAGATGGCATTTTCAATCTTGCGAATCTGACCAGTCTGGGTCGGCAGTTCGGCGTCCAGATAATGAATGGCACCTTTTGAGTTAGGTACAGGGACCGTCATAGATGGATCGGAACAAGTAACGTACCCTTGCAGTCACAGCCAAGAGAGAGACTGTTTGTCAGATAACCAGCCCCATACTCTCCGAGATCGAAGGCATGCTTGCGGTGATGCGGAGGCTCGGGATGACCGCTATACGCATGGGTTAGTGACGTAAAGCCAAGTGCCATGTAAAGTGACTTACTAGGGAACGACCATCTCAGAAAGCGACATGCGATAGAAGATCGGCCTGACATTGCCCTTATCGTTGAACGTAATGTTGTTGAAGACAATACCCTCGCGATAATTGAAGCCAATGTGGAACTTCCAGTTCTGCCACTCCAACTCCCTCCCGTTGACATTGAACGAAACGCCCTCAGGCTGTGAGATATAAATCGGCTTCAAATCCTTTCTATACCAGCCTTCTTTTTGGATATACAGATGATGATAGTCTACAGCCTTGTTTCTCTGAAGGGGTCGTCGAACGCGAGGAATGTCGATAGCGATGATCTCCTTCTTCCTGGGATCATAGATCGGATGGAAGTCAAGAGGGTATTGGTATTGGCAATTGTCGACCTCTGGGCGAAAGTACATCAGGCCTTGGAACAGGCGTGTACCGCTTCCGTAGCGAGGGTCGTGGCTGATGGTCCATGGGTCGGCGTAGACTTTGTGCATCTCGTCTGCGGCGATTCCGCTGATTCGGCATTGTTCGATGACTTGGGGATCTTTGCGACAGGCTTCTTCGACTTCGAGGAGTTCTTCGACGATTAGCTGCAAGGTAGTCATTAGTTAGCTTCTTCGTTCGCATGGAATCTCAAGCGGGTGTCCTTACGATAGGTTGTTGTCCTTCAGCGCGCTCCCACTTTGTGATTTTTTGACTCTTCAAGTCTACCAGGCCATCATAGACATGGCCCTTGCCTTCTCGTGGATCAATGATGACAACCTCTGCGACACGTCGAGGACGAGCGCCGTTGGAGGGATTGGCAAGCCAAGCAACCATCTCAGCCTTGCGCGGCTCTTGGAGAGTCACGACGTGGAAGTGGACTGCATCGCCATGCTCTTTGCGTACAACAGAAGTAGCGAGCCGGATCTCCTCACCACTGAGAGGATCGAAGGGATGGGGGATTGAACCTGACATTGTAACGTGGATTGCTACCAGAGCTTATGTGTGAATTTGATGCGACATGCTTCAGTTGAAGGCGTTTGGTTGCATCAAATAGTTGTTCAACAACACCGCGGATGCGATACAGAAACGTAATCGCAACTTGAGAAGTTCCAATCTTTGCCTATAATCAGCATGGGTTGATTCTTGGGATCAAGGAAGACCCTTAGCCGATCTGTTCTTGGTTAATTATTGTACGGAATCGGGTGCTCGACACGTTCTACTACGATGGGAAAGCCGTCACCAAGTAAAGCTCCCCTCTGAGCTCTCCACCTCGGCTCCATTCCGTTCAGTATCAGGTGGGGGAGCTTTCCCAGAAGATGGCTTACACTCGCATGTCTCAACGCTCAACTATAGTACGTAACAAGCTAAAAAGCCCCGCATGTCAGTTGACGCTTGAAAGATAGGCCTACAGCTACTCCAAGTTGATCCATCACTGCGAAGTTCACCCAGCTGCTCGCTTCCTTACACTTGCCCAATTCAGTAAGTGCTGCCTCGGCAGATGGGAAGCGTTAATTGGTTGGAGTAGCAAACCTTAGTGCAAAACCTAGGTTAGAGTTGCCAATCACGGTTAGTGACTAACTGGGGTTCAACGACAAGCGACCAGGGAGACTCTGGCAAAGCAGCAAGTCAACTTGACACTATCATTGTCTTATCATGTGTATGAGCAAGGCATAATATGATAGCAACAGAGTTCACGATGCAATGATTTTGGGTAGCAATGAGCTGAATTTATCTGACGTTGAGGCTGGCTACAGAATCTTTGAATGACTAATCTAGAAATTTGCTTTGCCAGTAAATCCTTCGTTCTGCACCAATTCGATCCAATAATTATCAGGGTCAAGAAGAAATGCGACGTTCTTCATCTTTCCATCTGTGAGTCTCTTCTTCCACGCAACATTAAGCCCTTCCAACCGTGCGCAAGCTGCATAGATATCATCGACAGTAACACCTTTCGCAAAGTCAGTCATTTCAGCCATGGAGGCAAGGCCAATCAACTTACAGGTATGGCCAAATCCTTGAGGCTGATCATTTCCATTATGTACTTGAGAGATCCCGTTCTCTCCGCCTTGCCAGATGAGGGCGAGTAATCCTTCGCGACGTGACAGATCTTCTGTTCCAGTGAATGGACCAGTTGAAGGATACCCCAAAAGAAATGTTTTTGAGTTCCCGTCATCGCTCGCGATAGTTTTGACAAGTTTCATTCCAAGGTTCTCGGTGTAGTAGCGAATAGATCGAGCGGCGTCGGTGACTCGCAGGGCGTATTGATTCTACGTGAACGTCAGTTCGCGATATTTCATGATATGAGAGATAGATGCAGACATACAACACTGGATGGAGCAGGAGCATTAGAAGCCGAACTCTTATTCGATGGACCCTGCTCAGTGATTTGGACCCAGTAACCATCTGGATCCAGAGCTATCACCGGGTCGTTCCTGAAGGAGGCATCCTGCTCAAACTTATAGCCAGCCTTGGCCAGTGTCTGGTAGGTAGCTTGCACATCTGGTACCGAGATGGAAATATGTGAAAAGCCGAGATGTGGTTTCTCATTCCCATTATTCACTCGATAATCTTCATCGTGCTCGGTGCCGTAATTGTGAGTGAGCTCAATTAAGCCTTGGCGATCGAAGGTGAACTTCCCGTGAGATGATGAACCCGGGCTGTCTACACCGAGGAAGTAAAGATCGAACTTATTCTCAGGAAATGAAAGCTTTTGGATAACGCTGAGGCCAAGAAGCTCGTAAAATTGAACTATGAGAGAGCAGTTCAGTAAATCTCCACGAATTTGTGATTTTTACTTACTCGTCCTTTTGGGATCCTTCACGCGAATCCTATCAACTTCAACATTAGCATGCAAAAGCTTGAGTGAGTTGACCCAGGATGCACTCACATCGCATGATTCAGCTTGTATGTCCTGGTATCGGTCCTTCGCTCCATGGTATCGGGTCGAACAGTAGTTAGCGTGGCAAGGCTCGCAACCCGACTTGAGCCTCCGATCCAGCTCTTTAATACTGGAGGTACATGATTGCGTGCTTCAAGATGGTGTGAATGGAGGTATTCAGGCAACACATACTGCTTTGGGTATGGTGGATTTGGATCACCAGCGGGACCAACATCAAGGGTCCCCTTTCCTGATCAAGTAACCAGCTTGCTATGGCAGTGACCCATCGAAGTCTTGAGAATATGTCCAGACAGACCCTTTAGTAGTGTCTTGTCAACCCCGCACCGACTACAGGTCATCACCCCATAGAGATTCCCCAATTCACCCTGGCTTGTCTTCGATGCATGGGGTAGTCAAGTTTAATGGAACGTAAACTTATGATATCTTGGCATGTTATCAGGGGGGATATCAAGGACAACGTTCAAATATGTATTGAGGGGTTAATCGTTGAATTCCCTCTTCTCCGTTGCCACTCATTACGAACCCTGACCAAATCCAATGAAATATCAGAATATGTCCCATTCTATCGGAGGCAAGTCCGCGATCGTAACTGGCGCTGGTAGTGGTATCAACCTCGCATTTGCCGAACAACTTTTGGGTGGCGGATGTAATGTCCTTTTCGCCGACCTCGCCCTGCGTCCTGAAGCTCAGAAGCTGTTGGACGCGCATTCTGGCGCAGTCGAGGGCAAGGGACGAGCTGCTTTCCAGCAAACTGATGTAACTGACTGGAAGCACCTGGAGCGAATGTTCGGAAGGGCAAAAGAGGAATTTGGCGAAATTGACATTGTTTGCCCTGGCGCTGGAGTTTACGAACCGGTATGTGCTCTGGGTCTTGGGAATCGATTGCCACTGACCCAACGCTTTGCTAGAGTTTTAGCAGCTTCTGGTATCCCCCTGGAACCCCACAGAGCAAGGATGGTCTCCACGGAGGACGCTACGCGAGTATTGACATCAATTTGGTTCATCCCATCAGGACCACTCAACTGGCCCTCTCCCGCTTTCTGAGATACGAGAAGAAACCTCGCACGATTGTCATAATCTCGAGCACCAACGCCCAAGACACCTGTCTCTCTACAGCGATCTACGACGCGACAAAACATGCCATCAGTGGATTCGTGCGCGCGATGGCCAAGATCGACCAAGTCGGCGTCCGTATCGCAGCAGTCGCACCAGGTATCATCAAAACGCCTCTCTTTATGGAGAACCCAGATAAACTTGCAATGATTGATACCAACAAGGATGTTCTAGTTGAGCCATCAGAGGTCGCTAGTGTCATGGTTGCCTTGATCGAGAGAGACAGCATTTGCTCAACAATCGATCAAGCGAGGACGGGACCGCAGGACATCGAGATCAAGAGCGGGTCGATTATTGAAGTGACCAAGAACCGAGCTCGTGTTGTCAACACATATCACGATCCGGGTCCTTCGGGTGCTGGGGCAGTTGGGTCCAACTTTGCCACTTCGGAGTACACTACGTTGGCTTTACTGTTGACTCCAGGATGGGGAGACCATACTTTGAAGACGAGCAGCAACCTTTGATCATTACCATAATAAACATTTTGTAGCAGAGTTTCGACCAAATTGATCCATTTTAACACCCGTTAGTGCATGTGACTGACGATATTTCATATATAGTCCAGCTATAATCACTATGAACCCCAGTTAAACTCTAATATTAGAGCAGTTGAGACACCGGCTTAGCTGCTGTTGATTCGTAAAGAAGGAGGTTTCAATGATAGTATTGATCAGCGAGCGGGATCATCACGGGTGCAAATTATCGGGGCTGGATCCAGTATCCCAAGAGAGGCGGTTACGTCGGAAGTTTGATAGGACTCCATTCGACCGCCAATGCCCCGTAACTGCTGTGCAACATAAAGCCACTTGCGATAGGCTAAGGCATGTTGTACTCGGTCTGAGGGGAGTCGAGGCACGACGCAACAGCAACTCCGTCAAATAGATGATATTGAAATCATCACGCGCCCAAGGATATCTCAATAACCTATTTAAATCACGTCCGTGTCCATGCGGCGAACGTAGATAAGTGGCCAAACCGTAAAGAGCCTCGCGACGCCGCTACTCCCAGCAAAGTAAGTCCAGACTGTGCCATCCTAATTGTGTCTAGTGCAACGCGTGGGTTACACCAAGGACCGTGATCTCGCTTGTTTTCCCCGCACGATAACGACCATCCCTGAAAAAGCTTATCTCGGCAGTCTTGGCCCTGGGGGGAGTCCTTGGCATTCTTATCAGCTCGCTTGCAGTCTATGAACGCTTCGTGATGGGGTTTATTTAAGATATATCCCGTCGTGTTGAACGTAGCTACTACTGAGAGCAACAAGGACTCGCATAGCTCAAGATTTGGCAGATTTCGCCAGCTATTCTCACCATGGCCGATCCGACTCCTCACCAGGTTACAGAAGGTCACTTGCGGCCGCGCCTGAGCAAGCTGACTATGGTCGCAATGACATTCGCGATTCTCAAGTAAGCAGATCCACATTTCCCTTGTTAGCCAAAGATTGACTAAACTGACTTCCGCAGCACTTGGATCGCGTTGGGTGGCACAATTGGTATCGTGATGCCGTCTGGAGGTCCAGTCGCGCTCCTATACGGCTTCATCTTCTGTGTCGCTTGCAACTTTGCTCTAGCCTTTAGCCTTGGTGAACTTGCAGCTATTTGGCCAACAGCAGGCGGACAATATCATTTCGTGTACGCTCTCAGTAGTGAAAAATGGAAGAGGTTTCTGGTATGTCCAAATTTCCAGCACGATAACGCGAAAAGAAGCTAATAACCTCCAGAGTCTTTGTGCGGGATGGATCAATATTGCCGGTTGGCTCACCCTTGTAACAACCGAAGCGATCTTCTCTGGTGAGTAGGCCCTGTAAAAATAACCAGGCCTTTTTGCTAATGGGTTTCAGCTATGTTCATTGCTGCCGCTATTGTCGTCGCGTCGGGGAGATCATCACCTGTCGACTCTTGGACAACATACCTTGTCTTCCTTGCCATCATCACATTTTCGACCATTGTGAACATCTGGGGAAATTCGATTCTTGGACCTTGGAGCAACTTCGCCCGTAAGCTTCCACTTCCATAACCCAGCATATAACTTTCTAACTGTGACACCAAGTCTACTGGTCAATCCTAAGCGTTGTCATCATTAGCATCATTCTGTTGTCCATGTCAGAAAAGACCAGCGCCGAGTTCGTTTTCACAACTTTCAATAATGAGACGGGATGGTCCGATGGAATGGCATGGCTTCTAGGCCTCCTTCAATCTGCTCTATCCATGATTGGATTTGACGCGGTTTTGCATATGACTGAAGAAATGCCTAACCCCCATCTAGATGCTCCCCTTGCAATCGTCTATGCCATTGGCGTTGGTGGTTCTACGTGAGTCTTGAATCCCTTCTTAACACAAAAGATATGGAATGCTGAGTCTTGTAGCGGCGTGATCTTCATCCTGGTCATCCTCTTCTGTCTGACTGATGTTGACAAACTTGTGAGCTCACCGACGGGTCAACCCCTGATCGCTCTTTTCGACCAAGCTACAAACAGCCGAGCAGCATCTACCATCATCAGCTGCATGTTGGGTTTGTGTTTTATCCACGGCACAAACGGATCTATCACCACCACAAGTCGATTGATATACTCCATGGCTCGAGATAACGGCTTCTTTTTCTCGCGATATTTTAACCATATCAACCCGAAGCTGGAGGTTCCAGTTCGCACCATCGTCTTCACATACATCTTCAATGTGCTATTTGGTGCCCTTTACCTAGGCCCTACGGTCGCTTTTAACGCGTTCATCGCGTCTTGCACTATTCTTCTCAACATCTCATACGCTTTCCCAATTTTTGTCTTGGTCATTCGAGGCAGAGGCATCCTCGCTCCTCATCAGCATCCCCATACGCCATGGAAGCTTGGAAACTTCTGGGGATATCTGGTCAACTGGACTGCTTGTCTGTACGTCTCGGTAACTTCAGTGGTATGTTGGCTTCCGGCTACAAGTGCAGTGATATGCTCACATGACACAGCTGTTCTGTTTCCCTCCATCGTTACATGTCACTGGAAACACAATGAGTACGTGCTATCTGTCTCCGGTTATTAATCGTCTGCTCACATCATCACAGATTATGTCTCTGTAGTCATCGCAATCTGCAGCCTTGCAATTGCGATTTACTGGATTGCTCGCGGGAAGACCTTCGAGGGACCTGTAAGTTCTCTCTCTCCCTCCCTCTTATGTTGGCGGAGTGCAATGCTAATTAGTGGCTCAGAACCTCGAAACCATCATGGCCCAAAGAGAAGAAGTGGCTCACGCACCTGACCATGGCAGACGTGGCGAGAAGGAAGATATGCATGATCAATCTGTATCTGCTTAGATTATGTAGTGTTTTAGGCCTCATTGGCGATTCAATAGTAATATTTCTTCATATCGGCAACATGATACACACGATAAATAAGACCAAGCTATGCATATTAAAATGTCAAGCCATACACAACACACATGTTTGGGCCTCAGCATTCTTAGGGGATTCAGTCAGCTCCCTAGTACCATAGTAAAAAATTTAAAGATTAACTTATTTTACATAAGGAAAAGATAGTGCGTAGGAATTGGTAGTCGACAGGCCCGCAGAGGAGGAAAGGTACAGGGTAAGTCACCTTTGACTAAGGTTTGGGTTTCGCGTATTTCCTCTAATAGAATCCTTATCAGCCGAATCATATCTCAAGCTTTCCCTTAATCGGAGCATTTAGAGTGCTTATCTCTGATAAGATAAGCCATATGGTGTAGAACTAATGGCTTATCAACCAGACGATATAACTATTAACCCATACTATTGTATCATGATCAAGTTGGATGGGCAAGACCTTTGTAGCAAAATAGACTCTTACGCCACTTCGTCCCGATTACCTCTTTACAACATGATTACCGTTTTCTTGGACAGATACTCCATTGCTCCACATCACAGAAATGCAACCTTTACACATGGTATAATGCACGCTTCTGACATGTCAATAGCATTACTTACCAGATTACAAGAAAATTGCTTGCAACATTACAGAAAACTCTCTTGTACTCCGTCATATTGACACTAATTACGTATCAGTCCATTATAATCAAGCCATAAACGTAGATATAAGCATAAAAGCAACATGCGACAGGAAGCAGGGCTTTTTATCAGACAGATTCCTACCGAAGACCTTAATTCCAACGGCTCCTTTCCCAATATGACAAGAATATCCGCCTCTAGACAGGATAGTATCACTCAAGCCATGTAACCCATTTCAAACCGTCTTGCTTGCATCCTTCTTAGCATCACTCTTGCCGCGGATGATAGTCGACAGATCGCCGAGAGGCAGCATGATGGGGAAGTCGACAGACATAAGTAGAATAGACATGAACATATACCAGCCGATTAATGATAGAGCAAACAACAATCCCGCTCCAGCGTGCTGGCACTTGAGCGCAAGGTTAGCCTTCCCTTGGGAAACGGCAAAGAACGCAGCGGCAAGGCAAGAGACTATCACGAGGGTTAATGAGTGCTGCACAAATGGGGGTTATCGGACTTACAGCAAGGAACAAGCAAGAGGAGGATGGAGAACAGAGCGACATTCGTTCGAATACTCGCGATAGAATAGATAGTGCATAGGATAGCCATAGCAATTAGGAAGAATGCGAAAGTCGAGTAGAATTGAGGCTGAGCGAGACCATTGGCAGCCGTACCGTCGGTGGAGTAGGTGCTATAGGCGCCGGAATCAGGGACAACAGTTGTACCGAATGCGAGCCAGAAGCCCCCGAAGGTGAAGAAGACGGTTGATGGGAAGGTGTTTCCTAGAAGACTGGCATTAGTTGAAGAATTGCAATGAGCTTGAGATAATGCTTACCAAGAATCCATTCACCAATACCTCCCAAGACAAGAAGAACACCACCCAATCCAAAGTAGGCACCACTGCGGTCTGTTAGCTGTTGCTCACAATGGGAGGGATGGTGAGACCTACACGTTCGCAGCAGCAGCAAAACCACCAGCTCCCTGCCATCCGAGCAAGCCCATGGATGCTGGCGTGGAGCACATCAAGAATCCAGCCAAAGCTGCACTCATTAGTATGACAGGGATTACCGGAAGCACTAGTACATACCAACTGGTGTAGGGTTGCCGAAGGTCTTTCGAAGGTCTCCCTTCACCCTATTCTGTGGCTGGAGATAAAGCTGCTCGAACAACTCTGGCGAGATGGGGATGCTCCGAGTTGGATGAACATGATCCAACTCTTCGCCTTCGCTTCGAGGCTTGCCGTTGATGCTGGTACGGGGAGACATGCTGAGCTTGGTATATGAGCAGACGCGTTTCGTAAAGGAGCTTGGTAGGGAGGGTTATGAGAGACAGGGGAGCTCAAGCTTGATGACTACGAATGTTGAGGGGAAGCTCCAATACCTTATAAGCTATGTGATAGCTACCAAGGAGAATTAAAGTTTCCTTTTCCCCGGGTTGATGGTCTGGGGAAGTGGACTCTGAGGAAGGCATGCGGAGATGTTACATTGGCTTGAAGTTAGATCCATGCACAAGAGATAGCTAGCTTCAGGCCAATCTAGAGATCGTCCGAAATACCGGCTCGGCCTTCAAGTGCCGAATAAACGCGAAACTCCGTGGTCCATGGATAATTGGACTCCGGGATGATGATCAAGTCCGAATACTCAACAGAGACAGCTGTTGACATGACACGTTGGTCTGCAACCATGTTGATGATAAACATTGGGATGATACACAGCAATGCACCTTAGGTCTCAGTAAATTACAAGGGAGACGTTACTTGTTCTGAGTCAAGGAATGCTTCATCAAATTCACCAAGAAACTCAATTGCCTGCTTGGCACTACCATGCTTCACGATGCTTGGACATCAAAATCCAAGCCATTCGGTCGAGCGGCAGACTATATAGACTACAGGATGTCGATCAAGAGCTATACCAGCATTATATGCCGTTGTCTCAGTGTAACCAAGTATACCCAACTTGTGAAGTGTTCGCGATAGTGCGACGACCAATAAACGCCAGCACAAGCTGAATGCGGAGACGGGTCCGGGTTGCGGGATCACCTCCGCACTGCACCTCAGAACCAACCAGTGATAGGCTAGCAAGATGAAAGATCTCAGATGATGTTATTGCTATGGAGATCGTGATACATGTGATAATTGGTCTGGTGATTAGATAGATCAGGCTTAGGTCGGTGTAGAAGACGGTGAGGGATGCGGAGGTTACGGATATCAAATTACCGAGATCAACCTTTCATGCTAGCCAGGTGTTGATACTACCCTGGGTAACAGTTCTCCATTCTGATGAAAGCATGGCTGTTTATTTGCCAGAGATCAGTGCATTGACGTGTCCGCTTTGACGATAAACGATACCACGTCAACGTTCAGATCGACAGATCAGCTAGATCCGGTGCCTTCAGCTTTGACATCCTCCCATTCACTCTCCTGCGTCGAAACTTCATCCTCTTCAGGGAGTTGTTTCTTCAGCCCCTCAAGAACAGTCTTCAAGCCATCCGAGACCTTATGATTATTCACTCTCTGGATCCTCTGCTCCAGCTCCCTGATCTTATCCTTCAACTCTTGCGTCTTGACATCGGTCAGATCAACCACCTCAGCATCCTCCTCTTGTTCCTCTTTAATCTCGTCCTTTCCTTCGTCTGGCCGTTCAAGACCATCACCCCAAGCTTCCGCAAAAGCCTGCGCCATGTTGTGATCCTTGATTGCAAACACAATCTCATCAATGTATTCCCATCTCTCCTTTAACGGCTTTGACTTGTCGTATTTTGGACTTAGAACAGATTTCCAAATTCTTGCTATTTCACCGACGGGGTTTCCATGCGCTCCACAGCCCCAGGCTCCGAGTACGAGGCGTTTGGACTTTTTAAACATAGCGATTCGCATAACAGCCCTCATCTTGGCTTGCGCTGTGTCGCGATCCTTCTTGTTGGCGTATGATGCTACTCCGTCGCCGTCGAGCTCGAATTCCGGGCCGCGGATCATAGCTGCTGTGATACAGTCGACGTAAAATCGATCTTTCTTGTCCAAATCGTTCCCTTCTTCATCTCTGAAGACCAACACATTCGGAGTCCAAATCGAAGAATATTCGGGAAGTCGGTACCACTCGTCCTTGAGAGAAGGATACAACGTAGTACGCATGCATAATGACTCCTCCTGACTGTTTGCACCATTGAGAAATCCGCCTCCAGGGTTCAGTGGTGAGCCCATGTTCAAAATCGTCACATGAGCTCTAGTATTACCAAGATCTGCTTTGATGCCCACCGGTGTCTCAATATTGAGAAGATCTCGCGCAGCCGTAAGCGTATCGACTTCCCTAAATGATATTCTGGGTGTTTTAAGCTTTTCCAAGCTCTCATAGGGATCTTCAGCGCCATTTGTAGATTTGCCTTTCGTTGCTGTATCGCCCTTATCCTTCTGTTCCTTCAAGAGCTTCTCATAGACTGCAGGCAAGACTGGGCCATTGATGAAAGGTACAAGCTCTGCCGAATTGATTCCTTTCTGAGCACCGGGATATCCAGGGAGTAGGCTGGGAATGACCTTGTTGATGGTGGCCTTTGCCTTTTTGGCGCGTGCATCCTTGCGAAAAGCCGCCGGTGGTCGGCCAACGGACGGCTCAGTTCGTCCCATGATTCTTGACCTCCAGTCGTGATTTTAAGAGGTGAAACGTAAAGATTGGCGTCGCAGGTGACTCAGTTCGAGATTATCAATTTGGGCGTCTTCAGTGGACACCTTTTGGTTGGGGACCTTGATGAGCAGCGACCCAGATCAGCGTAAAACTGCCTACAAAGGTGTTTTGGGCTTGGAATAAATTTTGTGGCGATAAAGAAGGAAAAGGTGAAATTGATTTGCCAAATGAAGCATCATGGAGACGTCAAATGCGCAGACTGAATTGTCGCCACTGATGACTGCCTGACCTCGTCACATGATCAAGACTAAAATCCGTCTTTCGGCCGAAACCTTGGATACGGAAAACACCAAGTGACCGATAAACTTTAAACTCACGATACATGATACGATAATTGTAGCATCATGATATTGATGAGATTTATGAGATTGAACGTCGATTCATGCTGCATTTGCTAGCCACGTATTAATTAATGGCCTCAAGAAGGCAGTCTTGGCATTTGTAACAAAGACATGGAATAACTCGTACCAAAATCACATGAAGTACCATGTCCCAATATTTATAATCGCTAATTATTCTTCAGCTCAACAACATGTGATCAGCCTTGCCAGCACATGAGATGACCCATTTCCATTTACGATCAAACCTCGGCCGGAGTTTTGGTAGGGAACGCACGGCAAATAGTGGACTGATCAGATCCACAGTCGGCTTTCTTCGTATCCATTTCCCCCTACAAACTCCGTCGGACATTTTAAGCATGATTCCAACAGCCCAAGCGTCTTATCTCTAATTAACAACATCCCTGTCTAGCACCTGTCAAAACCACGTTTCAGTGGATCCAAACAAGAATTATCGAAAATGTCGGCGCTGCTAGACGGCGATTTCCCGACTCCCGGAGATATCGCAGCAGATTATGCAGACTTCGTCATCAAGATCTAATTACGTTCCTTGATACCCGCAAGATCGAAAGGTGTTAGGCCCCCTTACGCCCAAATCTGGATCTCACCACTCCCAAATCCGTCCTGTGACTCCGTTGTCACAGCAGAAATCACCTGTTGCTCACCCCGGCTTCGAGGCCCGCTCACCGGCCCTCCCGACGAAATGGAACCCCGATCTCGCCATACTGTTATAAAGGGCTCATCCTCCCGTCTTGGAAGTCCTTTTGAGGAATAGTATGAGCAATCATTGCAGATTCACAACATCATCATGTCTTCTAGACCAGATTTGCCTAGCTCTTGTGTGAGCGACGATGAAACACTACGACAAAAAACACCAGAATCGAAACCACGACATAGCTCGTTGGTAAAACTCCTTTTTGACAGGACGAGAGTAAATCAGGCTGTTGAGAACCATAATTATCCTGGATCAGGCTCTTTTGAAGATCCGTTCGTTGTTAGCTGGATTCCTGATGATACAGGTAATCCGCTCAATTGGCCCAAGTGGTTGAAATGGACCATCACTATGGTTTCAGCCGCAACATGTTTTGCTGTTGCGTTTAGTTCTAGCGCCTATACAGGTCAGTCTTATAGCCCTCGCCAATCGATGTAGCTTACATGTCATATAACAGGTACTATCGTGCCGCTCATGATCCACTTCAAGGCCAGCCATACACTCATCACCGCTGGTGTCTCCCTCTACGTCCTAGGCTTCGCAGTCGGACCTCTCCTCTGGGCACCACTTTGTGAAATCTATGGTCGACAAATTATCTTCGTCATCAGCTACGGCTTGTATGTCGTGTTTAGCGCAGCATGCACGGCAGACAATGGCGTCGCCACGCTTCTGGTACTTCGCTTCTTCTGCGGCACCTTTGGCTCATCACCTCTAACCAATGCTGGCGGTGTCATCTCTGATATCTTCCAAGCTGACGAGCGTGCTATCGCTATGGCATTCTTCTCTTTGGCGCCTGCACTGGGTCCTAGCTTGGGCCCTTTTATTGGTGGATACTTGAGTGACGGTCAAGGATGGAGATGGGTAAGTCGAATAATTTCTTGATTCTAACATCATACACTAACCAGAGTCTCTAGGTTATGGGATTGATGGCCATTGTTGCCGGATTCTTCTGGGTACTCGACATGTGCTGCGCTCCCGAAACCTACGCTCCCTACATCCTTCAAAACCGAGCCGACTTCTTGTCCAAAAAGACTGGCAAGGTTTACATCTCCATCTATGAACACCAAGGCAAAGCCGATCCACCATCCGTCGTCCTCAAGAAGGCCCTTATTCGTCCTTGGCAACTCCTATGCTTCGAACCTATCGTCCTTCTTCTCTCAATCTATGTCGCTATTCTTTTCGGAACTCTTTACATGCTGTTTGGCGCATACCCTGTCGTCTTCCAGCTTGAGAGGGGTTGGTCTGCTGGTAAGGGAGGTCTGGCTTTCCTAGGTGTTGCTGTCGGAATGATCAGTGCCATTCCCACGATTGGACTCATCAACATATGGTATATGAAGGTTACTAAAAGGTTCAACAACGAACCTGTACCTCCTGAATATCGTCTGCCTGGATGTATGCTCGGCGGTATCTGTGTCCCTGTTGGCATGTTCTGGTTCGCATGGTAAGTTCAAGTGCTGTTACGTTCAACACTTCTACTAACAATTGACAGGACATCGTATCGTTCAGTACATTGGATGTCTCCAGTAGCCGCTGGCGTCCCATTCGGTCTCGGCATGTCTCTTGTTTTCCACAGCATCTTCAGCTATCTCATCGATGCGTACACCATCTACGCTGCTTCGGTCCTAGCATCAAATGCTGTGTTGCGATCTCTATTCGGCGCCGCTTTTCCACTCTTCACTAAGCAGATGTACGACAACCTAGGAACGCAGTGGGCCAGCACAGTACCAGCCTTTCTGTCACTCGCCTGTCTACCGATGCCGTTCATCTTCTTCAAATATGGTCCTGCTATTCGACAGCGATGCAAGTATTCTGCAAGGGCCGCACAAGCGTTGGCTATGGCAAAAAAGGGCTAGATCTTGAGGGATTGCGAGATCATTTCTTACTAACTTTCTACTTAATACTGTGTCTTAACATTAATGGAACAAAAATGGCAATGGGAAGGAGTTACGAATCACCTTAGACATAGAATATCACACCAGTCATAGATTATATAGAGTCAACTCAAAATTGTACATTTTCTCTGAATATGCCTAATGGGGCTGAGTCGTCTAATTCTGTAGCTTCAATTGGTGGAATTCTTGCGAGTCAGCAGATATGAGCAACAACAATTTTAAATCAGGCTGTGATGAGAAAGCCATTTTCCTCAGCTTACTGCAGTTGTTAACTTGTTCCCGCCCGCCAAAAGGTCGAGTGTCCCATCCGCGATGGATCCTGTCACGGCCGTTGGCCTGGCATCCGCCATCATTTCCTTCGTCCCTCTGGGTGTCAAATTGTTGCAGAGCGCGCGGGAAATCCGTGAGTCCGTCGACGGTAGCGTCGAGAGAAACCAGACGCGAAAAGCTATAGTGGATGAGATGCAAGCAGTCTCTCGGAGACTTAAACCAGCAGATCGAACTAGAGTCCTACCCGAACAGAGGGGTCTTTACGACCTCGCGCTAAAATGCCACGAGTTATCGCAGAAGATCCTCGACCTTCTCGATAAGATCAGACCCAAAGGTCAGAGCCCTTTTAAGACCTATCGGTCTGCATACAGGGCTTGGAGTTGCGAAAGCGAGATTAAGAATCTGGAGAAACAGCTAAATGACTGTCGGAGTCAGTTAGCATTGGGCTTAGTGGATCTTTCAAGGTATCAGATTCCCTAAATTCTTGTCCTCATCAGTCACAGGATCTCAAAATCGCATATAGTCAAGACTCGACAGTGTACTCGAAAAAGCTTTTAGCCATGGCCCAGACCGATGCATCGCGACTGGAAGAACTTCAAAGGCATATAGAAGCGCTGAGGAGTGGCGTGCAAGTCGAGCAAATCGGGACCGAAGCCAGTACTCAACTACGCCGTCTTCTAGGTCTTCAGGACGATGCTATTGCTGCCATTTATCAGAATCGAATTCTTGAAAGCATTCGGTTTGAGAATATGCACGAAAGAGATGACAGGGTTCATTACCCTCATGAACAGACTTTCAACTGGCTTGTAGAAGATGATGAGACCTTCGAGGACGAGTCAACGGAGATGAGCAGATCCGATATGCTTGAGATGTACGAGATGAAATTGAACTCTAGAAACCTTTTCGTCAAGTGGCTGTCTTCACCGGAGGGCATCTTCCATATCTCTGGTAAACTGGGCTCAGGCAAGTCCACATTGATGAAACTACTTTGCACACATACGCAAAACCGGCTTGAACTTGAGAAATGGGCAGGTAAGGTCTCGCTTATCCCGAGCTTGATCTGATATGAGAAACTTATTACTCGCTACAGGTAGCAGGTCTCTCCTCATCACGCAGTTCTTCTTTTGGAACCCCGGTTCTGAGATGCAAAAGTCACTAAACGGTCTCTATCGATCTTTCCTCTACGACATCCTCCACGCCTATCCCGCACTTATCAGAAAGGTGTTACCGGAACTCTGGATGGAAGTTGAGAATAGTCATTGGCAGATACAGACCAATCTTGACTTGCCGATCGATGTTGCACAGTCTGCCCTCGAGCGAATCATCTACAATACTGACTCATGTGCTCCGAAGATCTGCTTCTGCTTCTTCATTGATGGTCTAGATGAGTACGACGGGTCACACAGCAGAGATCACCTTTATCTCGTAAGCTTGTTGAAAAATTGGGCCCAAAATTCCCAAGGGAGGTTGAAAATGGTCGTTTCTAGCAGAGACTATAATGTGTTTCTGAACGGGTTCTCGGCCGAGTATCGGCTTCAACTCCACGAACTTACCTGGTTCGACATGAGACGTTATGTGCGAGATTCATTATCCCACCTTCCAAACTCCGACCTCAAAGAGTACTTACTTGCAACGATTCCAAGCAAAGCAAGTGGTATCTTTCTCTGGATACTTTTGGTAGTTAATGAGGTCCGGAAAAAGGTCGAGGATGACGTATCACAAGACCAATTACTTCAACTCCTTGATGGTCTTCCACCTGGCCTGGAAGCGTTGTTTGGACATATTCTCAACGCCCTCGATGAAAATAGCCGAAAGACTGCTTATCAAACTATGTCACTATTGAGAACTGCCAAGGACAACTATCTGACCTTCGCACTGATGGAGTTTTCGTTCCTTGAAGATTATCAGAGACACTCGGAGCTCTCGATACGAGAAGACTTTATGTCTCGTTACGCAATGAATTCAGATGACAATAAAACACCAGATACTTATGGCAAAAGGCTTCGTGGTATCTGCGGTGGTCTTGTTGAATGCCATCCGTCAACTGCAAGATATTACGGACCTTGGGGAGGCCTTAACTTCACTCACCGATCCATTCCCGAGATGCTTGAGAGAGGAAAGATAAGTACAGAAATGCATTCATATCTCCAGGATTTCAATAGTGTTGATGCACTGTCACACTTGATCTTCGCGGCGGCACAATTCAGGAAGAATAGGTCAGAAGCTAGACCTTCATGCGCTGGCGTGACATGGATGCGCCTGGCAGCGAAGATCGACAGGCCCCCATATAACTTTCTCCAGTGTATTTCGTCATGGGTTGGTGATCCGTTCGACTTGGTCCCTGAACCAAGCCATCTTCTCTTGCACCAGGGTATCCAGGTATTTGCCAACCATGGCTTGCAAAGCTTGGTTCGCTATGGAGCAATGACAAGACGGGAAACATTCAGTACCATATGTCAAGCTGCACTCATAGGCCATGTTGAGTACGTTGAATGGGGGTATAAGAATAACCTCAGAGCTGTCGACAAGCAATGGAAGAGGGCACTTATTGCCAACGCACTTCTGGACACCTATCTCCGAGATGGTCTACCTATACAAGCGTTGAGCTATTTCTTCAAGGGTCCTTTCCTGTCGCTTGAACGAACTTCTTTTGAGGCCAATCAGCTGCTCATTGATGATAAACCTCCAGCAATTCTTCCGGTAGGCCCCCGCTCGCCTGTTGGCTCTAGCTATGCTCTTTCAGAGAGCCTGACCGTTTGGGAAAGATTCTCGGTCTCTTGTTTTTTATACCGGATTGATATGAGATATCCTCCTCATACTGATAGCTTCGGTCTCGCTATTGAACAGTTTCTATTACACGGAGCCCCATCCGAGTTTCTCATCACCATCAAGCACCTGCACTGTCCAACTCATGCCACGTTTCACTTTCCCAGACCCAAAAGTCCGTTGACGATTGAAATCCATGACGATGATGACGGGATGCTATTTGAGCACGCCACAGGGTGGAATACGCGTGATGGAAAGCCAAGCATATCACTACGTGAATGGATCCAAAGCATAAATCCCAAGAACAAGGATCGTGTACTTGAGATCCTAGACAATGCCAGAGGGTATCAGGAGTGCGCTCTAGGCTCGAGTGAACTTGAAAAGGACCATTGTGTATCGGATGAAACAGCAGCTTCTAGTCCAGGGGCTACAAGGCACCCAGCCGTGACGAGAACCAGACTTCATCGACATATGATTCTCTATAGAGTCTTTCCAGGTCTGTATCATACCAGCAGTATCTGCTTGGGAATATCCTCAGCTGACATGGCGACAGTTTTGGTGATAGTATTGGGACTTTATATTGGCTGGAACATGCGGGATCAGCGACGAGAATACCAGAAGGCTGGGGTCGCTCTCCCACGTTATGGTTGATAATGACTTTTGTTTGAGCATGACGCTGAATCACCAGGAAACAGTCATTAGAAAGGGAGCATGACTGTTTTACGTATCTAAACTATTCACTGTCTATTGAGTGAGACCTCAGAAGTCCTCGGCAGTCAAACCAACATTCTTCACCTTGGCCAATCGAAGAAGCTCTTGACCGATTGAAAGATCCATAACACCTGTTCCAACACTCTTGTAAATAACAAATCCAGTTTCAAGCCATTTGTTCAGGTCATCCGGGTTCCCCGTGTTCTTCTTTTGGAACAACTGGCCAATCTCAAGCATTTTATCCGTAGGGATCTCAGCTTTAACCAGTTCTCCAGCCTCTTGCAAGCAACCGTCTCGGCTGTCGACAGCAACAGATCCGCCTTGATACGCCACAGATGAAAAGGGCCCAGACGGGTTGATGACTTGTTTCAGAAGCTCGGGGTCGATTTCTTGCATGTCAAGCCGGTAAGAACCGATCGCCGCGAGATACCGGGTCTTGCTTAGAGCCTTCTCAGAAGTAAGGTATGATGCTGGGAAGAGAGGTTCCGTGCTTGGTGTTGTAAAGAACAAGACATCTGCATTGACGACCAGAGACTCCAAAGCTGCATCACGGTCGCCCTTGGGATCAAAAGCCTGCAAGCTGATGTGCGATGGCCATGGAGATTGAACATTCGACTTAAGTGACTCGATCAACTGTTGAGTTCTCTCAGCAGAACGGTTCACAATCGTCACAGACTTGATATCCTTCTCCTTCAACAGAAGCGCCAAGCGAATATGCCACAGAGCTTGTTTCCCCGCACCAAACACCACGATGTTCTCAGTGTTACGCCTAAATCGATAAGGCAGCATTGAGCCCAGCGCAGTTCGGAACGCAGTGAGTGCAGCTGCGTTGAGCGTTCCGATAGCCTGACCTCTAGCGTCGCACAGAGTCAAGACACTCTTGAGACCTGCTTCAGATGGCTTGAGCTTTTCGCTTGGGGTCACACCGACGATCTTTACGCCGAGTAATTGGTCAGTAGTTCCGGGCATGAACAGGCTGACTTGGCCATCTCTGTTGACGACTGCACGGTGAGGTTGGTATTGCTGTTCATTGTTGCATGAATATTGAATGAGGGCTCGCTCGAGAGCGTTTGCGAGATCGGTCACGTCAGATGAAGATAACGTGTCGAGGATGTGATTGACATTGGCGTCTGAGAGAACTGTGAAAGGCATCTTGGATAATTGTTCGTAGATGCTAGTGAAGTGAGAAGAGATGAAGTCGCGGGTGATAAGCCGGACGAGTTGTAGTTGAGGCTGGAGGCCTAATCTAATTAATGCCGCTATCGGACGCGGCCTCTATCGGCTCTGGCGGGGGCGAAGCGGGGAAGCCAAGGCCCGATTCGGGGCTGTCACTGAATCCCACCACGGATGTTTTCCTATCTTACTTACTCGTAAAAACAAACATCGCTATTGATCTAGCCGTATAGAGATATTATAATATCTAGCGTCTTCAACCCGGATCTTTATTATATCTCTTATATACAGCACGCTGACAACTATTCTTAGGCCAGGATCCCACTGTTCCCCTTCTCGTCCCTCTCAGTGATGGAAGAATCACTTTGGGCATTCTGGACTACTTTGGATTCACCTTCAACTGGACCCTGTCCCCTCAAGCCCCGATAAACAGTCTTCAATTGAGGCCAACCATCAATAATGGGGTAGAAACCTGCAACGAACATGGTTCCCCATACCCAGATAATGGCGATAACAATCCAAGCGACAAAGAAAGTCTTGCCAAAGACATATTTGGCAGCGTACATCGGAAGAGGCCTATGTTAAACAATTTTTAGTAACGGTTTCGCTGAAATGGGATTAAGTATCTTACCATAGAACCCAATGTCCCAAGAATGTAGCAGCGGACCAAATCGCCGCAAGAGTGCCCCAATGCTTGAGCTTAGCTTTATCTTCGGTGTAGCTGGCTACCTTTTCTTCGTGTGTTCTCACTTCTTCCTTTGTTGAGCCGACCTGGTCGAACGCAAGACGCTCGTTTCTGAAGTCGGCCCATTGGTAATTGGCAGGCTTGATGAGCGAGATGACGACTGAGTACAGAGCTGGGCTCAAAGCTGAAGCGACAGTTCCGTATACACAAGGAAGAGACTTTCCAGTGGATGCAACGGTGACTTCGCCGTACAGTGACGACGCTGAGCCAAGCCAAACAGCGATACCAGTCGCCATACCCAGGAGAGGTGAGACAATGGCAGCAATCTTTGACTGTTTTCTCCATAGGATTGTAAAGACGGTCGGGAAGATACCAGGGCATGTCAAGACTCCGAGCATGTATAGGGTCCATCCAAGGTCAACCTTGCCGTAGTAGAGGGCAGTAGAGAAGGCAGCGGAAAAGAGACCGAAGAAGACGACACCGATGTGACTCCATCGAATAGCATCACGGTCTGTAGCTTGACGGTTGAAGTACTGACGATAGATGTCAAAGCTGATGATCGACGACACCGAAATAACTTGCGCACTAATGGTTGAAGTGACGGCCATAAAGGTGATCAATAAAACGGCAGCAGCACCGCCTTTTCCAGCAATTGCGATCGCGGCATAAGGTAGTACTAGACCATTCGAGATCTCGACGGAAGACATGCGACGAGGGTATGTAGGGAAGCGAGGAGTATCCTCAAGAGCGAGAGCAGAAAAGCTCATCAAGGTGCCGAGACACCATGGGATTGCAAAGTAAGCAATGCCGCCGATGATATATCCAGGTACAACAGCTTGAGGCGCAGCGCTGAAGGCTTTGGCAAAGAAGCCAGTGTCCATGATGACAAGACCAAAATTGGCCAGAACATGGATGATACCAAAGTATATAGCCTGCATATTGTAAGCGAGTCTCTCATGATGATCAAGTAGCTAACACACATCTTTACTAGTCATCGTCAAGAAAGATCCATCGTGATTACCAGCGACTGGATGGTCCTTTCCAACCTGGACGATAAGATCATATAGACCGCCAGGTGATCCAATCTCGGGGACCAGGAATGCCTTGATTGTGAAAAAACATATGATGATCGTGATCACAAACGTATGGAAGTAGTCAGTCAGGAAAGTCGCTTTGATGCCGCCGACAAAGGTATACAGCACCACGCCGACGGGTAGCAAGAACGTAGCGGCGATGATATGGATACCAGATCTGATCGAGTCAGTATTCTACTCAATGGACAAGACAGAAGACTTACAAGGCAGAGATCGCTGCACTTGCACCAAGCAACATGTTTGCGATAGCGATGATGTTGTTGATGAGGCACAGGCCAATCCAAACAATATGACCAGAAGTTCCATATCGTATGCGGACAATCTCAAGTAGTGTATGCGCTTCGGGTACTCTGAGTTTACAGGAGATACCAAGCAAAGCGAAGAAAACGATCATGGGCGAGCATCTGACAAGAGTCAACTACCAAAAATGGTTGTGGGGACATGGTACATACCCAGCTGCAAACCAGAATGGTCCGGCGACACCAAAGTTATATCCAACAAGAGTACTTCCAAGCATAGCCGTACTCCAAAGCCAAGATGAAATAACAGCAGATGAAGTCAGGCCAGTGCCAACACTTCGATTGGCTGTCATGAACATCTCGGTCGTCTTGTTATCTTCACCAACCGTCTTCTTCAAGATATGCGTCAGAAACATCATAATGAACGCGATAAGAAATCCAATCGCGATAACGACGACATAGCCGACCGCTTGAGAAAGCGGTGGCTCAATGCCGTTCTCGCTTGCATCTGCCCGAATGTGAAGCGACATTTTGGCCAAGAATCTTGGGAATGCGAAAGATCCAGCAGTTCGGTTTGACGTCTCGGCATTTTCTTCTGGGGAACTCTCTCATAGCTTTATGTTTAGCGATCGGCAGGCACGAATCCATGTCGTTTGTATAGCTTTGATGATGCAATGGACTATCATTTGCTAGATAACTGCCGTGCAGCAATTTGATGAACCGTGGAGGACATTGGGAGATCTCATTAGTCGATGGAGTTCCGCCAGCCCGGATATCTTCCGTATACCGGGATCTAGGCTCTTATCCATTCTGGAATTATATCATTGCTGATATGCTTCGGGAATTTTGGGCTTGTGATAGGCGATAAGAGCACTGTTCACATGTTCATGGGGTATGGCGTGAGAGCTTTTAACGATGGCGATAGGGCCTATCGCTGTCACGCCATTCAGCAATTATCTAAGAAAAAGCGGAAGAATATTATCCCCTAAATTATCTAGCAATTAGCTTGCTCCGATGCGACAAATCAACAATTGCGCTCTAGGTTAGAAAAGTGCGACCTCGTAGGGTGGTGAAGCCAGCCATTCCACGCGTGTTATATCCAGCCAGAATGTTGTCAAGAAAATTAACAAACCAGATTATGCAGCGAGAATTGGTAGATATGATACCTGAGGCCACAATGCAGCAACAAAAATTATTGGATAGCTTTTCATAATCAGGCTGTGATGTGAGGCCGCCAACAAGACCATGAATTTACAACTTCCCCTCATCATCACTCCAGGCTAACTCCAAGGCTGTCCTGAGCATTCCGTGAAGCTATAAAAGCGCCAGGACTTCATCTATCTGGACTCACCAGCCAGTTTATCGTCGGCTCCTGGGAGCTCTCTTAAAACCTCACATTTACTTCATCATGGATCCCGTCTCGGCGATCGGATTGGCCTCTGGGATCTTGACCTTCGTTGAAGCGGGCCTCAAGCTCGTAAAAATAGCCTACAACATACACAACTCTCTTGATGGGGTCTTAGATGAAAACAGACACCGCAAAAGTGTCAGTAGTGAAGTTATCAAAGCGGCTCTGAGGCTAGAAGTCGCGGGAAACGCCTGGTTGACCCCCGAGCAAGAGTCACTTTCGAATCTTGCCAAGAAGTGCAAGGCGACTTCAGCAGAACTAGTCAAAACTTTGAACGAAGTCAAGCCGAAAAAGAATTCGTCTAATCTCTTCATATCGTTGCGATATGCAGTTAAGGCAACTGTCAAGGCGAAGGATATCAGTGGCCTGGAGAACCAGCTAAAAGACTATCGTGATCAGCTCATTCTCGCACTGGTCGATTTCTCAAGGTGAGCCTAGCTCGTTAATCATGAGAGAGGAGGTAGCTAATCCGTTCTCAGAGTCGAGGCAGCAGATGATTTCAATGAACTAATCTCACTTGCCAAAGGCAACGAAGCTACATTGAAGAGTTTGACCCAGGCCATAGAGCACTTGCGCCAAGCACAGCTCACCGCACTTGATTCAATTGCCAACAGGCTCAATACGCAAGCTTACACCCCACTCCAGAAGCTAATAATGATCGACGAAGAAACCCGTCAATCTATATATCAGGATCACATTCTGGACAGCCTCAAGTTTGATGAAATGCATCAGCGATTTGACGCAGTCCACGGTGCTCATGAAGATACCTTCAAATGGATTTATGAGCCAATTCAAATTACCGATGAAGATGAGGACATGTCTTACGAGAAATATGTAAGACAAGAAGCGGCGCTTAAGGTACTGGTAGTAATATCATATCAGCGAACTGAGCTGATGGTAATGCGCTCCACAGATGCAACTCGAATCAAGAGAGAGATTATTAGGTTGGCTTTTATCAGAAGGGTCATCATCACCAATCTTCCATATCTCTGGAAAGTTGGGATCTGGAAAATCAACATTAATGAAGTTTCTATGCTCTCATCAGACGACAGAGGACGTGCTAACTAAGTGGGCTGGTAAACAAGTTTTTTATTGTACATGATACCGTCAGCTAATTTTTTGGAAAGGTACAAAGAACCTTGCGTTGGCTTCGTTCTTCTTTTGGCGGAATGGCTCAAAGACACAGAAGTCACTAGACAGACTTTGCCGCTCAATGCTTCACGATGTACTGAGAGAGCGGCCTGATCTAATATCTGAGATCTTCCCTGATCAGTGGCGTCAAGCGAAACAAGCTCCCTGGAAGGTTCAGCACCGTCAGGATATCCCATCGTTTTACATTAAAGACGCTCCCGAAAGGCTCCTACAAAACAGAAAACTTTACCAGCAACACAAATTCTGCATCTTTATTGATGGTCTCGATGAGTTTGAGCCTGGCCTTCAAGATGGGTTGGATTACATTGATTTAGTCATTGCCCTTCGACAATGGACGACTTATGCTGATGGGAACCTAAAGCTCTGCCTTTCGAGTAGAGAAGAAGGTGTCTTTATGGATGAATATGAGAATGACCCTAGCTTCCGACTCCAGGACTTGACCAGATTCGATATGCAAAACTATATCCGCAGTCGCCTGAGCAACCTAAAGGATGAAGACCTCAAAAGCGAGCTCGTCACTGATATCCCGAAGAAGTCGTCAGGGATCTTTCTTTGAACCTACCTTGTTGTGAAAACGATACGGAACAAAATGACACACAAGGCCACCAGCGAGGCATTGAGGAATCACCTCAACACTTTGCCTAAAGGTCTCGAGTCACTCTTTTACCACATCCTCCAGCAGCTCGAACTTGATGATGCGAGAAAGACTCTCCGGATTATAGATTGTCTTAAAACTGCCAAATCGACGCTTTTAGAGCTACCATTGCTCGCTTTCTCCCTTCTGGATGAATATGATAGAGACTTAGAGTTTTCGCTACGAGACGGTCTCGAAAATGGCATTATCCCGGATGAGAACGTTCTCAAAGCTCAACTTCGAGGTGCTTGTGGGGGACTGATAGAATGCGTTGAGGGCAGACAGTATGAGGGATTTCAAATTCTTGAGTTTGTTCACCGATCAGTCCCTGACATGCTCCAAAGGAATGCAGGAAGATCAGAACTGGCTCTTCAAATAGAAGCTGCCCTTGTCGGTACCAATACTGTTGATGTTGTCTCCCATGTTTGCTTTGCTGCTATTCAACTCTTGAAGCTCTCAAGAGCAACAGAGGCAGTGAGAAGCATATGCCAGTGTATAGTATACATACGACTCTATAGGAGGATTGACAAGCCACCGTACCATTTCCTGGAATACATTGGCTTTTGGATTGACGATAGGTGGCTGGACGACAATGAGACCAAGTGGCTTTCCTGTTGTGCTTCTTACCCTCCCACGATTGGAATCCGATGCATCACATCTCACCAACCGGCGGCTACCAAGGCCGACAACACAAGAATTATTAATAACAATATGTATCTTGCAGCACTTTCTGACCATATGGATTACATAGAGTGGAAAATCCTGAATGATGCAAACGCTATGAACAACTCGGCCAAGAGAGCCTTGGTTGGACAATCAGTTCTGATGTCAGCACATTGGGAAATGTTTTTCCAGAACGATATCTTTGCAATGGATCCTGTTATACCTTTGATTCCTTCTGTCTATGAACAAGAACTACTAAGCGGAAACGACAGTGGTTCATGTTTCCTGTCAGCCTGGCAATTCTTCCTATCCCGCATCATTTTGGGTTTCAGCCATTGGTCTTTTCATTCCCCCGAAAACGCCGGAACTATTATCGAACGATTTCTAAAACAAGGTTCAGACCCATATTGCCGGATCGTTGTTGCGAATGAAGAGTCTGCAATGTCAATGACAATTTGCTTTCGAGAATTAAAAGCTCGCCACATTATCCCGCACCACTACCGGACATCGATACCTGTCTTCAATGATACAATGCAGGCGGTGATAGAAAAGTGTCTAGTCTTGGGGGGAAGCCCGTGATTGACTGGGATAAGAGCTTCACGGAAGAGTTCTTGTTTCGGGAATGGATTGCAGTTACCAACTGGTCCAACCGGGACACTTTATTGCAATTACTAGATTGCAACTATGAGTAATTGGTGGCTAGAACCTCATCCTCAGCCTTGAAATCTTCATTGAGAGAGATCCAAGAAAAACAGATTCTTAGTATGTGTCACTTTTGTTCGCCGCATTATGGGATGCTGGATATGCGAAATGCTCCTATGCCTGTCTCAGCTCCGCTAGCTTCAACCTGCAGCGCTGACGCATGATCTGGGAGGATAACCTCATACTATGAAACAATTGTCACAGTAATCCCCAATATATTGTAGGCCCGTGTTCCCCCACTCATCTCCCCTGTGTGATCTTTACACAAAGAGGCTGGCTGAACTCCTCCGATCCTGCCGTCTTCATACCCCAAACACAGCCCGTCCTCTAAAGCTGGCGTAAAATGATCGACACGAGGATGCAGCTAAAACCGCTACTTCTCAGCTCGAAGCGGTGGCCCCGAACGCCATGTTGTGGGGTACTGCAGATCTTGTCTTACATGCCGTCCAATGTCGACAATCTTTACGTCAATATTGATCAGTCCCGGTAATGCGGAGCGAATGAAATGAAACATCGAATAGGGTTTTCCAATAGTTCAGCTTGTGCAGCTAAAGCCTCTTCGGGATTGGTCTGACCAACGAGAGATGAGAGGTGAAGACAATGACATATACGATCTTCTGTGTAGCCCACTTTACAGCTCCCGATGTTGATCTCGGGCCGCTCCTTGGGTGACGTCGAAATTTGGCACAGGAAAGTCAATTCATGCTCACGCGACCAGATACTTTACTTGACGTTATGCCCATCTTAGTTTGAGCTTGGATACCATTCCGAGTTTCTTTACATCATCAGCAAATATGAGATACAACAACGTAATTAAGCCAAGGCTGCCAGATAATGATAGGTGTCTTTATAACAATAGTCCTCTGTCGAAATGGCAACTTGACTCCCCCGATCCGTTATCGCCAGTATATGCAAGGTCTCGAAGCGAGCGAGCCAGAGCACCAACACCCATTGAGCATAACGGCCATATATATGACCTGGTTGGCGTGAACTCTCGCCAACAGCTCATCCTACGAGATCAATGTGCGTTACACTTGGACATTCGCATCGAATGTTTCGCTGGACGTGCCGTCATATTAGACGGTGTACCATGGCAAGTCGACTACCTCGAGGCCATCCCAGATCTCTTGGACTTCACCAAACCGCCTCGACGTATCCTTCACCTCAAAAGATGGACAACGAAAGGTCAGATTCACCAAGCCATCAATGAGCCAGACAATCTTCAAGCAATCTTCCCGGGCTCAAGGGGCAAGCATACGCTTGGTCCAATCAAGCACGGTATTGTACGTATGCTTCCGATGGCATCTCGACAAAGAGTCCACAAGTCTTTGGTTCCAGGCACGAAGTTTGAGGCCCGCCTGCGTGGGCGCGAGCTCTACGGGCCCTTTCAAATCGAGGCCCAGCAAGATGGCCAACTGGTAGCTCAACACGTCCTGATGAACGGGTTCTCTCTCGTCAGATTCGCTGTGGCACCTAGCGAGATCGCCCCGTCATACGTCAGAGTCAATTGCCCAGATTTCGGGGGTTCCTTCGACATTGATGCCTTTCTTTACTGTGAGGATAAGCTTCGATGTCGGGCTACCAGTGTCAAAGCCATCAAAGCGATGAGACTGCCTATAAGCGACCGAGATCCAATGTTTGGAACTTTATCGCGAGGCTCAGTGCCACTTCTCACAAATGGCCTAGACCATCTTGTCGTGTTCGAGAAGTTCATCCGAGAATGCATGAGTCCTTCTTCGAAGACGCCTCAACCGCGGCGATTGACAATACTCAACCTTTCAATGTGCGATCAAGGAGATGCTAAGATCGTAGTCGACGCGTTAGTCGACTTTCGAAAGCAAAATCCAGATGCAATCATGTCTGTCGTGGTATCGAAATTGGGACCTACGATCTATCAAGATACGCCGGCCTGCAGGGAGTATGCCAAGCTTCTTGCGTGCAACCGAATCCACATCGATATGTTCACTGGCGTTGATGGTCCAACGCGCCAAGTCGTCCACGCCAAAGCGATAGTCATCGACGACAGGACACTCTTCAGCACTGGAGCTATCGTTGATACCAAACCTATTGACAAAGCTGACTTTTCCATCGAGCTTCCGCCCACGGCAGCCAAAGCTTTCCAAGTCTACATGCAAGAAGCCATCCTTGGTGGCGTGAGCAATGAGCGTCGCGCTCATCTTGGCTCACAACTGGCTAGTTTGGGTGTCATCATAAACGACCCCATCGCCAGCTTGACCTACATTAGTCGTGCACAGCATACGCTTCTTCGTGGTGCTCGTCGCGATCTCCTCGTCAGCGTTTCAGAACTCGTTGACCCAAAAATCACGAAACTTCTCGTGAGGCGTGCAGCCAACGGCGTGACGGTGACGATACAAGTCCGGGAGATAGATGCGGTCTCATCAAGAATTCTTACCCAAGCGACACGGCGGTACGGAAAGCGGCTGTCCGTGGAAGATGTCAGCTGGTGGGAGCCACGACCGCATTATAATGCGATCATTGCAGATGATAGTCTCGCGTATCTGGGCACATCGTACTTCTGGCCAACACAAAGAAACATGATCCATCAAGGTCGATCGCTTGAAAATGGGATTTTGCTTGAGGGAGAGTCTGTAAAGTTTCTGAGGGAGCAACTCGATGAACTACGCGAGCGTGCATATAGCAGTGACAAGAGTGAAAGCGATACGGCATAGTAATGTTGGCCAGAGATTTGATGCCGTCCTCTTCTCCTCTCTTGTTCTTGAGTGTTGTTGTTAAACCTGGAGGAGCGTGTCAGGACACGTCTTCTTCAGTCAATCATGTCTTGCTCAGCATCACCAGGTCTTTTGCTGGGTTAAGCTTAGCGAATCAGTATCCATCAAAGCACCACGAATGGATAAGTGGACAGTTTTAACATTAAATGGCCTTAAATATTAGCATGACAGGTAGTGAGCAAGATCAATCGAATAGACATTTATCTTCTTTATTGGTAGTTAGGTGGGTATCTGGGGGTTAATGCGACCCCGCGTCGTTCGTCGCATAATTAATCGTAAAAAGTGGGAAAACGCTGCATGAGAAACATCGTGAATATTTATTGCAACGCTTTTATGAGTCTTTATCACGAAATATTTGAACTAGCTTTTCCTTTTAACTGGCAGACTGAAAAATTACAAAAGAATTTGATGATTAGTCTCAATAGAATATTTCCTATTATTTTACAGACGATTATCTGGTTCGCCATTGATCGATCTTTTCTCGACGTTGTCAGCCCAGCTACCCTGCAGTGGCGATGGTCCAGCACGGACCAGCAAACTCACCTTCCTTTATCATCACACTTTCTTGGCATACAAGTGTTAAGAAAGTGGCCTTATCTATACCTAAACCCTTAATAAGTATACAACAAACGCCTCAATCTGCGCTTTGCGCAGCCGCAAGCCGCGGCGATGGCTTCATCTTCGACGAACCCGCCCGCTGCCCCGGACCCCTTTGATCTGGAGATCCACACTCCCGCTAATCTGAACTGAGGAGCCCGTGCAATCCTCTTGCAAAACAGCCCCGCAGTTATAAATAGCCCTATTAGTGTTTTACCTAGACCCGAGCAGACGGCTTAGATACCGTCCTTACTACTTAATATAGCCACTTTTGCTATAGCTATAGAAGGAGCTGAGCGTATTAACCCTCTATTGATCTTTAGATACTAGCCAGTCTCTATTATTAAATCAGCTAATAAGCTCGCGCGTAAGTAAGTGGAAGAGTATAACGCTAAGCTAATAGTCTTCTAAGCCTTCTACGCCAAGTTTAAGGAGGCTGCTTAACAATTTACTACAGAACCGCAATAACGTTTTGCTTAGCAATTTGCCGATAGCTTCCTGGGCATCTGGAGACAAGAGCTCTCTAGCACCGGACCTGCGACTACTAGGCCTACTTACAGCAGCATCGCTGCTGCCTCACTTCCCGCTACCAGCATCCGCCCAGCCTACCGTCATTATCAACAACAGCACCAACAATCCAACCCACCTCATTACCAAGGGCAATAAACGGCCATCGCCCTACCCTAATAAGACCTCCGCGTCTTCGTCTATCTAGAAGCCGGAGCTCCGGCCAGGGACTATAGTAGCTATGCAATCTGGACTCTAATCCAGGAAAATCTCGGCACTATCTTAGATAAGATTCAATAAGTATTCCAGGTCAGATCAGGGTAGGCCATCCTGACTGCCGACTCTAAAATACGCGATTTTCTTATAGAGAAGCAGGCCGAGTAGGCAGCTAAGCTGGGAGCGACGGCAGTAGAAACAAATAAGGAATGGCATACTTATATGGTCTCGGACTTTCCCAGAAGACTGACTGACTTCCGCGGTAATAAGGTAGATAGTAACAGCATTATCAGCAATAAGATAGAAATCCAGACAGGACTCAAGCCTGTTAATATATACACCGGTAGATAACTCTCAGATAACCCCTTAACAAAGACTCTACTTATGTCCTTCCTAAAGCCCACCAAGAAGAGGTTCTAGTCCTTCTTCGGCAGCCAGGCGGCTAGACTTATAGATAAAACCGATATACCTAAATAATGCAAAATGTACTAGGGCTACCACTTTACCTGCAACTGCCATAAACAGCCAGTCTGCTAACGCTATGGCAAGACTGGCCACATTATAGATGACTGTACTGCATAGGAACAGTGCATTAACTACTTAGGCCCCTATAAGGCCAACTTTCGTACGTGCCTAGCGCGGCCGAAGAGAGTACGCGGCATCCTTCGCCGCCTTACTAAAGAACAATAAGAGCATATCCGGATAGTAGGCGTGGAGATATACCGATAATAGCACTTAAATCCACAGCCAGAGCCGCTTACGGAAATCCAATAAAGCATAACTGAGTTGCCAAGGGATAATATCGCATTAGATTAACAGTCGAACGCTTGCACCCCGAGTCCGGCTGCATTAGGGGCACCTTTATGTATTATGGTGGCTACTGTCCCTAGGACGGGCTATAAGGCAGAGGGGGAGCCTAAACATCCCAGGCCAGGCTTACCGCATAAGCATCAAATAGTACTTATTAACCGATCTTATGACTAGGAATAGATACTTGCAGACACGAAAGAACGATAAGAAGCCGCTTAAGGTCTTCTAGGCTAATATCGGCAAGATCCCTCTGGCCTATAACTGCGCCCTGGCGCTGGCCGATATAGAACGATATGACATTATACTCCTCTAGGAGCCGTAGATAGCTCATACTAAAGACCGCTATCTGACCAAGATATACCCTGTATATAATATGTTTATGCCAGTTAATATATAGAACAGCAATAATACTTAGCCTAGAGTGATAATATATGTCTGATGAGACTTAAGACTTCTGGCCGACCAGATTTAGCCCTTTAAGACGCGCGATATTCTCTAGATTATGGTTAATAGCATGATAATAGTTAACTTCTATTGCTAAAATGACAAGAGTGATGCCTTGAACATGCTGCTTCGATGGCCTGTCCTGGAGCGCTGTCTTGTTACTGGCGATTTCAATGCCAGACACTATACTTAGCAGATAGGCCAAGCTATAAACCGCAGGCCAGAAATTGCAGACTAGGCATTAGAGCATAAACTAAGCCTTCTTAATACTCTAGATATACCAATAAACCTGTATAGCAATACCATTGACCTTGCATTTACTAATATGCCTTTAGCCGAAGCTACTATAGAGGACTATCTTGCCACTAGCTCTGACCATTTCACACTTAGCTTAACCTTTCCTAACATCAAGCTGGCTCTATTACAGCCAGGCAAGATCCGGGTTATAACAGAAGATAAGCTTAAGCGATTTATTAAGATTATAGAACTTAGAGCCGCAGAAATCCCCTAGGCAGACTTGACCCCTAAAGAGCTAGATAAGCTTGCGTCTTTACTTGCAAGTCTACTGATATCTATAGCGAAGGCAGCTAGCCGGCTGGCACAGAAAGGCGGATGCTTAGCCCCCTGGTAGACAGAGGAGTGCGCCGCTGCGGCGGCTGGTTTCCAAGCTATTAGATAACTTTACCCTCTTAGCTTTAACTAGAATGTTCAGGTCGCCAAAAGAGACTTTTACTATATAGTCTGCCGGGCTAAGAGATAGTATTGGCGGAACCTTATTGACAGCTTTATTAGTAATAGTGCTGTTTTTAAGGCTATCTGGTGGCTAAAGCCCCCTAGAGGCTTCTAGCCCCTGCCCTTATAGGTTAACAATGTTATATATAAAACCTAGATAGATAAAGCCAATGCACTCCGGCAGGCTATGCTTGAATGAAGAACTGCTAAGGATGATATCGCAAATGCATAGATACTAGTATCTCCTTCTAGGTTAATTCCTTTCTTGTCTAAGATCTTGCTAGATGAGGCGCAGTATGCTACTATCTATATAGGTAATATATCTCTAGGGTTAGATAATATTACCATTAACCTTCTTAAAGCTATATGGCATATTATTGGGATACATATCTGCTGCTTATTTAAAGGATGCCTCTCTATAGGCCATCATCCGAAATCATTTAAGGAGGCAGAAGTGGTCATAATTGCGAAATCGGGGCGAAGAGACCTTACTAAGCTAGGGGCATGGCGACCTATCTTACTACTCTCCTGCCTTAATAAGGGGCTAGAGCGACTAATTGCATGCCGCCTAGCCTAGGCAGCCGTTTACTATAGCATACTTTACATGCAATAAGCCGGGGCGCTCTCTAAGAGGTCTGCAATAGACCTAGTAATAGCCCTGATCTATGATATTGAAGAAGCATTTATATGCAAGAAAGTGGCGACTCTGGTTATAATGGATGTTTAGGGTGCCTTTGATACCGTTATGTGCAATAGGCTCGTCTTGTATCTCTGCAAACAGGGCTGGCCTGACCATTTGGCTTGCTAGGCTGGGTCCTTCATAAGTGGCCGGTCTGCGTATATTAGGTACTAGGATACCGTTATGCCCTCTTCCCCCCTTTAGTGCGGCCTCCCTTAGGGGTTGCCAGTATCGCTAATACTCTTTCTGCTCTATATTAAGCTAATTTACTAACTAGGAAACCTATAAGGTTGCTTTAGCTATGCAGATAACATAGCTATCCTGTCCATAGGGGATATAGTAGATAAGATTACTACTATAGTATCTAGCTCTATTGCCGAGATAGTGCGATAAGGGGCGGCAAACGGCATTTCTTTTAACATAAAGAAGACTAAAGTTATGCACTTCTCCTATAGCAAGCTTAGGACTGCTCTATTAGTATGCTACGGCGATGCAGTAAAGTACCCTGAATTAGCTCTGCACTGGCTTGGCATCTGGCTGGACAGCAGACTGTTGTTCTGACTCTATGTTGAGAAGTGGGCGGCTAAAGCGAAGGCAGTGGCCTACTATCTACGGGGCCTTACCAACATAATATACGGCCCTTTGCCGAGCGCTGTGCGAAGTGCCGTCAGAGCATATATCGAACCGGTGCTGCTTTACGGCTTAGAGGCGTAGTACCCGGGCAGGACTAGGCCGCGGTAAAACCAGCCTATAAAGGACTTACCATCTAGTAATCAGCACCTTATATAAATAATAGCTAAAGCCATAAATCAGGCAATTAGAGCTATACTTCCTATCTAGAAGATAATACCTACTGCTATCCTATATAGAGAAAGTAAGATACTACTAGTCAATTAACTGCTTAAAGTAAGGCAACTTAGATTCTCTGCATAACTTAAATCACTAGACGGGGCTCATCCTCTGGCAAGTTGAACGTGCCTGCCTTAACTATATACTTACTATAACCTTATTAAATGAAGATATTAGATATAGATAGAGAGTAACTTCAGGATATGCCTTTAATATACAGACGAGCTACTTGCACCTTACCTGCGGCCGAAGCTTATCTAGCGACGCTTCTAATAAGAAGAACTAGTACTACTACAGGCAGTATTAAAGGAGAAAATAGCCAGCACTTTTCCTCGCTGGCTTCTATCACTTGACCCGCTTACCTTGGTTATATACTCCGATGGCTCTCTATCTTCAGAAGGGGCTGCGAGCTATGGCTTCACCATTTATCAGAATAACATTCCCATCTCTAACAGATTAGGTCATCTTGGACCTGCTAAGGTCTTCGATGCCGAGGCTGCCGGGGCATTAGAGGGCCTCAAGGCTGCTCTAAACCTGCAAGATGCAGCAATACAGAACATCTTCATCTGCCTAGATAACCTTATAGCTGCCATATGCCTGCAAGGCACACTGCCTGACTCCTCTTAAGATATCTTTCTTAAGTTCTAGGCTCTAGCAACATCGCATAGAGCCATCTAGGTCTATTGGGTACCAGGATACTGCAATATCCCTAGTAATGAATAGGCCGATAAGCTGGCAAAAGTAGCATTATTGCTCCCTGAGCCTGAAGGTGCTCGACTGACTCTAGCTTATATACAACGAATTACAAGATAGAAACCAAAAGAAGCATTCGAGGCGTAGTGGTCCACTTTAGCTCCTAAGCAGTACAAGAGACTTAACCTTAAGGCGACTACAGGCTATTTACCGGAGCTTTCGCTCCTACAGGCAGCCTTGCACTATCTACTAGCAGCAAGGTCCCTTTACAGGGACTTCGCCGCATACTACGAAAGGTTCGACCACATCGATGTATGCCTGGTCTGCTTATATGGCCGACACAAAGCACCGGATTATATCTTTTACTGCAGAAAGGTACTGCCGCGTTATTGGATAAGGATGGCACCCTTGCTAAATGCAGTGGTCAATCTGGCAGTAGGACAAGACTTCACCAAATTCATTAATCTATATAAGAAAAGCGCGTTCTTTGGTAAGATTTGCCCTCGTTATTAGGCAATAACTAGAGAAGTACTTGTATCTCTTATTCCTACTCTTCTCATATCTCTTTTATATACCTTTTCTTTCTCTCTTTCTTTCTCTTACCTATTCTCAACTAGATAAAGGGCATCACCACGCCTTCCATCTAGCCGTGACTACCTTGAGGCAGTCTTAAGCTGCCGCATGTATAGGCTGATCTTAGCCCTCCTAATACCAGGCTCCGAAAGCAGCTGCGATATGCCAGCCGCGCCTTGTTATCCTGCTAATAGGTAATAGGCTTAATAGAATACGCCATTTATGCCGATAATATGCTAGATTAAGTGCGGTTTACTAATACGTTTGCAGAAATTAGATGCTATAGGGAAGACTAATTTTGCATTGTAAATAACTAATCCTTTATGGCTAATAGCATTTCTGTAATTAGTATGTAGATAGATACTAATTTCTCTAGCTCAGCACGTCCTGTGCTCTATTAGGAGACTTTTGGGGCCGACGGCCCCCCGGACGAAAAATAAACATAACATAACATAACATATGACCAGCAAACTCATCCACTGCTGCCTCACGAACTTCAACATCCTACCATTTCGAATCTGCCGACCAGACGAAGTCCCATGTCGGTCGCAACATGCTCCTCTCTTCAAGCGATGACTAACATGCTACAACAATCAGAAGAGCTATAGCATGGCCGCGCATGCACGGTAATCGCTGTATCCGCGCATCGAAACAAACGCGACACGACTTGAGGTCGCAAAGACCGTTATCACTCACCAGAGGCAAATCTAGCCGAGCAAAGCATCGGCATGAACCGACCGACTCATCAAGGCGATACGAAGGAAGCGAATTGAGACGTTGGAAGCGCTGAGGCCGGGGCCTTCTTTTGCTACGTCGCCGGCGCGGCAAGATACTCACACATGGATGGCTTGTCCAGTTCGAACTCGGGCTCCTGCCAATAGCCAGATGAAGTGGAAATGTTCGTTTGAAGATCTTGTGTACGAGTGTCACTTTTATTGGAAGTTTCAAGTGCAAACAAAGGAAACTGTAGATATCATGAAAGGTCGCGAAGGACATTACCAGGATTAACCATTTTGTTGACGCAACAGCCCAGGCAGCCTTTCGCAAGGTCAAAAATAAGAACAAGAGCTCGCATAGTGATTCAATGTGACTCTTTTTGGAAGCTCATCATGTGATCCACTTGAGCTCGCCTCCTTCCTATCTTCTCTCAACCGTCAACCTTCACTCTTCTCCCTTCACTCTTCAACCTTCGACCGTCAATCTTCAACATCAGGTCTTCTGCACTCATTCTTCCTTCCACTATGAAAGTTAGAGTTGTTACTGACATGATACCTAGTTTCACTTAGGGTTACCGCTTCTTTCATCGTCCCAAACCAACATCTCGATCTACAGCAGTCAAATCATCTCCCCACGCAGAAGTTCTCTATTAACCTTACTTTGTTTTTCTTCGCCTCTGCCTTATCTTTTCAGCATCGTAGATTTCTATGGCGCAGAACTTCATCTACTTACTGTCAGTGAATGCCAGTATCTACTACGTCCCTTGATCGCTGCACCGCATGCTCCAACACGACATCACTGCCTCCACATCACCTTTGGAACGATCAAATTTCAAAGCGACAGGAACTCACCACGTAAGAACAAAAAATTCTATACGCTCCTCTTTCACTCGAATCTCATCGGCACTTATTCGTGACTTCATCGAATCTCAAGGTAAGCCAATCCTAAAATTATCATAAGTTTGTTCTTATCTCTTTTTCCTTTCCCCTAACCTCTTCTCACTTTCTCAAACTCAGCATAAACTCCTCCTTTCTTTATACGGATTTACCTAAACTTAGGATAATACCCCACTTCCCCCTTTATCTTTTTCTTAACCCAACATCAGTTTCTTCTCATCTCCTTACTCATCACTCTCTTCACCCTCACTTCATCATAAACCCACAGTGGTTTTTACCTTCCTCTTCAAACCCTCCCCTCACTTCTTCCACAAACCATCATCACTTCGTTCTAACATTGACATCATGAGCGCAGATATCCTCACCATGCCGGCTTCACCCACCAAGATGAACAGAGCCCAGCAAGAGGAATGGCTCGACCGACAATGGGGAGGCAAGTCTTGGCTCATCGAAGAGGTTCGCAGCGTACATGAACGACCCCCCAAGCAGAACGAACTCGCGGGTGTTGCGGTTGACTACCTGGTGAAGATCACTAGACTGGCTCAGGACAAAGGCATCGAGTTGGCATCCTTATGGAGCCAGGCACCGCCTTATAATGTCCTTTGGACGGGTGTTAGGCTGCATTCCAGCTCCCTTCGATTAACTGGCGAGGTTGCGAGGGCTGCCCTCAGCAATTTGAAAACAATCATCAATTCTCAGAATGCTCAAGACGCTGGCGGTCCATCAGAGATCGTCATTATGGAGTCCCGAGAGACTGGGCCCGAGGCCTGTGTGCACGTCACGAGTGACCATGCTGAAAGCGACAGCAGCGATAACGAGGATATTGAGCCCGTTCTCAAGGCCACGCCAAGCCCTAGCATCATCTTGGGCGGTTCCCCTAAATCGCCAGCCAAATTGTCTGGCAACAACGACAAACACAGCTCTTTGTTCTCTACTTTCAAACATCAAGAGCCCCAAGAGCAGAAACCTGCTCCTCAAGCATCACGCGCTCCTTTAACTCCGGGGGCTTCCTCTCTACCCCCACAAATGAACATTTCTGGTCACTTCAACTCAGCGTCGCCCGTCACTCCGGTCAAGCGTAAAAGGGAGAAATACTCCAGTGCAGTAACCCCACAGCGAGTCATGAAACGTGCCGAAAACTATATGGGCGAGGGGAGGGTTAGCGAAGCGACTGCCATTTACGAGCAGCTCGTCAACAATGTGAAACTTAAAGATGCTACCCTTAGCTTCCTTACAACGGCTACCATTGCATGGTATGCACCGGAGCAAGATAAGATCAAGGTTCTCGACCCTCTTTGGTTCAAGGTTGATGGCACGACGACTTGCCACAGCATCAAGCTGGAGAAGTACAACAAACTTTGCTTCAGTATCCACCATTTGAAGCCGAAGCACTGGACCTTGGCTGTTGTTGACATCGACGATGAAGCGAAGTCCATGGTATTCAATCACCATGACTCGACCCTGTGCCAAGATCGCTTCGATGCTGTTTGCGTCAGTTTCCAAAAGTGGAAGGAAACCGTCGCATTCGAATATAAGCTGGGATTCAACAACGTCACAGTTAGTCACCCCCCTTCCCATCAAGAGTTGTGCTGACATGTCCCGCTATAGCCTTGTACTCCACAGCAGGATGACATCAGCTGTGGAATCCACGTCCTCTCCTGCCTGCGACACGTCCTGACAGACAAGCCCTGCCCCCCATTCCTGGACCCCCGTGAAGAGCGCAAATCCTTCATCCGACAGATCAAGGAATCCGAAGAAGGCGATTATCCTCTACGAGAGGTCAAAAAGGTCATCGAAAAACAAGAACAGAAATTGCTTTTGGAAGCGATTCGAAAAGAGACGCCCGAGAAGCTTGAGAGAGACAGACAACTTGCGGCCATTGCCATGGATCACGCCCGTGATCACCTGAAGGATGCTCAGGCCACGCTGAACCACCATCGAATCGAACAGGATACTCTGGCTAAGGCATTGAATCGCCTGGACGCTGCTGTTGAGACTAAAGTCGAACATGCTCCTCATTTGAGCCTCGAACCCTTGGACCGTCTGCGAGGTGAGAGCCAGCAAGAGCTTTCCGCCCACATGAGTCGATTTGCCAAAACGCTTATTGATCAGAGCTTTGCCAATGGGTCCGAGATAGGCAGAAAGGTGCTCCAGGGACATTTTGGCGAGATCACCGAGAAATTGGAACAAGCCGAGAAGAATGTCACTCAGAAACAAGAGGAGCTTGATGAGGCAACAAAGCTTGTGGAGCTTCAGACTCAGATGCGGGACCTGAAGAAGAATATGAACAACATCTTGAACCAGAATGGGACTTTTCTTACTTGGAACAGCTGGCTTGGGCGGGCTTCGAATTAGCTTCTCGAACGCTGAAGTTGGAATGGAGGGAAATCTGACAGATGGCCATGGGAGAGGTGTGAACAAGAAACGAAAAGCAGACATGGCATGTAATTAGACTGAGATTATAGGCGTAAAAGTATTGCTACTTTATTATCCATGATCCATCAACGAGTACCTCTGCTGTGACTGGCTTAGACGCTCGTGCTCTTACAAATCAAACCTAAAGGGTTTCTAAAATTGTCTAAGGCTTAGACCAACTATCTATGACATTCGCTAAATGTCCATACGACATTGGCCAGCATCTGAGTTCCTGATCCTCATCTAACTCATCATCCAACCCCAGTCACCGATATCAGCCTTGGAGCTCTTGGATTGTTGGAGACGTCTTGATGCTTCTTTGATAGCCGACTTCAGGAACAGTGTCCATACGCCTGGTGATATTGTTGATAGTAAACATGTGTCAGGGACTTCTTCCTTCAAAGAACGGCATTAACACGGAGGCTATGTCTTCCCGAGCTACAGAGGTCGCGAGGGCCGAGCCCCTTCATTATATGATGGTGATGGTGCTCTTTATTCAAGCAGAACCGCGTAATGGTTTTCAGCAACGTTCTTGGACGTCGAAGGCGTTATTTCCATCGTCGATCGGGCTGCCGAGGGCCAAGAAACTCGCCCTATTGGGCCAGCCAAAAATATTGTGTTTTCAGCCTCTCGAGATTTAAAATTAGAATCATTGACCGGGCAGTAAAAACCAAGAAGTTGGCTGGGCTGACAGCCTAGGTAAAACTAAGGATTAACGAGTCAGGCTACTGAGAGATCTGCTGCCCCTGCATGAGAATACAGGGATATATTATCCAAGCTTTTCTTGTATCCCCCACATAGCTGAACGCGCGGCATCTTGGCAGCACCTAACCATTGATGAAATTTAGACCAAGGCTGGCAGAAACAATTCCTTCCTTTGACTGAAGAAGCGCAGAAAAATGCGAGTCAGGCAAGACTGCGCCAAAAGACACTTATCACTTGGGATCTATTGGTTGGGAGCATTTCCTTAATACGAGCGGCACAGCGTAATTTCGTCGACTTCTTGATTACTGTCATTACTCTGTTGGCTACAATGTGACTGGTCGCTGGTTAAGGGAGGAAGGATTCTCTGACAAATAGATCCAGGGATGCAATCCTGGCGCACGGAGGAACAAGTTAGGTGCAGCTTACGCTGCCCCTCCGCCGTTTATCTTCAATTCTTCATCACGTCACGCGAGCTTGAGCCTGAATCGATCATCTGTGAGCATGTCGCTGTTATCAGCGGTTACAGCCCGGCTCGGCCAAATGTCCAAAGACGCTCCGCGATCTCTTGTCAGACTGAGCGTCTTCGGTGCAATTTCCTTCTTACTTATTCTCGTGGCATGGAAAGGCTCGTCAAGCTTGTCTTACGACTGGACGCCTCCTCAGACAAGTGAGCCTGAACTGATGAATATTTCTGCGAAGGCGAACGCATTCGCTGAGAATCCGGTCCAGGCACCATATGAGAACACTTTCTGGGAGGTCGGCCAGAGATCAAGAGAATTGAGCCACTGGTTGTCAAAGTCTGACAAGCTTGACCTGACTTCAAAAGTTGGGCGGGAGCTTCTGGATATCACGGAGATAACCGCCCAACAATTATTCCCTTTCCTCAAAAATCCACCACGGAACCCCGGATCAAAAACTCCGCTCTCTGATCTGCGACAATCGTTTGATAGAGGGTCCAGAGGCATTGTAATCCCTGTTGGAGGAAGCGAGAAGTCCGTTCGTTTTGCAGGCCATTTAATTGTGAGCTTGCGTAAAGTTCTGGGCTGTCGGCTGCCTATCCAGATTGTGTATGCTGGGGATGATGACTTGCACAAAACGGATCGCGACAGGATAGCGAAGCTTGATGGGGCATCTGATGTTGAGTTTCTCGATATCTTCACTGTCTTTGACGATACAACCCTGAAGCTCAAAGATGGTGGATGGGCCATTAAGGCTTTTGCATTGCTCGGATCGAACTTTGAAGAAGTCATCCTCTTAGATGCTGATGCTGTGTTCATACAACAGCCGGAGAGGCTATTTGCGCAAAAGGCATATATCGAGAAAGGCGCATTACTATTCCACGACCGACTGCTTTGGCAGCATGCTTTCAGAGAAAGGCATGACTGGTGGAAAGACCAGATCAAGGAACCATCAGCGGAGATGAACAGATCACTTGTTTGGACAGAAGACTACGCTGAAGAATGTGACTCCGGAGTAGTAGTTCTCAACAAGGCGCGAGTAACTACTCTCGTTGGCCTTCTACATGTCGCATGGCAGAACACATATGATGTGCGAGAGGAGGTCACTTACAGGCAAGGCCACGGGGACAAGGAGTCTTGGTGGCTTGGCCTTGAACTTGGCGGGTCCAGTTATGAGTTTGAGTCGCATTATGGTTCAATGATTGGCTGGGGGGAAGGCGAAGGGAAAAATGTGACAAATGTTTGTAGCTTTGTCATTGCTCATACTGATGAGAAGGATAAGCTGTTATGGTACAATGGAAGCTTGTTGAAGAACAAGCGGGTGGACCCAGATGGATATGAATTACCAGAGTATTGGATGATGGATGGCAAATGGCATAAGGGAAGGACAAAGGACGATATGAGCTGCATGACTGATACGGAAGTGCTGGAGTTAACAGCTGAGGAGAAGCGCGTGTTGGGCGAAAGTATTGAAATTGCGAAGAAGGTAGATATGGCCCTCAAAGGGACAGCATAGATATGCCACATTTATAAGATTAATTGCGAAAACCCCAGGTTATCAATGATGCAATTCCGTGTTGAACTTCAAAGGATTTTGGGTCTGCCATGCAGTGATGCTTTAGTCACCACTACGTTCATGCCCAAAGACATGAGGTAGTGAGACGCGGTGCCGGGCAAAAGTAGAAGTGTATATGTGTGTCCACTGGTGCCCAATATGATGGAATCATCCAAGTGAAAGGGGGGCAACAAATTGACCTATCAATTGAGGCTGGGAAAAGCAGGCTGGGAGGGCAACCACTAATCGGCTCTGCAGCGTGCTGGAGATGTCCCAGGATCAATAGCATCGGCTCATTCTCGCCCAAGGCATACGCAAGGCATTCCCGTCTGACCATTTCTTATCGTAATTCCTCTAGACCCCGCAAACCGCTCACCTCATTTCTTCAATCACTTTCCGAGCCTCATCAGACGATGAAATGGCAGCGCCTGCCTTCGGATTCTCTGCCGGTGACTTCGTCAGCGCTGTGAAGCTGATTGTCGATATCACCAAAGCTCTAAGAATCACAGGAGGCGCTGCAGGACATTATCTCGAAGTGCTGACCGATTTAAACCTTTTGAAAGACGTTTTGTCACACCTGCAACAGCAATCCGGCGCGGCAAGGCAAAGAAGCAGCAATGCTTTTGCAGAGCATGCGCGGAAACAAGCAGGCCTCACTTTATCCACACTAGCAAACTTTCTCGATCTTATATCCAAGTTCGATGCTAGCCTAGGCGCTCAAAGATCGTCTGCATGGTACCGCGGTGTTGTTAGAAAGGCGCAGTGGGCTCTGGTCTATTCGAAGCATGTCGATGATCTGCGCTCAAGGATTGGGACACAGCTTCAAACGTTGAATTTCGTCACTCAGCTACAAGAAAAGTATTTTGACATCTTGATAGATGCATTGTTTCATATGCTGACTATGTCATAAGCGAGCGTGGCGATCTCATGAACTGAACAGCCAGCTCAACATGATCAAGATTCAAAATGAACAGGTTATAGCGCAACTCCAAGCACGGTATGATTTAATCCTGAGTCCTTGAATGTGAGTTTTTCTAAACACCTTGTGTAGCCGAATCATTGGCATCGAAGAGCTTCGAGAACAACCAAGTCAGCTTGACATTCACGACGATGAGCGTCTACCTGGCAGCCAAAGAAACAATTCACAACCTGATGACTGGCTTTATATCGCACATGAATCACCTCAACTTATTGATGACTCTCAACCAAGTGCAAGTCACTCAATGTCCCAATTTATCGTAGCAGGTTTGGGAGACCCTGATCTAAATATGATCACAGACCGGGAGGACCAACCCAGTATTTCATCTCAAATTGATATGGCTGGTTAACACGAGGAGGAGACTATCCAAACTTTTTTACCTAAGCTGTAAGCAAAAGCCACGAGAGTATGCTCATTACCAACTAACCTCTCGCTGCCAGCCTTCGTGCTGTGATACGAGATTTGCACAATCTCGTCATGAAAGCCTGGTTACTATTTCCAGGACTAATGAGACACTATTCCCGCCTTTGCACGTCGATTTCAATGCCACCTCTCCTCGTACTCGTGGAAAACATCAGCTTTGTAGATGTGCTCGGACGTAAAACGACATTACAGTATGACTTCTTCAGGTACTGGGCCGTAAGTAAGGTTCCAGTACAATGGTTACACGATGACTAACGGTATACGAGCATGTCAACATTGTCCTCAGTCGACAATTTGAGAACTGTCCGGGCGAGCAGTAGGTCGCCAAAAGACAGTATTTCTTCCTCGGTTCCGATGCGGCGACAAATACCCTAAACTCAGATGTTGAGCTCGCTTGGCAGTCAATGGCCCGCCCTGGATGCCGAATCTCGATGTCAATCAAGTTGATTGCAAAAGACAAGGAGGTTTTAAACACCAAGTGCCCTAGCCCTAGCTGCACAGGCCGCTCAGTTCAGATTGACAATGGGGAAACATTTTCGTGCCAGAAGTGCGATCTGACATACTCCATGCTGCCTGAAGTCTCTGCAACAGATGTATCTATTCGTGAACGAAGAAGTCCCTCCAAAATCTACGGGTTGATCCCATACTAGCGACAAACACAAACCTCTAAAACGAGTCATGAAATAGTTGGAGTGGATCAGCAAACTGCTTGCTTCAAGAAAGTCCACATATTGGCACCTGCGATGAGCGAGATATCAACAGAGAGCACTTCGACTGTAAGGAAAAGTCCATTACCGGGGAACAGGGCCAACCGCAGAAAATCTATCTGGGTATGGGAATGTTGCTGCTGTGGAACTGGTACCATGCGCATACAGGTTTCTGATTGTCCACGCTGTGGTATCCCTCGCTGCCCCATGTGCAATACGATGAGAACAAAGCAGCTTGTATCTTAGTGAACCTCTGGCCGCAATGAAAACATAGTATGACGACATGCAGCCTTAGTTTTCCGCTGCCTGAAGAGCCTCCGGAACAACTGAGTTTCAGCATGATCAGGCACTGATTTCACGGTGTATGCCGAAAATATAGGCAATGCTAGCAACCATAGCTGATACATACGACCAAAGCTCGTAGAGAATACGGGATCCCGTCCGCTCTCCCATCGTCAAGCTGCGAAGCGCCGGATTAGTAGTTGGGTCGGTGACGACCAGCGAATCCCCGGTGTTGTATGTTTTTTTTTTCTTTTTTTTTTTCTTCAATTTACACCTCTCCTGTCCATTGTTTTTGTCGATTGCTGAAACCCTTGCCCGTTGACCAATTTGTTGGCGGTGGTGGGCTTCAGAGTGGTCGTAGTGGCAGCATAGAAGTCACAACTAGGCATGCTCTAAAAGAGGCACAGGCCGATTAGATATTTGAATTTCGATAAGAAGATATGACAAGAAATAGTATATTCCCTTACGACATATCATTTATCTCAATCACGGTTGTTCAGTTCTTTGAACAGATGCAAAGTGACAAGGCAGCGCTATGGAATGTCTCAGGGCGGGGAGCCCCAACTTGGTGGGCAGAGCTGAAACAGTACCCATTGCTACCTCCTCATATTGCAGCAGCCAAAAGACTCCACGTAAGATGTCTCGCTGAGGTTTCCCTTTTGGAACTCTTAGGCAGAGCCTTGTGCAACCCCAAAGACTGCACTAGCATCCTCAGCCCCCAATGCCAAGCAGATTCATGCAGCGGAAGAATAATCATAAGAGGGATGAGTTCTATAAAAAGATTTGTGTAGCAAGGTCTCGGCGTGCGATAGGCATCTATGATGATAAGCCCTCCTCCATAAAGATCGGAATTCGTTGAGTGATCATGTCCTACCAGCTTGTATCCCCCGACGCTGCAGTCAGCAAACCACAACAGGATGGCGGTGTTTGTGCCCAAAGCTTCCAGAGCATTAATTCACCAGATTTGTCGAGTATTCGGTTCGTAATCAGATTAGGTGCAACCATTTTTCGTTAGAGGGTGGCTCAGCCTTGAAAGTGCACAAACCATCCATAATTTTAGAGAGCCTCTTCCTTTCGCCCTTTTATAAGAAATGTGTTCTTAAGCTCATTTCCACATCAATACAGTACCATTCAATACCCGTAGAGCGAAAATGGACGAGAGACCCGAAACTACCGGTGCCAATGATTCTATGGCTACCTTGCAGCCGCTGTTGGACACCGAACCAACTTCATCGGCATCTTCTCACCTTGTACCAACTGAGAAGCCCGATACGACCGCCGAGCAACAGAACAAAAGTACCAATAAATGGTTACAGGTTTTAACCCAATGGGGACTTGAGATAACAGCCTTGGCTCTCAGCCTGATAGCCTTCGGGCTGATGATTTATCTACTTTACCAGTCAGCCGGAGAGCCGATATCCAAATGGACCAAGACTCACATCTCCCTCAACACAGCTGTGTCCATCTTGGCTGGGACATCAAGAGCCTGCCTAGCATTTGCGATTAGCATGTGCCTGTCCCAGGGCAAATGGAACTGGCTGAGTCGATCTGCGCAGCCGCTGGTGGACTTTGATCGTTTCGATGCTGCTAGTCGAGGGGCTTGGGGGAGCCTGCGTCTGCTGCAATCTTGCGTGCGTCGACCGTAAGTGATTTCTACCAAGCGATTGACTCTACCACTGAACGAACCGCCAGTCACTGGATAGCGATGGGTGCTCTGACTGCTGTTGCCCTTCTGGCCTTCGAACCATTTACCCAGGCTGTCTTAGCTATAAAGGACAAGGAAGTCACTTTAGACCACCGAGAGTACACCAAGGTAGTACAGTCCAGTAATGATTCTCTCGAAACCCTTGGCAATGTTCCTACAATCGGCCGATCAACTCGTTTAGATGGCGCATCGTGGAGTGGAGCTTTTGCGGGAGTAGGTCTCGTTCCATTCCCAGGACCTAACAATACGCCTATGAATTTCTCAGTCTACCGCCTCTCAAGCAACATCCAGGAAGATATGGGTATGAAAGCGGCCATATGGAATGGATTTTCGCCCTTCACGGCGGCGCAAAACCTGAAGCCAGCCTTCGCCTGTGCAACAGGGAACTGTACCTGGGCCAATTTCACTTCCATCGCCGTCTGTTCCAAGTGTCACGACATATCAGAATATGTCACCACGTCATCTGGACCCGTGAAATTCCCCTCAGGTATCCAAGCTACGGGACCAGAGGATCAGTCGTGGGTGTTGGGGCCTGGGGAAAGTCTGCCTGGTGTAAGCAACCCCAGTCCATACTTTGATTGGGGAAACGGTCGGAATTTCACCTTCATAAAACATGAGATTCCACAGTTGAATCTTAGCATTTCGAACTACAATGGAAGTCGTCAGTGCCGAGACTTGTCCCAACAATGTCCCGATACTTACCTATCTGCTCGGGTTACAACCAATCCAGGGCAGACATTGACGTTTGGCAACCTCAGCACCATTGTCATGGCTATACAATACCTAGCTTCAAATGAGACTTGGCTTGATAACAGGACCACCTGGGAAGACACTAAAGTTAGTGCCCTAGAATGTGCACTATCACTCTGCGTGAACGAGTATCATGATGTACTCTCTCAGGGAGTCTTGCAAGAAACTGTTGTGTCTTCATGGACGGACAGAGAGCTAGAGTCTTACACAAACGATGATAAGGATGTGAAGGCATTCATGAAGTACACGAACCATAGTCTCGACATGGGCATCTTGTTAGTGGACCTATCCGATCTCCAGATTAAGATCCCAGACGGGGATTACAAGCGACAAGCCTCCGTCCTACGGCAACAGTACTTCAACATTACACAAACCACCATCATAGCACTACAAAATGTCTTAAGTGACGGCTTCGGCGGAATCCGCGATTACAATTTTGATAGGGACTATATTGATGAAACTTCCAAAAAGCTGATGTACCCAGCATTGGGAATGAGTCAGCCAACCGCTGGTCTCATGTCTGGGCTTGGTAGATCAAGCGACATACCAGCGACAATGGATAACGTCGCCCTCAGTTTGACGAAGTGGATACGAGATCGAGAGCTGCAGACAAGCCCAATGGTCGGAAATGCCACAAGCATGGTTGTTATTACACTTGTTCAGTGGAATTACTTGTGGTTTCCTGGCATTAGTCTCATTACTGGAATAGTCTTTGCGATTTTGTGTATGTGGGAGACGCGGAAGCTGAAGAAACCAGCACTGAAGGATAGCATACTAGCGACTTTGGCATGTGCGCCGGATGAAGAATTGCGTCAGTGCCTTAAACAGGCTGCTGCAAGTGACAAGCTACAAGAGGTTGGAAGAAAGCTGGAAGTACGCTGGGAGGAAGATGATGAATTTGGCCAGTTGAAGGAAAAGAAGGATGATCAGCCGGGAGTCTGATGAACACACTAATACTGAGGTGAACGGTAAAACGGAAGACAAATGATTATAATATGATGCTAGATATATTCTGTTCACTTTGAGTCAGGGAGCTCCAGAATAACACGACGGTATCTCCGGATCGGATACGGCCCCTTGTTGTTGGTGACCTGGAGGATCACATGCCATTCCTTATCGACTGAGCTGGGCTGCTCTTCTTCCCAACTAGTTAAGTTAGTTGAGATTCTGACCTTTGGTCCCAACGCCACATTGCTGAATCCTGCTTCATTGACAGACAGTGTTCCGTTTGTTCCTGCTGGCGGTGTCAGTGCCTCGACGGAGAAGAAGTTGGCAGCAAGACTGGTTAGCATCGGCGATGAGCACTCATTATAAGAGTACCATTCGAAGTCCAGTCCAGAAGAATTGTCTTGACTATCGGTATTGACGGTCTTGCTGGCATCCAAGACAATCACATCGTTTAGGCCAACCTTGAATCGCAGGGGCTCGCTGCCCTTCGATCCGTTGACGTTGATACCCGGCGGATGAGCGCCCTCTTCAAAGCTATCGACCAGGGTCCACTGCATACGGGCAGCAAAGTCATCTTGGTACGCATCGCGCCAGCGCCAGATAGTAGCGTAAGGACTGAACCAGCTTTGACCCTTGGTGTTGATCAAAGCATCCCCCGATGTGCCATACTCGTTAATGTCTGTGTCCTCCGTGACGCGAGTATATCGGCCTCCCCAGCCTCCATATTCCGGTCGACCAGCAACATTCAGACCGTTCTCGATAGTCCACATGAAGCTAGGACTATCACCCTCCATTGTGTAAATGATTTTAGGGTACTCTGCTCCCAGAGGGCCCAGACGAATGTTGGGGGTAAGCCAACCGTCTGTAACTTTTGTTGTGTTGGCTGCGCCGTTGTCCGCAGTCGATATACCCGTCCATGTTCCAAGACGATATTCACGGTAACCGTGGACGTTGACGATGAAGAAGACATCTGGCCATTTGATGCGGATGTAAGCACCGGTATCATCCTGGTCTGAGATGGAGTAAACCCTTAGTCGAGAACGAAGGTCGGCAGCTTCTTTCTTGCTCTTTGTCTTTTCAATGTGCTGAAGCGCTTGAGCTAAGGTATTGGCTCCGCCCCAAAGACTAACATGGAGAGGTTGTTTGGACTCTTGGAGACGCTTCACGAGGAGTTTGGCGCCGTCGCTGATGGGCTCTTTGAGGGCCGCTCGTCCATATGACTGACGCGGTTAGTTTGCAAGACTATTTGGACTGGGGAGAAACTCACGCGAGGTCCAGATGAAATTTGCTTCAATAGCTCCTCAGGTTTCGGATATTGATTGTCGGGGTGAACATGCTGGTTCAGCTTATCAACAACCATGGCATAGGCCTTGATGATCTTCTTGATTTCACTAGGATGGGTGTCATTTCGCAAGGACCAAGAAGTCACGGCGACGAGACCTCGGGTGTCGAATTCATTTGAGTACAGCAGATAGCGGACCATCGACATTGAGTCATCCGGCTCATTAAGGATGTCAGTGAGAATGAATGTTCTCACCCGAGACACCTTTGGAAGGGTGCTCAGGCCAGTCGGGCCATGTTGCTGTGGCACGGCAATGACCAAGCATACATGCAGCCAAAGAACTACAGACAGAAAATGGGTGAAGAATAGCGCCATGTTGATGTCATGCAGTGAGTCCTTTGCCTGCGATGCACTACGGACGCGAGGCCATGTCTGGCGCTTTTGTACTTCATGATCAAGAAGTTCGTTGCTTGGATAGGCAACGGCCAACCGACATTTAGCCAAACTTTGCCTTGTTAATAGCGTCTAGTTATGATTTGTGCGGTCAAGCAGGGAAATCGGAAGCGTCATATCAAGGAATCCCCGCAAACCCCAGGTATTGACCCATGAAGCTAATGCCTTCTTGGGTTGATGGGCCGTTTTCTGGACTAGCATTCCCCGCACTCCGGAATTCCAGTATTTCGGATCTGTCTGTCATTCGCTGGCGCTTTAGAGCTCGGGACTCTTCCTTGTCGATGAACTCGGCGGAGTGCTTATTCCTACTACATTGGGCGATATCGGTGGACAATGATATGTCGCACGGTAACAATGTTCGGCAAGCGGTGAATAGTCTACCTTTGATTAACAGAGTGATAGGTCACTTAGATGAAAGTGCAGAGTAGAGAGATTGTTCATATTGACTATCAGAAATAAAAGTCTGTCGCCATCTTGCAACAGAAAGAAGTTTGGCCTTTGTGGTTCCTCCTTTCGACCGCGATTGCGATAGAGGTCCAGTGTAACTTGAGGCACAACACTGTTACGTGCTTCGAAACAGTCTTGCATAACCTGTAGGCTTGGGTTGGTTTTTCTCGTGAAATGTGTTGAGACGCCGATGCGGACAGTCATATGGCCGCGCGTCTGGGTCAAGCAGATCAACATAAGTCTGGTTAATCGTGCCGATTCTAAAGTTGGAGAAAGTAACAGATGCGTTGCGAGGTAGCTCTTCAACTTCTTTCCCGTCATTCTCCAAACGCCGGATCTTATCGTACTCTCGCTACTCAGAGGGTCAGTCTTGTCCACAGTATAGCTTGGAAGAAGACACTCACATCTCGGAATAAGCTGAAAACAGGCACCATTGGGTAGTTGTGGCCGTAACCTCGCTGCCACCATTTACCAGATCTTTTCCACCACTTGCCATTCTTGAATTCCGACACCACCTTTTGACAGTACTGCTTATTCATGGTAAAAAACTCCTTACCGTTAGGTCTGTAGTCAGACGGCGGGCTTCGGAGAAGCTTTCCATCTTGGATAAAGTACATGGCCCTAGTTTTCAGGATGGCAGCTACTAACGGCGTCTGCTGTGAGAACCACTGATTTACAACGCTGAACTTCCTTGTCGAGTCGATAGTGTTCGTTGGCCCAGGGCCATAGAACGGTTTATGGCGGTTGCCGTGGGGGTTCCATGTACAACCGGGCGCGAAACATTTCTGTCTGCACTTTTCAGTCTTGCACCAATGAGGCCAAGTTGGAGAGCATGGACTAAAGCCAAAATCTGTAGACTCCGTGTTTCCCTCCCATAGCACAAAGTGGGTGCAGCATGCGCCGAGAGGCCCTTTACCCAACGTAGGGTCGTGCTCTGAAGGAACCCATCCATCGTAATTGGCTTTACCGTGGACGAACCTTTGACCTTGGTCGCATGTAGCATCGCAATACCCGGTTCCGTACCTGGCGCCGGCTTTATCGCCCTTTTCCTTTCCTTTACCGCCATTCCCCCACATCCAATGAAGCGACACTCTCGCCTTGTAACCTGGGGGCACGTTTCGAATCTCCAGATCGAAAGTATACTCCGAATCGTCTGCCCTGATCAAATGGGGTTGCAGGTAACGCTCGTCGTCCTTCAAAGTCAACACCCGAACCAGATCCTTCGGAGTATCAAGGTCGCTGGCGCCGAGGTCCAGTGTCAGACTCGTGTCGTCGGTCGATATGCCATGAGCTTGGTAGTCAGCGCCCTCGATACAGCAGTCCACGGGGCAGGTGGTTTTGTTCTTCTTTTTGCAAGCTGTTCTTTGTAAATCGTTGATGTTGAAGCTACCGTGGCAGCAGTCTATTTGACGTAGCGTGGCGTCCAGGACGACGGCGCCGTACTTTTGATGGCATTCTTTACCGTGACAGGAGTGCCAGGTGAAAGGTGGATGTTTCTCTTCTATTCTGCCGCAAGGCCATTGAGCGTACGTTGAAGCGAATAGCAACGCAGCAAGGAGGATAGCGCGGTTCATGGTGAAGAAAAAGGTTTAGGAGCAAGACGAGAAGATCTGAGTAGGTAGTGAAATGAACGGCATTGAAGAAAGAGGAGGCCAGTATATCAAAATTTCTATATGCTTCGTGTCTACTCCATCACGTCAAGACAGGTGTTCTTATTAGACCCATTGTGTTAAACCAGAAGTATATTTGCTAACCTTATGATTGACTCATAAACTCAATACCGCTATGACCTTCTAATTGCCCCAAACCTTCTTTCTAACTCTCCCTTATAGCCTATATAATACCGATATATATATTATCTCGGAACCTTTATTAGATTAACCTTACCTTATATATTAGTATTTCTTAATAAATCTAACAGCTGTATGCCTTACCTTAAAGCCGAATATATATCGTCTATATAACCTTTATCTATAAAAGTTTTCCCTGCAGTGCAGCCTCTATATTAGTTATCCTCTGCAAATCTCTATCTATATATTAATCAGGGATATGATCTAAGCTTGATTTCTTCTTCTGATAGACTTGAACTTCCTCCTTGCCTCTCGGCCGTCTTTTAGGAGGGCTTTTAGGGCGTTTCTTTCTTGCCTAATGACTTGTTTAACCTCTTGAGGAAGGTCTTTGATGGTGCAAGTTAGAGCATAAGTGCCAAGGATGGCCAGTTAGAAGACGAGGTTGAGGGGCAGTTGGTTGATGTACTGGTCCTGGAACCGGTTGGGGTAGTTTGTATAGATAAGCTTTCTTTTTGGTATGCATGCTGCCATCTTGCTTCCTTATTATCTGGCAAGATCCTTGGTTTTTATGCTAAGTTGGATCATCTTGGCAGACACACTAGAGCTTCTTATACCCCCTAAAGTCAGGCAAAAGAGTCATAATCTAGGTTTTCCTCTTATTAGCATTTATACTGTAGCAATTAGTTAGGCATTATGGTATAATGTCTAAATAGTGAGCTAGATGTGTTAATTGCAGTTGAGACCTGTGGCTGAGAGCTTATAATCACCACACAGAACTTAGTTCTTATTAGACTTATGAATTGTTCCCACCATTCCCACCATGAGGGGAAATACTCGAAATGAGGAGTCGATAGGAACTGCGACCAACAGTTGATCAGAGCCGTTTCCATGGTCCAATCGATATAAATTAGGATGCTTTTGACTTCTCTCTCAGTGGCACGAGTACCACAGCCTTGAGGGGTTGCCTTGATCTATCTCGCTGCGATATCCATATGCTTTACGCAACCTCAACTTAAAAACTTACAACACAATGAGTCCGATGCCTTGAAGTTGACCTTTTCTGCGATTTGACATGACCTCCCCTGATCGCTCCACTGCGAATACAGATCAATCACAAAGCGCCATTGCATATTAGAGTTACTGAGGGCTGTGGTATTGAGCTTCATCACATGCGGAGTATTAAGTTCACGGAGAACGCTACCGTAGAAATGAAGATTTCGTAACGCGAACTTTATCCCTAACAATTAGGGGGGGGTGGATAACACAGCGTCCTGGAAGCTGCAACGAGTGCAGCCTAGACACTTGACTACAGTCCATAACCTATTGTATTTCGCTTCTCGTGTCATCTTCATCCGAACGCGTAACTAATTCTCGCTTTCCTTCCTCAAAGCGACGCATAGCTGTGCCAACGTGCTGAGTCAGGTGCTGATTGCAACATGGCTTACGACTCCTGGCGAGACTCCAAAATAAAACAACAGCGTTGAGCGAGAGTTACAAAGACTTGAGAAGCTGCAGGACCAACCTTATTTTCTTCACACTCTATAATAATCAGCCAATTCTCGACATCGAATACCTCCTACATGATCGTCGCCCGTCTTGTCCATTTCGTCATTCCGCAGCGCCGCGTGGCCGGCATCTCGGCTCAATGGCTCGCCAAAACGTGGTCTTTCGACACGAGGAGTTCCAACTCTACCTTGATGCGTTCCCGATGCTCGTCGCTTTGGTCATGCTGAACGTGGTGCACCCTGGTCAGGTGTTGAAAGGCCCTGGTAGCAACTTTCATCCGCCAAGGTCAAGTGGTGGCATGGCCGATCAGTGGCATTTGAGACACTCGGACTCTCATCAACACACAGGAGTGGATAATCGCCTACCGATTGATTCTAGACGACCTGAACCTGTATGTCGAGCTTTTCAAGGGTGTTTTACAGACAAGGGCCGTAACAGAGCGGCCCCCTGATATATGTCTACTTCTCTTTGTTGTGGTAGTTACGGCAGGACTAGAGAAAGAAAAGCATAGCTGCTGATAGATAAAGAACTATAGTTATTAGGAGTGCTTATTAATATTGGCAATTGATACGCGTGCTACCCCTTACGGTGTTGGAAATCACAAGTGTGAGGAGACCAAGTTGGCGATAAGGTGTAAAAGAAGGAGGAACATTCTATAAGCGATCGTGCCTATACATAAATAGTGGTTCCCCTGCGGCACATTTAGTATGAATTAAGTAACTTGAATCTTCTCATTTCAACATACAGGTGCTACACCTTTTCTAGCCTTGATTACTTGATGCTGTGAAAGCAAGTTGGTCCAATTAAATGCATAAACTGATCAAATGGGGCTCCCTGTATTAGGCATTGCACGCGTAGCATACTTGAGTCTACTTGCACTAGGAGCCTGATTAATTCGACCTATCTGAAGGCTCAATTGCGCTCTACTCTATGCAGGGAAAGCCTTGTTAAGACTAATAAATAGAGATTATTCAAAGAAATTAGGACTGTAGAGTATAATTATACGGATACCAGGAAGCATGGATCCTGGTACCAGGGAGGTCCCTTCTGCCATCGGCCAAAAGGACATGCACTTCATCAACCGTCAAGCCAAGTACGAGCTGAGGATTAGGCCTAATGATTTACCCATATAGACTCCGCAACAGGTCCTGGCCGCGCGCTACTTTCCAAGAAGGCAAAGAAGAAGATGAAGAAGGATAAATGAACTGCCTTGCTTAAAGATTGGCGGAATGGCTTCTTTTTATGAAACACATGACACGAAGCTAGAAGTTATTCAGTCAAGTAATGAATAGAAGCGGACGAACCTTGATTTGACGACTATCTTTTAGATAGCGATAAAGGCAGAACCCCCAATGATACTAGCTAAAATCATGCATGTTATGATGCCTGCCCCTATCTTGTCCACCATTGTTATCTTTGCATATTTCGGTTTCGACACGTCGACCTCAAGGCTCGTCTGGCCACCACCCGGGTTTCCTTTTGATATTCCTCCAGTCTTCGTAGTCACTGGCGGTCTCGCCGTCTGAGCGAGGGTGTACATAATAGCTTGTAGAGAGCTCATCTGCGGTCCAACCCCAACGATCCCGTCAAACTTGTCGGTTAACCATGAGAAGCCGCAAGCCGTGCCAGCCACGCCGGCAAATCCTGAGGGGGGCGATCCTGAACACATAGCGGCGGCCTTCTTTGCAGTCGATAGCAGCGTCTTTGAGATGGTATCGGAGGTATGGGGAGCTACCAGTGCTGTGGCAGCCATCCAACGGCTAAGATAGCCTTTGAAGGTCTGTTGGTCGAGGTTGCATAGCTTGTGTGTCTCGCAGAATTGCTCATAAATAACATCGTTCTTCACGAACCTGGTCTTTATGTCTCCTAGCAGACCGTCTACTCGGGTTTTCCACGTGCTATTTCCTGTCATGTTGTACATAGCAGCAGCTCCATAAAGGTAAACACCGCTATTGTAGGTCCATTGGTTAGTATCCATGGAGCTGGGGCATTTCCCGACGAAATGGACACCATCTCGGACCTGGTATGCATCGTTGATGAGTCCGATCTTGGTTTCCCAGTCCCAGATCTTCTCAGCCCAGTCCGCGTAAGTGCTATTGCCAGTATAGCGGGCTAGACGCGCAGCTATATTGAAGAAGCAACCATTCGAGATAGAATTTTTGTAATCATATCCCGCGTTCCAGGTGAAGATTTGCCACCTCATTCCACCGCCGCAGTGCTCTGTATCCCAACGACTAACATATTCGTTAAAAACAGCCTGAACTAGTGCTAGCCATTGCGGCTGGTCATCTGGCGGGTTAGGATATTTATGCTCAGCTGCCGACATAGCAGCCACTGCCCAAAATCCTTGGTCGTCATTACCTTCTGTCATAGTCTGGTTATCAGGCATATAGTCGTTATTTGTTCCGACCTGATGAAGCATGGCCTGTGTGGTAATCTTGTTATAGCTCTCGTCGCCAGTAAGCCACCAGTAGTCGATTAATGTACCGAACATACCCCCTGCTGTCCACCCTGTTTCGTATCAGATGCTGAAATCATCACATATTCCTCACTAATCATGACTTACAATAATAGGGATCCGGTAGGTTGCCTGGTGTATCGCCGGTATTGTTGCCAGTATAGTATTTTACTAAACCGTACGCAACAACACTAGCAGCTTCTTTGATAGATTCTGGACATGGTAAGTTACTGGGCAGCGAGAAAGAAAAGACCTGTTGACGTACTGTTGTCGTCCCATGATACATCAATGGCGTGAACAACAGCTGCTAAGGCCGAAGTTACAGCGACTGTTTTGAATAACGACGCTTTCATCTCGCCGAATGAAAATTGAGTACAGGAATAGACTTTAGCTCTAGCGTGGAGAGAAAGAATTAACGCGACTACTTATTTCTTCAGCAACGGAGCAAGGTCGAACGGCGAGGTCTGGTATCAAGTCCAAAGTCCTCATGGCATTTATAAACATGCATACAACAAAAACTTTAGTGAGGAAGTACTCCGCGTATCACTCAAGACACTGTCCTCAATCAAGTGACGAACCAGCTGTCAAAGGGCGTGTTCGGCTAGCAACGAGGCGCAGTCTTGCTTAGTCCAGGAACGGGCAGAAATTACTTTCAGGTCAAACGGAGGCGCAGCAATAAACACGAAGAAGCAAGGGTAAGGATAGCGGACATCCGTGCCCCACTGATCCGCTTAGGTGCTAGGAGAATAGGTAGCATGGGTCAAGCAAGTCTTCACTTGACACGCATTTCTCGTTTATAAGGGTCTGTCATCTACTCGTGAAGACATCACCTGGGCGAATTATTTCAAAAGCTCACGTGTCTTGCAATGCTGTTTGACTCCTCGTGTAAATGGGGTTATTATTAGCTACCTGCACTGACCAGGGGTCTCCCTCCCCCAACCTGTTTGACTTATCAATTTCGCCAGGGAGCGTCATGTAACAGATTAGGTCCAGTGATCAACGCGAATCAATACCTGACAACTTCCGTTAAGATTAAAGTTTATTTAACATTATCCTGGAGGTTAATCTTAGATACGATGCTGTTGTCCTTTAAGGGGGAGGCTTAGCTCTTTGTCGTATAAACCCACTGGAAAATAAGTCTAAATTACGCCTGGTCTGAAGCGAGGGGGTGTCATATTAGAAGAACCGAGATGGCCATAGGGGTTCAAACCTTGCAACCGTAGCGAGAAGCCAATCGTGAGCATAGGACTTCTCAAGTTGCTCGGCACCTTGCGTAGGGACATTGATATACTATATAGGGAACCAATCTCGGATTTCATAATTACCACAGCAGTAAATGAAGCTTGAAGATTTGAGCAGACAGTGATATTCCAGTTTGTTCGCTCCTCAATATCGTCGAATATGCCATGAGGAGGATGAACAGGACCGGATATCGAGGAACTGAAGGCCAACAGCTCTGGATTGGTCCAGATTTCACTAGGGAGTGTTTCCGGATGATCCCGATCGCGTTGTACATCGGATTTGCTTCTGACTTATCCCGACAGGTCAGTGAACCGGAAGACGCTGTATACAAGGGCATGGATAATAAAGGCGGGTTTGGCCAGTGACGAAGCAAGTACATCAAGGGATAGCAAGAGAACAGGATGCACGTTGCCTAACCGAGACAATGACCATCAGGTCTATAGCATACAAAGACTGATATCAACGATGTCTCTCTGCCAACTCTTACTGACACTCCTCCCTACCTCGACTCCATTACTACTTCGCCGAAACTCTGCTCCAATGGACGAGTACGTGAATGGGCGCCTATTGGTGTACGATCCTTTATGAGGTGCGTATGTTGGGTCATGCCTCAAGGGAGGCGACGGACCGCTTCATCCAACCAAACGAGATACACTAATTCAGCTCCCTTGACCATGGACCAGGTTTCAACCCGCTGAGACTTCAATGGTGGACTTTGGGATCCTATCAACCAACGTCGAAAATGCAAGACGAGCTGGGCATCCATGCCATGTGCTTGATGATTTGGGTCTCTTGCTACTTGCTTAATATTTGCAAGTATAAAGACTTGTCTAGATACTTTAACCTCGTATCCCTCACCAACGCGTCAAGGCCGCCTCCTTAGGCTAGCCAACAAGTTAATGGAGAACCATGCCCTGCCAAGACCACTAAATCCTTCAACTCAACGGTCTCTTGTTGGAACGCCGTGGTTTTCCATTCTCACTTCAAGGCTTGCCAATAAGCCTCTTGATTCTAAGATTATTTACTTAAGGCTAAGGGTTTAATGTAATATAAAAGTTTTAATACATAATTAGGCTTAATATTATTATTGATAAAAACTACAAAATAATAACTAAGTTATAAAAGAACTTATAATTAATTAAATCTTAATTTAAATTATTGCTTTTATACTTAATTTAAATTTCTTTTTAATTTTTTAAATATAAAACTAATAAGTATATACCTTATTATATATATTGAAGTGTTACAGAGAGAAATCGACTGTTCATCTTGGAGGCTATTCTTAGTAGTGAAACGTAATGCTGCCAAGTCTTAGGTCTAGATGTATGGCCAGTACAAGCAAGAGAAAAGCCTGGTCCAATATCTCATGAACCATAATCTAAAACCTGTCATTTCTCGCCCTCCCGGTGGCCCTTTCTCCACTGCCAGATGGCTTTACACCAGAACCAAGTCTCAATAGTACCAAATATGCTCAGAACTACAAGTACGACTATCCTGGTTCTTTTGCTAAGACCCAGAGACTCGAGACTAAAGGCTGGGTAGGAGGGATTGGGTCCCGAGGCCTCATCTTGCTGAGCCTTGCTTCTTCTGGGGTCCTGCGTCATCCGTTTTTGACTGATTGGTGAGGTTAAAGAAAAGTTGGTGGTTTGGGTGATTGGAATTCTTTGGAGTGAGCGGAGGGTCGGGACACGGGGTCGAAAGGGCGCGAAAGCAATCATAGTGAAGTATTTTTTGGAGGGCAGCGCTTAGGGCAACTGGGTTTGAGAGGAGCCGAAGAAAGAGAATGAATAATTGAATCCAAGGAGACACATTGTAATCCTGAAGAAAAGCGACTCTTATAAAATAAATAAGCTGATCAAGTCAGGTTTCGTATCCCGTATCGCTCGTATCGCGTATTCCACCCCACTTTCATGAAGTGCTATTTCCTCGTCAAAAGCGGGAAGAAATAACTACAGGAAAGTTTTTTTGTCATTTTTAGCACGATCGACTCGACTTAGGTTGACCTAAAAAATCAACGCTTGTTGAAATTGGGTGTCACAACTCATTGTTGCATTGTTTCTCATGCATTCTAGTCTCCACGCTTGACAGCGAGCACCCGATTGGTATCCCAACACAATAAAGAAATCAAGAGTTTTCTGACCTGAAAACCTCGCTTTAATTCTTAGCGCGACGACCGGCTTCAGCCCTACGACAGTGACTCAGATCTGCGGCGTCGGAGCTTGGTCTCGCCACTTCAGATCTCGAGATGCCGCCTCGCCACTCTCGTCCTTCATTGGTCGGCCCGAAGCATGGTGAGATGATCCCGGCTCCACTTCGCCAGTCAAGTTTTATCACGTTGTATACCGTGGTAAGTCAATCATTGTGGCAAGACTCGCGATTCCTGTCGCAGTCTCCGTTAAGGCTGCTGAAGGACAACAACTTACATGGACCCCAGGAATGAAGGTGCAACTTGACACAACCTTAACACTGCGGGGATGAATGGCTGGCAAGGCTTCAATGGTCTGAGCAGCTACAGACTCTTCGAATTATTTACTCAACGGAGTGAGTGTGTATGCAGATCTCTAATTCAGCCTTATCAGTTTTGTAATGCGAGAAGTAGTAAATAATAATTTCTTCATATATCATTCAATCGCTATATACTTGCTGCATAATATCTATATCTATAAAGTTCTTGACTGTCGTATCTAAATGGAGTTGTCACCGCACGAGAAGACGCCGCGAATAGAGCTCTTATCGTTCTCGAAAATGTTCAGCAATTCGGTGATAGAAGACCACAAGCCTCCACCGTTCATGAACAACGACTGGATGATAAGCATGCCGTTAATGATGCAAAGGGCAATCTTCTTCCAGTTCTTTGTATACTGGCCCTTATTGATGTGGAACCAGAAGATCGCACTGAGACCAAAGGTGAACCAGGCGATTGTGGTGGCGGAGGAGATGGAGAGGATGGAGTCGAAAATGGGGATGGCGTTGGAAATGACGAAAACAATGATCCAGTAAAGGGTCACACAGGCAACCCAGATGCTCCAAGACTTGACGCTTCGGTCGGTGACTTGATGGGTAGCCTTGATGGTTCGCATGGCAACAACGTACATGTACTTGATACCGGTATGACCGAAAGCCATGGCTGTCGCGAACACGCATGGTAGAACGACTCCGTAAGCGACCTTGGCAGGAATTCTGGGCGCAGATCCAAGGGCGGGAGAGGTAGTGTAGTCACCGGCAAGGCAGTAAATAGCAACTGCGACGATGGTGTAAAGGGTAATGGAGAAGACTTCCAGGCAGGCCAGAGCCATAGGGAAATCACGGCTAGGGTTCTTCATCTCAGCCATGTACGAGACAAAGCTGATGTTTCCGGCGTAGGCGTAACAGATCTTGAGACAAGCATTGAGACCTTGTCGGAAAGTTGGGTTGCCGATGACCTGGATTTCGCGATCCCATCCTGGAGGGGCCTGAGAGGGAGTATCGACACCCAAGCTGATCATGACGACGAGAGCGGCGGCCAGAATACTGATTGTGGAGGGGATACCAGATTGTGAGACGAATTTGACGGTTCGGGGGAGACAGAGGACCCAGCAAGCGACGACAGCGATAATAACGAAGCTGACAGTACAGAATGCGTGGTTGCTAAGGGTATTGAAAGCAACAGATAATGTCACGCTGGCAGATGCACAGGTCATCATAACCTTGATCATCAAACCAATACCTGCAATGATCTCAAGCGGTCTGCCACCAATGATACCGCACATATCAACGACATTAACGACGTGGGGATATTTTCTGTAAAATTGGAGGAGTTCATAGGCAGTGTATGCAGAGAGGGAACCGAGACCGATAATGGCGATAACGCCGGGAACGACGCCGAGGACCTTGAGGCAACCAGGGAGAGACAAAACACCAAGACCGACTTGGTTGGTGACTAGGACGAAGACTGTGTCCCATTTGCCGAGTGTTCTGTAGTTCTTGCCGCCTTGGTTGAAGATGTTTTGTACGGGCTCGTCGGATTGTTCTTTGGTGTCCATGATGTCGCCGCCATCGTTGATAGTGTTGATCTCATCGCCGTCGATGCCACGAATGGACGCAGGGCGATGATGCTCAGGCTGAGCCATCTCCGGCTGAGTCTTTGTCGTCTTATCCTCAGCGCTCATAGTCAAAAAATAAAATAATAGTACTCAATAATAAAACCTCAATGCGAGGTAAGAAGGTGTATAATGGCGGGTATGATCAGCGACAGTTGACGAGATGAAGACCAACCTCAACTCAACATCGGGCGAGAGCAATTCTTATATACATCCGCCAAGCCAAAAAGTCTCCAGATGTTTATCTCCCGTGGAGACCTCTAAAAAAACCCTCGTCTCGTTATCTTTTGCACAGAAGAAAAAAAGACTCGCGGAGCCCCATGGGGGAACGTGAGTCTCTCACGTAAAAGTTAGCAAATCTTCAAAAACCATCAGGTCATTGGAATGTCCCAGGGCCGAGCGAAAAGAAACGGGGCCATGGATAAAAAATAAAATGGAGTTGGTGTTACGTTATGTGTCAGCGATCTTTTCTCAATGAGAATTGGTTGGTTAGACGAGATGAACAAGAGATCTCCAGTATTGGGTGGAACGGAGATAAGAATGGCATGGTTTATTTAACGGTGCCCGCGCATCAATTGTTTAATATGTTCAGTATATATGCTATGTTGTAGTACAAACGTCGTTGAAATGAGGCTCTTGAGTCCTCGCTCAAGGTGAAAGATTCGGTCTAGCACACGGCTAATTCGGACGCCAAGTAACAAGCTTATTTCCGCCTCGTACGGTCTCGGAGCAAAAGAGAGATGAAAAAAAAAACCTTGTTAGAAAATGTGCCGGCGGTATTCAACGTAAAAAAAGGTTCAGCGTTTCCGTTACGCGAAAAATAGCTTGTTTTGACACATGCATTGGCCATTTTGTGGAGTCGCCCAGTCTTTACTTGGCCCCTGTAACATGCCGTAGTATCCGACACCGGCGCAATCAAAGAATCGTTATTGGAGAGAGATAAAAAGTCTCGGTGGTGATTGTGTTGAGTCTATCGTCATTGAGGCGGACGGCCAGTCCGTGGTCACGCATCGTAAGATTTTGGTCGGGCGGACTTGAGAAGTGCCGGTGAGTTTATTCCCGTTTATCTTGATAAGACTGGGATCCATGACGGTTACTTTTGGTGGGAGACTGATCAGCATCCTACGTGTTCTAGAAAGTAACGCGCCTCACTTCCTGCATCAAAACCATGACTCGCCCAGCTCGCGCCCTCCAGGATAACATGGCGCATGGTTGGAGTAAGATTCAGGATCTTGTGGGGGCAAAGGTTGGGGAAATGAGGGGGAGAAACCCAATTTCTCACTGTTTTTGACTCAGATGCTCCGACTTTTCCTCTTGATTGTCCAAGATCGTGGGGATCTCTGTGTCTTGGCGGTATTAACCTTTCGTGTTGAATGACTAGCCGACATGTAACTGGACAGCAACGCGTCTGGGGAAATGACTGATGTTGACAGCACATATCCTCCCCCGTGTTTTGGAGTCTTCCAAGGAAGTGGTTTCCTTGGGGTAATTTGTAACTAGTCGCTTTTCTTGACATCACTTTATCCTTGGCAAAGTTGCTCGGTACCGAATTATCCCGACCACTGGGAGGGAAGTGTTATGTAAAAGCTCATCTTATTTACGACGATCTTACTATATGTATACTATGAAATATATGTTATATAATCGACGCCACCCGCACCATCTCGCTGACATGCAAACTACTTGGGCAGCTCGCACTTCCAGCTGTCGGGGTTCTTGTAGTTGCCCTTGCGGTCCCAGACATTGCGGTAAGGATAGCGGCAGTGTCTTCGCTCAACATCGACCTTTCCGGTGGGAGCACCGTTGGCGTAGCGAACACCGGTGATGGTCTCGGGTGCTTGACCTTCCTCAACCCACTTGACAAGAGCTAGAAGAACATTATTCTTAGACTCCTTGCCACCCAGGTTGGCACGGTTGTTTCCAATGCGAGAAGCTCCAGATCCGCCTGAACAATGACCGCAGCCGCTGACACGGAAGTATCTGTAGAACTCATCGAGCTCAGTGTTGCTAAGACCCATTGTTCGTGACACGTGGTTGTAGTAGTCCATGGAGTTGTCGGAGCTGATGAGACCATCCTGGAGACCGTGCCAGTGGATGATCTTAGATCCACGCTTGCGGAACTTAGAAAGATCTCCCTCCCATGTCTCAACGTTGAAGGGGTTGACCTCAGAGGCCTTCTGGTAATCATTGGGTCCAATGGTATTGGGGTTCCACTTGGTATCGTTCCAGATAACGTACTGGAACCATTCCGTAGAGTAAGGGAAGGGCTGCTCGCCAATGGCAAAGCCAAAGCCTTGATCGGCTCCAGGAGGAATACGCGGGTAGATGTATGTGCCGTTGTTACCATACAGAGGACCAAAAACCTTGCGGACCGTCTCGATCTTGGGTCCAGTTAGACAGTTCTTGGTCTGACCCTTGCTGCAAACAAGAGCCTCAGGGCGGTACTGGCAAAGGTTGGGATCCTCGAGAAAACCATCTGCAACACCATCCAGGGGCTCGTCGCACTGGACCAAAACGTTCTTGTGGACCATAGCCCATTCGTCAGGGCTGAGATGGGTAGGAGCACCAGGGGGACCGGTGATACCCCAGAAGCTGCCAGAGCGAGACTGCAGACCGTTGAAGCGCATGGCGGGAGCACCAGCCACAATACCATCGAAATCGTCAGGGAAGCTTTGCGCCTCCTTCCATCCTTGTCGTCCACCCGTTGAGCATCCAAGATAGTAAGACTTGGTATGCTTCTTGCCGTAGAACTTCTTTGTGAGTTCCTTTCCAAGAACAGTTCCAGTGTGAACGGAACGGTAAACATAATCCTCCACAATTCCAGAGTTCTTGTACATGGACACAGCTGAGGTGCCGTTATGTCCATTGTTAGCTCCAACAGTCGCGAAGCCAAATCCAGCACCGTAGGCAACATCGTCGTACTGAATACATCCAGCCATTCCACCATTTCCAGTGCTCAAGAATCGCCCAGTCCAGTTGGAAGGAAGCCAAGCCTCAAGGGTAAGGTTTGACTTGGGACCAGTAGTGACAAACATAGCCACACGGCAGATCTCAACATCAGTGACCGTGCTCTTGGGCGTGCATGTTGGGTGGTTGTCAGGAAAGGTGATGTTTCCACCAGCAGGAACATGCTCAGTGAACCAGACTTTAGTGTTGGGCAACTTCAGCGAGGTCCTGAAACCAGCGCATTTAGCCGCAAAGTCATCACCCTTGCCAGCAGCAGCACAAGCCCCCAACCCCGAAAAGAGCAACAAAGTAGGACGCATATTATCTTGCGGTAAACAAATATCAGTCGAGGTATCACTGCGAACCTGGGGAATGAAGCCCAAGAGAAGAACAAGGCCGGCGAGCAACATGTTTTATATCCGTCTCCCGCATAAACGTTTATCAAAACCTGATCCTTGTCTTTTGCGGGGGAAGCTTCTGATTATTCTTCACGAAATACGCGGACGATTCCTGAAGCAGCAAGACGCCGTTGATCCCTACCAGATCAGCAACCCTCGGCAATACCATGGGAGCACTATCGCGAATTGAGGATGGTTTGACAGGGCGGTAGTTGGGTCCGTGAGGGGATGAATAGGGATTTGAAACCTCGGTTGGCCTGGTTGGGAATTAGATCCGGGGTGCATGAATGGGGTAAATGGATTGGGGAGGAGTTTGCGAGTCAGTCGATGAGAAGGTGAGGAGAGATATCGGTCCGGATAATCTACTTGAGATGAAGACTAGTGTCGTTATTGGTTCTGGTATTAGGGGCGTTGCAGACGTCTTGGAATGAGGCCATTGTTAAATTAAATCTTGCGTGTTCATATGTGAATTCATGGATCAATTATTACCGTCGACGTTGGAAGTTTGACGATCCGAAAAAACTGCCAAGAGGGTGATTTCGGATGTACTCAACTGTTACTGTTGTGTCTCGCGCCTATCCCCATCAATGCCCTACCAACACACAACCCCTGCTTACACCCGATCGATAATTGTCGCCAGTAAGAACCATTGCTCCGTCTGTTCAGGAACCAGGTGACATTCCGAACAATTGCGTGTCCCAATGCAACCACCGTTTATCTATGATGACTGAGCTATAAACATTGCGGAACACGGCACCCACATCCCTGCAGATTCGTTTCATTATCACGACTCTAAAAATTGTGAAGAGTCTATGTTTTCACAGCTTCACAAATTCTTCAAACGTTGAGCCAGGACGTGAGGTTGGAAATTTACTTTATATGCAGAACCCCAGTGAACTTTATCGCCATTTCCGCATATTCGTATTCCCATTACTCTGGAAATACCCCAGATCCACAACTCTTTGATCACCTGAACTCTGTATCATTTTGACTTTTTTTCATATCGGAATTATCACGGCGGTGACATTCTACCAGGATGCATCAAATCACGCCATGTCCATCCATAGAGAGTTAGTATCCATCCTGGCCATATCACCGTCGGCCTCGCCCTAGCAATTCCCGTTACAGTCCGGCAAAACCATCTAATTCCAGATCAGTATCTTTATCTCGGAGTATCAAGTAGGATTACTTACTGCCCACATGTCAATAACAACATACTTGCCCTTGCTCTCAGCAGGTGGTCTCTGCAAAACACCAACGGCAAGGACATAATTCAACCACTCATAATCCGGATGCGCCGCCTGAAAAACGCCCCTCAGTAAAGTCCGTCCATCAGGCTGTGTCGGACCCGAAGTTTGAATATAAATATCAACTCCATCGTGAGTTCTGAGGTTATATCGGGTGTCGGGGAAGAAGACTCCCTTAGTGTCCGTCAGACCCCAGTCGGCACCAAGGTTGGTGACTGTTCCCGAAAGCTTGGGTCCCTTGAAGGTTCCGCCTGTGATGGGAATCACGACGCGGCTACCTTGACCATAGTCGCCAATCGGCCAACGTTCGCCGAGGGTTGCGTTGACGGTGTAGAGATATTCATAGGAGGGTGTTCCCATGAGTTGGGACGCAGCCAAGATGGCATTGGAGGCGATGATTAGGGGAGTGAAGAGTCTCATTGTGTCAATTGAATTGTCCTTATATTGCTTGTCACAAATAAATGGTTCATGGATCTTCTATGCTTTTATAAACTGTTTTTATCGTTCTTTTTCCCCAGATCGCCAAGTCGCCATGACGATTCACCGATCATGGAGAACGGTGATCGGCTCAAGGTGAGGGGTCAACACCCCGCATAGATCCCTCGGCAATTGAGTGCGGCACGCGCCGTTTACTTAGTTAAGAATGTCTTCATCCCGCAACGATATAAATTCAAGGATTGGAAGTTTCTTTAACCGCTGCGCGAGTCAAGCGTCATGCGGGGAAAGCCGATTAAGGTCAGGGCATCCGAATGCTAGATCGGAGAAGGCATCCGACATCACCGTTATGGTCCAGGGTAGGAAAACCTTGCATAAACCCGCTCGGCAGTTTATGCTTTCTGTCATAACTCCAGCTCCTGTGAGATCATAAATCGTGGTCTTCTCTATCAGTCAGGGTATCTCGTAGATCTCATCCTCATCCAGCTCAGCCACCGTCTTGAGCTGCCCGTTCAGCCTCATTTCTCTCTCTCCACATAGCAGCCCTATCGGCATGACGCTCAGCTCCCGTCCAAGTCCTCCCTTGAAGGTGTTTCAAACATAGTAGTTTCCCGTCATCAGGGTAGTAAAGCCAAGTAGCCCATTTCGCCCACTACTTGACATCAGAAATTTCTCTTCATGTATGGCAGCCACCTCTGCTGGCGTCCGCATGAAATAGCGTAAAGGGCTGACTTACGAGACCTTCCTTCATCTGGGCACGAGCTCTCTGTCCAATCTTGTCCTCAATAAAGTCCCCTCGAAGCATAGCAAGGCGCGAAGGAAACACCCTCTCAAGGTAATGTGCTGTTGATGCGATATGAGGCTTGTCGTGCCAGAAGTACATGGGCGTCAAGGGTATCCTAACACCAGGATGCGTCGGATCTTCGTAATTTCCCGTAAGAGATGATGATAATTCCCGTAGGACATGATGCTGCTCAGAGATGGCATATGAGAGCATACGCACAGCAGCTAAGCATATGTACTTGATGGGGGTTTCTGGATGCGAATCGTGCGCTTTCATTATTTGAAGTAGAGGTTGGATGGGCAAGTCAGCAACCAAAGACCAATCATGCTGCTGCACCCAGACGAAAGGAGTTTGGGTTACCTTCAAGGCTGATCTGACTGCAAGGCCGAATCCTAGACGTCTCAACGGCTCTATAAACGTGACTTTCTTGTCGCCGGTTTGCGTTATCGTGTAGTCAACGGTGTTCTGGGGGTTGGGACTACCATACTCCGCCGTAGCACGCCGTTGGGTGAACTTAGCACCGACATGGCGATATTTCGTGAGTATCAACTGCTTGACATTGTTCTTGTATTCGTCAAAATCCGCTGCTTGCTGAGGCGTGACTTGCCCTTTCTTCAATCGCGCTGTCGGAACTATCTGATCAAAAGCGTCAAAAACAACAATGACGTTGCATAATGTCAAAGCATGACAATGTTGCTCAAACGACTCGAGAATTGCCGAAACAAGTTCCGTTGAAGGCGCAGACGGCGTTGGTGAAGTTGTTATTATGACGGTGACCAATTTGGGCACGGTCGTATCTTGGGTCATTTTGGTGATGTATCGCTGTCAATTAGGCTCAGCACTGGCAAGCATTTACCCTGTATGCGACGGGCATTGGGCTGTGTTTGAGATCTGAGTCAAGGTAATCGATGGCGGTGAGATTGGGCTTCGATGTGATGGGACGGGCTGCTCGACTCTGACGCGGAAAATTTTGCGGTCGCACCATGACCATGACGCGATAAGATTTCTACGGCTAAAGCATCAACGCTCCTACAACGGTCGCAAAGCATAAAGTGTCGTACTTGAATGCAACATATTGTGAACCAACCTTCCCATAACACACCAAGAATAACAGTTAACTTAATGTTAAGGTTGAGAACTGATCGTTGCTGTCACGACGCGCGTACAGATAACACTGTGTAACATTGACGTGTAACCTCAATTGCATGTATCGCCAGCCAAGACTCCCAAGACTCAAAACCCAACGGCTGGACTAGACTCGTTTAACAAATAGCAAAACACTAAAGCAAGTCATTAAAGCGTTTCATACTAAATTCCCTGCTTTCACGAAGTGATAGACACCCGTTTATCTGGCAATAACCGGGTTTTGAGACCCAGCCGTCAGATAAACGCCCGATGCCATGCATGGCAATCCCTGGAAGCCAAGGGATGCATCTAGCCACTGTCTCAGCACGTGGATCAATAACGAGTACAGAAAAACGCTCTGTTGCAGGTGAATTGAACGTGTATTCAATTAACACATACGAAGTGGTGCGTGTTGCTGCATATTTCCTCGTAAAAATAGAGAGACACTGTCTTGACTGTGTTACGCAGCTTCAGTTTAGTGGCTGGTGTTGTGCCTTCAGTGGGTCATTCAACCCCTGGCGCTAAAAACTCCCCAACCTCAAGAAATTAATTTGGCGATTCGACTTGGCTGTGCCAAACCAAGTCAAACCACCAACCTCGCCATTTCCAGCCATCGCCTTTCCAGTCCCTCACTAAAACATGAATCAGTTCCTGACATTGTCGGTGTAGATTCTCATTCCTTTCACTCTCTATCCGCTATTTTCATGTCTTGTTCGTAAGACATCTTTTCATTCCACTCATCTTTTTTTCTGTTCTTTCACCGCATTTAACCCCCCACCCGCAACATGGCTACAATGGCGGCTCCTCACCAGCCAAGATTCAACCTTGAAGATCCAGGCTTTGAGCCTCGCACTGCTCGTGACGCCCGCGAAGCAGCACGCGCTGCGCGAAATGGCCAGAGTCCGAGATACAGACGTACTCAATCGCCCGAGCAACTCGATGATTTTCGTCCTCAGAGTGAAGAGTTCGACATGCGCTCACCTACCTCTGACGTGGCATTGCAGGACGCCATGCTCGCACAAGCACAGCAGCAGCAACAGGTGAGTTTTTTCCACGCTAGAGAACACTGTTTATCTGCAAAATCTTTTCTCCGCGCCAGAACCTCGTAATTAAACTTTTGCTTCTAGCGTGTTGTTCCGGTTGGTCAGGTCTCTCGTAATGCCGGGCAGCGTAGACAACCTCCTGGTCCAGGTCCAAACAACGCTCCCAGAGGTCCTCAGCAACCAATGCCTCCTACTTATCCTGGCGGAATGGACGGAGCTCCTCAGCAGCAGCCCAACGGGCCTAGAGACGGTGGTCGGTACAGACGCCAATCGCGCCGCGCTTCAGAGTCGGAACCCCGACCTCATGGAGACTCACCTCCCCGAAATGGCCCAAACACCCAGCAGAGCCGTGTTTCTCAATCCACGGCCTCAGACCAGCATCAGCAGCGTCGCGCACCTTCACCAGACCGTCTAGCAGTTCCCGGCAATGACATCAACCGTCTAAACAGCCCCTCCATTCAAAAGAGTGTTCTTCTACCTCTTGAGCAGAAGATTCACGAGTATGATCATCTCATGCACGAAGCTCAAGCTCAAATGAACCAACTCGACGATGAAATTCGCGCTCTTCAAGAACGACGTCGCCAAGCTGAAGACCGCTTCATCGAAGCTAAATCCAAGCATGATGAGTATGAGCGTCAGCACCAAGATGTCGGAAAAGCTCTCCGCGGGGAACTCATGCAGCAGCCCCCACCACCCGCAGTTCGTCAGCCCGTTCAGCGCATGGAGAGCATTGACAGTTTCGATCACCGACCGGTCAGCGCGCAGAGCTCTTTTCACCAGAAGCCCAAGAAAGGAGGCATGCTGCGGATGAGCTTGTTTAACAAGAGCAACTGACTAGATAAAGGTTGCTTATGAAGTTATGCGTTAATGACTGGGATGGGATATTGATGGATAAGGAAGGGAAAATGAATGGCTTGACTTGTTTGGTTTTTTGAAACTTCTTGGTCGTCCGCGAAAAAGGACTTTTAGCTTATTTGTTTAATATGCTTGGATGTACATAGTTTGAGGAGGTAATTGTTGCACATGGACATTCGATGCACTAAAAGATTCTGCAGTTCTAATGACTCTTGTTGTTTATTTGGTTGTTAGTGATGACGTCAATGAAGCTTCAATCACAAGATTGTCTACGCTGTGGTGCTGATCAGTGCTTAATATCTTGAAAGCTCTATTTGATATCTTGTTACAATTATTTTGGGAATGAGATGCAAATGCACATTGGGAGAACAATGAAGAGATATTTAGCCATGGATGTCTTGGATGACCCTATACCAGTTTGGGTGTCCGACCAAGCGTTCCGATTCCACCAATGACTTCCCGTCATTCAAACAGGAGAAAGCCTTCGCCTCGTAAGGCTGTAATTTTCCGTAATTAATCCATTAAATAATCATGGTTAAACAGCCGTCAAGTCCAAATTTGCCAATTCAAACTTTGGTGATCTGCAATCACGACCTTTTCCAGCGTAGTCGTCCATCGTAGTCTGCCCTACAGAGTCCAAATGGGAACGAGGACGAACGCTAAAGAAGTCAGCGGGGCACTTTGACGGAAAGCATTTCAATTGTGGTCGATCTGCCGCATCGACTGTTATCAAGAATCTTTGCAAACACACTCAACAAAAGGACCTTAGACGTGTCAATTCGCGACTCATGAGTTCTGTGATATTATTAATTCACTCTAAGACAACCTCTCCTGAACAAACTGCGGCGCAGAACCCTTTCCTTTGATTCCGATCAATCCCTGTAACCTTCGGAAGGTGGAGCACGGGGAACTGCTATGAAGATATCCGGGGTCTTGGGTCTTGGTGGACAGCCCCTAAATGGACGCGGATCCTCGCGACTCCGGAGATCATGAATAACGAAAAGGAGAGGCATTTGAGTTTGGTAAACCCGGCTACATTACCTCAAGGAGGTAAGTTAATCATGAACCCTTTCTTTCTGACTCTGTAGATGCTGAGTCGATTGAATAGAGCTGACACTCATCATTGCTGATTGGTCTTCGGAAACCGGGACCCCCTTGCCGAGACAACGGTAGAGACATTGTCAACCGATAAACATTCCTCTTCTCAACTAAGAAACTTCAGACGTTATATGAAACGCACGGTTCGTTGCCACGCTTTGACACATGACGATATTTCTGATTTACAAGTTTTATCAGCGAAGAAATCACTCGAGTCGGCAGCTGAAAGGCCAATTTCTACACCAAATCCTTGGCGAATGTCGATCGTCTTCTAGCGCAGAAAACTACTGCAAGCCTCATCCGCATCTGATTCCCATGGCATCCTCTCTTGGGCGCGGATCTGTGCCTCGGCCTCTTATCACCGGAACGATGCTGCAAGATAGAGTTGTGATTGGCGATGGAGCCTCAGAGAAACGGACTTGATCCATGCAAGTGGCTACGCCTCTTAAAGTGCTGTTCAGGCATTAAGTTAGCTTTAAAAGCTCCCCTCCCCTTGGGTCGCGACCCCTATGCATGTGTTTCGTCCTGCATATTTTTCGTATTGGTTTTGTTACTGCAGCCATGGGTAGTGCTACTTCCTTCGCCGCTGAGGCGTTCACCCTGCTTTCTATTGGCATTTTGGTCATTGGGCTGCGAACGTTTGCGAGGATACGACAAGTTGGTGTGAGGAACTTTGAGGCTGACGATTATCTCATGCTGGTGGCGATTATTCCGTATACGATTGAGACGGCGCTTGCGTATACTGTTGGAGCAAAGTTTCGTGGGCTGACGAACAGTGGGATGACAGATGAGGAGCGCAAGGCTCTGTCGCCGAATAGCGAGGAGTATGGATGGAGGTAGGTTGCTTGACCCTGCAGGAGACATGGGTGACTAAGTTTGACAGGGTTGGCGGGTCAAAGATCCAGATCGCTGGTTGGATCATGTACGCAACAGTGCTCTGGGTTATCAAGAGTGCGCTATGCGCTTTCTACTTCCGACTCACGGTAGGCTCAACACGACGTCAACAACGGAATGACAAGACTAACGACTTTAGGCTGGTCTCACCGGATACAAAACCCGAATCTACATCGGTTTTGGCTTTATTGCCTCGACATATATCACCGTTGTATGCTGCATTCTCTTCAGCTGTCAACCATTCAACCGCTTTTGGCAGATTTACCCCGACCCAGGAAGTAAGCCGAGATACAACTGGACCTTCGAGGCAATGCGCTAATATCATGTAGATTTCTGCCACCCCGCCTTGTCCAAGCTTTACATCTTCATCATCGTCAGCCTCAACATCCTCACTGACGTTTACTTGCTCGCTATTCCCATTCCGATGCTTTGGGGCGCACGGATTCCCAAAGTCAAGAAGTACGGTTTACTAGTTCTCTTCTCTGGTGCTGTCTTTGTTATGGTTGCTGGTCTCCTACGATGTATCCTCATCCTCAAGGTATGCAGCTTCATCATCGCGAGAGTGTCATGGGCCGTTCACTGACATCAGCCAGAACCCCAAAACAGGCCCCGAAGAAGGTGCTTCATGGGCCGTCCGAGAATCCTTCGTCGCCGTTGTAACAGCCAACCTTCCCAGCACATGGGGCTGGATGCGTCAAAAGCTCAAGCCCATCTTCGGCTCGCTCCTCTCATCCAACAATGTCAGCTCAAAGTACAAGGGCGGTCCAGAACCTGGAAGTATTATGCTCGCCGATGGAAATGGATCAAACTGGAAGAGAAGTAATGGAAGATCCATTAGATCAACGACTGGACTTGGAAGTATGAATGATCGAAATGTTTATATTCACGGAGGTGGAGGTGAGGCGAGTTCGGATGAGATTATCCCTTCGATGCCGGGCATTACGAAGGAGGTTGAGTTCATGGTTGAGGAATCGGAAGCAAGAAAATGATGATTGAGGAGATGGACTTGGCTTTTCATGTTATATACCCTGTCATAAAATGACCTAATACGCAATGGATAGGATTTCGCCTATTTAATTGTCCCTTTGATGGTTTAGCTGGGATCTGCCTTGACAACTTGGATTATTGACGTTTAGAACGGTCTCGACTACCGATCCCATTTTCTAGTTGAAAACATGAGTTTGCAATTGCTTGCCATTCTCATCAAACCTCTTCGGAATGACGTTCATAATGCCATCAACATCTCTGGGCTCATAGTCCAAAAGTGACGCAGCCAGAACCATGATATCCATACCAAAGTTCTCTTTGATCCAATGAGCAAACATGTCCATTCCAGCAACGGCACCGCCCGCAGTCCAAATGTTTCCATCAACAATCCACTTCTTCTCGTTAGTCCACTTGACGTTCGGAAACTTTTGTTTGAGAGGCTGAATAGCACAGTGGTTGACTGTTGCATTCTTGCCGTCAAGTACACCCGCTGCCGCAGCGACGCTGGCGCCAGTGCAAGTGGTGAAGAGCAGTTTTCCAGCAGCGACGTGCTTTTGGATGAACTCGGCATACTTGGGATGGAGTTCGAAGTTCATGGGATCAGGACCACCGAGGATAAGGAAGTTGAGTTCGGGGCAGTCATCCACGGTTGTGGTTGGCACAATTGGGATGTTGCTTGTTTGAAGAACAAAGGTTTCGCGAGTGATACCGATGTGATGAAAGACGAACTCTGGGGCGCGAGAGATTGTGTCTTCTTCGATCTTCATAAGGCCAGATAGGGCTTGTATGTATGGCTTGGTGGATGAGTTGAGGAGATCCGTTGGACCCAGGACATCGATAGCCTGATAGTCGTAGACAAGTGCACCGAAGTGGAGGGGAGCCATTTTTTCAGATTGGTTGGAATGGATTTAGAGTGATGACGGATGATGAGGGCGTTTGATGGTGTCATCCGAAGCCAATAGCTGTGTTTTGTCGCGGCTTTTATAGTGGCAGCAATACATTGTTGTGTAGAGTAAGGCTTTGCACTGAAACATGTAGAGTCCGACAGCTCTCGCATCGAGTTCCACGAGTTTGTGATATATCCGAGCTGAGTCGGAAGTTAGACGATCCTGGTGGAGTTTCGACCAGGGGAATATCCAACAGGAATACAGCAACCCCAGTAGACTCGCTGAGGTCACTCAGATTCCGCCAATTGTAGCATGGTCAGCTGCGATACTTCCATAATGCTTCGGAGCGAAAATGATGCATCGTGATTTACGGGCTTTCCAGGCAGAAAATGGGCTATAAGCCCTTACATGTGACCAATGGTACTGGCCTGCTTCCGAACCTCATCCGGATGGAGGAATAACTCGATGTAAAAGAAAGAACATAGAATGACGGAGGGTGATTGATTTCGAATAACAGAGTGAGTGTTACATCGGCATACCAAAATGATTAGCCAACGGGAAGTGGGTTGGACATTAAACCCAACACGTGCAATTCTTGGTTTCTGATCGCAACCGTTCGGCTGTCTCGGCTGTTATCCCATCGTCTAGCCCGCTCTTATCTGCACCAAGTTCCCACCAATGTCGGCACTTGTCATGGATCTGGATAAGTCACCCACGCGACGCCATGTAATCAAAACACGGGGAAGCAAAACGATGTGTTCATTCGTCGCCACGGTCACAGCTCAATGCCACAGTCGAGAACGTCTCCATCGTCCTGCTCGAACGGGCATAACACCCGGGGTAAATCCCTCCATCAGCGCTGCTCCCTTGCAACCATTATCTTGACAGAGCGGGGAAATTATCTTGATAGATGCTTGTTCAGAGCTTGGACAAAACGAGGATAGGAAGTTGGATAACTGCAATCTATTCGCCCAACCCGGTAAGCGTGATCTACGAATTGTCGGGGTAATTGGCACCAGAGTCAAGAATTGCAATGTATATGCCATAAAGGGAAGGAAATTGGGCACGCTGATAAGATAGTGTAGCTTCGTTCTATCGGACGAAGATAATATTTACGACAAGGACATGGGACATGGTTATGACGAGAATGGAAGGAGGTGAAGATAGTTGAATTGATAGCACCTAGGCGATACACGGCGGGATCAACAGGAGGATTATCTAGTAAGAACCGAAAAGCATAAGTAGTTGACCGATATCCTCGTAATCATGGAGAAGGCTCTTCTGCAGACACTTCATACTTCTCATCCTTTTTAATCATATTGAGGTATCGCGATTTTCAAGATGCGACACTCAACTTCTCAACTTCTCTCAATATCCCTTGGCCTCCTCTTGGGTTCAAGCGAAGCAGCATCAATACCACGCAAAGAAGCATGCACCAAAACTAAGGTTGCAATTCTTGGTGCTGGTGTAGCTGGTATCACTGCCGCACAAACATTACACAATGCCTCAATCCACGACTTCATCATCCTGGAGCACAATGACTACATCGGAGGTCGTATGAAACATACCACTTTCGGAAAATCCTCCGATGGTAAGCCTCTGACTGTCGAGCTCGGTGCGAATTGGATCGAAGGTCTTCAGAATCCCTCTGGTGAGGTCAACCCAATTTGGCGCCTTGCTCAGAAGCACAAAGTGAAGAATACGTATTCCAATAGCAGTGCGATCATTACCTACGATGAGACTGGAGCTTCCGATTATACTGAGCTGATTGACCTCTTTGATGAGAAGTGGGAGATCGCTGAGCAGGAAGCTGGTTACATCTTCACCGAGAATCTTCAGGATACGTCAACTCGCGCTGGTCTTAGTCTGGCGGGCTGGAAACCAAAGAGGGATATGAAGATGGCTGCTGTTGACTGGTGGGGCTGGGACTTCGAGACGGCGTATTCTCCAGAGGAAAGTGGCTTCGTGTATGGTGTCGCTGGAAACAATGCTACCTTCAAGCACTTCAGTGACGAGACGAACCTTGTCATCGATCAACGAGGCTACAACACTTGGCTCATTGGAGAAGCGAATGAATTCCTCAAGAAGAATGATCCAAGACTTCGTCTGAAGACGACTGTCAAGAATATTGAATATACCGCTAAGGGAGTCAAGATCGATACAAACGACGGTTGCATCGAAGCAGATTACGCCATCTGCACTTTCTCCGTCGGTGTCCTCCAGAACAACGCCGTTGACTTTAAGCCTACACTTCCCCGCTGGAAGAGGCAAGCCATTGAACAATTCCAGATGGGAACATACACCAAGATCTTCATGCAGTTCAATGAGACATTTTGGCCAGAGGATACACAGTACTTTCTCTACGCTGACCCAGAGCAACGCGGTTACTACCCCTTGTTTCAGTCCCTGAGCACACCAGGCTTCCTTCCAGGATCGAATATCCTGTTTGGTACAGTTGTCCAGCAGCAGGCTTATGAAGTTGAGCAACAATCCGACGAAAAGACCAAGAAGGAAATCATGGAGGTACTACGTTCCATGTTTCCGGACAAGCACATCCCCGAGCCCACTGCATTCATGTATCCCCGCTGGAGTATGGAAGAGTGAGTCACCTAGTCCCCCACACTGCGATGTTTGCTAACTTTGAGAAACAGGTGGTCGTACGGGTCATACAGTAACTGGCCCGTTGGTATGACTCTTGAGAAACACCAGAACCTCCGTGCCAACGTAGATCGACTGTGGTTCGCTGGCGAGGCTAATTCAGCCGAGTTCTTCGGGTACTTGCAGGGCGCTTACTTGGAAGGGCAGGAGATTGGTGAGAGAATTACGAGGATTTTGAAGGGTGAGGAGTCAGAGCAGTCACAGCAGATGAAGAGGTACAAGACGTTACGCGGTACGACGGAGCCTGAGGAGCACGACGCTGCGAATGGCTGGTCGACCCCTCTTGATGATTAGGAGGACAATGCGAAGAGAGAGCTAGTCTTTTTGAACCAGTATATCTTTCAATAATATCCCTGTGCCAGCTCTTGTGAGGTCGCACTTGGTCGGTTTGCTCAACCATTATAGCCTTGAAGACTGATTGGATCTTAAAATTATTTGGCCATCCGATATTGCGCGTCACTTCCCCGCATGTCCATGCATGAAGCTTGTAGATGAGGCGACTTCGCTGTCCAACAATATGAGTCATGATGGAAAATTATTAGAACATGCACCAAGGCCATTACATGGGCACATAAAATAGGATTGCAAAACAACTTACTCATTTCCCATATCCTCTCTTGCGACCTTCTTATAATCAAAGGCATGGCCATGTACAAATATTTACGGCGCGACAACTCGCAAATCACGCTCGTCCGTGTGCTTCCGCCTTCACCCCATGAGACCCGCCTATTCCTCGAGCTCCGTCTTGGTTATATCGAAGATGGGACCTACTCAGCACTATCTTATGTCTGGGGTGATCCATTATTTCGGAGGGATAGTAACACCAGGTTAAAACAAAGAAATGATAGCATAGAGATCCTCGGGCCTAGCAAAGAGCCAACAGAGGTCTATATGTAAATATTATAATTGTCCCAACAGAGTGTCTAAAAAAAAAAAAAAAAGCCACCTCACGAGCATCGCACTTTATCTTACCGTTACCTAGAATATTTCGTTTATCAAAGCCAACTAAGCATAAAACTCTGCTCGAAGCCATGCAATTCCTCTCAGCTGTCATACTTCTTGCTCCCGTGGTATCGGTGCAGAAACCCAGACAAGTCTGATGCCGAAGATTATGCAATGACCGAGAAAATTTGCAGCCGTACGGGAAATGATTATTGCTACTGTAACCACTTTGCACAGTGGTTCTGCGACACAGCTAGAGAAAACATCAACAAGTTCAAGAGATCCTGCGAGGCCCAGGGCAAGAATTGGTATTGGGTCGAGTATTGAGCAGGGTATGGCTGGGATCAGTTTAGGAAACAATGTTACAGTTACGGCGAAGTCCTTTTCTAAAAGTTGGCTCTTGAGTTTTGGGTCGCTTATTACTTCTTTCGAAATGTCTTATGGGTCTTCGATGGTTACCTTTCAGGATGACTGCTCTTCAAGTGAGCACGGGAGGTTGTCTCAGCTGCTTATTCCCAAACCACACTTTCTTTGAGGTCGATTATTGATTTCATCTTGAGTTGTTACCTGCACATAAATGTCTTTCATTTTGGCTTCTGCCTACTCTGCATACATTCTTTCCCTGACTATAACTCCACATACTGCCGTTTGTCTAGGTCCCTCAAAGGTGAGACACAGTTCTTGGCCAGGCTTTTCTTCGGCAGGCCACTAAGGTTCAATGCAGGTACAGGTCGAAAACGGCGTAGACAACCATAAACAGAAGCTTAATCGCAAGCCACCGATCATCTCTATTGGCCAAGGGCGCAAGATGCTTTTGTCTTAGATGCTCGGGATGTCTCACATCCATCGTACTAGATCTTTTGGTTCAAGTTGTACATGCTGTATGGTAGGAATTGATCGACTTCATCTTATCCATTTCTTGTTTACGAGATGAGTACTGATGACTTTTGTCGAGAAGGATTGCCTGGATAGTATATGAGTACATTGAGGCCACAGAATATAAAGTGAAACAACGATCAATACCATTGCCGCATAAGTAATGAGGAGTCTAGGCCCATATCATCAGCCATGGACACGAGTAGAGCTTGCCAGTTGCATGAGACTCCATCAAACTACGTGTAATGTTCTTGTTTTGATGAAAGGTCGAGATCACCTCCGAAGCAGCTCGATTAATGGCGGGCGCACGGGTTGTTTGGAATGTTATGGCGTTAGCTATTGGGTCATATGCGCTCTATACAAGCCACGACCTACTTTGACTTTCTTCGGCATATGCTGGAAGAGCAACAACACGGATTTGGCGTCATACCAAGATAATTCTACTACAATTAAGCTATAGCGCGTGCCGGTCGAGACCGTTCTTTAGTATATCACGTTCCTCGGCTTGGGACCTCTGGCATTACCCGTTATGACGCTTTGGCAGATTCCCAGGTAAGAATGGATTTCGGGTTCCTTTATGTGCCAGGGTGTCTTTTCCGTTGTTCACATGCCTCTTTACCAAATTTTCGTACTCTGTTGACTGCCCTGGCTTTTGGCGACTGAACATTATGATGTTACCCCATCGTGATAAATGGGATGTTCAATACTCAACGATTGATGAAACAGTATATATTGGAAGAGATGTCTTTGTTGTTGTAAGACTTACCTGAAGCTCCCCCTCGAGACTCTTATGTGCTGATCTTCTGCTCAGGTTGCCTCGACGTTAGCGCTTTACAATTCTATCGAACTGCTCACCCTCATCTCTCTGACCTTTAAAAAACGATCTGGACTTTACTTCTGGAGTATCCTCATCGCCTCATTCGGTATCATCCCATACTGTCTGGGATGGCTCATTGTCTACTTCGACCTTACGCATGATTACGTTGGCATGATCATTGAGACTGTTGGCTGGGTCCTCGTTATCAGCGGCCAATCTGTTGTACTGTACTCTCGTCTGCACCTTATCGTCACTGACGTCAAGATTCTTCGAGCCGTTCTCATCATGATCATTATCAACGGTCTCGTTTGGGTAAGTCATGGAATTGAGTACCATGGTTCCCAGCTAACCGCGGCTTAGCATTCGACGATGACTATATTACTGTTCGGATCAGAATACAGCCCAAGCTATAACAGACGGGGCTTCAATAATGTCTTCAACATCGCAGAAAAGATCTCGATGTCCATCTTTTATTTGCAGGAACTCATCATCTCCGGTCTATACATCTGGAAGTCAATGGAGATTCTCAAGACAGCTTTCGGTAACACCCGAAGTATGCTATACAAGCTATTCACGATCAACTTCGTCATTATCCTGATGGACATCGCTCTGCTTACTATTGAATTTCACGATCTTTATGTCTGGGAGCAAGGTATCAAGCTTGTCACCTACTCGATCAAACTCAAGCTGGAATTTGCCGTTCTTAGTGAACTCATTGAGTTCGTCCGAAATCGCAGCGGAACCCGATCGAGGCCAACAAAGAACACCGAGAATCAGAGCACCCTTGTACCATTATCGTCCATGCACAAGGGAAACACAAAGGGTACAACTACGAGTACGAGGGACTTTATCCACGCTGGCAATTCTCAGACGAACACAACTATTGCGGCTTCAAATCCGATACCGGCTGCCCCAACGAATGATAGTATACATGTTTTGAGAGAGGTCGACGTGGAGAGTTTGTCTGCTTATCCGGGGAACAACCCAAGCACTGATGAATTATGGGGTCATGTACCTGAAGAACCTGGGAAGGCAATGGTTGGCAGGGCACTATGAAAAGAATCCATATAGCAATTGTCGTATATTCCATTATGTTAGAACCTAGCGAGAATTTGTGTCCTTCTCACGAGTTCCAACCCTTCGTTGCTTAGATGACAAGCTCATACCTTTCTTTCTTGGCCTAAATTCGCCGACCTCGTATTTGCCAACGATAAGTCAAGGTTTACTACAGTCCCTCGCTTCCTGGACTAAGCAGCTCCAATAAAATCATTTCCCGGCAAGGCCTCCATATACTGGATGAATCATCATATCAAATTGGGACACCTTGCACGACCTCAGATAATGCTGTCTCCTCAGTCTGAAACTTGTCATACCTTGCTGGCCATAACCCCTCAACAGAATTTCCATTTGCCCTCAGACTCACTCTCCTCTCATCACTCAACATGGATCCTGCTTCACTGGTAATTGGGATTGCCTCCCTATCTGGGCAGCTAAAAAAGATGATAACCACCATCAACGAACTGGTCGCCGCTTACAGGTCAGCCGCAAAGGAACTAGATGACCTCTGTCTCAAACTTGACGATATTGAGACTATCTGCGAGTCTCTGGGAATGGCACTGTCGCAGGCTGGTAGTTCAACTCAAATACCCGGGCAGTCACGCCTACTCAACAAGCTGCATCGCTCAATTAAGGACTGCTATGACAAAGTATCGATTGTCCACCAGGTCATACAGAGGATCTCTGCAAAGATCGAGAAAGGCCACAACCCCTTAAAAAGCATGGGCTTCTTGTTCCTGCAACACAGACGTCAGCTTGCTTCTTGTGTCGATGGTCTGGACAAATCGTGCTCTTCGCTGCAATTTATCTTGGCATCGGCCTCATTGTAAGTTTACCCTCACAATTGTCATCCTACATATGATCTGACAGTTCAGTGATATGACCCTGAAACTCCTCCAAGCGTCGAGCCTGTCGCTCACAGTCAATCAACCCATGCCTAGTACAGATCGCTTCCCTACCAACCCAGAATTTGATGCAAAAAGCTACTCTATGCAGATTACCGAAGAGCAATCAAAGGTTGTGATCGAGAGATGGAGACGCGAATGTTCAGGTTTGGTATTTCTCCAAAAGACACAGAAATTAAGAACGATTCTTGCCACAAATACTCAGAATTCGGACCAGATACAGGAAAATTCGACTTTCACCTTTGGATCATCCTTGCTGAACATATACATGAAATTGTCATTAATTAGAGGGCCTCTTGCACCTCTCTCTATCAGCTTGCAGATTCCAAGAGTGCTCATGATCTCCAATCGTGGCACCGACCTTGGTATAAGTGTCCGCAAGGCCTTTGAATCAGACGATCTGCAAGCGATTCACAGGTTCTTCAGCCAACGTCTCCTCACGCCTGCTACGATTGTCACATATACTCAATACGATCCTGAGAACGAAGGATCTTTGTTGGGCGTAAGTTCTCTGCCATATGTGTGTGACCGGTCAACTAACCTTGATTGAGCTTGCTATGGCATTTCAGTGCCGCAAAATTCTCAATTTTTTAAAATCTCAGATGAACCAAAATGAACCAAGGTATGTTTGAGAGACTTGAGGGCTTCAACATCAGACTGTGCGCTAAAGGTTGCAGGAAGCATTTACCTCATCACTCCTTCACCTTTATGTGTCCCGACTCATACGACGCCTTCTCCTGTGTTGTTGAGTACATCCATATACGCAAAAGGCTAATAACACCCTTGGAGTTTGGGTCAATATTGCTGTGTGCCGGGACCCCTAGTCGTGTAAGGGCGTGTGTTGAAGCTTGTCGACAGCACTTGACTTACGGCTGGGACCGTTTTGATGATAGAGTTGTCAGAGAAATGACCAGTTCTTTTAGTAGGGTTTCTACCCTTCACATGACTGACTCACAGATGCAGGATTGGGCGTCGCTACTTACAGACGTCATTGCGCGGGGATATGATCCTTTTTCCCATTCCAAGTTTCACCACTTCACAGGAAACTTGAAGTATATTCTATCAAATTTTGATGACCCTGACGATGCTTGGTGCTGCGCATGCCGCTGGATCGATATGTTGGAACAAGCCCAGGTCGATGTTCCAAGATATCTGGAGGTTGCGACAAAATATTGTTTTGCTAATTGGGTTGAAAGTGAGGTCTGGAGTGTTAATGGGCGCCAAGAATCGGCCATCCGACGAGTGCTCCTCCCAGGGCATCATAATGGACGAATTATCCCGTATTGGATCGAACGTGCCGACAGCTCATGCCCGATACACGAATTGTTAAATGAGTTCCCAAGCTTACGACGTATAGACACAATGTTGGGATGGGGCGGCTGGAGTGCGCATGTCAATCGGTATCGACGTTGGAAGACTAAAGGGAATCTTACTGCATGGGACCTAGCGATGAGCTTTTGGCCAATTGCGCCTTCTCTTGATGGTCGGGTTTTAGAAGACTACAGTTACGACGAAGATGACACGATGGCGGACCATGTTGAATTAACAGTGTGGGCTAATCGAGTTATTGATTTGAGAGAGCGTCGCTTTGAACGAAAAGCGCGGCGTAGGCTTCAAAAGCTTAATGGCAGAGGAAACGGATGGAAAACAATGCCTGGAGCATGGGTGGAATGAAAATGGATTTTGGAGGATTGATTATTCGTGCACGGTAAGCACTTCCTTCTTAGATCAATACAAAGGATTATTGTTTTGGTGAGATAATCAGGTTCTTCATTTCACAGGAGCAGTCTAATCCTATTACTTCATGTAGTATACGAGTAGTTTGCAGCTCAATGGACTGTTCAGGATCAGGTGCTTTGCCATCAACTCTACCCCTCCTTATGCAGGCTGCAAGAGTAGACAAATCACAAGACAAGACAAGTTAGCGATGAGACAGCATCCATCGAATAAGAATGTGATGCTCTGCACTGCCCCGCCGAGGCATTCTGCGCAGCCCAATTTCTCTCATTGCCAACATCAAAAGACTTTCCACCATCCGGCCTGCAAGTTCTCCACCTTCAACAATATTCTTACACATTATGGACCCTGCCTCTCTAAGCTTTGGAATTGTGTCCCTAGCGATGCAGCTAGTGCAGACAGCAAAAGCCGTCAAGGAATACATTGCAGCCTACAAGTCAGCGACAAAAGAGCTCGAAACTCTCGCCGACAAGCTTGACGATATCGAGACTATCTGCTGCTCCTTGGAAATTATTCTTTCAGACGTTGGAACACAAACATTCAACCCGTTGGAAATCAATCTACTCAAGAAGTTGCGCCGTATCATCCAGCAATGTTTATCCAAAGTCTCAGATATTCACAACATTCTCGATACAATCTCAAGAATGCAAAAGAATACCCGGAATCCTTTGAAGACTATTGGAGCTCTATTTCTGCGCTATAAAGATCAAATCCGCCTCGCCACGAACGGACTGGGCCGTTGCCTTTCTTCACTTCAGTTACATATGACGGCCAATATCCTGTATGGTACATCCAATACTCTCCACCTGTAGATTCCCATCTAATACTTTAGGGCTGTGACTATCACGTCTCACAAGGCGGGCAGGAGTCTTCTACCAACCACAAATACTTCAACAGCTATAGAACCACCGAAGCCACCAAGTGTCAGAGGTCTTGAGCCATGCGATAAGCGTCAAACACGTCGAAAAAGCCCAGAAACTGTCGTCGATACATGGAGACAGGCGTGGAGTGCGAAGTCTTTTATACAATGGACAAGAAGAACAACAAAGGAAGAAATCTCATTAGACCCAAGCTCATCGACAATTCAGGATGATTCTATATTCACGATAGGCTCTTCATTGCTGAACTTGTACGTCAAAGTATCACTGCGATGTGGCAACTTGGCTCCATTTTGTATCACTCTACAGATGCCACGAGTTATTTATTTCCAGGAAGGTCAGCGCCAAATTGCCGACAAAGTTGAATCGGCCTTTATGGAAGATAACTTAAGCCAAATTCAGGCTTTCTTTACTCAAGGCATTCTGACACCTGCAACGGTCATTGCCTGGGGTGAATATGATCCTGATAACGAGACCTCTCTTTTGGGCGTAAGTCAAAAGCATGTTTGTTTATCTCTCTAACACAATGACAGCTAGCAGCTTTGACGAAATCTCGTTCAATTCTCAAATTTCTTGTAGCGCAAACTTTTGACGTATCCAACAGGTATGATGGCCATAGACAGATACCGAATGGATATGCTAACCTTTAAGAAACCATATTGGAGGCGCAAGATATCTATATGCTTTTAATGGCGATGATGGTCCCAGATGCGTCCTGGAATATATAAACATACGACAAGACTCCATCTTGGCATCTGAATTTCATATGATCTTGCGAGGTATTGTAGATCCATACAACGCCCAGATATGCGTAGAAGCATGCAAGCCTCATTTCTCTAGCAACATGCTGGCTTTCAATACTGCGGTCTGGAGGTACGCCATGAAGCAGTTCAAGCACGATTTAGCAGTGAACATCGAAGGATGGGCAGGCCTTGTTACAGACTGTGTTTCTAGGGGCTTGGATATCCATCAACAGCTTCGATCCGACACAGATTTCAGTGCCTTGAAAGATATCTTGTTTTACAACTGGGACACTGACAAGATATTGGAACATGTGCATCGCTGGATAGACATTTTGGATGAAGCCGGCGTCAACATTAAGGAATACCTCATGGTCGAGACGGAGTGTTGTTTCGCGACGTGGCGCGATATACCGTATTGGAATAGCAAGAACATTGATTCTTCAAACTACAGTCGCGCTCTCTTCATCAAAGAGTCGAGAGGCAGACAATTCCCATTCTGGGCCCTCTCCATCCAGGACGAATGCCCTGTCAAGGAGCTGTTAACAGAACATCAACACTTTGCGATCCCGCTCACATTTTACCAAGGAGGGTCGACACAAGCTTATATTGCGCAGCATGATGCTTGGAAGGAACAACAGACCTTAGGGGTTCCGGACGGATCAGACATACATCGAAAAGGATGGCCCTTCTGGCTTCCTCTTCGCCATTACAACGATTACAGTGCGGAAGAGGCGGAATGGGTGGATCGGGAATTGCAATTAGCCCAAACCCGGTTTGGCAGAAGGCAAAAGCTCAAGCAAGGGAAAGTTGGACATCATAGGCAGAAACAGCGGATGCCAATGCCGGGAACTTGGGTAGAAGATGTTTGACGTTTGAATAGAGGATTGGATCGAAAGTTTTATAAGTATATATCGTTATTGCTAGTATGTGAATAATGAGATGGATTACGGGCTCACAAAAGTAATTACCTCACTAGATTCTTTCAATATCCAAGTCCATTGTAATTAACCTGAAACCAGTATACAACTCAATTTTCGCTGCATACAAGTCCAGAAAATATTGATTTCAACAAATGTGCGATAGCGCACGTACCCCTCTAAACGTCTGAAGACTTAAGATCTTACATCAGGGTGAGAAAATATACTGGTCAAAGAGCAAGCTAAGTTCATCATAAAACATCCTAAGATACCCTAATACCTATCTAAGCCTTTTCATCATTTAGGACTTTGGTCTGAAGTTTTCTGCCACCCCCTGGATACCCTAGAGATGCGGCTCCATCATGGACCCATATATGTCGAGAACGGATTGTGATTGGCAGCTGACGACGCGTCTCGTGAGCTACCGGTGCTGACGTCGTCATCCTTGACACCAGAAATCTCATCGATGTCCAATCGATTGCATCCCCTAAACCCGAAATGTCCTTTCAGCGGTCCAAAGAATGGCCACGAAACGTGTCCTTCGGGGCGGTCACACACCAGAAGATGAACCCAGCATCATATCGTCACTCCTCCAGATACAAAAATGCAGAATCCCACAGCAAAAGATGATATGGATCGTCGAAAATCTCGAATGTCTCGGCAGACGACAATCCAAGAAGAGAAAACACACCGAAGATGAGGAAGAAAAGCCCGAGACGCCTTATTGGTTCCGAAAAACTGTCAACGGATTCACGGACAGTAATTTTGTTGCGCTTTCGTACACCTGGGACGCTTCCGAGCATGAGACGCAGAACCCCAGGAAAGAGGGCCATAAAATCGAGACAAGAGATGGGCAAGAAGCTTGGCGCTCTTCAGTACGGAATTCGGTGCTTGAACGGATTACGAAGTACATGCAATGTCATGACGTGCCGCTTCTGTGGATTGATCGGCATAGCATACCACAGAAGAAATGCAAGCAAGCAGCGTGTACACACACTGAGTGCCGACAGAAGAGACATGCTCTTGATGCAATGGATCGTGTTTACTCACTGAGCGATCACCCTGTCGCGTTACTCGGTCGCCCGATCCAAGACGAGGATGAGATGAGGACGCTGTCTTCGATACTCAAGGGTGCCCTTGTCAAGTACCACGAGGGCGGATTCGCACTATCCAAAGGCGCGGAGTATAACCAAGCTCATAAAATGCTATGCTTGATATACGAAATCACTCGTGATAAATGGTGGACAAGAGCGTGGACGTTCCAGGAGAACTACCGAGCTGGCCTCAAAATGACGCTTCTCATCCATCACAGCGCCGATTTCGAAGACACAAAACGGTCGATACTCAGCGGCAAGAAACCCATGTTTGGCGTAGTACCTCGCGAGCTGAGTGTACAGTCAGCCAGGTTCTCGGAAAGCGCTACCAAATTTTGTCTTGGTTTTCGCCGACATCACTTTGTGACGAGTGACGATGAAGAGATGATCGACCATATACTGGCGACGGCTGGGAAATACACCATACTGCTATCACCGTCAAGCTCCATGTCTGGGACAATTGTTTCCGACGTCCGAAAACGAGGCGTGACAGAGCCTTGGGATTGCTTAGCAATCATCGCCAATTGCTGTCAATACGCGACGCGTCTAAACAGTACGCGTCTCCAGGACAGCGGTATTAGCCTTGATCTATCAATACTGTCTCTTCGTCTTGTAAATGGTGAGATACTCAAAAACGATGAGCCACCTGTATCAGAACATGAGCCAATGGTTGACCAGATTAACGGTCTCTTCTTTGACGACTTCCGAGCTCCGGAGGGCGCGAGAAGGTTGACATTCAACAAGAGCTGCCGTTTCGTTGACGTTAATTTCACGACAACTGGCATCGTCACAAGAGGTCATCTTTGGAAGCTCGATGATACTCTCCGAGCGCCTCGGTCATCACCGCGTTTATCACAGCCAAGTCAGAAAGGCGACCAGCAACTGTCTGACTATGAGCGCACCCGGCTGAGACAACTTGTCGAACTCGTCAAGGCGAAGAAAGGCCGGAAGGATGCAGAGATGGTGGATGATATGAAAGACTTCCTCGAAGAGGATGCCTTTGTTGTAGATGAGGACGAGTCTTTCAGTCTACGGTATCGAAGGCTTATGGCGAAGCAAGTAGTCAGAGCAATGGACGCAGATCAACCTTTAACGCTGGGCTATCTATGCGACTCATCCGCAGACGCTACAACAGCCCGGGCGATATTCATCCGCAGTCGAACTTTCGATGAACCAGAAGAGCTGTTTAGCCAGCAGGAAGATGATCTTACACATGTCTTTACATCTCTCTGGTCGGAAGACCAGCCGGATGAGGAGTATCTTGCAAACGACCTCGACCATCACGTGTCTCTTGGGGTTCGGCTATCAGATGATGAACACAACGGATCATTGCGCTTGTATATCAAGGAGTGGGTTCTTGGTTTGTGTTTCTTCGTCGGTGCTCCAACATATGAGGTGGTGTTCCCCTGGCCCCAACCTCTATCGCGGCAATGAATGAGAATTTAGATGGCTAGATGTAATAGCACTGTAATATTATCGACGAAAATGTAGATTTAGGAAATGGTACGGTTTATCGGGTTGGATCACAGGAAAACATATTGGTGGCGTTTGTTAAAATTCATGGTATTCACTAATACAGCCCCTTCGAACTCGCCAAATGGAATGACGGCCTTGATCTCCCTGTCCAGCCGTGATACCAAGAGCTCACAGGACGTAGCGGAAATGAGGGTTCTGTAAAGTGCTGTTAGTATTTCAGTAACACAGGTTCGAATGATGAACCTTACCTCGAAATCAGTCAAGTCAGCTCCATCCACCATTGAGGGGTCCTCGTTATTGGTCCCAACAGCAGCAGCCGCAGCATCTCGTCGGGCATTTCGTCTGCTCAACAGGATACGAAGCAGAATTGCAACTATCATCTGAGCAACTGAGCAGCTGAGAATCGTGATACATCCTGATGGATACAGAGGCGCTTCTGAACCTAAGAAAGCGTGAGGGCCGATGACGTTGCCGACGCAGTATGCAATGAAGACCATCGCTGAAGCAGTGATACGCTTGGTATAGCCACCAAGGTTACTAGCGGGCATTTGCATCGCGAGTACCAGTGAGCAAACAAAGGCACCAATGATGTAATAACCGAAGAGTACGCCGATCTTGTGATGTTCACGATCAAGCTTCCAGAGAAGACAGACTCCAATCATGGTGGGGATGAGATAGATAGCCATGATGATGGTACGACAGTTCTTGATACGCGAGGCCAAGAAAGTACCTGACAGGATGTAGAAGACTTGGAAAGCACCCATTGGAATACCGAGAGCGACAGTCTCGAGAGGGTCTTTGACGACACCCTTGATGATGAGCTTACCGAAGTTGGCGATACCTCCGTTGATGGTTTCGTTAAGAAGCATAAACAGGACAAGCAGCCAGACTTGAGGGTCGATAAAAGCCTCGCGAATTTGGTTCCACTTGATGGTCTTATTCAGAACACCAGTTCGGGCAAGGCGGCCACGGCCGATGAGTAAAGCTCGCTCTTCGAGTGTGAAGTGGCGAGCTGACATGATGCTGTCAGGGAGGAAGAAGAGTAAGACGAAACCCCAGACGACCGTCATACCGCCACAGGTCATGAAGACAGCCTTCCAAACGGGGAAGTTCTTGATCTGACCAATGCCATAGGTAAGAATACCACCAAGCTTGTTCATGTTAGTAATAGCTACAGCGACGAGAGGGGGACCATACCATAGCTCCAACACCATTACAGCAGTAAAAGATACCAGCTCTAAAAGGCTGCTGCTCACGCGTATACCACATCGAAACAATCATCATAAAACATGTCGTGATCGGCGCCTCAAAAACACCAAGAAAGAATCTACACGTCGCCAATGAACCGAAATTATTCCCTGCCGCTGTCAACAAAAGCACACTACCCCATGCAATAACACAACCACTGACCACCTTGGCCATACGTGTCTTTTGTGCAAGAAACAGCCAAGGGTACTCGGCAGCCATGTACGCAAAGTAGAAAATACTAGCGAACCAAGAATATTGATCCGACGAAATCCCCGTGTCTGTGAACAGGTCGAATACCGCGGCGTAGCTGAGAGCATTCTTGTCAATGTATTGAAGCATGTATGTTCCCATCAACATGGGGAGGAGAATCATGTCGACCTTTCGGATAAGCTTTTTGTTGAGCTCTGTGTCGGTCAGGAGTTCGCCGATGTATTCGTTTGTGAAGTTATGTTGGCGGAGAAATGTTTCTGTAGCGTCAAGTTCGACGACTTCTCCTGGGGTTATCGAGTCGAGCTTTTTCATGGCGATTTGCTCCTCTTCGGGGAGCTTCTTGTCATCGGGCAATGGCCTTGTTGTTGGTGACATTATGGTGAGTTGAGTCGCTGGACTCGCGTGACAACTTCACACTTTAGTGCTGGGCGTCAAAAACGATTGGCGAGGTTCGACAGCTCAAGATTCATGATGTTGGGGAGATCAGAGACCCATATAACCTTCCCTTCAGCGAACAAGCGATAGACAATAGCCCGGGGTACATGATTCTCGTATCTTGCAAGCGAATTGACCCTATCAGTCTATCATGCAGATCCCCTCCTCGGGGAGCAAGAAAACTTCTGACTCTAAGCTTTAGTGCCAAAAATAATTAGTCTAAAGGCCTACTAAGTCTATACTAGATTTACCTAAGTCTTTTTGTCAATTAGGATAGAGGTCCTCAGTTTTCTTGCCTCCCCTTGCCCCTCTAAACCAAGCTACAGTTCCTGAGTCAAGACGACCAATGAGAACATTACGAAAATGACCAAGTTTGCGGGGTTTAGGCCTAGTTTCAGTTGGCCGCTATCAACCTCCGATGCTCGGTCCTCAGATCTAATACCGGTAGCGATCGGGTCCATATTCAACTGGCGAATTTGCGGGGTGAAGCAAGTTCCCCGATCTAAAACAGGAGATTCGCGTGGTTTATTTCTCAGATTGGAAAGATAGGGCGCAGATGGCACTTATCTCCGGGGATTGTGTTGTCGAAGCCGTTGTCGGAACTGAGCCGTGGAGAGCGGAGCGGTTTTTGGACGCCGAGGAGATGCCCCTCAACTCGGTGATGGCGCTACTCCAACATTGAGTTTCGTCAGTGTTGAGCCTGTACTTTATTTAACCACGATACTCTTGTTATTCCAATTTCATCATCGTATCAAATCAAGTCAAAATGGGTAGCCAAATTTCTCCAGACACCCCAACCATCTCCCTCCCCCAGGGCAAGCTCGTCGGCGTCAAGCTGAACGACAGCCTACCCCAACCTGTAGATGGTTGGATGGGTGTTCCCTACGCTCTACCCCCAACAGGCGATCTTCGTTTCCGCCTCCCCGTCAAAATCCCAGCTTCACCCGACAAAGTGATCAATGCATCTGAATATGGCCCTGCAGCCCCTGGCAAGGGATTGTTGGTTGGACCAACGCTTGAGCAAAGCGAGGATTGTTTGACGGTGAATATCTTTCGCAAGTCAGCGGATAAACATGACAAGTTACCGGTTGCGCTGTATATCCACGGTGGTGCATTTAACAGAGGGTCGGCGCATATGCACAAGACAGCATCGATGGTGGCAAATGCGCCTGAGGCTTTTATCGCTGTGACGTTTCAGTATCGAATTGGAGCTTTGGGCTTTTTGCCGTCGAGTTTGAGTGCTAAGGAGGGTGTTCTCAACCTTGGATTGAAGGATCAGATTCTCATGATGGAATGGGTGCAAGAAAATATCGCAGCCTTCGGCGGTGATCCCAATAACGTCACATTGTTTGGTCTGTCCGCTGGTGCTCATTCTGTAAGTTCCACTGCTCATTTGAGCGTACAGTCCACTAACTTCGAGCAGATCGGTCATCATATCATGCACTACAAGGAGGGCGTCACCCCTCTCTTCAACAAGGCTATCATTGAGTCTGGAGCTCCTACATCACGAGCAGTGAGACCCTACAACGCGCCTATCCACGAAGCTCAGTTTGAGGACTTCCTACGTGCCGTTGGAGTTCCCAACGATCTCCCAGAGAATGAGATCTTCCCTTATCTACGCCAGCAACCTGAGAAGGTCATCACAGATGCACAAACAGCCACATTCGACAAGTACAACCCTTCCCTTCGCTGGGCTTTCCAACCTGTCATTGATGGTGAAGTGATCGCGCGGCCGCCTCTAGAGACATGGAAATCGGGCAAGTGGCATAAGGTGCCGATCATGACTGGCTTTACCACGAACGAGGGCTCTCTTTACGTTAATAAGCAAATGTCTGAGTCCTCTCAGTTCCGAGATTTCTGGGCTGAATTGCTACCGCTTCTGACCTCCGATGATCTGGATACTATCGAGGAGCTCTACAGAGACCCTGCCAAGTTCGAGGACTCTGAGTATAAAGAAACTCGAAAGGACATGGGCTCACAGTATAAGCGCATCGAGGCTGCATATGCCCACTATGCTTATGTCGCTCCCGCACGCCAGACAGCCGAACTTGCCTCCCCATCAGTCCCCGTCTATCTCTACCACTGGGCCGCCGTTAGCACAGTCAACAATGGTGCTCAACACGCTGATAACATGCGTTACGAAGTCTGCGATCCCAAGGTCGTGGCAGTCTCCGGAACACAAAAAGACCTTGCCAAGACATTGAACCATTACGTCACCAGCTTTATCACAAGGGGTGATCCTAATGCTGTCTCTGGAGAGTACCCCCAGAGACCCAGATGGGAGGCATATGATCCCAAGAGTCCCAAGGTGCTGAGATTCGGTGAAGGAAATGAGGAATTGATAGGGGGAGATGTTGGCAAGACTGCTGCGTTTACTGATGATGATTGGGCTCGCAAGCAGTCTGAGTTTTGGTGGAGTAAAGTAGAAATCTCACAACAGTGAGCATAGAAGCAAACAAATAAACAAGTACACCACTCAGACTCCGGTTGACAACAATCTTCAGAAACTTCAAGCTCCCGCTTATACTGTGTGTATATTCTTCATGGCAGGAACGATACGACTTGCCTTATTACCAAGCAGCGCCTCGACCTCTCTCTTGATTCGGTCCTGAACCTCAGCGCCGCCTCCGCCACCGAGCTGAGGGATCGCAAGAACCAACAAATAAATCGACAAATACAACAACAAAAAAAAGATACCTCGAGCCTTGGCTCTCTCATTGCGTAATCAGGGAATCGAACCCTGGGCTCCCCGACGCTGCTCGGATGGCAACGGAGAATTTTACCACTAAACCAATTACGCTTCTAATGATGTAAATCTGGCAAACCCCATGCAGACTAAGGCGTGAGAAGCGACCGAGGTTTGATCTTCTTGCCTTGATGGCTTCATGTCTAAAGAGTATTGTGCTTAATGAGCTAAAATTACATAGAGAACTGTTGAGAAATAGGTCTCAATAGGCTCTGGATGAGTATCCATTTTTGCTATTTAACAAGAACATCCTCGCATGCTTGCAGACTGAGTCATATTTGCTGACCACGTACCATTTCAATAGTAACCTACCCATTGTTTCTCTCTTCTGCACCATGATGTTCATTCTCAGGAGGGCTTTCCATCTCCTGTTGAAGGTGAGTTTGGGCGTGAATCTTGACCTCTGTACTTCTCCGTCTAGCTGATGATTGTTGGTTTGCGTCATCTTCAATATTGCTTGAACTCGGGACGGAACTAGAGGGCTCTGATATATCTTGACGGATTGGATGTTCGCGACCTGTTGTGACTTTGCCAATGTTAGATGGTCGGTGAGCTTGGTTCAGAGCGAAGTCTCCCGAGTCAAAGTATTTTCTTCCCTTGCATCGACAGCGTTAGCTCGGCCTGTATTATCGTTACAAGCCAATTGTACGAACTTCTAGTTGGTGGTTGAGAAGATTGCCTCGCTTTGGAAGGATTCCATATCGGTTCAAGAGACGCTTGTTCTTTTCCGTATCCATCTCGGTTGGCTTGGCCTGGTTCATAAACTAGTACGAAATTTCCGGCTGGGGAATGCTTGGAAGAGAGAATGAACAAATGTATTTTATTCTCGGGACTTGATCATATGGGGACCTGAGGAACCCTTAAAACGACTTCCAGAAAGACATGGTTCGTACTGGACTGACGTTCTAGAAGCGCATGACGTAGTGCAGGCAGTCTCGTGCCAAAAATGCATATTGAGCCCTGCGTTTTACTATGGGTTGCGGACCCTTCTCCAAGGGCCATCGGGGGCCTCATTTGTCAAAAGGCAATGGGTTGCAACCATCAGTCACATGCTCATGCAAGTTTTATTGCGTACAGTGTTTGTCCTCACTCCACGAACTAATTAGAGATTTACCTTCAGATTGGTAGAGAGAACCGTACAAAGAATGGCCGTCAATATGAACCAGCAACTGAAATGTCTGGGCGATGATCTGGTGCAAGACTCCCAACGCCTTGACAACAGCCCCAGAGTATCAGCTAGGGGCTGAATAACCCACTGTAAATCAAGGCCTCGCTTAGAGACCTGTCTGAGACTAAGTCCACTGCGTCATGGCTATTGGGGCCACCAATGACAAGTGTCTTTGTATTAATCAGAGCATTCTGGAGCAGAAAGAGAAGAGAAGTTGACCGCAAGAAACAGAATATCAGAGAGACGCGCGTTGGCATTTAAAACCGGATGTCTCTTGGACCCTGTATTTCATTACGTAGGGCGGTCAGTAGTGCTAATACGCCGAAGAGTCCGGATGCAACGTGGGGAGAATCACCCCGCATATATACTGGTTTTACACTGTCCGTGTGTTGGATCATGAGCGCGGAGATTCACCCAACGCCCCGTGGCAGACGATATAAATACCTACGACGCTTATATTTGCGGTGCGTTCCTTCAAAGCCGCTCAAAGGATAAAATATCGCAGATCAATTTTAAACAAAGGCCGATATTCCACCAAAATGCCATTCGTTACTGAACCTACCTCTCCCACTGAGCCTGTGTTCTCTCAACAGTCATCAACCAAGGAAACATATTCGCTCTCTTTATCGGAGCATACAAGGAACCAAATGGCAGTTCTGCTCGAATCTCCGACCACGAACTTATCACCCGACCTGGCTTTTCTGCCCAGCAGCTGTGTTCTTTCATTACCACGACTGAACTCAGGATCAAGCGCGGGCGCGGGCGCGAGCACTTGAAGGGTACCCCAACACAACGGGTGTTACCCTGGACCGATCACAAATCCTGAACGAAAATCGACCCAGCTGTGGGGAGAGTCATAATGCATTCCAAGGTTGGAAAAGGAGTTATTTGCGGTTTTTTTCGGCAGATCGATGGAATGGCTGGGATCAAAATGGAAACCTCTTAATTGCGGAGGTGGCAGGACACAATGCTCCGTAGGGTTGGAAGGGTGCCATGCGTGCGGTATTCTGGGTCTGGGGATATTCCTCCCTGGGAGGACTCCCTAATTAATATGAGATCAAGCTATGTCAAAATGACGAGATCAACTCTGGAGAGGAGATCAGCAATGTATTTACTTAATTTGGATAATAAATTGGCAGATGGCCAAACTCGACTCTCGATCAATCCCGATCGGCAGTTGACATCTGCCGAACATAACCTGATCTACCGCATATCGTGTTTCTCCAGCGATTAGAGTGAATTAAGCATACTTACCCAAACCGCTCCGACTGTCCACATATTGTACCCGTTTGGAACCGGAATTTCCTTTTCGAGATTACGGTGATAGACGAAAACCTGCTCAGCAATTGCGATGCTCCATAGGTGAAGCCTGTGGGTAGGCGACGAGCTTTGTTTTCACAATAGAAGAAAGGGAAATGAGATACAATGGCTAAATTAATAGCCAAGATAAATAAACATCTCAAAGGATATATGTTTTAGCATATCTCCTACTTTGACTAAGGCTAGAACATGTAAGATCTGAGCTTTCTCTTTTCCTTCTTTTGGCGAATGTGCAGAGTTGTTTTTGCTGTTACTTTCTTTGCCAATAGTGTGCTCTGAATGCTTCTTTGCCCCTGCTCTATCAAAGACTTCAATATCGTTGTCATACAATTTAAGTAGAGCAACAGCAAGAGAAACTTAATCCTCTACCTATCAGCTACGTCGCCGAGGTAGGTTTCTGAGGTTGAGGGTTTGAAAAGCTCAAAGCGTGAACACAAAGTCGAAAATGTAGTTTCTGTCTTCTCAGCCCTTCAGCGCTCAGGCAGCGTTGAATCTTTGTGTCTGGTACTGCGCAAGCTCCTCATCAATTCTATGTTTAGGACATTGACCTGATCTATCCTCGAACAACTCAATATCGATTCTGAAGGGACTAGTGGTCGCAATTCGACTGCTGGGCTTCTGGGATGTGGTTACTGGACTTTGGTGGTGGTTTGCTTAACTAAAATGGTCTCCCAGGTCAATATGCAATCTATATACTTATTCATGTCCAAAACTTGAGTTAAACGTGAAGCTTTCAATGTATGGGTCTGATATATCCCCTGGAGATATCTTCACTATCGATCAACTTCGCAGCGAAGTACCCCTGGCTTGCCTATCTCAACAGTATCTTGTCAAGGGAGTTTTGTGCCCAGGAATTGTCGCAGTTGCGTTGATCATGCCGCGAGATTGGTCAACAGTGAGTGAAAGATATCATAGTAAGTATGGTCGACATTAAGCACTGCAGCTCTAATGAGACCTGTGGCTGAGAGCGTATAATCACCACACAGAACTTAGCAGCTCTAATGAATAAACGGCTGCTCTTACAGGCCCTGGAAAGAAACCGAGAATTAATGGTGAGATAAAGTATCTTGTAGGTATATGTATATCCCGATTCCTCGGCCCATATTCATTTCACGGATGGTGTGCTTCCCCACTGCCCAACCAGCACGAGCCCTTCCCAGGCCAAATTTCCAAATCGGGAGACTCACGATGAGTCATTCTGTATCACACTGTGTCGAAGTTGATTAATTCCGAGCATCCCGTGTGAAATACAGGGGTAATTGCCTTGCGTATCTAAACAGATGCAGTATTTGCTGTTAGAAACCTTAATTTTGACAGCCAAACTCGATAGAGTAGTAGCGAGAGTTGCAGGGCTTCAACTGAACTGTGAAAACACATCTAAATATTATCCAGTAAGTTTTGTAGTGAATTCGTAGAGGCATCCAGAAGCATGGTATGTTAAGCATTATGGTATTTTTGGGGTCTTTTCTTCACTGCAATTGCATCGCTCGTCCCTGTACCTCGTTGCGTGCATCTCAACATCAATGGTAGACTGCATGAGAATACAGTTATTCAATGCCATGCTACCAAATCCAACTATATGCATTGCTTACCTGGCGGACTGGTAAGCAGCAGATTCTAAATGAAGCCCCTTGTCAAATCAACGGGCACTACAAGAATTCCGAGCCGCTTCTTTGCAGCAACAAGAACCGGGTAGAGTCCACGCCGAACTCCTTTTATCTCGGCGTGACGTAACATTTCCAAACTATGCAAAATGATTCATAGTGAACACCGAGATGTTATCGTATGTTGACAGTATCAGCTGGGAAGACGATGGAGTGAAGCCAGCAATGATACATAACGTAGTATATAAACTTCAGCGAGAGCCTCGTAGCTTTAGAGCCAGAGCATGCCAGCCATCAACCGTAGGTCTTCAAGAAGACCATTCATGAAAGGTACAGTATATCTTGTTTCTTCTCTCCCACCCCTCACCATACATGATGCACAATATTTTGCCGAACTGAGGTTACTCGCATGGAATACTGCGACGTTGAGGACCCATTGAACCGACATCGCCTGACAGATGAGACTTTCTATCCTATCTTATTTCAGTCTATCACAATGTTGTTTGCTAACTTCGACAATGCTCGATAGGTAAACCTAGGCTCTGAGACCCACGCGCCCGTACTAGCTGCTTGGATACCTGACCCTGCAAGCCAGTCTACCAGAACGAGACAACACGGCGGTCTCTCAAAGTGAACTTTGCTACTAATACCCCTGAGCCAGCTGGCTGTCAACGGGGGCATCGTCTAGGCATCTCTTTCCTATCCCGGCATTAATATACCACACATTGTTAACCATGTGTGGTATGCCTCCCTTCCCTCCGTCGATCCTTATCTGAGCGGTGACTTCCCCTCGGCCTTTCTCTACCGTCCACAGCAAACCCGATAGTTCAAACCAACAACGGAATATTATCCAAACTCTTAAAACAAGCCGCCATGTCCCAGTCTTTTTTCAACACCCCTCGCCGCTTCCACGTTTGCCGAACAATCTTCATAGCTTCAATCAAGCCGCCCACATTACTCAGTGGCTTCGTTCTGTCAAGGATGCTTTCCACTGCCGTTTCTTGACCTTCGGGCGCCAAACACCCTGTAACGCAGAAAGGCCACGCTAGCGGCATCAACCAGCTTGGCGTCCTCAAACTTTCCAGCAAGTTCAAGGTCGCAGATACGAGGTCAACCACTTCGGTCGTTTCAGGATCCCAGCCAGAGAGGACCACGATGAGGTACAGTCTTGCGGCGTTTGCCCAGATCCGAGTAATGGCGTGGTAAGCTTCCTGTGGAGGACGCATATTTCGTAGTAGAGTAAATTCTGCGAAGAGCTCCCCTCGCTGATGAGGCGCGTCTTGCACACGGCTTTCATCATCCTTCAGCATAGCCAGACCACGATCAAGCTTTTCAATAATCTTGCCTGCCCGTTGAACCAAAGCCATAAGTGAAAATGTGCCATTCATTTTCGTCTCCTTCTTCCAAACGTCAAGAGCAACTGTCTCCGCAATACTGAGGTAGACCCAGTTCTCGCATCCAGTCACATCCTTCAAGTTTAAACTGGCTTCTCCTTGGCCAGTCATCAATTTCCCATAATGCTCACTGAGTCGTGGACTCTTCTCGAGTGCGCTGCTAGATACGATGTCTGCGATGATGATCTTGGTGGTAAAGAAGCGTAGAGCCACTTGCGTCGAGCAAAACAGATGAAGGCCCGACGTGTTGATTATGTCCGCGTCTTCGGCTGATATCTCCGTCGGATCAAAGGTTATCCGCCAGACAATATGCTTCATCTCTGGAGAAGCGAGTATTTGCTTAAACAGAATGATGGCAGCATCGAGGTGAGGTCTCCAGGCCTGCGAATACTGAGTCATAGTCTCAAACTCAAGCAAGAGCATGATATCACCGAACAAATGGGTCCTCTCCCATAAATTGGCACTAACACCAAGCATCTCGACTCTGTGCTGCATTCCCCTGAAAGCTTGCTCCGATTGCCGCTGAACTTGGTCCCATGCGAAAGTTGAGCAAAGTGTATATCCTGCCCCAGGAACGAGTGGTACGACTGAGAAGAAGTACGTACACAGGCTAACGATCAATTGTCTTGACTCTGGGTTCCTGAAGGCGGCGACGAGAAGCCAATTGTGGCCTCCCTCGAAGAAACAGGGGTTGTAGAATGGGTGAAGAAGGGGAAACACATAGTCTTTGTAGGCCATCAGAAACCGTAAATCTTCTTCACCTTGAAGATTGACATTGAGAGATTCACGAAAGCTATTTCCGAAGAGGAATCGCTCGGGAGTATCGCGCAGTGGGAGGTCAAGGGTGGTTCCGGTATTGAGCGCGCTATTTTCAGTGTTGGATAAGGCGACGGTGTCGACGCTGCTGGGCCAAGAGGCTGGTGTCGTGTTATCCAGGGAGTCCGAAGTCGTTGGGATAGGCGGTGTTGGGCCTGGAGTAAGGGTTGTATATGAGATGGGGGCTTCAACTAGTGGAGGTTCCTGATCTTGGATTGTCTGAGTAATCCTCTGTATCATTTGCCTGCCTCTTTTGTTTCTTGTATTCCGTTTGACCTGCGCCTTCAGCCGTTGGCTCATCTGACGCTGTCGGTCTCCATTGTCCATCCATTCTGGCTTCCGATCGGCGAAATGACACGTCAATCCGAGCGCGGCACAATTTTCGCAAGTCGGGTAAGTCTCGTCGCATTTCTTGTGGCGCACGCGACAGACCCAGCAGCTCTTGTTGTTTCTCATTGTTGGTAATCGCGATTATGCAAGAGTTGAATGTCGTGGGATCCGAAACTCAATATTCCGCGCGGAGAGATCAAACAGCGGAGATTGAGCTGATTCGCTCGCTTGGTTCAGAGGTGGATTAGTCATAAGCGCTGAGAGACTCATAGCCTATCAATTCCCCCGTGTAGCTCATCCCGCGCGGAGCCTTCAAAACGTGGAGATTTGATGCTGATCTTGAGAAGGGAAGACAGGACCGAAAGTGTACATATAAGAAGCTATTCCGTAGACCTACATCCTAACTATCTTTCATCCTTTTCTTTACCATTCAATCATATCAACATGTCTTCCTTGACCGTCCTCGTGCTTGGCGGTACTGGCCCCGCTGGTATCTGTCTTCTCCGGGAACTGCTTCATCGCAAGCACAAAGTAGTAGCATTTGCGCGAAGTCCTCAAAAGGTCCCAGAGGACCTAGCATCTGATCCACTGCTCGAGGTAGATCATGTACACATCTTTTCGCAAAGAGCATAACTGACATTTCCAGATTGTCAAAGGAGATCTATCTGACAAGGAAGCTCTCTCGAGGGCAATGGCCAAGGTCGACATTGTCCTTTCGCTCCTTGGACCCCAGATCAGTGATCGCACGACATCTCCAAATGCCATCCCCGACTTTTATAAAAACTCTGTCTTTCCTGCAATGCGCAAACATGGCGTCAAGCGAATTTTCGCCATGGGAACGCTCTCCCTCTCCCAGCCTGAAGACTCATGGACTTTCATTCGACCAGCGATGGTTCTCATGGTACGCACCATAGCATCAAATGCTTATCGTACTATTATCCAGACGGGCCAGGTGTTCGAGAACGATGCAAAGGACATTGATTGGACCATCTACCGTATTGCAGCTATACCTGGGGGCTCAGACAAGGAAAGCTGGGCGAATGACAGGCAGGATGGTAAGGCTTTTGTGGGATATTGTGGACAGAAAGGCCATACGTATTCTCAGCGGAGGGGTGCGCTGGCGAAATGGCTTGTTGATGCTGCTGAGGATGGGTTGCAGGATTGGGTGCGCAAGATGCCTGCAGTTTCCAAGCTGGCTGGTAGCTGAGCTATCTCACATTCTGATCAGGTCATTTCAACTAATTTCATAAGTCTTTGTTCTGTATATAGTTATTCTCAGAATTATTTAACTGGCAATTACTGGGCGTTATGTTAGAATTGGTATATAATTATTGCTCAAATACTTCTGCGAAAGTGGCTTAATTTACGGACCAGGTATTATGAGAGCAGAGATTATTATTGATCAGAGTGATATTCTACAGCCTTCTTGCAAGATGCGATCCACTAAAACATTACTCGATGTGAAATTCGCCTGCTTAGCAAAAGGATTCTGCCTTGACGTCAGTGGCCAGAGGAAATCGTGATCTCGTCAACGACGCCCTTGCGAATTGAGTATATAAGTCGCCAATAACGATCAATCTTCTCACTCAAACTTAATCTCTTGCTCATTAGAAACGAGAATAGAAACGTTTCCCAGAACCTCATCCATATTAAACAGCCAATTGCTGTTAAGCCCATAATTCTTAACATGTCTTATCCTGATCTTACAACGTTCAAGGCCCTGTCATTTGACTGCTATGGCACTTTGATAGACCAAGAATCCGGCATGATCCGTGGCTTACAGCCCATCATTAGTCGCCTTCGTCCTGAGAGCGACTACAAAAAGGACCCTGTTTTGTTGATTCGGCGCTTTCACGAGCTTACCCAAGTCCTCGAAGAGGGGGAGCCTACCCTACGTTACAGCAGTATCGTCTCGCGCTCGTTCAAAAGTCTCGCAAAAGAACTCAATATTTCTGTACCTGAAGAAGAAATGAATCATCTCGAATCCCTCCCCGGGACTTGGCTCCCCTTCCCTGATACAATTCCAGGCTTGCAAATTTTAAAGAAACACTACAAGCTTATCATCCTCACCAACATGGATAACGTCAACGCGTCTTCAACTCTAAAGCACCTCCAGCCCGTTGAATTCGACAAGGTCTATACTGCCGAAGACATCGGTAGTTACAAACCCGCTAAGGCAAACTTCGACTACTTGTTTGATCATCTCAAACGCGATCTGAGCGTGGACAAGGATCACGGGGAATTACTACACGTAGCGAGAAGTTTGACTGCAGATCACATCCCGGCAAAACGGTTTGGACTCAGGAGTGTTTGGATCTCTCGCGGCGGTGAGAAAAAAGAAGGAACAGGCGTTGGAGGTGATTATGAGAGATTGAAAGAGAAGGTTGCGTTTGAATGGAGATTTGATAGCATTGGAAAATTTGCGGAGGAAGTGGAAAGACAGTTCGTCGAGAAGAGCGCTTAGAAAGCGGTTTTACGCTGCGGCCTGAATAGTAAACAACGTTTGGTCATGGATCATGGATGAAATAGGGCTGAACGCTGAGTTATGCCCGGCAGATATTATTAAATATTACAGTGGTAAATATGCAATTCATCGAGATGAAAGACTTGCTTTGTTTATACGGTCAGAGTTCGACCTCAATGGCAGCCATTTTTAGGTCCAATGCGTATAAAATTAGTATTGTTTCGTCGTCTGCAGCAGCACGACCCAAAGATGTGGAATATGGCGCGATTCACGCAGTCAGCCTCATTTCCCAATCGTGATTCACTCCCGAAACCCAAAGACCTCGCTCGTTCTAGACCTCTCTACGCATGGAATGTGAAAATGTCACCCGCTATGACCAAAACTGCCGAAACACCAGGGCTCGGTGCGCTAAGACACATGGGATGGACGCTATGTCTGAGCGTTTTACCAAGAATGTTCTAGTGAGGAACGTTGGAGCACGAAACAATGACTCGCTCAACGCCACATCGCGTGCGCCGATCCTAACTTGCCGACGCCAGGTCAGGAACAGAAGGACGATGAGGATTTCGTGCCGAGGCTCGTTTTTGAGGTGAGGAAAATAGAGTTGAGTTTTGAACTGGACTGTAGAGTTGTATTTTCATCCACTATTGATGTGCAATCGTGCCGTAGCAAGCGAGTCGATCTTTGGGTCGGTGAATACCCATTTCTAAATATTTCTTTTGGGTTTCTTTTTCTTCATCAACCTGAGACACGACATTTATCTCCACTGTCTTCAAGGATGATAGATAGCGTTCCAACTGACAAAGTGTCAAGAATGGATCTCAATTACGTACTAACCCGTAGAATAGCCAGTTCACTTCACGTTTTTCTTCTCACATATCTTCAGCGGAAAAGCCACATCCGTGAGAGATCACTAAGTTAGCCTAGCTTCGGCGCAAAAAGAGTCGGCCGAGAACTCTAGTGCTGAAAAAATACCAGGATTCCCTTGATGCGTTAATACAGAACGGGCGTTCAGCTGCGAAGCGATGTCACATCGTGGACCTGTGCCTCTGGGCGATAAATCCTTTACATTCTTGACCCATTCAGGGTCTTTTCCCTCTTAATACCCGCGGGGGGCTGTCATTTCTCATCTGCATTTCGCATCTCGTTCCTGAGATTCGACAGATTCTCTCGTTTAAACACTAACATGGCGTGGGGCGATCTTCCTGTTGAAGGGCGGACGTTGGACCCTTTGAATGATGATCTTCGACACGGATTGACTGCCGTTACTGTCCTTGCTTTCATTTCGTTCTTTTCTGCGAGTACTTTGTTCTTTTATTTGGTATATAAGCTTACGACATGGAGCTTATTCATCAAGTCGCAGCCTTCGGGGCATTTCCAACACACGACTGGACCGATTCAGAGGGCGATTGACTTTACGCTGGGTATCGATGGGATATTTGCTGAGAACAATGAAGACGCCAATAAGAAGGCGGATGGCGATGCTCCTACCGCTCCTCGACGACCGAATCAGTTCCTCGTTCTTATCATTAATTTGCTACTCGCCGATATGCACCAAGGAGTAGCCTTCTTTCTCAACGTGGCGTGGCTTCGAAATAATGCGATCATGGTTGGAACAGCATCTTGCTATACCCAGGGACTCTTCGTGTCTCTTGGTGATTTGGCCTCATCAATGTTCATCACTGCAATTGCCATTCACACTTACCTTGCCGTGGTCAAGCGACGACAAACACCGCAGAGGGTATTGAATGCAACGATCATCGCCATCTGGATCTTTGTATACGCCATTTCCCTTATTCCAATTGCAGCGACTCGTAACGGTGCAGAGTTTGGTGGCTTCTTTGTCCGCGCTGGAAGTTGGGTAAGTACCATATGTCCCATTGCTTGTCAGTAATCCTCTAACATTATACAGTGCTGGATGAACCGAAAGTACGAAAATCTTCGACTCTTCACACATTACCTCTACATCTTCCTCGGCCTCGGTACAACATCTGTCCTGTACCTCATCATCTTCTTCCACCTCCGTCGTCAAGCTCGCTTTGAGTCTTCGGGATCACCAAGCGAAGCCGATACGATGCAGCTCCAACTCAGCCGCAACCCTGCCTTCCTGATCTATCCCGTCATCTACGTCATGTGTACCCTTCCTCTTGCGGCTGGCCGTATTGCGACTATGGCTGGCGCCCATGTACCCAATGGCTACTTCTGCTTTGCCGGTGCTATGATCGCTTCCAACGGCTCCTTCGATTGCCTGCTGTTCGGCACAACCCGAAACACCATCGTCTTCGCTTCAAAATACGATGTCTCCTCCGACGATATTGGTCTGAGTACCTTCGCTTTCCTCAAAACACCTAGTCGCCGATTCGGAAACACTATCTCGATCCAAGGAGGCCAACAGACAGACGAGAACGTCGCGGGAGGATGGTGGTCATGGCCTGCTAGGGCAAGTGGTTCAGAGAACAGAAGTCGAAAGGGAATGACACGCACCATTAGCCAAGAATCTCTGAGAGGACCGGCTATTCAGATGGATACCGTGACATCGGTGGTGGTGGAGGTTGATGACACGGCGGAGAGAGACCCAAGATACCCAGATACAGCAGCGAGCTCCAATCCCTCGTTACGCAGTGCGGAAAAGGATTATACGAGAACGATACAAAGAAGCATGGATGCTCATAGATAAGACTTTAATGTTGGTATTATGTACTGAAAATAGAAGGTTTAATGACATTGTCATATCAACCTACAGATACTTTGTGTGATATTGCAGCGTATATATGAGTCCTATTCAAGGTTACAGTGATGAACGAGATATTCACTAATGTTTTCAAGACTATTCTTCTACAGAGTCCTCCGAACCCATGTCTGAGTACTCAGTCTCTGGGGTTCTTTCCAGCTCATCAAGCCACTCTGCGTCTGGTTCCAACTGAACCCTATTCTTCATACACTCAACAGTGATACCAATTTTGAAGGCACGTTCGCTGAGTTGCCATGGCTCTGGCGTATTCACTTCCGACGTCCACGCGATAATACAAAGCGATGGAAAAACTCCTCATAGTCGACCAGAGTTTTGACCATCTCGAAGTCGCAAGGCAATAATACCCAGTCAGGGACATCGCTGGGGTCACCTGGTAACGGACTCCTTTCATTTATTGCAATGTCTTCTAAGAACAGCACTTTCAAGCTTGGCGGTAAGTGCTCTCTGATCTTTGGTAACCAGTCTATATCGCCATCGTAGATATAGGACCCAAACAAAACTCTCGGCGGGACGGCGAGATATTGTAGGGATGCGAAATCTGCGAATTTAATGCTTTCGTCTCCGAAGGACGGCCTCCGGCAGCCCCAGCATAGTTCTATGATCTTGATACTCTCCCGACAAGGTCTCAAAAGCCGTGGAAAGTCTGGCGTATCTCGGCCTAATTCATGAAAAGGGTGGTGGAACTCGAAACGCTTGAGTAACTTTGCATTTCGCAAGAGCTTTTCCAGAATCTTGTCTGAATATTTGTAAACTTCCAGGTGGAGGGACTCTAGATTCTCCAGTGGAAGAGACTCCACAGAACCATTAGCAAAGCGATCGAGTCTCACGTTCTGAAGACGCAGAGATGTAAGACTGGAATAGCGGAATAGTTTCAAAGTATCTAAAGACAAATTAGGAGGGTCTGGGCCTCCGACGACGTAAGATACTATGATCACTATTAGCCCTTATCATTCTTGTGATCATGAGTACAAACGTACGTGTCTTCAGACTGGGCTAGAGCGTCATATGTCCAACCAAAAGCGAAACCATGTGTTGGATATCAGCGAGACCATCACTGGCTCAAGTGAACATCGTCTCTCCATTACGCAAAGTGGCGCTCTCAATGTTGCGCAGGTCAAGGCAGAGTAGTAGTCGAAGGATTCGAACATCAACGTTCCTGACATCCAAGTGATTGATCATGCAAAGAATCCTGGGATCTTTTATCGCGACTCGCAAAAACCTTCTAAAATGTCTATATTTGGAGAATATGATTCTCCTGTAAAACATTGGCTTTGCCATTCCGTTGATGGTCTTGCTTGTCTGCATGAGAGGCTTGATTTGACGAGGCTCGAGTTTGCGTAGAATCATTGAGAATACCTCTTACGGTAGACGATCCAGCCTTCGTTGTCCTTCCATATTTGCTGTGCTTGTCGTGATGGAGAGATTCTGTTGATGAAGGGATGCAACATCCCTTAAGATGCGGAGAAGATGATGAGCCGAGTAAACCTAATCAAGCTCAGCAAATGCTAACCAGGTATAGCCTAGTCAGTGTTCCAGTAGACGATCAACCAATCAAAGCCTCAGGGAGCAAGAAAACTTCTGACCTTTAGACAAGGTGTCAAAAATAACTAATCTAAGGTCTACTAAATCTATACTAAATTTACCTAAATACTTTTGTCATTTAGGATAGAGGTCCTAAGTTTTCTTGCCTACCCTAACAAAGTCCATAAAGTGACAACACCAGGATCGACTGACTTCTAGTTCCCAGTACCATTAACTGCTATTCCTTTACTATACTCGCGTCTAACATACAACAGCTATTCTATAATTGAAATGAGTTGGAGTTGTGTTTAATACCGCGTCACGATAAAGGCTCTTACGGGTTTTTGATGCCAGGTACCTTCTCGTCTATGGACAATCAATGTCATTATCGCACTGATAAATCACTTGATGATTTTGCTGTGCAATTGCGTGATTCACAAAACATGGGACTCAAAAGTGATTCTTTTGATAACATTGCCACTTACCCAAATTCCTGCAGAGACGCAAAGTCATGTACGGAGGATGGCCTTTCGGTGATTATTGATCGGATTGCACTATAAGCTTATTACTATCATTTTTCTGCGTGATTCAGTGATGTATTGTATCTATAAATAAGCATACGTGGAATTGATTGCCAGTCTAGTTACAAAAGAAAACCCGAGTTGTAATACATTGGTCTAAAGCGCATGACGAAACAATCATTTAACCGCCAGAATCGCACACAGTCTTAACATGTGCATCTCCATCATTACACATGTCATGGGCAAATGCGGTCATGAAATCACTCATGAAGTCCAAACTCTCGACTGCGATAATAAGGACAGTGGAAACTGTGCTGTTCTTGAACTAAATCCAACCAGGTCTATAGAGACAGACTGCTTCCCATGTGAAGAGGCGAAGAAGCTGGCGGAGGAGGAGGAGAGAAAGAAGTCTACACGCTTATGACACCGGAAGAGAACTTTGGCCTGGAATACCATGGCACGGATGTAATACGCACACGCCATCCTGTGAGCTTCCTCTTTATGTAGTCCATGAGCTGTGATACAGATACAGGAACCACATATTCTGATTCAGAGAGTCACTCCAAGTATATAATGCTTCCCTGCAGCCTCCTCTTTCTACATTTCAATATCACAAAAGTAAATGTTGCTCATCTACTACACATACAATATATACCAAAGCAGACAACGATAATAATTGCCATCACTTAACTCCAAAACAAAATGTGCATAACTACATCTGTACGAGTATGGGGCACTTGCGGTCACCTAATCCATTTTTACCCGCGAGAAAGTCCTTGTCGTCATAGAGGGACGGAACAATGCTTAATAACACTCAGAGAAGAGGTCGTCACGGTTAATCGACTTTGCGAACCATGCGAGGAGGCGGAACGGAAAAGGAAAAGACGCTTAGGTCTATTGTAGTTGTACTTCATTTCGACACTGCACTCAAGCAGTCTTGAAGGTCTTGAAATAGACTTTCTATGAACACAGTACTTATAAGTTAATTGAAAGCTTATTGCGCAATGTATTTGTCTATGATGCTATGTACTATGGGTGGAAGTTCAAGCAGTAAGATTAAACGTAAGGCCGCTGGGACAAGTAACAGGTCACACGAATAGAGATTCTGTGTGCAAGGCTTCACATCTGGGTGGTTGATGTAAGATATTTGTAATTCACATACTCTATAGTTAAGGCACTGAGTCACCATTGTTCAACCAGTATACAGGCCCGTGTCCATTTATCGCTAAGAGGAATTATAAGCCGCAGAAATCACCACAAGGTAGCTAATACAGATAACAAGAACGTGGTATTATTTTCTTACCTATATATATATTCACGACCTCAGAAATAATACTGCCAGGGAGCGACTCAGAGACTCAAAAGACATATAAATATCGACTCTCCAGCTCGGTTTTCCACAATCTCAAATCTTTCAAACTCTCAATAATCAATTTATCCTTACAGAATCTTACAACTAATCTCAAAAACAAAACCTCAATCCTATCACTCTAAGACTACCACAAAGATGTGCATTACTACAGATGTATACCACTTCGGCTCCTGCCACCACCTTCTGTTCAAGACTGAAGTCAAGAAAGAATGCGTGCACAAGATTAGAGGAGAACCAGGTTGTGTGGAGACAAGGGACCACGTGAGCCTGGAGAGCAGCATATTGTGCGATCCATGCAAGAAGCTAGAGGAGGAACTGAAGAAGAAGGCTGCGGAAGGGAAGTCATAGTGCCAAGTTTTGATCTGCAACTGAGCTGCTTGCAGTATCTTAAATATAGGTAGCATAGCCTATAATAAAATCATTTAACAGCGAGAAACTGTCTTCTATAGCATATCCCGTGCTTGATGCATAGGGACGAATGAAAGGCTGAAAGACAGCCCTGGGCGGCAGTGATGACCTGTCAAGGCGGGGTCGATGTGAACTGGAGGGCAATGATTGATTAAGGTCACTATGGTGCATAAATGCTCGTTATAAGAGCGAAGGCGATCTTAGAGACTGCCCAAGCTAATCGTAATCTCGGCTACCCGCAACTCTGCGTCCCTTAACAAAAACCTGTGCCACATTCCTATCATCACCCGTCATAATATACTTCTCAAACAGCCCCCTCAGCGAGTCTTCCTCCTCTCTCGGGGTCATAGCAGATTGTCGTCCCGTGGTTGTAGTCACCCAAATAGCATCAAACTCCTTACCAACTTCAAAGTTCCCAATCTTGTCTTCAAGACATAAAACCTTTGCCCCACCCATAGTAGCGAGGTAGAAAACTTCCTCTAGTGAAAGAGCCTTGTCTTCGCCCTTGGTCAGAACTTCGCAGGCGTTTGAGGCGATCATAGCTTGTCGAATCACCGCAAGCATCTGAGATGCCCAGCCGCCTCCACTGTCAGTTCCAAGGCCGACTTTGACGCCGCGACGGAGGAAATCGCGGACAGGTGCGACCATAAAACCACCGCCGACTGTCATGTTGGCAATGGGACAGTGGGCAATGCCACATTTCAAAGCTCCAAGACGTTCTTTTTCATAGTCAGTCATGATGGTGCAGTGAGCAAGGATGCTGCGCTTGTTGAGGAGACCGTAGCTCTCATACAAATCGGCCTCGCTTCCTTTGAACTGCGGGAAGAGCTCCTTGGTGAAGTCGATCTCTTGCTGAGCTTCATTGAAGTGTGTTTGCATCGCCAGAGTATCGTCAGCTTTTACCATATCCCCAAGCCCACGAAGAAGCTCGTCCGTACAGCAGATTGCGAATCTTGGTGTTACAACCGGCTTCACCAACCCCTCTTCGCCCCCGCCTTCAGATGACAGGGCACGGATATGAGCAATGCACTCCTTGGTCTCGCGAAGAGAGTCCGATGCGCTTTGCTCACGAAGATAATCAGGTGCGTTTCTGTCCATATTGCATTTGCCGACGAACGCACGCTGGCCTTTCGCGTGGCATATATCCGCCAGAATGCGTGTTGCTTCAGCATGTCGGGAGCCATAGTACGAAGCAGTTGTAATTCCCTGTCGTAGAAAGTCCTGAACAGTATGTTCATACATCCTCTTGGCGTACTCTGGATCAGAGAAGCGCGCTTCGAAGGGAAACGTCACTTGGTCGAGCCAATCGAGGATATGAAGGCCTTGCCCAAGACCCCGCATTGGCCATTGAGGGGCGTGATTATGAGTGTCAACGAAGCCTGGGATGAGAAATTCTCCGTGGAGAAGACTGTATATCTTGCCATCAGGTGGGATTGCATCTTGGGGGACATCGGCGGGGTTCTTCCAAAATCCTGTAATGACGCCGTCGCTGACCATTAGAGTTGCATCGTCAACAAATTCTAGAGTTTGGAGGTCAAGCGAGTGAATGGCTGCGCCGCGGAACACCACGACAGAAGGCATCTCCGCTGGTTTGCCACGAGTCTATGCTTTGTCAATAGAAAGAAAAAGAGAATAGTGCAGGTTGATCTTCATGTGCTTACATCGGAAAGTTCAAATACTGGGGCCAGCTCCGATAAGCGTCCCCTCTGCGTATAGCCATCCAATCACAACGCAGCCGATTATCGGGTCAGATCGGTCGAGTTTGATGGCAGGTCTTCGCGTCACTCTTTATTTTCTCGCATTTGTGATACCCTGAGAAGTCAGCATGGCGCATCGGCCAAGTGACTCAATTGCCCTTCGATCGACACAGCGAGCGCCAAGGAGCTGTTTATCTTGCTCATCTCGCAAAGTCAAATGCGATAAATCCGTTCCATGCTCACGATGCATCAAGCGTGGCCAGGCTGAATCATGTGTCAGGGAAATGGTCGTTATACGCGGCCGGGTGACCACGTCTGTGAATCATCCTGCTCTTGTTTGTGTTGCTGAAGCTGATAAGATAACAGATGGCAGGACAGTTCTGAGACCCTAACGTATCAAGAGCTCAAAGAAGAAAATGACCGTCTACGACGAGAGATTATTGCACTAAAGGCGCAGCAAGACCGCCACCCGATCATTAATTTGACACAGGCTGAGGTATCCGAAAAGTCACTGAACGACGTAGAGTACACCCCAGGTGAGCTTGATGATGACTTGTGGGAAAGCCTTGCCTCGGACTCCAATATCGACAGGTCATCTGTATCAAACTGGGCGGATATCATTCTACCTAATGCGAATATCAGCAATAAACTTATAGAGTTTGACAAGACGTGGAACTCTTGGGTACACTATGCCCTGGAATATCCTCAGTTCAAGGACGAATGCGACAGTTATGTCGGCGGTCTAGAGAAAGGCTTACCACTCGATAAAGCTGACGTTCCATGGCTCGCTGTCTACTTCAGTGTCCTCAGTGTAAGTCATGAAAAACGTGACCGGTTCCGGTAGTACCACTGACTGGTGATGCAGACAGCGCTTTTGATGATGGAAGATGATGAAACTCAAAGCCTGCAACTACCCGGAGGTTTCACCATCGACGAGGTTTCTCGAAATTGGTATCACGCCGCCATATTCTGTCTTCATAAAGCAGACTTTATGCGAGTGCCTAATGTGCACAATGTGCAAGCAGTAGCTGTCCTATGCATGACCTTCAACAACCGGGGGGATTCTGAGATGGGTCATCATCTGCGGGTTTCTGCAATTCGGATCGCGCAAACTCTCCGATTAGGCCAGGATAGTGACGAACGCGAAGGACGGTATCTAAGCATTGAAGCAGAGCGTCGTTTATGGTGGACACTGGTGATCTGCGAATGGTAAGACTCGATATCCTTGATATGACTCGAAGGCTAATCGCCTTTCTCATAATCAGGTTGAACTTGACGCATCAGCCACCAGTCATAGATGAATCCGACTTCGGCGTCCCCTTACCATCGGTTTCGCAACCAGAAGGATATGAGGGACTTGTCGACCCTGTACACTATCATATCTTCATGGCGCGAACATCGCGAGTGATTTACAAATTCCGTATATCACTGAAATATGGCACCAAGTCGCTAGAAAACGTGGTGAACATCGTCAAAACGGCCGACGAAGAATTGGCGAGCATTATTGACACTCTGCCTAGCCATTTACAGCCAGAGAGCGATTCTACCACGAACGCAGAGATACAAGCCCTTGAGACTTCTCAACCCTGGATCAAGTGGCAGCGCTACGACTTGACTCTAGTCCTCTTACATCTACGAATGCACATCAACCGTGTCCTTCAGAAGCAGTGGCTATCTTCTCCAGAAGAATATAATTGGGCACGAACGGTTAGCGTCACGTCTGCAATGAGCCTCGTCTGGATCAACCAAAGCTGGGACCAGCCGGCATCAACCAGAAAGCAGTGGTAAGCAATGATCCTCCTGGAGGTTCGTATCAGAATGCTGAATCAATAGGGCACTCTCTTACCACATTTATTCTTCCGCCATGTTTCTTCTGCGCGAATGCCAAAGTAATAGCTCGAAAGATAATCGAGAGTACCTCGAGGCTATTGAAGCTGGATTGGTCTTGCTCGATGCTGTTGAGTCACATAACCTCCTGGCTCGCCATGCTGCACGAGTCCTACGGAAGAACATGAGCGAAACAGATCTGTGAAGGAATTCAAGGTTGTATGAAAAATATGTTGAGCCAGTCATTCTATTATAGATACTGTTCACTTGTATTCTTGTTCCAAGCATACAAAGTTCAAGGAAGTACCTTAGCATCCTTGAGTGTATCAAATACCTTGCTCAGGCCCGCCCAACTATCCGTATATCTGATTCAATGTCAGCAAGACTCAACCTTTCGGAAACGACTTCAACTTACCCAGTCCAACCAAACTTTCGAGCTTTGCTCATACTTATGACGAGATCATAGTTTCTTCCAAGCACAAACCCGAGGAATCCCCAGGTAGCCTGTTCCAGCGCCTTTTCATCCAAGCCTTCTCGCTGGGAAATCTTTTTCCAAGCTTCCTTGATCTCGGACTGCTGGCTCCATTTGACCAAATCGATTGTCTGCTCCATCTTGCCTGGTTTGGTGATACCTTTAAGCCCTGACTTCTCCTCATACAAACTAATGGGAGGAACGGGGTGCAAATCGCTAGATGAGCTCAATGGATGAGACCGCTTGAATTGAGAGGTATCGACCTTCGTGCCGAATCGTTCTGCGACTTTAGGCCACAGGTTCTGCCAACTCTCAGTATCGCCATTCACGACGTTGAAAGCCTCATTGGCAGTTGAAGACTCGAGAACGACCCATTCGCAGAACTTTGCATGAAGCTCTGCGTTAGTGAAGGAGTCGAATCCAGCGTAGAATCTTTCCGAACCAGGGAAGACAAGGTCTTTGCCAAGCTCTTTGTTGACCGCCACGTAAATGCCAACTGCCGTGGCCAGGTTCATGAAGTTTCCTCGTGCATAGCCAATAACATCGTTAGGATAAGTGACATTCCAGCTGATGCGGCCGCTTGACTTGTCGCAGAACTTCCTCAGGATATCCTGCTGACGATAGTAGAAGTTTGGCGGGAAGGTTGACTGGTCAGTCAGCCAAGGATCAGATTCAAGCATAGGATTCTTGACAGGTCCGAGATGGACACCATATTGCTTCGCACCCGTCACAAGTAAGAATCTCTTGAGTTGCTTATCAATGCCGTTCTTGACAAGTGCATCGAGGAATGCTTGTAGCATATCGCCATTAACATCCCAATTCTTCTGTTCGTCTACCTCCTGGAGGTAAGCAGCAAAGAAGACGTAATCAGCCGTTATACCCTCTAGGTTCTTGGCTACATCATCGGCGTTCCCAGTGAGGTCGATATGTCTGTGTTCAACATTGGAAGGGAACTCTTCTTTCTGGGAGCGTGACAAGGAATAGACTTTGCTCCATTTTTGTGGATTTTGGCCTAGCTGATGAACGATTTCTCGGCCCAGAATGCCTATTGCGATGGTGAGATACGCAGCTATCAAGCTGGGGATACCACGCACCTGTAGCTCCGACAACGATGGCAGTAGTCATGTTCCACTGTTATTTTTGGCTAAGATTAATGTAATTTGTATTTGAAGTTTTATTATGATTGTGAATCAGAAGGGGATGGTTTATCTGTGATGGGCTTATGTGCTGGCGTTCTTCGCGACGGACCGATTGATGATATCAGTCATACATCATTCTCCTCACCATCTACACATTGATGACGTTTTCATTACAAGTACAATGCGACTCTAATTGATATCAATTACGATACATTTCGATCTTATTCGGTTTTACCAAGGGGGTAGCAAGAAAACTTCTGACGCTAAGCCAGGGTGTCAAAATTAACTGGTCTAAAGGCCTACTAAGATATACTACTACACTTACCTAAGTCTTTTCATCACTTAGGACAGAGGTCCTAAGTTTCTTGCCTCCCCTAGGGGGATGACCGAAGATTTACAGTATGTGGAATCCAAAAGCCCTGCGTGCTTCACTACCTAGACCATCCAGGCCCACATATCCGTTGAGTGTCCTCTCGTCCAGATCATTCCCTTGAGCGTAATCGGCAGAAGGTCGTCCTTCCAGAGTAGCCCTCAACTGCTCTCTGACATAGGTCTTGTTCGCAGGTGTTGTCGGGCATGCAGCTATAAAAGCCACGGACGCGTTGTCTTTCCCAAGGTGCTCTGTATCAACCGCATGGCAAACCTTGCGACCTTTTCGTTAGATGACGAGAGTGAAGAGGTGGGGAATTACTTACATCGCAGTGCCACCAGACTGTGTCGCCTGGTTGTACCTCTGGAATATGAATGAGACATTCTTCCAGTCTGAGATGAGGGTGAGATGATCGACTCAGGCGCTGACTCTCCGGCTTCATTGTCCCTGGGAACCAACTGGTGGAGTCGTCAAAGGACCACTTCTCAGCGTCCATGATATCATCAGGGCTCTTTGGTGGACTGAAGAAAGGTCGTAGTAGGAGATACGCGATCACAGTTTTGACATTGGGATAAACCATGATAGTTCCCTCTCTTGGTGCAGTAGGTGTCAACGCAGTCCAGCCTTGGAATGTTCGGAGCACCGTAGAGTGAGCAGGGCCCTTATAAAGCTCCTGGTCCGCATTCTTTCGCATATCAAGGTCATATGCATCATGATCTTCGGGTGAACCAGAGAATATATTCTCGTAGACCTTCCGGTAGGTCGGATCAGCCCAGCGACACAAACTTCCAGCATCAATATGAGGGCCTAGCCCAAGGAATGGTTGACCGGGCGCACGGTCTCGAATACCATCAAGATAAACTAGAGGCTCCGGGGAGGTATCCTCAGTAGAGTACTTCCAAAGCTCGTTCAACCTGCGCTGTAGCTTGAGGTGATTTGGATGAGAACGAAGTATGTTTTGTGTCGGTGAGTTATACAAGACCAGCATCGACGGACTTTCCTTCGGCCATGCTTGAATAGAGCCTTTGTTATCCGCGACATACTGTCTGAGGTCTGAGTAGAGGCTGGTTGCTTCATCTTTAGGAATAGTGTTCCGGCAAACAAACGAGCCGATTTTCTTGATCTCGGCCTGCTGTTCTGCTGAGAAGCCATTTTCTAGGACCCGGACAGTGTCAAAGACGGGAATAACGGTGTTGCCCTTGTCGATAATCTCGTCAGTGATGCTCTCCAGCTCTTTGCAGACTTTTATCCAGCTTCGACGAAGCGCTTCGGCGCCATACTCGCCGATGATCGCTTTCTTGACCTTCAAGAACTCAGGGTCTTTGGACGACGCTGCAGTCTCAAAGGTGTACTCGGGCCACGCGGGCCACTGTCGGATAGGGCCAGGCATTTCGGTAGGTTTCCTGATTGAAAGAGGTTAAAATCTACGGTTCGGTGATATCCTATCCTTTTATCTCTTAGTTCAATATCGGGTCTTTGCCTTTGGCTGGCTTGACTTACGAATAACATACTAGCGGGTGAGCTCGGCCGAGCTCGACCGACTTCGGCTCAGATCGTGGAGCTATTGGTCAGAACTCAATCAAATCGTTATCTCCCCAGGATCTAGATCCGATGCGGGGAGTTGCGGGCCTGATAAGACCGATTCCCTGGGTTCTGTCTTCCCCAGACTTGATAAGCCAATGATAGACTGCATTTGAGTTCCAAGATATAAGATGCACCCCGTAGCCGGCCATGGAGAAGAGCCCAACTCTTGATTTGGTTCATTATTCGGCGTCGATCATCTCAGTCATGGCATTTGAACGAAAACATGTTTCGAGGCTTGTGCCTGCAGATCACAAGATTCTCATGCCTCTCCTTCTGGCAGTGACTATCGTTAATTCGGCTGTACGTATAAATCCACTTCCTTGCAGAACTAGCTAACAAGATACAGACACTGGGTTACGACTCATCCGTCATGAATGGCCTCTTGATTCTCCCGTCATACTCCGAATACTTCCACCTGACAACCGCCACAGAAGGTCTCAACAATGCGGCCAACTGGATGGGCAGCATATTCGGTGCCTTTCTCATGGGTCCTATTCCCGATCACTTCGGCCGTCGACGTGCAATCTACATCGCATCGATCGTAACAACAATAGGCATTATCTTACAAGCTGCAGCTCAAAATATTCCAATGTTCGTGGTTGCGCGTTTCCTTGTTGGCGTTGGATCTGCCATCAGCAATGGAGCAGCACCGACCCTACTCGGTGAACTACTACCTCCCCGCAGACGCGCCCGTGTCCTTGGTCTCTTCTTTTCCTGCTTCTATGTCGGCAGCTTAGCGTCAGCTATTATAAATTACGGGAGCCAGAACATAAAAAGCACGTGGGCCTGGCGATTACCTTCTTTGCTACAGTTTGTTCCCAGCTTATTGGCCGTCATGATTGTTCCCTTCGTCCCAGAATCTCCACGATGGTTGATCTCCAAGGACCGTAACGAAGAAGCCGTTGAAGTTCTTGTTATTATGCAAGGGAAGGACAAGACAGACCTCCAGAAGGGCAGTGAGCAGCTAGAAGAGATCAGGAGCACAATCTTGCGTGAAGCCCAAGAATACCCTCGCAATCCTTGGAGGGAAATTATCTCCAGTGGGCCCAACAGGCGCAGACTGGCTATTCTGTGCACCTTTGGGCCCATGATCAACTTATTCGGAAACTTCATCATATCGTAAGTCAACAAACCTTGACTAATATGAGAGAGGTATCTGATAGCGGCAGTTTCTACCTCACCAAAATCCTCAATCAGGCCGGCATTACCAACACAACTACTCAAACGCAGATCCAGGTCATCATCAACTGCTGGTCATTCGCTGTGGCTGTACTTGGTAGCTTTATGCTGGACATTCTCGGGCGCAGACTACAGACCTTTATTGGTGTTGGCGGCATGGTTGTCACTCTCTTGCTCATCGGTGGTCTTATCAAGCGTAGGTTCCAGTCTGCGTTTAGCCTGATATTGCTTGCTGACCCGACCCTCAAAGGCTTTGGCGAAAGCACCAACAACTCCGCGATATATGGGACCATTGCTGTCATATTTCTCTTCCAGGGCTTTTATGCCTTTTCGATCACGCCAATGACAAGCTTGTATCCAACCGAAGTCTCGCCATTCAAGCTACGTGCTACAGGCATTGCCATCTTCCGCATGCTTGATTCAAGTGCTGGGTATAACAGGCCTATCCCTCATGTTCTAAGCGTTACTAACAACACGATGTAGTCTTCTTGCTTCCTTTGCCATGGCGTACGCAATGGCCGACCTGGGATGGAAATTCTACTTCATCAACGCTTCATGGGACTTCATCTTTCTCATCATTGCTTACTTCACCTTCGTGGAAACCAAGGGTCTGGAACTTGAAGAGATCAACGCGAAATTCGGAGACTCGACAGTGGTGGAGGCTGTGGTGGAAGATTCCGCATCTAATGACATGGGTAGTAAGGATGAGGACTGGACGGTGAAGATGCAGCCCCAGTAACAGTGCAGCAACTATTTGTTCTGCCGGCTACAATTGCTTCTCAGACACATATGGATAACTTGAGCAATGCGTAATTGGTTCTCTAATATCCCCTTTATGCCCTTGTCTCTGAGGGAAAAATTTGACCTGGGCCTCTTGGCATATCCACCGGGATTTGAGTCACTTCCCACCGGGATTCGGTTCTCCTCCCACCGGGATGCAACGCAAGCCCCTCATGAGCATGATGGTGTTATTTACTGACCTTCCCCATATAGATCGGCTCACCTTCTCCGCATATATAGTTCCTGGCATAGGAAAGGCTTCATCTTGCATTCAATCTACATTGGCGCGGTAGACTAAACTAAGCATAATGTCTGAGCTCTGCACCACCTCCGCAGCAAATTGTTCAGCGAGCCAGAGCTTGAAGCATTGGCACGCCACTGTATTTGAGACATGACATCGTATGTTCTCCAAAGTGGATGCTGCATGATAACATTAGCTATTGCTGCGGTTCGGATCGCTTCATGTTGATCACTACCATTAACGCAGCATTGGTGCGCGTATTCTATCCAATTAATCACAAGCAGCTCTTTCGTGTTTCTGATTTATGGAATACAAGCCTCGGAGCAGATCGTCAGTCAAAGCACCGGCTAAATGCCGTCTGGAAGTCCCCCCGGATCTGCAAATGTAACATAAAACTTGTGCTCCAATGAATGTAAGAGCTCAGACCTGAGAAAAAAGGTGATATGGGGTAAGGAATTTCAAGACTCCGAGTTTTATGGATATTGATGTCATGGATATATAAACAGCTGCTGATCCGGCGTAACATCCGCTTCAGCAAGCCAACCGATCAACGAAAACCAGCTTCATCATGGTCATGGTCAAAACCTCAGCCCTTGTTATGGGCCTTGCGTCCCTAGTTCTTCCCGTTCACGGTCAAGCTGTCAACGACGTGGCTGATGCATTCGACTTGACTCAAGTCTCTCTCACTGATAGTCGATGGATGGACAACCAGAACCGAACATTGAACTATCTTCTCTCGGTTGACCCCGATCGTCTTCTCTACGTGTTCCGCAAAAATCACGGTGTCGACACAAAGGGCGCCCAGACAAATGGCGGCTGGGATGCGCCCGACTTTCCCTTCCGAAGCCACGTCCAAGGTCATTTCCTTTCAGCCTGGTCACAGTGCTACGCTTCCGCCGGAGTCAAAGAATGCGGCTCTCGAGCGACATATTTTGTCCAGGAGCTCGCAAAATGTCAAGCCAACAACGCAAAGGCTGGCTTCACCAAAGGGTATCTTTCTGGCTTCCCGGAGTCGGATATTACCAAAGTTGAGGATAGGACTTTGAACAACGGGAACGTTCCCTACTACGCTATCCACAAGACCCTTGCTGGGCTTCTGGACGTTTATCGTCGACTTGGTGATCAGGCTGCTAAAGACACAATGCTGTCACTTGCTAGTTGGGTTGACACACGCACCTCAAAACTGAGCTACAACCAGATGCAGAGCATGCTGCAGACTGAGTTTGGTGGAATGAACGAAGTCCTCGCTGATATCGCTTTTTACACCAAGGATGCAAAGTGGCTCAAGGTCGCTCAGCGCTTTGACCATGCTGTCATCTTTGACCCTCTGCAGCAAAACGTCGACAAGCTCTCTGGCCTGCACGCCAACACCCAACTACCCAAGTGGATCGGTGCTCTGCGAGAATACAAAGTCGGCGGCGATAAGAAGTATCTCGACATTGGTCGCAACGCATGGAACATCGTCGTCAACAAGCATACCTACGCCATTGGTGGAAACAGCCAGGCCGAGCACTTCCGAGCTCCCGATGCGATTGCTGGGTTCCTCACTGACGATACTTGCGAGGCCTGTAACAGCTACAACATGCTGAAGCTGACTCGTGAGCTTTGGGCTTTGAACCCAACTGACGCTTCATACTTTGACTTCTACGAGAAGGCTCTGTTGAACCATCTTCTCGGTCAGCAAAACCCTAGCAGCGATCACGGACATGTGACCTACTTCACGCCTCTTAAGGCAGGTGGCCGTCGCGGAGTTGGTCCTGCTTGGGGTGGCGGTACTTGGAGCACCGACTACAACTCTTTCTGGTGCTGTCAAGGTACGGGGGTCGAGACCAACACTAAACTCATGGACTCCATCTACTTTCACACTTCTGATACGCTCTATGTCAATCTCTTCACTCCTTCGAAACTCAACTGGTCTCAGAAGAAGGTTTCTATTACTCAGACTACTGATTTCCCCGAAAGCGACACATCGACATTTAAAATCTCTGGTGACACTAGTGAATGGACCCTCTCAGTGCGTATCCCATCTTGGGCCTCCAAGGCCTCCATCAAGGTCAACGGCCAAGCCGCCAACGTGGATATTCAGTCCGGCAAGTACGCTCTGATAAAGAGACAGTGGAAGTCCGGAGATACTGTCACGGTTCAACTACCCATGAGCCTGCACACTGTTGCTGCCAACGATGATCAAACTTTGGGCGCTATTGCTTTCGGTCCTGTCATTTTGGCTGGCAATTATGGCCAGTCTACCTTAAACGGCAATCCTACGATAGACCTGGCCAGCATCAAGCGAAAGGGTAGCACTGGTTTGGCATTTGGAGCTACTTCTGGTGGTAAGGCTGTTGAATTGGGTCCTTTCTATGATGCACAGGGATTCAACTACGCTGTTTACTGGAAGCTGAGCGGTAAGCTTTCTGGTTGAGTGTTTTGGTTGTGGTTCCTGGGGCTATTGTGACTTGGTGGTTGTTGATGAGGGAGGGGGGTGAGGCGTAAGGGGAAGTGGTTGAGAACTGAGTTTTCTTTGCATTATAGTTCACTGTATATAAAGCAAGCTTGCATCATTCAATTTGGGCCTGTATACTGAGAAGATGACCTGAGAACGTTGAGTGTGTCTTCATTACAGCAATTGAAGACTCAGAGATAGTTATCATTTCTTTATCTGCTCCAATAATGTGTGATATTGGAGAACTTGAGAACGAATGCTATCTTAAATGGGGTTGCCTGATTGTTAAGAGCACGCAATTCGTCCTTCAAATCGGTTATACCGTTAATCCGGTCGCCCCGTAGGAATAGAGTTCTGTGTCTTCGATTTGTATCGAAGGATAGGTATGAGGGTGATGTAGGATTCTCAACAGCTAGATGTGTTGTTGTTTTAGTATATTTAGGGTCATAAAAATTCTGTTAACCCTTCCATCAGGGCTTATGTGTGCTCAGCGCGGTGTTGCAAGCGCGCATCTTTTACTGCGCTATGGGCTCCCATAAACTATACTCTGACTCTATACTAGTGCTGACCTTACTGCATCTTTTAGGTTCAACGGGCCGCTCGGCAGTCGAACTGAAGCTGATTTGATGACGTGACCTGCATACTAGCCTGGAACAGCAAGTAGCGAATAGCGAGCATATACCTTACTCCGAGCTGCCCCCTTCGGTGTCTGACTTTCTTCTCACCTGAGCCCCCTTGCAAGCGACTACAGAAGCTGAAGGATTTTATTCTGGGAGTTGTAATAAACTAAACCTTATTTCACGCGATGAGGAACGGAGTTGAGAGTTTTTAATAGTACTTAGGTATCTTCAACCCTATCTACCTTCTCCTCCATAATGCAAGTGCTCTTCCTAAGCCAGTTCGCTCGTATTCCTGGACAATGGTTGAAGTATCCTCAAATGAAATTGCCTCCCTTCCCATCGAAAGCTGTTCTCTAGTTGTTATAACAATATATAATCATCGGTCATGTCTCGAAAGCCGGTGGCCTTTACCAAGCATCAACCTAAGAGGGATTTCCTTCACTTTCAGTCGTAGAGCTTCACTCGGAAGACGTTGATAAAGTTTGGACTTTCTCGCTGCTCCAACTTCGTCTGTATCTCCCTGATGCATGGGAGTACCAGTATTCAACGTCATCGTATCTCTTGACCTTAGGCTTCTTCTCAGCTGCCAAAGTCGTTAGAAACTCAAGCTGTAACACAGAAGATTTGGGTATAATTAGTCGCAACCAGCAGTCATTGTATCCTGAACATCATAATATCTTGCTAGTTGAATCGTACTGTGGGCCGAGATACGCAAGCTTCGTCTAAGAAACAAAATAATTAATTAGTGTGCTTATTCAGGAACGATGACCTACATTGAAGCACGACTCTGTGAGGCGATAGCTAAGAGTTGTCGGGGATAGAGGCTTTGGTGAATTCCATAGAGCAGGACCTAGCGAGTGTGCGATAGAAGGCTGCGGTAAATAGGACAGTTGAGAGTAGAATTCCGGGTCTTGCATTGTTGGATATGCGATCTGAGGCGTGCCGCTGAGCTGGCTGTACTCTGGCGAGGAACGTGCTACGAACATATCGTGTTGATCCGAAGGTAAGGGGACGTCAATAGGTAAGGCCTGTGACCCTGACGGACTTGCCGAATCTCGTGAATCTCGTCGTCCATCCGAGTCGTTGTCCCCGTAACTAGGCGATTTCCCTTCATGTCGCTCACTCGAATTCCTCTCCTCGGGCTCTCCCGCTTCATTCGCCAAGCCAAGAACCTGTGTAATAACATCCTGCACATCGGCCGCCAAGGCGGGATATTGTTTCAACACTTCCTCTTGCAGCATTTTATCCGCAAAGCCCACAATCACCGTACTCATTCTCTCAACTACCCCCTCGAGTCGCTTAAGTCGCTGCACCCGCGCCGCTTCAGCAGCCTGTCTTCGTTTCCGAAACTGTTGCTGTGCTTCTCTATTTCGTTCCCGTCGGCTCTGTCCGTGTTAGTCTCGGGCAAGTTGACATAAACGCATCCAAATTACCTTGCTTGCATCAGTACCCATTGGACCAAGATAATTGGGACTTTTTGACTGAGGCATTGTTTTGTTGTCGGTTACGTAAATCGAGATGCAAATATTATAGAATTACTCCGAAATTTGTTCAAGTTCGGGACGACTGATAAGTGCGATATGTATGATTATGAGCTACCACAGAAACATAAGTAGACTCACAGCCCAGGAAAGAAGAAGCCCATATTGCGTGGCGGAGTCGGCAGACAGGATGACCCCAATAATTCCGATACACCCAGCTTATCCCAGCGAAGGACCCATGCAATGATGATCTGACTTGCCAAGTCAGCAGCTTTAACGTTAAGATGATGACACAGGAGCGTATATTTCACCCAAGTCGGTTAGTGGCCATCTTATTTCAAACTTACATCTAGAACTCACAATTCCGAGATCCGTTTACATGACTCCATCCTTCTGCATTTTAAGTTCTGCCTCATTATCGGCTGTTGCCGATTTGGGCAAATCTGCCAAGCTGGCTGACTGTACCCATGCAAGTTTGTTGGCTAGTTAGATTGATGGTAAGCCGCGATTCGCGAGACATCAAGGGCGAATAGCGAGACACAATACTTGTCAGGAAATTGAGTTTGTTCTCCGCCTTTTTCGTAGGGAGAAATTGTGCTGCCTACTTTATTCCACTTAGAGCTCCGGATTTTACCCCATTTTTGTAATTTCTTATTGCCGATGGAGTGCGGCACATAGAATCTGACCATGTGTGCTAGGGTTTCGACAGTCTAGAACCTCTACAACCAATGGCATTGGTAGAGCTACGCGGCAAGCTTGGTACCCGCCTATTCTGCCATCATGGCGATGGCGACGTAAGCTTTCGGACATAAATGGTCTGTCTTGATTCGACAGAGATGAATGCATACGCAATACGACGAGCTAAGGCGCTTAGGCAGCCTCTTAAAACAGCTTAAAACCGGTTTGGCTAATGAACTCACCGCTGCAAAATAAAACTATCGATGATGGCTATGTCAGAGCATCGGCCGCCTTCATGGCTTTTCTGATTAACCCCGGTACAGCCAATGTTGACTCCACAGCGTAGTCCAGATCTGGTGTTGCTTGACGACAGTTAAAAGCTTCAATGCTTCGGCTATAAGGCTAGGCTGCAGATCGCAGTTGTTACTCTTCTAAAAATAACGTGGTCACCTGGTACGGCTTTTACAATCTGACATCATTGCCTAAAGATGCTCTAATTCAGTCTTGATATGGTAAGTCTGTGCTTGTAACCGAAATCACTTTACGTACACAGCATCCAGAACCGTCTGAAATCCCTTCTCGACCTCCTGCCTTCGCACATTTCCCTTTGTAGCTGTTCTCGGAAGGGTCCCCTGAGGAACGACAACTATGTACCGCGTATCATCGACTCGCTCATGTGTATACCTTCGCTTATGAAATGGAGTGATCCTTTTCAGAATATCCTCCTTCAACTTCTGCATCGAATGCCCATTATCAGCACCGTTAGCGCTTAGTAGAGACTTGTCCTTTGGCTCAACAATTATAGTAGGACATGGGCGCCCGACACCGACGACAACCACTGCGCTGACAAGATCATTGCCACAAGTCTCCATGACGTTAGCTTCGATGGACATGGTATCGCATCGCAGGGAAGCTTCCATCTTGATCCAGTTGTCGTTACGTCCTCTGAAAAGATACTTGCCAGGCTTGACCTCAACGAATAAGTCCCCTGAATGAAACTTGCCATCGGCAGCTCTAAAGCTAGGCACTGGACAGTTGGGCGCATCTGGTGGCACTACTAGCTCAAGTAATTGCTCACCAGACGCCAGCGTATCTCCGATAGGGATGAACTCGTTTTTGGCAGTAGGGGTAGATTCAAGGTAATCGTCGTTCTTCCTGGCATCTGTCATCATAGCAAGGCCCATTTCCGTGGAACCAAAGACATTAAACATAGGAATTTCGTTCTTCCGAGCCCACTCCAAATCTGTAGCATCGAGACTCAGGCCGCCAGTACCTGCATTGTCGATCTTTTTGAGAGAGGCTAGAAGGGATGGATCTTTGCGTGCTTCACTGAACAGGGCAGATAGAGAAGGCGGGAACATGCATACACATGTCAGGCCATGCTCATCAAGCATTGTGCGGACTTCAGAGACTGGGGCAGGAAGTGTGCTGGGGATGATAATGCATGAGCCCTCTTTCGCGGCGATCCAGCTGAGGGCAGATCCAGCCAGGTGGCAGAAGCTTCCGCTGGAGATGCATCAGTACGCTATCGTTCAGGGGCCCTTTAGTTGAACTTACATGTGGGTACTAACCATCCTCTCCCTCTTTTTGTTCGACCTTTGCTCATAGAATGTTGACATATCCAAGGTGTAGTTCATCCAGCGCGCAGTAATAGGTACTAACTTTGGTATACCTGAAATTGAGCCAGATGTGTGATAGATGAAGAGCTCATCATCGGCATTACTAGGATGCCAAGGGGTTGCTGGTAGTTGCGCTGCGTCCGTCTCGGATTGGATGTCACCAGCAGGGAATGTCGGCAGAGGACTGTCCTTCAGCAGAGAAGTGTTGTCTGGTTCATGTAACAGAGCTACACAATTGGACTTCAGCAGGAGCTCATAGATGACAGTAGGATCCGTCATGCGCAGTGATAAGAGCTGAGGGATGTATCCTGCCCAGTTGAGGCCCTGTATATGGACGTTGTCAGAGTAGGCATAACCCCTCAACCTAAATAAACAATCAGTTAAGCATCCAGTTTCATAATCACTTCAACTTACCAGACACCAACAACAGCCCTGTCTTGAACGCCTAGGGTAGAAAGCTGATCCTTCCAATACTTTGCCGCCTGTTTGACGTCCTTCTCAAACTGAGCAAAGGAAACATCTTTGAACTTTGTGCCCTCGGGCGATTGCTCTGGGATCTTGAATAGTGCTAGATCTGGGTGCCTCTTGACGCTTGCTTGAAGCTCAGAAGCCGGAGTCTTGAAAGTGCTCATGATTGTCGATGGTTGGTTGTCTTGTTGTTCATATTAACGCCCCAACTACTATAGATACCAACTGTCCTTTTATAGTCAACTACTCTATCGACTGCCGCTCTTTATGCCCCCGGATAGATCGGTACGGCCCGTATAGGTCTCCTCGCCATTAATCTTCCTAAGCGGGAACAAGATCATCGAAACTGTGCACCCGCATATCCGGGTATGCATCAAAGGTGCCAAGGCTCCAGTGATATTCGTGGAAAAGTTCCAGAATGGGACGAGCAGCCATCTCTGAAACAGCCGGAAAACCACGCGCATACCCATAAATTAGCTGCCGAAAGTATATTCAAGGGCTCTAACTCCTCCTATAGGATGCTGATATTTAGCGCTTGATGCGGTGTGGTTTTCGCATAATTAACAGATCCGGTTACGGTGACCCTTTTTCGTTTTCCATTACGTATTTCAAATACGATGGTGATGGTTCACGACGTCTCCATGCCTTGCCGTGTAACCGAGAGAGTGATCGGGTAATAAAATATTTTCCGGGTTGATCATCTGTACTTATTGACTCAAGAAATGTTACAGCTTGAGTCAGTATGTCAGACCAGATGGGACTGAATCCTCGAATAGTCATAAGTCCTTAGTAGTAGTAGTGCTCCACCAACGCGACCGACCTAAGAATAACATGGGAACAATAAAGATACCTCCATGGAAAATGGATAAATTAATTCCTTTCCGCGGGTAGAGTTTCAACCTCCATTGTGATTACTGATGACTCTGGTTAATTACCTTCCTAAATAGAATGTTGATGTCGACGCGTTGTGATGACGAATTCAAGGATGCTCACGTGGCAACGCGTTAGCCTGCCCGTTTCACTTTAATGATCGTCTCCTCTTCACCGAGTCATCATCAACAAAAAACCCTATCAAGATGGACAAGCACTCTTTTAACCCGCCTGAATGGGCCGAGCCGCGCCGCAAAACAAGCTTTAACAAATGGAAACTCTTCGGCGCAGGTGTCCTGACCGTCGCCGCATTCCATTGGCTCGCGCCTCACTGCTCTCCTCCTCATCATCATCATCATCATCACCAGCACCATCATGATCACGCGACTTATCCGGGCGAGAACATCGAATGGAAGCCCTGCGGAGAGATCAGCAATCGCTCTGTAGAGTGCAGCAAGATTGACGTACCGATTGATCAGTTTCATCCTGACGTTAGCAACAAAACATTCAATGTACCCATTATTCGCATGCGGGGCAAAGATGGAAGCCCAAACCTCCTCCTCAATCCCGGTGGTCCCGGCGGCAGTGGCTTCGAGTTTCTCCACAGAAGGGGAGAGCAGTTGGGTACCATCGTTGGCGACGGTTTTCATCTTGTCTCGTTTGATCCCCGCGGCATTAACTCGTCTTCACCGCGGGCTTCATGCTATCCTAGCAAAGAGGCGCGTCAACAGCTTGGATCAGTGCACGATATCGATATCGTCAAGGATGGCGCTGAGATTTATGCCTGGACACATAATTATGTGAGAGCCTGTGAGGATACTATGGGTGAGCATGGAAAGTACATCAATACTCCTCAGACAGCTGCCGATATGAACAGTATTCTTGATGCTCTTGGTCAGAAGGATATGTACTATTGGGGATTCAGCTATGGAACTCTTCTCGGCCAGACTTACGCGACTCTGTTCCCCGAACGGTCTCACAGGGTCATCATTGATGGAGTTGTCAACCAATTCCTCTGGTATCAAGCTCGTTTCGATATGGAGGACCTCACTGATACAGAGAATGTCATGGATGGTCTTCTCAAAGAGTGCATCAAGTCCGGCGACGCATGCCCTCTTTCATCCATGGCAGACTCCTGGGAAGGCCTCAAGGACAAGTTCCTCTCTTTCGTTGGAGAACTCAAGGAACAGCCGATGAACGTCTACGTCAACAACAGCGTCTACGGCCTTCTAGACTACCAGAAGATCTGGTATGGTGCACTATTCCCAGTTCTATACAAGCCTCAGTTCTGGGGCACTTTTGCCGAGCGCATGGAGCAGCTTATGGGCGGTAACGCGACTGAGGCATTGATGGCTTATGGTCTGGACGATGTTGAAGACAGCGATGCTCTTTACACAGTTTCGATGAACGACGGTCTGTCGGGTCCTCTCCACTGGCCACAGGATCTGGGCTCCCTGCTCGATATTGTCATGCCAACCTTTAACCGCAGCGTTTTCGCTCCCGATGATCTCGTTTACCTCTTCGCCAAGCAACAATGGCGCATCCCCAAGACACACAATTACGCCCCACGGAACGGCGTTGAGACAGCACACCCTCTTCTGATCCTCACTACAACTTACGATCCAGTCTGCCCGCTCGTCTCCGCCAGATCGGCAGAGGCTGCATTCAAAGACTCAAAGCTCATTGAGGTCAAGGGATACGGCCATTGCTCTGTCGCAGTTCCGTCGCTGTGCCTTGCCAAGCATGTCCGGGGCTTCCTTTACAATGGAACTCTGCCAGCTAACGATACTCAATGTGAGGTTGATGGTCCTTACTTCAAGCCCAATGGCACGGCGAGCGTCATGACCTTTGACGATCCGGAGGATCAGGCGATTCATTTTGCACAGATGGAGTTGGCGCGTGATCCCGAGTGGCCACGTCGCGTATAAATCCATTTCATTAGCAAGTTATCATAGTTCAATAGTTAATGCTGTAGTAGCTTTAGGGCTATACAGGCCATTATTAAACTCTTCGACCAATTTCTCAATTGCTATGACGTAGTGGATTTACAATTTCGGCTGCGTCTGTGCATCTAGAGTATTACCATCGACCTAGGGTAGGTTAACGCCGAAATTAAATCGATATTTTAGCAATGCTGTCAGAGTCCCTCGCGGTTATAAAATAAATTTGCAAACGCTCGGCTTAACGGCTAATTAATTTAAAGTCACGAGTTCAATGAGCTTTTGTTCTCTAAGATAGTTTGTGACTTTAAGAGTGAACTTTGTGTCAAGACAACCCTGAAATAGCAAGGTTGAGAGCCAAGGGATTGATTAACTCTGGGTTTCACCTCGATTAAATTCGTAGAAAGGCCCTATCAAAACACTCACAAACACAGGATTCTGATTAGTTCATTACACCTCAGTTCTCTCAGGTGATTCCTCGTGCAACTGAGCACTTCTCTACCGCCAAACCAAAGCGAGAAATTGGGTTCGGACGTATGGCATAGCCTTGAACCATGGAATTCATGAATTCATGAAACTGGTCGCGTGGCCCAATGGCAAGGCGTCTGACTACGAATCAGAAGATTCTGGGTTCGATCCCCAGCGTGATCATTTTTTTCTCCTCCTATCCTCTGGCAGCAGAGTGCTGAATGAGTTTTTGCAATTCCACAAAACAGATTGATCTATTTGAGGCGCAACGTTCACTGATCTTTGTCCCTCATCAAACGGACGTAATTGAGTCTTGGCAAGACTTAAACTCGCCTCATCTTGCTCAAATAGGTATCTCGTGTTAGAAATAGGGCTCGACAGATGAAACGTCCCTAGCTGCTTTAAACTTTCCTGTCACGTACCTTATTTTAGTCCACGACGGCCCGTCTCCTACGTCAACTGCCAATCTGCGTTCATCGTATAGCCATCCTCCATGGAATCAAGGTTCAGAGGTGCAGCAATAACAGACTCGGGGGAAAACCTTATATGCATGTCGCAACATGGGACCTCTGCTGACATGGAGGCTTTATAAAGGCAGATTACAGGCTGGGCCGAGAGAAACCGATCAGTAAAGAGATGGAAGCTATGTCTAAAGCAAGTAGATACTCGCAGCACTATGGCAAGATCATTGGTTTCCCCAAACAGCTTTTTTTATTGTTTTACTACTTTTTTTCATCTTTTAATATATTTTATCCTCCTTGTCCACTAGCATCCCCGCGACATTGTACTCTTAAAGGCACCATAGCTCTTCTCTGGGTTCTTGTGACAAGGCCTTAGACATACTGGAAAACGCAGTTGCCGAAAGAGTTGACGTTCTGGTCAGGAGGGCAGCCAATGCAAGAGTTGGTCCAGACGTTGCCGCTCTTGACACCGTCACTGCCGGATTGACACTTATACGTGCGGGTGCAAACCCCAGCCATGTTGGGTCCTGGGTTGGCGAAGGTTGCCTCTGCGTTTGGGCAGATAAGAATGCCATTCTTGAGGTTCTGACGAGGAGTCAGGCCTGGGAAAGCGGTGGCGGCGCCGAAGAGGGTAATGAAGATGGTTGAAGTAATGAATTGCATGGTAAAGCTATACTAAGTGTTAGAAACTGCAGGCAAGGAAGATGATTGTAGAGCTCTTACTCTTGGTGAGGGTAAGTTGTAATGAATGCTTGAATGGTTGTTTTAAGTGTATGAAGAGATTGTGAAGTGCCTTGGTTGCTTGTTGTTCGTTTTAAGGAGGCTATTCAGTGCAGCCTGCTGCGTATATATAGTAGTTCCTATCCTTTATCCAGAAGAATGAGATGCCGGGTCTTATACCGAGGAATACAGGATATCTGATACTTGCTTCGCCACGCAGTGAAGCCAGCGATCGGCAGGTAGTCATGCCAGGATCCTCTACCTCTTACTTCCAAACACTGACACCCTCAAGAGCTCGAGCAGCATGATTCTAAGTGCATCCTAGTTCGAGTGAAAGTCTGAAGCTTGGTCCATAACGGAGATGCTTCCAACGCAACCCAGTCATCATGTTGGTTGATGGCAACAACACTTTGTTTTTGGTGCTGGCGTTCTATGTATCCTTTCTTTCCTATTAAACAAATCTATATCCAGCTACTCTTACTCTGCCATCCTGTCTTGATCAGCACCGCTATATTCTGATTCTCAGGTACGTCTATGTAGTAGCCTGCCACATCTTGATAGTGAATATGAGTGAGTCCTGTCTGCACATTTCAGTCATGTACTTCCGGATCGACCGGTAGTGATCGCCCTTCTTTAGTGGACTTCTCGTATTTGTCTCCATAGATCGTCTCATCATACCCTCACAACGAACAAGCTTAATTAAGATTAGAGTTCACCACATGAAACGCTGGGGTTCAGCATATCTTGCATGGCTGTCACCTTTCCCCGTTCGTGAAGAATTTATTAAGCTAGTTAAACTTCTTTTTAGAAATATCTCGTATAAGCTGAAGGTTAATGTTTCTAGCATTAGACAGATACATACTTACGGCAAAGATTGCCATTCGGCTAAGGTCGGCTCTGCCACTTCATTGAATAGTAAGTTGACTATGCGATAATAGTTGATTCTAAGTTGATCACCACAAAGTTTGATCTGCTCCTTCCATTTTCAGATGGATGATACGTCATCCTCTTGACATTGATGCCAAGTATCAGACAATGATTTTCTTTATCCATTCTAATAGTTGAGGTTCTGCGACTGCCGAATGTGTTGCCGTCCCACGTATCCTTCGAGAAGCTTGTTTAGAAAGTTTTGTTCGAAGTTTGAAGGGGTTGTACCTTCCTGATTCAGCTATATGTCTCAAGATAAACTCAGCTTTTAATATGATGATCGACTGACTTATCATTGCCGTCTATTGGAATCACAACACCGCTCGTCTGAAAGATCGCGAGGGGTTGTATCAATGCCGAAATGCTGCAAAAGCCACTCAGAAATGCCGAAGAGCGATTGCCCAGCTATACGATGGAGGGAACCATCAAGCTGATTGCCAGACGCTTAAGAGAACTGGGTGAGTTTTGACGAGGCGTTTACGGCGACGAGGACATAGTCCTTGAAAGAGCTGACAATTGACTGTGAGTTGCTGTTGAAATGAGTATAAGAAGAGCCCATCTGCCCATCAACTAATATTATTCTCTCATCACCATTCCCTATTGCATCAGACTTGTTATACTCAATCAACATTCACACAACTTGACTATCAAAATGCTTGTCACCAAGATCATCTTCTGGGCCTTTGCCACTGCAACCGCCACTGCTCTCCTCACTGTCAAGGATGTAGCCACCAAGTTCGGTATCTCAGAGACCGACATCAAAGAGATACTCTCTGCCTCTGACGTCTCCTCCATCAACGTCGACAAATGGGCAGACTTCCTTGACGTCAGCCTCAAAGACATCAAGTCCTGGCCCCAGTCTGACAAAGTCGCTGCTCTAAAGGGCGTCAAGAAGAACCTCAAGACTTACATGGAGTCCGACGCCAGAGTTGAAAAGCGTCAGGATAACCGCCAGAAGCTGCAACAGGAGATTGATGCCAAGATTGCTCAATATCGCTCCGAGCATGAGGCTGATCATCGACGTCGCCTGGCTGGTTGCCCTAGTGTTCGCTGCGGTGTCTGTGGTGCAGGCTTGACTGTTGCCTATGTTGCTGCTCTTACTGCGTGCGGAGCTGCCGCTGCTACTGCGGAGGCTATTTCCGCTGGCACTCTGACTCCTGCGGCTGTTGTTTCTCTTGGAGCTTGTGTCTCGGCTGCCCATGCTACATATGTCGGTGGCTGGACCTTCTGTCTCGGCATGAAGGATTAGAAAACTGCTTGACGAACAGTGTCGGCTGCAGGCCAGCTGCTGCTGTTCAACTCAACAACGGCATTGGCATTTGGATCTCTATATTGTCATAACTTCAGCAGTGGAGGTTTCAGGCTTTATACGTCGCTGTTGGATACGTAGGATTCTTGTTGATGGGTGATGGTAAATGAAGTGTTTGGAGACTTTTTGTTTGTCTTTCTCTACAGTCGCTACTGTTGGTATGCTTGAGTGTGCAGTATCTGCATCATACAGTCTCTACCGTACTATCAATATTGAAAAGGCCATCTACTTGCAACTTCCGCTTTTGCACTTCAACCTATCTATTTGTCAGCCCTTAGAAAAGGGAAGATATAGTACTTACTTAACGGTGCCAGTTTTAGACGCCGGGGAAAAGAGTACTAGTACCAATGCCGTTCTTCCCTATCAGACGGCCGTCTGTGTAAACCATAGCAGCTCCAGTATACTTACGCAGCTACGTTAATAGCACTGTAATTGACGGGACTACTTTTGGACCCCGGGAGGAAGCATACATCATACTTACGATCCTATCAGACCGTCGTCTGTATAGCTCCAGCATGCTTACGTAGCTACGGAGTAGGGTAGCAGCACTCTACTTGGCGGGGCTACTATTGGATGCCGAAAAGCATCTCGGATTACCGGCATCTCCAACATGGATGATCCCCCACAAGTTCGGTTTAGACCTAGCCATATGTGGTGCACTTGCCTGTAATTCCCCGCAAACCTAGAGTCTGGGGAAAACCTTTAAATAAATCCTGCCAAGCCCATTCTATTGCTGCCACATGCATAACGCCAAGCTTGACAAGCCTCTGTAGCCCTATTTCGATCAAACAGTTCAATATGGATTTCAAGGCCGAGCACGAGGAGATGGACCACACCGATGAGAACGTTGAGCACAGCGCACGTCTCACAAGAAGAGTTTTGTTCAAGACAGACACACGGTAAATTTATCGATTCGTCATCCGTAACATCGCATATGACTAACGGAACAACTTAACTAGAGTCCTCCCATCCCTGGCACTTTTATTTCTGTGCTCCTTTCTCGACAGGACCAATGTCGGCAACGCCAAGATCATCGGTATGGAAAAGGACCTGGGCCTCACCAACTTGCAATACTCGCAGGGCCTGGCCGTCTTCTACGCCACCTACGTCTTCAGCGAGCTACCCAGCAATCTGGTTCTCAAGAAGGTATCGCCCAGGATCTGGCTGCCCACTCTGACAGTGGTCTGGGGAATCATCACAATGTGCCTTGGCTTTGTGCGCAGCTTCGCCAGCTTTGCAGCTGTACGAGCCATGCTAGGTATCGCAGAAGGCGGGTTACTGCCCGGAATGGTTCTTTATCTTTCAAGCATATACACCCGCGGTGAACTCGCGTTGCGAATTGGAATCTTCTACACGGCGGCATCGCTTTCCGGAGCTTTTGGAGGTGAGTTCCTTCCAGCAGGCGAGCCATATCTTTTTTTATCTGACAATGAAAAAAAGGCCTGCTTGCTCGTGGACTCGCTGCGATCGGTCCCCGAGGAGACCTTGAAGGTTGGCGATGGATCCTGATCATTGAGGGACTGATGGTAGGGTTTGGCTGTTACCATGACCAGGGCTCTTGCTAAATATTCCTGCAGACAGTCGCCGCTGGGTCGATCGTGTTTTTCACTCTGCCAAACAATTTAACGACAGCGCGATATTTCACCCCGGAGGAGAGAGAATGGGCCGTGAAGCGTCTGGAACGAGACCGCGGCACAACGTAAGTTCTCTTATGCCATCTTAATAACCAGTCGAGTTGACGAATCTCGATAGCATGGCATCGGAGCTGGATGAGAGATTCAGCTGGGGCGAAGTGCGTCGCGGAGTCTTGAATGTGCAAGTCTGGCTCACGTCTACAGCGTACTTTGCAATTTTGTCTGGCCTTTACTCATTCGGTCTTTTCGTATGTATGATTGGCCCTATCTGGCCGTTCACCACTGAATTATATAGCTTCCGACCATTGTCAACGATCTTCATATTGCGTCAAGCCCCAACCAGGCTCAGTTGTGGAGTGTAATTCCATACGCTGTTGCTACCCCAGTCACCGGTGAGCGAAGCACATCCATTCTCCCATAGTCCCCTACTAAATTGCGTCCGCCTTCAGTTCTCGTCGCGTTCGTGTCCGATCGATCAAAAGTCCGCGGTCTCATTATACTTGTCGTTTTGCCAATTGCCATAATTGGCTACGCGGTTATCGCAAACGTGAAGGCAGCCGACACTCGGTTCGCGATGACGTGTTTGATGGCCGTAGGCATGTACGCTTCTGTCCCATGTATCTTGGTTTGGAACTCCAACAATTCGGCCGGTCATTATAAAAGGGCCACAACTTCTGCTTTGCAGCTGGCTGTCGCAAACTGTGGTGGATTTGTTGCCAGTAAGTCTGCCCGCTCCTATGGGTGCTAGAAGTACATCGTGTATGTTATGAACTCTAACCTCTGCCTATTATAGGCTTCGTATATCCCCAGAAAGACGGTCCGTTATACCACAGAGGACACAGAGTAATCTTAGGGTTGCTGTGCTATGCGTGGGTGGCGTAAGTGTATCCCAGACCTGACTGCTGCATGTGCACCAGAAATTTGAGAAATGTCTAACTCAGTGGCTTCCTAGTGTCTTGCTCAATGTACTTTGGTGTGTAAAGATCAATCGGGATAAGAAGAACGGGAAACACAGCCAGTATACTGGCTATGGAGACGATCGAGACCCAGAGTTCAAACTGGTTATCTAGGTGGACGTAGCTGAGTTTGAGATTTACCAATGATGGGAGAAATTCAAGACTTGCTAATCCAAGATCTCTGAGTGACTTGTGGCGTGATTTCGGAGATCCAAGATCCGTTGAACTGAGTGCAAGTTTGTTGTACGGCCATCCATACCTGGTGTTAAAGGAATGCCTCGTAGTACCCTTGAGGTAGCATAGGGAAGCTGGTTAGTGGTTTGATCTGACTGATGTTGCAACGACGATATTCGCAAATAGGATTCTCTATAGGCACGGCGTATCTATACTTTAGACTTGTAACAATGAATCACCTGGGGCTGACAATACACACTCAAACCCCGTCGACCCCACTCTCCACCAACACCACTCTCCTTATGACCAGCCAGATGGGCTTGAGGCAGAGGCTTCTCAAAGCTGTTGATCCAAATAGTACCGGCCTCAATGCGATCTGCTAACCGTTGGGCATGGTCAACGTCCTTTGACCAAACGGCTCCTCCCAGACCTGATAGCGTGTTGTTGGCTCGCTTGATAACTTCGTCTTCAGTCTTCCACTTCATGAGTGGCACAATAGGTCCTATCCAAACATTTAGTTACCAAAAGCAATATGATTGCACTTGGGTATCTTACCAAAGGCTTCATGTGTAACAACGAGGGCGTCATCAGGGGGGTTGTCGATAATCGCAGGCTTGATGACGAAGTTATCCCCACTATCATCTGGCTTCGAACCAAGTGCAAAGCAGTGCCCATTCTCAATAGAGTCTTGGAAGAAGCCTTTCACAATGTTATACTGCATCTCATTCTGAATCGGGCCAAGCATGATATCAGACTCAAGGGTCGAAGTCGGCGCGACCTTCCATTCCTTGACCGTGTTGACCATCACCTCCAAGAACTCGTCGTAGATATCCTCATGGACGAAAACGCGTTTGCTAGCAACGCAAAGCTGACCTGAGTTCATGAAGGATCCAAGCGCCACTTGCGGGGCCACGATCTTCGGATCAATATCTGGACAGACAATACTCGCGCTGTTGCCTCCAAGCTCCAGAGTGACGGGCTTCAGAAGATTCCCAGCCACCTGGGCGATCTTCTTTCCCGTGGCAGTCGAGCCGGTAAAGGTGATCTTATCAACTCCGGGATGTTGGCAAAGTGCAGGCCCTAACTTGTCATCACCGTTGAGAGCTTGGAGAACACCAGCTGGGAATACACCCTGGAGAAGCTCAACAACCTTCAAGATGGAGTAAGGCGTGAAAGGCGAAGGCTTCACGATGATTGTGTTTCCAGTTATCAGGGCTGCGGCGACTTTGGCGATGGAGAGGACCAGGGGATAATTCCAGGGACAGATAGCTGCTATGACACCCAACGGTTTCTCTCGGATTGTTAATCGCAATTCGTCGTCATCCTGAATCACTTGCTCTTGAAGCGGCTCCTGATTCGCTGCGCTTTCTTAGTCCGCTTTCCTGGAAGTGAAGATCTGACTTACCGTTGAACTGTAAGAAGTTGATTGAATGCTCAACCTCAAGAGTGGCAAATTGAATCTGCGATAGTCAGAACAGCTGGGATCGTTTCATGAAACGTGCCACTCACTGGCTTCCCCCCTTCCTTTGTGATCAACCGCGCCAACGCGGGCTTGTGATAAATCAAGACATCCCGTGCATCCAGCAGGGCATTCTGTCGGTCTGACCACGACGTCTTGGACCACTGTGTGAAGGCAGTTTTGGCCGAAGAAACTGCATTCTCGATGTCTTCAGATGATGCAACTGGAACATCCCAGAGATTTTGTCTTGTCGATGGATCTGTTCCCTGCGTCACCTTTCCAGTGACGGAAGTTCCGTTTACAGTATTGACAAATGAAGTGAACTCGTCCATTTCGACTTTTGAATGCTGATTGTCACAATGAGATATGGTGAGCAAATGCGATGGTACTTTTTTTTTACTTACATACACCGAAGCCTGTACTAAATAACGAGATACCAGCCTTGATTCCAAACTTCGTTCGAGTACCGGATGAAAGTTCGGCAGCTGGAGCGGGACTTCAAAATGCGGAGATCATTCTCGAAGAAGTCAAGTCGGAGGGGAAGATCTCTTCCCCAAGATCCCCGACCGAGGCTACTAATGGGATCCCACATGAACTATGATGGTTGTAGCTTAGTTGGAAGATAAGAACCGTGTTTAGGTCATCAGATAAGAATGAAACTTGCTTGCATGAGGTCTGCTATTGAGCAATGTTAAACACTGGCGTGCCTTATTTGCTGGACGCGCAACTCCCCCCGCTGCGAAATCAGGTTACAGTATGTTGTGAAAGAATAGGCCCACCTGAGCCTCTCCCTATTGATGACCTCTCTATGGCGAAGTTGGTGTGTCTTGCTGGCAGTTCATGATTTATAAACACTCCGGGTGGGATAAGTCTAAAGTTTATAGTCAATCGGTGGGGATGCGGGGCGAGATTTGCGGGGTATACGTACCGAAGGGAGACCTGGTTAACCATGCCGACCTGCAGTGCGATGAAACCATTTACTCAAGTTCTATAATTTCAGCTCTATCTCCATAGGTATGAGACCTTTACATGGCAAGTCCCATCCTGTACTGTATAGTCTTACTTGGAAGGCAAATGGATCTTCGTTAGTCAGCATCCCCCTAGAGATGCCTTTGTAAGGCTATAGAATTTGCCTACAGCCTGATTGTGCTATCATCTCTGAGTGGTGCCAGATAAGCCACAAATATGAACAGGCTGCAGAACGAGTGCGTAAGCGTGAGATTGCCGCCTAGAATTTCCTTCTGGGTACCTTAAGCCATGAAGTTGACAAGTCTTTTGCCCGTTCATTCCCTTTGACTCTGACCATCTACATGGTCCCACATACCAACATTAGAGATTCGTTGTAGCAGTATTCGCGCAGCCAGAGCCAACACGACGTCCAACCCAATGTCGCAGCAAGTCGAGAATAGATCATTTATAGATGACCTGGATTCTTTCATCGAGATGGCCCGGGAGGTCATCGAGGTAGCACCAGCAGATGATCTCGATCGAATCATCTGGCTGCACGAGCTTGGGAATACTTTACGTCGTCGCTTCACCGAAACTGGCATGCTCGCTGATCTAGAGGAGGCGATCAAGGTGGGGCAAGAAGCAATCGATTCTGCCCCAGATAACTATATTCATCGAGGTGCTCTCCTGGACAGCCTGGGTGTTCGGCTGGCGATTCGATTTGCCAAAACTGGATCTCTGTCCGATCTCGAACGCGCTATTCGAGTGACACGGCAAGCAATCGATACGGCGCCAGGCTCAGATGAGGATAGAGCCATGCGGTTAACGCACTTGGCAAATCACCTAGGAGAGCGCTACGAGCGAACGGGATCTTCCATCGATCTTGAAGAGGCGATAGAAGTGGCCCAGTCATCCGTTGATATGACCTCACTGGATAGCCCGAACAGACCTGGAAGGCTCAATACACTGGCGAACCAACTGCATGAACGTTACGGAAGAAGCGGGATTCTCAGCGAGCTCAACAAAGTTATTGAAATCTGTCGCGAAATCACCAAAGCTGCTCCAAAGGACTCTGGCGCTCAAGTTCTCTTAAAGTCCAATCTGGGAGGTCATCTCGGAGATCGGTACCTTAGAACACGCGACATGAAGGACCTCAATGAAGCCATTCAGCTCTCACAAGAGGCATTGACCCAGCTGCCGCTAGGTCATGCGGACATTCCCAGCCTTTCGAGTAACCTATCCATCTGGCTTGCGAAGCGGTATACACGAAATCGAGAACCAACAGATGTCGAGGAGGCTATCAACATGGGACACCGATCTATCGCCGCTGCTCAACCAGGAAATCCCAGCCTGGCTCAGTACATGAGTAACCTTGCAGACTGTTACTGGAATCGCCATACCTTGAGTAATTGCACGGATGACTTTGACGATGCCGTAAAACTTTACCAGTCTGCCCTAAACCACTCCAACTCTAATATCCACTCAAGAATCGCAGCCGGGAAATGTCTCTTTGAAACGTTTGCGCATGCTTCTCAATGGCAACATGCTCTTGATGCTTCGCAATCAACCTTCGACCTGTTGCCACAATTAACGCCCCGGTCCCTCGGTTTCGCCGATAAGCAGCGTATGCTTGGTCGCGTGGTAGATCTTGCGTGCGATACCGCAGCCGTGGTACTCAACGCTGGCAAAGAACCATTTTTTGCGCTAAGTGTACTCGAGAAAGGTCGTGGAGTACTGGCTGCAGCAATTGAACAGATTCGTGTGGATGTTCTCGATCTTGAAGAGAGCCACCCCGATCTCGCTCGACGATTCCTGGAACTCAGAGAGGTGCTCGATGCGCCCATTCAAGGTGGTGATTCGGCCTCATCTCAGGCTATCGCAAACCGCCGAGGCGAGGCAAGTGTCGAAATAGACAACCTCGTTGCTGAGATTCGGAATCAACCGGAGTTCAGCAGCTTCCTGGAATCACCAAGCGAGGAGGACATTCGAGCTGCAGCCAGTTTAGGACCTGTTGTGATTATCAACCTAAGCAAGTTTCGGTGCGATGCTATTCTTGTCGAACAACGTCAAATTAGGTCACTACCCTTGCCCGATCTGACTAATGACAAGATGGACGAGAAAGAGAGCCAGGGTTCTTTAAGGAGTCCTTCTATGCTGAAGTGGCTTTGGGATGTAGCTGCCAAACCTATCCTCCTTGCACTAGGTATTGGAGTTCCTCCAGTAGACGATGACTGGCCTCACGTCTGGTGGATTCCAACTGGCAGACTGGGTAGACTCCCATTCCACGCCTTCGGAAATCATTTTCCAGGTTCAACCGAGACGGTGCTAGATAGAGTTATCTCATCGTATAGTTCATCCATACAAGCCCTGATTAACGGCCGAAAGCATCGCTCAAACTCCGCTCAAGATAAAGCCGTCTTGGTAGCAATGGAAGATACTGTTGGACAGATCAAGCTTCCCTTCGTCAAAGAAGAGGTCTCAACTATCGTCAACCTCTGTAAGTCAATGAACCTTGAGTCTTGCGTTCCAAACCAACACAAGGAAGCGGTCTTGGAAGAGCTTCAAAACTGCAGAATCTTCCATTTTGCTGGCCATGGTAAAACGGATGGCAACCCTTCTCAAAGCGGATTGCTTCTCACCGATGGCATATTGACGGTATCTGAACTTATGGATATCAATCTTCGCAAGCATGTTCCATTTTTGGCATATCTTTCTGCTTGTGGTACAGGTCAGGTTGGAGGAAATGCTTTCATCGATGAGAGCATTCACCTGATCAGCGCATGTCAGCTAGCGGGATTTCGGCATGTGGTCGGTACACTCTGGGAAGTCAGTGATAAGTCATGTGTCGAAGTATCAAGAAATATCTACGAGTCTATAAGAGATGGAGGGTTCTCAGACAGATCTGTTTGCTGGGGTCTGCACAAAGCTATGAGGCAACTCCGAGATGAGTGGTTAAGTACACCGGAGCAACGCCTGGATCAGATGGGTTGCGGCGATAGAGAAGGGATATGGTCAAGAGACATTGTTTCTTGTGACGAGGATGACGAAAAGATCGAGAAACTTGTCTGGGTCCCCTTTGTCCATTTTGGAGGATAAGGTACAGCCACGGAGGGGTACGGTGTAGTTTTAAAGGGACAATAGCACTGCTTACATATCCTGTTAACTACCATGATATTAGTGTGGTATGAAGGTCAGTCCCACTTGGCCTTCTCGCTAAAGTTACAAAACTCCCATTTGAGTTCGTTGCAAATTTGTAGGTAAGCCATTATCACCAATATATACAAACATATTCATTGAACGATGCCTCCGTCACCTTGAATGGCTCACCAGGCTTTGTGTACTCGAAGAGCTTAACGGCTTCATTCATAGCTCGTCGCATTATGTCACATCATTGGGGTTATCCTACATGTTGTGAGACAGCACAGCACAGTGTCAATGCCTTCAGTGAGTGGCCTGGTTTATCTTGCTGCAGGCTGCAGCCCCCAGCACGGATTTTGCTCACTCTGCTTTTGTTGCTCTGTGTTGCACAATGGCTTTATGGGCTATCCTTCATGCAGAGGACTACTGTAGCTTTGCAGGTTTACTGTGGCTAGGCGACCCCTCCAATATTGGTCACTAGCTGCGGAACAGGGAAGTCAACACTGGCATCCAATGCAATGGCTGCTGTAGTCGTATCACACCACCAACACCGAGATAGAAAGAATCACCCGTCACCCAGGTTTGATCTTGCCCACCTTCCCACGGTCGGTACCTGGGCACCTTGGCTAGTGCCGCTCGGTGTGGGCAAAGACCTGCCGTCTCAAATTCAGACACTGGAGTATTCCCCAACAAACTCGAGGCCGACAAACAATAACATTCTCTACCGCTCGGGATCTCGGGCTGAAGCTCTCGAAATAATGACGCCGTCGCGCATTGAGCCTCGCGGTGACCCAACCCATCGGTTGGCTATCGAAGACTTCTTCAATCGCCTCTCTGACTAGGACAAGTTATATGCTCGTCACCTTTCACAAGCTGCATGGTATGGCGCTCGCGTCATCATGCGACAGGTACCCGAGTCTAACGACATCTTTGACTTTGTTCTTGAACTTAGAATCGTGCGCTGGAGATTGGGAAAGCTACGTCAATGATCATCACTTGACTCGTCACGAGCTGGCCGCGTTTCTCGACTTTTGCGGCCTCTTCCTCACTAACATTGGTAACTATTACGTGAGTCTCGATTGTTAACGCCAGGTGTGGCCAATCAAACCCTATCTATAAAGGCTGATGGCGGTGAAAAGATTATGCCCGATATTTCTCACCAAGCATGCCGTAAACTCGCCGCAATCTCTGAAGAGGCCACGAATCTGCTCGAAAAAGTCATCGCGCCCATGCTATCACTCTCCCCGGCCGTATTAGGTTATCCAGGAGATAACGCCGAAGCGAATTATTATCTCGGACCCAACAACATCGCCAGAGATAAGATTGCGCTCGTTGGTAAGGTGCTGGAGGCGCATTCTATCGAGCCGGAAAACACCAGAATCGCCAAATCGCAAGATAGCGACAAGTCTATTTTGGAGGTCACGATAGCTTCCCCCACTGGTGGAATTATTGAAGAATGCAGTTGCTTCGCTGATCACGGCACTGTAATCCGTCTCGTCGGAGGTGATCATTCACGCGAGATGTCCAAGGTCAGCGATGGTTGACAGACATCACGGTACATGATCTTGCGTTGAACCATTATTTGATCGTAGTGGAAATCTTGCTGACCTCTTGTTCATAGTCTACTACAACACTTACTTTCATGTAATTTATGGACTTCAAGCACTTGAACACTACAACGCTGATGAAAGAGCCTGGGGTGAAGCTGCCTACAGAAGTGTAAGTCAATCCTGTTCAGTTCACCTGCGCGGTTTTCGTGCGAACCATCCGGGCAGAGCCAATGGGCCATCTTGAAGCATCTTCTCTTGAAGGGTGGAGGCAATGTTTCCATCATACACTACACAGAGGCTCAGAGTATTCTCGTCAAAGTCGACCGCGAGAAGCTTCATACTCATGGGCAGCCAGCTCTTGGTGATGTCTTATGTCGAATCCAGATTTGGCGTTGCATTGGAGACTTGAAATTTTGATCTGAGTTCTACCAAGCCCTTCTTGAGTTTAGCAATGAGGAAGACCAGAGGAGAAAGGTTGTCTGCTCGAAACCCTAGCTACGGTGTAAAGTCGTCCAGCCCAATACCGTTCTGGTTGGGACAACGCTGAGCTAAAAGAGTATGATGAGAGCAACGAGGGTATTATCCAATCGTGGGCAGAGAGGCAAGTTCAGATATGTATCGCAAGCAGACGTTACGACTTTTAACTTTCCCTTGAGTTTAACATTATTTGCAGGCTGCACCATCGCAAACTGTCGCTCAAGAAAATAGTATAAACATAGTAAAACAAACCAAAGCTGCGTCTGGTTTTCAACCAACTCAATCCTTTCCTGCAGCATTGTAGTACAGCCTAGCAATGCTAACAAGCAGTTGAAAGAAACCGAGGACGATATTAGCTCACCCGACCCAGATCACTGCCCAGAAGGCATACTATTGAAGCGGAATTCTTCTGTCACGCCAGATGTATGTTATGCAGATATTTCGGTCTTTTGATAAACATTTCTAATAGTGGATAAGATCAAAGACAGGTATCCCATCTCATTTGATCTCCCAAATTTTACCTGGGTCTACAACCAGCCCTTGATTTACTACCTGCATCTACAACTAAGACTCTGATTTTGTCACTGTTGTGCTTTCACTTCGAGTATGAGGCTCAAGAGGAAATGTCTGCAACTCAGGCGTCACACCACCATAGACTCGCTCCCATCTCGAGGCGAGCGCAGCAGGTGTTTCCCATGCATATTCAGGATCACGAAGCCATAGTCGAAGCAAATGTCTCCTATACGTGGTGCTTCCATCAACTTCTGATCTCGCTTTGGCATGTATACGATATGGGGGGCAACTCACTGCTTATCCTTGGTATCCGTGAAACCATCGCGGGCGTGAAAAATGGCAACGTTGTTAACATATTGCATGTCGCCCTTCTCAAAGTTGGTCGATACGCTGAAACGCTCACCCAAGAAGTGCAGGGTATCGAGAGCCTCGGCCTGGGCCTCCGTGATAGGTGGTAAATGGTTGCCACGGGGTATCTCTCCGAAGCCAACATAGTAGCGGCGTCCGTACTGAAGAAGAATTCTATCAGGGGTCTTCCCATCGGCACTGGCAGGCAGGTGGTGGAGTAAGGGACGGCTCATGAACTTGTCGGTATCGTTGACAGTCTTTGTAAAGCTATATGGCCGGTGATTAGTAACTGACTTCGTATCATCAATTGGGAAATCGGGGACTTTGAACTTACAGCTCTGCATCCCAGCGTCCAGTCAGAGTGTGAATGAGGTCTGGTCGCGTGGCGGCAATATGGTTATACACGCGCCATGTACTAGCCAAGCGGCTAGCGCCTCCCTCGGCGGCCGTGGATAGGGCAAAGAGAGAAACAATATCGCCCGAGTCAGTATGGAAGACCTGCTTATCAGCGGTGTAGGCAGGCGTTCCAATCTTGATCTTGGTCTTATCCCTAGACTCGCCGAGGCCAGAGCGAACGTCCTTGATATGTCCGATGACGACATCGGCGCGCTCTCCCTGAAAGTAAGCATCCTGGCGGCCACGTATGGAGCCTATATGGGAGGAGACTCCGGCGTATATGATGATGTTCTCTTCACGGGTGTAGCGGTCAACATCTAGGCCTCTGAGGACGAAGAAGCCATGGCCGAAGTGTAGTTCACGAGACAGGCGGCGTAGCTCGTCGTGCAGCGTTGGGAGAGGGAAAGTCTCCTGTGAGATATACCCCTTGGAAATGTTGAGGGCTAGTTTTCGCCACCGTATCAGCCAATGTGTAAGAACTAGTATATCGAAAAGAAACTAACATTTGAAGTGGGTGAGGGCCTTGTCAATCTCTTCGAGTTGAGCAGTCGATAGAACGTACGTCCAGTCGTACTTCTGGGCAATAGTCTCTCCATCCCAAACTAGGTCTCCCTTGAGCTCTTTAGGGAAGCCCTCTGGGAGGGTCTTGGCGAGCTCCTCTGTCTGGGTCCGGCGAGCTACACGCGCTTGATATTTGTTCCAATCAGGGTGGTAGGAGATATCCGGTTGACCAGGTGGGGGCAAAGCAGCAGGCGTGATGCCAAAGGTTGGGGCTGACGAAGGAGGGAGGGCAGAGATAGTAGCTGTAGTGGCCATGGTAGCTTGAGTGATGATGCTTGAACGTGGTTTCGTTGCTAGTATGAATTAAATTGTCTATTCGCTTGGTTACAGATTTTGTACTAAGTGATCATATTGCTTGTTTTATAATAACTGTATCTATTTCCGGTGGTAGAGATCGACAAGAGACGGGCTTGTAATCACGCCATTCGACAGATGATGGCGTGGCATTGTCCACAAATCCATCAATAAGTGAGGGATAGTGGAAGTAATTAAATCACTCGTTTCCAAAAGACATTTCACTTCGTGATTAATGGATAATAACGGTTATTATGGTTGGAGTTCCATAAAAACGACGTCTATACTGTAGGTTAACTCCTCGAACTGTATCACGACAATGCCAGGTTGTAAGCACGTCATACATTGGATCAACACTTATTGGACAAAAAATTCCCGCGGGAGTTATTATTAACTCCTCGATAAATGAAGCCTGTAATATTACTCACAGATACCCGCGGGAGTGAAGGGAGGTCCCATCAGCCAACATATCTCGGTGAATTACTTATATTACGGATGACGCAACTAACTTCACTCATCACGTATGCGTCTGACTTTTGAGTTTTGCACCAAAGGAACAAATGCGAAACTTTAAACTTAACCTTAACGGGTTTAAAATGGCTGTATGAGGCTGTTTTCTACGAAAACTTATCCAGCTCGGACCCTAGCTGTGATGTTATACATCGATCATACCGGGGCCACAATGGACGAGCTCTTGGCGACCAGGGAGAGCCTGAACAATAAAATGTTCTCAATTCTCGTTCTCACCGAGTCAGCTTTCCCACATCACACGTATTCATATCCTATTAGCTCAGTATGGGACTGCCTTTCAGTCCGAAGTCGCAGGCTACTAGCCAGGCCGTTCCAGAGCACTCGCAGCCAGACTCCGAAGCCTCTATCATTCGCGACGGTGATCTCGCCTATGTGCATCAAACAGCCGGCAATGGCGCCTCAGGATATCAAGAAGCTGTCGGCGCACCGGTCGAGACACGCTCGCCACTGGGATACCACGTCAACTGGCTGACCATCATCTTTCTCAACCTCAATCATATGGTCGGCACTGGCATCTTCTCCACGCCCGCTACTATCCTACGCCTCACAGGCTCAGTCGGCCTGGCTCTCGTCTACTGGGTCATCGGATTCCTACTAGCTGTCGCTGGACTCGCCGTCCACATGGAGTTCACCAGCTACTTTCCTAACCGTAGCGGCTCAGAAGTCGTATGGCTTGAGCAAGGCTTCCCTCGGCCTAAGCACCTTTTCCCTGTCGCCTTCGCTGTCCAGTCCGTCCTGCTATCTTTCAGTAGCAGCAATGCAATTGTCCTCTCCAACTATCTCTGGCGTATTGTCGGCCGTGATCCGGATCCCTGGGAGCTCAAGGGCGTTGCTATTGCAGCATACACGGTAGCTGTCATTACTGTTATCGCCCATAACAGGTATTCGCTGTGGGCCATCAATATCATCGGGGCACTGAAGTTGCTTTTACTTCTGTTTATTTCCATCTCGGGCCTTGTCATACTTGGAGGCCATTTTGGCAGGATTGAGAACCCGGGTATCAACTTTCGCCATGGTTTTCAAGGCACAACCTCAAGCGGTTACAGCTTGTCTCAGGCAATGGTCAACATTACATTTGCCTTCTCTGGCTGGCAGAACGCTTTCAGCATGGCCAATGAGATCAAGAACCCAATACCCACCCTGAAAAAGAACGCCACTGCTTCCCTGCTCATTGTCTTCTCTCTCTACTTTCTCTGCAACATTGCCTACTTTGCCGCAGTCCCTAAGGATATCTTTCTGGATTCGAAAGAGCTGGCTGCTGCTGTCTTCTTCCGTACAGCCTTTGGATCTTCCGCCGAGTCTGCTTTGAACTTTTGTGTCCTTCTGAGCTCCTTCGGTAATCTCCTGGCCGTTCTTATCAGTCAGTCCCGTCAGATTCGCGAGATTGCTCGCCAAGGTGTCCTGCCGTGGACAGAGTTCTGGGTCTCAACTAAGCCTTTCGGGACTCCAATCGGCCCATATCTACTCAAATGGGGCTTCACCTTTCTTATGATTGTCGCGCCCCCGGCAGGTGACGCCTTTCAGTTCGTCGTCTCTCTCAAGACGTACCCGGACGCCATATTCCATGCCGCCATGGGTATTGGTCTTCTACTGATCCGCCGTCGTCGATCTCGCTCGGGTACTCCTAGATCCGACTTCCGAGCATGGTGGGCGCTTGTTATCCTATACCTCTTGGCTCAGGTCTTCCTACTCGTCATGCCCTGGATTCCCCCAGAGGGTGGAATTTATGCTGGAACAGTTAGCTTGTAAGTACTGTCTCCAGATCTAATTACGAGAACATACTGACAACAAACCGCAGCTTATGGTGTACCTACATGATTGTCGGAATTGGAATCATGGCTATCTGCGGTATTTACTACTACCTCTGGATGAAGGTCCTCCCTCGCTGGGGCAACTACAGTATTCGATCCCAAGTTATTTCTGTCGACGACAACGGCGCCAATACGCATCGTCTCTTACGGGTGCCTAATTCCAAGGTGGCTGAGTGGGATGCTACTCATGATGATCTCGGTCGCGATTTACCCCCCCAGGAGGTAATTATTAGCTCGGAAAAGTAGCATTAGTAGATATCAAAACGAGAATACCTTGAGACCGCTGCCAAGGACCTTAGTCCATTCACAGTTCTTGCTCATAACTCACATCATTGCCCTTCAACACGAACTATACGGTTGGATGTGCATTGAGGCCCACTTCTCCCAGGCAGCCAAGCACCTGTCAATGAAGACAGAACCAACAGACCAATGAAATGTAAATTTTGGGTGACCAAGAACGAGGAGGCCACATGTCTTCGGGATGTCTCCTCTTTAACATCTCTCACACAACGCATGACTTGAGCCATAATATCAATACCTTTCTCCCAAAGCCTCTTTAACCCGCTGGAGGAAACATGTCTTTGCCACCTCCTCCTCCACCGCCGTCTTTTCGGGCCCCAGCGACCGACACTGGCGCCCGCCAAACTCCATCGGCGTCGGTTGTTTCTGAGAACGGTCCAGCTGGAGGCCTATTGCTTGAGTTGATCAAGCACAATGGAGCGCCATTTAACGACCACTGGGCCTACTTCGTCCAATCAACCTCGAATTCTTGTGTTGGTATCGTCTATGAAGCTATCGGCGACGTACGCAGCGGATTTCAACTCCAGGTCCGAAGGAATCATAATCTGACTTCTGATCCACCTTCGACTCGGATTCCACTGCAGTGGATTGACAGAAAATTCATGAACGAAGAGTCGATGCTTAATGGAGAAGATTTTATGCCTGTTTGCATCTTTGAGGAAAGCCTACATAAGGTCAAAGTGCCCGGGAAGACATTAAATAACACGAGCGAAAGTGTATGTATTGAACCCCAGGTCGTGGTTATCAGAAGGCCCAGAGCGGGGAGTGATTCACCAATAGATTAACTGTTGATAGGAAGCTCCCAAGAAGAGAATCGTACAAAGGAACTGTCAAACATGGATCGTCGAGTCGGCGGATCAACTAGTCGCGGACGGTATTCTCTCTCCAGATGCCGCTTCATACCTTTATGTAGCGAAGCAAGTCTAACGAGCCGTCAAGGTGCTGTATTTGATGAGCTGAAGTTTCCAACGTTTTCTGTCAGGGTTGTCATCAATAAGCCAAGCATGGTGCCATGGAGAATAGTTAACACTGGACACGGAGTCTTGATTATTCAGAAGAGCTTTAATTCTAGACCAATTCGTCGATCCTTTTGCTACAAGTGGTTATCACCCATTTAGATATGCTGGGGGCTGACGTGTGACTCTCCTTCTCCAACTGACCAAGCTATTGGAATGACTACGTGATAATATTTTGTAAGATTGGGCATTCCTCCTCACATACGTGTACTCTGGCAAAGCAGGTAAGATATATGACGTTGCTCTTCGTAGTGAATCCCTAAGGAGTCCGTTCCACTCGCCCGACGGAGTTGAGAAGGCGATGATAGTTAGCGTGCGCCAGGTCTGACCACCAGTGAGTATAGAGAGAGACGAAGCAATTGCTCTGGTCTACGGTCGAATGTTAGGCCAATGCCTAAATGAATTTGCCTAAACAAGCACTTACTTGGCAAAGATCACTGTCTTAATATATATAGGCGACAAACCCACGGGCCTGACACAGGTTCAAGTTTGTTAATCCTTCTGTCACGAGCTAGTATCATGTCCAGATATCACGAACACAAACTTTTTCTCTGGATCGAGGGGTACTTTCCAAAGCGCATTGCCTATTACCTTCTCTCCAAGGGTCTTTGCTCTTCTGTGGAACAGCTATATGATGGAAAGACCAACGAAGCCAATCTGAAGATCGTGCGCATTACTTTTACTGGTAATGGCTTCGTGTCTGAGGACCCCGATGAGCCGTTGCCATCTGGCACCAAAGTACCCGCACTTCGACTTGACGATACTGACAGCGGCAAATCGATCTGGATCTACGAGACGTGGAGCATCATCAACTATATCGAAGAAGTTTTCGATAGCAACAAATATCGACAAATTTGGGCTACGAATCCCATCGACAGAGCCATCACCCAAGACATCCTCGGCTACATCGCCCTCGCCACAGACTCAGGACGAATCTGGCTAATCAACTGCGCTCCATACATGGCTGCCTTCTGGAACATCCCCGATTCGGAGGTCAGCCTCGCAGTCGGTCGTCGCGCTCGACGTGATTTTGAAGGGCATTTCAAAACCCTGCAAAATGTAGCTGCTAACAATGTCACCAAAATGGGCTGGCTTACGCCTGCGGCTGACGGAGGTCCGGGCATGGCTGACGTGATGCTCGCTGCGACGGTGAGACATACGGAGTTAAGCTGGAGTGAGTTTATTCTGGAGGATGAGGAGCTTGGTAGGTTGAGGGAGTGGTATGAGAAGTTTAAGACGGTGGGGTTTTGGTATGAGCTGGAAGAGACGGGGCGGTTCCCTAAGAATGCGAAACGGGGTGAGGGCTCTATTCAGAAGTAGTTAAGACATGGCCGATGGCGACTTACAAATTGAAACAGCTGTTCATTTATCTCTTTGTACATGGCGATGTCTTCTAAAACTCTTCATCGCGTATTGTTCACCCGAACCGCCCTTGTTAACGTGCCAAAGCTCACTAAACGTATCAGGATCCGGCATTGATCCATGACATCCGCTATCTTTCAAGGACCCTCGGGCCCCGAGCGAATGACACCCGGCAACAAGGTTTCAGGGTCCACTGTGCGTACTAATGCCAGAGCCTAACGGCAGTTAAGGGAGATTATATATGTCCTTCACCACCAATGTAACGGCCTGTGACTGGCGCGATCCGTACCTTCCGGCTTTCGAAGAAACGCGCTAGCTCTTGAGACTGTAGCTGCCGTCGTGATTTAAAGACCTGCCTTGCCCAGGACCCTCCTGAAGCTTGGAAACCGCTCAGGTCTCAACAGCACCCACAGCATCATCAATCACCATGACGAGAACAACGCTAACTCACATCCCCCTCGCCTATCGCGTCCTCTTCCTTTGGTTTGAACCTCTCGCCGCATTCGCCGGCTCCTTTGTAATCTGGTTTTCCCCCGAAATGTTCCTCAACACAATGACCTCGACCGCCAAATTCGCTCCCGACAACCGCGTAATTTACAATCAAGTCGCAGCGACCTACACGCTCTTCGCCTACAACGAAGCGATACTTCTCCGCGCCACCAATGACCTTCGTGTTTGGAGAGCCGTGTTAATTGGAATTCTGATCTGTGATGCGCTGCATCTGTATGCGAGCTGGCTTGCGATTCCAGACGTGTTTTGGAACCCTGCAGCGTGGAGGTGGGAGGATTGGGTCAATTTGGGGAGTTTGTGGGGACAAGGCGCTGTGAGGATTGCGTTTTTGATGGGGGTTGGTTTGGAGGGGAATACTCGTGTCAAGGCCGACTGAGAGTAATGATGAGGCTGAATGGGATGGATGGAGAGTGCGGCACAGTCGTCGGCATTGCAATCTTGGCGATCTGGCCAGAAGCTTGGCAACCGACACCCTTGTAGGAGCAGTACGGTCGGCAAATGGAACTGACAGGCAGTTGTTACGGCTGAGCTGAGAGTTCAGCGCGCCAATACCGCTTCAAGCAGATACATTTCTAGCCATTCAACCCGCCATAGCAGTTACTGTATCAATGAATTCAGCATCAAATTATTTAACTCCACTCATTACTATTGCATCGGAATATCGCAGTAATTGCATCTCCTTGTGGGGATAAGTCGAATGGGATGCAGAGATAAAGACTAATGAATCAATTATCGGCATTGCAATTTCGGTAGACATCATGATCCCGCCAGCATTAGCTTCTCGGCACAGTCAGCAACTCAAAGGCCAAGGCAGGCATCAATGCTTACGCTTGAGATCAGCGCCTAACCATGACACCTCTAGCAATGCCATACACTGCAACTGTATCATCAAGAACAATAAAACATGGATCTTTTCAACTCGCCAAATTTCAATCGCCATGTCGAGACATTGATGCAAAAGAACCGTGTTCCTGGCCTCTCAATTGCAATCGTCCAGGGTGACCATGTCAGATCCGCAGGCTATGGCTTCACCTCAATTGAGGCTCAAGAATCATGCACTCCAGACACGCTGTTCGACATCGCATCTTCATCCAAATCGCTCACCGCAGCGGCGATTGCTCTCTTAGTTGAAGATGTCAACTTCCCAGAAGTCCGCTTTGACTCAATTATGTCTGAACTGCTTCCTGACGACTTTGTCATGTCAGAGGATCTGCACACGAAAACAGTCTCGGTGGACGACCTCTTGGGGCACCATACTGGCATGCCTGGGTAAGGCTCACTTGCGCAATACAAACTTGACTAACGGCAACATAGCCACGATGATTCATACATGGGAATACGCGCTGCTGAACCTGATGATGCGCCATCAATTACACGAAATCTGCGAAACCTCGCTGTCGCTGCACCACCTCGAACACGATACATCTACTGCAACATGATGTACACTGTCTTGACACATCTTATAGAAGCCAAGACCGGACAAAGGTTCAACAAATTCCTACAAGAGCGCATTTTTGATCCTCTTGGCATGACATCTAGCAGTCTGCAGCCCGAAGGCGCCAAAGCCAAAGGCCACGACCAGCGTCTCGCAAAAGGGCATGTCTGGGACAAGAAGTCCACCTCTTACCGCGAGTTTGATGCTGTGAATTGTCCAGAAGGCCAAGGCGCAGGGTCGGTAATCTCGAGCGCCAACGATTTCATCAAGTTTCTCAAAGCGTTGATCGATCACGACGAGCCGATAAGTGAGGATGTATACCAAGGAATGACTCGACCGCGGTCTGAACGAGGTGCCAACCATCGTCAACGAAAGGCCGGCATTGATCGCATTTTCTACGCCGCGGGTATGGATCTATACTGGCAAAACGAACAAGAAGTCTTTGGGCATAGCGGTGATATCACAGGCTTTGGTAGTCGCTTTGTGTTCCTGCCAGAGCTCAAGTTTGGAGCTGTTGTGATGGGTAATTCCTCGGGAACCAATTCAGTAGCTGCACAGCTGTTTCGTGAGTTCATCGAAGAGGTCGCCAAGTCTAATCTGGAACACCAGCCATTGAGTATGAGGCCGCTAGAAGTGCGTGAGAAGCCCAAGTCAGACTCGCAGAATCACCCGTGTGGAGTGGCCAAGACGAACGGTGGGAAGGGAAAGGACCAGAAAACAGATGCTCCAACGATGAGTGGAGTTAATGCTACCTTGCAGAGGAATATTACTCTTGAAGCATATACCGGCGACTATTGGAACCCAGGATATCGCAACATGAAGGTGGAGATCAGAGACAACGGGTTATTCATCGACGCGAAAGATCGCTCAATGGGATTCACGGCGAGACTCAAGCACAGGCGAGATCAAACGGTATATGATGCACATGTGCGAGACGCATTTGAGACTGGCGACGAAGTCCTGAGGACCGAGTGTGTAATCGAGGATGGCAGAGTGATCAGGATGGGGATGGATCTCGAGCCGCTTGTTGGGGACTTGATATGGTTCAGCAAAGTCGACAATGAGCAATAGCACCGAAGTGTTGATGTTGATTCTAACGTTGTTAAGACTCCGGTATAGCATAAAAGACAGCACAGTGTATCTCTAACAACCTAACAGGAAGAGCGTCGAGATCCGAAGTTGAAACCGCGTATTGCCATGCGTTGTCGTCATCGCTTACAACTTCTCCAAACTTTAAGACCCAGTAACTCGAAATGGTGCCAACGGCTTCCATTTCTTGTTTTGTTAGCTTCAAATCCCAAGCCAACCCCGCAGTCTACAATGCCGATCTTGAGTAATTTATAAGCTTAACATGGCCATCCAGCCTGACTTTTGGGCTTTTGAGTCTCTAATTGAACTATTATTCTGCTTACCGGGAAAAATGACGCCTTTATTTGCAGTGCTTCTGGCTATCTTGTACGCCACGTTTGCGTCTGCTGATTCCTGCCCTGTTATCACGCAACAACTAAGGGACCCACCTTATGAGAATTATTTCTACTCTGATTGTAACACAGACGCGCAAGTCGTTGTAACAAGTCCTCTTCCGGATAGTAATCTATCCATTATTGGACCTCGACTCATTGTTGCGTGGCCTGCGGGGAACAGCGGTATATGCACCTTCTTCCAACCTCAAGATGAGAAGAATGGAACTCTGGCTATTGAGTTGGTCAATTCGACTCTTGGATCACCGCTCGGTGTGATCAATCGCGAAGATAAAGATTCAGACTATCCTTATGTTGGAGTCGAGGGCGTTCTCTCGCTCAACTCCTCGGCGAATCTCACGGTTGCTATTCTGGGTAGTATCCGCAACATCCGAGATTTCACTGAGGGGCCGAGTATCATCAATCCGGTGATACAAAACGCGACGAACTACACAAGGGTGAATAATGGAGGCGTTCTCATCTCAAGGCTATGGCTGGATAATGTGACGACCACGAATCTCTTGTTAGAACCTTGGGAGAACAAAGACAGCAGATTGTCAATCTACAACGACACCGTTAGTTTTGGTGCAGGCTTCTACCACTTCTCTGCGTCTTTCAACTATCCTCAACTGAAGCAACTATCTCCCCAACAGGTCCTCAACAACCAGTCGCAGGCTCTTACTAAGAAAGAACAGTCAGAGGTCAGGTCTCTATCCTTCTTCTCGTATACCGACAAACTGCTCGCAGGTGGTTGGCGTTTCTTGACGTACTTTGGTCGCGATACCATGATTGCCGCACTATTGCTGGAACCTGTCCTGAGCGCTGGCAATAATTCTGCTTTGGAAGCAGTCATCGGTGCTGTGTTGGAGCGGATCAATCGCACGGATGGGTCCGTTAGTCATGAAGAGACTATCGGGGACTATGCGACACTTCTGAACTTGCAGAACGGCATTGATTCGACGGCACCAGGGTTTACTTATCCAATGATTGATACGGACTACTTCTTGCCAGTCCTCATGGACCGCTATTTCAGCGCTACACCAAAGCGAGTCAAACCATTGCTGAGCACAAAGGCTGGTGAAGTTGATGTCGAGAACCGGAATCTGACATGGGGCAATTTGAGCTACATTAACGCACAGAAGATTATGAATATCACAGCAGCGTTTGAGAAAGAGCAGTCGGTCAAGAACTTGATCCAGCTCAAGAAAGGTGAACTGGTCGGTCAATGGCGAGACTCAACATATGGTCTTGCCAATGGACGCATACCCTTTGACGTGAACTGCGCTCTCGTCCCAGCGGCACTCTACGCCATTTCCAGCTTGGCTAAGGTCAGTGGAGTGTATCCCAATAATTCTGTGACAAAGGACTGGAGTACCGTTGCAGCGAAGAGAGCCAAGATCTGGGAGGATCGAACCCTGCCATTATTCGAGTACAATCTTACTGTTGGCACAGCTACTTCAAATCTGAAGGACTACGTCAAGGAGAATACCTTCTATGACGGGCCAACTCATACCGATTCAGTTGCGAATTATTCATCTTCTGGAAAGGTTGTTGACTATGCTCTGGCGATCAACACTACCAAGGATGAGGAGAAAATACGCATCACGCACACTGACACGGCATTCCGTCTGTTTCTTCTCAACTCTACCAATGACGCCCAGCTCACGACATCATTCTTGAACGCAACAGCCAACGCCATCCTTCGTCCATTCCCAGCAGGACTAAGCACGCCCCTCGGCATCGTCGTTGCCAACCCTGCACTAGCAGGCAACGAGGTATTCACCGCCAACTTCACCAATGCCGCCTATCATGGTACCGTCGTCTGGAGCTGGCAACTCGCCCTCATGGCTAAAGGTCTTGAGCGTCAGCTTGCACGATGTTCATCATCCCAGTCCAATGATGACGATGGTGTTCCTGCGTTCTGTAGCAATAATGGGGTGCACACGGCTTTGAAGAGCGCATATAATCGTTTGTGGGATATCATTGAGGACAACAGCGAGAGGTTGCAGTCAGAAGTCTGGAGCTGGAGTTACAGTTCAAAGAGTGGGTATAAGTTTGCGCCTTTGGGCACTTTGCCGCCTCCGCCGGGTTTGAGCTCTGGAACGGAGAGTAATGTTCGGCAGTTGTGGAGTTTGACATTCTTGGCTGTGAAGAGGAATAAGGACTTTGCTTAATTTTCCTACAAACTTGATATATGTCGACCTACGACGTAATGTTGAATGAGAATATGGTGGTCTATCGCTTGACAAAGTCAAGAATAAATGAATATTATAGGTTATGACGAATCGTCTCGTGAGATGAACTTTCGAAGGAGCAAATACGAACAATCGCCAGCTCGTGCATACGATCATAGCTGATGGTACAGAGGCGTCCCCGGCACCCAATCCCGTCGCCTCTGAAATACCAAGACGTTCGACTCACTTGTCTCATCGCTGAATCTTGCGCTAGTCCTCGCATACAATGTAAAACCATTTCGCTCAAAAGCCTCAAGCAACGCCAGCAGCTTCAGTTGTGTCTCAGCTCCATCCGAGTCCAGTGGTCTCCACGGGTATCCTTTGAACTTGATCTTTGCACGGTCTGGCGTGACCTCGTGTCGTTGGATGTCAGTGATGAAAGTCGCCACGATTTCGTTGACAAGATCTGCAGGAGGGAAGTTGAGAATTTTTAGTTTGTCTCCGCCGTGGAATGACACGTTTAGCCATTCGCATGGAGGAGGGATGTGATTCACTTTTCGGAAGATAAGTGCATCTGGCTCGTCAGAAAGCTATGCCCAAGGTGTAGAACTTGTCTACTCACCTTTCGTCGAGACCCTCTTGGTAACTTCAATAGGAGAATAAATCACCCAACCCAAACTATGCATACCCTCCAGAATCCGAAGCGTCAATAACATCGCCTGCTCATTACCATTCGGATCATATCCCCATGCATAGCCTCCCAACTTGAACTCACGGGACGCTTCTTGAGGATAGACCTTGTCAATGCCGCGATCCCAATTTGTCCTCACAATTTCGTGAATAGCCGCCATTTCGGCCTCTGAGAAGTTGACAAGTCTGATGCGATCAAGCGCATGTCGTGTAATAGATGCAAAACGACTCTGGAAAGTTGACGGTCCACCATTTGGCACGGCCTGGCTAAATGGTGGCGGTGCAGCGGATGATGGTTCGCTGTACTCGAAGAACGCGGATTTGGTCTTTTCAGACATGTTGGTGTTGATACGGCAATAAATTCAGATTTGCTACAGATGCAAGGGATATAAACTTGTATATTATAATAACCTTCATCGAGACGAAAGTCAAAAGGCTATCATTATCTTGGGGGCGGCATCACGTCAGCCTCAGAAGTCAGGCGATGATGAATCCTCCAGGTTGAGTATCGCTAGGCTGTGCGGGGGCAGTGCAATAGAAGCCAATAAAGCGTCGCAAACGACACACGGCCAAAAGCAAAAGGGCACTTTTTAAAAAAGATTGAACTTTTCGCGCGTAGGTTGTCAGTTCCATCAGGCTGCGCTTGAATTATAGCCAAGCCTTGTAGAAATTTGCTGGTACCATCAAGCGACGTCATTGTGCGATGAGAACGATTCTGGTCATCATTCACGCCCTTGGGGGCGGGGTACAAAATTCACGGTCCTCGATCCTGCTACCACCAACGACTTGACAAAGAAGATATTTTGGCTCTTTTCACAAACCATCATATAAGTTAAACAATAATTAGACACCAACAAAATGACTACTGAAGACCAAGACATCACTCTCACAGCTCAGTGCCTCTGCACGGCTCATACCTTCACCACCAAAGTATCCCGATCAAAGCTTCCTCTACCAGGATCTATATGTCACTGCACCTCCTGCCGAAATGTAACAGGCGCTATGTACAGCAGTCATATACACTGGCCTGGCTCAGCAGATGAGATTCAGAACTCTGACCTGAAGACTTACAAATTTACCTCCAACTCCGTTCTTCTGTTTTGCGGCACGTGTTCATGTCCAATGTTCTGGGACGATCACTACAAAGGTCAACCACAGAACTTTGGCGTTTTCACGGGAGTGCTGAACAATGTTGATGTCGACAACTTGATCAAATTTACGAGGCAGATTTTCGTGGGTGATACGGTCGATGGAGGCGTTTCTCCGTGGCTACGGAATGTCAATGGTGATGGGGAGAAGCCTCGCAGGTGGATGGAGAAACCTAAGCATGGTGGAGAATTGGACGAAGGTTGGCCAGCCGCCAATCAAGATGCTCGGTCTGAAGTGCCTCCAGCTACAGAGGTATCTGTTCGCTGCCATTGCAAAGGAGTTGATCTCGTCTTCCGTCCAAGCAACGTCGACTTCTCTGCTATGGACCCTGAAGCGATTCCTGCGTACATCGACCCAAAGTCTCACAAACATCTTGCGACACTCGATCCATGCCGCTCATGTCGCTTGTCGGTTGGTATTGACATGATGAACTGGACATTCGCCATGCTCAAACAGATCGACTTCCCCGATGGACCTGAATTTCCTCGAAATACGCACAAACTCAAGGACGCAGTCGATAATCCCAACCGAGACCCTCGTTACGGCACGCTTGCGATATATCGAAGTTCACCTGACGTCCAAAGATATTTCTGCTCGCGGTGCTCTGCTACGGTGTTTTATACCGTTGATGATCGTCCAGAGGTTATTGACATTGCTGTTGCGCTGTTACATGCCCCGGAGGGAGCTCGTGCCGAGAGCATTCTAGCTTGGCATCTTGGTGCAAAGATGATGGGAGAGTGGGAATTTGAGAGGCGCTGGAGAGAAAGGTTCGCCATGTCGGTGAAGGACACGTCAGAGAAGTGGCGGATCGAGAAAGGTTATCCCAAAACGTGGAGGAGGATTGCCTTTGAGGACGCAGAGAAGGATGCGGGCAGCCAGAGCTAATCATAATTTTCGTTTTGAAGCATTTCTCACAATATTCAACGTCAGATATATCATGAAGCAGACTTCACTTTCTGTTATTTTCCAGGCAGCCAAACCATACATTTGGGCAATATGAGTTAATGAATGTTTACCCAATACCACAGCGTACAAAACCGACTGGTTGGTTCCATAGATTCACACAAATCCTAAAGTTACAAGCCTTTCAAAGTATCCAATCATATTTACGGCTTCATAAACTCAAACTGCAAGTAACAAAGACGAGGATCCACCAGCGTCCTGTTACAGTTCATAAGTAAACACGCTTTTCCCCTCCGATAACAAATGAAGTTCTCCCCCAGCAACAGGTTCAAATCCTTCAAGCTACCGACCTAGGTCTTCTCCCGAACTTCATGACAGAATCGTATCCCCGGGATCAACGGACGATGCCTACTTCCCCAAACCTAGTCACGCTTCCGGGTGAGGTCAGGGACGAGGTTTACGGCCATTACTTCAGAGTTGAAGGCGGATATGTCTTCGACAGTAATTCTGAGAAGCTCACCGCTGTGGACGGCGGGCCCATCCATCTTTCCTTGATCCAGACATGCCGGTCTATCGCAAATGACACCAGACATCTACCTTTCAGACTGAACGACATCTCATTCTCGACACTCTGCTCACCCAAATGGAGTGCTTGGGCTGGTCGCTACCAGTACCAATCGAACTTTCTTGCCATCCTGAAAGGAGATATGCTTTATCAACTTCAAGGTCGTCACATGTCTCCTGATTTGGAAGCCGCGTTGGAACAAAAGTTCCCAAGGCTCATGCCAGACTTCAAAAACCGCCTTGAGAGGGAGTATCGTCCATCTATTCAATACAGTCGCCGCAATAGCAATGCTCTTAGATATTCTAAGGACTTTGTGGACGACAGGGTGGCCGTTGATAGCCGCTTTAGTCAGATAAGGAAATGGGGCGAGGATGTGACTATGTCAAGGGAAGCTATCGCATTCAGTCTCCGGTTTGTAGCAAAGAGCCAACGCCCCAAACTCGCCAAGCTGATCGAAGAAATATTGCCTGGTTGGACACTCGATCATGATCCTCAAGAGCTCCTTGATCTGACTTTGGATCCCTGGGATATTCCCTCCAAGAAGACTCTCTGGCGGATTGGGCAAATTCTCAGGGACGACTATGCATGGGAGCACATTCACAAGTGGCACCATGGATTTCGCGAAAAGTATCGCTTTTCTGCGGCGGCAGTGGCAATCCGATTTCTTCGTGAACTGTCCGCTGAGCAGAGGCAACATCTACGACATGTCACCCTCGTGGAAGATGCATATGCCGTTTGTTCCTCATCATGTCATGCCATGGGTCTTGTTGACATCTGCAAGGAGAATCCAAAACTTCAGATTCGACGTCATGTCAAATTATACCGCAGCCCAGCAGCATCTTTCGGCAGGGCCCTGATAACTCTGACATATTCCGATCTATCAAGGCTTCCTTCTCGAAATACCCGCTCTGACTTTGTCACTCCTCTCGTTATGGCTTCTGAGATTGCTCAATGGTTGAAAGAGGCAGCTTTTCTGCCACATGCTGGAATGCCGCCGAACTCATTCACGCTATTCCTAGATGGAGAACCACACAAAGCCTTCTATACTAGGGTGTTTGAGAGCGTCCTGCTGCTAGGTGAAGGCCTTACTCAAGCGTATGGAAAGCTCCTTCAGATGCGACCTCACCAATTCCAGGAAAGGGTTTATTGGGATCTTTACAGTGACCACCTTTCTATGGCACTTAAACTCTTGACGGATCAGGACTCGACACCAAGACGCACGAGCGACACCGCACTTATCTGCACCAATTTTGATGTGGGCCGACGTCCTGATGTCGAAAAGCTTGTGGTGGATCGTCTGCACTGGGACTCAATGCATTGGGACATGGCATTTATTATGGTGGGTTTGAACGTCGAGGTACGGCCGTCAGCTTTTGGGCAATGGCATGATAATGTCTTGAGGTACTTTGAACAGAAACCCCCTGGTATGGAAGACCTCTAGTTAAGGGTGTGATACAGCTAGAATGTCAGCAGTAAAGTTAGCTCATTTTGATTGATGGATAGCTTGGGAGGAATATCAATTAGTCACCAATCAACAAGCATCAATTAGCCTGGGTATCTCTACGTCGACTGGGGCGGAGTGTGAGCAGAGGAGTGCTCAAATGAGATTCAGGAAAGAGGTGAGGAATTTTATTTTTGTGACGAGAGTTATTTAATAACTATTAAACCTATTAGGCTACTACCAACAATAGCACCTCAAGGTTAGCTAGAACGCGTAGTTAGATACTTGTTTCTAACCTATCCTTCTATTTGACGTGATCTCTCGTACTACTTCGCAGTTAAACTCAACGTTCCTGCTCCGGGCACCATTAATCTCACCATATTTCTGCCTGACACGTGTTCCCTAGTTTGTTCTTCCGATCTTGTATACTATATATATTCTATCATATGCCGTATGTCATTGAGCGACTATACATTACGCAATGGTAGATACTCTTTACTTTTGAACACATGAGGGAAGAATATTTCTTAGTGAACTAAACATGATAAGACTGTCCTTCTCCACTAATATCATAATACATTCTAAGAGGACCCTTGACAGGACATTACTGGGGATAAATCAACAAACACTATGACTTCTCAGTACCTGGATCTACCCCTGAAGTTCCCTCTAGTTCTTTGATGCTCTTGCCGTCGATATTTTCCAAGGGTTTCTTGGGCGCTGCCTCCTTATCCAGTGGCCCGGGTCGTGAAAAGATAGCACCGCCAAGTGACAAGTTTGTCGCACGAAGGACCATCTGATAAAACAGCGTCATGCCCGTAACTAGGATTTCATCTCTTGCCGCAGGATCATTCGCCTTAGGCCCTAGAAACTCGACACATCCGACATTGTTAAGCGACCAACAGTTGGCGGAAAACTTGGCAACCGGCCACTCCTGCTCATCGAGACAGATAAAGTCCCATGTCTTGAAGCTGCTGGCACTGGTCCATGTCATAGCAGCTGGTATTCCGTCTGGACTGTTGGAGTAGTTGTACGATAGGTGGGTGTATGATGTCATGAAGCGCTTTAGAGCTTTGATAGTGCCTTTTTGGCCGTGGAGCTCGTAGTCGGCATGTATTGTGACGGGGTGAAGTGTACCGGAGCCTATTACAGCTGTAGGGTTGTCGTAGGGATGGAAGACAAGGCTGGGGCATTTGAAGGCATGATAGTCGACAATATACTTGGGTGTTGTGTTGTTCGTCTGGGGGTCTTTCTCTGAGACTAAAGCCTTAAACTTCTTCCACTTGTAGTCAACTTCAAAGACAGTGTTGGATGACTGCATGTTGTCGGTTGCTGAGAGACGGTCATAGGACTTGCTCATTTTGACTTGACTTATGATATAAGATTACGGGTTCGGTATGAATGGATTGCTTTGACTAATACCTAGATTATCATGGGATCTTAAATACTTATATATAATGCTTGGTAGAATATGAGCATGAATGTGGCTTGCCAGTGTAACATCGAATCAAGTAAAGACCCACAGATCTGTTGTCTTGCTAACTTCATCTGGTGTCACGGAGCGCTCCGATCGGCATCATCGGTGGCAATTAATTCGTCTTCGTGCGCTAGCTGCGCCTTGTTGGGCTGAATGACCGATTGCTTCACTGATAAGCGATAAGAGATAAGAGACTGTTATCGGTGACGTCACTGAGTCTGGCTGATAGTGCTATCGATAAGATAACATCACTACCCTATATAAATCTGACTTTCCTATATTTGCTTCTTCATGCCTTGTTAGAAATGGAGAGAAACCCTTTAGTATTTTAGTTTAAGTAATTTAATTATTTTACTTATTCTTAGTATAGCAACTCGATGATTAAAGATTTACAGCATATCATGTTCACAACCTAGTTGGCTTCAACATAACCACGCAGCGATTCCCCACGTATAGAATTGTTCTTTTGTTATATATGTCTCACTTTCGCATTATAACACCTCAGACTTATAAAATATTACTTCCAGTATCCGGCCAAGACGACTATTTCAGTAGCGACGGGCAACATTGACACCCAGGGGCCTCGCGATAGACACTCATCACAACATCCCCTCTCACAAAAATTCTTTTCCCCAGTTGCTCAAGTAGTGCATAGGTGAAAGCACCCCAGTAAGATAAACTTGCCAATTTGAGACGTTTGCCAAGGCAAAGGGCTTCGGTTCAAAGCAGATACTTCTTACTTAGTATACCCAGCCTCCCTACTTCGCCGTCTAGAGACAAGATTTCTGCGCCATCTTCATTTCTTGCAACCAACAAGACCAAAGTCCTTTTCGAGTCCTAAACTCACAATACTTCGAACTCTTACAGCCGAGTCCAAGACATTTTCAAGCTTCTCTCCGTAGCTGAGCGGAATATCGATGCTTTCTTCAACACCATTGGAGCTGTCAAAAAAACAAGGTGTAGGGCTGAGCTTGGCATTGAGGCCAAGCCAACCACCTTCTCCGCAGGGCTTCCAAAAGTGGCGAACCTATTCCCCGCTCCCTCTTGGCATAAAATGTCATTTATTAATAAATGCAAGCCATAGTTCTCAGCTCTGGGTTGAAGCTCCGTCGAATACCGGACCGCGTGCCACTTTTACCAAAACATCCTGAACGCTGATTGGCCTGGCGCACGCCAAAATGTCATCGCGCTGTGATGTTTGGACGCCTTGAGGATGAGGAGGCTTCTGGAGGAAAGGCTGAGCAGCTAGGCTGGGCTGTATTGATTAAGCTTATTCTCTTTTAGGTGCCGCTAGACTGCGAGGGATGCTATTTCGAGGGATTGTTAGGCTAATTGAGTTTGTCGCGAGGCAGAGCAGGAAGTGCCTTTAATTGTAAGTGTGATGAGCTGAAGGTTGATGCATGAAGCCATCGTGTATAAGAAGAGGCAGTCTGTCCTCGTCAATTGAGTCTTCTCATCATCTCAAACACACTCTCAACTCAGACATCTAAACAACAATCACATCTTCCATTACAATCTTCCAACCTCGTCTGTAACCTCTTTCAAAATGCTCACTCAAACCATCTTTTCCATTCTCGCCATCGCCACTACCGGCCTCGCTGCTCCCGTCGAGCCCCGCAGCAACGACTACTTCACCCCCTCAGAAATCCACACCTACAACATCAACAACGGAGCAATCTACGACACAGACGAAGGCCGCGTTACCAAAGCCCCCACCAACGGCGGCAACGACATCACAACCCTTCTCACATTCACCTACCCCGAAGCAGCCAAGGGCAAGAAATGCCAATTCGCTTTCTACCTCGCTCCTGGTGAGAACGTCATCGGTAGCAAGAAGCTCGATCTCTACTCCAGCCTCGCACCTGCTCCTGGTCCTCGAGCTGGCTGGGGTCCTGGTAACCAGCGCAATGTCCACTTGGGACGCATGGATGTCAAGGTTGGAGGCTTTGCGACCTGGGAGGCTACTTATGGTCCGTACATGACCCAGAAGACGGATTGTAAGAAGCCTGGTACCGTTGAGGGACTTGAGCTTGTTGGTGTCTACGATCTTGATGCTATCTACTGGAACCCGGCTAAGTCTGGTCCTCGTATTGTTATTAGCTAAAGCGGTGGAGTCGCTAGTCTTTGTTGGTGTTTCAGTTCGTCTGTATATATTATTTAACGCTAGACGGTAGTGCGTCACTTTGCTTGGGTTTGTGAGCTATTTTGGGATTGGAACTTTGTATGCAAATTACAATATCAGTACATCTCTCTCATTATTACCCAAAGCCACTTTTTGAACATCAGTTGTAATTCTTCAGAGATCTCCAGATGTTTTGCTATACGACTGAGGCAGTAAACAACCAAAAGCAGTAATCGCCGAATCATACCATAATGCACAGCCAGTAAACGAGCTGCAGTCATCCTCCTTCCTTCCACTGGAATATGACCGGCCACACTGACCATTTTCTGACCCCTTTCTGACTCGTAATCATCGCCGTCAGTATTTACCGCATTCCTATCTCATAAGCTTCTTTAAACTCATGTGAATCTGACTTGGTATTGATTGAACATCTGTACCTCTCATCCAATCCAAACCTGCTGACATTCCCCACCAAACTTAGCCCTCGTGTGTGTCCACATTATGATCTGACGCAGGGACAAGGACAAGGGCCCGTCGTACTAAACGGTCAAGCATTTCAGAGCGGAAATAATGCCGGCTAAGTGGAGTATCATGGCGTTTCGGCCCGTTGGAACTTGGAGACAGAGGCTTTGATTTGCCAACGTCTGGTTCCAATTTTACAATGTCAGCGGCTGTGCTTTTCCCTTGCATGAAAGCATGTGACAAGGGGGGTTGATGGAGACGAGCCTTACGAGGAGGTGTAACGTTAACTCAGGGACATTTTACGATTGGACCTTACAGATGAAAGCTTGTCTTGGCCCTCTTGGGCTGAATCTGGAGAACGCAATCGTCGTGACATGACCCCTGAGCTTATGCAGTCATCGTCTGTCACTCTAGAAGAGTCGCGTGCTTGACCAGGAAGATATGAAAACGTTTCTCGTATTAAAAATCTATCTATATGCAACTAACGCTTAAAAGACTAAATGGTTGAGTGGGTACGTATGCCGACTCGCATCTAAGAAATTGTCTCGTATCTCATTGTGAAATCCCGCATGTAATCGACTCACGAAAGCCTCGAGGATAAGTCGTTGGAGGTCCTTTGCAGGGTCATCCTTGCGGAACCAATGATGACGGATGAAGACTCCGCCACATGTCTTATCCCCAATGTATGGAGCGCCATTCCCGTCCATGCATGGTATCGTGCCGATGTCTTGGGTCTGGTTATAGCTGTATCGTACGTAATTCGAGAATGCGGCTTGCTCGTGTGCCCAGTCGTTCGCCCATCGCTGACAACCCTTGAATTTCTTCTCGCTTGGGCATTGTTCCCAGTCGTCGAAAAGTTCTTGTGTTCTGTTGCTTTGCTGGGCGATCATGAAGCCCGTGTTTTGCATGACCTTGCCCTTTTCGTCGCGGTTTCGTGGAGAATCGGGATCGTTCGCTAGCGCAAGAAGTGTCTTATCCGTAATGTTCCATAGCTTCATCAACCATTCGAAGGGTACCTGGGGGTACATGAATTCTGCGTCGGCGTCGAGAAAAACGACGATATCGTGGGACTTAAGCGCTTCTCGGATCATTGGGACCTTAACCCACGTCTGATGTCGCTTAGGATAATTGGGGGCTCGGACAAATTTGTAGTCATAACCATGAATCATAGCTGGAGTCTGTTAGCCGAGTTTCCCTCTCCCCGCAGAGAACAAGATCATACCATAGAGATAATGGTTCATAATTCCGCCAGTTCGTCCCTTCATTTCCTTGTAATCCAGCGCCGAGTCATTCATCACGGCGCCAGGTCCCTTGTCCAATCGAGTGTCAACATCCAAAATGAGGAGCTTCTTGCCCAAGGGCTGGGGCCAGTTCTGGTTCTCCTTGGGTACCTCGTAAAGGTACCCCTCATCTGTCGAAAAGCTTGTCGCATTAATGTCAAGAAGAAAAGGTTTCCATAAATCGTGCATCAAATTCGACGTGTGCGACGCGAGCTTCACTTGATGCGGGTTTGATCGTGTTGTTCTGCAAGCGCATTATTTTGTTAGCGACATTTCGCTGGAATGCTGGGCGACATTTTAGCCACTGACGCGACGTACCGATACGACAAAATGTTGGGAGGTTCGAAATAAAATCCCCATGTATGTGTTACCAGTCCAAATATTACCAAAATGCCCATAGCGAGAAGGACGCCCTTCTGCCTGCTGGCCCTTGGTAGCAGCAGCTTGGCCACATGTGTGAGGTTTGAGGTCTTCATCTCGACGGCGAGATTGTTTTTCATACGTGTCACCTCGCTTGGAAATAGACAAAGTTCATGAGGTCAAAAGACTCGGACAATTCCGTTTTGACTTTGGTGGGCGAAGGGGAAATGATTTAAGCCCTTGTTGATGAACGCCAGTTATGTTTAAAAAAAGACACGACAAGACAAGAGAGAGAGAGGGAAGAAAAAAAAAAAGGAGATGTAAGTTCAGCCCAACAGGCTTTTTTAGTCTTTTTTTACGAGGGAGTCAAATTACATTTATTCTCGTATTTCTGTTGGTTCCAACATACGGGAAAACCGGCAACGCTTGGGCCTGAAGGAGCAGAGTCTCGAAGCTTTCACCCTACGACACAATGACAGATCCCTGTAACCGAGGCGGGGCCCGCGGACTGTTTCGGTAGATTTATTGGATGCGTCGTACGGCGTTAGCGTATGGCATTTCACAGACGCGTCACTAGTGAAAAGCTAAGCCTTTTCTCATCCCAAGGCCCGGGGCATGATGTGATTCAAGCAGTCCAGGGGGACACCACTCCGTAAATAACGCTCGGTATCACCCGTGTCCTATCGGAACCGCTGTCGAGGGCATGTGCACCGCTTTCATAGGAAGCTCCAAGCGTGACTCAGCGAGATCTGATTCTGACACTGACAGGATAGATTTGTTTAGTTTATTCAGGGACCTGAATAACCCCTGTTTATTGCGGTTACGATATCTTGGCCCCAGCATTTGTGACTGCTTGATCGAGGCTAGTCGATTTATTCGTACAGCCTCCTCCTATTCAAGTGCACCCACTTTCTCGATTTTACGCTCCCTTCAATCATGCCTGGATCCTGCCCTTTCGCTGACGACACTGCCCTCACGGCTAAATAGCCAGTTTCATCTTCAGGGCGCACATCCACGAGCTCAAGCCTCATATTCTTTAAACATCTTGCTCTTTCAGGTCCGTCGAGATGTGATCCACCTGCCGGAAGCGGCACATACGGATTGTCTCTGGTTAGAGTACTAGCGAAACCGAGAACGTCCGGGCCTTGGATCAAAACTTCGAGAACGAGGCCGCAAATAGCGAGGATTTGCAGTACCATTGTTGTGAATAGCAACAGACCGACCCATACGCGCTGGGCACTGTAGACATCAATCGTGGTTGTTCTTGTACCCATGGTGGTGTTCATGAAGGAGTCTTTGTAAGTCTGACCCGTCTCCAGACCGTTCATGTTGTGCGACGGGATGGTGCCATATGAAACATTGGTATGACCTCCAGGATTCAATCCAGCGTCCCAATATGTGTTGAAAGCGGTCGTCATTCGTCTGGAAAATACATATGGGAATTTGGCGAGATCTTCTTTCGTCCACGGCAATTGACTGGTGTACTCATACGGATTTTCATTTTTCATCAGGTACATCTCCGATGGCGACGGTTGAACTCCGTCTTTATCACCCGAAGCTTGCGCCCATGCATATAGAGCATAACTAAGCTCTTTGAGACGCAAATCGCTTCGTGTAATCGATGGTGGAAATAGAGTACTCCCTGTCTGGTTTTCAGTGGAAAGTCGCCGTTGCTGTCGCGCTTCACAAGTCGTCGCTGGGTCCCCTGGTCCGCAGTGAATAGTTGTCTCGACTTTGATCTCGTGAATGGCACATTTTACGACGTATAGTTGAGATCCGCGCATTTGCTTGACGTACAGGAACTGATAGGGCGAGTTGATGTCGTCTTCTTCTTCAGAGTTGAACCAGGATTCCGGCAGGAGGTTGAAGGCTGAGAAGCTGGGGTATTTGTAGAACAGATCAAGAATGTTGGTTTGGTTCTCAGTCAACTTTCCCCGTAATGGATCAAAGCTGTCGACGAAATCGCAATTGACGTGGAAATATGAGGTTGGTATCGTAAAGTTGAACTTGGTAGGTTTGTCGGGTCTGATGAGGCCTCGGATCTTGATACCCAGCAATGAAGCATAAGATTCCTTTCCTGAGACCAAGTCCGATTTGTTCACATCATAGAGATCGTATGTGCCATCATCAAGTCTGTCCTGCGACAACTGGGGAATTTTAGGCAAGCCCCAAATATCCCTCGGCGATGCTTTCTGCTTCGAAGACGACAATAAACTCGCAGCGTATGTTGCGCCAACGCTATGTCGGTAGTCGATCCATCTTGAGTGGGATACTTGATATGCTGGATCAGCATAATAGACCGTTCCATTCGATATCAAGTCGAACTTTGCATCGCGTAGAAGTCTCGATGAACTTTGTCCACCCAGAGGTGATAGGAGCCAAGAAGTGAGAATGATGATGCCAATAACTGCATTTGTCCGTATCACGAAAATTCGCTCAATGGCGGTGGCCAAGTTCTGACTGCCGATCAACTGCTCTAGAACAGGGAGGTTTACACCGCCGCGGCTTTCGAGACACCATCGGCCGAAGACCCGGTAAAACCTTCCAACTAAGGCGGCGAATAATATGGGGTACAGAGATGGACTTAGTACCGTTAGTTGTAACACAGTTTTTCCGTATTCAGAATGAGGTTGGTTATCGAGGCGTATCGCTGTGATAGCGAGAGCTTCTCTCTGTTAGTCTTCCCCTTTAGATCAAGGGATATACCTTACCGATGAAACAAAGCGGCGTAAATGTCAGAAGAACGCTGAAAATCCACCCAAACACTGTTGGTGCGTCCCAGTGTTCTAATGTCTTTGGACCTCCATGCCAGTTATTTCGTATTCCTGTATGAGATATTATCTCTTCCATCTGGAAATCCGTAACATCGTCTGTCGAGTCATTGGCCAGAAACGGTGCATGTGCAGTATCTGCCTTTTCATGATTTGGTGAGGCTAAAGACGGCCTGATAAAGTGTCAGCATGACTTCCGACTAACAATGGCCGGACAATTACCAATAGTGCCGTATAAGCCCCAGAATGAGCAGAGTGGCGACAAGAAAACCCGCACAAATCCCTATGACAGTTGCAGGTCCAACTTCATGCTTGCCACGATCCCAGTTGATATTCGAGAAGTCCGGCGCCTCAAAAGTACTATTCTCTTCTACCCCAGGCCTCAAGTCTGAAGCTGTCCCATTCTGTACACGATACGGCTCAAGAAACAATTTTCGCCATCCTTCTTGCGCCGGTAACTGAGCCGGGATCAATTGGTTTTGCGGACATCCTCGTGAGCATGGATCAACACCACAGCATCCTAGAAAATGCGGCATTGACAAATCACATCGATAAAAAGAGGCATTATGAAGTGCGCCGCATTCAAGACCGAATTTGTATGCTGTTCGTCCTGGGCTGTAGCTCATCGGTCGCAAACCTGTTTGCGGGCAGATTCCAGACCCGTCGGCGCATGGATCTGAGTCGCAGCATCCGACAAACTCTAAGTTAGTCGAAGGTTTCTTGCAGACATAGAAGTTTCCTCCGCTAAAACACCTGATCATGTAGTAGTCCGTGATAGCAGTATAATTCACCTCCATTCTGGATGTGATTGCGTGAAACGTACTGAATTACTGAATTATGCAGAAGAAATTAGGAACTAGATGAGAAGACACAAGGACCTGATGAGGGCAGAGCGCTATTATTAAATCATGCCGCTCCGACGGAAACGCCACAGAGGCAGTAAAAGCTCGAGTCTAGACTCTTTTCATGCTCAGCCTCAGCCAGCCATCCTTTCCTGATTGGAAGACCAGATTTAAACACCAGTAAGCTTCGCGCTATCGTTTTCAGCTCAAGCCACCCCGGAAAAAGACGACGGAAACTGTCTTGATACCTTCTTGCGTTACGTCCGTCTTGAAACGGATGTTGGAGTAATCCCGGTTTGAACCTCCAATGAACTTAGCCTCTTGATATGTTTCACATTGAGTCACCATGCTCCGCCACAATAAATATTTAAGCATGATTGTTTTAGTCAAGGACTACAGGTCAGACAGCTTCTATTTCTTCCGGCCTTAGTAGTAGCTTGGGAGTAACCAGGCAGCTTCCTCTGTCGCATGACCACTGAGACATTGAATCGAGACACGTCATCACCTAGTCTATATGATATCGCCACATGTATAAGGACTGAAAATATAATTCTTAACTTCTTGTATTCGGCCTTACGTCACTAGGACTACCAGGTCTCCTCCAATATTCTCACGGCCCAGTGTACTGAAGATAGACAGAGACATATTCCTGCCAAAAAGTACTTATCTAGAAGGTTCAGCAAACTGGTGAGAAAAAGGCTGGACAGATCCAAAGTTCGGCGTGCCATCAGCATTTGCAGTCAACGGCTGCGTCATAGCATATCTGGTATCATCACAAGCACCATTCTTATTAGAAGTAGCATGGAAAGTGATGAACGTCTGCTTTCCATCAGGACTCTGGAAGAAACTGTTATGACCAGTTCCATAGCTTCCATTAGCACTCTTCAGAACACAACCGTTGGACTTTTTCCACGCTGAAGCCTTGGCAGGATCGGTCTTTCCATCCCACTCGAGCAGAGCGACGCAGTAGTCTGGGGTCCAGCAGTAGTTGGCTGAGTAGGAGATGTAGGTCCTGCCGCCGAAGTACAAGGCGTTGGGTCCCTCTTGCACGGGAGTTCCGCTCTTTTCCCAGCTTTGATCAGGCTGGGAGATGATGCTTAGGGCACCGACGGACAAGAAGTCGGAGCCTAGTTTGCGGATACAGGTAGACTGGTATTGAACACCGGTCATGCAGGAATAGACGAAGTAGTTGCCGAATTGGTTGGTGCGAAGGATGGTGCCGTCGATGCCCCAGTCATCAGAGAGCTTAGCTCCGTAGGACCAGCTGTCCCAGGGGCTAGCACCACCTACTTCTGTTAGCTGTATATCATTCAAAGAACATGGAAGACTTACCCTTGATAACGTGTGAGCGCTGACCGGTAAGATCTTCTGACTTTCCAGCAGTATAGTAGATATACCATTTGCCGCCAAGGTAGTGCAGTTCAGGAGCCCAGACGTTGGATGAGCGCGAAGGATCAGAGTCGGTGTAGATGACCTTTGGAGTAGCAGTCTTGAGGCCCTCGACGGTGGTAGCTCGAGACAGTTGGAGGTTTGTCCATTCTGTCGAGATGAGGTAGTAGTAGCCTCCAGTGTAGGTAATCTGAGGGTCACCACCGCCGGGGTTTCTGATAGGGTTGGTATAAGCACGAGCTGAGCCGATGAGGCCCAGGGCCAGTGTGAAGATATTATTCCAAGAAACCATGATTGCGACTGAGATAGCTGACCATGCTGGATTTGCAAGATCAACGGGCTTCAATGGAAACTTTATACAACCGTCGCGTATAAAGAACTCGTTGCTAGAATACCAGCTCATGCGCTCACAACACCGGTCCCCCGTGAGAGCCTGGGTAACCTTCCCATATCGTCCAAGTGCATTGATTAGAAGAACAGCTGACTTCTCATTCCGGATGGCTCGCCGAGCATGACCGGGAAGTGGGATCTGGGGTTGCCGATCCATGACCGGGATGTCGATGCGGTCCAATCGTGTCACTGTAGGCCCGTCCCGCAATGCTTATTCTCCAGCAAAACTTCGGGCGTTCAAGGTCCGTTTTCGAATTGGGGGTGGAGTTGACTCAAGGCGCCCCAATAGAAGTGATGATACGATTAAGTCTATTTTATAGTTGCGGATTCCCCGGATCGTTGATGTGGAGGGGATGGAGGAAGACTTGCCACCACAATCGTTAGTGACAGAAACTCATGCTCCTCTGTGTCTACGCTAATAAGTCGGCTTGTGAAGATTAAGTCACCACCGTTATGAGAAGGTCATGTTCCAAGACCAATTGAAGAACTGTAGTCAGTGGAAGATTAACCTCAAACGCTTCTTCTATATTATGTTTGCCTCAAGCGTACGCCTTCAGAGCAATATCTTCGTTCATTTCATCCGTAATACTTATCCAAGATCCTGATCTGTTCCTCTTCCGAAACCGTTCCTTCCACGCCCGGAATCTATGCCACCAGCAATTCTTGATACTCGCTTGTAGTCCAGCCACAGTCTGCTCCAATTCCTCCCTATGGCTCTTGAGCCCTGCGATCTCAGCCTCTTGCTCAGTAAGCCGAGCCTTGTAGCGGTTTTCCATGGACTCTTTCGCAGCACGTTCGGTTGCGACTTGTTCTTCAGTGGCGTTGGCTTTGTTGGTTGTATCCTCTAACATGGCCGTGTATTGTTTAATCTTCTTTTCGAAGGTTTTGATTTGAACATCAAGATCCCGGTTCTGTTCCTTGACCGACACATATTCATTCAGTTTCTTTTGCGCATCGATCATTTGCGCTTTCAGAGATTTGTTCTCCATTTCTAAGCTGTTGCGAGCGAGCAAATCGTTCATGGCTTGGGTTTGAAGCTTTTCCAAGTTCCTCTTCGTGGCTGACAATCTACCTTCCGTACCGCTGCGATGATCTTCGCTTTCTTGGAGCTGTTGTTCTAGATGCATGATCTCATCTCGTAACCCATTGACGTCTCGTTGGTACTGCTTCTGTGTTTGAGTATTTGCCTGTCTTGCCGCACTAAGATCTTCGTGTAGTTTTAGAATATGCGATTGAAAATCCAATGTCTGTTGGACCTGTGTCATAACTTCGGTTCGCTTGGCCATCCTCTGCCGCTCCACAGATACTGCCTCCTTTACCACGGTTGTCCAATGTCCCACGAATCTGTGCACTTGACCTGCATGGTAAGTGCGACAAAGGCACAAATCTGCTAGCTGACTCAGAGTTTGTGTCGTAACAAATTCCGGAGAGTTTTGCGACATCCGGTCGAGCAACGGAGCAATTGCCGAAAGGCGTGGTTCCTTGATAGTCAACGAACAGCGGGTTTTTCTTGTGGTGATACCGATACATCTGCGATGATGATAAATCTGCAACACATCCGCTGCATCCCAAACGACCGAGGTCATTTTGACATGAACGGAGTGAAGTGGTTGAAAAGATTATGAGTACTTCGTGCAGGTCTATGTTACTATAGTTATAGGGGGTGTTGCAGGCCATTAAGTTAACTTTAGGTCACTGAGGAAAAATTACACAATGAAGAGGAGGAGCAGCGATGAGGGAATTGGGACATGATGGGTGCTGAACAGTTTATTTGGTAAAAGCTGAAACTGTTGGTTTGCATGTAGTGAACCAACATGCATATTTACAACGGGGCGCAGTGGTCATGGGCCTCGTACCAACAGCTCTGATTGCACAGATTCCAGTAAGACCCCTGACAAGAGACCATCGGGTATGCAGAGAAGGCCACTCCGGTTAGTATTTCGCCATGGCCCTGATCCACACGAAACGTACCCCCTTCGTTAGAGTCTACAGTATTCAGATGCAAGTGTTTGAAAGTGTAAAGTAATAAATAAATGTGAGAAGTTGTGAAGAATTGAGTTAGCAGACCAAGTTATATTGTTCTTTGAAACTGTAATTGCTGCAAAAATGCAATAGTATCATCTAAGTGCATTAATTAGAAGAACAACTGGCTTCTCATTCTAGATGGTTCACTGAATATGATTGGGAAGTGAAATCTGGGATTGGCAATCTGTGACCGCAAAGGATGCAATATATATATGTTAATCCACTATGTAAGTTAAATAGTTTGAATATGTAAAATATACACCCAGACACGAGAAAGAAGAACTTGATAATTCTCTGGCAGTTCTATCTCTGAGTGAACAGTAAAAACACAGAAGGATTCACTTAAACCTAGAAAATAATCGCACCCATACCCAGCACAAGCATTGCGTACCAATAACTGCAAATTTTCTTACTTGCCATAGTCTCCCCTGTATTACTTTCTGGAGCAACACTTTTTGACACCGCAGTCTCTGTTGAGGAAGTACTTGCTGCTGACATAGTGCTCACAGCTGAGTCATCCACGCTGGCAAACTTGTGAGGAGTAATCGAGGTCTTTTCTTCCTCTGCTGACTCTTTTCCGTCCAGAGACGAGGCATTTTCATTTGCTCCTGAGCCGCTGCACTTCTTTTGGACGAGCTTGAGCTCCTTCCGCCACCAGTCACCTGCCGGAGTTTCCAGCGACGGCCATGCCAATGAAGTTGACCTCATGGTAATCATCTTGACGTAACAGGGGTGGCAGAGCTCCTCGAGGGGCCGTTCCTCATCATCTGCTACTACGGAGAATTTGTTCATGATTTCTGGGCAAGAAAGTCAGCTACGCAGTCGTCAATAAGAAAGAGATTACAAACCGCCACAGTATCTACCTGTTTTCGCATCCTTGGCACATGTCTGATTCCAGCCGCTAGACATGCTATTACCAAGGTATAGGTAATAGTTCGTTGGGTAATGGTCGGACATGAAATCTTCCTCAGCACATTCCTTGCTAAGCTTACGATACCAGTTTCGAAGCGAGTCGGAGCACGTGCCGGTGCAGATCGTGTCGGCCATCTCCAAATCTTCAGGTAAGTCGCCTCGAAAATTTGGGACAGTAAATTCGAAAATGTATTCATCGCAATCGATTTCAGTTGTCAATACCTTCTCACAGGCCTTCCCGACCCAGATGTCGTCACTATTAAAATCTTCGGGCTCGAACAAATTTATTGCATTGGCACTCATGCAGAGACCAAGGGCAATAACAAATTTGTACATGGCCATTGTGAATGTTGGTGACACATAAACCGAATGACTCGGGCGACGGACTGTCAGCAGCGAGGGTGATGGGTCCTGGTTATAATTTATCAAGGCAAGCCTCAACCATGGGTCGACATAAATGGGGTGGCCAAGGCGGCTAAATGAAATCGTGAGATAACTTATTATTAATGATGCAAACACAAGGGACCTTTTGCATGTGCCAAGGTCGCCAAGACGGCTCAGCACGGGCTGCAAGGGACCCAATGTGCCTGTCGAGTATCGTTTACGATCCTTTAGCAGGGACCATGAAGCATCTGAAGATGTCGCTTTGTTCTCTGCCCGTGAGCAACCAAGACTTGGCCATAACCCCATTATGTGCAGCAACGTCCATCATTCCGCAGCCAGGCGCAGGAAAATCCATAAGTCAAATACCGAGGCAAGTGAACTCGTCAATACGGTACGTTAGCTAACCTAGGCCTAGCTATTGGCCCGAATCCAAACAGAATCTTACTTGTGGAGTTGTGGGACTCGAAATCACGCTTAATATAAACCAGCAACCAACATCACAATCAACCAACACAGCGTTATATAGACCACGGACAGAAGTCTGCTAATTTGAAAATTCGGTTGTCTTGTTTCTTGACTACATCCGGCTTGGCATATAATGTGTCACCAGATTTACGATATGCCATGGGAACAGACCTCGGCATATCAACAATACAGACAATGGTGGAGAAAACATGCAGGGTCCAGTGAACTTTGCCTGCTTGCCGCCTTAAAAAGAACCTCAGATGGGGAGAAGGCGGATCGCTTGAACATCACCCGGGAGTTGTTCGTCTGTAGATACTCTAGCTCCGGGCCCGGGTTATTTTGGTCACCACTTCCCCTTCTGGTAAATGCTCAGAGGTACGGCCTATTTTGAGACACTACAGGGGACAAAGGTTAAACTTCAAGGGTCGAGAACGATAGGTATCAGGTTGTCAGGATATAGCTACGGATGAATATGGATTTCCATGTCTCTAACAGCATAGTTCCATTGGCTCTGATAGACAAAAACAATCCACTTACACAAAGAAGAGGTTCATCGACAAAAGAAGCATCAGAGCCCGAGACCCGAACAGCTCTCCCCGTTCAGCCTTGGCAGCTGCATTGGGCGTGGATGACACAGTCGGTTCAGATGATGTAGTCTGCTCCGGGGTCCCAGTGGACAACACAGACTCTTCCTCGCTGTTGGCCTTTTGAGAAGCTTTCGAGACCTCTGCCGTAGTCGCCGTCTCGGATAGTTCACTCTTCTCTGACACAAGCGTGGCAGTCTCTGTCGGGGTCGAGCCACTGCACTTCTTGTGCACGAGCTCAAGTTGCTCTTCGTGCCATTTGGTGTTGAGGGCGTACGGCGAGGGTTTATACATCTCGAGACGCTTCACATAACAAGGGTGGCAAAGCTCATCGTGCGGGAGTTCCCCGTCGTCTCCAACATCAGTGAAATCTTGGATGATATCTTGGATACAGTCAGCATTATACGTATGCTCAAGTCTATCAGCTAATAACCATTGCAGTATCGTCCTGTCTTGGTGTCTATCATACAAGTCGCATTCGAGCCTGTCCAGATACGAAGACCGTATCGGGCCTTGTTTTTATCCTCACAGTCCTCGGAAACATTGGTGACCCAGTCTTGGAGTGATTGAGAGCAAGTATCGGTGCAAACTGCATCAGTCAAGGATTCACTCTCAAGCGAGCCGTACCAACCTCCCTTGATAAAGCTGTAGGCTTCTTGGTCGCAATTGACATCCGCTGCCACGGCCCTGTCGCAGGCTTTTGTTACATGCTTATCAGTTCCAGCTTCGTAGAGACTGAAAGCACTGGCGCACAAGGATATGCCCAGAGTAACAAAGAGTTTAGAGGCAATCATAGTGAGTGTTGCTAGCTACTCAAAGGCAAAAAGAATTTGGGACGAAAAGAGTGACGCGGGTCAGTAAAAGAGAGAAGGACAAGAAGCCGTGATTTCTCAGCACAAAATCGCTTGTCGGGCGGTGGAAAACTATCCCTTAAATGAAAATCGTGAATTAATGGCCCGAGGTCGTTTGTATGCAGGGTGGATATGCCAAGTCGGTTGCAGGCAAAATGCAGGGGCAACATCCTGGTCTAGGGACATTCACGATTCTTATTTGACCGTCTTGATGTAACATGCTGTTGGCTGTTGGTTCCAAAAACCACATGAGTTTTAATTGCAGTCTACGGATAAATTATGGTTAGATGCAGCGTGAATGAACTCATCACCTTAAAACCAAAAAAGAAACAGTGCCTCAGCGATGTCTTCACCCAACAACTTGTCTGTTCCCACTTCACTTTCACTACCAAGGGCTTGCAAAGATCCCTAAAACATTACTATCACCATTAACCACAGAATGGCCACCATCTACGACATGGTTCAAATGCTATAGCAACCACCTGCCTATGACGATACAGTGGTCAACGGCCGGACATTTCAACAGCAAGCTCTTAAAGTATTACGGGCACTGCGTCTTTACAATCTACCATACCTACTACGAAACTGAATCTGATGAGCACTGGTCCAAGCTCTTCTAGTTTCTAAAAACCCAAGCCAAGACGGCACTGAGTTACTACGACGACGTAGATTTTATCGATAATAGCGGAAATTACATCCCATTATGGCGCGTGCCAAATCTTATAAGTGCATTCTTAACGATGAAACCTCAGGCGCGCCCATGGCTTCTTGCAAGTTGGGGTGCCAGGTGACCTTCAAGTAAACCATCTTCCGGTCGAACAGTCTTCACTACAAACAGAACATGAATAGAACTGACTCAACTGACCAAGGTTAAGCCATGAATTATTTATTGTTATGAAGGAGCAAAGGCAAAATGCTCTTGTCATCGAATGATGACCCAATCTCCCGTACCCGGGTCATATGAAAGATCATACACCGTCTCTGCGCCCTCTTCCTCAGGAACACTGAAGTCAATTATGACATTAGGTTCGTTGTAATGTCCCATGAACTCAAGTGCGAACTTGACATCGGCTCCAGTACTCAGACCTTCTCGGAAGACGAATGAAAAGGGCTCAGACCTTACTACTCGTCTGCTATCCTCAAGCTTGACAGATTGGAGGTACGTAACTGGCGTGCCATCGGTATCGACACCTGTCAGTATAATCACTTGACGTTCGTGTGCATCTCGCTCCATCTTGATGACAAGTCTGCGCTTCAATATGAAGCTTGGAATGGGGTATCCAAGCCTATCCATCACTCTTGTCATCAAAACATCTGATTCGGCCCAAACATGCATATCTGCAAGGCCTTCCATGAAAGTCTCTTGCAGATTACAGATGATAAGCTTGCTATTTCGACTCTTTCCGCATGTCTCGGGGATTCCACTCGCTGGAGGAACGCTGAGGGATGATCCGAGCGCAATGCAAAGATCAGCCTTCTTAGCATGACTTCGAGCAAGCCTGAGTGGTTCTTCTGGCAAGTATTCCCCAAAGTTGATGATAGTGTCGAGGAGAATTCCTCCGCATGACGTGCACTTGCGGCCTGTTCGATGATCATGTACTGACTTTTCGTAGCTCGCGACAGCACGGAAGTCTTTGTGTCTTAGCAAGTGACATATCATCCGGTGACTATTTTCTTACCTCTTATGTACTCTTTGCCACAGTCTTTGCAGCATTCTCGATTACTGTTACCGTGAAGTTCCGAAATTCGATCCTGCGGTGACCAGTCAGATCGACCAAGAGCGTATAGTCGGGCTCTTACTCGTAAAATGCCACTCCTTCGATGCAAACCGTCGCAGTTCTGACTGACAAGATACTTCAGAACCCCTTGGCTCTGGAGTTCTACCAGGGCCATATGCGTCGGTGTCGGGATGGCTTGAAGCGTGCTGGTTGCCTTTCCCGTGCGGGATCTTCCTTGAGCTCTCAGTGTCCAAGCACCTTCTGGTCCGCGGAAGTCGGGAATGCCTATACTAATCAACGGCTGAACTGCATAGAAAGGTCCTATTGTTCGACTTGCCGGCTGAAGTCGAGACGCCTGCACCCGTGAAAACAATGAAGTGCTTGCTCTTCTTGATAAGTGCTACGATCTCATCGGCCTGCTTGTCAACAACGCTAAGAGGGTCGCGGCGCTCCGGTGGCGCGACTTTCGGTGCGGAAGAAGCCATTTACGCAAACTTGAATCAATTTTCACGATGGCACTCAAATATCGGTCAGTGAGTGTAGTGCTTATTTATTCGGTTTGACGTTGCACATATCGGCTGACATTCACGGTGTTCACGCTAGGCAACAGCCCCGCTATAAGAATTGCCAGTCCCTTAATGTTTCATCGAGCTATCTCTATGACAATCAATCTCTCCACAATGGAGAGTCAGTCCCAGATTCCCAGGTTTATGTGGCCCTCTCCATCTTGGCGTGAAACTGAGGAATCTCTAGTCCAACAATCTCGCCATCCTGACCCAGCATGAAAACAAAGCTGATCTCTACGTCAGCACCAATTTCCTGCCAAGTAATACATGTAGGAGTGCCCATGTCAATAGGAGCACTCTTGTCCTGGAAGACAGCGATGAACTGGTGTCGGCTTTTATCCTGAACATTGGTTGGGTAGATTCTGAAATCGAGATCATCAGCCTGAATGCCGAGCTTCTGGGCTGTCTGCTTCTTGATATTGACCCCGCCAATCACAAGCTTCTGCACCTCAAGACCCCGGCCGTTGTCAGTGGTGTTGAATGCCGCTTCAGAGACCTTGCCCTTGTATAGACCGGCATAACGAGCCTCGAGTTCTTTGGCAGCAATAACTTGCAGGTAACCGAGGACCTCACTCACGATATCGGCATGAACGTTCAGGTCAAGCTTTCGGTCCTCAACAGTGTTATCATGGGCTAGAATAGCGAAGCCAGCATTGAAGTCGGTAGTGAGTCCGAAGTAGCTCGCATATTTGCCGATAGTGCCGCTCTTGGTCAAAGCATCGATGATAGGAGAGATCGCGTTTCCGGCACGGTAAACTTCCCAAGGTCGACCTACGCCATTACGAAGATTGGAAGTATCCACACCGGAATGAAGCCAGCGACGGGTAACAGCAGGTGAAAGGAGGTCTGAGGCAAGAATGGAGTGGCCGGCACGCGCGAGATCTTTAGCAGAGCTAACGAATGATAAGGCACTACAATGGTTATCAGCCATGGACTTGTCCTTTTCGGTGATCAACATACCCTGGTTCCCCAATCAATGAAGTGTTGAGGCTTTTCATGGCAAAGATATCTTCAACGCCATGGCTCAAAACTCCGCTAGAGCTCATGTTAAGAGGCTGCAGAAGGGTCTTGTCGAGAATCGAAGACCAATCACCGCCATCACCTCGTTGCATAGCAAAGACCAAGAGCTGAAAAGTGGCGTAAGAGACAACTGGAGCTGTGTCCGTGAGGAAGTATGGCGCCTTCTTCGCAAAAGCTTTTTGGAAAGCTGGACCTCAAGTCAGTATTATAGGCTTGAATAGGTGTATTGCAGGATGCTGCTTACCCTTCCAGTCGCAAGCCTCGCCAACAACACATGCTCCGGCTATATCACTCGTTAGTTCAAGTTCAGCAAGACTTGGAATAATAACGTACACTCTCGGCTGAGGCCTGAAATTTGGCCTGCCAAAGCACCAATGCTGATGTCTTCCCATTTCACTGTAAGCGGACCTTTGACTTCAGCAAGTCCAGGCAGATATTTAGTGATAGACGACTCCCACTGTTCGCCCATCTTGACGAGCCAAGTATAAATGGTAAATACCATGCTCACATCACCAATAGGATACTTGGTGCTTGAGGTCAGGTTGTCATTGGAGACCTGATCCTCAGGAGCTGTATAGTGATACTCAAAGAAGACTGGATCATCTCGAAGAGACTCAGCACCACCGAAGATGGCCACTGAGAAAGACGTAGTGTTGGGTGTGATTGGACCATATTTATCACTACCGCCGTTCTTGATCAGGTCATCAAAGGATTTGGTAAACTGAGAGATGAGTTTCTTGAAAAGGTCTGATGATTTGTCGATGGTGGGCGGGGGGTAGTATGCACCGATGGGAGCACATGCTTGAAAGGGGATATCATTGTTGATGCAGTTATCTTTGGCGAAAGTCCCGCTGATAAGGGCGCTCAAGAGAAAGGTTGAAGTAAACACACGCATTGTTGATTTGTTATGAGTGTTTGGTAAATGTTATGGTAGGCGACGAACCAGGAAAGCGCTGATGATTGTGAAGGATAGAAACTGCGCTGAGAGACCCTTCTTATACCTGACCCTGAAAGCATCCAATATCAAACTAAAAACTACATTACGACATGTCCGACGAGGCTTAGATGAGATGCTACATGGAGATCAATCCTCTGACTGACCGTTCTGTCTCGATTTCCCTTGTCTTGTAGTGTTTAGCGGGGGATTTTCACGTCTGGAGGTTCCACTCAGTCCCTTAGTCCGACTTACTCCGTACGTCGCTAGCGTACTACAACCGTTGGTCCATATCTTACTCCGTACGGCACATCAGTGAACAGAACCGGAAACCGCGTAATCAAAATATGTCTATTAAAAGGAAAGATCTAAGTTCCATAGCCCAGATTAATTGGGAACTCAACAGGATCTGTAAAGAGAAAAGTGCCGATGTCGAGGTCAGGGTTTTGATACCAATCGGAACTCATTGGCCAAGGGCCGGCTATGAACGGCATTGACGCGCCAACTGGCATGCCGCTGGCATCAGCCCCGACATTGAGCAACGGCTGATTGTTGACAGATGGACTTATAGATGCTGATGAATCAGGTGCCTGATGCTCCGCCTGCGAAAGATACCAATTCTCAAGCCGACGTATTCGTTTCGCAAGAGCATAGAAAGGATGATCTGGCGGGGCATCCTGACCCGGCGTCCCTTCGAACCTCAAAACTAGTTGACGAAGAGTATGCCTCATGTCTAAGAACCGACGAAGATGTTGCATAGATCCAGATATGCTTCCCCTCGCAGCGATGAGGTCAAGGCGAACTGCTAGATTCAGACCACAGTTCATCATGATCCAGCCCATGTTTGACATGTACATCTCTTCACCCTGTGGCATGACCAGTATCACACTGATGAGAGAGCGAGCTGCCGACATGCTTGCTGATAGCCAGTCTATCAATGAACTTTCGTGTTCGAATTGGTTGTTGAATTTGTCTAGACCGAAGGATGTCCCTCTCGGTGATGATTGGCTGAGAAGAAGTTCCAGGATATGGATCTGGAGAAGCAAAGGTGCTGTAAACCCATCATCAGAAATGCAAGTGGGAGTTTATAAAAGCTAACTTACGGCTCTCGCTTAGCGGGAAAGGCAGCGTCTCCTTGATCTCAGTACACTTTTGCGAGATTTCCTGACATCCAGAAAAGAATTGCAGACCATTGTTAGTAGACACAGTGTTGTTGACAAGGTCTTCAACTCCTTCAATGAGAGTCTGCACTGTGATCATATAAGGCAGATATTTGTCCGTGGGATACTCGTTCCAGGAGGCGAGGTGCTCGCAGCAAGCAGTGATGTATGGTGTATAGAAGAATTGACGCGTTTTCTGAAGAATGATAGACGAGCTTTGCTTTCTTAGCCCCGAGTCCAACAACTTCACTAGCTGACTCACCTTGAAGATAAGTAATAGGTCCCTGCAAGGGCTCTCATCTCATCGGGACCCCAATCTGGCTTGTTCTTATCCTTGCCGCCTTCAGCGCTCCACAGCTTCGGCCTTCGAGGTTTATCAAGTCGCAGGTCACTAATAATACTTGTGGCGAGATGAAGATGCTGTATGTATCTTTTTGGCTTTGCTTGATAGTGTGCCCTATATCGATTAGTTGACAGACACATAACAAGGTGCAGAGACCTACCATGCAAGATTGATGAGGAGTCCCTGTAGCAGATCAAGTTGACAGAAATCGCCTTCCACCATTTTCGCCGCCACTATCTGCTTGAATAGGTATCCAAGTGCTTTCTGTGTCGTTACATCCGCATGTGAAGCTGCGGCGAGTGCAGCCAGACAAGCATAGGGGCGCTCTGCGTTCAACTGCTCAACCAATACTTCATTTCGAAACAGTACAAAAGGAAAGTACGGGATCATCCGGGTCCTGTAACAATCGAGCAAGTCTCTAGCAGCTTCGAAGGTTATAATTCCTCGTTCAAAGGGATCAAATGATGCATTTTGGTTAAAGATGTCCTGCGCTTTATTACTAGAAGTTCCTCTTTCATGTGGACTCGTTGGCGACTTGGATGATTGCTCAGATTTTGATCTCACATCCAATCTCTCTCTAAAGTATTATCGATAAGTATCGTGTTTGAGGTCAAGACGTATTATTCTTACCTTTGGCGGTTCACATTCTGACGACGCCTTGCCTGGTTAAAGATACACGTCTTGCCAAGCCTCAAACATCGATCGCAGGAATCAGAATCTTGAGTTTTCGAACATCGAATCTTTAAAGAAAAACATGTCTGACATGTCTTTAATAACGGTAGCGGTGAGTCTCGGTTGTTTGAGGAAGCCATTATGAAATCACGTTGCTTTTGCGAATATGATGATGGCATTCTCCATCAGAGAATTGAAGGTGAAGAATGCGAGATCACGTGAGACACGGAACTCCGTACGTGCAGGATGAGGCTGTGTATAGCCGCGTAATCTGCGCAGCGAGACATCGTCATGGAGGATGATAACGGTATGATTATACTGATAATCTATGCTATATTACTATCTGTTTACGATGTCAATATTAAACTTGTGTTCCAACGATTGATGCATTGGGAAGCTGCGAAACTTTTGGTAGCCAAGGTGCAGGGTAGGCCCTTGCCGCGCCTTGCAATGACAACGCGTCGATTGAACTATCCTCGGGTAGATCCGGTTTCGTGGGTCAGATCATCAAGAGTTTTATGTAATAATAGTCCAGTTATTTGTCACTGTTCGATGTCTGATGCCAACAGAATGGATGGCGCAAAAACTGTCAGAGCTGTCCACTGTAGGATAGTGATCATTCCACTCAATCATCGGCGCAAATTAGCGACGAGATTTTGGGAACACGACTTGGAGCTTTCACGCTTATCGATCATCAAGTTCATCTGGGAATGGCATAATATTCTTTATCTCCGAAATTCGACAGCAAGATGGCATTCTCACGTGCTGCCGCGTTGAATGTGATCGCGGGCTGACGCCAAACTCCGGTTCCGCCTTGGATGCTCCGTGTTGAAGGCTCCGCGTTAGGTGCTGATCCCCCAATTCGCGACCCCCATCACCGCGAAGAACCTTCAGCAACCCCCTCAAAGGGATGGCAGAAAAGCCACACTTGAGTCCTGATTGACAGAAATACATATGTATATATAGGGTTAACTTGCTAGATTCTGTGAATTGTTTATTTACGCCACCTGATGTAAGCGTCACAAGGTTTCTGACACTCTAAGACCCATCTATCGGTATTCTCATTATAGGTTGCATCACGCAAGATACGAACGCGCTTGTCAAGTTGATATTATTCCGTCCGTTCAACGGCGAATGTCAAGCCCTTCGACGCGGGGAACCTTGTCTCGCAGACTGTCAGGAAATTACAGGACTCGCTAGACCTCATTTCGGCTGCGATCTGCGACTCTAGCCTACCGTTCGCGCCATGCCCAGCAATGTTCAGGTCATTCGTGCATTTTGCGATCGTCCGAACTCATGAACCCTTTCGGGGGTATTTCCACCGAGCGCCGAGGTGCAGCGGAGGAAAGCCGTGATATGGCTGCTGCCACTGCATTGAGCTGAACAGGGTATATCTCCCGAAATTACACGCATATTCTCATTGTGGTTCTCTATGGCGTCAAAACAGAGGGACATTGTACATAAGACAGAGTCAAGTTCTGTCTCAATCACGCAACTTTCTCAAAGTAACTACTTCTTTTTATAATTATTATTTGGCAGTCGTTGCATCATGCTGCGACAAGCCGTCCACTCATTTTTACTTGCTGCCTTCGCAGGCCAAGCCATGGCTGCTCCTAGCAACTCTTCTTCTTCATCCGCCAAAGTGCACTGGCTAGGTGAAAAGCCAGGCTTTACATCAGGAACTACTTTTGGTCTTCCCTGGCCTCAATCCAAGTACTCTCCCAAGAACACCAAATTCACTGCTTCTGGCTCATCCGGTCAAGATGTCGATCTTCAATCGTGGGTCACTGGATACTGGGCTGATGGCTCAGTGAAGTGGACCGGCCACGCAATTGGAGCTTCCCAAGAAGTTCTCGATGAATATGTTGTAAAGGCTGTTCCTTCTGATGGCGGTATCAACGCAACTGCATCTGCTGGTATTACTGTTACCAAGAGTTCTAGCAAAATCAAGGTTGATACTGGCAAAGTCACTGCTGTCTTTCCCAAGAAGGGCTCTGTGCTTGTCAAGGAGATTGAGACCAACGGAAAGCGCATCGCTCAGAACGGAAGACTCGTTCTTCAGTCGCAGAATGGTGTTTCTCACCCCGCTGATGACAACGCCAAGGCATTTAAGACGCTGCGCTTCCAGAGCAGCATTGACAACGTCACTGTCAGTGACCAGAACTCCGCACGAACTCTGGTCACTGTTCGGGGAAAACATTCAGCGAGTGACAAGTCTGGCCATAAGTCTTGGCTCCCATTTGTCCTCCGCTTCTACTTCTACTCTGGCTCCGAGTCGATCAAGATCATACATAGCTTGGTCTTCGATGGAGATGCCGAGAAAGACTTCATCTCAGCCGTTGGTATTCGTTTTGACGTCCCTCTGGAGGGCGAGGAGCTGTACAACCGTCATATCCGAATTGCTGGTGTTGATGGTGGTCTTCTCAGTGAAGCTGTCCAAGGCATCACTGGTCTTCGGAGAGATCCTGGTGCCAATGTTCGAGCTGATCAATTCGACGGCAAAAAGTTGCCCGACATTTCGACCTGGGATGTTCGCGTCTCCAGCCGTCTTCACTGGATTCCACCTTGGAATGACTACAGCTTGAGTCAGCTTTCTGCCGATGGTTTCACTCTCAAGAAGCGAACCAAGGCCGGCCAAAGCTGGGTCTCCATTCCTGGCGGTACTCGGGCTGAAGGTTTGGCATACCTTGGTGGTGCCACAGTTGGAGGTCTGGCCGTTGGTCTTCGCGACTTTTGGAAGCGATTCCCAACTGGCTTCGACATCTCTTCCGCTGCGTCCGACGTCGGAAGTATCACCCTCTGGTTGTACAGTCCTTCTGCTGAGCCTCTTGACCTCCGGCCCTACCACGACGGTCTTGGTCAGAAGAACTACACCGATCAACTCGACGCTCTTGAGATCACTTATGAGGATTGGGAACCTGGCTTTGATACACCTTACGGCATCGCCCGAACCAGTGAATTGTATCTGATTGCCTTTGACAAGACTCCTTCCCAGGAGACGCTGGCCGACCACGTCACACAGATCAACAACCCTCCCGTTCTCGTTCCTGAAAGCGAGTATATCCAGCAGACCAAGGCCATCGGTACATACTGGGCTCCTGCCGACACTTCAACTGCTGCCTCCAAGAAGCTCGAGGACAACATCAACTTCCTCGCCAAGTTCTACCAGTCTGAGGTTGAGCACCGCCGTTGGTATGGCTTCCTTGATTACGGTGATTTCATGCACACTTACGACCCCGATCGTCATGAGTGGCGATATGACATTGGCGGTTACGCATGGGATAACTCTGAACTCTCACCCGATCTGTTCTTCTGGCAGTATTTCCTCCGCACGGGCCGCGAAGACATCTACCGCTTTGCCGAGGCTCTGACGCGTCATACCGGCGAGGTCGATGTTTATCATCTCGGCAACTGGAAGGGTCTTGGAACGCGACACGGTGTGCAGCATTTCAGCGATAGTGCAAAGCAAGCCCGTATTTCACAGCCTCAATATCGCAAGTACTTTTACTACCTTTCCGGTGGTGACGAGCGCATTGGTGAGCTTTTCGAAGAGCTTCTTGACACCGACAAGACATACGGTGTTCTGGATCCTCAGCGAAAGGTCCGCAAGGATGGTTGGGTCCCTACGCCGAACGCGACTGTTGCTTTCAGCTTGGGCACAGATTGGGGTGCGCTTGCTGGTGGATGGCTCATTGACTGGGAGCGCCGGGGTCCTCGATGGGAGGAGTCTAAGGCTAAGCTGACTAGCACTGTCAAGAGCATCGCTAAGCTCAAGAACGGTTTCGTCACTGGCAATGGTCTTTACAATCTCCAGAACTGGACCCTTGGCCCACCTCCCTCTGATCCTGACAACAAGGGCCACGTTGAAGTCTCGCATCTGAATGCCGTCTTTGGTCTCCCCGAAGTTGTGTCTGAGCTGATACTGTACTTCGGCGATGATTTGCCAGAGGGCTTCAAGCAAGCTTGGCTCGACTATTGTTACTATTTCGAAGCCACCGCTGCTGAGCAGAAGGCTCGCTATGGCGTCGACTTCGGCAAGCTGAACCTGTACCAGGGTCACTCGCGTCTTACAGCTTATGCTGCGAACCAACAGCACAATACGACCATGGCCAATCTCGCTTGGAAGAAGTTCTTTGAGAGTGACGGATTCAAGGCACCCACCGCAACATTCACTACAACTGAGATTCCGGAGCATGAGGGACTTATCCCTGGTGAGGAAGCGCCTTGGATCTCTACGAATGATGTTGCGCAGTATGGATTAGCGGTGATTCAGAACCTTGCTCTTGCTAGGGATGCTCTCGAAGATTATAAGCCAAAGGCATAAGCGTTCGCATTTTGACGACTGTGGTTCTCTGTATTACACTCTCCTTTCAACTCCTATCTGGGATTCCCTTGTATCTATTCTCTAGTCCATAGATTCGTCGATGAATTGAGATGTTAAATCAGCTACTGGACCTTCGTCCGCAATGTAAATCGTACATCGCACAACTTCATGAGCATCCGTTTTATACGCCCTTAACATGGCCTCCTGTTCCTTTGTTTCGACCTGGACTGCCAACCAGGGCAAGCACCGTATCCCATTAGGGTCGTTTAAAGGTACCCAGTCTTGGCCCCTCGTCTTCAAGATTCCTCCATGAGTCTGAGCTTTTCTCAAGTGAGGCTCGTAGCCCAGCAGGTCGAAAAGGACATAATCCTCGGCTAGGGTTTCGTAAACAAAGTACTAAACAGGGTACTCATTCTGCGCCTGTCGTGGTGTATCAGAGAATTGCTCTAGTCGGCGATGAGGTAGCGTTGATTCGATGTCCAGTGTTGGATGTAGTGAGTGAAGTGACAGACTCTTTCTCGCTTGGTTGCATGGGATGAATGTTGGAACAAAGGTCGTGAGGCTCGGCTTTGGCCTCAGATACGCTTCGATAGTGGCCTTATTGATACTGTTGATCTCAAAGAAAGAGCCAGCCTTTCCTGAGGAGTCTGCAGCAGCCATAGCATCTTCAATAGTCGACGAAAGATCAACTGCTTGTGCCACAGCCGCCGTCGTGTCCAATGGCCCTTCAAGCTTAACCAAGAACTTTGAAGCTCGAAGCTTGCGTCTGTGCATCTCCGCAAGGTCTTGTTCAGAGGTCGACTTGGGGCATCGTAATGTCGCAAGAGTATTGGAATGCCTCGTGGTTGAATTCTCGTTCCATTCGATTTTGGACAATGCCTCAATGGTCGTCTGAGATTGTGATCTCGGGTTTGTGGCTGCAATAAATCTGAATGGTTTTAGCGACAGTTGAATATGAGTGCCGTAAGTGGATTTGCTGGTCATCCAGCAGCACAAGCATTCCTTTATGGGTCAAAAATCGTATAACAAACAACAAACTTAACTCTGAGTCAAACTTATGGCGAGGTGACTCTCATATTGTCTTTTCGAGAAGTTTGATCATATAAACTTGAACTTTATAAGGCGCTGACCACTAAGACAAAAGTGGCATGTTTAAGTAAACTATCCCTCCCCATCGTGTCTCGTGGCAACCAACGAAAAGGTTTTTTGTCCAACGCGTCGCAGAAGAGCCAGTCTTATCAACTTGACACATTGATGAACATAACAATAATGACAAACCCAAGCATAGTTGTTCGTCGCAAAACTGCGGCCCCCTCCAACTCGAATACCCACCTAAATTGTCTTGAGTTCCGAAGAGGCATACCTTGGGCATACCAGGTTGCAGAATCTAAAGCCCCTTTTGTCCCCAATGCCTGCTGTACCAGATCTTCTTTCTCAAATTCTCTGCAAGTCATGTTAGCACCTCTGAAAACACTTTCTTCACACACAACAACATACCAACTTCTCTTCGTTCCCTTTGTTCCCTCAGCCTGCGCTTCATGTCGTTCAGAACCCAGAGCGTCTCTCTCGATGCCCCATACATAGCCTCCAGCTGGCACAAAACGTCGATGTCATGGTATCCCCATCCCTTCAGTCTCATCTTGATGGCGAGCAGATCGCCTTCTAAGTCCTTAATATCCCTGTCTACACGTGCAGCGTCTTCATTCTTGCGAAGTTGTGGATCACCGCGGTAGGGTTTTTCTTTCACGGGAACGTGGCGAAAGGGTTGTGTGTTGTGGATTGGTGTGTGATTTGATTGAAACCCTGTTCCGTGAGATTTAGGACCTTTAATGCGAATGGCGCGCCTGAGTGCTTGAAAGACGCTCATTCTGAAGGGAGGGAGGTGAGTGGAGCGTGAGGTTGGTTTGGTGAGAGGCGTTGAGGTGGAAGACGTGGTGGGAGCGACGATATTTATATTCACAAAAATGACTTTCTGATGGAGCCTACTTCAGGTAATCTCATACGTGTTAAGAGTTTAACACTGATAATACTTTGTGGGTTGAATATATGCTTTCGTGATGCTATCGTGGCACAAAACCTCACCGACTGTGATTAGAAACGAGCTTTTAGCGAAGAAGGACAAAGGCTCTCAGATTAATGTGAATAAAGGACAAATGATAGATGGAAGATAATTGCCCTTGGCTGTGGCCCGAGTGAGTTTATCATAGAGCATAAGAACACGGACAGCGTTAATTCCCATAGCTTGCATAGTCAGGCTTTATGCACCGAGCCTCACTAACGAATGAGGCGCTCCCATGGTGGGGGCTTTGTATCGAACATAAAGCATATTTGTAGCGCTTTTGAGAAGTCATTCAGAAATTTGCAAAGATTTCGAACATTCTAGCTCAAGTCTAAGATGGTTATGATAAATCTAAAATTATTCTGCTAGGTTATTTACAACTGGTCTAAGCCTTCATAATCTCAGAAAGTCTAACAACACTAGCGCTAACAGTGTTGTTTCCACCAGCAGGAGGAAGAATACCCGCACCCATGATCATAAGCAGATCAGGATCCTTCTTAAATGTCAAAAGAGCACGAGTGTACGCTGTAGGCTGAGGAACACTCCACTTCTTCCAAGCAGACGCATCACCAAGAGCCTGGTTTGTGAAGATCTCTGACATGGTGCCGCAGCTAACAACGATCGTACCGTTCTTTCCACCATAAGGAGTCCAGACAACGTAGGGAGAACCAGCGGGTCGAGCACCATCGGTAGAGATGATCTGTTGACCGGGCTTGTTGAGGAACTTCTGGGGGTCCTTGGAGAGACGGTAGAAGACGGGGAACCAGTAGGTGCTACCGGCGGGAGGGTTGGGTCCACCGCCGTACTCATAGGTGTAGATGTACTCGTTGTTGGGGAGCTTGGCAACAGTAGGCATGCCGGGACGAGCGTAGTAGTCGTCGTACTTAGTGTCCTCCACAACCTTGCTCCACTTCTTGAGATCAGTGGTGGTCTGGTGAACAAGCTTTTGAGAGTGAGTGGCGTTGTCGCGCTGATCAGAATAGTAAAGAATGAGCTTCTCCTTGTATGTCCTACAAAATATTAGCAAACAGCCCATAACAGTTCAGCGTTCCACATACATCAGGAAAGGTTCCCAAACTGGGGTAAGCCCATGCTCAGGCTTAGCCTCGCCACCAAGAGCTACATGGCTGACGAACTCCCAAGTATATCCCTTGTCAAGACTAGCATAAACCTCGATAAGAGTCTCACTCAAATCAGTTGGGATACTGCTGCCCGAGATAAGAACAGTACCCTTGGGGTACTTTCCAAATCGACGAGGAAGCTCATAGAGCTGGGGCTGATATCGCAGACCCCAGTTGTTCTGAGTATCCTTGACCTTGGAGATCTCCTTCCAGGTCTTGCCGCCATCCTTGCTCTTCACAATGGGGAACCAAACGTGAGGAGGTTCGGGGGAGTAGTTCTCCCAAGTAGCCAGAAGGGTACCATCTGAGAGCTCAAGGGGACGAGCGTAGAGGACCTGAGGGTCGTTGTAGTTGGTGGGAGGATCAAAGATCTCAACGTTGCTGAAGGTCTTGCCCTTCTGAGCAGGCTTTGCCGCCACGAGGGGCAGCAAGAACGAAACAATGGTGGCGAAACGCATCTTGAGACCTGTTTCTGTTGTCGATGGCAGGTTGCTGATGCCAAAAGATGCGGTCAAGATTGGAGTCTTATATAGTCACCTTGCGCTTAAACCGTCGCATAACGATGACATCTCCACCGAGGTAGTGTCATTTCATGTAGTGTCACTGTCTCTATTCCGCTGCGGAGAAATTGAGCCCCATAGTCTGGGGTGTTAGTGATAAATCTGGGGAATATGGGGAATGATTGGCGCGCAAACTGAGAAACCCATGATTGAGTTGATGCGCGCCAATCGGCAACGAGGAACAATTCGGCAGTCGAGCAAGGGTGAGCATTTGGCTCGTGAATGAATGCGGGGGCATTCTCTTGATAGGAGCGATAAAATCTATGATTCGGTAAGTTGACGACCGAGATCAGCAGATTGCTTAACGCTCTGGGTAATGCAGTTGCTTGTTTTAGGTATTCGTCGGCGAACAATGGGGGCTCTACCCTTGTCAAGGTTTAGTAGCCTCGGATCAACACTGCAAATGGAGCCTAGGCATTGAGGCTCAGAACAGCACGAGACCGTACTTCAGGGACAAGGTTGACATGCGACAGCGTAGTATTATTCTGAAGCTTAACCATACGATTGGGTATTGATAGATTGGCAAAACCGTATTGACACCAACACAAAATCTTCGAACTTAGAGACGCTTGTGAGGTAAGCTAGGCGAGAAAGGAAGCTTGCCATGGTACCTCCTTCGAGTGGTATTCCTGCTATCGCTGGGACGACCAAATGGACTGATTTCGTGGAGTCCATGCGTATCACTGTATCGAGTTAGACGGACTTAGCTATGACTGACGAACAGGCCGATTGCTACGAGTGAACATCCCAATAAGGCGGCGTACAGTCGATGTTCGGGAGCCACCGTGTCACTCGTTATGGCGACTTTTTCTGTTAGATCGTTGGCTTAGACACGCGAATGTTACAAGCCCATGATGAAGTCGTGGGGACTGTTACGAGAGGTGTCAATGTTCCCTACTGATATAAACATTATGTACCAAAGGTCGATTTGACGCGCATCAAACAGGTACACAGTCGAGTAAACATTATTCTATGATCCGAAGAAGGATAATTACATCAGAAAAGAGCCTCCAGTATAAAGATTGACGGCGAATGACACTGGCTTAAAGATGGTAGCAGTGAGCTGCGATCCGCGGCAAAATGTCAACGTACCTCAAAGAGTGGCACATACGGAGTAAAAGCATCGAAGTGGTTGCAGGCATGAGGCCGTCAGCTTGCGCCAACGTCTGCTAAATATGATCCTACGAGGGCTTCTGGAGGTTTGAACACTTGCACCTTTAGCCAAGGTTCAAGAAGTGACTACTCAAAGAACCTGCTGCGTCTATCTTTGCTATCCTAAGCGTATTGTCATGTTCGATCGAGTTTCAAGTCTTCTTAAAACCCCCGACGATAGAAGGGATGATGTATTCGTTGCGCCCACTCTCGGAGATATTGGGAATCCAAACAGAACACTTAGCAGGCAAGGGATTTGATTTTGTAAGAGAACCGTTCAGCGACGATAAATGATCTCGGAAGGGTGAGGTTTGTCAAAGGAGTGATTATAGGATTGTAACAAGTAGATATTACAGAGATTTCATCTCAGCAGGCTCGATATCCGAACTAAATTTGGTATAAGATTCCATATTCCTTTGTCTTGCCTTCCTTTGGGCAGTTGATTTACTAATCTCCTCCAACTATGCGTAATCATCCCGAGGATAACTCACCGAGGCTATAGCCAAGCACGCTAACTATAACCTACCCCGCCACGTCAGATCTCATCCATGCCATCAATCGCGTAAGCACCACCAGCCCAACCTCCGTCAGCTCAAATATCAGCGATCGATACTGTTTTAAACTCACATGCAGCTCCACAAACCTATCGTCATTGCCAATCTCTGTCACCACCCAACATGAGCGCCCAGCCCAGGCCTCTCTCCTACATGGAGAAGCTCTCCAACGAAATCTTCGTTTACCGCCCCTCCGAACTTACCGCGCCGGACTCTCCGAAGATCATCATCATCGCCAGTTGGACCAACGCGCTTGACAGCCATATCGCCAAATATGTCGATAAGCATAAGGAGTTATACCCGACTTCGCAACTTGTTCTTGTGAAGAGCTATAACAAGAACTTTTTCGACCCCAAAGTTTTGGCGGAGTCGGTGAAGCCAGTGGTGCCAGTTATTAGAGCCTCGGTCCCAGAAGCCCCTTCATCAACGGCTGAGCCAGGAATCATGATCCATCTCTTTTCGAATGGTGGTTCGTCGAATATGTCAGCCTTGTATGATGTATACGCTGCTACTGCCCAAGAAGGCGAAGATCCGTGGCTTCCGCCTCACGTAACAGTGTTTGACTCAGCACCGGGTGCTCAGCGCCTCACCAACACAGCTGCGTTCTTCAAATCTACTGTCCCAAAGTCTTATCGCTGGGCTTTCATGCCGCTTGTATACTTCGTTGCCGCAGCCTGGCAATTCACTAAAGTTCTTGGTCTTACTAAAGACTGGCTGGCCTTCTGGGGTTCGACTCATAATACGGCCCAGGGAAAAAGGGAGCGTGAGATTCGTCGGACATACATCTATAGTGAGACAGATGAGTTGATTGATTATAAAGATCTGGAAGCACAGGCTGCTGAGGCGGAGAAGCTGGGGTTCGATGTTCATTTGGAGAAATTTGATGGATCTCTTCATGTTGCACACGCGAGAAAGGATGAGGCCAGATACTGGAGTGCTGTACAGAAGACTTGGAGTGGATTTTGAGTATTCGGCAGTATGCGGACTCAAAAGTGGTAGACCTTTAATCGGTGATACAATCAAGAGTAGTGAACACCTGATAAAGAGTATACTGAAAGATGAGGCAGAAGCGAAGTTCAATTTCACCAATTGGCCAAGATTACACCTAGGTAGTTCCATAGATCTATAATGTATACCATTTGTTTTTCCTTGTTGTCAGAAACTCATTATCCTAATCGGATGAGCCTTCGTCCCAGAAAATAATCTTCCAACTCCCGACCCGGTATAGAAAGTCAACATCGATATAACCAAATCTTTCATGGTAATCTCCCTTATCCTTCAAGACCAAGACCATATCCGAGCGAGGAAATGCTATCCCAAGCCAGGCATTTCCGCCCTCCAAATCTCTGTATACATCATCGCGTTTCTCGTACTCTTGCGTGATGGAAAACCCATCTGCATAGGTGATTCCATATCTCTCCGCGCCATCTTTTACAAAAGAGAGTTTCCACATGTTTCGAAGATTCCAATAATCGCCTTCCTTCCGCCGTATTCTTACATGAACAATTTGAGCCTCGATGAGGATATATTTACTCAACAATGGTGGTATTCTTTGAAAGGTATTCAGGTCCCTGAACACTTTGGCGTTGTCGATGGTGGTGCCATCTTCTAGTAGCAGAGAGGCTGTGACGTCTTCCTTGCAAGATTCGTTGACTGAAGAATATGCCTTGCCCTTCCAGCCGATCCACGACCAGCTCGGGAAATCCGGTCGTCTCTGTGTCGGGCCTATTATACCCCAATTGAGAGCAGAAACTATGGCATCCCCGATCGAATTATTAGCACCGCATGGAATCGGCTGACCCCAAATGTGACGAAAAGAATCTGGAAAAGCATCTTGGAACAGATTGAGGATGCCGAGAAACGCATTCAGCGTATCACTCGGGTATGTAATCTTTCGTTACGAAAAGTCTCCAGTAAGCCGATACATACCTTTAGGGCCATCATTTTCCGCGATAAGATGTAGTGTACTACAGTGAAATGGATCGCATACATCATCACTGCGGGTCTGGGCTAATAGATAGAAGTCTTGTTCGATAGTTTCCCGGAATTCACGCTCCATACAGTGAAGGTACACCTGTTCATCTGTGAAGACGAGCTTTCTTCTTGAAACAAGGCCCTCTTGATATGTCCAAGCTCGAGACGCCCATGTCGTGTCTCAAATTGCCTCTTGTGCACTTCGGCCGGTGGAGACCAAGCGATGACGTCCAAGACACAGGTCCAGTGACGGCGGTTTGACTCTTGGAGTCCTTATGCCTGGGAGTTCCGGCTGCGGCAATGATAGTCAAGTCTGCTTCGCGGTAAATTTTGTGTATCTTCTGAATCTGCTCTCGCTTCTCGAGGCATTCTTGCCGTGGCACGCAGTACCTGTCTACCCAGAGGAACTGAATACCGATTTCTAGCGCGACAGCGATTGTATCTTCAATGGTCTGAGGAAGTCTGGATATGGAAGAATATGACTCTGTTGCAGAAGTATTGTCTCCCCATACATACGACAAAGCGGCGAACCTCGCTCCGGTCGGCAAAGGCTCCAGGTCTCGAGTCGTATAGTTAATGACAGCAATACCCTTTGGTAGAGATCGTTTTACTGAATCTGGGTTGCATAGTTCCCCGTGCTGTCCGGTGCAATGCGTAAACCATGGCTTTACCGCTGCAAAATCGACGTTAGCGGGGTCAATCAACGGGACTCGCTGACCGACTCCATTAAAAGCGTCAGAAAACTCAGCCAAACAACCAAAGTTGTGAGCTGACTGTGGTACTAGACTGTACCAGAAAGGACTGTCCATAGGTCTAGGTTGACTGCGAATGACTAGCCATGTCGAGTCTCTTTGAGCTTTCGCTCGTTCCAGAACCTGATCACCCATCCCCACATCAAATGGGACTGTGTGTTCCGCACTTCTATAAGCGAACTGACTTGGAATAGCGAACATGCAAAATTTCTCTTCTCTTATACGGGGCCAGTGTTATGTTCGCCGGCCGCAATAGAAGACAGTGCGTGGCAAAAGGGACAGTCTTTGTCCTGAAGAATGGCACTCCGTTTCCCATGGAATGCTATTGGATCCCGGCATTAAACATCGGACCAACGACCGGAAAGAACATCTACTTGGCAATGATAGACTCTCTGTAGATCAACCGAAGACCCTTAGTTAGTGCAGGTAACTAATAATAAATCCATTGACATAGATCAACCAATGCCATGAACAACGTGACATTACCGATTATTATTAGTGAAACAATGTTTAAATCTTGTAGCTAACTTCTGCATTTTAGTATTGACGTTGGTTGTTCAGCCTTTTATTCTCTGACCGAGCTCGTGTTGTACTTCATTCTCCCTTACAACCCTTATATGATTAATGTTTTATCGACGACACGGTGAACAGTATTAATTAGAACCATGTTAATAGAATAGGCGATATGAGAAACAACATGTCACCCAATGCTGGTCAGGAGATCTGAGATGAATGCGGGTCGAACGATGGCTCGGTTCTTCTGTTCAAGGTTTCAGATATCAACGGAGTGCATGATCAAGAGTACAGAGGAAATATACTTATTGTGATGCTGAACATCAACATTTAATAGGAGCGATGAACAACATCTGAATCTCTGCGCATGCATGACATGAAATCCTTTAAATACCCCCTTCGCACCCCTCCAAATCTATCATCATCCACTATCACAACAACCTTCACAGCAACCTTCACATACCATCCCAGAAGATCCCAACATCTACTCAATAAAGACTACTAACAACCCTTCCTCACAGCAAAGTAACTCGATCATCCTTCAACATGTGTCTCACAGTCTTCTGGGTCCACGAGTGTGTCTTCTGTGGCACCTTCAAGGATAATACCAATCGCTACAACCCCGAGGTTACAGATGCATGCCCAGACTTTGAGGAGAAACTCCAGTGGCGCTTCTGGGTCTGCCCCCGTTGTGAGGAGCAGAAAGCTACTGACGAGCGCAAGTTTCTGCCTGGAGGCCAGCGCCGACAACAGCAGGGTATCCAGAATGGGCCTCAGTTCCAGAATGCTCCGCAGTTTCAGAATGTCCAGCAGTTGCAGAACGGCATTGGCGGTCATCACAACGTTCAGCAGTACCCTCCTCAGCAGGGTGGCCATGAGCAACCTCCCCCGTATTTTCAGATGGGCAATCGTCCCCGTCACCAGAACGAGCCCCGCCCCCAAGGCCGTCACGAGAGCCATGGTCACCACCACCACTACTAGGTAAGAGTGTCCTAGGTAGTTGCCAGTAAGTTTCCCACCGTTCTGTTGTCCAGGGTGTTGGTGAGTAGTCGATGAATGACTAGGAACTTGGTGAACTTCTATAACAAAGAGAAAAGACCACCAAAAAAAATATGAAAATTTGAGGAAAGCCTACAAAAAAGGGGTATTTGATTGGAGGAACAAGAGAGCACAGAGGAAGAGGTTTTGGAAGAGATTTTGCAGAATCGGAGGATAAAGGTAAGTACGGTAGATGTGATGGATGAGATAGTAGACAGATTGCCAATGAGATTTGTTTGGCGCAACTTTATTACATTAACTATTAGAACGAGTGCCTGCGTGAAGATGAGCATAGCAACCGAGCAAATCATTGAGAATGCCAATATCACAATCGAGTACTAGCTGAAATTGTTGAACAGAATTGCTCCTGTAGAATCTTCATCATGCTTCCTGATGCTCCTCATTGGCTTGTTTGAGTGAAAAGGTGGGGGCAGAGCGCCACATCCTCTTTGGCAAGTCCACTCATATAAAAGTGCAGAGTTGTGTAGTTTCTATAAGCGTCGTTGCGCTGCTCGTGTAAGAAACAGAAGTCGGCGTCAACTACCATCTGTTCAAGGCCCTCATTACCTTGGCACATCGTATGATCAAACCCTGGTCATCTATCTGCATGCGCCGCGAACTCAACCAACAGGATGACAAATCTCGACTGGGATTGTGATTCTCATAAAGAAGCATGATGTTGTCCGGGCGGGGAAACCCTCAACATTGCGTGATTAAATAATTTGCATCAAAATGGCAGAACCAACTACCAACACGGAGCCTGTCCTACTACCCGATGAACAGGTTATTCTTCTGGTTGCTAAGAAGGAAAGGGACACTCACTAACTATGGAACTCAGTCTGACGAAGAGCATGACTCCTCAATTGGTTCGGTAGGTCGTTTCTCACGAATCTCTGTCGTTACACGTTGCCGACTGACTTTGTTAAATAAAGAGCCTGGCATCCACGTCTGAGAGCTTGAGGAGCTCCATTCTAGACTATCGAAAGGAAAACGGCAGGACCTATCATCGGTATAAGGATGGGAGTAGGTTTTCCCAATTGCTTTCGTGGTGTTGACTAATGACTACAGAGTATAACCTTCCCAATGATGACGTAGAGAAGGAGAGACTTGGTATGTCAAAGCCTTCAAATACCACCTTCACGGCTGATTCTTGCAACCAGACTTGCAGCACAACTTGTTTATTTTGATGTTCGACAACAAACTCGGTCTCGCACCTCCGAATGATCCTAAATCTAATGCCAAGCGTGTTCTTGACGTTGGCACTGGGACGGGAATATGGGCCATCGACTACGCCGACGAACATCCCGAAGCAAAGGTGATTGGTGTCGACCTCTCACCAATTCAGCCTGACTTGTAATTTCTGCCTGAACATTATTGTATAACAACTTACAGCGACCAGTGTTCCACCCAATGTGGAGTTCTTCATCGATGATATCGAAGAGCCATGGACCTTTTCTGAGCCATTCGACTACGTTCACAGCCGGATGATGACATTTAGCATCAAGAGCTGGCCCAGCCTTGCGAGAAGCATTTATGAGTAAGATATCTGACTGTGTGAAGTGCATTGATATTGACTTTCTTAGCAATCTCGTTCCCGGAGGTTATGCGGAGTTACTCGAAATCGACCTCTTCGCTCAGTCAGACGACAACACCCTCACTGAAGATCACCATCTCTCCAAGCTTATCCACCTTCTTGACGAAGCTTCCACCAAGATTGGTCGCCCATTCCAGGACAACAAGAAGAACAAGGACATTCTGCGCGATGCGGGATTTGTGGACATTGTAGAGACTGTCTTCAAGTGGCCGACGAATCGCTGGCCTCTGGATAAAAGGTACAAGGAGATTGGTGAGTGGAACAACTTGAACATGGACAGTTTCAAGGGCCTTGAGGCGCTGTCCATGGCAGCTCTGACGAGAGTCCTTGGGTGGAGTCAGGAAGAGGTTACGGTCTTTCTGGCGAAGGTCAGGAGGGATCTGAATGACAGGACAATTCATGCTTATTGGCCGGTGTAGGTGCAGTATATACCTTTGAAAGTCAAGTGCTAACTGACAATCTACCAGATACTCAACTTATGGAAGAAGACCTCTCGATTGAGCCGGCGAAGAAGCATTTAGGGCTCTCATAAGAGTGTATAGGGAATGGTGGTATTGTTTATTAGTATTAGCTGTTTAACAAACCAAGTATTTCGACCTAGAGAAGCATCCCCGCAACCACGAATAGCACACTAACTACCCTAAGAGGGACACTCAACCGTGGTGCACTGTCAGTCACAGGGGCTGCAGTACCTTTAGATGACTTCTGAGCAGTACTTGAAGCACTCTCAGCGCCTTTGGTGCTACTGGTGGTTTCTCCATCCGAGGTCGTAGAGGCCGAGGCCGATGTCGCTGAAGATCCGTGTGAAGCATGCGAAGTAGCTGTGGCTTCGCTCGTGGTTGGAGAGGCCGTAGAGGTACCACTTTCCTTTATTTTGATACCGCAGACCTTTTCAGCGTCAAAGGTGAAATCGAGGTTCCTGGCCTGGCATTCTGTATGCTGGCGCTCGATGGATTCTACGCGTTGCTTGTCAGAGAAGTATGATCTTCAAAAGCTTAAGGAAAACTGACCAGGCATCACATCAGGGTCACACTTCTGGGCCATACAGCAAAAGTACGCCTCACGATACTTGTGATGGGTGCACATGCAGGCCGGGTCATTCGTACATGAACCGCCCGGGAAGCTGTCATCTAAGCAGCCATTCTGAGGCATCTGTTAGTTCACGGACTCATAAATATGATGGGAGCCACTTGCATCGCATTCTGACTTACGCAACTCCGCCCCTTGATCGAACTGCGGCGCGGCGACAGCAAGACTGGTGCCAATAAGGCCGAGGATCACAAAAGCGTTGGACAGGCGGACCATAGCATCAGCTTAGAACGGACGGATTCAAAAAGCGAACCAAAGTCTGTAGACCTCTACGATTTCTAGTGAGGACGGATGACTCAAGGGGGCAAAGGATGAGTAGGTTGTTTTCTAATGAGTGATTTCGGGGTTGCAACGCGTTGCTGCGTCGTCGTGAGAACACGATAATTATGACGCTTGGCTTGATTGGGCAGCTGAGCATAGTGCTGGAATCGGAATAGTGGGGGCGAAAGCGCATGGTCAGACACAACAATACGAGCGATCTTAGTGGTAGAGAAAGGGCAAAGCAACAAGGCAGTTGAAGGAGAATCAGCAATCCAGCGGAATTCATTATCAAGTCACATCGTATCAGTTTGAAACAACTTCCAATCCATCAGAGTCAATTCGTGAGGGAGAACAATAACAGGACTACCTCCAGTAAAGGGAGCAAGAAGGCTTGGTGATCTTCCATGCCTCATCCAATACCTCCAGCACCTCTTCTGGCAACGGACGCTTCTCGACATTATCCAGATTACTCTCAAGCTGACTCAGAGAGCTGATACCAATAACCAAACCATCGTTGCCATCCATGACCTTGAGCTTGCTATGGTGAACAAGCCATCTAAACGCAATCTCCAACAGGGTTAAACCCAACTTATCAGCAACTGGTTGAATCACCTTCAAAGCCTCGAAGTTGACATCTTTGAAGTATCTATTACGATACATCGCCCCAATCACCGGGTCCTGGCTAGAATATCGGCCGCCGTCGTCGGGAATTTCTTTGCTTTTGTAGCGACCTGAGAGTACACCACCAGCCAACGGATTATAGACCAGAATATCCATCCCGAATTTGCGACAGCATGGAACAAGTTCTTCTTCGATGGCGCGGGTCAAGCAGTTGTACATAGCCTGATAAACGCTTGGTTTGACCCAGCCTTTCTGGTCCGCAATGGTACAAAGCTCAGCGACTTCCCAAGCAGCATAGTTGCTCAAACCCAGCTTCTTGAACTTTCCCTCTTGATAAAGTTCATTGCAAGCCTCAAGTGTCTCCTGAAACGGAACAAATCGATCAGGTGCGTGAAGGTAGAAAATATCTACGCTATCGGAACCAAGTTCGCTGAGGCTCTTGTTCAAGTTTTCCTTGACAACGGCTTTGGAGTGATCGCCAGGCTTGTAAGGATACCACTTGGTTGCAAGAGTAAGATTGCGCTCTCGCCAGTTGGTACGCTTGGTCCATCCTTCTTGCTGACCGCCGACGTAGGTTCTGGCTGTGTCGACTTCATTGTACCCGCGAGACTGCAGGTAGTCGAGGCATTGGTTGAAGGTGTCGAGAGAAGTGATACGGCTTCCGTAGGTTTCTGATCCTTCTGGGCCAAATGTCAAGAGTCCCAGGCTCACGCGGGGCTTTGTCTTGAGTTTTTGACTGTTTGACGTTGCGGTTGCAGTCATGATGTCAATGGTGACACTCTGAATGATGAACAAAAAATTGGTATAGTTGATAAGTAGTTGTTTGTCCTTTAAGAAAGCTATATTGATACAGCCTGTGGATAGGAGTATGTATTATACTACTTCTTCTCAGGACATGTAGGAGCTGATGATTTTGATACAGAAATACAAAATACTCGGATGCGATGCCGTTGTCTGATAACCGGCAACATTGCCTCGAAGGGAATGTTTCCGCGCTAATTACCGTTAGCGGAACTCCAAAGTCAGCAGGTATCGGCTTCGACACCAAGACCTACCATATCTGAAATTGTAGTGGACTAGTTACCCCGCGTTCTGTACATCGGGCTCTAGCGAATCATGGCGTCGCAATCGAGACTCCCAGTATTGAGTCGCCTCGGCTTCTAAAGCCGTGGACCATAGTGCTTGCGGCAGAAGAAGCCGTTATCATTGAAGCTGCTCATGGCAAATAAATTATATAGTCACTACTATGATCGAAAAACTTCTATGTGAGGTCATCTATAAGTTGGATTGTCATATGACTTGAAAGTATCCATCCCAACCATAAATAACTTCGCAGCCTTCCATTCCTGTTCGAAATCATGACAACCTTCAACCCCCGCGGTCTTGGCGATGTCAAAGTCACAGATCGATTCGACCTCAGCAACAAGTATTTCCTCATCACAGGAGGCGGCAGCGGTATTGGCTTCGCCTGCGCAAAAGCCATAGCCCAGCTCGGCGGTGGTGTTGCTGTAATTGACACAGCTCCCGAACCAGTAGAAGAGTTCAAATCCCTAGCCGAGCGTTACAGTATCAAGACTTTTTATACCCGAGGCGATGTGACTAATCAACAGTCTCTTGAAAAGGCATTCGCAGAGTGCGTTGATGCCATGGGGGGACAACTCCATGGAGCGCTTACAGCAGCTGGCATTGTCATGGATACACCATTACTCGATGCAGATTGGGAAGTCACTCAACGAGTCCTCAACGTCAATGTTATGGGGACATACTGGACTATCAAGCTTCTCGCACAACATCTTGTTGAGACCAAAACTCCTGGAAGTATTGTTGCGATCGCAAGTATCAACGCTCAGAGCCTTTATGTGCCAGTGCAGCCGAAGTCTGCTTATAATGCCAGCAAAGCTGCTATCAAGGGCCTTATGGGACCTTTGGCTGGAGAGTTGGGTCAATATGGGATCAGAGTCAACTGTATTTCGCCAGGTAAGTCATCCTTTGACGATGGGCATCACTATCGTTAATCATAAACTAGGTGCTATTCAAACCCCTTTATTGGCACGCTTACAAGGAGAGAAGCGGGCTATTCTTGACTGGTATGAGAATGGATCGCCATTGCAACGGCTTGGTGTGCCGGAGGATCTGACACCTATGGTATGCTATTTATTGAGCGATGCAGCTGCGTTTACAACAGGTGCAGACATGCTGGTTACAGGTATGTTTGCAAGTCATTCATTCGAGACAGAATTACTGACCCATCATAGGTGGGTTACATGCAGGGTCAGCTCTGAAGTGAAGAGTCGGCACAGGAGTGAGAGGGTGTAGATGACGTTAGAGTGGGGTTTTGGAGCCTGAGTATTGTGAAAAGAAAGAGATGTTGAGATTAAGCGAAGAAATAAAGTCACATAAGAAATGTCAAGCATGATTTCTTATAGAGTTCTGATTTCCCGTTGAGCGTACCCAACAGACACAGACGGTGTTCAAGTTTCCGACTCAGTTCTTACTTTGCCCGTGGCGGATGTTTGGACCTCCTTAGCTCAGGATAGTTGCAATCCAAACCTGATTTCGAGTTGATCGAGAATGAAGTTTCAGGTGTGTATCTATGTTTATAATCGTTCCCAAGAATTGACTTTGTTGGACCGCAAACTAACGGATTGTTACGTTGTATATAGGGTATGTCACCAAAAGCTTCGAGGCAGCTCCGCGTCGAGCTAGTGGCAAGGACACCATGAATAGCCTTTGGTAGAGCTTTTCCAAGAGAAATAAAAAGACTGCCTAGCGGATCCTTCCAGATCCTTCAACAAGGATATTCATTCTCATGCTCTGAAACCAATTCTACATGATCATCCGCGGTCCAATCGTATTGAGCAAAAGTGTCGATAATTTCCTTATGGTGCCGATTTTCCGCCTTATCTAAACGCAAGGTGGGGCGATCTTTTGATTATCGTGAAGCTAGACCGCTTTTGAAGAACCATTCGAGCGACATCGTCACTCCTCTAAGCCACGTTCGAATGGAAATGCTAAAAGCAGGAATTCATTCGAACTACAACTGCCGATCTCGCACTGCCTGGGAGGCCGCAAGAACAAGTATTATTGTTGAATTCTTGTTTCAAATTGAGATCCCATCAAAGAAGTCTTTTTTCGTGTTAAGATTGGAGAGCGTCTTGACCCTATCATGAGCCAAGAAACGGTAGAAGCTAAGCTTAGATAGGATATTTAAGGGTCCAAGTGCACTGCTTGGCAGAGCGTTGAACAGAGTGGATTCAACTGCTCCCATTGCCCTATCAACTCTTTACAAAAGCGACTTTCCAAGTCGACAGGGTACAGCCACAAAAGTGAGATGGCTGGCCGCTCTCACCTAAGTCAACAAATCACAGCAACCAACCTGTCCAAAGCTCCCAAAACCCCTGCCAAGCGTTGAATGGCTGACGCGCCAATCCCTGTACCTGTCGGATAAGCCCGCGGAGTACCCCGTTCACGATATAGAAGAGGTGATAATGTCGGTAGATCGGTCGTATCAATGGCCGTTTTGGTGGGAAGCTATGCTGTAGGGCTGATGCTGATCCATAGCTGGCTGTGCTGGCTGCGCTTAGATAGTAGTATCTGAAGGTTTCATTGCAGGGGTTTAGCTTGAGGATGACGATGTTGGGATTTGTATATATTGGGCTTCTGTCGCTGGTTGCGAAAAACCTATATCTCATCTTCAAAACAGACAAGCGACTACACCTCAGCCTATACTTGTTTTTGACTTTATTTTTGTTGACTTTATAGATTACCACCACGATGGGTCTCTTTAGAAGCGGCGACGACGATAAGTCAAACGTGACTTGCCCTACGCATTCTTTCGCCCAAGGTACTACCAACCCCGCCGACGCGTCAACCTCTGGCTAACACACGAAAGATGCTGAGAAGAATATTACCGGTAGCATGAGCTTCTATCAGCTGAGCATGATAATCGGCGGAGCTTGTGCTGCTTTCGCTCTGATTGTCATGTTTTTCACCAAGATGATGCACGCAACGCATCTCTCCAATCCTTCAGAGCAAGTCAAGTACGCGCAGGCAACTCTCCGATCCCAGTATACGTGCTAACATACTCAGGATCATGCGAATTGGCACACTGATTTCTGCGTTCGCTATTATTTCGTTCCTCTGCATCTGCTTCCCCACTGCAGCAGTATACATCGAACCCTGGTTACATGTCTACGAAGGTTTCGCCCTTGGATCCTTCTTTCTCCTTCTCTGCGACTATGTGTCACCGAACCGCGACCAACAAGACGTATTTTTCGCAACAAAGAAGAAGAATGGTATTAAATGGTTCAAGGTATACCAATCTTGTGGCGGGACTTAAGAACCCTATTGACCTGGCTTTTCAGACACGATGGATCATGATCTTCCAGATGCCCGTCATCGCGATTGGCGTCGCTGTTGCCACCGATATCACCCAGGCTGCCGGTATCTTTTGCCAGGAAAGCAACTCTCGACACTTTGCCAACATTTACCTCCGAGTCATAATGTCGATCTCCCTCGTCGTTTCAGTCCTCTCGATTCTGCAGATGTACTTCCTTCTAAAGAAGGATCTCGCGCATCACAACCCGATGCTAAAGCTCACTGCTTTCAAAATCGTAGTCGGCTTGACTTTTATCCAGGGTGTAAGTTCTGTTCCCATCTCCTGTCTTTTGCATAACGCTGACTGCTCAGATCATCTTCTCAATTCTCAATGATCAGAACGTTCTCAAGCCTACCGATACCCTCACCTACGCTGATGTTCACGTTGGCATTCCCAACCTTGTCATTTGCATCGAAATGGCTCCTCTGTCGCTATTCTTCATGTTCGCGTATCCTTGGAGCGTTTACATGGCTGGCCATGGCCGTGGCAGCTTTACCAAGTTGGAGCAGGCCAATGCTCCCGAGATGTCTTACCAGGGTGGTCCTTTCGGCATTCATGCTTGGCTTGCCATGTTGAACCCCTCCGACTCCCTCAAGGCTATTCTGTTCATCTTCAAACGGGATGACAGGAATGGCTCTTCAATGTCGGTCAACATGACAGGATATCACTCCAACGATCCTTTGGTGTCGCGTCCCTATAATCCTCAGCCCTACTCCACCACAAATTAAGGCTGAGAGAGCGAAACTGTGTTTGATGTCTCTTATGATAGTGGGAATGACAACGAGTAGGATGGGATGGATTTATGGATAGAATAGCTGCAAGCGGACGAATGCTTCCTTTACGTCGAACCTGTTTATGTTATTATACACCTTAACTCAATGACTACAATTTCTTAGATGACTGGTCCATGACTCCTGCTCAAGGCATGTTAGTTATGAAACACGGCTAAGAGTACCCGAAGGTTCAGTACAAATTCTGTGTCAAGTGCGTTTCTATTCAAGCCGTACTATGGCCAGTGAATACCACGTGCCCAAAAGAACGGAATCGCCCCCTCGACCGTCTCGCATGGATCCTAGTAGATATACTGCTCAAAATACAATCTGGGGGTCTCCCGTTGTCCCAGTGATGCTACTATTAGGGGATACATGTTAACGTGCCGGAACATTGTGTCAAAAAGACCAAGGCAGAAGCTTACTCTCTTCCAATCAATCTTTGTATTTCAAAAAAGGACTCCACAGTTTCATCCAATTAGAAAGCGCCTTCATGGCTCAGTGGTAGAGCGTGTCACTAGTAATGACAAGGTCCACGGTTCGATCCCGTGTGAAGGCACATGAGCTGAATCGTTCAGTCTTATACTTTTGACGATCCTTTTTTGAGGTTTGTTTATCCTAAATCCGGTCAAATTCTTCCTCCAGGCTTGCTGTAGTCAGGGCTATAAACATCTAGGAACTTACATACCCATATCGACGCTTAGACCTGAGCCAGGAGCGAGTACCACCGGATCCCCATATATCCATCATGAAGATTACTATTCCCATCTCCGGTCCACTTTGCCCAATTTGTTTCACCCGAGTCCTGATCGAACAAACACCACTTTCCCCTTCTGGCTTCACAACAGACTCCTCTTGCTTTCACCCCATGCATCAGCCAGTCCCCTGGTGTTTCAACAGACGATACTGCAGAAGCTCCGCCAGCAACAAAGCCGTACAGATACACTCGCTTCAACCTGGGAAGAGTGTCTTTGTCGATGATTATGTCTCCGAGGGCCTCCACGAGTGCTCTATTTCCCGCGCCGGTCTTTCCAGTAGAGAGGAACTCGTCCTCAGAGAACCCTTCGTTCTCTTCAATTCCTGCTGCAGGTCGATGTTCGATTACGAGGGTCTCAAGGGTCTGGCTGGACGCCAGGATGAGCCGTTTCCATGCTTCGAGACTTCCTAGCTCTGCGCGGTTCGACCACGGGTTATGCTGATTGAAGTAATCACCACGGCTGTTGCATGGCGAGCAGAGATATAAGTGCCTGAGTCCCGAAAGATTCAGGGAAGCATCGAGGAAGAAATTGCCAAGCGGACGTGGGATGACTCCCCCAGGCTGAAGTTCCCATCGGCCGTGATTCATGTCATATTGTTCGCTGATACCGACGCCCTTGGGCAGCGGCTGATCCAATACACCAAGCTCCAGACGCTCGAGCGTTTCGTGAGATTCAAGAACGTAGGTTGCAACAGATCGGGGGATATAAGCGAGCAGCTTTGCAAACCGCAGCTTCGTCAAAGGCCCTGCTTGTATTTTCCTAGGCTCTTCGGCTTGGGACGATTCATAGATACCATGAAGCTCCAGATATTCGAGATTAGTCAAGTAAGGTAAAAGATTCCAAACAGAGACTGGTTCTGCCACCAAGCCTTCGTCAGGTTTCCAGTCTGGTTCAATCACCGTACACAGACTCTTGACTCTGCCAGCAAGTTCTCTCAGTCGTCCTTCATCGTGAGCATGGAGTTCCTGCAGCATAGTGAAGAGACTCTTTGCTCTTTCACCAATATTGCTCTGCCAACCAACCCTTTTAGTATCATGGTAAAACCTCTTCGGTGACCTGTAAGGTAATGGCTCGTTGAGCTCTGCGCTCGAATCATGATAGCCTTTCTCGTGAAGCTCGATATCCCCCCAGAGGCAGTCTCCAGCGATGGATGCCAACCGCTTACAAGTATAACTAAGACGACATAACTCCTGTGGAGGACTGCCGCGAATGATCTGGAGAAGGATCTCACAGGGCAAAGATTCAAGTGAGGCCATCTTCATACCTGATAATGTTGATTGCAAGAACAAGAGTATTTATACAGCGTAATCTTTTTTCTGGACATACGTCAATTGCTTATACTGCTTACGAGTCTCACCTCCCGTGATCCGTCGGAGAGCGGCGCATGCTGTCATACTAGTCGACTGGTGTGCAAGACAGTATCCTTGACTCTAGGGAAGGGCCTATCAGGTCAATCAAGGCCACTTACGCCGCCCAATACCAATTTTGGATGCATGATTGACATTTATGCTAATTATGAGAGACAAAAGACAGGCTGTTCAGAAGATTGACCACTGAGATAGGAATCGCCCCCAATATCCTTGCATCTATGTCGCAAGGCCGTGAAATAAATATTATAAGAATTGAAATAAGAAAGGACTCCACCACCTGGAAAGCTGAAGTTTGGGATGATGGAGAGACGCGAAGTGGGCGTTGAAGTGGCACCACGGCTTCGCATAATCGCATTCATTTTAAGGTGAACCAAGTAACGCCCAACGATGGGATTTGACAGGTGAACAACGGAATCATGACTGGCCCATTTCTGGTGTGAAGCAGTTGTAGATAGAATAGTAGACCTTGAGCGATGATAATATTGTAGCAAGTATATTGTCTCAGTAGAATATATATATTTTAAAGTGTATCAAATAGCGTCAAAGAATTATTGGAGTACTCATCATGCGCTTTGACAGTTCTGGTGTCTGAACTTGTTTGAGCCTTCTGCAAAAGCCCAATATTCAACATAGCTTAATATACTTGGAAACGAAACAGTTCCTAGACATGCTATTCATTAATAAGAAAATAACCCAATGCCGATAACTCATAAGCAAAAGATAAGAGAATCATACACCGGATGACTACCGATATGCTGTGCGTCGTGTTGCGCAATCGGATCCCTGTCCGTAACGCCTCGGAGCCCCTCCACCGAGTCATCCAGCCCCGCGCCGGGCTTAAGCGCCGACAATTTCACCAAGAACTTATAACAAAAGGAACAGAATCGCTGCAACTTGCCGATGTACTAGCTTAAGCTTACCGTATTCCTTCATCAACACCATCTCCACCCTCACACATCGTAATGTCCACTCAACAGCACTCAGCCTTTGGCGCAGCGGAATACATCCCGCCTGACCCCATCTTTGAAGTCACCAAGCGGTTCAACGCAGACCAGAACCCTCGGAAGGTTAACCTTGGGCAAGGCACATACCGAGATGAAAATGCTAAGCCTTGGGTTCTTCCATCTGTGAGGGAGGCCGAGAAGCTGATCGTGAACCCTGGGCATGAGTATTTGCCTATCGAGGGTTTGCAGGGCTTCCGGGATGAGGCTACCAAGTTGTTGTTTCATGACACGTCTGCGCTGAAACAGAACAGAGTGAGCTCACTTCCGCCTTATTGTTGGTTGGGTCGCTAATAACTTCCAGATTGCGAGTTGTCAATCCATTTCCGGAACTGGGTCTCTCCTCCTAGCAGGTCTTGTTCTCCGCAAGGCGAATTCAGGTATCGAGAACATCATCATCACAGACCCAACTTGGTCAAACCACGATCTTTTATTCAAAGAAATCGGTTTCAACGTAACAAAAGCGCCCTACTACAAAGATCGAAGCTTCGACTTTGAAGGCTACATCGGCGCTTTGAAGAAAGCCGATAAGCGTTCTGCTGTTGTTCTCCACGCATGCGCTCATAACCCAACTGGCTGCGATCCAACTCGTGACCAATGGAAAGAAATTGCAGCTGTAATCAAGGAGAATGGAATCTTTCCAATCATCGATTCAGCGTATCTTGGCTTCAACTCGGGCAACTACGATGAAGATGCATGGGCGATCAAGTACATCATCGAAGATCTCGGCCTTGAAGCCGCGATCTGCATGTCCTTCGCTAAGAACATGGGCCTCTACGGAGAGAGAGTTGGACTTACAGCGATCGTGACAAAGTCTGAAGACGCCAAACGAACGGTGTTCTCACTTCTTCAGAATGCCCAGCGACAGACTGTCTCGAATCCTCCTGTATACGGAGCTAGGATCGCAGCTACTGTCCTTGGAAACTCTGACCTCTCAAAGCAATGGCATCAAGATCTTGTTACCATGTCGTCGAGGATCAGGTCGATGAGGAAGAAGCTATATGATGAGCTTGTGCGGTTGGGGACGCCGGGAGATTGGTCGCACATTGTGAACCAGACCGGCATGTTCGGGTATACTGGTATCAGCAAACCCCAGATTGAACGTTTGGAGGGTAAGTAATCTCGTTATATGTTGAGGTGGTTACTAACGTGGTCTCAGAGCAATATCACATCTACATGGCGAATACGTCAAGGATAAGTCTTGCGGGCCTGAATGAACACAATGTTGAGTATGTAGCAAAATCATTAGATGAGGTGGTTCAGAATGTACAGTGAAGAAGGTGGATACGAAACCACAAGTAGTAGGCATTAATCAATGACGAATACTTATGCCAGCAAAATCCTTCTGATATCCCACTGAAATTTGCCTGTTGCGCGCATAGCTTTCCCCAATGCTGCACATAAGATCGACCTGAGTGATGTTCATGAGGGAGCCATGGGAAAGAAGAAACTACGATCCAGTGCATTACACCGCAAATACTTTCTTTCAGTCGAATGGTTTCTGCCTCGACCGTCTCGAACGCACGGTTCTTCATCGGTGCTCCCGATCCGTCATTGACGATGAACAAGCAGATAACGGATCTGAAGACTCCGCATCGGGCCTCCCACACACCTCCTTAGATACTTCGAGAACACGCAGATCCCCTAAAGCTTCAAGACAACACCATCACCCCTGGACTCAACTGCACGTTCTAAAGTCACTGGCGTAGAACAAGACCCGTCCGTAACCGCTCCCCACCATCCCCATTATCTCGTTCCTCAAATAAACACTCGCATGTAATTCCATCCCACGCCGGTCAGACCTCCGATATAAACTAGAATATGCAAAACGGCTTCTAGCGTAACACAAACCCGAGACCAAGTCTAACCCCTGCCCTTCGCCAGGACAAGCCGATGCATGGCGTATCACGCTGCGACCCCCAACTACCGCATCTGGACTAACTTCTCCAGAGGTGATAAGATCCAAGACCAGCGGTGCCATTCCCGTAGCTAGCAAACCCATGCAAGAGCGCATATCTCTGTGATACGTGACCAAAGTGGGGTTAGCGAAAACCATCGGGAAACTCTCCCGCTTCAAGTCTAGACCTCCAACACAACTCGCTAAAGATAATAAAACAAAAAAGGCACCGATGACGGTCTGATAAGATGTCCATGTGACGAATTACCCCGCTTCCCCGCGGTGTTTAACCAAAGAGAAAGCGTATCGGTTGAGGTGCCGATAGAGTGTGACCAAAGGTTGTTAGAGCCGCGTGAGATGGGTGTTCGAAGTCAAATAGATGATAAGGTTATGATGCTTCACTTCAAAAAAAGCCCATCTTATCACTACCATTGTCACTTTTCTTCCCTCTACACCAACACAGTAAGAATCGTGAAGAGATATTCAGTGCCTGACATGACAACACTTTCAACTACTACTCGTTCACGAGCCGCTCAAGGCCTCACCCTCACACTGCGACCTACTTCACGAGTGCGGCGAGATAGCCTCATCGCCCTCGTCCACTACTCCTCCACCAACGCCGCAGCAGCGCTTGAAGCAACACGCACAAACACACCCGTCGTCAAAGGCACAGAAACACCACTCTCAGAACTCCCTCCCTTAGTTCTCTACCGCTCTCTATTGGTCAATTCCATATCCTCAAGACCATGGCTTCTCGTTCCTTCACTCCATCTTCTTCAAAAGCTCTCCAACCCTACAAACCCATATCTCTTCAATGTTGATCGCAACCCTTTGCTGCGAAGCTTGCTGAAGCATACGTTTTATAAGCAATTTTGCGCTGGGGAGACGGGCGCTGAGACGCAGTGTACTATGAAGTCGTTGCAGGATATGGGATTCAAGGGAACAATTCTTACATTTGCGAAGGAGACGGTTTTTGATGCCAAAACTGGTAAGGATCAGGGTTTTGGTATTGAAGCCTCGAGCTCGAATGAGTGTCAGTGGTGTGAGAATATCGAAGCTTGGAGGGAGGGAACTGTCAAGACTGTTGAGCTACTCCGCGAGGGTGATCAATTGGCCGTCAAGTAAGTCGCCTCACCTTAATCTTTCACAATATCGCATACTAACAGCTCTTCAGGATGACTGGCGCTGGACCCGGAGTCTGCGACGCTTTCGCCAACGGCACCGAACTCCCCAAGCAATTCGTCGACGCCTGCCACGAGATCTCCCAAAAGTGCAAAGACCGCGGCGCATATATTCTCATCGACGCTGAATCGCAACACTACCAATGGGGTATCTTCCGCCTCGGTATGGAACTCCAACAAAAGTTCAACACCGACGGCAAAGTCGTTCTCTACAACTCCTACCAGGCTTATCTGAAGAGCACCCATGACACTCTCGCCAAACATCTCCAGGCCGCTCTGGACAAGAACTTCACACTGGGCATCAAAGTCGTTCGCGGCGCATACATGGCCTCTGATCCCCGCTCCCTAATCCACGACACAAAGCAAGACACAGACGATTCCTACAACCAAATCGCCCAGGGCGTTCTCCGCCAAGACTTCCGCTCCTTCGGCACCACCAAACCCTTCCCCTCCGCACAGCTCCTTCTGGCAAGCCACAACAAAGAATCGCTGGTCAAAGCGCACGAAACCCACCAAGAGCGCACAAAGGCGGGTCTTCCGACTGTTCCGGTCAAGTTTGCGCAGCTGCATGGCATGTCGGACGAGGTTAGCTTCGGGTTGCTCAAGCTAAAGGATGATGCGGGGGTGGCTCCCGAGGTTTATAAGTGTACTACGTGGGGTACGCTTCCGGAGTGCATGGCTTATCTTACGAGGAGGGCTATGGAGAATAGGGATGCTGCTGCTAGGACGTTGGATGAGTATTCGGCGCTGAAGAGTGAGGTTTGGAGACGGTTGGCCTTTTGGAGATAGATGAAAAGTGTTTATAATTACAAAGAAGTATTAGTTAAGAATGGATTTAATTCTAGAATCTGATCTGCCTTGCAAATGTGTCCTTGTTCATGTCTTGTTGTCCTCTTCGAGGGGGAATGCACTGTATCATTCACCGCTCTGGTAACGCTAGAATGTCTCAGCTTGGAGATAACATGGATGTCAGTGCACCTCACACGCCTCTCCTTATCCATGCAGATCTCTTGTCGATGACACATTTCCAATCCTTGCAAATACTGTCGGTACTCACAAAGTGGGGTATCACATCTAGGAACTCAATTCCTCCATCTGAACAAAGCGTCACGAGCACTGAAACGTGTTCCATTGCATATCCAGTGGCGCCGGTGAGGGTCCCGTAGCCCTGCAGCCCACTATCTCTAAATGCGGAGCTTAGCTCTACCCCACGTTCAGCATCATCGTCGGCAGCCCTCCCGTTGATACTACCCCTCATCAAAACAAAGAGATAACATACCTGCATCTGCACGACTTGTCAACGTCTTTCCAGTCGTGGTTTGGTCTATTTCTTCGTGTGAGGTCACTTGATCGGCTGGACGCTCACATGCTTTGCGTGTTACAATTTTTCTTATCTTTTGGCGAATAAGACGTTAAACTTTGCCGCATCAAACTGTATCCCCTGTACACAACAGAAATCGCAACTATGGCTGGTTCGAGCAATGCCACACTCACCATCCTGGGTACAGGTATGTCAACCACCCAATGACTTGCAGCAAATTGACTGACCATTATAGGAAACATCACAAAGCCTATTGTGAAGAATTTGCTTCCTGCTATCAAAGACGGCAAGACAGATCTGCCTTTCACAAACATCATCGCCTGCGTGCGATCAGAGGGTTCTGAGTCTAAACTCAACGGCCAGTTCTCAGAGTACGGCAGCATTCTGACTGTGTCTCGTGGCGACAATGTCAAAGCTGTACAAAACGGCGACGTGATTGTCTTGGGCGTTGATCCAGCTGATATCGCCGATGTTCTCGCCCAAGAGGGTATTCGCGATGCTTTATCAGGCAAACTTCTCATCAGTGTAGCTGCTGGCTGGACCAAAGAAAAGCTCGAATCTGCCATTTATGGAAGCGAGACCACCAAGGACAATTTCTCAGGCAGGGCCTGGGTAATTCGTACTCTACCCAACATTGCATGTATGGTTTCAGAAGGTCTCATCGCGATTGAGAAATCACCCTCTGAGCCCCAAGTCCCAACAGAGCTCATGGATCTCACCAAAACCCTCTTCAACACCATCGGTAGGACCACCGAAGTGGCTCCTCGTCTCATGAACGCCACCACAGCCGTTGGAGGATCTACCCCAGCAATGTGGGCTATCATCTGCGATGCCTTCATCGATGCTGCCGTAGCCGTTGGTGTACCCAGGGCAACTGCACAGACGATGATCTACCAATCCATGAGGGGTTCAGCTGCAATGCTTCAGAGTGGATTGCAGCCCGGGGATTTGAGAGATCAAGGGACTTCGCCTGAGGGCTGCACCATCGGAGGAATTATGGTTCTAGAAGAAGCGGGAGTAAGGGGCCATCTTGGACGTGCACTACGGGAGGCGGTCACTCTGGCAAGGTTGATGGAGACTACTACCCATGTTAATGATACACGCCCTACTTCATAGACTTAGCCAGGAACAGAGTACGATAGAGTGTATTTTGTGCCAAAGAACCAGACGCCACCTCCCCTTTACCCTACTAGACTGTCTCCAACGTGCAAATTATCCCCAATCTACTGCACTAGTCCTCCTGTATGTATGAACCTTGCTTTTACTTCTACATGCTGTACCATTGTTCCTTCTAGAAGCTTTCCCTATAACAGCTTATGGAACCTAGACCTTGCCTCCATGTTTGCCACACACCCTACTCCAAAAGCCGGAATGATTCTTAGAGACCGTAATATTGTGGCTGAGAAGAGGTCCCTTCGGATCTGTGCCGAACGCTCAACCCATGGTATCCCCCGCGGTCGGGCATACAAGTCCAACCCAAGCAGGTGTACTGGCGTAGCAAAGAATTGTGAGAAAATCGGCACTGTCAACTGTGAAATAATAGCCTTGGAATGTGGACTCGAAGACAGGCTATCAGGAATGAGAGCTGACAGCCAAGGCGCCATCGTGAAAGACCCAAAGATCGTGATGGCGTCTCTCATGAGAAACGTAGCTGTAGCAGCTCTGGGAACACCAGGCTTGACAACAGGAGCGATCTTATCAGTCGGCGTTGTTGAAGCACTGAACATTTGAGCAAAGCGCACATCCTTCAGCACGCCAAGAGGAACATTAACTATCATCGTGTTGACAAAAGTAATTGTTCCAACAGCAGCTTTATGAAACTCATGAGCCAAGGTGTCTGACGCATTGGATACAGCATATGTTGCTCCGTAAAGAGTCCAGACGTAGCCGAATGCACGGCTGAAGATGAAGCGGCCTGGATGTTTGATAGCATTCAAGCTGTGAACTTTCATGCCCTGCGCGAGGGGTCTGTTGAAAGAGACTTTCTCTACCATAGATCTGAAGTTTGTTAGCTAGCTTTTGCTGTAAGGAGCATGAGACATACTGGTCAATCACTGTGATTATTGGTGTTATTAAAGTTGCAGAGATAGCTGCTGCTGCTATGTCCCCAACGATGGGCTTCCATAGATGGCTGCGACTGAATGTCGCTTCAGCGACATCTTGGTGTTTCTCCATGAGGTATGATATTGAGTTTAAGGTGCAAATGACAATAACAAAAATTCGTTTGTGAAACTCCGTGAATGAGATATCCAAAAATTCTGCTTAGGCGTAGCGCAGTGACCCTCGACGAGTCTTGAGATATGCCAGGTTAGAGAAGGCGATAGCGATATTCCAGAAAGAAAACAACTACCAAGCCAGTAAATGCCGGGAGCAGTCCCTCATGCTCAGCCATCCCTCCCATTCTGTGCAACAATACAGCTACGCCAACACCATCGCACGGCCATACCGACACCACGGGATCCCCAACCGACCCTTCTAAACTCAGTAAACCCCACCACCAAAACCTCCCATCGGTGTCCCTCCCGTACAGCTCTTTCAGGGTCTTGTGACACTGTCGGCCCCCCGCCCGGTGCCCAAAAAGTGGCTTAACTTTTAGCGCTGTGAGGGGTAACTCAACCCTCCACTTCACTAAAAAAAAACCTTCGGTAGCAGCCCCGACTTCAGTGGGATAAGGTTGTGATGTCAACATAAAAACGCCCGTCAGAAGCGCTTCTGTTTATGTTTTTCTCTATTCATCATATCATACTTGAGCTGTACAGTACGAGATCACATTCCTCTTACTACAAAAATGGCTTCTTCAGTTCGTGCTTTGACGTCAAAGGGTCGTTTGACTCCTCTTTGTCGTGTTCGTGCTTCTACACCTGCGATTTCACTGCAGAAGCGAGGTAATGCTACGATTGTACCTTTCAGACTCCCCGCTGCTCGCAATGAGCCCAACGTAAGTACACCATCACACCATTTTCTGATCAATATTAACTGTTTAGCCCACATACACAAAAAACTCGCCTGAGCGCGCAAAGGTAGAAGCAGCTCTCAAAAAACTCCGCTCCCAACTCCCTCTAAAGAGCGAAATCATCTTCAACGGTGTATCCCAAAAGATCCACGCCAACGAAGATCAAGTCCTCCCCGCAGAACACGCCACAACATTCACAAACTACCCCCTCGCTTCAAAGGAGCAAGTCAGCGCTGCTATTGAGTCCGCCCTAAAGGCTAAGAAGGACTGGGAAAACACACCGTTCGTCGACCGTGCTGCTATTTTCCAGCGCGCTGCGGAACTTGCTACTACAAAGTATCGATATGAACTCATCGCTTCGACGATGTTGGGCCAGGGAAAGAATGTTTGGCAGGGTGAGATCGATGCTGCAGCTGAGTTGGCTGATTTCTTCCGACTGGCGGGTCATTATGCCGCTGAGATTATGAGCAAGCAGCCTGAGCGTGGAACAGATGGTATTTGGACTCGTATCGACTACAGGCCTCTTGAGGGTTTCATCTACGCTGTTTCGCCGTTCAACTTCTCTGCTATCGGTGGAAACTTGATCGCCCCCGCTATTCTCGGCAATGTTGTCCTCTGGAAGCCTTCGCAGTACAACATTCACCCCAGCACAATCATCTACAAGATCCTCCAGGAGGCTGGCCTTCCTAAGGATGTTATCCAGTTTGTTCCCGGTGACGCTGCTGAGATCACCGAGACTGTCCTTGCCCATCGCGAGTTTGCTGGTCTTAACTTTGTTGGTTCTTCAGAGGTCTTCCGCTCGATTTATGGAAAGATTGGTCAGGGTATCGCTGAGAAGCGATATCGCGATTTCCCTCGTGTTGTTGGTGAGACTTCTGGAAAGAACTTCCACCTTGTCCACCCCTCCGCCGACATCAACAACGTTGTCAACCACACTATCCGAGGTGCATTCGAGTACCAAGGTCAGAAGTGCTCTGCTACTTCTCGCGCTTACATCCCTGAGTCAAAGGCCAAGGAGTTCTTCTCTCTCATGCAGCAGAAGATGAAGGACATCACCCAAGGCAGTCCCGACAAGGACTTCGAGGCTTTCATGGGTCCTGTGATCCACGGTCGATCTTTCGAGAAGATCAAGAAGATCATTGATGAGAGCAACAAGGATCCTCAGGTTAAGCTCATCGCTGGTGGAAAGTATGATGGTTCTGTTGGATACTTTGTCAAGCCTACTGTTTACCAGGTTGACTCACCTGATCACCGTCTCTTCAACGAGGAGATCTTTGGTCCTGTTCTCGCTGTCTATGTCTACAAGGACTCTGACTTCACACCTATGCTCAAGAGCATTGATGAGAACGGTGGTGGTCTTGCCTTGACTGGTGCTGTCTTTGCTCAAGATCGTGCCGCTCTTCGTGAAGCTGAGGATGCTCTTCGCTACTCTGCCGGTAACTTCTATCTCAGTAAGTTCTCCCCCTCCCATAACTATCTTGCTTGCAATTCTAACAGATTACAGACTGCAAGACTACTGCCGCTCTCATTGGCCAACAGTCCTTCGGTGGTGCTCGCAGCTCTGGTACCAACGACCGAGCTGGTAGCCCTGATATGCTCCGACGATTTGTGTCGCCTCGTCTCGTTAAGGAGGAGTTCTTTGAGCTTAATGAGTTCCTGTATCCTTCCAACACCCAATAGACTTAGCATAGCCTATCTAGATTTGTACCAAAAGCTAAGAACTGAATTTAATGAACTTTAATGAACACTCCCTTTCGTCTGCATGATCGTGACTTCATACTCGAATTGACCTGTGAATTTCATTGAGATAAACCTCATTTTTAGGGATTCGACTTGCGTTGCCCAGGCTACTTCCAAATTGGCGTATCATCTATGTGCGAATGCTTTGCATCTGGTCGACATTTACACGATAGTCTTGACCGCTGGGTTGGGGCTATTGCGGCCGTCGTCCTATGCTTTGACTAATATTGTTTTATAAATGCCAAATCCTCAAGAGTCATTACATTTGCTTCATCTTATCGATCAATCGGTCACGCACTTCCGTGAAACTAAATGTGGGTGCGAACTTCCTTAAACCCATCGATGATACCCGGCCGATAGCCAGGCCAACTACATACACCTGTCAGAAACCGCAGAAAGACTACCAATTAAGCTTTTACAAGCCACAGTAACTTCCGACGGAAGATATACAAGCATCTAATTGGATGCTGGATACATGTCGTCTTGGTTTCAGGCTACAGAACGAGATAAAGGTCTTGATTGGTATAAGCATCCGCGCTATATTCAGCCCAGGGGTTCTCCAACGGGTTGACAACTGCATAGGCTGTCTCCCTTGTACTTTGGTACCTTCACTGCCTCCTAGAAGCTTGTTGAGATGTTCGCCGATGTGTTCTGGAAGGCTTCTTCACAACGATGGGTTTCGGGTTTGGAAGCCGAGGGCTGAGAGCAAGTCCGCAGTATTGATATAGAACCAGGAAGTGACAATTCCAATTTCGCTGATCATATAATTCTCCTACTGTTGTGTCTATAGTATTGACCTGTATCACTTCGCTCTCAAGGCTGGAGAGAATTGAGGTAGCTGCTAGGGGTCAGCATCCGTCACGGAGAACCATGTCGGCTTAGCCGCCCAAATTCACCCCAGTAAAACAGCCAGGTTGCGTGCATGCCGTTCAACGGCTTCTAACAGATCCCCGCGATAAATACTCTCCGATAACGGCTGCATTCAACTCTCGAGTCTTCCATATCAGCTGAGTCCAGATAATGCACGTCGCCACCAGACCCCAAAACGCCAAAACCGTAATCTCAAAGATCGTCGGGTTGCACTTGCGGCTACGCTAACCTTCCAGCCAGACTCCACTTCAGCACGGATGGGGAGACGATAGCGCTAAAATAGCGTGGAGTGCTCTCAGTGTGGCATGGGTGCCAATCATTTGGGTATCAACATCGGGAGGACTCCCGGTGTCGCATTGGCAGCGTCACCAGTCTATTTTTGCATTTCTGGCTATTGTTGATACTTCGGATGCTGGAAAGGCGTTAATCGTAGGCGCATCACGAGACGGTGATGGCCGGGTATCGAACGAGGATGGGTTTGGAGGCTCGGAATGGAGGAATACTTATAGAATGACGCCTCAATTGCTTCAGTCTGATCAGCAATAGCTTCAATTCTCTTCCAAGCACCCGCCATGAGCGTCTCCAAATCTGAACCAATCCTCATCGTGGGAGGCGGTGCCTTCGGCCTCTCAACAGTCTTGCATCTGCTCAAAGCCGGCTACAAAGACATTACCGTTCTCGAAAAGGATGAAGAGATTCCCTCCCGCTGGTCTGCTGCAAATGATCTGAACAAGATTGTGCGCGCAGAATACGAAGACCCTCTGTACCAAGACCTCACAGTGGTAAGTCCCCCCCAATTACCCCAACTCCAACATTGTACTGGATCAATATTAACGAATTGGCCAATTAGAAAGCCATTGAAGCCTGGCAGACCCCCTTGTTCGCTCCGCACTTTCACCAAGTGGGCTTCCTGCACTGTGTTTCTGGCAAAGCACCCAAAGAAGCACTTGATACGCTCAATCGCTTTCGTGCTGCAGCCGAACGAGATCCTCGTATGAGGCCTCACCTTTCGCCACTTAATACGCAGAAGGATATCTCAGATGCAGTTTGGCAGTACAAGGATAGCGCGTTTCCTGGTTGGAATGGATACTTCAATAAGTTCGATGGCTACGCGCATTCAGGTAACGCGTTGAGGTCAATCTTTCTGGCGACGAGGGCTCAAGGTGTGAAGTATATCCTTGGTGCAGCAGGCGCTGTATCTGAGATCGTCTATGAGAAGACTTCCTCCGGGCGCAAAGCAATGGGTGTTAAAACCACCGGGGGTCTCTTCTACCCTTCCAATCTGGTTGTTGTCTCCGTCGGTGCAGCTGGTGCGAAGCTCGTCCCCGAGATTGGCAAGCAACTTGTCGCAAAGTCATGGTCCGTTGCTCATCTTCACTTGACCGATGACGAGACATCTGCTCTCCGCGGTATTCCTGTTACATATGCTCGCGATCTGGGCTTCTTCTTTGAGCCTGATCCCAAGACGAACCTTCTCAAGCTATGTCCCATGGGCGGTGGTTTCATCAATACCGATCCCAAGACAGGGGTATCTCATGCACCTACAGACTTGAAGCAGAGTGCCTTCCTTCCTGAGGGCGATGAAAAGCAACTTCGTGAGCTTGTGCGACAGACGCTTCCTCAGTTCACTGACAGGCAGTTTGTCAATAAGACGCTTTGTTGGTTTGCTGATACAGCTGACTCGGACTTTATCATCGACTACGTACCCAACACTTCATCAACGGTTCTGTTCTTATCTGGCGATAGCGGGCATGGGTTCAAGTTCTTCCCTATCTTTGGTGGGTTTGTGAAGAGTCTGTTGCAGTCAGAGAAGGGAGAGCAGCCTGTTGCTAGATGGCGGTGGAAGAACCCCAAGACAGATGAAGGAAAGGGTGATTGGGGCGGTGCTGTGAGTTGGAGACTTGGTAACTCGACTGAGCTTGTTGATATACAGCCTGTTGGTCAGACCAAGCTCTAATGCCTCAGCATCGTTTTACCCTTGTAGAGTTTCTTCCTTTTCGAAAGCACTTGTTAGACATAACTGTGGTATAGTTAGCCGAATACTTCAATAATACTACTATATTATCACTCTGATTCCTTCCTCATACCTGTTTCGCTACTCAAAGCTTGGCTGGTCTGTCGGTATGGCCATGGAGTGAACATGGCCAGAAGTACAAGCAATGTGCTTCATGTAAAATGAATAAACAAATTCTGTGCTCAGGATATGTTTAATAAAATGTTTCCAAATTTTCTGCTTCTTTCCCTGCCCATTTACACTGAGGCTCTTCAATAATTTTGTTATTACATTGGCTTCTTCGTTCGGCTTCATCATGACCTTTTATATTCCCATAAGCGCTAAACTCCAGTTGAATGAGATAATAAATGCTCACTCATCTCGAAATACATGTCTTGGGTCAGATCAGAGCTTATGGAAACCGTAGCCTAGTAACTTGTACATATTTCTGCCTCCAAGCCCTGGCTGAGACGCAATTCCAGGGTAAGCAGCTTAACCAGGATCTTCTGTCGGCGTTAGACAACCGAAGGTCAACCTTGCCCAAAGGACAACGACAAATAGCTCAGCTCTGATTGCTTCTCGAAGATTTCTAGAATATGCAAAGAACATTGAGTCACCGGATTCATTGCCCTCTCAGCATATTCCCCAAAATGAACTTCAGAGTTAGGAGGCAGCCCCGAAGTGACTCGGCCGACATGTCCGAGCTTTCATAGCACATAATTGGGCAAAACCGACTCTCGAGTCCACTGTAATGACCGGGAGACCTGCCGGTCACAGCGGACGGGATCCCGGGGCCGAGACGCAGAGCAGTAACCACTCAAACCCTCCATCTTCGGAGCAGCCTCTGACACGTCGGAACAGATTCGCGATGCAAACCCCACTTCAGATGAGGAGGTGATTATCATCATGCTTTTAAAGAACAACGATTGAGTCAAATATCTGCATCAATTGAATATCACCAACACAGTTCACATTTTTACCCAAATTAATTGCCAATTACATACGCCAATACCATCACCATGGGCTCCCTCAACCCTGCGCCCTCCCAGCAACCCCATGTTCCCAGGTAAGTCTCCATCTCCAACCCCAGCATCACCACCATACTGACACTTCCAGCCCTGGAGTATGGTGCCCAGCAGTCACCTTCTTCAACCACTCAGACGACACAGTAGATCATGCTTCTCAAGCAAAATACTTCACCCATCTCGCCGACTCCGGTCTAAACGGTCTTATCGTGATGGGCTCCAACGCCGAGGCCTTCCTCCTCACCCGCGAAGAACGCTATGAGCTCATCGCCCTCGCCCGCAAGACAATCGGCCCTGACTTTCCCCTTATGGCCGGTGTCGGAGCTCATTCTACTAAGCAGACTCTTGAGCTTGCTGAAGATGCTTACAAGGCTGGCGCCAATTACCTCCTCGTGCTTCCGCCGGCATACTTTGGCAAGGCTACGAGCATGAACGTTGTTAAGCGCTTCTTTTCGGAGGTTGCGAAGAAGTCACCTTTGCCAGTTGTTATTTATAACTTCCCTGGTGTGACTAATGGTGTTGATATTGATTCTGAGACGATCGTCCAGATCTACGAGGAGAGCAAGAAGTCTCATCCTAGCGGAAAGTCCAACGTCGTCGGCGTAAAGTTGACCTGTGGCTCCGTTGGAAAGATCACCCGTCTCGCAGCTCAAATCCCCTCCTCAGAATTTTCTACATACGGTGGTCAATCCGACTTCCTCATCGGCGGTCTAGCAGCGGGCAGCGTAGGATGCGTCGCAGCATTCGCCAACGTTTTCCCAACTCTCACATCAAAGATCTACGCTTTATACAAGGAGGGCAAGTTTGAAGAAGCTCTAAAGTTGCAACAACTCGCTGCTCTTGCTGAACGACCTTGCAAGGCGGGTGTTGCTTCTACAAAGTATGCTGTTGCAGTGTTTTCGGCAAGATTGGCGGGTGTTGAAGGCGCGGAGGAGAAGTTGGCGCCAAGACATCCGTATGAACCTGTTGGTGAGGCTGTTAAGACGAGTGTTAAGAGTATTATGAAGGAGGCGGGGGATAAGGAGGAGGAGTTGCTGAAGACTTGGACGGATCGTGTTAAGGGACGCCTGAACTAGATAGAGGGGAAAAGTCTAAACGTTGAGAATAATAGAGCTGTTACTGACATGAGACGAGACTTGTTATGCTATGGAGTGAGACGTGCGGGTGACGTGATGGTTTCGGAGGAAACGCCCGTTGACCCTGATCTTCCAGGACTGTTCCACGGACATAGTTGACAGAGCACCCTGCAGCCGAACGACGGGAGAACAATGACAAATACTTCCATCACGTTTCCATGAGTCAAACGTCAACGCATTGGGATGAATGCATATCCACCGTCCCCCATGCATCGTCAGTGGACCTGTTGCGTCGATTGTGTGACATGCCCAACCCATCTGGGAAGCTGATGGTCAAGCGCACGGTGCTTCGATTATCGGTTCCCCATGTTCCAGCCCAACTAAAACGACCCAGGGTCAAAGCCTATCCGCCCTCAAAAACGGTGACACCCAGCAGCTGGCGTTAACTGTCCCACTGCAAAGTCGTTATCAACAGTGCACCTCCACTTGGGGAAAGCCCCCAAACTCACTCCCAGAGTGAAAAGATAGCGATATCTACCCCTCATCCCTTCATCTTCACCTTATTATCCCATTCTTTCTTCCTTGCCAGTCCCCTCATTCCCGATTATTCCCCCAGCATTTCGTCTTTTTTTACCCTTTATAGCACAAGACTCGTGACCCAGTGGCGGCTGCTCTAACCCAAACATTACAGCAGGGGCAAAAAACCGCTGCAGCGCTTTGAGCTTAAGCTAACGAAACCTTCCCTTCCCCGCCAACCACCGAAACAATTTCCTTTCTCATTTTATTGTTCTTCATCATACGATTTGTTGCGATGGCGCCTGGTTCGACGCATGCAAGGAAAACATCTGGTACGACTGCGGCATCGGGTCGTGTTTCAAAGAGATCTGATAATGCGTGAGTACGGCGCTGAGACCTGAATCCCCTGTATCTTTATCCGCCCTCAGTTTCCCCTCACCTTGCAACGTCAACTTTACCTCACTCACCGAACATCGTCAATTACAAGTAGCATTACTGATGGGGAGAATAGGTGCTCACGATGTCGCAAGCAGAAAATAAAATGTTCAGGTTCTCATCCCTGCGACGCGTGCAAAAAGCGCAAATTATCCTGCGAGTTTGACCAACGCGATCAAAAGGTCCTCGTCACGCGTGGGTAAGCTCACCGCAATTGACTTTTGCGACATGACGTATTGATGGCTTTTGAAGATTCATTCTCGATTTACAGCAACGCGCTGCGACAAGTCAATCCAGTACCGGGACGGCCGAGTACATCACGCCTGGGTCTTTGGATACGAACATCAATGTTGGAGGACCTTCGGATTCAGGTGTGTTTGGTGGTCTGATGGAGGGCAATTGCTGATGATGATAGTTGAACCGCCGCCGCATTTGCCTTCGCCTGGAAGAAATGTCTCTGCTTCGTTGCACACAGAAGACTCGCTGCTCGGAAGTCACAGCAGTACCAATAGTAGCGGCAAAGGACTGGACCCCATCGCGTCTGCCCTGGTGAATCCGTTGTCATCCGGGCAGTCCAAGTTTATGGCCTCAGCGCAAGGTCGAGAATGTAAGCACTCATCACCTTCAAGAGGGCTTCAGCTAACATTCCAGTCTATCTTGGAACATCATCAAACTGGTCCTTCACCCGACGCGTTCTTAGTCTCACTCACGAATACATCCACCAAAGTCCTATCTCGGTCGACAACCTACTCTTCGATGGCTTAGCATACGATCTTGGGTGGGATGGCTCGAGGATTACCCCAGCGCTGGATCCGCCAGTAATGCCGAGTCTCGACCATGCGGTCTTTCTGATCAACACAGTCAAGTTTCACTGCGGCCAACTCTTCCACTTGTTTGACGAGGAAACATTCATGGCGTACCTGCATGAGTTTTATGCCGATCCGAGCAGTCATATTGCAGCTGCGGACCTACCATACATTCACCTACTTCTTATTCTCGCTTTTGGCAAAGCATTCGCCGAGAACAACAACTATCAAGCGAAGAGACCGCCTGGAGCCGACTACTTCGTCACAGCATTGCGGCTCTTGCCGAGTATCCATATTCTTGTTTACGAACCACTGATATCGACAGAGATTCTGTGCTGCATCGCGCTGTACTTTGAGTCTCTCGACTACAGACACTCATCACATGGATTTGTATGATTCCCAGCAAAGTTGGGCTAAGCATAAACTGACAGATGGCAGATTGGGCAAGCGATGAGAGTTGCTCTCGGGCAAGGAATGCACACAGACATGCCCGCGGACCAACTGGGAGATCGTATAGTGGAACGAAGTCGCAGAATCTGGTGGACCGTCTACGTACTAGACCGCGAGATGACATCGCTCATGGGCTTGCCGCAATCCGTCCACGACGACGACATTCATCATCAGCTACCTCATTTTGACGGATCGACACAACGAGTGGCAGCGCTTCATATGCAGATTCGACTTTGCCGGACTATTGCGTCCGTTGGAAGAGGTAAGACAGAAGCTCGTATTTCATGAACGAGGCTGATCCGCGGATAGGAGTTTACGGAGCGAACGGCCGGCTGAACAAGAAGTTCTTGCTCAGCACCAAGAAGGTCCTGGAAAACATCGCCGGTCTTGCCGACGAGCTACAACAGCAGTTTCCTCTCGGCGCAGATAAAGCCATCAACGGCGTTTCAAGGGTAGCAGGATACCTCCATACGCTGTATCATCAGGTATTCTCGTCTTTTCGGCTGTTCAACAACAACCCTACTGACATCTTTAGTGTATTGTTCTCGCTACACGACCATTGTTGCTTTGCTTCCTCAAAATCCGCTTCGAAACACCCGACTCCATAACAGAAGCTCTCAACTCATCCCAAACTGTCTGGAACCTGATCAAGATGTGTATCGACTCTTCCTACCAAATGATCAACATTCTTGGCTGTTTGCAAAGTCAAGGTCTGCTTGGTAAATCAAGAGATTGATCTCGTCACCAACATCCAACTAACGATTTCTTAGAAGCCTTTCTCCCTTTCGATCTTGAGTCCCTGTTCGTATCGAGTTTTAACCTCCTCATCGCACCGGTTCTGGATCCCAGATTCTCAGAATACGATGCTACCTTCCGACATAAAACGCATATTATCTTCAACGAGATGATAAGTAAGGGCAATCTGATTGCCATGTTTAGGAGATCGGAGCTGCAGCAGCTTGATGATATGCTGGGCCGCATGCCACGCGAGCAACCTGATACAACGCCTATTCCGATTGATGGACAGATTATTGGAGGAACGATAGGCGAAAGTGAGGGAGGTTTGAACGACCTGAATGACGATAATGAGACTATGGCTTCGATGTTGCCGGGTATGGATGATTTGGGGATGGATGCGTGGTTTACAACTGCGCAGATGATTGACATGGCGAATTCGATCGCGAACAGTGACACTGAGTTTCTGTCACACACAATGATGGAACATGACATTTGGTGAAGAGCTTGGGGTGACTTATAGGGCACAGTTAGAGTACTGATACTGAAGGTGTTGGGAATACGAGTTTATACTCAATGGTAGGGGTAATGGGACTTGCATGTCGGTTGGGACCTTGGGGGAGTTTCAAAAGCCTTGGGATTATTTAGCTACGCTCATGATATAATGCTTGGAAGAAGAGTCATGTCCACGTCGACGAAAGCTATAAACTACGGGACAGAGTTGTAAAGAGCGCAACAGGGTATCATTAAAGCGAGTCATACTCAAAACCCAAACTTCCATCATCCAACTGTCCTCTCCAATTTCTCTCTCAACACCATCCACAACTTCCTTATCCGTCCTCCGCCATTAGTCCACTCCTCCTTCTTCCTCTGCACTTCCTCTGCACTTCTCAAAGACTCCACAGTCCGTTGTCCTTCGATATCCTTACTCGAAAACCAGGTTCCGTGCAGACCATACGGCACTCGTTGCGGAAGCCTGACCTTAGCCACGACGTCACGCATGTTCTTGGCATCGAGAATCCATAGCTCAGACATAGCAGATGGAGGGCAATCGCCAGATGGCAGGAGTTGGGACTCATCGAAGACATAAAAGAGTAGATACCCCTCATCCTCAACAGTTGATGAAGCCCGTGGGACAAATCGCGGCTCCTGAGCGTAGTGGTTCGGCGGAAGACGGAATATTCTTATAGGATCACCCTCCTTCTGTTCTTCAAGGATCTCGCTAACCGACCGTCTATCGACGCACCCAGTGACAGGAGTCGTATACATCTTCTTGCCTCTTTTGATGAGAGTCTTTGCATCCATCTTGACAAGAAGATCGACCTTATCAGCTCGTCCCAGAGCAACACCGAAGCAAGATGTTGACGTGCTACAGCCGTATATGTAATGAGCTTCTTGCATCTCGCGACCTGGTCGGACAGACGGAAACTCGAATGGTATGGTTGACAGAGCCCACTGGTTCTTGACTTTGTTCTGGGAATTTGTCGCCATATCGAACTCGTAGTAGTACAGCCGACATTGGTCGTAGTCATCGGAATCTGCAGTGGTAGAGAAGTAATCGGCCAAACCAGTTGCTTCACCTGGTGACTCGAGACCAGGGCCCTCCCTATATCTGCAAGCCTTTTCTCCCTTCTTGTCCAACCAGACCCGTGATTGAGTAGACTTAGGTCTCACTGGTGGCCTGATATTACCTGCTGTATAAACCAACGTGGAAGAAGTCATCCGACACGCAAGGAGATTGACAGAGCTACACCCTTCATCTGTCTGAGAGTCCCAGGTATTTGCAGTATGGAAGATACAACATGGTGCTGCATGAAACCATCGCACATTGGAAGGCTGATGACGCGGAAACACGCCGAACCGTGAAGGTTTTGTCGAGTCATATGACACGACTTCTTTCCCTTTCATAGTGTTCAGAGGATCAAGGCTTAGCGGCAGATCCATGATTATAGTATGAGATTGAGAAGCCCCAAAGTCATGCATCATCCGAGCACCAGATACTCCCAAGACCAACTGATTCACAAGTCTGTGCCCGGAAGCCTTTGCGTTGCTCTTCGGAAGTACTGGGTAGTGCACGTACGGTGGCATGAAAGTGTTATGATAGAGAAGCATCTCCCCAGTTACTGGGTCGACCTTGGGATGCCCCGTTGTCCATTCTTTCATGAAGCTGAAGAGGCCACTGCCACCGAAAGGAGAGTCGTGATTGATGGTTGGACAGGCCTTGGGCTCTCCCTCGGCTCGAACACCGTCGAACCAGCCGACAGTATCCAGCGAAGGAAGCTGTATCCTCATGGGCGGGCCACTCTCGCATGTCGCCAAAGCCCTCCCATCATGGTATAAGACAGCAGTATTGGCTACACTGATGCGCCAGATGGCCTGTTGAGATCCAGGAAGATTTGAGAGTATCACCAGGAATATCGTCCTGAAGGTCGCTATCATGATCTGAAACATGTTCGATAGTGGGTTAACAAGCGTTGTGATGCTTGGCATAATCGGCGACATGACAGAAGTAGTTTTTCTGGATAAGTAGAGATCCGTCAATATGTACTGGCTCGCAAACTCTGGTATAATCTTGCCATCTCTGGACGTTTTTCTGAACGTGACGCCAGAGAGCATGCCGTCGCCATCAAACCAGTGGGCATCTTTGCCAAGATCTTGGTGGCTGACGGGATTACCGCCATTGCGGACGTACTGACCACCAGTAAGTTCTGGAGGGATGCATCCACTATATGTGCATGGAGTGAGACTTGTTGTTTGATGAATTGGCGCGAAGTTGCCAGTAAGATACCTGCAAGAAGTGAGTTTTGTGCTATGGCACCGTGGAACAGACTTACGGGTGACGGAGTGGCGGCGAGATATTCTCGTCTGGCTGAGACATTGATGTTTGAGTGATGAAAATTGGTGGAAGAAACTCCATGATGTATCTCTATTGTGAAATAAGCGGTGTTGGGTCGCGATAGTAGGAGAAATACGCGCTTCAGCTCGAATGACGGAAGAATAGACAATTAGTATGTTGAGAAGGCTTTCATGCTACATTGCGAGATCAACACGATAAAAATTGAGAAAGTAAATATGAATAAAGTTGAAGTAATTATTAATCCATGAAGCTATACAGAAATCACCCATCTACTATACAGAATGTGATAGCCAGTACCTATATAAACAACAAGATCGAGATGATCAGACAAAGAGGTAGGTAGCATCAATCGATGGATAACTCGGCACAAAATGGAGATATCCATCCATCAACTTCACTAGCACGATCTATCTTTTTCTCGGACCGCGTCATAATCAAGTTTCATATCCATCACGGCAACGGCAATGTCAAAAAGACCGAATATCCCGAACAAGGGTCTCAATTAATTGATGACAAGTAGACTCCATAGCCAAAAAAGTTGAAGAAAAAAGTCGTGACGTCAACGAGTCCCTGAGATATAACATGACAGAAAACACCTCTCCACTTACACTACCATCTGAGGGTATAGTGGGGGGAGATTATTGTCGCCCAAGAAAAACGGACAGGGGTACGTTGTGGCATGAAGGCTGTGTTAGTGTCTGAAAAACAAACTGTGGACACACGCACCACTCAAGCTCCGACTTCTTCCTTAACAACCTTTCCTTCAATCTTTTTGACTCAGGCTTTATTTGAAGCCGTTGAAGTTGATATCGTATGCCGTCACATTGATCATTTTGTTCACGTACACGAAATAACTTCTGTCAAAATGGGCTGGGAATATGCCCAAGTGTACGTATTCTTCGCGAGCTTGAGGGGCTTTACTCATTCCTTGATAGGCATCTGAAATACACGATACCGTTTGGTGTTGTTTTGGCGGCGGTTTATAGGCCGTTGATGTCGCGGTTGGATGTTTTTAAGCTTGTGTTCTTGATAACGGTGAGTTTGTTCAAAGATTGACGGGCTTGAAGCTAATTTGTTTAGGTTGCTGTTGTTTCTACCATGTATGTTGATTTTGGAGGCGATCTTGTTGAGGTTTACTAACGCAATCAGCCCCTGGGACTCATATCTCATCAGAAATCGAATATGGACATATCCTCCCGGTGTTGTCATTGGTCTTACGGTATGGGATATCCCAGTAGAAGAGCTCTTTTTCTTTGTCATCCAGACTCTGAACACCTCTCTTCTCTATATGATCCTCAGCAAACCAACCTTTCACCCTATTTACCTCGGTAAGAAAACGACTTGGGGTAAGATTGCTGGCCAGATTCTTTTCGCATCAGCCATTATTTTTGGCCTCGTTTCTGTTTCCTCTGTCGGTGAGGGCATGTATATGGGTCTTATCCTCATTTGGGCTTGTCCATTCCTCTTGTTCCTATGGTAATACTCAACTTGAGAGACTTTTTCACGCTGCATATGCTGATTATTGGCAGGTCGATTTCTTATCAGTTCATCGTGAATTTGCCATTGACGAATACTGCACTTCCTATTGCTTTGCCAACATTGTATTTGTGGGTTGTTGATACTTTTGCGTTGCGAAGAGGAACGTGGAGTATCACATCCGGAACCAAATACGGCATTGTCTTGTGGGATGGCCTGGACATTGAGTGAGTGAACATCTTTCTGAGAACCTGGCCTATTCTAATAATCTGCAGGGAGGCTGTCTTTTTCCTTCTCACCAACACTCTGATTGTGTTTGGCCTAGTCGCTTGCGACAACACTTTGGCAATTCTCGACACCTTTCCTGAGCATTTCCCTCGAACAAAGGGACTGCCTAACCTCTTGGTCATTATCCGAGCTCTTCTCCTACCTAAGGAGAAGTACGATGAGGAGCGCATTGAAGGTCTCGTCAGCGCAGTAGCTTTGCTCCGAAAGAAGAGCCGAAGTTTCTATCTCGCTAGCGGCACTTTTGAAGGAAGACTTCGCATCGATCTGATCCGTTTGTATGCGTTCTGTCGAGCCGCTGATGATCTTGTTGACGAAGCTCCTTCTGTCGATGATTCTAGGGCCTCAATTGAGAAGCTGAGAAAGTTTCTTGATCTCGCTTATGAGGAGAATCAAGAAGAGCCTTCACAAAGATTGCGAGAATATGTCACGTCGAACATCCCGGAGATGTTCCATATGGCTCTTCTACAATTGCCTACCTATTATCTGCCAAAACAGCCTTTGGATGATCTCCTCAAGGGTTTTGATACCGATCTTCTCTTTGACAGAAAGTCCGGCGCTTTTCCTATCGAGACTACCGAGGATCTAGATGTCTACGGAAGTCGTGTAGCTGGCACTGTCGCAGAACTCTGCAACCACCTTATTCTCTACCATACCCCAGAATCTGTCCCCGAAGATATACAGCGCGAAGTTGTTGCTTCTGGTCAAGAAATGGGCATCGCACTTCAATATGTCAACATAGCACGCGATATCAAAACAGATGCCGGGATTGACCGCGTCTACCTTCCCTCTTCTTGGCTGAAAGAAGCACAGCTCACTCCCGAAGATGTAATTCAACAACCCCATGGCCCTGCCATTGAAGCTCTACGTCACAAGCTGCTTGATCGTGCCTTTGAAAAGTATAACATGGCAAAGGGAGCTATTGATAAACTGCCCTCCGAAGGAAAAGGACCTATTCGTGTTGCTGTTGAGAGTTATATGGAAATTGGACGCGTTCTCAGAGAGAAGGGTCCTCCGATGAAGAAAGGCAGGGCTACCGTTCCTAAGATGAGACGAATTCGTGTCGCTTGGTCTGCATTGAACAAATAGCGGGGTGTATGTAGCGTGGAGGATGTAACGGTAGAAGTCATAGATTCATAGATTATTCATTTCATTCCACTTATTCCTTCAGTCGCCGAAATATGAGGCAGTTTTAAAATGCCATGAGATTATATTCCATTCCACTATAGGAGTTTACTCTGCATCAAGAGGTTTCGTGGCGTGATAATTTTCGTACCCTCACCGTTGACACATTTTGACAGCACCACCATAAAAACACCAACCAATCATTCAACACGCATCCCATCACCAAGTCCACTAAAAACCCCCCAAGCCAAACCCGTCAAAGATCGTCAACGCATCAACGATTTCAATTCCCCTGCCAAATTCTCTAAATCTTCAGTAAAGTCACTTTAATCCCTCAAAATCTAAACTGCGCCTCGTTCAGCACAGGTTAACTTTCACATGTACGCCAAGTGTCTCATTAAACGAGTGCGAAAGAAAAGTGGATCAAACAAAATGGAAGACGTCATTGACTCTATTGCTCTGACTATCAAAAACCGTTGGCTTCGGGTGAGTCGGTTATTGTTTGAGCATCTTCACTTTTTACAGCGAAAATGAGCGACATTAAGAAATCTGTTATTGTTATTGGTATGTTATAGCAACTCTGATGATGTATGAAGAGTAAGTGACTGACAATGATTAGGTGCTGGTGTCGGTGGTGTTTCTACTGCTGCGAGACTTGCAAAAGCTGGCTTCAAAGTTACTATTCTTGAGAAAAATGACTTCACCGGTGGACGATGCTCTCTAATCCACAACGGTGGCCACGTACGTCTTCCCACTCACTCATTATACACCCACTAACCTTGTCAGCGCTTCGACCAAGGTCCATCTCTTCTTCTCCTCCCTCGCTTCTTCCACGAGATTTTCCAAGACCTAGGAACATCTCTTACCGCCGAAGGAGTTGAACTGCTAAAATGTGAACCAAACTACAACATCTGGTTCGGCGATGGCTCATCTTTTGAAATGTCCACTGATCTCACCAAGATGAAGAAAGCCATTGAAGCTGTTGAAGGCATCGATGGTTTTGAGAGATATCTTGGCTTTCTTCAGGAGTCGCATCGACATTATGAAGTCAGTGTCGAGTCTGTACTTCGAAGAAACTTTCCTAGCATTTTGAGCTTGGCTAGGCCTGAGGTTTTGTTCAATCTGTTTAATATTCATCCGCTACAGAGTATTTGGACGAGAGCTAGCAAGTACTTTTGGACGGAGAGATTGAGAAGGGTTTTTACGTTTGGAAGTATGTATATGGGTATGAGTCCCTTTGATGCACCGGGAACGTATAGCTTGCTTCAGTATACTGAGCTTGCTGAGGGTATTTTATATCCTCGAGGTGGATTCCACAAGGCAAGTCTCTCAACTTCAGACGATGAGTTTCCCACTAACAGATTTCAGGTCGTCGAGGCTCTGGTCAATGTTGGCCAACGTCTAGGTGTTGAGTACCGCCTCTCAACTGGCGTCAAGTCCATCTCCATCGACCAAGCAACCGGCAAAGCAAACGGTGTTATTCTGAGCGACGGAACACATTTACCCTCAGACATTGTCATCTCAAACGCTGATCTCGTCTACACCTACAACAACCTTCTCCCCAAGACAAGCTACGCAGACTCACTATCAAAACGAGAGACCTCTTGCAGTAGTATCTCTTTCTACTGGTCTGCTTCCAAGATCATCCCCGAACTCAACGCTCACAACATTTTCCTTGCGGATGAGTATCAGGAGTCTTTCGACAGTATCTTCAAAGAGCATCTGATTCCTTCGGAGCCTTCTTTCTATGTCAATGTTCCTTCGCGCATTGATCCTTCCGCCGCTCCTGACGGCAAGGACTCTATCGTCGTTCTTGTCCCCGTTGGTCATCTTCTCTCAGACTCTGAAGGAACGCATCGAGGTTTGTCCAAGTCTGGAAACTCTGGTGGTCTCGAAACAAGCCAGGACTGGGATAAGATGATCTCTCTCGCCCGCGATACAGTCATCGCCACAATGCGAGCAAGAATTGGCGTAGATCTCGCTCCTCTCATCGAGAACGAGATCATCAACACCCCCTTCACATGGCAAGAGAAGTTCAACCTCGACAAGGGCGCCATTCTCGGTCTTAGCCACTCCATCATGAACGTTCTTGCCTTCAGACCTGGAACTCAGCACTCCAAGTACAAGAACTTGTACTTCGCTGGTGCCAGCACACATCCTGGTACCGGTGTTCCTGTCTGCATTGCTGGAAGCAAGATTGTTGCTGAGCAGATTCTCAAGGACTCAGGCTTCGAGAACCATCAGATTCCTTGGGCGAAGGATACTGCCAAGTCTCCTAAGGGTGGACTTGACAAGATGAGTGATTCTTCGTTGACTCTGTTCCAAGCTTTCTTGGGAGCTTTGGTTGCGATCCTGTTGGCTTATTACTACCTTGTTATTGCTGCGAATTAGCGAGCATTAGTTAGATTGATCAATACTGTTCCTTTGGCGCTAGTAATTAGTTAGAGATAGAATGAAACTCCCCTAATACCTATGATCTACTTGTCTGTATCCATGATCCTCGACATTCAACGATATGGACTGAACAACATGATAATTACCTGATCGGAAAGAATCGGACTCTCAATAATTCTCATGCACTGTCCCAGATTGTGCTTGATCTGATCATCTTCAACCCCACCAAAACGTCGATCCCGTCGCGTTACATGGAATATTCCTATCTCGACCTTGATCCATCATCATTTTCGGCAAATACAACAACCAGCCTTACAATTCCCACTTAAACTACCGTGGAACCTTCCCTTCCACACTGCGGCTACCGGCAACGGTTTTAGTCACTTGATGCCACGTTGAAATCTAGTGGTGTGGACTCAACATGTCAGCACGTCATAGACTCAATATCAGCCATCGCAGATTCTGACAGCGCATATTGATGAACGTCGCATTTTGTTTTGACAATGACGATTACTCGGCAATTATTTCCGTGTGTGCTCGGGAGGGTCGGATATGAAGTCATGTAGAGGGGAGATGGAAAACGTGGGAAAGGAACTTGGCTGCATTTAAGGGTTTGACAGGCCTGTTGTCCTCTTGGCTTGCAGAACATAGCATTTTTCGTTGCACGAATACGAAGTTACTTTTTAACGTTGAATCGACTGTTATTCATTATGGCTGATCACCTTTATTCCCGAAAAAACGGCGCTCTTGAAGCAAACCGTGCGCCATATCAGGCCCCCAATCAATGACAATTTGCTAACAATTGACTGCAGCTGACATTGTCAATGGCCAACGTAGTGACATTAACATCACCGTCAGAGGCTCTGACTGGTACTGGGCTGTCTGTGCAAGTGTGTAAAATAAAACAATATCCGGTGTTGGGTCAGGGAAAGACTAATTGTGTTCAGTCATGACAGTTTCAACCTTTGCGTTCCTCGGGTTTGGAATGAGAAAGCCTCGCACCGACCGTATCTTCCAGTAAGCCCATCAAAGTTCCATTGAATCTCCTTTCATTTTTTTGCGATTCATAAGTGTGCGGGGGTCGAAGTGTCATGCCCTTTACTGATCTCTTTAGCTACATCACCGCCGGTATTACCATGATTGCATCTGTCGCATACTTCTCAATGGCTTCGAACTTGGGATGGACTCCCATTGCCGTTGAATTCCAGCGACCCAATCACCGCGTTAGTGGGATTTATCGCGAGATATTCTATGTCCGTTATATTGACTGGTTCTTGACAACTCCGTTGCTACTGGGACGTCTCCCTTCGATCTCATGATGCCCACATTCAACTAACACCTTGAGTAGACCGATTTGCTTCTTACTGCTGGAATGCCTTGGCCGACTGTTCTATGGGTAATCCTCGTGGACTGGGTTATGATTGTCACGGGACTAGTTGGGGCCCTCGTTAAGAGTTCCTACAAATGGGGTTATTTCGCGTTCGGTAAGTCGTCTTCCATGCGTTGACACCACCAACACTAACATGTCTCCCAGGTTGCACTGCCCTCGCATACATCGTTTACGTGCTCGCATGGGAAGCTCGACTACATGCCAAACATGTTGGCCCTGACGTCGGTCGAACCTTTGTCATGTGCGGTTCCCTTACAGCCGTTGTCTGGATTCTGTATCCTATTGCCTGGGGCGTCTGTGAAGGCGGTAATCTGATTGCCCCTGACTCCGAAGCTGTCTTCTACGGTATTCTCGACCTCATTGCAAAGCCTGTCTTCGGAGCTCTTCTCCTCTGGGGGCACCGAAACATCGACCCTGCTCGTCTTGGCCTTCGTATTCGCGACATTGACGAGCGCATCTTCCCTGATGGTCCTAACAACAAGGCCACACATGGACATGGTGCTCGAAACGATACTGCCACTGCCTCTGGCGCCAACGTCAACCCAAACGCTTGAGTTGTAGGCCGTCAATTGACATAAATTAGCAGCCTTGGCGGTCTGGTTCCTGACACTGACAAGATCTGCGACACTATCTCTTGCGCGGTTTTCTGGTCAATCCACTAACCGTGCCTGTTGAATGTTGTTTACGAGTTGGATGAATGCGCATAATTCCATGTACAAGTACTAGTCTCATGATACCCGAAGTCTGTTTTGTGGCACGGATACGTCTTGGGGGCTCGTTTTAATGGTCTGAGTTTCGATTTCTGTATCTTTAGTCTAATTACATAACGGTATCTTGTTTAATTCAATCTTTTATTACATCAATTCCTTCTATTAAACAACCTGCTTCACGTTTTCGGTGTAGCCCATCATCCGGTGAAAAGATGGTATTACTTCGAGACGAGTGCTTCGATGTTTTTGGATGGTGTCACGTAGGTTACTGTTTACAACGGCAACACTCCATCTCTATTTATGCAGCAATTCCGTACTCGTAAGTCTTTAGAGGCTATCACGTCTCAGATCTACCATGATATCCAGTGAACGAAATAATTGTCTTGCGATAATCTAACTAGCACTTCCCCTTGGCTTAGTCCACCTTCCTCTCTTCGCTCTTGTCAGTAGTCTGCTGAGGAGTTGAAACTCGCATAGGCGTTCCCTCCATCACCGGTGTGATACCTCCGTTCATGTAATGATCTTCCCAGTCCATATCACTGAGATACTTATAGTCAAGACCTCTGATCTCGTGTTCCTCGCTAGCTCGAAGATGCAAACCAGGGATTTTGCCAATAACGAAGAGCAACAAGCACGAAATGACAAATGACCAAGCGGCACATGTCACAGCACCCGCAAGTTGGAGGCCAAGCTGGCGGTAGTTGTCATCCCACCATCCACCTGCATAAGCGTCTCCCGATACACCGTCCAGCGCAGGAACATATCCAGTAGCAAAAAGGCCTGTCAGGATGTCTCCGATTACGCCACCGATGCCGTGGATAGCGAAAATATCGAGCCCATCGTCGACCGACAGGATGTACTTGTACTTCACACAGTAAAAGCACACGAGCGACGTGACACCTCCGATTACCGGAGCAACATAAATGAGCGTGAATCCGGCAGCGGGAGTGATGCCAACTAGTCCTGCAATGATACCGCTGCAGAAGCCAACCAAGGAGAATTTTCGGGTATGCAGATATCCGAGCAGAACCCAAGCAATGCCGCCCGCACAAGCTGAGAAATTTGTGTTTGCAACGACGTAAATCGATCGAAGGCTAAGGTTTGCAGTGCTGCCACCTAAGTTAAGGGAGAATGTTAGCTTTCGGCCGCATATCTCAGCTGCGATTGACATACCATTAAAGGCGAACCAGCCAAACCAAATGAGTACAGTTCCAAGGACCATGAGTAATGGGTTATGTGGCTTGTAGTGTACGGCTCGTTTGCGATCGGCCATGTCGCTTTCTGGCAGTCTCGGGCCCAACATAAGCGACCAAGCCAGAGCACCAAACCCGGAGGCAATATGGACTGGCCCCGATCCTGCGAAGTCGTAGAGGCCCAGAGCATATAACCAGCCTGCCGGATTCCACTCCCAATAGGCTAGACTACAGCGATACTTGTTAGTGACTCTTCACGAAACGAGGTTTGGTCGACGCTTGGTTGCGGTTCGAGGGAGGCTGCGACGCATAACATACGGGTAGTAAACAAATGTTGTCCAGCAAAGAAGGAACACCATGCTAGGCCATAATCTGCCTCGTTCGAGCATAGCTCCAGCCAAAATCATGGCAGTGGCGGTGACGAAAGTGACTCCGAAGATCGCATCTGGACGAAGTAATAGTCAGCAGGGAAGGTTTATTTATGCAGTTATAACTCGTCAATACATACATAGGATCTCTGGGATATCAGAGTTTGCAATCGAGGGCTGGGCAAGGACGTTGTGGAATACGGCGAGCGACAGGTCACCCAACATTGGGTTTGTAGTTCGAGATTGATACAAGCTGTAACCATAAATCCAGAATTGTATCCCCACGGCACAGGCACAGAAAAGAGACTGCAGGACCATCGTCAATGCTGCTTTCTTCCTATGCATACCGGCATCTGCGTCGTGTCAATATATGGAACCGAATATCTCGATGTGTCGCAGGTCCTTACAAAGAAAGCCGATTGCAGGAGTGATCTGCCAGCAAAGAATTGTGCAAACAAGCATCCATGCCAAATCGCCCTGTAAAACACGATTTTGTTAGATCTAGGATCTTCAACGAAGTTTTCGTGGAAGCGCAGCATTGGGATGAGAACCGGCGGAGCGAATGCACAATGCGGCCCTCCAGCTCGCCGTGAATGACTAACCTTGTCATAAGTAGCATTCAAATCATGGGTGACAGGGTTGCCGCCTGTTGGATCATCATTGTAATCGGGCCACTCAGTGACTGGAGTAATCGTCGAAGCCATGATGTATCAACTTGGGCCGAAGAACAGACTGTACACGCTGCTGATGTCCATCCCGGCGGCAGCACCCACTGTCTATTAATGACTTTCCCCCCTATTGAGGCCCTGTATCTCGGTATCTCTGACATATCCTAGTGTTTTGCCAAGAAATGGGTATCATGACTGAATCGGGAACATTCTTCCCTTTCCGGCGAAACCATGCGAGATAAGAATTAAGGTACAAGATAACGTTGCTTCATCGCAACGTGGCGTAGATTCCTTATCTTTGGCTGCATGATGTGTGGTTGGACAGATCTGAGATCAACAGAGATAACGGACTAGCGGAATGTTTGTTCCCCTGGCTTCAACGCGCTTCGGAGCAGCATAGAACAGAATAAAAGAGCATCTCAGGTAGCAGAGTTCCTACAAAATGCCCAGTATTTATCCTCTAATCTCAGGAGAGGCATCAACACTAATGCAAACCTCGTAGAACTTTAGCTGAACTTTAGCCTAATCTTATGGCATTGTAGGTAATCTTAGTACAGCGCCTCTATCGATGGCAGATGGATGAGTTCATGACTTCACGTATCTTGTCTCACAAGAGCCAATGGCAAGTGATTGTTGGTTGGTACCTTGCTGGGGATGGAATGTTAGTCGGTAGTTAGCTACGACGTTATCTTTTGCCAGATTCGCTAGTTGAGAAACGCGGAGAAAGGCATGAGACTTATTGGCGGGGAGCGAGGCCGCGCCAAATTCAAGGTTGCGATAAGAGATTATGCTTATCTCCTTTGAGATTAATGAGAGCCAATCAGAGGAATTTCTGGGCCCACTCTGACAGTTGAACTGAGCCCGGTTACCCGGTAGCTCTGGGACCGCCCAGGATGCAAATGCCAATGTTTGCGTTTATCCGATCATCGGACCATTTGGACAAAATTAATGTGTTTATAGATCTTCTTATATAACTGTTGAGCGATTTTAGTGCTTTTGCTGATGAGAAGAAGAGTAGGTCATGCACATATGTGAGTTTTCGAGTAAAAACCACCAGACAAACGGATTTTGTGCTGGAGGAGGCATGCTACTTCGCCTGAGTCTGCCGCCTCTAAATTCAACGCAAGCACATCATGTCTAAAACTTGAATAGTGATCATGGTAGAACTTCAATATGGGAAATGAAGACACATTTTCTCACTGAAGCAGCGTTTGTTAAGGCTCCGTACCAGCTTTGTCATGGTGCTGTTGGAAGAAAAATATCGCTATTGATGACTATGATTCTGTTCATGGGTAAGTTCATGCCATGCTACAATCAGTCGAATAAGCGCAGAATTCTTGATCTCGGAGTGGCCAAAAGCGTGCCCCTTCGGTTTGACGCGTCCACTCACGATTTATCACGCATGAGCCTTTTAAGAATGAAGAATACGACTGGATATTGCTGGGTATCAGTGGCTCACTGCTAGCACTGTTTGTCCTATGCTATGGAACTTAAGCTGGCGGTTCAAGGTAGATTCGTCTATGGCGATGTACTCAACCATCGACCGAAGCGGAAAATACCTACTGTATCACCATGACCCGGGAAAACCACCTCAATCGACTTCATCGGCCTCGGTAACGATTAATGAAGCTCATCGGATAAGTGGGGACGGCGTCCCGGCCAGAACGGGCGCCGACTGACAAGGCCGGCCCCACAGCCATGAAATCCTCGACATTCCGATCCGTCATCACATGAAGCTTTGTGTACTTCGTGTGTCTTTATAGAGAAGCCTTTTAATTGCTTGAAAGCGACCAATGCGAGCTTTATTTTTATAGTCTTGCCTTCAGATTCTGGCATTACAAACTATCATTCAGCACGATAACTTGTTCAGTTCACTCAGAAATGACCAACCAATCCGTTATAGTCGTCGGCGCAGGCCCTGTTGGCCTTTTTACAGCCCTGATACTTGCCCAAAAAGGGATCAAGGTAACAGTGATTGAGGCAGATGAAGGAATCTCTCGGAGTCCAAGAGCTGCAGTGCAAGTTCTCCCATCCCTTGGTCATTCAATTACTGACATTTCAATCGCAGACAGCTCCCTTGCGTCATTCTCGAATTTGCCAAGGCTGGAATCGCCCAAGAGGTTTTCGAATACGGCTGTAGGAGCGAGCACGGATACTCTTGGCGAGACGGAAACGATACAACAAAAGTCCTCGCGGATTTCACGCCTCCGTCAGCCGATAATCCCAATCTTTGCGCAGCCATGATAGGGCAAGACGTCTTGTCGCAGATTTTCCTCAAGCATTTAATCAATACAGGAAATGCGGAGATCATCTTCAACCATGCCTTCACTCGCGCTGAAGACCATGGCGATTCAGTTACCGTTCACGCTCGGCGTGTACTTGATGATCAAGAGCTATCCTTTAACTGCCGGTATGTCGTTGGAGCCGATGGTGGTAAAAGTTCGATTAGAAAGTCTCTAGGCCTGTCGCTTGAAGGCTTTACCTGGTCAGACATACGGCTCATTGCAGTCAACATCCTCTATGACATTGAAAAGTTCGGCTGGAAACATGGAAACTTTATTGTTCATCCTGAGGACTGGGCAATCGTTGTGAAACGTGGAAAAGGGACTTTGTGGAGGGTTGCCACCAGCGTTCCGTTTGCCGAAGGCGCTGATGGGGAGCCTATTACTGACAAGACTGTTTTCCCTATTATCAAAGAGAGACTTGCGAGGATCTTGCCGGGGAATACTGATGAGATTGTCTACCTTCAGGCAGCTCCGTATACGATTCATCAGCGCTGTGTGTCGAAATATCGCGTTGGTAATATCATCCTCGCCGGCGATGCTGCCCACGTAAGTTCTTCCTTACCACCACATACTTCGTCTCTAAACACTCTCTAGCTCAACAACCCCGTTGGTGGACTTGGATTGACTACGGGGATACTTGATGCCGCTCATCTGGGCAAAGCGTTAACGCAGATTCTAAACGAGAATGCCCCAGATGCAGTCCTCGATGAATACGCGAAGGCCAGGCGTGAAGTCTTCACCAACATCACAAATCCAACATCGACTGCGAATCTGTTGAGACTCAAGTCAACTGCTCCTGAAGACATCATCGCGAGGGAGGCATTCTTCAAGATGATGAATGATCCAAACGACAGAAGCCAAGTCTTTGCTGGTATGGCGAAGGAGATGGGGTTATCGACTACCTTAGATATGAAGGATTTGGGGCCAAGGCCACAGTTGTGAACTTGAGAAGAATAGATAGATTAATTCCCAGCTTGTAATGAGAGAGCCATTAGTTTCTCAACCGTATTACGGCTTTTAAAGTGGCAGTATACTTAGCTTAACATTGGCGTGTGTCCAGTATCACTCTCAATGCCAACTTATTTACGATCATAAACCGACGTCTCCAACATTCACATGATATGAAACAAAACATTGGACTGAATACCGCTCTGTCACCTGACTGCGTAAAAAGCCACATCTCTCTCTCTCTCTCTCTCTCTCGTTGCCCCGATTACCAAGCGATGATTTCTCCAATAGCTTTACACATGACCCGGATAGTCTGCGGACTCGCTATCGCTTCAGTGTGAACCAATGGGTAACCACCAAAAGCCCCGCGCCTTAGCTTATACTGTAGACTACTCGCAAGACCAGTAGGTCTACCACTCAAACCATTATACGTAATGTCGCCCTATTCTATCCACGGGAAGTCTTCTGAACATGCGTATTGTTTTTTTGATCTTGACCTTCAGTCACTGACTCCGTCAGAAGCCGAGCTGTTTCTATCTGGCCTCACCAAAGACAGGATACTGCTGTTTGAAAGGGCGGTGCTAAATGGGCGGCGCGTCTTACTACCGCGACCTGACCTACGGACCCACGGTCAACGTGAATGCCGTCTCCACCATCCCGATGGCATCTGTCAACGCTACCCCAGATCTCAATTTGGCAAGTCTGGCTGGGGTAAACCTGGGGAACACGCCACCCATACTCCCGCCATTTGCTCCGACACCTTCGCAAAATACCGTAACAACCAGCATGCGTTCAGCCACCGGCATTCAAGCACCGATGCACCTTGTCTGCAACTTCTGATATAATAAAGCTGAGTCCCACGGCGTTTTGCTACTGGCACATCCCTGCTTCTCCAGCATTCGGCTTCTGAGTTGCATCGCCAACATGGCTTCCCAATCTCCCATCCACGCTCCTTTTGAGCAAGGTGCTACTCAAATCCACTCCAAAACGATAATCTGCCTTTTCGTAAGTCACTCTGCACTTTCAACACCTCCAAGCTAATCAAAGCCCAGGCCGTCAACATCATATACCTGACGCAAATCCTTTCTCTCGTCGGCACAGGCCTCTTGGCAAATACCATGGCCCAAGTCGTCGGCGGTAATGGACAGACTGTCTGGTACTCATCCTGCATCACAATCCTTACCGTCGTCCTAAATCCTCCCATCGGTCAAGTCGCTGATTACTGGGGCCGCAAAGCCATCCTCGTCGTTATGCCACTTGCTGGCGTAGTGGGTAGCATCATCGTGTCCCGAGCTCAAAGCTCCGGAACTCTCATCGCCGGGTTCGCTATCTTGGGTCTCAATTATGGAAGCCAGTCCCTCTCTGTTGCTGTCATGTCTGAGATTCTTCCTCGGCATTATCGACCTGTTGGACAAGCAGTTGGAAGTGTATCGACTGCGCTTGGTGCTATCATTGCCTTACTCATGGGAGGCGGACTTCTCCGTCATGGTGATAACTCCAACTATCGCATTTTTTGGTATGCGACGGCCGGTCTTTACGCTCTTGCATCTCTGGGCTGTCTCATTGGATATAATCCTCCGCCTCGAGACCTACAGATCTCCCTCGATATATCGCAGAAGATCAAGAGTCTTGACTGGGTAGGATATGCTTTGTTCGCGCCAGCACTCGTCCTTTTCTGTATAGCCCTATCATGGTCTCAAAACCCCTACTCCTGGGACAGCGCCAACATTCTCGCCCCTTTCATCATCGGCATCGCCGTGCTGATCATCTTCATCGTGTATGAGTGGAGGTTCAAGAAGGACGGCATGCTTCACCATGAGCTATGGAGACACAGAAACTTCGCCATCTCCCTATTTGTTATCTTTGTTGAAGGTATTGCTTTCTTCGCAGCCAACTCCTATTTCGTCTTCCAGATATCTCTCGTCTACGATGTCAGCTTCCTCTCAGGCAGTGTCAACTTCGCCATCCTGTTTATCGCAGCGGCCGTGTTCTCTCCTGCCTTTGGCTTATGGTCCTCTAAACGCAAGACTCTTCGGCCACCACTCGTCTTGGGTGCCGTCTGTCTTCTGGCTTTCTTCATTCTACTGGCAACTTCAAAGATTGACACTCCTCGATATGCTTTTTGGATATATCCTATCCTCCCTGGCATTGCGCTCCCTTCCATCGTTCCATTGTCCATGGTTTCTGCTCAATTTGCAACAACGCCGGAGCTGATCGCTCTCACATCTGCTCTCATGACTAGTATTCGCAGTCTAGGGGGGTCAATTGGTCTAGCAATCAACAATGCCATCCTGCATAATGCTTTGGACAAAAACTTGCCCAAAAATATTGCCGAGGCAGCCCTACCGCTAGGACTGCCTGCCTCGTCGCTGCCTGCACTTATACAAGGGTTAGCTTCACAGAACAAACAAGCAGTAGCTGCTGTACCTGGCATTACACCTGAAATCGTACAGGCCGCAGTTTTAGGTATGAAGAAAGCGTACTTGATCGCATTTAGAAACACATGGATCTTTTCGGCTTCCTTCTGCGCTCTCTTGGTCATATGTAAGTTCCATCTACGTATTCCATTCAAAACCGGCTGACAAAAAAAAGCTTGCTTCTTCATCAACGAACAAGAATCTGAGTTTGATACAAGCATTGATGCACCTGTTGAGATTAATTCTAAGACCCTGGAGGTTGATGAGATCGTGCCGCCGAGTATGCAGGAGAAGAAATTCGAGGGCAGAGCAGAAGTGAGCCATCAGGAGAACACTAACTCTTAATTAATCTCACTTGTACGAAGCCTCTCAGCTGTCCTGGGCAAGTTATGGAGTGTTTAGCCTTCTACGTTTAGTCATTTAAAGACCATTACTGCGGTGCATAGCTTTAATCAGACTCGTGATTAGGATTGCCATGATGTTCTCGTTGTCATGAGCTTGAAAGCGACACTATTAGGTTTAATCATTCCAACTATTTCCAGCCAGTTAGACTACGCTCTCCCAGTTATATCCAATTTTCCCAACGAGCATTTGCCGTGGTTGTATCGCCTGTGCCATGCCAGACCAAAGACAAAGTCAGTTACAGCCAGCAGCGTATCTCAAGCGCTTGAAATGATCTTCATAGGAGATAAGGTGTATTAACATTTGTATAGGGTTCATCTTGTGTTATCGTTGCTACAATACTTGCTTCTGTCTTTGCATCATGGTGCATGTGCTCCCCAAGCAATTACTACTACTATTATAACTGTAGGTAGTTGAGATGCTGATGATCATCGTCAAGAAAATTGAGAGAAAGCCCACTGTTCCAATCTGGTTGAGTGTCTCCTTGCACGTATCTGGGCAAGCCTCTCCCAGCCATATTGGCAAGTTCCGTCATCAAAGTCTGTGCATCTCCCAATTCAGTCGGCTGGAGAAGTTGCTGCAGCTCACTGTCACTAGAACTGCTTTCTGCTGATACGTTCTCAACCCTCAATTCCCCTCCATCAAGTCCTCCTATGGTGGGCTTGTCATCTTTCCGATTATTGGGAACACGTGAAGGGAAGAATAACGCAAATCGCTTCTCAAATGAGTTATCCTTGTCATGGCGCATCAATGAAGCCCTCAGATCTGTCTCTAGTTAGTATACAAGGATGTTGAAAAGCAGTCGAAACGTACTTATTACAATTGAGGCAAGGTTCCATACAGAGGCATATTGCGACAAGACCAGACTGACTAGGTCGCTGTTATGGTAACCGGTATATGGAGCATCAGCCATCTCCTTTGACGGGTATGCTCGGTCTGATAAGAGACAGCATGCGAGGAAAGGCTGGCATACAGGGATATAGTCCGGATACCAATGATAGAAGATCCGTGATAAATGACGAGGCGGACTCAATACTTCCGGACTTTGAGGTTTGAAGCTGGCTTGAATGGTCGTCCGGGCACAAGTCACCATGAGGTGTATCCCAATAATCCAGTTATGTCTTGCAGCATCGCCTGAGGGTGTCTCCCGTTCCAGTGTTTCCAAAGTAAAGCGCTGCGACATGACAAGTGAAAAGCAAGTAATAGCATCGACGAGCTCCTCCTTATCCCGCTGACAAGTGAACCGACCAGCTGCGAATTCACTCGCGACACTCAAGAGAATGTTTGCCACGAGGAACCATGCTCGAGGGTCTTGATTCTGAGATTCAAGAAGGATTTTCCAGACCTCGCTGGGTCTTGGATCAATAATGGGAGACTCAACGGGTTGGTCTGCAAACCATACTTCATCGCTGACTGGAAGTTTGACCACCATCATCGAGCGGTTGATCGAACTTGGCCGCCTTGACATGAGGGAACCAAAAGTGTCGACTTCCCATGTTATCCAAAACGCACGGCGTTGTTCCTCCAGAACTGACCAGTCTTTCGATTCATCCTGCTCATCCATATTACACAGATTCAAGTCGTATGCTAACCGGACGCAAACGCCAGCCAGGATCCAAGCGCGATGAGACGGGCCGGAAGCATACTCGTACGCGGCTAACAAGATACAGCCTTGAAGATATTCCAGAGTTGGTGCTTGGTCGGATTGGCATTTTTCGTAGTATGTATTGGCTTTCTCCATAAAGCCCTGACCACGATCTGGTGCTGGAATGCCATGAAACCATGAGTTTGTGGAGTGTCGAGCTGCCAAAGCAAACATGCCGCAGAGCAGCAGTGCCTCGGTGTTAGAGTGGTTCCTTTCCTCGAAGACGCCATTCTTCATGAACCGGGCGGAAAATCGTGGCCTATGAAGAAGCGGAAGCCATCCTTGGGTCTTAGCGAAAAAGAGGTGGATGAGTTCGGTTAAGACTGGTACCGGTATACCCAGCCATGTAGGTATGTCTCGTTCTGTCGAGCGAAAAGTCGAAGCTGGAGAGGTTGAGTCCTCGCCCATAATGCTTGTCCCCATGACTATAATTTCTGATTGTGATTCATCAGCACTATCGTCTCTCATGGGCTGATCCTGTTCTCTGTCGAGAGAGTTTGGTGTGTATGTATCGTTAACTCTTGGGAGCTGCTCCGTTTGAGACAGCAGCATGTCGATATCTTGCCCATCGCTCAGTCGTGACTCAAGCAGACTAACAAGACGTTCTGATTCACGCGTCAGCGCCCAACCAATTCACTGCGGACACTTGAGCCTTTACCAAGCTTCTGTGAGTCAATCTGACTCTCCTGGCGACGTCTCTGGGGCGTCTTTCTCTTGGTGGGAAACGTGCAGGATTGGCCAGTTCTTGTACATAGACCGCAGTTGGGTTTTCTCATGTCGCCTGAACCCTGGTCAACTAGATCTCAGAAATGGGAAATCGTAGCTTACATCTTGTCTTCTTTCTGCTCCAAGGGATTAGCATACGTAGGATGAAGAAGCTGTATGGGCAGGCTCACGTACCGTCTACATTCAAAACAGGCGCGATGGCCCTTCCACGTCTCAGGTGGAGTCGTTCGTTCTGGATTGTCTTGTGTCATGTTTGGGGCGGATCGAGGCTGTGATCAATGGATGAATGTCGCGATGCAACGTACGATAAAGTTGAGTTTGGAGCAGCCGGGTTGCATCAACGGCTCCGAGGTTTGTCGTTTGCGGGGGAATGTGGACTCCCGAAGCTCAATCTACCGATCCTTCCGTTGATTGGCTTCAATCGAGGGCCCTTGTTGCGCCATGTTCTTTAGTTCCAGTTGTGGGCCCGGTCAAACGCGGTGTTTCCATGTCCGTTGTGAAATATGCGTAGGCTCGCTGGACAGTTTGCTTAAAGCTGTATTTATTTCTTTATGTAACCACTTCTTAGTCGGTCTAATTTAAGGCCAGTCAATATATAGAGCAGTTCAAAATGGCTCCTAGTTCGGAAATCCTCGCCAGTGCTCAACCAGATCCCGACTTTCTCGAGGCATGTGTCGTCCCTACCAAAAGTCGGACAAGAACAACACTAACAACGCCCACTAACAGATCTTAAAATCCGCCAGCCCTCCGCCGCTTCCGAACAATATTGACATACCAACTCTTCGAGCTGCATCAAATAAGCACAAAAATGAGGCGCGAGACGCGCTAGGGGGCCCTCCTCCGGACTTGACCGAGCGAGATATTGAGATACCTGTTCGCGACGGCAGCAAAATTCTCGCATATGTTTATTCTCCATCAGATATTGTTCCAGGGGATGAACTTCCGATTCTCTTGTTCTTCCATGGCGGTGGCTTTTGTCTAGGCACGCGCCATGATGATATGGAGTCCAACAGAATCTTAGCCCTCAAAGCTGGTATTATTGTCGTCTGCCTTGACTACCGTCTTGCACCTGAACATCCTTTCCCTCAGGCTATTCATGATGGAGTTGACGCATTGCAATGGGTATGTGGTTATTCTGTGCCGGCTATTATTCGCAACAGGACTGACTTTTGGCAGATCGCTCAAAATCCGACGCAAGTTCACCCATCCGCGTCGCCATCATCAGGCCTTATCGTCGGTGGCACTTCAGCAGGAGCAAACATCGCCAATGGTGTTGTATATCAAAACCGCGACCTTGGATCTCCCGCAAAAGTCGCTGGGCAGTTCCTAAGTGTCGGCCCTCTTCTTCCTCCTCCCTTCGTTCCCAAGACGTATAAGGACGACTACATCAGTCATGAGCAGAATAAACACGTAACTATACCTCCAGAAGAAGTGGCGCGGCTATTTGTTGGTAAGATAACCGCAATATTTACTTTGGGCGAGACTGACTTATTCGCAGCTGCGTATAAGCCAGACCCAGACTCACCGATCGCAGTGCCTGCTGTTCATCCATCAGGACACTCAGGAATACCTCCGACGTACTTCCAAGTCTGTGGGATTGACGGTTTGAGGGACGAGAGTATCATTTATGAGCATATACTTCAACAAGAGAATATTGCGACGAGACTAGATCTGTATCCTGGTCTGCCCCATCACTTCTGGGAATTCTTCCCTCAATTGACCAAACAGGTTGAGAGAAGAACAGATGATACAGTGGAAGGAATTAAATGGTTGCTGCATGGTTCAAAACTCACGAAGTTATGATTTCACTCTGGGTGCTTGAAGAAGACACGACGTCGAGCCGTGAATATTGAGTTTGCGATAGCGGATTATGCGCAATAACCATCTTCGGAAAAGTCGGCATAGCAAAGATCCATTATTTTTCACTGAAATGTCTTCAATCTGATGATTCCCACTTGTCTTCACTTAAACCTTGTTCAGTTTCCATTGTGTCAGCGTTAGTCAGCGATTGTCAGTATGTGTAAGACGCTACTAGCGGCTTCCGTAAGATCTTAAAACTCTTTACATTACAATACCGGTGAAACCTCGCTGTCAATTACAAGGAGCGGCCGCTATCGCCATATAATACCGGGCGACGATGTCTACCTTGAAATTCCGGAACTCATACACTGCGAAACCAGAATAATCACAGATCATTGCAAAGATGGGAGTGACGAACCGGCGAAAGGCACACGACGGCGGAGATGTCGAAGCCAGCCCAAGTTCAGAACCTTCCGGTCCTCATTATCGAAGCAACAGTCAGCCCTTCGCTGGTAGACTCGGTGCCAATCAGGCTTATGTCGTTGAGGGAGGTACATCGGAAGATGACCACTTACTGCATCATGCTCCAGATGCTACGCCACATATGTCGTTCTGGGAATTAATGGATATGCGTCCGATCAAGAACCTGGATCTGTGGAAAGCGGCACTTATTGAAGGAATTGGTAACTTCACCTGTCAGCCTCAAGATTTCAGTATTAACTGGCGACAGGCACTTTGCTGTTTGTTTATATCACAATATGGGTCAATCTTTCACCAGACATAGCTCCCGCTGCTCCAACACAACGCTTTGGGAGCTTCGACAATGCCACCTTCCTCGGGCCACTGATTGGTGGTATAACCAACTTGATCTTCATAACATTGTTCATCACGTCCTTTGGAGCGATTTCTGGTGCACACTTCAACCCTCTGATCACCTTCGCGACTTTCTGCGCTCGGCTTTGCTCACTACCGCGTCTGATACTCTACGTCGCAGCTCAAATCGGCGGCGGTACCTTGGCTGGCTTATTAGTCAGAGCAAGCTGGGGAGGTCGGGACTTCAAGGTTGGCGGATGCTGGCTGTTCACTGATATTGTCCCGCCAAGGGAGATATTTGTGGTCGAGTTAGTGTCATCTACTCTTCTCCTGTTCCTAGCTTTTGGTGTTGGTCTGGACCCACGACAAGCGAAAATCATAGGTCCTGCCTTGGGTCCATTTCTCGTGGGTTTGAGTGTTGGTACTATGAGCTTCGCTAGTGCTTTTACAAGATATGGGTACGGAGGTGCGGGTTTGAACCCTGCGAGATGTATGGGAGCGTTCGTTGGAAGTCGGTTCCCAGGCTGGCATTGGATGCATTGGGTTGCGAATGGGACTGCCTGTGTTATTCACGGCATATGCTATTATTTCATTCCACCTTGGACAGAAGTTCGGCAATGAGAGCTTCTTACATTCTTTGCCCTCCATGGAAGAATATACTTGATCGGGATTTCAATGAGAGCATCTCATGTATTGCATCATTGAGGTGGGGGTGGTGCTGAATCTGCATGCACGTATCTAATAATAGCAAACGAGGCCTGCAACTGCTAATTTGAGTGCCAGTGGCACTCTTGATATTGCCAATGCTGATGCACTTGAAAAGTAGCATGTCTCAACTAGCCAGTGTCAGGAATCTTCATGTTTGTATCAACTTCCTTTCAGTAGTAGAGAACGAGGAGGGCTATAAGCCAAAATTAACAGGTGACATGTATGGTTACATACCTTTTAGTATCCTGCATGTTCACTAAGAATAAAAACCATCTTCATTGCCATTGGGTCTGTGACCTAAGCTGCATATGGTGGATCGCTTTGACCTCCCCACGATTCTTCAACTCTGCATCTTCAATCATCTGGTCAAACATAACCCGATCCGCTAACTTTGATTCAGTAGCAGCTTCATAACTCAAAGAGTCCAGCAGAGCATGAGGCTCTGTCCAAGAAGACCCAAAGTCTACCACTCGTCCATCGCGGAAGTTATCGATCCGTATGTCCATATTATATATCCCTGCTTTGTTCATTGAGACGACTTTACCTAGGATCTTTCTGATACTCGCCGAGGTGATACCACTTTTTGAAGATGCAATCTCTTTCACGATAGCTCTGGCTCTTAGACCTCCGATCGTGGACCTTTGATAATCCATATCCACGGAACCCAGTCCAAGGTCAATATTACGGTTCGCTAGGGCTTCCTGGTCTTTTGATTCCAGGAAGACGAATCCATGACAGGGGACAGCTACATCTGGTTTGAGAATCTTTCCATCGGTAGCTTCGCGTATCTGACCATACGCTCGGCATTCTGCGTAGAATGGATCGGTATAGTAGGCTGCAGTGTCAAGAGGTGTATCTTCACCTAGAAGTGGCCCCCAAAAGTACGCGGTACTCATAGGGTCAAAGAACTTGAACTGCCATGCAAGCCGTTGTGAGTAAGAGAAGCCCTCTGGAAAGGAGAAAATTAGCAAGAGAATTATCGTCACATACAATTTTTACTGCGTACTCGCGACCTCGGATGAGAGCCCGGAATACATAACCTTGGCTTGAGGTCACATCATCATCTTCATCGAGTCTCTCAAGCCATTGAATGCGCGATTTGTGATACTGAAAGACATTGAGCTTTGGCCCGTCGCATGGTGGTAGCGTCTGGGGAAATGATAAAACGCGTCTTTTCCTCGGCATGCTGAAAGAGCAAGAGAGGAGATAACGAGGAATTTGTGACGAATATAGGCATGGCATTAGCCCTCGCCCTTCGGTATCCTTATAGCTAGCGGCCATCGTCCGTATGCGCGTCGGGCCGCTTTTAGCGATAATCAGGTTTTCATGCAGTATTGCGGCATCTGTGGAGGGGTCGCATGGTCTGTGAATGGCTAACATGAGTGGAAATGCTGCAGAGATATCACCAACATCAATATGCAGACTTCAGCTCCGAGGTGGGGGGATGAACAGGATGGAATGAACTGAAGTTGCCAGAGCCTGATCTGATTGCCTGGACACTTTAAAAAGCGTGGAATGTTCCCTTCAATGAGAATGAACAGATTGTGTTCAAGGATGAGACATTGTGACATTCCGGTCGTGCCACGGTAAAATTACGTATAGCCTCACATCAAGATGGCCCTGCCGTCCCCGGCGACGTCAACACTTGAGCTACTTACCCACCCGAATCCATCCCTCAGCCATCGAATCCCCAAGAGCAAGACAAACACTCGAAGTCCCCTCTATTACTGGCCTAGACAAATAAAGAAATGGGAAGAATTGGAAGACATCAATATTCTGAAAAACATCTTTGGTGGAGTTTTGCTTCAAGAGGCATGTCGCAGAGACCGAACTCTTGACCCATATCCAAGACTTCACTGGCAAGCTGACTGCATCGTACGCAATGAGGACGATACCAGAGATCTAATCAACAAGTAGAACAAATCAGTTGTCACTGCCGCCCTTGACCCTATTCAGGATCTTTTCCATCCCGTCATCTGGAGCAAAGGGGATCCCCCATCAGGCAAAGAGGTATTTCCCTCGCCTCCCAAACAACACGAAAAGCAGCGCCATCAGCCATTACGCAAAGGCTCTGCAAAGACAACACATACAAAATTACAATCATTGTCGAGACTGCAGCCAGATTCTGGGTCTATTGCATCTAGTCCACTCTCATCAAAGGCTGGCGATACGACAATATCTGATTGTCAGGAGAGATTTCCAAAAGAGTACAAGATCTCCACAAAATGGAAGAGTGAGCGTATCTTCAATGGCGGAATCCTAGATGATTCTGGGGCTTTTATGCGGGGAAAGACATCTGATAATTATGCTTGGCCCATTAGACAGGCTTATACTTATTGCATTCAGCATATGTGTCGATATGGATGTATATTGACGGGTGAAGAAGCATTCATATTTCGCATCATGCCGCGAGAGGACAAGTCCAGTGAGTCCCTTTCTTTCCGAGACTTTCCAACCTTCCATTGGCTTACGAGGCTAGTCAACAATTCACAAAACGTGAATTTGCTAAGAAATGAGCTCATCAATAACGGGCTTATGGAATACGTCTCCATTCCCTGGAAAAACTACAGTCAAGGTCAGAGACCGTCCCTCGACGCCTGGACTGTCAACCTAGCACTGTGGTTTATGCATATCCTGGCTGGAAATATTTTTGAAGTTGAATGGAGTTATGTTGATCTGACATCTGAAGCCTTGATTATTTCTAAGCCGGTTGAGTCTCATGGTCAGCCCAAAGCAGCTTCTTCTAGTAGGGCTCACTCCGATGATGAAGAACAGCAAGGGGCGGGACAAGATGATAATGGGTCAGTTACTTCGGAAGACTCGAAAGTGACTGAAATCTTGAACTCGTCTACTACAAAGCGAAAGCGGGACTCAGATGATGACAGCGACTTTGAGGGCATTCATCTTTCATTCACAAAGCGTCAATTTGTATAGTTGGGGGACATTGGCAGTGGGTTCTCTGGTTAACATGGAAGGCCACAGAGCATGTACTCAGTAACATTGGACATATAAACATTATCACTGAAACGACTGCTCGCTATCTCTCAACACGCTCTCATGGAACTCCACAAACTCCTACTTGCTTGTTTCCTTCATGTTAATTCATTTGTCATTGATGTCCACCAGAATCTTGACTTGGTTGTTCTTATCGGTGATCAACGCATTGATACCATCCTCGACAATATTCTCCATCTTGATCTTTCTGGTGATCATCTGGCTAGGCTTAATTGCACCTGAAGCGAGGTTGTCGATGACCGCTTGGAAGTCTTCCCGTTGGTACCCTAAAACGGATTTGTAGGCACTCTCTTTGAAGGTCAGCCAATTAGGATTGAAAGGGATCTCCTTCTCCCAGATTGCGATGTTTACCACAGTGCCTCTTGTTCTCACGACTTCGCAAGCACCTTTAACACTATTCACTGTCAGTATCTTCACGGAGTCTGGTGGAAGAAAACTCACCTTGCTGGTACACCAGCGCAATCAAAAACAACATCAGCACCCAAACCACCAGTCAAGCCAAGAACAATCTGGTTGAGATCCTCTTTGATCGGGTTCACAACCTTGGTTGCACCAAACTGCCGCGCAAACTCCTGTCTCGAGGCGGCAACCTCGGAAACAATAATCTCACTAACCCCCTTGGCCTTCAAGCACAAAATCATCGCCAAACCAATCGGTCCACCACCCAAAATTGCAACCTTGGACTTCTCATTGATCTCCGGCGCCGCAGACATAGCATGCCACGCCACAGAAAGCGGCTCGACAAGTGCTCCGATCTCCAGGGGTAGATCTTTTGGCAGCGCGAAGACGTGTGTGGCGTTTACACAAACTGATTCGGAAAGACCTCCACCACCACCAGAGAGGCCGAGAAACCCACCGGTATGGCAGACGTTCTCGGCGCTGGTGTGGCACGCAGCGCAGTGGCCGCAGAAGAGGGTTGGCTGGACTGCGCAGGGCTGACCGACTTCGAAGCCAGTCACGCCTGGGCCGACTTCGGAGATGATGCCTGAGAATTCATGGCCTAGTGTTACGGGGATACTTTCAGATGTGAGAGGGTGAGGCTTGGTTGGGCAGAAGTTCGGTCCCCCAAGATATTCGTGTAAATCTGGTGCTTGTCAGCATTTGGCTAGGCTTTGGGATTTGTTCCTTACCTGTACCGCAGATTCCAACAAATTTTGGGGCAACCTGGGACTATTAGCATCTATGAATATCTGAACAATGAGAAAGTCTGACCTTGACTTGTCCAGGCTGCACTGATGGTTCAGGAACCCGCTCGACACGAATGTCCTTGATACCGTAATACCTAGCAGCTCTCATGGTGGCGTAGAAAGACCGATTTATGTTCCTGGATACAGGCCCACGGAATTGTTGATTAAAAAGTTTTGTAAATGAAGTTATCGGTAGTCTCATAATCGTCCAATTTTCTCTTTTCCTTCGCTCAAAAGACAGCGATCGACAGCGTCTTTATATAGCTCCCAGGTTTAAGTTCACGTACGATCAAGTCAGTTCACTGCCCCACCATCCGACATGGGGGATCCGCATCACGAGTTCCGCAATGCAGCCGCAAGCACCAAATCTCACTTGTCGTGCATCAAAATACATCGTTTTAATTCGTGTTTTTTTGTCGATGTAACGACTTTGAGACTTCAGATGCGGGGGAAAGGATGATCTTACTTGTTTTGACTTCCTTTAGACCTTTCCCCGGATTCAAGAGACGTTGGACCTGGTTAGCGCGGCCTGAGCCGATGCGGACCCGATCGAGTGAGTCGGAAGCCGTAAAGAAGGAAGATGGCAGATTGTGGATGCGAATCAGATGGGAATTCCATGCTTTTAATTCGCTCTCTCGACAATGTTTGCCTTATCAACAAGAACCGAAAGCATATTCATGGTTTGGCACATTATTTGTCTCTCAGTCATCTGGGCTGTCTCATCGCTGCTCATTGTTCCTTACGCGTCGCGTATCCCAAAGAATTTCCCAGCAATCCGGATATACATAAACATAAAATCAGGAGCGATTCGAAATAGGATTCCGTGATAAAGCCGATCTCGCTTGCAAAAATGGGGATATGACTTGATTCCGCCTCATTCAGTCTTGGCTACGGTGGAGTCTCCTGTCAAAGATGAGTGTGCAGTGGTGTGAGACAGGACCCATCAATATCTCCTTACTTACCGAGCTATCAGATAAGGGTCTCTGATAAGGGATTTTCATCAGCTTATGATCTTCAGATGAGGCTAATCGTACCGCTCGCTTGAGTGTCTCTGAGTTTACACGCAGGTCACGCACATAAATCAGAAGCAAGCTTGAGTGTTATGACTGAGAAAACCCACAATGGCAGAAGCATTTGCCGAAAAAATTGACTTTTGCATAAGTATTATAATTGTAAAATGATTTAGATGATAGTTTGAATTGAATCTCATTGAGACGAAGCCTATGGTGCAAAATCACATGAACGCAGACTTACCCAACGCACCATGTTTCGTGGTTCTGATTACCTAGCTTTCCGACAAACGTCTAAACCTTCTCGTTGGTAGCTAAAGATCAAGGTCGAAACCCCAAAGGTGAGACTTGATTAGTCGTCGATATAGCGGATACAAGATACAATGTACCACCGAGTAGTTCATGCAAAGCATGTTAAAAACCGAACGAGTTCATGATAATAACCCTACCCTGCACTCGGACGATCGATTGAGGGCCTTGGAGGGCGACTCCAACTCACCCCAGAGGTTGGAGTAACTCCACTGCAGAGATAAGATAACACTGATAACGATAACGTTGGAGCTTAGCGTCATTGGTTTCACAGCCCATGTCTGGTATCCATCTCGGTCGGCACGTATGTTACTGTGACCCTGAGATAAGAACTACGCCGGTATCGCCACGTACAGAGTTTCCCCTCAGTTCAATCGTTTCGAAATTGTCATCAAAGAGTTCTCGAATCTAAAGCAAGAACAATGTCGATCTTCAACGGCGTCGCACTGGTGACTGGGGCTGCTTCAGGTAAGAACCTGTAACTTCTGCTGGATCTAGCTAATCAATTGCAAGGTATCGGCCGCGAGACAGCTTTATCCTTTGCGCGGGAAGGATGTAAGAGGATTGTTATAGTTGACCGTGATTCCGACAAGCTCGATGACACAGAGCTGGCCATAATAGAGACCTTCCAGGGTGTTCAAGTCCATGCTGTTCCAACAGACATCTCCAAAGAGGAAGACATCGACAAACTCTACAGTGAAACTATTTCAAGATTTGGAAGGGTAGACTATGTCGTCAATGGCGCCGGTAAGAATTGTCTTGCTACTGAAGAGTGATTCTGTTAAAGGCTGATCGTATCATAGGCGTGTTGAGTAATAACAAGAGGTCCCATGAGTCTTCTGTTGAGGAATTCGATATGATAAACAATGTCAACTACCGCGGATGTTGGCTATCCTCCCGCGCTGCCATTCAGCGCATGCTTAAGCAAGACCCTCTGCCTACTCATGATGGAAGACCTGGAGTCCGAGGAAGCATTGTTAATATCGCCTCACAATTGGGAGTGGTCGGTCGTCCAGCAGCACGTAAGTGAAGATGTAAGAACTCCACAGTGGAATTTTGTGCTGACATTGTCAACTGTAGCGGCATACTGCGGTAGTAAAGCAGCCGTGATTAGCATGACGAGATGCGATGCTATCGATGTATGTTCTTCGCCGTCACAGGGTTTGATAATGTTACTGACTTATATAGTATTCTAAAGATCTCATCCGTGTCAACGCCGTTTGTCCGGGCCTTATTGATACAGCTATGACCCGACCTCAAGCTGATGTCTTGAGTCCTGCAATTAACATCGCTCCAATGGGTCGAATGGGCAGCCCGCAAGAAGTGGCTGATTGTATATTATTTCTTGCCAGTAGTAAAGCAAGCTTTGTGCAGGGAGCTGCGATGATGGTTGACGGTGGATATGTCATTAATTAGTTGTAGCTGTCGCTGTAATAGAGTTCTCTCTCAATGAAACTGTTCAATCCCCCGATCATATTCATCAAAAGTCAACGACTATCTCAACCAATCAGAAATCGTTCGGGCGAATGGTTTAGTGGTATAATACTCCCTTAGCATAATTCGTCAGAATAATCTGGGAGTGGTCCAGGGTTCGATTCCCTGTTCGTCCAACTTAGGTGGTTAGAATCCACCTGTACCATCTTTTTGTCCTTTGTCGCTCTGGTCTGGGCCAGTTTTCTTTTGTATTTATATGAGACTTGGGCAATATCTGTGAGTTGCTGGGTGTTTTATGAAGAAATGGCATTGCAACTGAAAGTAGGTACCTTATGTATTGGCCTCCAACTCCATTTTTGTCGTAGCGACCCCATTCATCTCCACTACATATGTCATGATGTTGCAGCCTACCAATCATCGTCACCAATTCACCATCGGCATTGAAGAGACGGGTCAGGATACCACCAGTGAAACCTCATAACGTAGTTTGAAACGTGATTTCAAATCATCTCCACCAGCAGTAGCTTCTAGACTTCGTGTTCCTTCCAGAAAGTATATAAGTTTGCACTCAGCTCCCTGTCAATCAGCCATATCAACAATTCACTCTGCTCAAGAAAATCACAACTCCCCAAATCTCAAGACACACAAATATCGAACATGTCTTCTCTCAAGCCCCTCATTCTCCACGCCCATAATACTGGCCCTAATCCTTTCAAGGTGGCCATCCTGCTTGAGGCTCTCAAAGTTCCCTACACCGTCAAGCTCTGGCAGTTCGGAGACGCCCCCAATGGTGTCAAAGGTGAACGCTTTCTCAAGATCAACCCCAATGGCCGCGTTCCAGCCTTGGAAGACCCAAACAAGGACGTAACAAGCTGGGAAAGTATGGCCTGCATGAACTACATCCTGCGCGTCTACGACACCGAGAACAAGTTCGGCGCACGACAGGAAGCTGGCGAACAAGGACGAGTTGACGTCGACGCATGGATCAGCTTCCTCGTTAGTACACTAGGACCGTTTATTGGGCAAGCGAACTGGTTCAGACATTACAACAATGTCAAGAATGACAACGCATATGAGAGATATCAAGCCCAGGCCTATCGATGCTTTGGAGTTTTGGAGGAGCAACTGAAGAAACATGGTGGAGACTGGATTCTGCCCGGGGATAAGCCGAATGTCGTTGACTTTCACTTTGAGCCTTGGATGAGACAGTATGAGTATGCTGGTTTGAGTTTGGATGATTATCCTAAGGTGAAGGCGTGGTTGGATCGTGTTCAGGCGTTGCCTGAGGTGAAGCGAGCGTATGAGAAGGTCAAGGCTGGGGAGGAGGTTTAAACCCAAGAAGGAAGTGTAAAACAAGGTATTTAGTTTTATCGAAATAAAACTCAATAGTCGCGATCTCACGGGAAAAGGTCACCACGGATTGTCGACTGACAATATCAATAACGGGGTCCTGCTTAGCGCATATGCTGGCGATTGCTTCATGATGACGGACTTGGATAACGAGAGTGCCCATAATTAACAGCTTTAGAGTGGCTGGAGGGAGGAAGCTTGGTTATATACAAGCCTAGTAGGGGGCGGGTATACCTATCACTTGCTCTCTCGCGACGACTGCTGTATGTCTAAGGATTCATCATCCCTGTGCACTACATTTAATAGTTGTCATGAGCGAATACAAACTTTCAGCCACAGATCTCAGCTGCAAATAGCCCTCCTAGTAGACATTTTAAATTGGTAAAGCCGCGTTATTCACCCTGATGTTGCCCGAAGCCATTTATTGCCTCGAGTCATTTTGCAGGAGCTTTTGCCCCTGGCGCTATGAAAATTTTAGGTAGCGCAAGTTAGTGGTTGCGTGGCGCGTCCGTCAGCCAGTGGAACAGTGGAATTGTTACCTATCTGAGAAGGTGGTTGGTGCTTCTAGCGGAAAAAGATATCATCAAAATAGGGGGACATGGAGCTTATCAAGTTTGTCTTAACCCCATTGAGATTACGGCGGCCTTGAATTGATTGCGTTCATTGTTCACCAACCGTACTTGTACGTACAACACAATCTAGGCCACGTCCGGATTTGCAGACGTAGGTACAGTATGTAGGTATGTATGCGCCGATCAATGCCGTGTCGTCCTGCTGCCCCAGACAACTATGCACATCATTTTGAGCGCGCTATACTTGCAGTTCTTCTCCAGAACCCATGTTCATTTTCTTGGCATTTCGTGCCAAGTCGATCCGTGAGGATCAGGAAGCGGCCCGACATCCACAGTCCCACACACATGGACCTAACGTTGTGGTGTGCGATGGCTATCAATGTACTCTAAATCTTTCCAGACAGCTCAGGTTCCTTTCGAGGCTATTGTCAAGGACTTAGGTACCAAATACCAGATATTCCTTCTGTTAATGGTGCAATGCTTTGACAGGTATGCTGCCGAGGTCTATTTCAGAGGGGCAAGTTTGTTGTTGGCTGCTGTTAGCGGATCATTCCGAGAATGTGCTACCGCCACCGAAGCGCTCAGACATCTACAATCTAAATCAAGAATAGTGCCAATGCCTAGCTAAGTCGAGCTTTAAACCCTAAACTCTAGTGGTTAGTCTCAGTGAAACTTTAAGAGTTAAATGTACTGCCATTTACCAGCGGAATTTTCCTTTAAACCTTCAGTTACCCATGTCCCCTTCCTGTTGCATCTCTGTTCGGTGGTAGAACCCAAGGCTGTGGCCGCAAGCCAAGCACCAATGAATATCAATACTTCTATTGTATGTTTGTCGAATATGTACAATTCAGACTGCTTGGCTTTTTCACATTCTTTGTTACTAACCAAGCTTCTTGTGTAGGCTATACAAGCAGTGCTGCTTGTTTTGGCATTAGTTGTCCTGATTCTACGATGCTGGGCGCACCACCTCCTCAAGCAGAGCTTACTCAGCCTCTCTGATATTTTCGCATGGCTAGGATGGGTTTTCAGCTTAGGATGGTTTATCTGCTCAACCCTTGCGCTCCAAATTCTCATCGACAACCCCGCGGTCGGTTCTGAACTCGTGGTCGATTCAGTAGAGTATTTGAAGGTATGTCGACACAGCGGCTGGGAAAGTAGAACTACGACGCTGATCAACTATCTTGTAGACTGTGTTGGTGGCTGAGTACTTCTTTGATACTGGGATTTACTTTCCCAAGATATCCATTGTTCTTTTTTACTGGACGTTGATTCCCAGGGTTCTGGAAACCTTGAGAAGTGTGTTACTCGGAATCTCGATTTATCTGGGTTGCGCTTTGCTCGCATCGGTGCTCACAAACACTCTCATATGCCTGCCTTTCTCCGATAACTGGTAAGCTTGATGGTATGACTTGTCAAAGCTTGCGAACTGACTAGCATCAATCAGGTCTATCGAAAATCAGCTGAAGTCAGCTTGGAACTCATACCCTTCCTTCTGTGTTCAGTGGGCTCTTAACTTTTCGACGGATTTGCTCAGTATGTTCCGAATGCCTCGTTGTTTTTGACTTATTTAACATGGTCTTAGTCTTCATCTATCCATTCTTCCTGTTGAAGCACTTGAACTTGCGCAAAGAACAAAAGATTGGTCTTATTGGCGTCTTTTCCTTGGGCACCATTACATTAATAGTCAGCCTTTCCCGATTCATCGCATACAATGCGACCGACTTTGAGCTTGAGGACGAGTCCGGCAGTACGTTTTTGACGCCAAAGCCCCATTTCACACACGTAAGCTGATCCAGTGCACAGACACCTTAACTCTTGCCGAAATGAGTACCGCCGTCATCGTCGTTTGTCTCCCGGGCCTTCGAAGATTCATCATACGATCCAAAAAGTCTACAAATCGCTCGTCTTCGCACCAGCTTAGCGGCTACGGTAACCATACAAGGATCGGAGTAGGCCAAACATCCAAGGTCGGCACATACAAAGGACAAGCACCACCATCGTCATATGCAAAATGGGGCGTAAGAGATGATGAGATCGAGTTGGTGACTCACATTCGCGTTTCCCATGAACTGGCGAACCCAGACGCTTGCAGCGTGAGCGAACAAAGCGGTACTAGTCGAAATTTGGGGTGATAGTGTTCCTAACATTAGACTTTGGCGTTGGAGGAAATGGATACATGATTTATGAAATGAGACGTGTTGAGATTACGACAGCAAAGCTGTACGAGCTATCACACTGGAAGCATCCCATATGATGGCAGTTACATACTCGATAAGTGAACTGAGTGGAACGTGACTTGGTTGATCTTTTTAGAGACCGTGAAGCCTCAAAGTTCCGTAAATGATAGAAGATAGGCTTCTATAATTAGCTCAGAAGTAAGGTCTGACTATACCGAGGGTGGTATTCTACTGACTATTACAAACAACATCCACACTCAGACTACCGAATGCATTCGGGCCGACGTCAAATCCTCCAGCGGTTCATTCCCTGCCCTCAGATCATCCTGGATGTTGTCACGCTTGGTGAGATAGGCGGATTACCCAAAAGCACACGTCATTACGCTGTGCTCTATTTCAAGGGTATTGGAAAACTCTCGTCATGTAGAAGGGAGGTAATGGGCTAAATAAGCTTGAATTTGAAAGTATAAACCAATCCTCCGTCATAAGACTCTACCTATCATTATTGTCACAACTAAAGGCTCCTCCAATAAGTCCCTGTGAATAAGCATCGATAATGTTTTGAATAACACCATAAGTTCCACCAATAGTCAAGAACACAGACAGCGCAATCATCAACCAGTTGAGATAGTAAACGATGACCTGCCACATCTTTCCCTTTCGATAGTGTTGGTGATCATAAACCCAGAGATATCCAGGCAGACCTAGTGCGAGGGGCGAAAAGGTGAGACTTCCGGCGAGAGCCAGGAGGTAGTTAAAGATAGGGATTCCGGAAGCAAGAAGGAAGGAAACAGCAGACATGGCGGTCGTGCATCCCAGCCAAACTGCCCAGTGAACGACGGTGTTCTTCTGGAAGTGCTCCGAGTGTCGAAGCAGTCGAACGAAGAGGTACTTGGCCGCGACATGGACATACAGACAGGCACTGACAAGGAGACCAGTTAGGCCGATCCCATAAGCTACTTTCTTGATAGTTGGGCCTGCACTTCCCAGAGACGGAGAAGCAACCCACTGTCCACAATACCTGTAGACAACAAGGGAGAAGGTGAGGTATGAAGCGGTGACGATACCCATGCACAGGTATACGGCCTTGTTGTAGTCTCGAGGGCGGCGCATCTCGGAAATAACTGGCAGGAAGGCGGAAGTTCCAGCACCACTGCAAAAGATTGTAGAGACTGATGTTATGGCGGCAACAAAAGTGGGATGGCCGATGACATGGTAGCCGAAGTCGTAGTCTCCGGTTTGGGGGGCTGCAGCTGGTCGATCGAGGGTCGTAACACCAACACTTGAGACATGTTAGCTAAGAAAAGATGCAGAATACAGAGGAGACTTACACGACGATGAAAACAGCAACGTAGACAGTCAAGAAACCAGCCCAAGTAAGCCACGCAATTTTCTCAAACTTGCGAACACTAGCAAGGATAAGAACAGCAATCGTTGCCACCAACATGAACCAATTGGTACAGATAGCATGGTTGCTAAGAACGTTGAGCGCGACAGAGGTACCGAAGATGCCTGAAGCACCGACAATGGCGTATGTAACGAGGAACAGAACTCCAACGACCTCTGAAACCGCGGCAGTTAGTCTTTGTGCATAGCATCCAGTCAGGTTTCCTTACCCTTTAGCCAAGTACCGCCAACTACATTAGCCATATCGGCGATACTGTGGCAGCCAGCGTGTCTATTTCGGAAGTTTCCTTGGACAATGGCGCAGTAGGTGTTAAGACCCTGCCACCCAAGAACATTGATCGCACCTGGGAGAGCACCAAGGACGAACATGGCACTCGGGATTGTGAGAACGCCTGTAGCGCAGAATTAGCCTGAGTCTTGAGGAGACGTTGTCTCGAAGACTTACCGGTAGCAAAAATGACTTGAAGAAGAGTTAGCTCGAGCCTCAACGAGATGTAACAAAGACTTACCCTTGAGAAAGATGACAGAGGCCTGAATCCACCCGACAGTGCGGAAGTCAACCTTTCCAGGAATTTTCTGGAAAACCTCTCCATCGTCAACTCCCTCTTGTCTTCCAAGCTCAATGCTCCCATTGCTGAGCATACCACCAGACTGCTTCTCGCCTTTCTCTCCTTCAGAAGAACTCATGTTGGTCGATGTAATGTTCATAAGAGATGATGAAGAAACAAGATGATGCAGAACTCCGAATGGTGGGATCGACCTGTCTATTATCACTTGTCGATCGACACCGGCAGTCTTCGCCAAGCTCAACTTTATCAAGAACCCACCAATATCTCCTTGTGGATTCTTCATCAAAGTCCAATGATAAGGTCTGGGGTAAAACCATCCCTGTAAAACTCTGGGGAAGATCCTGACTCGTAGAGTGATAAGAGAGTTGGAGCATAGCGTTGGAGTTGGAGACTAGCGTGTGATTAATTCTGGGGTGAATGATACCCCATGATAGGGTAGTGGCTGATAAGCGTCACTACCCCTCTATTAGTTATTGGTATTGGTGTAATCTTTGGGTTGGAGACGCGGGGAGACTGCCGCATGCGCGATTCTCGAGGGGTCTAGATTCTAGAAACTGGCTTATTTCTAGCTTTAACTGAACCTCTCTGTGCACTGGATGTAAACCGCACATCATTACTACACTCTGGCACTCATCATTCGTGCTCAATTGATCCCCACTCCCTTCTATTATCACCGACGCCAACATCACCATGCCGAAGCGTATTCTATGCTCGTATGGAGTCGATGTCGATGCCGTCGCTGGATGGCTCGGCTCCTATGGAGGCCAAGACTCACCCAGTGATATCTCCCGTGGCCTGTTCGCAGGAACACATGGGACCCGTCGAATGTTGAAGTTGTTTGACAAGTACAACATCAAGGCGACATGGTTCATTCCTGGACACAGTCTGGAGACCTTCCCTGAAGAATGTGCCATGGTGAGGGATGCCGGGCATGAAATAGGGCTCCATGGTTCGTGACATGACTATCCAGCGTTAACCCTTGCAACTAACGATCTTCCGATAGGTTACTCTCATGAGAATCCTTCCGACATGACACTGGAGCAACAACGTGATGTCTTGGAAAAGACACACAAGATGCTTACAGAGTTCTGCGGTAAACCTCCTCGCGGAAGTGTCGCCCCTTGGTGGGAGACTAGCAAGGAGGGGGTTGATCTGATGCTGAGTTATGGCATTGAATATGATCATTCGATGTCTCATGATGATTGCCATATGTACTGGCTACGAACCAATGATAGCTGGACCAAGATTGACTATACCCAAAAGGCTGAGACTTGGATGAAGCCGTTGGTCAAGGGGCAGGATACAGGTCTTGTTGAGATTCCGGCGAACTGGTACCTAGATGAGGTGAGCTTTGGCAGTCATTTATTCAAGATTCGAGAGCTAACGTTATCACAGTATGTTAAACCCCGTATTTAACAATGCGGCTGTGAAGGATCCTGACAGTTTGATAGCCTTCCTCCCATGATGTTCATCAAAGATGCCCCCAACAGCCACGGCTGGGTCAACTCTCGTGATGTCGAGGATCTGTGGCGAGACCACTTTGACTATTTTTACCGCGAATACGCTGATGACCCCAATGAGATCTGTGTGTTTCCTCTTACAGTTCATCCGGATGTTTCCGGTCGACCGCATGCTCTGCTGATGCATGAGAGGTAGGAGCCGTAGTCATTGGAGACCGTGCCAAGACTGACGATAGACAGATTGATTGAATATATCAACAAGCATGAAGGTGTTGAGTGGGTAACGATGGAGCAGATGTGTGACGAGTTCAAGAAGAAGAATAAACCACCAAAGGGAGCTGTCATGCCAGAGGCTCAGGATCAGAAGTAGGATATCATCGGTAGTCATAAATAAAGCGGTTTTCAGAGAAAGATACTTTGAGAGTAAATATTTCAGCCGATATTCTTGTGAATAAGTATTTCCCTGTACTTTTCCAGCCCAACTCCAATTATGTTTATGAAAGGCCATTGTGTATTACTCTTGAAGAAATGTGCCCAAATCTTGAGAACTGCCAGGCACAAGTTACTGGGATCTCGAAAGTCCAGAAGACTTGGATTATCCGTGTCAATGCCTTGATCGAAATCGACAACGGTGTATGCCTCTTCAACGATGCATCTCACCCAGTGCAAGATCCTGTCTTCGCTGTCTGTAAATATCTATTAGAACCAAGTATCGTGTCTACGATTAAAAACAGACTCACCACTCAGTGGATTCTCGGCAAGTGTTTCCCCAAGTTTCGATAGCCACTTACTCAACAACACGGCGCAGTCAAGACCCGAAAGCGAGTGTCTTACACTCCAGAAGAAGGCCTGACTTCTTGCAACTCGATCAACGCCCAGACGTACGGGAATGCCGATCATATGCGCTGAATAGAGGAGTGCAGCAATCACACCATCGCTTCTCTCGATGTCAGGGCTATTTGCGATTGCGTTGGCAATACGCTGAGGGTCCCGCGTTTCGAGCTGTCTGTACGGGCCAAGGTGTAGATATATACGCACGTAGGCCAGTGATAAGAGGGAGCTCGATGTGAAAGGGATAGGTCCGTTCTCGTTGTTCGGGTCGAGAGTTGACTCTGGAGCTTGTTGCCAGCACGACGTCCATGACCGCAGCCCTCGTTCGAGTTTCTCAACCTCTTCACTCGGGAGAACAGCGGAGTTACTGGTTATCGGAAGGCTGAGGTCTCGCACGATGTGGATTCTCTGAAGAAGTCCATGCAATAGGACATAGTTGCCTAATGGCGTAGGAATCGGCAATAGTGGAGCAGAGTCATTCTTGTTCTTGAGTAACAGCGACAATGCCTCTCGAAAGAACAGCTGTGGTTCTTGCACTTCTTTTGCAGCGGCGCGCCATAAGATTGGAGTCGGAGCCTTCCACTCCTTCGTAGAGCAAGGCAACCGAAGGCCGATCTCGTTACTGCGAAGAGTTGGGTAAACATTGTATGCGATGCTATGAGTATGAAGGAATGAGAAGCCGATGAGTTTCGAGCGCCTGTTTGACTCTTGCCTGATCCATGTCTTCCATTCGTGCCAGAGTGAGTTGCCGTCGCTTGGTTGATCTGATGGTGTTGGCGATGCAGGCTCGTCGACGTCCTCGAGGCCTGAATTCCGTAAGACTTGAGTGAGAATACTCTGCAAGGCGAATGACTCTTGTACCATGGATGCTTTCGGTTCCCAGGTAGCGAAACCCATGAGTGTGATCAGGGCCCTGATAGTCTCGACTGCCGAATCGTTCTCCGCATCACTACGCCGACCACTCCGCGGAACAACATGCGGTATAGGGACTGAGGACACACCAAATGAGTCTGCGTCCCTTCTTAGTCTCTCCATCAACAGAGCTTTTCCAGCGAAGAATAACCTCTCCGAGGCTCTCGACTCGAAGCAGTACTGCGCTCCGATGGCAGCGATACCAAATACGAGTTCAGGTGAATGGTCGTTGATCTGCCATGTCGGTATGTGGATAAAAGGCATATGAGTATGAAAGCCACCGAAGAAAGAGGTCACATATCGGGTGAGGGCGTGTCTCGACGGGACACAAAACGCTGGGTCAAGGAGATGGGAATAGTCTGTGATGGATGCTTTGAGTTTTGATCTTTGCTCTTCGGTGACTTTGAATGGTCGTGTTTCAGGGTCAACTGCCCTCGGGTCTGGTCATGTCAGTAATGATGTTGAGTGCAGTGGAGTGAGAAGGAGGGCTTACTGTCCGTATCAGAGACATAGTTGGATATTCGATTACCTGTAGGCGCAGACGGTAACCATGAGCTGAAAGGCGTCCCAGCTCTGGTCGGCGCTCCCTGTCGAGGGGATGTGTCTTCGTTTTCGTCTTGTGTAAGCCCAGGATCGACAGGATCTTCGTGCCTCTCAGGGTCGCCAAAGAAGGGACTCCACTCCGCAGAGAGACCGACACCGTCAAGGAAGCTGGTGAATTCGCGGAAGTGAGTATCAAAGTCGACGCCTAGCTGGTCAGTGTATGATCCGGTATGATGACTGGAAATACTGACCACTGTCAAGCATCTGTGGAGAGAGAAAGTTGGGTACAAATTGGTCATCACCCTGACCTGGTTGATGTTGAGCCTGGACTTGTTCCTCAACAGTTTGGGGAACAGCGACGGGAATTTGCATCGGCTGTTGCGTTCTCGTACAAAACCATGGATCAACGCTCAATCCAGAGAGTGACACTGCCGCAGCCAAATCTGGGTCACCGATGCTGTCATTCCTCTGCTGTACAACAGCTACATGCCCTTGCCCTTGCGCAGGTTCTGGCGATGGTACGTCGCCCTCATGCTCGGCTAGCCTTTGATGACGCGTGAGCAAATCGCGTCTCGCAAATGACGCCCCGCAATGGCACACAAAGGGTTTCTCCTTGGTATCTACATCACATCAGCTACCCTATCTTCAATCAGATAGCAAGACTCACGTGTTCTGACGTGCCTCTCAAGATGCTCCGTCCGTTTGAAGGTACGCCCGCAATGTGGGCACATGCGTAGATTGACTCCAGCCCCATTGTAACCCACTCTTTGTCGCTTGTTTGGAGTATCGTATGTGCCGATGTTGTCACCCATTCTGTAGTAATGACTCCAAGAGTTGGAGAGGAATTGTGACGAAGGAGGCGAATGGGGTACCATCGTTTATCATGGAGTCGTGAGTGGGGCAGGCTTGGAGTAGCGCCTGATAGCGCTATCTTTGGCGTCACATGGCGGGGAGATAATCAACTAACAGAATAGGGCAGGGATAACACAACATCATGTTAATGACATATCTCCCACGAAAGCGTCAACTTCATTGGGGACAAGTTTGTAAAGGCCTAGAGGATATTGCAAACAATAAATTATGAAGAGATACTGGAGACTTTAGACTAGGATTAGATGAGACTTCTGAAGGTCTGGACGAAATCTACCCAAGGCGATGTCACGCGGTCAACAAGCACGAGAGACAAACGGGGAAAAAGATGTTCATTCTATCTGGCGCTGAACATAGACTTTCATAGGTGTGAAGATTCTCTCACACGACGAACTTCATTCAAAACATCCTCCGTCTCTTCAACAACAGACTTCCCCTCACGCTCCCAATCAAAACTACTCTCTAGCGCCTTCGCAACGTTGAGAACCTTCTTCTCTTGCCACAGGCCACCAACAATCTGCAGTCCAACCGGCAATAAAACACTTTCATCATCAACAGCCTTTGACCAACCAACCGGGAGGGACAAGGCTGGATGACCGGTCACGTTGAAGATGGCAGTGTTGTTTGTCATGCCGATACTGGGTTCGAATGATTTGAGCACCGACTCTCGTGAGCCGTGACGCGGTGCGACGAATGGCGTCGTTGGCATGATGATGACGTCGTACTCTCTGAACTTCTGCTCATACGCGTCCCGGATTTGTCGACCGATGTTGACAGTCTTCGCATAAAGACCCGGAAAATTGCGTGAAAGATAGATGCCATTGATGACAGTGTTCTTGGTGGAAGGGAAGAGTTTCTCGAATTGGGAAGATGTCCATGGGAGACGCGCTTGCTCGAACTCAGTCAGGTAGAGACCTCGACGACCATTGGCTTGGCCCAGGATGCCTGCTGAGCCGGATATGCGCTGCTGGATGGTCCATATCGATGGCCCTTCTTTGTGGAGGGGAATCGAGACTTCGTCGACACTAGCGCCGAGAGCTTTGAGTCGGTTTATCGTGTCGAAAAAGGTTTGTTTGACACCTGGTTGCACCAAGTCGTTATCGTATCCTTCCTTCAGAACGCCGATTCGGAGGTCCTTGACCGACGCGCCAGACAGAGAGTCCAAGAAGTCAAAGGTTCCAGGCGATGCTACCCCAAGTGATCGGTCGTCTATCCCATCGTAGCCCGCAATGGCGTCCAAGCAAGCAGCAACCTCGTCGACTGTCCTGGCGAGCGGTCCAGCATGATCATCGATCTGATCACCACTGGTGATGCCTGTGTACGGGACAAGCCCATGCGTTGGCTTGAAGCCTACACAACCGCATAGTGAGGCTGGCACACGGATGCTGCCGCCTTGATCTGTACCGATAGCAATATCGGATAAACCACCTGTGACAAGAGCTGCACCCCCAGACGTACTGCCACCAGCAGAATAGCCCGCTTTGCGTGGGTTGTCGATTGTACCCTGAGCGCTTGTGAAGGAAGATGTCGAGTTGCAGAAGTTTTCACAAGTGGCTGTCCCCGTGATTACGGCTCCAGCTTCAAGAACTCTCGTGACAACAGTAGCATCAGTCGATGGCGTCCAAGCGGGGAAGGCATCGCTTCCGAAGAACTGCGGCACACCAGCCACAGCGATACAGTCTTTCAAACAAACGGACTTTCCACTCAGTGCTGAACGTGAACACTTGTCGCCTTCGATGATGAAACGATGCGCCCATGCATGACCATAGCTTTGCTCGTGTTCTTCGGGAAGATGGATATTGCGACGGGGAAACCTTTCGATATCTGGGACGGGTTGATAATCGGGAAGATTGGAGACACGTTCTGCGCAGTCGTGGACTGCTGCGAGGAGGAGTTGGTATTCTGATGACTCTTCCGGGCGGATGGTGAGGTTGAGGGGGTCAAGTAGCGCCTCGACGTCGCCTGCTTGGACAGGGTTGCCACTGCAAAAAACCATTAGTTTTCTGTCATGAACTGTGATAGTTCGGCTCAGAAGTTGACCTACGGTAGAATCTCTTTGAAGAAAACAGACATGGTTGCGGCGTCGATCCAGGCGGAATGGGGTGAGGTGTCAAAACGTACTAGCCAAGACAATCACAATCTAGAGACAAACTTATCAGTTTATCAACATAGATAAAGCAATCCCGTCAACTCTCAAGAGATTGTTCTTAATCTCAACCCGTTTCGTGGTCCACTCAAGGCGTTGGAGTACCTGGGCCATGGCTGGAGACTTACCCCAAGACCCCTGTTGGGGTACTCCAACACCATGACATGGCGGGTCTTGATGGCGGAAGGTAGTGTGGCGACAGAGCCCAGGCCGGGAGATAACACGGCAATCGATTCTGCGGATTTGCAGCAGTAGGGAGGCTTGTTGTCGCTTTTCGAGGTTGACATCGGGCAACTTTGTGAAAACGAATCGAGTAGCAATCGCGATGGCGTTCAACACAACATTACCATCTCAGATGAGAGCGGCGTATATCGCAGAGGTCTGAGCATGACAACGAAGAATTAGTCAGGATGAATGAGTGCTGATAATCCCCAGTATAACAAACCGTACGCTTTGGGGGAGCGTCCACTGCCGCCCATCAGAGACACAGACATCCTCGTGCGCGTCCACGCCGCTGGGTTCTGCCACTCAGACCTTCAAGCCTTGCAAGGCGAATTCGAGAAGCCAGCACCAATCGGTCTCATCCCATCTCATGAAATCGCTGGCGTCGTTGCCAAACTCGGTAGCAGCTACGAAGGAGATCTCAAAGTCGGCGATCGTGTCGGCGTCCTCAACTTCAAGCATGCATGTGGTTCATGCGTTGGATGTCGCTTGACGCAAAGAAGAGGCGAAGACCTTGATCCGAGATTCTGTGACAATCGCGAAACAGCTGGCTTTTTGCACGACGGAGGCTTTGCCGAGTATGCATCAGCTGATCCGGAGACGACGGTCAAACTTCCGGACTCGATATCATTTGAACAAGCTGCTCCGCTCACCTGCGCGGGAGCAACAGTATGGGGAAGTCTTGAGGGCGCCACAGCGGGAGTGGGCAAGGGAGAGACAGTGGCGATCGTGGGTATCGGTGGACTTGGGCATCTCGGTGTGCAGTTCGCAAAGGCGCTCGGATTCAAAGTGGTTGCGGTGGATAGCAGAGAAGCTGGTCGACAATTAGCATCAGACGTGGAGAACTCAGCACTGAAGCCTGACCTTATTGTAGACTCTTCCGACACCACAGCGGCATCAAAGACCATCTGTGACTTCACCAATGGCGAGGGCGTCGCAGCCGCGGTTGTTTGCACGCCTTCGCTCGAAGCGAATCGGTGGGCGCTCGGTATTCTGAGGATGAAGGGCACGCTGGGAATACTGGGTCTTCCCCAAAACCCATGGCAGTTCGACGCGGCGCCTATAGTGTTTCGGGAGTTGACGATCAAAGGAAGTTACGTGGCGGGGAGAGCTGCGACGGAGAGGATGATGAAGGTCGTGGAGGAGGCGGGCGTCAGATCGCATTTGACTGTGTTACCGTTCGAGAAGATTCCCGATATTGTTGTCATTTATGAGGATGCGGCTTTCAAGGGGCGCATTGTTGTGCAGATATAAGTGATGAATGACATGTATTGACTGTAACTACCTTTTTCATCTTGTGTCAGTGAGATCAAACAGGCTTTCAGGTTAAATCGGATTGTGCTTAGAAGGATTTAGTTGAAAGTCTGCTCGAGATGAAGTTTGAACTTAGAGGACGAATGTCGACGGTAAGGAGTTGAGGGTGATTCATGCGACTCTTACAAGCTCTCGAATTCTCATAACCATCCGACAGTCAAGCGCACGAGAGGCATTCATTTCCAAGACTCACAGGGATACTGTGCGTTTCCCTTTCACGGTGTATTTGCCGGAATTCTTGTGTGTCGTGTAAATAAACGCGATGCTTGAGTCTCGCTTACTTGCTTCTCTGGCTTGCATCAGGCAGGGATCCATGTACGGGAAGAGACTCGTATGTGCTCATGATTAGGTAGATGTGTTATTTGCAGTTGAGACCTGTGGCTGAGAGCTTATAATCACCACACAGAACTTAGTACTCAGTGGCTTGGTCCTTCATGTTGGTGATCTCGCTGTAGACAGCGTGGGAGTGCACATGGATAGCTCTGACGCCGCGTTTTCATCGCCCAACCTGCCTCCAGCATTGAAACATACTTTCGCCCGCAGGCCCCATTCGATGCCCCGCTCAATGCGGGCCCCCTTCAATACCACGCTCAATTCACCCTGATCCTGACACATAACCCTCTGTACAAGCCACCATCTTCTTTATGAATTTGTTGACGGGACTTCAGGGTCTGGATGGTCATGTACAAGCTTGTATTTCTTTTCAAGAGGACTAGAGACTTGAGCATGATGCTATCAAGGCTGAGACTGCCCGCACTTCGGCGTGGGTCGAAGCGACCAAAGCCGTTGAAGTTTGGGAACCCGACATCCCTCTGAGCAACAAGGCTGTTCGGAGTCATCGTGGGTGGCTCAAACTGTTGGCCAGTGAATGGCTGCTGGTGGTACTCGGGAGATGGAGGGTACCAGCCGCCGCCATCACACACACATTTTGAATGTGCCGAGGCCCAGCGGTAAGGCACACAAGATCTGACCCGTAGAGCGCCCGGAGTGCAATGATTATCTTGATGACGATCGTGATGATGATCTATCATTGATGGTTGATGAAGAGGGAGTCCTTGCTACAAGAAAAAGGTCAGCATGTCGCTAATTATTGAAGAGTTACAATCTCACTTGTTTCGCTTCGCTTTCTTCAGAGCAGCTGAACACGTATTTCTGATGACTCTCTCTCAGGATTGACGCTCCAGGAGCTTGAGAATGGTCACTCGGTTTGCAGTTCCGGTCTTCGCAAAAAAGTCCACAATAGCCAGTGCCCAGTGCTGGGACATCTGATGATGAATCGCAAAGGATAACGCGTGACCTGCAAAGGGTATCGAAAAGAAAGAAAAGGCAAGGGGAGGTATCTGGAGAGTGAGGCCTTGGCATCTGGCTTTTACTTGGGATGCACTCAGCTTCTGGGGCTTCTCCATTCTCGGGGATTGGATGGTATACTCACTGTGAGCTAGATGTGTTATTTGCAGTTGAGGCCTGTGGTCGAGAGCCGATGTGCCCGGGGGCAGTAACAACGCGTGATCGAGAAGGGGGGTATTGATGCTGGGTGTACAGTGAACAGCTGGCTCGGTGAAGCAAACAAAGGATAAGAAATGATGAGAGACATGAATGAGTTTTGTGCAGGGAAGAACGCGGTGTAGCGAGTGACTAGGGTTTTGTTTTGGAGTATAAACAAGTTGGACAAGGCTGCCGCCAGTGGCAGAGAGAAGGCAGAAGTCTGCCAGATCGCACCGTACCCCTTTTGGATGGGGGGCGGCCGGTCGCCCTTGTTCTTGGCATCTACGCCTCTTATCTTAGCCTGCTCCCATAAAGGACCTGACCAATAATTGAATCTCAACAGCCTTTGCTCTGGAACGTCCAAAAATGCCCCGGCGATCCAGCCAGCAACGAGATCCGAGGCAAACTTCAATGACTGGCCGTGAGGCAATAACCAAGGACGCTCTCTGACACAGCTCAAGAACGGGCGAGGCTACAGTCATGGAAGTTAATACCTTACACGCCACTTACATATAAGCAAAGAGAGCCTACTAACTTATGTTCACACAGATACTGTAATTCTGCAAAACTTCGAATAGGGAAGCGCCTCTGCTTGTTCCGCCCACCGCTCCATGGTCACAGATCGAAAAGACCAAAATCACCGATCGTAGCCCCCACTCAGAGAGAGAGAGAGAGGGAGAGTCGTAAGACTCAGACACGGACAAGGCCACTAAAACCTTTCTTCAACCAATTTCATGAACTTCAGTCTGAACAGGACAAAGCTAGCCCACACAGCTTCGTGATGCGCCGTCATGCACCTCGATACAGTTAGCGAAACACCTTCTTTCCTTATCCTCAACCTTCCCCATTGATAGCATTTCGACTCGAATTAAGCTTCATCATCAATTTAAGTCATGAAAGACCGTCAACCCACATATTACGAGTGCAGTCCGAGAGTGTGGCGAACTCCACGTTGTAGTACGAGACTGGCAGACTTTACCATAGGGTCTCGCGTGAAGCGTACCGTCAATCACCAAAAAGACCGAGATGACCCCAGAGTTCAATATAGGACATGGCTGATTGTGTGAAGGATTCACAGCGTCAGATTTCGATCACCATGCCCGCCCCGAACGTCATCTTCACCGACGACCATCCAACCATCATTCACAAGTATCAATCTCTCTCGATAAACCTGGGCGACTTCCACTTTAAAGTTTGTTGATCACCTCGTTCGAAATTGTGCACCATCCGGACTACATAACATAAAGACTCACGCTATCATTTGCAGTGCTTCCACTCATGACGGCTTTCGACCATACTCGACGACGATGTGTATACCCCATACCCGCCACTGAACGCATAAGTCTGACGACGCACATAGCAGGCATTGTTATTCACGATATGAAGGGATTTAGTCATCACCAAATCGTCAGTGAGCACGAACAAGGGGAATGAGCTGAGAGCTGACGCTTGCATCGCGCGCCTTACCTTGACATGGGTATCTGCGAGCTGTATAATGTTCTGTAGTGGATAACGGATCATACGAACTGGGCTAACGCAATCTGGATATCCAATTAACTCTGCGTCACCATGCATTGTATTCATGTACCTAATGCTCAGATTTGCGAGAAAGCCCCCTTTAATGCCGTCCCTTGACTCTTACCGCGATACTCACACGTATCAATCATTCTTGAACAAACTATAGCATAACCTCTGCGCCATACCCCAACACGTTTCCAAGCTGCTTACTCTCATTTTCCATCTGTATTATGTATCCAGTGAACCCTCACCGCCAACCCGAATGCACTTCCAAGGGCAAATCCTTCTAGGGCCTCAGGGAGCAAAAAAACTTCTGATATTACGCTGGGGTGTTGAGACTAACTAGCCTAAAGGCCTACTAAATTATACTAAATTTGCCTGAGTTTACTAAACTTTCCAAGTCGTATTGCAACTTGGCATAGAGGTCCAACCAAGGTTTTCTTGCCAGAACGTCTTGACTTGCATACCGATCTGTACACCAAGCTTAAGGATCAGAAAGGCAAAAAATAAACTCTTCCGCCTCAAGGATTCGAACCTTGGCCTCACCGCGTTAAGGAAAGATCCTCCGAAGACGACCTTGTATACTTATAAGTATCGCGGTGCGCGCTGCCCACTGCGCCAAAGCGGATTTCCAATTGTTGAAATAAGTTGTGTGTTTTTGGTTGATATGCCTAATACCTCGTGTTCTGTCCCAAAGAGAGAAATCACACCGACTCCTGAATATGCCTATGTGTTTTGATGAACTCGTACTATATCCTGTGTTCATTGCATCAAGGAAAGGCGAGTTACTGTTGAAAATGTCCCTGGTAAGTCTGTTTAATGTCTCGAGAACAATACCCTTGGATTGCAGAAGCCATGGTAAAGTCGAGCTTAAAGAAATTTGCCATAGTTTTATACGTCAGACCCATAGCTGCTGTCAATCTCGACGTGTGTGGGGGCAATGCTTGGTCTGCCCCCCACCACATAGTCTGCCCCCCACCACAGTCTGTCTGTTCCACTGGTGTTGTTTACACAGATCACTGCCCAGCGACGGGTCTAAAATCTCTCTCGTCCCTCTAAGCTGCGAGCTTGCTTTCTTCTACATCAAAATCAGCTACTTTCCTGCTCCCAACAGCGCAGATCGACCGACTTGCTAAGATGGCGGAAGACTCAAACATGAAGCCCTGCGCCCTACTGTTCGTCGCCTTCCTCTTCCCTCAAAGAAGAGTTCGATGCTGACTTCACTTTAGTTTCGGTGACGACGGTACTATCATCGCTAGCGCTCCCAGCTTAGGCCTCCGCACCAAACTCAGGGCACAAGTCGGAACGGTCAATCCTCCAAGTGCGGATCCATACTTTGGATTCCACTTGACTGTTCGTCGTGATCCTGGACAGTACACGAGTGAGGAAGAGGGACAGGGGGTTTGCTATGCTTGTAAGACAGACACTTGAAGACCGACTGATACAGCACATCTGACCCTTGATTCTAGACGACCCGAGCCTCGACAAGCCTGTTCTGGCAGACTTTCGGATCACCGTCAAGTTTCCCCGCGGCCGTATCTCCTGCAGTTACCTCCCAGTCCCAGAAGTGATTCAGACCAAATTTGCCAGGGTCCAAAATTGGCAAGGCTTCACCTACCTTGTCGTGCGTCTCGACCATTCTTCCCGTCCAACAATCCAAGGCTACAAGAAGCAATACTTCAACCCCCCCGAGCCTAAGCTCCAGGGGTGGGTGAGTCACAACGGGAAGATAAACGACGTGTCGCTCCTCAACGTGCTGCACCAACGCGCTTTCTTCTTTGTTGTGGACCTTCCCATCGGGCCATGCGGGGAGGCCATGGGAGACGAGCGCCTGCCTCCGCCATTTACATATGGCTATCCCCGGCAGCCGACTAGTATTAAGGATATGAAGGCCCTTGTGGATCAAAATCCAGGTGGCGCGTTTCCGCCTTGCTATGGGTAAGCAGATTTGTCTTACTTCAAGCAACATGTATACTAAAGAGTGGAATGGTTTTGACGACGACGACGCGCACATCACTGCCGTAAACCAAAGCGTTATCCAGGACACCCTTTGGGTGCATCGAGAAGCTGAGCTGGTATGTACTACATCATCCGATCGACATCAGTAGGGGCTTACATGACTACAGATTGCCGATGAACGATTTCCAGCCTATTTTATCTCACCTATTGAGGCTTTCTACGAAGGCGACGGCCTTCACCTCGTGGTTCCGGTGCCTAAGGCATGGAGAGAACTTCACGATCTCGCGTGGCGACGCTTGACAATGATAAGTTCCCTCCTTACAATAAGGATCTATGATGTTGTGACGCCCAAACACCCTGAGCCAGCTCTATGGTAAGTTGACTTCTCAACGCCTGTAAAACATAAATTAACGACTTCACTTCACAGGGTTGGCAAGATCATTGAGTGGAGTGATTCCGTTGCGGACTTGAACGCACATCCGATTCAGGACCACGAGCTTATCCTACGCGTCCGTGTCGCCTCCGTTCCCGACGTTCTCATCCACCACTATGCCGACCGCCAGACCGCCGACGAAGCTCTTGCGCAGGGAGCACAGAACTAGAACTCCATCTCCCTCGTGTTTGAATCAGGCATCGTAGAAGCTGAGAGAAAGGTCGAGAACATGCGTATTTTTGCGCCATCCGCCCGACCAACCAACCCACAAGCATGGGGCATGGCTCTTGACGCTGCAGGAAACATCCTTGCACCGCACAGGCTTAATACAGACGAAAGGCAGACGTACGATAGGGTTATGCTCAACATGGATGTACATCGTGCCGTCCTTCGTGGTACCGGCTTCTACGAAGTGTTAGCCAGACAGTGGAATGGCCTGAGGATTGGCTATTTGCCTACGATGTGTTACACACTGCATGATGATCCCTACCTCGTGCAGTGTATCATTGAAGAAGCCAAGCACTATGACCGAGATCGTTTCCGCGAATATTTGATGCAGTGTGAGCTTAACATTGGTCTCATCATCGGCGTAAGTTCTTCACTTCCATTCACGTCTACAACAGATTGATACTGATGAATCTCCACAGCCACCAGGATCGGGCAAGACGACCACCGGGGCCGCAGCAGCTCTAGCAATGCAAGCCAAGCTCGGCCAGATCTTGTGTTCTGGTCCGTCACATGCCTCTATAGACATCTTCGCCAGCTGCCTGGATCAGAGAGCCCGCGCGGTAGCTAGGCGATATAACACCATCGTGCCTGCAGGCGATCCAGACAGATGCTACCATCGCTTCGTAATTCGAATGTACAGACCTGGCGATGAAATCACCGCCGTTATTCAGCTTTTGAAAAACCCCCAGGATATTGACTGGGCTGCTAACATGGGTGAGTTCTTCCCGGGATCTCAATGGAAGCTACATCTTTCTTTGGCATATTGGTTTCTGGTAATCGTGCGCTCGAATGCCGTACCTCCTCTCGACGCAGATTCGAAGCCGGCTTTACGCACTATCCAAAACGCCATCGACACACATCCCGATGTCTTGCCACTCCGCCAGGTAAAGTACCGTTGTTCATAGTTAACCAGTGATAAGATGGTACTAACAGAAATAGGTCGCAACTGGACAGATCAGTTGGGATCAATACGCCTCCACGCCCCACGCCATTGCCATCCTCCAGAAGGTGATGTGTAAGATCATGGACGAGGCCGACTTTCTCTGTGTGCACCCCTCAGATGCTGAACTCACACCTATCCCTGGTTGGAAGAGGAATCTTGCCCGAGGTCTTGCAGTCGATGAAGCTGGCAGCAGTAAGTCAAGTCCATCAACCATACAAGATGCCCCAATACCTAACCATCATGCAAGTGAGTCGAGCCGACTTCTACGGTCTCTGGGGGAATACTCTCCTCCACTGTTTCCTTTTTGGCGATCCGAATCAGCCTTCCCCCACGATGATGACAACCCATGAGAAGGATGCCGCTGGCAACCTGCACAATCGTTTCGCTGCCGATGGTGCTGTTTCGCCTTTGACATTTCTTATGGCAACCGGTATCCCTGTTTTCCGCCTGGAGGCTTCTACGCATGACTAGCTGAATTTTTGACTGGTGAGCTTTGTGGTATCATGGGCAAAAACAATCGCCGCTGTATGATGGTACTGGTGAGGCGGGTCGGGTCGTCGCAGTTTGAAAGGACAGTGCCAGTCAACTGTACGATGCAATTGATAGAGTGGACAGACATTGCAATCTGTTCTGAATGCTGGCACCTTGTGGGTTTATTCTTCAGTGTATCAAACCAAAAGAATGCAAGTCCGGGTTTTGTACCAATGCTTCTTCACATAAAAGTGCTAAGCTTATTTTATTGGAGGATGAAGTCATACGATTCCGCCCCATACATTTTCCAATCAACTCCTCAAGGTGCTCGTCGCGATGTTGACACCAGCAGCGACATTTCAATTGTCGAATGAGCCGCTGTGCACAATGCGTTCATAGCCACCAATGATGGCCGCACGTGAAAACCAATCGCAGCACCAATCGTCAAAAACACCAAAAAAAGCGCCGATCAATGAAGAATCTCGATTCATCCATCTCACAAATGACGAGCTCCAACCGTTTCTGGATGTAACTGGATGTAACACACCTGATCTTATCTCCGGGGCAAACCGTCCGAGCGCAACGCCTGAACCTTGTTTAGTCCTAAGAATGCATGTCATTGTGCTGCGGGGTCCAAGCTGAGGGTGCCATCTACCCATCGTTTGCAGCGAGTTGGTGTACCACTGGATGGCTGTGGCGTCCTGTTAAGGTGGTGATTGTTATCAATTGACATCAAGATATCTTTCACCGACTTTGTTATCTGACTTGTGGGTCACGTCATTGTGCTCGTTGAGATGATGTAAAAACATCACCGCCTCTGCCTTGGGTGTTCATCAATCGCGCTTCGCTTTCGCATTCTCAGCAAAATGTCGTTGCCAGCTACTTCACCGCTCAATCCCGACGGCGGACGTCGAGGAAGACGACATTCTATCTTTGCTGATTTTATACCAGACGATCTTGCATTTCCTCCGCCGTTCATCGACCCGACTCCAAATGTGGACGAGATTCTCAACCGAGATATTGACGAATGTTCCTCTGAAGATGAACACCGCGATGAAGAAGCCGTCGAAGACCCGCGATACGTAAACGAAACAGACGTCCAATTAGCCTTTCACCCAACAGGCATCGCTTTCGGACAAGGCTTCTCAGCCGTTCCTCCATCAAACATCGACATCCCGCCCCCAAACCCCCACGACTTTGAACAATCTCTCCGCGCTGAAGTTTCCCTCCTTCGCGACAACGATATCATACCCCCGAAGCATCCTCCTACAGGATGGAAGACCACAAAGCTCGGCCGACTGTATCGGCACCTGTTTAGTACGCGCGTGCACGATCATGATAAGCCCCTGTTTGCAGCGGAAGACTCGGGTGAGACGACGCCGTTGTTGCGAGAGAGAGTTGTGAGGTTTGATGGGATCCCGCCGACGCCGGGGCCGGATGAGGTCCATAAGAGATGGGAGGAGGCGCTTGCGTCGCATAAGATTGAGACGACGTGGCAGCGTGAGACTAAGACGTTGATTCAATATGCGCTGCCTCTGATTGTCACTTTTCTCTTGCAGTGAGTATCTCGGAGATGCGCAAATGAGTGATGATACTGACATACAAAGCTATTCCGTTACCGTCGCCTCGGTCTTGACAGTCGGTCGTCTCGGCATGGAGGAGCTCGCCGCTGTCAACTGTGAGTCTCCCTTGCTTCCCTCCAACATTGATACTAACATCTCCAGTGGCTACCATGACTGCCTCAATCAGTTACTACGTCCCAGTCCAGGGCCTAGCAACGTGCCTCGACACCCTTTGCGCGCAAGCATACGGCTCTGGCCACAAACATCTTGTCGGTCTTCAAGCGCAGAGGATGACCTATCTTCTCTGGTTACTCATGATTCCCATCGCTATTGTCTGGTGGTTCTCAGAACCTATCCTCGCCGCAGCCGTCGGCCCCGGTCGTACAACAACATTGGCCGCTATGTATATGCGCATTCTCATCGCGGGCATGCCCGGCGTATCAGCCTTTGAGAGTGCAAAGAGGTTTGTTCAGAGTCAAGGTTTATTTCATGCTACAACCTATACCCTCCTCGTTGGAGCGCCGTTGAGCTTCTTGCAGAATTGGCTGTTTGTGTTCAAGTTTGGATGGGGCTTCCCTGGTGCGGCCATTGCTATGGCTGTTACCCACAATCTCCTCCCGATTCTGCTGATTCTGTATGTGCGGCTTTTCGAAGGTTATGAGTGTTGGAAGGGCTTCAGCCGCAAAGCTTTCACAAACTGGGGTGAGTTGTCTCAGCATCTGATGAGACATGTTTGCTGACTATTTCAGGTCCGATGATCAAATTGGCTTTGCCGGGAATGATCATGATTGAAGCCCAGTTCTCAGTTCTTGAGATCCTCACCATCGCTGCTGGACGGTTTGGTACAGCACAACTAGCCGCTCAAGGAGTCTTGGTGACTGTGACCTCGACATCCTTCAATATCCCGTTCCCCTTGGCTATCGCGACATCAACTCGCGTCGCAAACCTCATCGGAGCCAACTTGAGCAAAGCCGCACGCGTGACAGCCAAAGTGGTGAGTCTATTCTCGTCTCGATCGCGATACAAACTGACTGACTTCATAGGCCATCTTCGCCGCACTCATCGTCGGCATCTTTAATTTAACCATCTTGACGACCCTCCGAAGGCAAATCCCTGCTGTATTCACCGAAGACGAACAAGTCATCGACATCGCATCCAAAGTCATTCTCGTCTGTGCAGTCATGCAGATTTTTGACGCACTAGCAGCTATCTCTCACGGTCTTCTCCGCGGTATCGGACGCCAGTCCATTGGCTCTTACGCCAATCTCTTCGCATACTACGTAGTCGCTTTGCCAATTGCCCTCGGTACCAGCTTTGGGCTCGGTTGGGGGTTAGCTGGTCTCTGGGTTGGCTTGACAGCTGGACTTGCTATGTAAGTGTCATTCCCCAGTGTTGTTTAGTTGGTTCTAACAATTTCATAGCGTATCGGGCCTGGAGGCCATGTATCTGTACTTCACAGATTGGGAGGAAGCTGTGAAGCAAGCTGAAGCTAGAATGCGAACGGAGACGACTAGAAGACGATCTTCTCTGTCTGGACTTTCGCACTAAAACGAGGGCAGCGTCCCCTCCTACATTGGGTGGTCTGCATTCAAGGTCTCCGGCCGATATCAACTGCCTCAAATAAGAGTAGTCGGTGTAATGATGTGTTTGTTTGCTCTTTTGTGGTACAGCGCCTGTCTTGGTGATTTGTTTGGAGCTTGGAAGCGAAACGGCATGGACATCAAATTTAGCGAAAACTGAGCGAAGTTTGCCCTTTTAGCGATTTACTGTCTTTTCCTTCTTCTTGATTTGTAGCAGCTTCATTATTCATGCGATAATTATGAAACCTTAAGGGTCCGATGATGGATCACGATGGACTAAAGGTTGGTGTTGTGGAGATCTTGGCCTGATCCAATTTTTACTGCTAAAACAAACAAGCTCTTGGCCTGGCCCTTTATGCATTAGCGAGTGCCTAAGCGTCTATCATCAATAAGTCAAGTCGAATTAAGGAGTTAGTCACCATGACTTGCTTTATTTCCTATCTTCAGCTGTCAGACAAACATGCCAAAAGCTGTCTAAATACAGCTAGTCTCTTTAACATGCCTGTTTTGACGTTACACGCATGCGGAGTCAATGATGTCAGATCAATGACGTATATGCCGATCTCTTAAATCCAGGGTCTCCCTAATCAAGACAATGACGGCTTTATTTTGCAATTATTGTGTTACCCGTCCATCATCCCGAATTTCCAGGGTCTAGCTTTACAAGGTATCATTATTCCCGATGGCGACCCAAACTGTTAACCCCCCGTCCGTCGATGGGAATCATGATTCGGACGATGAGTTCAGCGCAGACGATCAAGAGTTCCACGTCGATGAACGCTCTGGACGATCATGGCCGACTAAGATCCTTCACAATTTTATCCGGCCGATCAAACCGAAGCTGGTAGATATTGGAAAGGTTTCATCGGCTGATCCTACGAGATGCAAGCCCTCGAGGGGAGCGAGGAAGAGATGTGATGTTCAGGAGAACAAGGTTGAGGGAATTTGGACATATGACATGACGCCAAAGTCTGCTCAAGGGAAGAACTTTACCAGAAGGATCTTATACTTTGCTGGAGGCGGTTGGCAAGCACCTCCTAGTGGTCAGTAATCCCTTATTTCATGGAGGAACTTCAGTAACAATTGCAGGCCAACATTGGACGTTCTGTGCAGAGATGATAAACCGCTTGCAAGACACGAGACTTACACTCATCTCATACCCACTTGCCCCCAAAGATCCCGTTCAAGACTCATTCCCAGCAATCTGCAAAACCTACAACGTTTTATTGAGGGAATCATCGGAGCTTGGCGAAAGGGTTATCGTCGCCGGCGACAGCTCAGGGGGCAACATCGCACTATGTGTTGTGACCTGGACAATGAGGGATCAAGACGTACAAGCAATTAGACCTCCATCTGCAATTCTTGCGATTACTGCGACTACAGATTTAAGTCACAATCATCCTGACATCAAAGAGGTGGACAAGTTTGATCCTATTCTGAGTGAGTCGTCTATCAATGACACAGCCGGTGCGTGGGCTCCCGGGTATTCCGATGTAAACCAACAGGAAAACGGGACAAACACGCAAACAACCGATAGGAATGAAAAGCTGGACTGGTCCGTTGATGATCCTCGAGTATCGCCCATCCATGCAGATCTCGGCGTTTGTATCCGCAACAACGTCAAGATTCATGGGATAACAGCTTCACACGACGTCCTTGGGCCAGAGGCAGTTGAGTTTAGGGAGAGATGTCGGAAGGAAGGCGTTGATGGGGAGTGGTTGTCTTGGAGCGATCAGATGCATTGTTTTCCATTGGCGTACAAGTATGGGTTGAAGGAGAGTAAGGAGGGATTGGAGTGGATTATCGATGTTCTGAAAAAGTGCTGAGAGATACCCTATATACAAGTGGGATAGAGTAAAATGGAGTTAGCGGTGACTTGGGCTTTTGCTCCACTGAAGTTTGAGGTGAATACTCATGCCTATCACGAAGGTAGTTGGGCCGACCAAGTGTTGACAACCAGAAAGTTGAGGCGGTCAGGGAACGACCTTATAACCTATAAACATCGACCAAAGGCTCCTGCTGCATATGTAACGATGAGCAAAAGAGAACCTCTATCAGACATGATCGTGACGGCTCTTAACATCCCTGATCATAAGTCCAGTGAGCGGGACACCAGAGGCTCACGACCTACAGAATCGCAGTGACATTCTGAGCAGAGCCCCAGCGTCTCTAACGAATTCGCAAATGTGACCATTTGGAAGTGAATAGATGGAGATCCGTCCCGGGAGGGGCGCCGGCACTGGTATCCCAAAGCACTGCCTACTTGAACAAGTGATTGAACCCTCTGATTCATGGAGGAAATAGGAAGTGATTCAGGGAACACTCTTGCAAGATATCGCACTAATGGTAAAAACGCGATAATTGCAGATGAACATAAAAGCTAGTGGTCATCCCGTCTAGTTTGTGTTTCTCATCTCAAACTCTCAAGTCTCTTGCATTCATCCAATTCATCAAACACTCTTCACCACCACTTTACACTAACAAACTCAACAACACACCTTTGAGACATTTTCAAAATGCCTTCTGAGTCTTCCACTGACACCAAAATGCCCGGCGTCCGATGCCCCAAGTGCAGTACGGCTGAGAAGGACGTTTGGGTCATTCCTGGCCGCTCCTGCCCATATTGCAGTACCGTGGTAAGTGAATGAGACTTTCCGGGTTTTTCCAACGAGACGCTGACATGATACACAGATTAATGTCTTTCCAAACTTGACGGTCTCGGCTTTCGGCATGATCGCGATAGGACCTCGAATGCGTGGCCGTGGTTCGGCTTCCGCTCTTGGCAAGTAGAAGGACGATGGGATTCTAGGGGAACATTTGGAGTTTTTACTCTTGGGCGGCGGGATCAGTGTCGAGGGAAGAGTGCCATAGTCCTGATAAGAAACAATTCTTCAGGAGCTCTCCAGTGCCAGTCTTTTTGAACCCAAGCTCGGCGATAGAGCGTGCGTGTGATTTGTGTCTGTGTTACGAATAACCGTGAAAGTTCCCAAAGTGAGTGGTTAGATAACTAACTTGAGGTTTAGAATAATCGCGAATCTCATTGTTGAAGTGAACCCTTGAGCCCCTGGCTAGACCTGCGAGACCTGTAGGGCCGATGTTCCCTGGTGCATGTCTTGGCCTCATATGCTTGGCCATCTATTTAGCTCTCCACTAACTCTTCATCTTGTCTCGAACAAGAGATCCTGCTGACTACAAATCCGGTACGAAGACTACATGTCTTGTGACGTAACACACATACTGGTACATCTTGTCGAAGGCCTAGACCTTTATATCAAGATATACATGGGTCGACTATGGACCCAGCTCCAATGGACAGGATCAAATAGCTTTTCAAAGCTAGTCCCGGTACAGCATTCACATGGGCCCTCACAAGGGCCATGTCTGCCGACAACTTCTCTAAAACAGCCAGTTTGCTGTGTATCGAAACATTGGAGTTGGTCTTCAATCTGCCATTGGCCTCTCACATATCTCTTTCTCTCAGCAGATGAAACTTCGCCTTAGATTAGTTCAACTTCGGCCCAAAGGCCGACCTCATAGCTCAAATCATGCTCTTAACAGACGAACCACAGACTTTGGACTCTTTTGGAAGATAACTTCCAAGCTATTAAACCATATAAAGATCTCCCACCATTGCACCGGCTGACCCTCTTCGGTCTCACCAGTTCTTCTGCAGGTTGTTTTGTTGCTTGGCTCACACTTTCGACCTCCTCCATTTTTTTCATTGCTCCAAGTGAGATCAACTATTTTAAGAGGGCTAGTTTCGAAATTTAGGCCCGTATGTATCTCTGGTCCATGGGTGTAGAACCTGTACACAATAGATGAGTTTGTAAGTCCCCCCAATACGACCAGTCGAGCCAATATCCATCCGTCTTGTCACGAATAACGTCGTGTTGCGGCGCTCACTTCTGCGCAATATAAACATAAGACCGTCCTTGTTGCGTAAAACCCATGTTTATCGAATTCTCAAGAGGTTACATATCAATAGTTTTCATTGGCATCAATTGCCTCAGTCCGCCACGAATCGTTGCACAGGGATCAAATTGCGACATTGGGAGCACGCAATTCGCCCCGCGTCTGAGAGAATATTCTCACCACGATAGCGACCTCGACAGGCACTTTTACCCGAAATAAGTAATTATTGATATCGCTATTGCCCCGGCAAAATGGTTTGATTGGTTTGGAGATTTTGGTGCATGAATCCAAAAACTTGAGACTGCAGGTGCGCCTTGGACATTTGAGCGATAGTAAGATAAAGGACAAAAAGATAGACGTAAGTATTTAAGGACTAATATAGGAGATAATATCTCAAATAATCTCATGTCTGTTATCGGAGTCTAGATCTGTTGTTCCCCGACGTCGGTCGTCGCATCAAAGTGTCGTCAAAGCATGCAATACGCCAAGCAAGCACTATCTCTCAATGTGCACATGGCACCCACGTTTAGTGTCACCCAGTCCGGTAAAGAACGCATCTAGTCTCTCAGAATCCTAATTTTCGGATCCTTGCTTGCGTTCGCATATGCTTTAAAGCCCCTGGCCCATCGCTTCAACAGTCCTGCATGATCCTTCATCTGCACATCTATCACAATGTCTGTCGCCAAACAAAAGAAGTGGTATCACATCCAGTGGTACTCTGATACAGATACCCCGGAAGAGCGCAAGTTCATTATTAAACTTGACCTTCTTATCGTTCCATATGCTGTGATAGCCTACTGGGTGAAGTACATTGATCAGTCCAACCTGAGTATGCCTCCAGCCATTATCCTGTTTTTGTTGCAGCTTTTTGACTAATATCTTGAAGATAATGCATACGTTGCGGGCCTCAAAGAGGATCTGGGCTTTAAGGGCAATGAACTTGTTCAACTGCAGACATTCTACATCATTGGCGCTGTCTTGGGCCAGATCCCATTCTTCTTCCTTCTCACCTACGTCCCCATCCATTGGCTGATCCCTGGATTGGACGTTTGCTGGGGAATCTTTACACTACTGCAATACAGAGTCACGAGCTTTGCTGAGTTGGCAGCTTACAGATTCCTCGTCGGATGGTTTGAAGCGGCTTTCTTCCCAACCATGCACTACCTCTTTGGCTCCTGGTACAAAGGAAACGAAATTGCACGTAGAGGTGGAATTTTTGTAGGTTTCGAGAAGATCCTTACAAGACCTGGAGTAGCTGACTAGTCACAGTATGTCGGTCTATCTCTTGGAACACTCACGGCTGGGTTGATCCAAGCTGGTGCATCAGCTCGGCTTGATGGTGTGAATGGGTTGGAGGGTTGGCGCTGGATGTATATCATCTGCGCACTGATCACCATTCCAGTTGGTATTCTGGGGTACTTCATCATCCCTGGTACACCTGATCAGCCGAACCGCCGAGTGTTAAACCAGCATGACATAGATGTTGGTGAACAGCGACTCAAGCGAGCGGGGCATGGCAGTCACGACAAGATGAAGTTAGGACATCTGAAGAAGGTCGTTCTGTCACCCCAATTCTGGGGCATCATTCTCGTTGATGTCTTATTCTGGAACGCTGGAACTCACAGTAGCTCTGGCTCGTTCCTCCTTTGGATCAAGAGTCTGAACCGATATTCGAAGGCAAAGGTCAACGAGTTGGGTACCATCGCACCAGCTTTGGGCATTTTCTACACTCTCTTTGTTTGCTTTGCATCAGATCTTGTGTTGGGACCTGCATGGGCTATCACTGTTTCGACTGTCTGGAATGCTCTTGGACTTATCATCCTCACCATCTGGAACGTCCCCGAATCAGCGCTTTGGTTCGCATATTCGACTATCTACGCGTCGGTCGCCCTTTCAAGTGTCCTTCATGGCTGGGTCAATACGCAACTTCGAGCGTCGCCAGCCGAAAGATCGTTCACTCTGGTCTTGATCAACGCTATCTCACAGTCGACAACAGCCTGGACACCTTTGCTCGTCTTCCCGACTGTCGAAGGACCTCGCTTCCCTAAGGGTTACCCATTTGCTTTGGGTTGCGCTATCGGTCTGCTGATTGCGACGCATGCCCTTCACCTGTGGCTAAAGCATCGAGAGTAAGTGGACACAGATCCCTGATAAAAGAAGATTGGCTAACAATTTGCAGTCCTCAAGCTGAAGCCCCCAATCAGATTGTATCGGAGGAAACCGGTGATATTTCTTCCGATACTGGGTCTAAGACTGCCAATTCCAAAACTGCATCTGTCAACTAAATAGTCACTGGTTTGTCGCATGGAATGATGTTTTGGGTGGCTTTTCGATTTGCATGCCAGATACTAAAACTGTTGGAGAAAGTGAGAAATGGGTGGTGGAAAAAACATATTCCAGTGTGAACATGGCCGTAGGAAAGAACGATAAAGTCCATGCAAAGTCATAGGATACAAATAGCATCGTAATAAAGGACAATTCGTCGCTTTACTTGCCAATTGCTGTGATTCTGCTGATTGAATGCTCCTCTACCGGGTAGGCAATAACGTAGCTGGGATGCTGGCCATGACTCGTGATGATCGCCCTGTTGCACCCCAAAACAGGGACCAAAACTTCACTAACGACTTTGGGGAAGCCGCTGAAACCCCTGTACACCATATCAACTACCGATACAAACCCTAATCGCTAACTCTTCGTGAGGAAAGGCAATCTTGGTGATGAATGAGCACGCGATTATGAGATGCTCGTTGCACTTCATTCGTTCGTAACTTAAGGAGTTTTTCGGTATCTTTTTTGGAAGGATATCGTTGCCTATTGGTTTTCAATGCCGAAGCCCCAATCCTTCGTCACGTCAGTGGAGTTATTTCCGAACGCTTGCCTCTAGAATGCTGTGCCGCTTCCAGCCCATGATCGGCTTCGACCGAAAGCCACTTGTTGGCAAGAGTGACGTCTGGTGATCGAGAAGAAACTTGGGTCATGGTAGGGTCGCTCTGGTTCCTTGAACATTGTCTGTGATGCCCTCATCTGGAAACTCCGCAGGTCTCGCCAGACAAACCGCGCGCTGTGAACCGCGGAATTATCCCCGAGGCAATCCCAGTTATTGGCAAAAAACTAAACCAGCCAAGCAGCTGAATTCTTGGTTACTCCAACACAAGCTCCACGCCGTTATTCCCAGCTGAATCACGGAAAGATGTCATAGCGGCATTGCCCGGCCGGCACATCAGCAAACATTTTTCTCTTACCATTGTATGTAGAGACCACCCAGTGAAAAGACTCCACTGATCAACCCTCTGCTAGCACTCATTCAACCTGGGGGTACCCCAACTTTGAGTGAGACCAGAGGAAAAGCGGACACTCCGCAGATGGCTCAATCTCCATTGCAACAACAGATCACACGACGAATGCGAAAATGACTCGATTTCAAACCTTGGAAGTTCTAACGTAACATAAAAAGCATCGGAGCCGCATTCCGATGTCTGTTTAAACTGCTGCCTGTCGCTGAAAGATCCTTGTCACGAGAATAAAACGTGGGAATACCACTCAACTCCAGGAAATCTCCGCCCGGACCCAGTAGAATCTCAGAATAGGGGCCACTGATTGGAGCGCATAAACCAAACATGGGGGAGTCTAAAATGTCTCCACCACCTCCAATTCAACCTGTTCAACCTGGGGCAAGAGTTTCGATGACACTGCGTTTTGAGATGTGATAGCATGAAAGACATTGAAGATCAGTAACAAGAAGACGAAGATTTTGAATAATATGAGGTTTTGAATAATATGAGGTTTTTAAAAAGATGAGATTAATTAGCATGGATTTCGTACATGAGGCACCAGAGAGAATGATCAGTCCTGGCTTGTAAGATCGGGATTGAGATCACGACCAAGTTTTGGCCCAGAGCCTCACGGAAACAACCTCGACCAACGGGCCTGTTTCCGCCCCTCGCGCAAAGTAACCACGCTAGTTACAACACTCTGTTAATGAGCAAATACGGTTATCCGATGTGGATCTCATGTCTGATCATCCACACAACCAGGCACTTGCAGCAAGTATAAATGCAACACCCTCGCACGAGATCATCGTCAGATTCCCAACATCCAAGCTCAATGCCAAATAGCAATCATGGAGCGCCTTCCAGGTTTCAATGTTGCTAATCATTTTGAGAAGCGTCAGCTTCTCATCGCTATCAATTGTGTTGCTGCTCTGTCGATTTTCTTCTTTGGGTATGACCTCATGAATTTCCAACACTTGCCGCCCCAAGATTATTTCTTGCAACTCGTAATTGCTCTCTTAGCTAACCAAAATAGATATGACCAGGGAATGATGGGAGGTGTTAACAACTCTAAAGACTATATCGACTTGATGGGCTTCGGCTACGTTGACCAAGAAACCGGCGAACCAGTCATCACCGATAGTCTCCTACAAGGCGGCATCGTATCAGTTTACTACCTCGGAACTCTCTTTGGATGTCTCTTTGGAGGCTGGGTAGGGGATAAAGTTGGACGTATCAAGACCATCGCTATTGGTGCAGCCTGGGCTATTGTTGGCGCAGCGCTACAGTGCTCTGCTCAGAATCACGATTGGATGATTTGCTCCCGTGCGGTCAATGGCATAGGTAATGCGACTCTGACGAAACGAGAGGGCCCTCATTGGTAGTGTGTTTGCTGACAGCGGGCTCAGGAACCGGTATCCTCAACGCGATCGTGCCAGTTTGGGCTACCGAGACAGCAGAACATACCTCAAGAGGCCAATTTATCGCAATTGAGTTCACGCTCAACATCTTCGGCGTGGTGGTGGCCTACTGGTTGGAGTTCGGACTATCGTATATTGACAATAATAATTCTCAGTTCGGCTGGCGTTTCCCTATCGCCTTCCAAATCCTACCTCTCCTTGTACTGCTAGGCTGCGTCTGGTTCTTCCCGGAATCACCCCGTTGGCTTGTCAAGGTTGGTCGTGACGATGAGGCTCAGTACATCCTCCGTCGCCTCCGTGGGTCGAGCGAGGCGGACCTTTCCCGCGCTCACGCTGAGTATACCGACATCAAGAACATCGTTCAGCTTGAGAGCAAGGAATCTTCTAAGAACTCCTATTTGCACATGTTCTTTGGTATTGGATCAGGTGAACTCCATACTGGTCGACGTGTTCAGCTGGTCATCTGGGTAAGTCTCCATGCCACTATCATACCACGCAACTAACAAGTACAGCTCCAAATCATGCAAGAATGGGTCGGTATCGCCGGCGTGACAGTCTACGCCCCTACAATCTTCAGGATCGCCGGGTTCGATACACGCAAATCCCAATGGATTAGTGGCCTCAACAACATCTTCTACATGTTCGCCACACTCATCTGCGTCTACACACTCGATCGCATCGGTCGAAGATGGACTCTTTACTGGGGTGCTGTCGGCCAAGGAATCGCCATGTTCCTAGCCGCTGGATTCTCCAAACTTGGCCAAGAAGCGAGGAACGCTGGTGATCTTGACAAAGCTAGCTCTTATGGTGCAGCAGCAGCTTCCTTCGTCTTCATCTTCACTTCGGTCTTTGGAGCTACCTGGTTAACGGTTCCTTGGCTATACCCTGCTGAGATCTTTCCGCTACAAGTTCGGGCCAAGGGTAATGCCTTCGGTGTTTTTGGTTGGAGTATCGGCAATGGATGGCTTACTCTTCTATGCCCCGTCATGTTTTCAGCCATTGGTGAGAACACACTTCATATCTTTGGAGCCTGTAACATCATTGCGATTCCGATGGTTTGGGCTCTGTATCCTGAGAGTAACCAACGTACTCTTGAAGAGATGGATCTGCTATTTGCGGCCGATACACCTTGGGTTTGGGATGCAGAGAAGAAGTTCAAGGAGTTGAAGGAGAAGCAACCTGGACTTGTTACTGCTTCCGCTCATAACAGGGATGTTATGGACGTTGAACCTGGAGTCAAGTCTGGTTCTGGGGATGAGGTGAATATGAGTGCATGAAGAATAAGGTGTAGGGCAGATTACTCTAGTTAGGTTCTGTAGCTCGACCTTGTCTCTGTAATTGACGCAACTTACTACCCACCGCTCATGAAACATCACCCTACGTTGATCAAAAAGCAGTTTGTCAAGATGATGTACGTTGATGTTCGGGAAATTGAGGTACTGACAAGAGTTGTCTCCCCGGATCCATTGGCACTATTCGGAGCACCTCTTTTAACCAATAAGATTCAGCCCCGTTGGCTCAGTGGTAAAGCGTATCACTAGTAAACTACTACGAAATGATAAGATCACTGGTTCGATTCCAGTACGGGGCAGTTGGTTTATCAGACTTGATCTTTTGCCGATTTACCTAGCATTTCTTTTATGGTCGTGGTGGTTTCGGCGGTGCTAAGGCCACTGCTCCCTTTGTACCTCAATTACTTGCATGTGGCACTCCGGGGGTTCAGATAAGGCATAACATCCATCTTCTTTTTGTGTTTTTTTTTTCAACTATTACAGTAGCAATGAAATTATTATATTTTTATGTCCCGCCGCGATCATTGTGTTTGCCTGCGCGTTAGGACTCTCACGCCCCGATCCAGCGTCTACAGTTCAGGCGGTGGCTTAAACTGCATCAGATCAATCCCAAAGCTTGTCCCCGGCCCCGTCATGTACTTAATCGCTCGGCACCACTCAAGTTCCCTCTTCATACCACGACCCGCAAAGTATCCCAGCAAAGTCGCTTGAGCATTACATGTTATTTGCGGACCGAATGTGCCATTCTCACTCCGATAGCAATACTCAACACTTTGGCATAGCATGCGAGCAATATGGTCAGCGTCTGCTTGATTTGGTGACTCCTTCTCTATAGAGCCATTGAGTGATCCGCCAAGAAATTGGGAGACATCCAGGCTTGCAAGTTTTGCACGAAGCAGCAAGATGGTTTCAAGGATGTCCAACATGAAGCTACAGCAGACGATCCAGGGACTGGCGCCCTCCAGAGACGAAAAGACAAGAGCGAACGGAAACAGCTTATCTGGATATCCATCGTCTGCTGGATTACTGGCTCTAGAGGGTACAGACCAGTACAGGGGTGTTTGGTTGCGTGCCGCGATGTTGCAATGTACAAGGCCTCGCCAGTCGTCAAGAACATAGAACTTGTCGAGGAGAAGATTGACGTATCTCTGTAATCTTCCACAATCTGTCTCATCACTTGAAGCTAAGACATGAGCTTCCGCCATGGCTGAGGGGATGTCAATGATAATGTCCAGGAGGGCACTGAACGAGTCTGGGGCGTCCCAGGGGCCAATATGCTTTCTCCAAAGGTTGGGATCAAGTATGAGGGGACTTTTCTGCGACAGGGCTTGGATGACCTGGAGTAGTCAGCATACATTCCGATTTGTTCCGAGAACAGGTCCTACACATATCACGCAAAGACGCCGACACAAGTCGTTCCAATTCGAAGTGTTTGTGCCAGGTACAGCTCGGTGGCGGAGAATCTCCGATACACCTTGCGCATGTGCATTCCAGCTGGTGCTGGCGTGGAACAGAAAAAGCTAACGATGGTCAATGACTCCTTCAACATATGAGAATCCCTTGACTTACCTCACACGTGGAAAGAATGACAATGGCAGCAAGACTCTCGTCGTTATTACCAATGCACGGGCAGTCAAGAACATGAATAACCCTGGACAGTGCATGGTTGTACAGCTCAATGGCCTCATCGTAAGAAACGCGAACTTCACCAGACAAGCGAATCTGAATCGCACAAAAAGCTACAAGAGAGTGATCGAGTGCATCGCTAGGGCCTTCCATGCGACAAACGGCCTTCAGCCATGAAGACGGTGTTGAACTGTGATCCTCTTCGCTCGTTGTGAATCGTCCTTGGGGGAAATAAATGCTCACCGCGATTGAAAGCGCTTCTGATCTAAAGGTCGGGACGTCGTATATCTCCTTAGAGTTGACTTGGCTACGCATTCGTTGTAATAAGCTCAGCCAGTTGGAGTTTGTCTGCTGTTGCGACTGTATGACTGAAAGGGCCGAGACATTAGGCTGGTTCGGAGTTTGATGGACCCATAGGGTAGGTTCATTGCGGATTCCACGACAGATAATCCCGGCCTTGGTGCATCGCTGACACCGAGGCGACGTCAAATCGCACTGAAAACTCTTGAGTGATGAATAATTATTGAAAAGGGAGGGAGTCAGACCTTGACGCGACGCCTCTTGCAATCAGCGCATGCCTTGGATCTGGAAACACCAACCATGCTTATCAAGAAGGCTAAACAAAGAACATGGTCTCGTAATTCTCCATCAATGGACACGCTAGACTATATGTAGTACCACGCCTCGAGAGCCTCGACAGGGATGTCATAACGTGGTTTGAAGGGAGAGGTTAAGTGAATGAAAGAAAACGCAGCGGAGAGATGTCAGCACGCGTTTTAGCGGGTATCCAAGGGTTAGAAGCCGAGAACTTAAACTGCATTCGGCATCATCCTTCGAGATAATCGACAGGGATCAAAGCTTAGCACTCAAACCGAACACTCTCCGATGAAGCTTGACCTTATTCGGAACCATCTCGCGAGAATCGGTCAAGGGTCGAATTTGTAAGATAACGAGCATGATGTAGATTATTGTGAATTGAAACAGCTATATAATATCCGATCTTAACATGTAGAATATTTCTCACATCAAGCCATCGTTCTCTCACCTTGGAACACCTCGCACTTTACCTTCAGCCTCCAGAACGCAACTATGGCCACCTCAGAGCCAAGCCGTCATCAATCTCTTTCATCCCCCGCCTCCGATGACGATCGCCCTTCCCAAATCGAACAGTATAGCGAAAAAGCACCTTCGCAGCAAGAAGGAACTTCGGCACCAGACTTTGGTCCTCCGCCTGATGGAGGATTACAAGCTTGGCTAGTTGTTACTGGTGGCTTTTTTGCTGTGTTTGCTAGTTTTGGGTGGATTAACTGTGCGTTACTCTTATCCCTTTGATGACGACGGAGGGACACTGACGAATGATTGATTAGGTATCGGCATATTCCAAGATTACTATGAGCAGAATCAACTCAAATCTTACTCCTCCAGTGATGTAGCATGGATATCATCCATCGAGTCATTTATGCTGTTTTTCTGGGTACGTCTGGTCTCTGCTCATTCTCGGATCCAACTAACGATCAACAGGGCCCAGTGGTCGGTTACATGACAGATAATTACGGCCCTCGTATTCCCATCCTGATCGGCTCATTCCTCCATGTTTTTGGTCTAATGATGACATCCCTATCCAAGAAATATTATCAGATTATTCTATCACAAAGTATTTGCAGTGCATTGGGCTGCTCATTTCTCTTCTACGCGCGTAAGTATTTTGCCCCGGAGCTTAACGTACACTACTAACAATATCTAGCTATCGCCGCTGCTGGAACATGGTTCAAGCGTCATCGCGCTATCGCCTTTGGAATTATAACCGCTGGATCCAGTCTCGGTGGTGTCGTCCTTCCAATCATGGTAAACAAGCTTGTTGTCCGAGTTGGCTTCGGTTGGGCGATGCGATCAGTGGCATTCCTTTTCTTGGGACTACTGGTCATTGCGAACGTTACTATCAAATCAAGGTTGCCACCACCTCGCAGAAAGTTTGACATCAAAGACTTCATCACGCCGTTCAAGGAGATGCCGTTTCTTCTTTTGACCGTCGCTGGTTTCATGCTGTATCTTGGTTCCTTCTTGCCCTTCAACTTTATCATCGTCCAAGCGAAGGAACTTGGTGTGTCGGACAGCCTGGCCCAGTATCTGGTCTCTATCGTCAACGCCGCTTCGTAAGTCGCTCTACCAATATTTCTTGACTTCAGCTGACAAACTTCAAAGTACTTTTGGCCGTCTTGTTCCCGCATATTTCGGCGATCGCATCGGCGTCTTCAACGTCATGATCCCTTTGACCCTGCTAGGAGGCATCTTTACTCTCACAGTATGGCTCACTGCACACTCCACAGCTTCAGTCATTGCCTATGCCGCCCTATATGGATTCGCATCAGGCTGCACTTTATCTATCGTACCAGCTATGGTTGCTAGCTTCTCGGATGTTCGCAGCATAGGAACTCGCAATGGCGCTCTCTACGGTGTTGCCGCGATTGGTGCCCTCATTGGAAGCCCAGTCGCTGGAGCCATCGTTAGCGCTGAAGATGGTAATTTTTCCGGACTGATTATCTTTTGTGGTGTTACGATTCTAGCCGGTGCCGCGTTTGCAATTATGTCGAGACAGGCGTTGACTGGAGGTCAATGGTTGAAGAAAGTTTGATATAGATGTGAGACACCTTCATCGCTTTCTCAATAGTTAGTTGAACTTATGGGAGATAATCCAGGAAGATTAAAGGCACGATAGATTGTGTATAATATAATTCAGACTAGAATGGCTCTTTCTCAGGTAATTGTCAAGATGAAGTAGATGCCATCTATGAGTACAGCGAACTTTGGCCTGCAATTTGAGTTTGCCGTGCCCTGTCCACAAGGCAATTCAATAGAGTTTGCGTAAACCTATTAATATCTCGGCAAGATAGACTTATACAAGTTTGCTATCTTTCCACAAGCTCCCAATCTTCCTGGCTGTCACTTGGACCATTGCCCTCTCATCAATCATCCATGGATTCGACCACCACCGCAGTTGAGCCAGCCCACAAAGGGATCCTCAGAGACGAGACGATCATGCTTCGCTGGATTTTTGGCTACTGTCGCGCTGCGCAGTTGCTTAATGGCGCGAGCTGGCCCAACATACCGCAGACATCTGTCCCACGTGGGTTTAATTCAGACATCAAGAACCTAAGATTTCTCAGAATTGATGTTGATCATCTCAGAGTAGAAAATTGTGTAATCCAACGAGTCGAGATTGGTGTGTCTTTCCTAAAAGCACAAGCCCTACAATTGTTACATGGTAAATCTACGCAAGGTGGCAACTTGGCATCCCATGTTATCAAATCTCATCATTGGGTGTTTGGCCCCAAAGTTGTATTCTCAGGGAGGTCGTACCACTTCTTATTTGGAAATGCGAGGCCAATCAAGATAAACGATCTGGGAACGGAGCTAGAAAGGTTTACTAGGAAGCCTTATGTTCTTGTTGTCCATGGGGCCAAGCAGGAGCTCTCCCTCCTGGAACGGCTGAACATAAAACTTGAACCAGTTTTCATTCTCGACACTGTCAAAGCCGCTCAATTCCCACTACAGTTGTGGTACAGGAACAGTCTGAAGAAGCTGCTTGAGGAGTTTGAGATTCCCTACTCGCAACTTCACCTCGCTGGGAACGATGCACATTTTACGCTCCGAGTGCTTCTCATGATAGCTGCCAGAGATGCTGAGATCTACTTGGAAGGGAAGAGTCTCCCCGACTGGATTCTGGTTCTGAAATCTGTTGCTCAGTCTCCGCTACCCCCGAGACCTGCGACTAAACGCGAGATAGCAGCCATGGCTGAAGCCGAAGCTGAACAACAGACAATGGTCGAGGCCAAAAGACAATAGCCTTGGATGACTGCGAGTCGATTCTACACTGGTCAAATTGTCTAAGGGCTTATCAGCTGAACATAAGATTGGATTATTTTCTTGCAAGCTCTTGAATGGATGCTGAACAGAGAGAGGGCCTGAATTCCTTTCATCGAAGGCCTTATACAATGGAATCCATACTCGAAGAAGTGTTACGAGGAATCTTGATTCAGAGGATACAGAAGAATAGTACCAGAAGGAAGTCATTTCTATTTATTCCAACCTTTTATCATGCCCTTTAAACGCCGTTCAACTATGCATATAAAACTCATTGTGTCATTCTCGTGGTCACTTCTCCAATTATTTCCTCCCCCTGTTTTGTTAGTGTCCGAAAAGCTGTAAATGCTTTAGTCCCTGTCATTGAGGAGAGGTTCGCCTTCGCTGCCCTCATTCTGAACTTCGTCCTGTTCTTCATACTTCTCAATCAATGTGCTTCCTGGCGGTGGAAAGTTGGAGAACAACAGAACTACCATGGCCAGTAGAGCGATGGCCTGGTCTTTGATTAGCTTAGATGAAGGAATTTCGGTAAAGTAGTGACTCACCGCATTGCAGAAGAAAGTTGCATATGCTTTGCCAACCTCAGCCAAGCTGGCAAAGATGAAACCAAACAGGCCCTGCGTAGCTAATCGTGCTACGTTTTCAACCAGAGTGACAGCGTTGAGAGCATCGGCGCGCTGAGAGTCTGGACACATCTGAGTGATGACACCCTTTGCCGCTGGCGCTGATCCGGAACCGAATGGGAGAAGAAAGGCAGCTGTTCTGTTAGAGTGATGTTCAGCAGGGGATTGCAAAAACGTACCAAGATAGATATGCCACGGCTTAGTCGCAAAGGCGGCAACTGTAGTAAGCAGACCATCCACTAACAAGCTCCATCTGAGGAATACAAGATCAAAGAGACATCCCTCGTCTTCTTTGTTGGAGCTGACTGCTTCATATGGCTCATGGTCAGTCTGTTCACCCAACGTAGCATCGAACTCCCCAGCTTCCGTTGGAATATGCCTCGGTTCTGCCTCATCATCACTGGTTGGTTCAGATCTGATAACACGGCCTCGTCCCCAAGCGATGATCCTTGGGAACAGCAGAATCAGGAAGAAGCTCCTCATGAACGCAAACTCAGACATGAGCCAGCCGTTATCACCTTGACTAAAGTTGAACGCCGCTGTTGCATACATCTGAATGAGAAGAGGTGCATAACCTGTGGCGAGAACAGAAACGAATATGCCGCTGCAGAGGAAGATGACGCCGAAATGCTTCTTGACTCTTCCATCAGCGAGGCGTAATCTCTGCGGTGTGAGAATTTTGAGCGGCGCGAGAAAACCAGAGACGCCTTTTTGACCGTTCTTTCCTCCATTGGACATTGACTCGGGAGAAATATATGGTAAGGCGCACCAGACGTAGATACCCGCGAGGATGAAGGAGATGAACGCAACGTCGAAAGGAGCTCGGATATCAATCGCGTCACCTATCATACCACCACTCAAGTAGCCAATCGCCTGGCCTAACATAATGGCGCCTTGAAGCTGTCCAAATACTGCTGTTCGTCTGATAGGTTCTACAACTTCTCCAGCAATGACGTTAACAACAAGACTAAAGCCAAAGTTAGCGGTTGGAATGCTTGAGTTTGTGGCTGACTGACATGTATCCAGCTGGTCCTCCCAAGATTGTAATTAATTGAGTCGCTTGAATAATAATCATTCCTTTTTCTCCCCCCGCTACGACTCCCAAAATTTGTGTGACCACGCGAGCTGCTGGGATGAGGATCTGACACAGAAGAGCCGCTCGCGGTCCAAACTTTTTCGATGTCCAACCCGCAACAAAGAGATTCAGCGTTCCTTAGAAGAGTCAGTATCTGATTGAGTTCAATACATGCAATTGAATTACCACAAAAGGTAGTCGACATGCCAAGAATACTGTATTGGGTTGCTGTTGCAGCCGCAATTGCATCCCGACTGCACCGATCGCCCGGCCCATCATATGGAGGATGCGTCTCATAAAACGAATCACAAGTCATCAAATGAAAGACATAAAACAATCTGCAAATCATTAGCTTTATCACTCCCCAATTGGCAGAAAAGACTCACGGAACTTGGGTAAAACTAAACGATAGCGTGATGAGGAACCCCGCAAGTAAAATGCGATTCTCAACATTGAAAGCTCTCGATATCCAATTTCTCACTCTGCCTTTACCTTCCCCCTTTTGAGGGAGAAGTGGTGTTGTCTCGTCACTCGCCATGTTGAAGGAAAAATACAATGCCAAGTTTAAAAGAATGAGGCGAAAAAATCTTTGATGATAAATACAATTGCGAGATCGCTGTCAATCATTCGGTGAGAGGGGGTATGGATCTTTCTTGATGGGGAATAGCGTGATTAATCGACCGGGATTGCTCGGTTATAGCTGTTATCGAGATGACGTTATCTATGGAAGATAAGAGAAAAGTCATGATGCTCGTGTTTTGCTTGGAGTTGATACCGCTTGAGTTGTAGAATCACTTTTGTTATATATTGTTATTTTTATATCGAGGTGGGCGTAGCCGTATTGCCCAACTACTTTGCCAACAAGGATAATCGTCCTCGAAGCGCATATCACTACTATCCTCGATATCTAGCTGGTCTATCCCCTGCAAGCGATCCCCATCGTCATCAACATCCTCATCACTCAATTCCTCCCTAAGTTTCGGACAGGCTTCCGAGAGATCATCGATATCCTTTCTCGCAAGTCCATCCGCCCAGTGCAGGTACACACATTGCAAGTTCCTCGCCAGCTTCTAGTTCTCAAAGACATTCTTGTCCAAGAGGAATTCCCCATCCAACCAGATAGTCTTCAGTGTTAGCATATGCGCAGATAGAAATCTAGCCAGAGCGTGATTCAGAGCAGTCGACGCTTTTTTAGCAATAGCATTGCCAGGGCGAATCTCATCAGACTCTGAGATAAATGTTCTCAAACATGACTGTTTTGACATGGCCGTTATATCTTTGACATAGAAAGGGAAGTCTGGGCCCAAGTGAAAATCTTGCAGGGCTTGCATGTGATAGAAGAACTGGCTCACGATGCTTCCATTATAATCCAAGTTGTCGAGGCTCAGGAACTTAAGTGATGGGCCTGAGGCTTTGCAAAATCTGATCAGATCCACTGAAGTTGTCTTGTCGCAGTTCAACTCCAGCCTCTGCATGGCTGAACAGCGCTGGGACAATTTTAACAGGAAATCTGATAAATTCCCATCCCCAGCTGCCAGCATGCTCAAGGATATCATATTTCGTGACAGATGAGGCAACATGACTCTCTGGAACCAGGCACCTCCACCATCCAACTTAACATGCGTGAGGTTCTTCGAGAACTCAGCTATCAGCCTTTTTTGTAACGGTATCGGACTGCCCTCTGGGAAAGGTATGAAAAGGCCCAGCTTTCTGACTTTGGGACAAACAGAGAACAAGTCAGCCAGGTCATCAACATAGTTTTGTGTGATTTCAACCCCCAGACGAGCATTTTGTACACATCTCAACTTGAGAGTATGTAAATTTGGGCATCGTCGTGCTATATCGATAACAAGTCTTCGGGAGTACCTCTCAGAGTCCAAAGCAAAGTCGAGAACCTGAATAAGGTTTGCTCGACGGGATTCAACCGCCATTGCTAGCCGAAAGTGCTTTTGACCTCCAAAGCCCTTTAGTCGTGAGCTTTGGGGGAAGGAGTAAAGATATGGTTCGCTGAGACATTGGAGGGACCTGCAAGTTCGAGCTAGGGAGGATAGAGTCTTGGCTCGTATCTTGCTTTCATCATGGTTGCTTTCGTTATAGTCTAACGCAATGTGATTGACTATCATTTGATATATCTCTGTTGGTAACCAGGACGCTTTGAAATCTGGTTCATTGTCTTGTATCTTCATTGACTCGGAAACCTTGCGGGTAATGTCAACAGCGGCTTCAGCATGACCGCCTACCCCGCTGTCGTTCGGCTTTTGTTCTGCGAGTCTGAGCAGTGGGTAAGCCAGTGCCTGTAATTGGCAATGGTCGGTATTTTTGTCTGTCGTCATTGTAAGCTGATTACTCTTGTGAAGCTGTTTGCGTTAGACTTACTTGTTTTCTGAGTCATCTTGTCAGTCTCCATTGTTAAGAAAGTGTATGTTATCAAGCTCTGTGATTCCGTCTCTCACTAGAGGTTGGAAATATTCCTTGCAGGTGAAGTTCATCAACTCGAAAGATGAAACAGAAGAATTATTTATAGAAAATGGGAAACCAAAGATGCTTTCTAGCCAGATCGGTTTAAAGTCTCCCATAGCTTGAAGGAAATGCACGTTTTGCGTATTGCAAAACCTTATGCCAACAAGCTTTAAGATTCCCTCTTAATTTAAAGAACAATCATTGGCGAGATCCCAAATACCAGTATCTACTAAATAAGCACGTGAGAACTCATAGTACTTAATATTTAAACGCTACTATTAGAGGTTGCAGAGATATGTCGCTTGGAACTCGGCTACAAGTTGAGTTCAAAGCTGCACCGAGAGTCGGATTGACTGCCTGTTGCACATAGGATGGATTAATGATTCTAGTGTACTCAAAGCTGCAGCCACTCTCAATGTTTTACATAATACCGTGAGTGGATATTTTACAGCTGAAACCTACAGCTGAAGGCTCATCTTCACCCCTGAACTTGATATAAAATTGCAACTGCAGTAACCCAAAATGTTTTCAATGCATATATATAGAGCAATCCACCCTTTCTTCAAGACCCATGGGAGTTCTCCACAAGCGTTCTGCTTTCATTACTTCAGCGTCGTTATGGATGCTGAGATATCAAGAAGACACAAAGAGTTTTCGATGCCGTTCAATAGACCCTTCGGTCTTGCTATTCCCAGCAACACACTTCTTCAAGGGACTGGTTATATATATGTAATAATTATAATATGTCCGCCCGCCAGTGAGTAAGTATAACTAGAAATACCAATGACTGAAACTATCTAATACAGTGCATGGCTGAGACCCTTACATGTGTTGCGGATGTTACCTGCAACGACTTTTTCATTGATGTCTTGTATATATTTAGATTGCAGATTATCTCTTTGCTGTTTGTAGCTGGAGAGCTATTATCGCTGTTGCCATTGCAGGCCTATTTATATTATAACATACTACAATATTCATGACGTTTAAAGCCCTTTTCTGTCTGCCAATTATACATAAAGTGGCTTATAATCTCATATTTGTAAGCCTAAATATGTATATCTTTTATCGTTTTCCGCTTAAAAGCTGCCGTTATAAATCTATATCCTGTAACTGCTTTTAACAGTAGTTTCATTTCCATCAATCCTTTATTAATGGTCTAAACCAACTTTATCAATTAATATATCAAAAGACCTCTAGTTGTTTTGGACTATAGAGAGGCAATAATAGCCTCTCTCTGTTAACCTTTTAATCCCAAAAAGCCCACTGCAGTATCTCTGGCCCGCTTTCCTCTTTGACATCAGGAATAAAACCCCAGCTACCATACTTTGGATCCTCTTCCCAGTTATCATGGCTTTCATCGTCTAAATAAGGCCACACAATCTCTGAATACTTTCTTTGGTGGGTCATCCTGTAAAAATTGCGACTGCAGCCTTCAAGCTTGGGGCATGCTGCTACTAGACCTTCAAGCTCGTCATCAGTCAGAACCCGAGGCAACAGCAAGTTGACAAATTTCAACTTCTTTGCCTTTTTAACTTCCTCCAAAACACTCATGCTGAGATCGCACTCGCTGAAAAGACTGATACTCTCCAGAGTACCAGCGTGAGCGGCAATCATATCACATATGGCTGTCTCTAGTTCCGCGGGGGCAATGCGGTTGCCGGTATGATCATAGTGAATCCCTTTGAAACGCTTCAGACGTGGTGAACTTAGGCGAGTCAGAGCATGAATTGTTGAAGTCATTTGTGATTCGTTGCACAGAAAGAACTCCTCGACGACCGGTAGACGTTCCATAAGCTGATATATAGCGCTGTTGCTCTGAGTCTTTCTGATTCCGCTTACATATAATGTTTTCAGAGTCTTACCCCATATCAGGGATGCATTCAAGAGACTCTCTACAGTAGCTGTACAATCGCCGTCCATCTTCAGCCGTTGGAGTGACGGGCATCGCTTAGATAGCTCAATTATCTCTGATGTTACTGGATACCAAAGTGCCTCGAGATGCGTGAGCTGATTCCAAAACTTTGAGAACCGCTCGCTGGATTCACTCGCGAAGCTGATGCCTGTAATTGTCCTTACTTTGAGGCTAAACCTCGTAACCTTGGGGCAGACACTGAAAAGATGCCCCAAGTATTCCAGGTCAGGGCTAGAAAGCCAACCAGTGGACTTGGATACCTCCAAGTGACTGAGATTCGGACATAGCTTGTGTTCAACGTTGACAGATAGTGACTGGACGAGAAGTGCCCGTCGTGGCTCAATGGTCAAAGAGAACCGAAATAGCAAGTTGTAATATTGAACCCAAGAGAGCCTGCAACTCCGTGGGTGCTTATACAAATACATTTCGAGGATTATCTGAAATAGCCGACAGGAACAGGTCAAAGATACCAAAGTCCTGACTCGCCTTTCGTTTTCCACTTTGGTACTGGGATATTCGGCAACGATAAGATCGAAAATGATTTCGTAAATTTCGGTGGGTAGACTGGGAATCCAAACTTTTGGTCGGCTAGTTTCTGCTGGGTTGGGTACTGTGAGGGGTTTTGGGACGTCGTGGTGCGGCCAGCTTTCATGATACAGATCTGTAGCGGTTTGAGATCGACGCCGTGCCTCAAGGTCATCAGGCCGTTGCTGTGCGATGACCTTTAGTGCCTGAACATATTCTTGCAACTTGCTCCCGGGGAGACTTTTTTGTGGCTGAATCAGCTCCATGGTGATTAGATATTCTATTGACCTCGGCTAAGGGGTGAAGAGAATGGCAGATCACCGATTTTCGGTGTAAGTGATTCCACTGCATTGCTTCCCGCTGAGACTTGGTTTGTGGTGTGAGTTCTTACAAATATCGGCAGGGAAGAGAACAGGAAGTTCGGGGCTCTATTTATACATGTACAAATGGATAAAGATGTGCCCCGTCAGGTTGTTCAAGAGCCAAAGTCTGGTTCTGCAGCTTAAATTAGACTTCAAACTCACTAGCGAATCACGTCGAGCATTCCCTCAGCAGTCGTGAACCCTCTCCCCATCATCGCCGCTTTAGAGCTGAGTGACTGTCACACAACCGACCGCTCATTCAAATACACTTCGCGAGCTATCATGTCGCCTAAAGTCTGCTAAAGAATATGTTTTGCTATTCTTCTGTTGGGTCGACATAACTCGCCGAGATATCATATGCTTTCTGAGGTTCTTTGACTTGAACCTGTTATTGGAGCCTCCAACAAACGCTATTGATAGCCAAGATGGAAGTCTTGATATTCTACTGTGAGACTTTCTGGTAGCTTCGATCTCATTTTACAGAAATCGAACACTATAATGTTCATTAGAGAGTTCAATGTTATTTTTGTATAGTTATCTATTTTGAGACCAGCAGTAATGGCGATTTCACCATGCACTATTCTAAACCATAGTCTACTACGTCGTGATCTATGTTGCTATTGAGTTTGGGATAAGGCTATTGGTGAGACTTAGATCCGCAAGACAATTAGAACTCAGTTTGCTATACGTTTGCTTCGATTTGTGATGTTGCCCGGGAGCAATTTCAGGGGATACATGGATATTTGTAAAAGTCAAAGCGATGTTCAAACTATAAACTAACGATACAGGAGCGATCTATGCGGATGCCAAGTAGGACGTAGGACCTACTCGACTAAAGAAATTATCAGAAATAAAACCAATAACTCCCTAACCTTGGAACTAAACTCCAATCCGTTCTATTCAACGGACCATTTTACCACCCCAATAGGCTGAGGTACATGGCCCCAGCTGCTCTCACTTTCCTCCATGTTGTCCTCCTTATACTTCATAGTCGCCAATGTGCACTCAGTCAAAAACTCTTTGACCACCATCAGTCCTGTTTCTGACTCTCCAAGCTTCGGACATGCTCTCAGAAGACATCCAATCTCTTCTTCTGTAGGTCTGTCATGCAGCTGTACTCGAAGGTTCTTCAAACCCTCTGCCTTATGAAGGTGCTGAAAAATATCCATCCCGAAATTCCAAAAGTCGAATGATTCCTCTATGATGAAGGTGTGAAGTGTCGAAGCGTGAGCATTGAAGATGTCAATGGTGGCTTTATTCACATTCACTGGGTTTGCAAGAGGGTCATTTCCGAATATCCCATCATCAACCACCCATCGGAATGCTTTCAGGCGTGGAGTGACCGGCTTAGCGATAGCCTGGATATCTGAAAGAGGGAGGTCCGAATGTGGGCCCACAACAAGCTCTTCCAGTGCTGTAAGATGTGGTAGAAGATGGGAGAGAATGCCATCGCGACGATTCTCAACTGGAAAGTGGTTGATGTAAAAAGACCGTAGTGTTTTCCCCCATACTTTACATCCGTCTCTCAGATCTTGTAGGGAGACGTCTTCAGCCCCCTCTATGTTCAGTGTTTTTAGAGAGGGCATCTGGGTAGATAACGGACGAAAGATATCTCGTTCTCGGTGTCGCTCGTTTCCTCCGTTAACAGTGAAAGATTCGAGATTCGGGTACTTGTAGGGAAGTATCATGTCCTTGAGCCACTCAAATGAACTCAGGACTTGCAACCGACGAAGCTGTTTAGCAAATTTTGTGAATTGCTGTGCAGTCTCGGTGGAAGGCTCATCGCCGCTGCTACGGCCCCAGCACGCCTGAAACTTGAACTCAGTAACACGAGGACAAGCAGAAAGCAGATTTCCCATTTGCTCTCGAAAGTCTTCGGGAGGTTCATCTAGCCAAACTAATTCAAGATGAGTCAGATTGGGACTGAGCCCAAGAGTCTCTACCCATGCTTGGTGGTCGTAATACTCTGGCCAGAATTTGCATTTCAGAGACCGAACAGCATAAGCTCGGCGAGGCTCAACGGCCAGAGAGAAGCAAAGAAGCCACTGTGCTTTGATTCCGACCGATAGCCGCTGGGATGCTGGATGGGTATAGAGGTGCTTCTCGCAAAGAGCCTGGAGGATTCTACAGGTGGATGCCAGAGATTTCAAGGTGTGAGCACGTACTCTCATCTCCTTAGGGGATTTTCCATGCCTGTCGTTGACGACGCACTGGATGATCATAGCATAGATCTCTGTAGGCAACCGGGATGCCATATCCTTTTGTGGGTAAGCAAGACGATTGGATAACCGCGTATATATCATCGTGGCCCAGTGCTTGCTACTGACTGCTGGTTCCGGGTTGATAACTGCGCATGATTGAGTGAAACGAAATTTGCGATATATTTTGATCGCTGCTAGGGCTCGTCTCTGTGCCTCTCGGTCATCGTGTCTTTGTTCTGATATACTCCATAGTGTATTTGTGAGCCTCAGCAGCCCTTTTGCCGTGGGTGCCATCCGATGGTGAATGCCGTCAAAGTTGACGATGATGGGCTGGGATGATGGCATATTGTCCTGCGGTTAAATGTGTGCGAGTACTTGGAAAAATGAAAAAGAGATGTGATTAACGATGCAAGTAGGGACAATATTTATTTGGTCTACGGTCGAGTGATTTGAATGTTTAGTTATAGATTCACAACATCAGTTCGGTTAAATGACTTTGTAATATTGAAAGTATAATTGTATAACTGAGCCTTATTAACGAATGCAAAAGGCTTATCTATACTTTATTATTAAATATTCGTAGAGTTGAGTAGAATTCATGCTGTCTATTAGGTTTGCTGACTGAAGTATCCTGATTCCCAGCATTTGGCAAGGTAGGTAAAGTTCTTTTTGGAAATAGAGAGTCCCAATCTCTTGTTGAGGATCACCATAGAATGATCAACGCACATCTGATCAAAAACGTGAGACCTTGAGGTAGTACCAACACAAAGTCGGGTATTCACAGCAAAGACAAGGAACTCAGGAATGTCTATTGGATTGTGCGTGTCGAATTCGGCAAGCATCGAGATTTTTCTCGTAGCCAAAGCTTTTTTTAACCTTGGTTGCTTAAGAGCCTAAATGGTGACCTAAGGTGAAGTTATTTAGACTACACAGCAAATATAACCAATTGAAAGGTCTGTCATAACTGCACGTTGTTTCGAATCTAAAAGCTTATCTCTGTATCGCTGGCACTGCCACTGCCACTTTAACAGATGGAGCTATTCCCTCTTTTCAGCCACACTTTATTAGTCAACTATCATCTCAATGGTTTTCGGGAAATCCCCAGGGCGATCTGTCTTTGCGTGAGGTTCCTGCAGATGGCGTGCCCGAACCCCACATCACGACATGTTGCGCCATGGGATGTCGACTGGGGTCTTGATGACTGAGAATCAGAACAGTTCTGTATTCGTCATTCGTTACAAATATTGCAATTAGTAAATCTGACTAATATCTCTAATTCTCTCAGCTCGCGCCTCACCGCTATCCTCCGGTAACGGCTCGTCGGCATGGGATATTCGACGGGGTAATCGCACAATTTCGCTTTACAAATGCGCGATCAAAGGTTCAGATTATATATATGGAGTGCTTTGCCATCTTAAATTATGAAACAAATAATCCATAGTCCATCACTTGTTCAGTACTCAAGTTTTTCACCTCACGCTACCAATACACATCCTTCAAAATGCCTACCTCCCTCTACGACCTCATCATCCCCACCTTCATTAAGGGCCTCCAAACCTTTGATCACGTCCTCACAAAGGCCGAACAATACGCCAAAGAAAAGGGATTCAACGCCGATGAAGTCTTCCCTCAAGCTAAGCTCGTTGACGATCAACTTCCTCTCGTCTTTCAGGTCCAGAATGCCACAAAGGCTGTGCAAGTGACCATTGGCCGTTTAACAGGCGTTGAGCCCACATTTTTCGAGGACAATGAAAAGACCATCGCAGACTTGCATGCTCGAATCCAAAAGGCTCTTGACGCTGTGAAGAGTGTCAAGCCCGAGGATGTCAACTCAAGAGAGGATGAGAAAGTGGAGCTGTAAGTTCTGCCTCAAGCATATACTCTAATCATTCACTGACGCATCAAAGCCCCCGACCCGACAAGACCCTTCATCTTACCGTCAAGGAGGCTACACTTTACCATGGACAGACAAACTTCTTCTTCCACATCGTCACTGGCTACTCTATCTTGCGTGCAAAGGGCGTACCTATTGGTAAGGGGGATTATCTTGGAAACTTTCTTGCCCAGTAAGTGGAGCACATAGAACTTAGAATGGACAAATGAGCAAATGGCTTCCCACATGGCATATTTATGTTTGATAAGGTTCTAAATATCATGAACAGTGACAAGTATAGTTCTCGCTCAAAACTTTGAGCGTCCAATGGTCATGAATCCAAACGGTGAAGAGTCATGAATTGATGTGTTATGAAGATACCTGCGCTACCAAGGTATTCAGCCTTGCATAACTAATAGACTCTAAATACTTCAAGAGTCAGCCCCTTGACAGAAACCACCACTAGAGGAGTTCTTATTTTTGTATGCCACTATTCGTGCCACCAGAAGCGCCAAAGTCCACCAACTTTGAGTCCCCCCCAAAGAATAAGAATTAAACAATAACTTATGTGCCTCCACGGTGTCGCCGTACTTCTATTACGCTATGAAGAGTCATCATTGGACATGGAGTAAATAATGTTACAATCCTTAAGTAGAGCTTTATTTCTTAAGCTTAACCTCTCCCTGCGGCCCCCTTCGGGAACAAACCCTGTCCTGCTCCGAAGGAATCTGACAGCCAGTACCAGAAACCATTTTACCCTGTTTATCAACCTTCTTGCAGTCTCAATGAAACTAATACCATACCTTGTGGCCATTTTCGGCCTAACAGCGTCGTCGCTTGCTTTCGCTAATTATACAATCAGCGCAAATTCAACAATAGAGAAAACATTCGCCGCCATCGGTGAAGAGGGGCTCTCCAGACTGCACAAAGTAACTTATGAATGCCAAAGGTAAATCCTCATTCTCAAGGTATTCCAATTAAGCTTACAAGTTAGAATCTACCGTTCTCGAAGCCTTATGCAAAGTTACAACCTCATGCGCGCAGATGTATCAGCAGCAACATCCGGGACACAGAATATTTCTTATGAGGTGAACTGGCCATTTCTTCGGCAGCGCATTGATCGCCGTGTACAACCTTCACGTGAGTACAGTATGCAGCTTTCGTGACAGGTACTGACAAGCTAGACTCGTGGGGATGGGCATCTCCTCAATTGCAGCCTATGGAGTTCTCTCTCGTGGTTCACGCTGGCGAGGATGGCTTTGCTTGTTTTGTTAAGGGGAATAACGAAGTCTTTCTCCCTCGGAACTCCGCGTCTGGCTATGCAGATGGTATGAACTAATTCTTCGATCTCAATGGGATGCTTGCTAACCGTTGAAGCTGCATTGGCTCATAATTTTGTTACTGAGGCCCTTATGATGTCTCCTGGTCTTGTTAAGCGTGTAAGTCAAGTGAATAGTCGAATGTTCAAGGATCATGCTAATCCGTCAAGATTCGATACTCGAGAAGTTCGGAAGAACGTGAGGTTGATATCAACGGCATCAAGTTTCCCGCTGGTATGTCCTGAGGCTCAAACTCAAGCAGTTTACTGAAAGCATATAGTTTATAGCAACCTTGACAACCTCCTCCTTATCGTCGATCCGGAGACATATCTACCATATATCGTCCGCACAGAAGAACAACATCCGATCTATGGAAATGCTACAAAAGACGTGTATCTTTCGAACTACAAAGAGGTCCAGGGAATCAAATTTCCCCACACTATCCAGACCATCTACAACTCATCTAGCCAACGCCTCAGCGTGGTTCTCGAAGACTTTGTCATTGATAAAATCAACGCTACGGCGGATTTCCCTAAAGATTTCTTCGGCCCTGTTCCTAAAGGTCAGAAGAAAATCATACAAAAGAAGACTCCCGGTGTTCCGAGTGGTCTTGTCACAGATTACAGCACGAGTTTGCTGGGATCACCTGTCAAGAATGTCAGCGTTGATGCTTTGAAATCAGCAACACCTGTTAACCTTCCTCAATTGCATTGGCTTATCATCGATGATAGCCATGATCTTGGGTTCAAGCAGCTTATTATTGAGTTTGAGAATGAGGTTATTGTGTGCGATGCGCCACCCTTCTGGAGTCCCGCTGTCATGGAGTGGATTAAGAAGATTATTGGGAAGAAGGTTACCTACGTCGCGGTGCGTATATCACAGCCTGCCTTGAGATTTGACTAACGGTTTAGCCTACACATCATCACCGAGATCATAGTGGAGGAGTAGCCGATTACGTCCGTGCAGGCGCCAAGCTGATCATCCCTGAGATGGCAGTAGATTACTGGTCCAGCGTCCCAGGAGCTCAGTTCATCACCTTCAAGTACGTCCACCCTCCTTCACAGATTGACGCTGACAATTCTTAGTCAAACACACCCTTACGTCCACCGCGACAATAAGATCCAGGCATGGTTCAACTGGGCTGATCAAGCTCCTCATGCAGCTGACTGGACTTATGTGATGGTTACAGAGCGATGTCCTAACAAAAGCTCACCCATCTTTGTCTTTGAGGCTGATACTTGGGAGGCTGGGCTGGAAGTCGATTTGGGTAATCAGCAGCAGATGAGGCAGTGGTTGGATCAGATTTTGGATGATGGTCTTCCCAGATCTACGACGTGAGTATCCCTGGTGGTAAATGAATTTGGCTGACAGCTTGTAGCGTTATGCCTACGCATGGAAAGATTACACCGTTGGAAGATCTGATTAACATCACGGCTTATCCTTATCCTGATTTTGACATTAGTCGGTGGAGGAAGGGCGCATCGCTGTGTAATGAATCCTCTACAAAGAAGAATAAGGATGATTAGTGGCATAATTTTCATATTGGCTAGATATTATATCGGGTAATACACAAGTAAAATGTTATCTGAGTTTAACAATCTGCCCTTTCAAACCCCCTCTCCTCCTCAGTGTCTTACAAAATGGGCGACAAACAAATATTTCATGCTCTTCCGTTAGCACTGGCCCTTGGGGTAAACACCATTTCCAACCTAGGCAGTTCCAAAGTGTAACAGTCTCTCAATCCATCAATGAAAGCCTGCGGATTAGTACCTGGTGCGAAAGCGATATCATATCGGGACAGAATATCCATCAGGACATAGCGCATCTCCATAAGGCCCAGTTGCTTTCCAGCACACACGCCACGACCTGTCATGTCAGCTAGTTCCTGAAAAGTGAAGTTAGGGAAGCCAACCAGTTGAGAATGGGGCGTAGACAGACGCGTCCTTGATAAGCTCTGGCTTAGTGGTCCATCGCTCAGGAATAAACTCATTCGGTTTCTCGAAACAACGCTCATCTACACCCCGTCAGCAACAATGCCACATCAGCTCCTCATTAGTCATACCCCGGTACATAGTGTAAGAAGGATTGTGCACGATGGTATCCCCAGGTATGTAGACATCATCAATTTGCATCCCTTCTGGTGGTGTCATCCTTGGAAGACCTGACGGGACAACAGGATAAAGACGGAGAGACTCGTCGATACAAGCTTGTAGATACTGTAGCTTGCTTAGCGAGATGAGGTCAGATTCCTCGTGCGCATTCTTGTAATCGTCAATCTCAGCCTGAAGCTTGGCTAGCGCATCGGGGTGAAGTGCGAGATGATGCAAGAGACAAGTCGTAGAAGAGGAAGTGGTGTCACTAAGATGTTAGCGCTATACATCGATGTTCTAGTCCAGTCTTACCTGCCAGCGATAACAATAAGATGAGCGTCGCCACAGAGGTTATTATAATCTTGCTCCGTTGGCTTCCCAATCGCATCGTAATCATCCAGAATACTACTAAACACATCTGGTTCTGCTGGTTTGTTCTACAACAATTAGCCGTCTTCTTCATCGAGGAGAATTTCGAATGATACCTTTCTTCGAGTCTCAACTTGATTCCTGATAAAAGCCTGGAAAGCCAAATACGAGCTATTCACGACCGGTATTGCCGCAACAAGAGGGAAGAACCAAATGAGTCGCCGAAACGCGCCCATGAAACCTTGAGTCTTGTGAGATTCAGTAAAGAATTTGTGTTCGACTCTGTTGGCGAGCATGTCGAAACTCTTCCCAAAGGCAAGATCACCCATGATGTCAAAGGTGTAGAAGTTGATCCATAAGGATACATTGAATGGTTTGCCCTTCATGTCATCGATGCGGTCGGTGAGGAGTTTAGTGTATTTGAGGACTCGGTGTTCATAGTCACGCAGAGCTACTGCTTGTTAGTTTTTATCTTCTTTAAATCAGGAAGAGGATTCTGTACCTTTGGTAGTGAACGCTCTGTCCCAAGCTTTGCGGCGGTTTGCATGTTCCTTCTTTCGTCGCTCAGCAAGAAGATTGGTCCACGGATGGGAAATACCATAGAATGGAGCTTTAGTCGCCGGTGATGCGGTCGCGTGAATGACACGGAAGGATCTGGGTGTCGCGATTGAGATCTCGGTAGGACCTTGAAGTATGAGTAGAGTGCTTATTTGAGGCTTGTATGAACATACCAATTCTCACAACATCTCCATACTTCTCATGGAGCTTCTGGACTTCGAGATACATATGCTCTTCATCAACAGTAAGATAAGTAGGATAGAAAGCTGAGAGGCGCGCGAGAAATGGACCGGGGAAGCGGTTCAGTCGGTGAAAGAATGCTCGATACACCAGAGTACTGATTGAGAGTCCCGTAGCAAATGACGCGAACCATTTGTTGGTGACTGATAGAGCTTGCCAGACTGAAAAGGAGTAGAGTTGGGTGAGAAACAATGAGACAGTGACCTCGTACGTTGCCCATGCCTTTATGAGCTTGACAGTCCAAAGATCCCATTCTCCTTTGCGTAGAACAAAAACATGTACGACTACTCCAAGGAGGAATGCAGCGCCAAAGGCCTGTGTAGTCTCAAGATGAGCTTCAGTCAAAAGCATTTTGATGGTTAACCTGTTGCATAAACCCAGGTGAGATGGCAGGAAACCACATTCGTTTGTGAGACATTGACAGCTTCTTGTATCCAACCTTCATTTCAAATCCAGATTCTAATGACGAAATAGGTTGCAGGAACTTTTGGGGGCCAATATGGTTTACAGGTTGTTGTCAAAAAGTGTGTTACAGCGAGCGTCTTGGCAAATTACCAACCAGCGAATACGCTTATTCAACGTCTGTATAAGCCCATTGTAGGCTCTTTGCAGCGCGCTCGGCATAACCCCTTGGCTAATTACATCAGTGCATGCTTTATCACCTTTACCGGTGGGTGATGTGATGGCCTTCTGCAGGATAAATGATATCATCGGCTTTTCATTGGGTTGCAGGAGGACTTGCTGCATAGCTTTATGCATATACAGCGGCCGCTAGATGCTTTAAATGGGCTTGCAGCCGAGACATGATGTGAGGATGTGCGGATATGGATAATCCTTCCGAAAGACAGTGGAGGGGGGGGAGACAAGTTCGCCATTTCAGCCCACTTTATGAGGCGGTTTGTTCAGCAATCGGAATGCTGTATTGCCAGTATTCTGAGTATTGTGTTTTGAAACATTTCATGTGAAGACGGTGCAGCAAAGATGCATGAAAACGGCGTGGAGGCCCCCAAACCTTGATGTCGAGTACAGTCCGTTTATGCCGTTTCCCAATTCAGCGTTGCACAAAAGATTCCACTTGGGAAGCCCGATATTTACTGCGTATAGCATGTTTGATTGGTTCGCGCTCTCGCTCCGGAGGATCGGAGGTTGTCTGCTCCGTTGCTTATTACCATTCAACGTTGGGTCGCATCGGATTGGGTTCAATTACAAGAGACACTTGATACGATTGATTGAAACGGATGCAGCGCCATCCGAGACCCTTTACAATGGGGAATTTTCTTATTCGATAACTGGCTGAGCGGCCTGAGAAGATCAAATAAGGTGCTGATATCTCACTCCGAATTCAGGATGTCAGGTCCTGCGAATCACATCAGTCAGCCACTGGGTTAGCGCCGACTCTGATTGTCAGCACTGTTGCACGCAGCACTTGAAATGGATCCAACAAATGTTGCGGTAGGGAAACTCAACGGGAAATTTCTTTTCGTCCTCGGAGCACAGAACCGTATTTTTATGAACCGGGTGCTGCAGCTAGACTGGCGGTAGTTATCAACGGTTGTCGAAAACCCTGGTGTTTTGAGACTCTGCGGCTTAAAAATTGGCCTATGATTGACGGATCATAAATTAAGTTTCAATCTATTAAGCGAAGAGGAAAACTTAGCATTGCAACTAACTAAAAGCCGTTTAGCTAAAACTCCCCGCGGAGATAGCGATTCATGATCATCACGGAGCATCACGGCTCAACCTCCGATCCAAAGAGGGGTTCGATATCACAGAACCTTGGCGACCAATTGATAAAGCAGATTCCCTCTCAACTGCGTCATTACTACCTTTAAAAAGGCCACGGAAATTCCAAACCTTTAGCTATAACAGTCTGAAGTTCTAGACTCTCAAAATATTAACCAATTCGTGTTTTTCATCAAGAGTAAAAGGCATCGGCTTCTCCTCCGATGTGAGCTAAACCTCAGTGAATCAAAAACTCCGTCTTTCTGCGGATCCTAGAACCATAACGGGTCCTAAACCCCGGATTTTCCTCCACCAAGAATGTCACCGTTGAATCTGGTCCCGAGTGTTCGGCCTCCAAACGGCGAGGCTTTTTCAGAAGACTAATGATGACCTTTTCCCCTCTTGTTTTTTGGTTCCCCGCTCCTAAATCGGCCGAGGCAGAGATAAGAACGACTTCTCTCCTTTTCATCTCGTCATTGTCTTGACGGTTCTGGTCTCTGGGCTGTTCGAGCAGTCTGTATAATCAAGATGATCCTGCGACCGTTGTAGACGCACCGAGCTCAGATTTGTGAGGGATTCCGACGTCATGGCCGGGCTGCAGCCCGATATTTATGCAGCCATCAGCATCACTTGGGTCGCGGCCTTTCTGGCCCTTGGTTTGCGACTCAAAGCGCGACGAATGACCAAGATGAACCTTTGGTTCGACGATTACTTTGCCATCATCGCATTGGTAGGATTGGTTCGCAAACGCGATCATTACGCAGGTGCTCACTTCTTGTCACAGCTCTTCGTATCAAGTTACTGTTCCGTCACCATCTACTGTATGCACGACATACCCTATCTCCGATCGCAGTCGCTTACCTCTTATAGGGACACATAGTTACAAACTCGGACAATCGGTCCTCACGGTCGCGGATCCAATCGAAGCAACCCGTATTCAAGACCGATCGCGACTTTTACTCTGGATCTGTGAACTTCTCTACGCCTCGTCGATCGCATTTTGCAAACTCAGTATTTTGTGCTTTTACTGGCGCGTTTTTCAGTATACATCGATTCGATATGCCATCATTGGCTTGCTTATCGCCGTCAGCATATGGATAACTATTCGAACTTTCATGGTCATCTTTCACTGCGTGCCGATTCGAGCATACTGGGATAAGAGCATACAAGGCGCGAAATGCCCTTTTAACGAAGCGAATTTCTTCTTTGCTACGATTCTTATTCATACCACGATGGACTGTGTTATCCTGATTTTACCCGTCATCGAAGTTATGAAGATGACGTTACCTTTATCGCAAAAGTTGGCCGTTGTTGGACTCTTTACATCTGGAACCATGTACGTTGAAGTTTTCTTGGGAATTTCCTGGTCTAACGTTGTACAGAGTTTGCGTTGCATCGATTTTTGTTTTGGTGCATTCAAAGTTGTACAACCCTCGAACCGACGACATTCCGAAAGATATGGCACAGAACATGATGTGGGCAGCTGTCGAGATAAATACGGCGGTTTTCTCCGGTACGGGCTGATCTTCATCCTTACTACCTCCTCTGCTAACAAATGGTGTAGCTTGTCTTCCTATGCTACGACCTATTTTTCGTCATTTTCTCCCAGGACTCTCGACAACAGAAGAGTCAGCCCAAGCGCCGATCAGTTTACCAAACGTTGTCCTACCCGGAGTACGGCTTACGGAAACGAGATCAAAGAAACGGGAGTCTCGTAGGTCAGGCATGTCTCATGGGCTATATGATCCGGAGTTGGGTGTCTTTCATGGATTTTCGGATATATCAAGCATCAGAAGCGTGGCGTCTAGGTCAGACGGTGACTCAACGCCGGGAAACATCTAATATTAATACCAACTATTTCAAATTTCAATATCCTGTTCTTTATATTGTAGGTCCATCGTATCCTACGGAACCGAACTACAAGGGCAATCCAGCAGCATTATCACCATATTCTTTGATGTTGTAATTAGATATTCAATTCTTGGCAGACCTTTCAAGTTTGCTTCCAGTGAGCCTGGGAGCCAGTCTTGCAAATCTTGGATGGGACCATTAGACCAGTCCCAAGCAAGTACAAGCAGCAATCTTCCAACAAACAGGTCCCATATTTGCCTCAACCGCCTTATCGACGCCGTATGGGACCTCAAAGCATACTACATCCTTGCGAGACTTCAAAGGTCCCCTGCGGCTCCCACTCATCACGCCAACCTCCTGTGGATCTGTGAAGAGTGATAAGCTGCGATTAGGTTCCCTTTATAGGTTTAAGGCGTCTCAAGAACACTGTCTTATCTTGCACCGAGTCTAAATCACCCGCCGTGATATTGGTGCTCCCCAGTGATCCACGTATATGTAGTTTCTGTCTTCGCGGGGCAGGCTGAACTCGAGGGTGTTGGAAGAATCGTGACTGATAGCTTGTACTTGTTCACTGCGAGCCTTAACGGGAGTGTTGGAGCAGTGAGGATTGGTCTTCGCTAGGGTCGGTTGTAGTGTTGTAGTATTAATTGGAGAGCAGTTGCGGGCCGTCTGAGTTCAACGTCGAAAAGCCGTGGCAATAGTATTCATATATGCTTCGCAACGGTGTTCGACTTCCGAACGCGACCATTTCTTCCTCTGACATGTAGTTCGGGCTGGCATCCAACTCATTTCAATCCGAATTAGTTCTTGAGTTCTGTCATCGCTCCGTGGCAGTCCCTCAACGAGGGCCCATGTTGTCGCAACTTCTGTACTCGCTTCATCGATCGCAACGTCCATGTAGCCACGTGCTACTTTGGCAGAGCCTCAGAACGGTCGTGGAGCTGAAGGTATTAAAGTCCGCCCAACTTTTGAAGTTCCATAAGCTGGTGAGAATATGAGGGCGTAAATATGAATGGCGAGGCCAACAAGGACAAGAAGCACCATGGCGAGGATAACGCCTTTTTGTCGGCTAAGGCGGTCGAAAGTAATGACGTCCATCTTAAGAATATCGAACTTGGTACTGTTTTGATTTGATTTATCGTTGGTTCCTGCGGATACTTTCCAAAGAGACGGGACGAAAGAACGGTTGGCTGTCAGATTCCTTGGGGCCAAGACAACCTTTTGTAAGAATTGGGAAATTGGGGTTGGGCTTATGTCTCCAGTTCATGTTCATTTCCAATAGCGGCGCAGCCAAGAGGAACCTACCAACTGTTGGTGGCTGGATGCGATGTGGAGACATGTTGGACCCTTTGGTGAGGCTAATTGGATTTATCGTAAGTCTGAGACAGGGATCTCTTCTGACATTGGTCAGACGGGACTAGCACTTGAACCGTACATCCTACCCGTGCTAGGAGGTACAATTCTCCGACTAACTCTCCATTATGGTTAAATTTCACGGAAACCTTGTGCTTGACTACTCGAGTCTTTCAGACTATGATCTACATACAATACGACGTATAGTTCAGAGTTGTGAAACAACAGTGACGAATTCAGTTTCTCTAATGCCCCTGGTAAGTGAGATGAATGTCAGATGACACTGATGACAGCATCAGTCCGAGCGTGCATCTTGGACAGTCCCAACTGCAGCTGAATGATCCATTTACGATAACTGATGTCAGCGCCATCAAGCTATCCCGGGCAATCACGAGCGGCACAGTCTCAAAAACGGCATCATCACTTCTCGATACTTATTTCCATCAAGACAACGTTGTATCAATGGAGAATTTTGCTTGACATTCTGATCAATTTGGCTCAGCGAGGAACCGAAGAGGAAGATTTTAGTGCCCCTGCATTTGACTCCGCTCAGGTCTGTCGATATCGCTTGCAATGCTGTCATTGCGATGGGTCATCCTGTGTTCTAGAACGGCCATTTATGGGACGAAGACCTGATCTGGAATGTGCCAAGAAGTGTTGGTCCTTAGTTCGCAGCTGTTGGTTGACAATTGGGCCCTGCTGAGCTGGCTAACGGACCTGTTATGGATGTCGGTAAAGGACAGTGGAGACGCTATCAGAAATGTTAGAACCAACACAATTTTGGCGGTCAATAGTTACCAAATAGTTACGGGATGTCCGGATAGCAGCTAAAGCTTGTGTTCAGCAATTTAACTTAAAGACCGTCCAGCTTCTGATAACAAATATGAGAGGCGTCGCCATGAGGTCCGAGGCTGCACCAGTTTGTTCTTGGAATATGCATCAAAAGATTCCTGAAGTCAAGACATCCAGTATTTGGAGAGGGACTACCCGCTAATCCCTGTTGTTAATGGTCCTATTTAGCCGGATGACGAACTGCGTTCAGGCTTGGGCAACAGGGGTTTATAGTGCATGCTTACCCTGCAACGCAACATTGCGAAGCTAGATGCGATCTTCACCTTGCCTGTAAGAGCATCAGAGGCAGAATGCATTTGAGAAATTGTGAATATTATCACTATTGAAGAATTAAATCAATTCGAAACGTTTAAGTTGGGTTTTATACGAAAGTTTGCTGGGCATTAAGACAAAGCGAGGCGCGTGAGAAACCCTGCTTCTCTCGAGTAGGATTAAGCCCCGGAGGAAGAAAGAGTATTCACAAATATAGCAGATTAATTATACTCTGCGATGTAATTTACTCTTTAAAAATGAATAAGATAAAAATATAGAAATCTTTGTTTATTGGGACCTAACTCATCTGTATCTCAATGCGAATAGGGTATCACTTTACACGAGCACAAATAACCGTTACATATGGCCATACGAACCATAAACCGCGAATTTTGTGGATAACACGAAGCGAGAAGATGTTGATCAGCATATTAAAAGGTAACTTGGTCAAAGGAAGCCCATTACTATCCTCAGTCTATATTAATGCTCAAGCTTTTGTTCATCATGATCATTCTGACGCATTGGCAACCACAAACTCAAGAATGGTCAGGTTCGGTCCATTCCAGTGCTTTCGAGCGTGGGTGAACCATAGACCAACAGCAATGGCCAACACAGCAACCATGACTGGGCCGCAGTAGTTCATGTTCTCCCCAGTGACTGGGAGAGTTGATGGGAAGGGGAGGAAGATGATGACATAGAGGGTATAAACCAGAGCAAAGACGTTGACGGGAAGGCCGAAGCGACCAAGGTTCCACTCTCCAAGCTTGATGGTAGATCCAGAGAGACGAACATATATGATACTGGCAATGGCAATAGCATAGCTGAGGTACAGGGCCAGAGATGATAGAGATGTGATGGCACCAAAAGCGACGTAGGAGGTGTTACCAATGTTGAGAAGGTTCAGAGCGCAGACGAGGAAAACGGTGAGGATGATGGAGCGTGTAGGGACGCGATGAGTAGGGCTGACATACGCAAAGTAGCCAGGCATACCACCATCGCGAGACCACGCCCATGTTAGACGGGAGACGGATGCAATATTGGCGAGGTTGACACTGAATGAGATGATAAAGAGGCCGGCGATCATGGCAGTGGTAGCTTTATTGGAGCCGGTGACGTTGAGGAGGATGGCTTGGATCTGGCTGGGTTGCTCGAGCATGTCTTCGACGGAGCCCATGGCAGAGATGAGAACATTCACCATGATGAAGCCGAGGACGCCGTTCATGAAGATGGACCAGAACATAGCGCGGGGGACGGCTGACTTGGCCTTTCGGGTCTCCTCGGACATATGGATAGCACTGTCGAAGCCTGCAAATAGTTAGTAGGGGTCATGTTGGAGGACTTCCTGGGGGACTTACCCGTGAAACTCCATACGCAAGTCAGCATGCCCAAGTTCCAAGCAATATACTCATTGTCCCATCCAGAAGAGATGTTACGCTGCAGCCAGAAAGACGAAGGGTTTCGAGGGCCCATGACAACAAGAACAACGACAAAGATGACGAAGAGGCAAACGTGAAGAACACCAGCGACAAGCTCAACCCAAGGAATGAGCTTGAACGCATAAACGTTCATCAACCCATGGACCAAACACATGGCGATGACAAGAACGGAGGTATGCCATCCTCCAGCGACATAACTGGGATGGTTGATGCTGATCATCGACTCGAGGAGGATGATAGTGACGTTCGCAATAGCAGCCAGCAGGGACACATAGCCGAACCATGTAGACCACCCTTGGATCCAAGTCGCGAACCGCTTCACCGATTGAGGTGCCATGTAATATGTCCAGTGGTATTGCGCGCCAGCGACAGGCTGAATCGAAGCCATTTCTCCCAACGACGCAGCCTGGGAGATGGCGCCGAAGAAGACGATGATGAAGCTGAACAGGAAGGTTTGGGGTCCGCCATTGAAGAGGGCAAAGTACATGTTTCTACCAATATTAGCATCGCGATGTTATCAGGTATAGAGGGAGTTTAACTTACGAGCACATACCCTCCCATAATGCCATATACGTCAACGAAAAAGCAAAAAGCTGCGAAAAAGAAAACACCTTGCGCGTTCTGGTAACATTGTAGATGTTGGAGTCCTCGGGCGGCCTGGCTGAAGCGTCAACGCTCACTGGAATGGGCGGCTGTTTGCCCGAGGCTTCTAACTCAATGCTGTTACTGCCGTGAGACATCTTGAGCCGATCTCAGATACCCAGAATATGCGTGTGATGCAGGAACACGAACCAACAGAGTTGGGGGTTGCTATATTAAAAGTAGGTATGCGGCAAGATAAGCAGACCTTCAGGTATAAAAATGCCAGCACAAGTTACCAACAAAGTGGAGCTATCGGGGAAATTCGAACGAGCTATTGCCTGAAACAAGCAAAACCTCTGCATCAAGGTTGAGCGAGAGGTCCCCCAACGGAAGGATGGGTTTAGGCGAGGCGAGATTGCCGCGAATAGGCCGGGAAAGATCGAACGGTGTCTGAGGATTGTGGCGTCGCAGATCATTTCTTATTAGGAGATTTCGTGGAACCGCTTGAGATGCAACGCCAAGTGGACTCGAAGGAATATTTGGTGTGAAAGCTAGCAGGGACCAGGCTTTATTGGCCAACAGCCACAGACAGATATCGTTTTTTTTTGTTCTCTTTTCCCTTTACACTGTGATCAGTAATGAGTAACGAGTGAAGAGAGAATCGGAGAGAGGAAAAAAAGCCTGCATTGCTTGGCTTACTCCTCCGCACATCATGCTGAACAAGAAGCAGGGATTGTAATTGTCATCACCAAGCTGCATAGATCGACAAGACATTCAGCATTTAATAGGCCACATCACAGAGTTCCAAATCTCCACTTGAAGACGAAGGAAAAGTGGACGGCATTTAAAAAGGTTGAAATTTGGATGCCTGGTGGTCCGAGATAGAGTAGATATCCCGGTTTCTGGAACATGAGAGGACCGCATTGCAAGCCACTGACCTCAGCGAGTTCGGACAAATTATCCTCAGAGCTGAAGAAACTCGAAACATGGCAAGATCATGCAATCCTGGCGTCCCATTCAAGGTTCATCGTGTATGTATGTCTTAATTTAATTAATCGCCTGCCTGGTCGTTGATATTCATGCTGTCACCTTACCCAATGCAACTCTATTTATTTGACAGACCCGAATGCTACCCTTTCCCCGTCCACTCGGTCCGCCCTTGCTGTATCATTAAAACCAACACGTTGGTCCCTTGCTTAAAGGCCGTTGAACCCTCCGGAGGGTTCTGATCGAATACTACGCCGACGATGGACCAAGTATCGCAAGCGGCTCCGCCGTTTTATCCGTTGACGGATAGTAACCATGCTGCACTTGTTGTCATCACTGCTGTAATATTCTTTATTTATGCGATTCTTGGTATTTTCGGTAAGCTGATCATTCGGTTGAATATCACTTCAATGAAAGATTTCGACGTCGGTTTGTTGATTGCTGCGTTGTTGTATTTTATACAAACGGCTTGTGTTGTTGCTGCTTGCAGTCATGGGCTCGGTGAGCATCGTTACACTCTTTCTGGTGAGGACTTTGGTCGTTTCAGCAAGGTAAGTGTTTTGTTGGTTTGTAGAGATGTTGCTAATATCTTGTAGTTGATGTATGCTTCGCGAATATTCGGAATTCTTGTTCATGCGACGACGAAAGTTTCTCTTGGACTTCTTATTCGACAGATCGATCGACAAGGTGGACTCAATACTGCGAATATGATCCTTGGTGGAGTTGTTATTGCATGGGCTGTCTCTGGAGTATTTGCGACCGCATTCCAATGTCCTATGCCAGAGCCATGGCTCGCTGAGAACAAAGCACAATGTCCGAGCCAAGGACCGATCTTTCTCTATAACGGCATCATGATCATCCTCACTGATATTGCTCTTTGCATTCTCCCGGTCGCAATGATGTGGGAAGTCCAAACCTCGATACGAAGAAAGCTCATCGTCATGGCGCTTTTCGGCACGCGACTCATCGTCCCGATCATAACGATACCCGAGCTCGGACACGCCCGATACATGTTTGGCGATTCAGAAGATGTCACATGGGAAGCTGTCTCAACAATGATCTGGGGTCAAATCGCACTCGGCCTCTCAATAATCACAGTCTGCATCCCCAGTCTCAAAGGCGTCATCGACAGCCTTCTCGGCTCTACCGCCGTCGCCGCCATAAACACTCCCTACGAACTCAAAGACAGCGGTAACGGAACCGGTCTCGAAATGACAGCTCTCTCCGACTCACGAACAAAACAAACCTCCAAACAAGGAAGTGGTTTAGGCAGTGCTCTACGAAGACATTCAAGACCAAGACATAACGATCAACCAATATGGCGAAGGGACGTCACGGCGGAGGTACGAACGGAAATAGCGAGTGGGAGCGATAGCGTGAGGAATTTGACGGAGGGTGTTATGGTGAATAGGGATTTTGAAGTATCTTACGATGATAGACATACTTCGAGGGCGGATTCTATGGGATCTAGTGAAGGTGCATATCGGATGTAGGACAGTTGGAGCGTTAGTGATGATAATGGTATTGTTCCTTGTCTTAATTTGTGTGGTATGATTTACAAGGCTCAAACGTCGGAGGATTAGCTCCTCCTTGCCTCAGCCGCACCGAATCCACGGTCGTGGAGCTTTTGCGAATTAGAAGAGCGGCACAGCCGTAGATCTGAACTTGTTCAGTTCCTTTCTTCCGTAGGATCACTAGCGTACTCGGCGGGAACAATAGCAAAAGAAAGAAAAACCACCGATCGGAGGAATGAGAAAGGTCAAGCGATGGGTCGGGTTCACCCGGTAAATCCCCCAGTCGCTGAAGATAAAATGGATCCAGGGGTTTGATATGTCCGTTGTGGCTTGCGACTCGCTGGCTGGGAATTAACGCCAAGGTTATCTCCGGTCCACTTGGTCTTGTAGCGGATTAAAAGGGCTGACTTGAGTTACGGGCCGGACCCTAGCTCCCCGGGGCGATTTCTTGGTTCCCCGAGAAATACCATGGCTTGAACTAAAGACCATTGTCTTAGCCACTGTGATGATGCTGACATTGTGAAAATTCCCTTTTTTCGTCATCTGGCAGTCAGTCTGCCATGAATTTGTTGTGTAACATCGTGAGAAACCGCGGTTACAACGTGTTGATAGAGTTCAACCAATTTAAACTGCCGAGCTCCATTTTCGGTGCTCGTATATGATCGTCCACTCTGCGTGATACCTTCAGTTGCCGCGAGTGGGGGTTACAGAGTGCTATGCACTGATGCCACTAATTTAGCCACTGTAATCCACTCTCTAAATTGTCGGTTGTGGCACGTTAATGGCTGGTCAGAGCATGAATTAGTACGTAACGAAGAATCTATTGATGAAGGAACTACTACGTACTTCCTTGTTCCTTGCTGATGGCTCCTCTTCGCTATGCTTTTCGTGGCAAGACATGCGAATGGATGAGACGAGTTCTACAAGATGGAGTTTGTGGGATCATTATTTGTAATTTGGTGGGCTTGTGGCTATAGACATAATTGTCTTGAGGTGCAGGGTTTATTATGAACGCTGCCACCAACCATTTTGGTGCAATTTTGCTGACTCAATATTGTTAGTCACCATTCTTCCCCGCCCGGGATCGGATAAGATTTGTTGACTGACTACTGCATCTGGATCTGTGAGTCAAAGTAACTGCACGCTATGTAAACCTCACGCCTGTTAGGCATTTTGAATAGCATTTCTTCAATCAAAATCTTCATGATCAGTGATAATGACTTCTCACGACGAAGAGGCCCGGAATGAAGCGGCGCCATTGCTGCAAACCGATCAAGACAGATCTGTCGCAGAATGGCCTACAAACGACTGGTGGTCTGAGCTGTCGCTCATAACACGCTATACAGCCCCTCTAGTCGCAACATATCTACTTCAATACTCATTCAGCGTTATCACAACAACAGCAGCTGGTCATCTCAGCCCCGATGACTTGGCAGCCGCTGCAATTGGCGTCACGACCATGAACATCGCTGGTCTCGCCCTCTACGAAGGAATGGCAACAGCTCTCGATACTCTCTGCGCGCAAGCATATGGCGCTGGAAACAAGACAGGTGTTGGCTTACATGTTCAGCGCATGCTTCTTCTCATGACAGTCTTTACTGTCCCTGTTGCTGCTGTTTGGATATGTTCTCCTGCATTCTTGACTCTCATCCTCAAGCAAGAACACCTGGCCGTCAAAGCGGGTTCATTTCTTCGAGTCAGCATACTAGGTATCCCCGGCTATGCCTCATTCGAAGCTCTGAAGCGCTTCCTACAAGCCCAAGGCGACTTCAACACCGGCATGGCAGTCTTAGTCATCTGCGCCCCCATAAACGCCCTCCTCAGCTGGCTCTTCGCCTTCAAACTCAACCTAGGTCTCGAAGGAGCCGCTCTCGGTGCAGCAGTAGCCAACACCCTCCGCCCAACCCTCCTCCTCATCTGCATCTTCTTCAAAAAGTCAACCCACGAATGTTGGCCTGGCTTTACACGTCGTGCCCTACAGGGCTGGGGACCCATGGTTCGGTTATCTGCCGCCGGTTCGGCTGTCACGTTGGCGGAGTGGGCTGCGTTTGAGATCATCACCGTTAGCACGTCATACATGAGCACGATTCATCTCGCTGCACAGACGATTTTGACTACTACTTCGATAGTCATGTGGCATATTCCTTTTTCGCTTGGTGTTGCTGTTAGTACGAGGATTGGGCATTTGATCGGCGGTGGACATGTGGCTGCTGCGAGACGGATTACGATTCTTTATGGGACCATGTTTGTTGTTTTGGGATTATTCGATGGTGCTGTTTTGTTCTCGTTGAGGAATTACATTGGACCTTTCTATGCGAGCGATGAGGAGGTTCGACGGATTGTTACGAATACTATGCTTGCTGTGGCGGGCTTCCAAGTGCTGGACTCTATTGTTTGCGGATGCAATGGCGTCCTTCGTGGTTTGGCGAAACAGTCTGTGTCAGCATGGGTTGTCTTCATCGTCAACTACTTTGCTGCTGTTCCCATTGCGGTCTGGCTAGAACTAGGGCCTTGGAACCTGGGTCTGAATGGTGTTTGGTCTGGAATGATAGGTGGTTCTGGTGTTATTGCTATTATTGAAGTGATATATATGATCAAAGTCGACTGGAGAAGTTCAGTCGAGATAGTCAAGTCAAGAGAGGATTAGCTTCTCGACTTCACAATACAGCATCAACACAATTCTTCCAGCATCTCATTTAAAGCATCTTGGAGTCACTGTACGAGCCTCGATGCTGTGTCATAATGCAAAGTCCGAAACCGGGCGTCATAGTAACAGTTCAGCAGCCCATGATCGGCATGATTCGTTGTTTCCTCACTCCTCATACTCGCCACTTCTCTCAGTAAGCTTTCATCTAATCACGCGACCCATTTCTGTAATTTGATCGTCGTTATGTCCACGTGGTCCATAACCGTTCCCAAACCGTTCGGGAATCATCGTCATCGGTGACAGATCCTTGGGTCGGGGCCGTGGGGTTCTCAACCTCGTCAATCTTCCGATCTGCATTAGCAACCTAGTACATAGGCCCAACAAGAAAACAACCGTGATACTTGTGTGTTGGCATCATTCGCACGAGTGACTCCTCGGGCCAAAGGAACAAAGTGCAAATCGACCCCGCTCGATTACATGCTAAAAGGCGTAGTCATTCTGCATATTTGACTCCGTCATCTTTTAGCATTGCCCCGAGATTACCCATTGGCTTTGCTGGTCAACTTCCAAATCAGGACATGAGGGTTGCTTAAAGTGCAAATGTTCACAGCCAGCCATTGTTTCCCCCGTCAGACAGCCTCGAAACCATTTTCGAAGTAGAAAAACATGGGTAAAAATGTAGATGCGTGTTACCTTCTCCTTTGGGCCTCTGCGCTGTCTCTTTTCGCACTTTCGTATTCTCGAAGACAACAAATCTCAGGTCCCTAGATTGCACAAGATTTATTCTTTTTGATGGTCAAACCTTCAATGCATTATAGAGTCACTGAGCTGTAACAGCCCCCGCCAATCAATATAAGCTTAAAACAAGGCGGTCCCTTTTAGCCCTAAGCAATGAGCTGGCATTGTTGTTGTTAGCGCCGGAGTCGCTGAGTTGTCCACGAGTACGGACCGATAGCTCATCATATCAAGCTACGATGATCGCACATTTCATATTGAAATTCGCCCCCTTCGGTCCCGTCAAACTCTAATGACTTTCTCGAAGGCGACCATCACTAACAACCGGCGGTAGTTTTCGCACTTATTCTCTCACGTGTACATGTCATGTGCCCATGGCAAAGCCCTTCCATGAGGGGTTGGAGGTTTGAGATTATCGTGGAATGCGGAAAGAGAACATCATTGTGCATTTGGGTAATTTGACTATAAAACGGCATTGTTGTCCGTGTATTGTCACGGCAATACTTCAGCAGCAAAAATGACCATCGTCAAATTCTTAAGGACTGTTTTCAATTCTCCACAATCATATTCACGATGACTTCACATGATTATACTACACTTATAAGCTACAACGGTCAGTGATCGAGGATACCCGCCTGCCTTGACTCTTCACTTATTTTTGAAACACATTAGGCAAAATGGGCACTGTCACTTCGCAACCGCCTAAAAGATCTGGTTCAATGCATGTTGAGCCTTCAATCAGCTCGGTCACGCTGACTCACAACAGCCAGCAGCCAGATAGACCGAGACCAGTAACAAGGCCTCGCAGAAGAGAGTCTATGGACCAGTATTTGATCGGCGTTGGAGCATGGGCTGCAACCCGCGCAATGTCGGCCGCCTAGAGCGTTATCGTTCAACTGAAACTTTTTGGAGTCAATGGCGTTACGTCACTCGTTTATTCTGGATATTGGCGTTAGGAATTGGGTGATATAGATTCGTTTCAGACATACCTGCGGTATCGAGAGTAGTCAAACAGGATACTCACTGCAGGTCAAATACGTGAGCATATCACAGCACTTGTTTAGTGTTTTAGATAGATTGATCAAAGCCTATTATTTCTTTACCGGTCATAAGATCCTAGCCATCAGTGAAATCATATCAAGAATAACCAAAGTTAGAAGGAAATAATCATTGAAACTATCATCTTACCAATATCAGACTAAGTTCAAGGAGATGAAGATCAAGTGGCGGCTTACGGCCATGTGACACAGCTGCCCGAGATCCGCCGAACGGTGGTGAAGATCTCATCCACGATGAAACACCATGTCTCAGCGGAACAGACATTTACATATTTGCCTAATCAACCATTGGCCATACTTTATCCAAGCAAGGCAGCCTTAACATTCCCCTCTACTGAATGCCAATCAATAAGATTGCACTTCGCCTTACTCTTTGGAGTGCTCCAAACTGCATTTTATATAATCCTCTGCTGAATCGGGCAACTCACTTGATACTTTCGAAAGGTTAATGAATGCGAGGGTTTAAACGAAGCTACAGCGTACTTCTGCCAATGACTATGCGTCTCAGCGCTGTGTAAGCGTAGTAGCACTTATACACCTTGAAGTCCAATCAGGCCGCTTTTCTTTCTTTGTTTGAGGGGCTATGTCGGGCCGCAATTATGCCTATTTTAGGATACAAACACTGAGCCAGGCTCAGTCCAGCATCTGACAAATGGCTTTATAAGTAGCTGAAAGTCTTGGTGTCAGCTTTGAGAAACGATACCTAGGTTGGTCACTGCGGTAGGGGTATAAATATTGTATCTTGACAATGCAAGAGCCACGTGATCCCTACCACCAAGTCATTCTTTTCTTCCTTGTTCCTTATTTTCTGTCTTTGCCGCCCTTTCATCATACCAATAAGCAATCATCCAAGGCCACGCTATGGCGGAAGCATTTGGTATCGCTGGCAGTGCCTTCGGCACTGTTTCTTTGGGTTTGCAATTATTTAAAGAAATTTCGCAATATCTCGATGACATCGATGGCCGCGAAGAAGATCTCGAGCAAGCGCGAAATCACGCGACGAACATCCAACTCTCTCACAATGCACTGGATGTTGCTATATCTAACTCACCTACTAACGATCCCAATACAAAAAATGTGATCGATTCATGCAAGGCCTCATGCATTGCCGCGGTGAACAATTTGTTGGCAGTTGTGACAGAGCTCAGGGGCCCAACAACATCTGTGCCAAACAGTCACGCTGCCAGGGCTAAAGAGCTTTGCGCCAAATTGAAGTACCCATTCAAGAAGCAGAATATGGAAAGTCTTGAGGAGCATTTGTCGCGTACAAATAGTGCCCTACAAACCATATTGCATGTCTTTCAGCTGTATGTCATAACTATTACTTTTCGTCCTTCTAAATGCCATATTATATATTAATATTTATACTTAACAAAGCAACACTGGCCATGCAACGACTACCGCTATTGTTAGCATGCAGCAGGCTGTGACCGATGTTAATGTAATATCGGAGAAGAACAGAGCAGTTCTGGATAAAATGGATAAAATATCCCGGCTTCATGATAACAGGCTTGATACTATCCAACAAGGCCTCAGGGAACTTTTGATCCTCACACAAGATTCCGGCGAGTCGAAACGCTTGATGCGGACGATGGCCCAGCAAATCTCAGACCTCAACTCCCACATGAGTGTCTCAGCCAATTTGCAGCAGGACCAAGCATCTAGTTCTTCCGTACCAAGTATACACACGACAAGTTACCGAGGTAGTGGTAGCATGACATTTGATGCCTTTTGTTCTTGCAAAACACAGCGAACACGATATAGTCAACATCGTTGGGGGCCTTTCGTTCTCGAAGCCGAAATCAAATCAAGAGACCACCATGCCCCTGAATGCCCAATGTCAAAGCTTCCTGCAGCAACAGGTCAGACGAAGCGCGTATTAAACTTCTCCGTTCCCGCAATTTAGAATTGCTGGGGAAAGGCTAGTAAAGTCTCGCTGTCTTACACGAAAGGTGCAGGCATACTAGGGTTCGGTCAGACAGTGGCCTGGATTGCGACTGTAGATGAGAAATCATCTCCGGTGTTCCGAATTGTGGAAAAGATCGGTTTATATGATGAATTGCCACGCAAGGATATGAATACGCTGTTAGCTTCATGCTTCAGACGACTGGTCTGGTGTTACGCTAACTACCATGCTTCTCCCACGGATGTCAATGAGAACTGTGATTCAGTACTCGAGTGGGCATTAGACAAGTATCAGGTAGGATATGAGTACCTGAATAATGATTTCCGCTCTAACTGAATTTACTATAGTTGCAAGGATGGTCTTCGTCGGAGAGCGATAACCTGGCAGAACTATTTCATATGCTTGTTGCTGTCACTAAACCTGCAACTTGTAGACGCAGGAGCACATCGTAAGTTAATACAAACTCAACATTAACATATACGTGGAATTGCTGCTCATGTCTACGGACGTAGTAAACCTATCCCTGTTTTAGTAGCCAGAAGTTTTTGGTTTTCCCGCTGTACAAAGCCTAACGAAGTTACAAAGGCTCTGTTATCGAAATACAATGAATCGGTGGGCCATCGTCACCCTGACTAGGGACTATCGTGGTGGCGAGATGAAAACTATGAAAATGCTGAATATGGGCTGTTCCAAAGTTTTCCACAAGTGGCCGAAAGTAAGTCGCAGCATGACCAAGACCAATTCCACCATTATTAATCCAGGCAGGCCTAGAGTTTGGTCCACTAACTCAGGCTGTTCTCAAACAAGATCTGAAGAGAGTCCGACAGTTATTGGAGACATACCCATCGTATATCAACGAAATGAATTACTGCGGCCAGTCCCCCGTTCATCTTGCCATTGAGACGCAGAATCTCGCTGTTATAAGTGTTATCCTTGACTATACAGACGCTGAAGTTCTTCACACTATAGACAACAGGGGCCGTTATCCCATCGATTATGCGACAAGACCGGGCAACCATACTAAGGGGGCTCAAGTAGACTGCGGCGGCTGCAAAGTGCTTGAATTGCTTCTTCAATCAGATACGGCGCTTTTCCCTGCCTCGTTACTGCTCGACTTAAAGCCGTCACGTAACTGTATACAGGGTCATAAGATCCTTGTTAAAGGTCTAGCTGAAAGGAGAGAAAAGCTAAAACAACTCGCATACCAAACACTTTCTCCAGCTGAAAGGCAAGGCCTACAAATTCATCCAGCGAGGATCCTAGACCAAAATGCTACACGGGTACAGCACCAACTTGAAGCTCGAGGTTGCCCCATCCCAATGTCCCTCAAGGGGTACGCAGAAAACACTGGATCATCACGCGTCCAGAAATCGATTTACTCACATATTTATAGCGGCGAGGTCGCTGAATATGCCCACCAGTCAGGTTTCCACTACTCTGACAACGAACTTGCAGACTTTGTCTCCATCTTAGCTACTCGTATGAGCAGTGTTTCTGTACACGAGTATCGATACATCAACAATCCGTTTTCCTTTTCATATTTCTGCTGGATGATTGACCATTGCACGAGCGTCTCATCAAGGATTCCTGCCGGACAATTGCCAAGCCCGCACATAGAAGTGACCCCTGCTCACTATTTTATGGGCAGCTTGGGCGCATCGGCCAACCGTACCCGAGGATGGACCCCGGACTGCTCATTAACACTAGCAGCTCTTGAGATCGCATTTTCTGAGACCAATGTCGACAGATGTCGCTGCTGGTGTTCTCCAGGGGGGTGCATTCCTCTGGTCAAGCTTTTGGAGGGGATATGTTGGTCCAAGAGGCCCATCACATTCTCATCAGGACGAAGTCTTTCCCAAGCAACAGAAGAAGTGATAACTGGTCTATTCTCTGCACATATGGGTAAAATCAGCGAATACAAATGGATCTATGTGGCCATTATACGACACTATACGTCTGTTATGCTGGGTCTGCGTCACGCTTGCTGCTCCATCATTGAGAATGCTTCAGGTCCCTTACCAGAAGAGGAGTACCGGGAAATTGAAGAGGAAGATTCTCTCCTACTTGGATTGTTAGAGGGTCTCCTTACAGAGTTTGAATGCGAGCGTCGCCGCGACATGAGATTGGAAGACTTTTTTGCATGGATGCGAAGCGTTTGGGCTCCAAGAATGCGGGAGGTTGGGCAGGAACTTGCTTCTCAAAGGCTCACAGACCAGCAACTCCAAGACGCCGAAGCCATTGGGGTAGTTTTGAGAGTTCATGGGCCTCCACCAATGGGTTCGGGTTCAAATTCACGGGTTGTTGAACTGACAGAAGGTGATATATGGGATGCTATGGACGAACTGGACAAGATTGCTACAGATCCGGAGAGGCCTACGAAGGGAAGTCTAGAGACCCGTACTTGAACAGAGATCGATTTTTACTTTACTGAATTTCTATGGCCAAATATCTTTACTGCCCAAAGGCGTCTTTTGCTCCCAGATAAATATGGTCAGCCTCATCTGTCGCAAGTTTTGATGTGTTGACGTAATACTGGTTCTGATCACGCAATTGGCTAAAATACCTACGACACCAAGCTTTTTCCCTCATTATCAACTTCAACCTCTTCAACACAACGCCATCCTTGAAAATGACCGAAAGCAACAGTCTGCGACCGATTTTAGATCACATTGTGATTCTTGTGTCCTATCAGACTCTCCAGCAACTTCCAAAGCGATTGGAGAGTGTCCTCACTGTAATTGATGGCGGGGCTCATGCAGATGGCCGCACAGTAAACAAACTTATCGAATTTTCCGACGGAGTCTATATTGAACTCATTGCTTTTCAAGACGGCATAGATCCTGAAAGGCGCAAGGCGCATAGGTGGGGAGAGCTAGAGGAGAACACCCTCGTCGACTGGGCGTATACCCTTCCCGATGAAAAGGACTTCGGGGTGATTCAACAACGGGTCAAGGACGCGAACTCTGAGATTATCTACCACGATCCTGTCCCTGGCGGTCGCATCAGGCCTGACGGCGTTGAGTTGAAGTGGTCTGTTGCTTCGGCATATACTGCTTCCGGCAAGGCGGTGCATCCAGGTAAAGCACCATTCTGGTGTCTTGATCGCACACCGAGACATCTGCGTGTACCTTACAAGGAAGATGATGGTTCTGAGCCCTCTTATACAAAGCATACTTCCGGTGCGATTGGGGTCTCTGGAGTCTCTATCTCAGTGCCCAAGGAGGAACGCCATGTGATTGCGGGGGTATATAACGGCATTCATGGGTCTAATACGGAGCAGGGGACATGGCCTTTCGTTGTTCACTCTGGTTCTAGGAATGGAAAGCAAGCAATCACACTGGAGATCAGCCAGGATCAGAAAAGGCACATTCATCTCACTCTTGTCGGTGACAAGAGCAGCCCTGAAAGTATCGAGATTCTGCCTGGCTTGAAGTTTAGCTTTGAGTCTTGGAAATTCCCTCAAAGAACGTAAGGTACTTCTGCAGCTAGCAGTCATCAGGCAGTGGAATATCAATGTACGTGTTTACTTCACCAGAAAACAAGACCAACAGTACTTCTCAAAAGTCCCCATATTGCTTTATCACCCCCCACGTTCTGCGCATACAGAAACGTATATGGCTCTGTTCACTTTTTGCCCTATACACGGCCGATTTGTGAATCTCGATTATGAACTGCAATGGCCAACCAATAGCACTGATCCAAATGGGTGAGAAAACCACGAAGTATCCAACAAGGCCTAAGTCCACTCCGCTCAATTTTCCAGGCGTTTTTTATATCAGGCCAGGACTGTGGAACTGCCAGTCTACGTGATCGTGCTGTGCTGCTCATCAGAAAGAATTGGAGAATTGGGTCTGCTGTCCATGCTGAAAACAACACAGGTTGCTAAATAGGCTCTGATCAACTTAGGCCAAGACCGTTACAACCTTCGATGCTTGTTTGTCATTGGACATCAGTTCAAAAACCTTCCTTATGCAGCATTCCATTGCGGTGTGAGAAATTAAACTCTGCTATCATCATGAGGTTCAAACGTTGATATACGTATTATGTTCATGTAAGCTGACACAGTCTGCTATTTCTTGAACTTCCATTTCAGGAAGTTCCTGGCGCTTTGTCATGTCTCGGACGAGGATCTGCAATGGCATTGGAGTCAGCTTCTTAGTAAACGGTTATCTTGATTGGATAGGCTCACAAGGCTATGCAAGGAGGATCTGCAAGCAAAGGAGGTCATGGGAAGTATGCTTAAACTAGCTCCAATAAATCACTCCACCGTTCGCTTCCTGACATTCCCTTTGGACCCCATAATGAAACAAGAGGCTTCTCAATCAGGCGTTGATGTCGGCCCTTCCGTGTTAATCCGAGGAGCCTTGATCAAATACAATGAGTTGTACAGCAGACAAAATTTGGCGTTCCATTACCTATAAAAGGAACTTGATTCTCTCGAGAGAAGCAACCAGCATCAAATCGCTCGCAATCTCAATTTCAACCACCTATTAAGCAAACAAAACAGGCACTTAGCTGTTATCATCAGTATGAAGGTTATTTACACCGCTCTCTTTGCTCTCGCTGCCACAGCTGTCAACGCCTGCGACAGTACCCTTTGCGGGGGAGCTACTGTTCTTCGAGTTGTTCCTTGTACCAAGGAGTGCATGGGACGACCATGCCACCTTTATGAATGCCCTAAGAGCCCCTACACTGTAAGATAATCTTCAAGTAGTCTCAGAGGTCTCAAAAGCTGACTATGGTTGTAGTACATTTGCGGAAAGGACAAGACCAAGTGTGACGAGATTTGGTAAACAACATCTGGAAAGGATCGTCCTTGAGAATGTTTGCTTGGGAGAGTATAACTCGAGAGAGTAAGGAGTGATTCGAGTCGAAGAATATTGGGATTCTGCAGACCAACTCTTAGTCGTTCTTTATATCGTGATCACGAGAATTTGAGAAATAAATTTATAACCGCCGCAGACTTCCGCATAAACGCTTTGTGAATAAGCCTACTTGGTCCAGATTTCTAGATGCCAATTATTAACACAGTTGTCATCTTCCAATTCGCGCGGTAGAGGATGGTAGTTTCAGCCACAGAGGTATCAACGGCGAACCATCGGAATCTCGCCATTGAAGGTTCCCGAACATCGGTACTCGGTGTTGAACAAGTGCGGAGAGGATGTTGCGATACTTCGTAATGACGGCATGATGATGTCAGCTAAAACGGTCTCACAATAGGTAATCAACAACGTCACCATCCGAGCTTCAACATCAAAACGAAACATCTCATCATTCAAAGCATTCATTTCTCGATTGCCCACCCGTATCAGCTCTCTACGGTTACTGTACGTGCTTGAATCGGGTCTTCTTGCACGCCAACTTCGCACTGACTCGCCGCGATTAGACTCGTCAATCATCCCCAAATTCAGAAAAGATGGTGCACAACATTCGAACGTCAGTTCCCCCTCGGCCCCAGGCAATATCGCTGATAGTGACATTTACCAGAAAGGACGAGTTCCACGATGCTCTGAAGAAGTATCCCATTGTCGTCGTGGACTTTTACTCCACGCATAGCGCCGAGTCAAAGCACATTGCCGCCACATTCGCCCAGTGAGTTTCAACATACCCTTCCTACGATCTTGACTGACAAAAAATAGCGCGTACGAGTTGGACAAGTTCAAGGACTTCCGATTCGTCAAGGTCGACATCGATGACCTGAAGAGTCTCGCGGAGGAGGTCGGTGTTTCGCAACCTGCGACATTCCACATGTACAAGAATGGGGAGAAGATCAATGATCTACAGAGTGACCAGAAGGAGGACCTGATTCAATTCTTGGAGACTGGTCTGTAATGGCTTGATTGGAAAAAAGGATGCTTGACGAAACGATGCGGCTTCGAAGTGGTAGCGCAAGGCTCCGTCCAATTCGATGATTATACGCTGTCTATTATAAGCATTTTACAGTTGTGCATTCTTCTAGTGAGGAACTCGTTGGCGTGAAATAAAATTAGGGGCTCGGGTTGGTGTTCGTACAGAGTGCGTTGCCCCAAGCCTGTAGTGACCGTTGCTCTGAAAACGGGGTAACTCAACGCTACACAAAGTCAAACCCAACTCTAAATCATCTCCCGAACCTGCGGCACAGATATATATCTATATTATTTCCAAGCATAGCTAGAGAAGTATTAATATCCAGGTCAATGCCCCGGAGAGACATTAGCAGAATCAGCTGGTCAAGTGACATGTCGTCTTTGTCAGCATACCCCACTACGTCATTGAAACATCTCCACTGAACGGGTCTTTTACCCCTTGGCATCTCATCGTCAACATGGCGCATCCAGAGCAAACCAACAAAGGCCGCGTTGTCGGCGACTTATCATGTCAATCAGATTCATACCTCAAGACTCTCGACACAGAAGTAATCTCATGCGAAAAGGCGCCGAAACATGCGCACAAGTCAAAGAAGAGCAGTAGACATTCTCATTCGCATGATGAGTGGTTAATCGAGTGTGCGGACTCGGTGCTGTTTCCAGAAGGTTTTACACTTCTCCTTTTCAAAGCTCGAGACGAGTTTACTAACAGGAGATTAGGTGGCGGTCAACCTTCGGATCATGGCACAATTACGCCCCTCTCAGGCTCAGATCAAACCCCAATCCCCATCAAGAACGCTCAGCGCCAAGGTCTCCGCTGCATAATCTACTCCCCTAAACCCCTATCCCCAGGTGACAGAATCCGTCAAGAAGTAGACTGGAAGCGAAGATGGGATCACATGCAGCAACATACCGGTCAACATCTTCTCTCCGCCGTGATGCAGAACCGTCATGATCTCAAGACTCTCGGTTGGGGAATGGGCGCTGCAGATACTATGAATTACGTTGACTTGCAGCGGAAACCAACGGAGGAGGAGATGCAGGCTATTCAGAATGAGTGTGCAGAGTTGATTCGTGAGAATTTGCCGATTCGGGTTGAGACGCCGGATGATGCGAAGCATGATAAACTTCCTGGTGATTATGATAAGTCTGATGGTGTTGTGCGCGTTATTCACATTGGTGATCTTGATACAAACACGTGAGTCTACGCTCCTTGTTTTCGCTCGAAATTGACTATTAAATGCCACAGATGTTGCGGAACTCACCTCTCCCAAACATCACACATCTCCCTTATAATCCTCGGCTCAACACAATCCGTCCACGGAAAGAACTGTCGTCTTTCCTTCATAACTGGCGATCGAGCCATCAACCTCGCCACATCCTCCGTCAACGCCATCAGCTCCATCGCAAAGCTCCTCTCGTCCAGCAACGTCCCCAGCGAAGTGGTTTCCCGAACAACAGCTCTTTCAGATACAGTCACCGAGTTAAAACGATCTGAGCGCAAGCTTTTACTTGAAGTCGCAAAGTTTGAAAGCGAGCAGGCTATTAGAATCATTGTGCAGAACAGGATGAATGCGTATATTCATCGATATGATGGGAATACAGATTTTATTAATAAGATTGTTGGGGAGACGAGGGACGTTCTCCAAGGAACAGGTTTTGTAGTTGTCATTGCTATTGGGGAACCGAAGGGTAGTGGACCGGTTGTTATTGTCGGTGATCAAGTTGCTGTTGATGCGATGGCGCAGAAGGTCAAGGCTGCCATCAAGGATATCAAAGGCGGAGGAGCGGGGGGTAAATGGCAAGGCAAGGTGAAGGAGTGGACGAATGCGCAACTTCTGGCGTTGAAAGAGGTCGTCGAGTCGTGAGACTGCGGTCTATTGTCTAGATCTATGGAACTCTATGTATCTCATCCTAAAGAAACAAGTAGACCAATCTTCATCCTCTATCATCCCTTCTCCCCAACTAGATCAGCTCCAAAGGCTTTGGCCCAACAACCCGGTTCAGCTGATACCCACGTCGCTTCGGCTTCATTTGTGTCTGCTCAAACGCCTTTCGAATGTGTCCAACATCAATAGCCGGTCGCTGCGGGTTCGACATGATGAACAGTCCCTGCCTTCTAGCCTGTATAGCTGCAGCCACCTCGTCGTTGCCCCCCTTGGTCGTCAGTTCCTGGGCTTGAATGGACAAGGCGATATCGGTCAGGCGCTTAACCATTTCCACGGCAATAGAGCCCAGAATCTCAACCGCGTCGTCCTTCTTTCTGAGATCCGCGACGACTCCGATGCAGGCCCACTCTCGGAACTTGGCTTCTTTGGCACGGTGGAATGAAGCCTTGCGGTAGGAGCACCATTTGTTGTACTCTTCCTTCGACATCTTGCTGGTTACCTCGTCGGCCCAGATAAGTCTCTCGCGGGTGTGTTCGCTGATCTGGACGGCATCAGCGTCTCCGTCGGGTGGTCGAATGCCGAACATGAACTCCTCGTCCCACGGCATGAGAGCAGCCGAGGGCTCAACAGTCTTCTTGGCAGTGTCTTCAGCAGCGTTGTCGGTGTCAGAGAGACTATCTTCGGCATCGTTCTCAGGCTTGTCCTTTTCATCTGTTGTCTTTTTCGCTTCCTTGCGAAGTCTTTTCCACCTGATGACATTCTGAAGACGAGTCATCCGGGCGGTATCATGCCGAACCTGAAAGAGGATGTCCTTTACCGCGATGAACTTCTCACCGCGCCGGGTGGCGAGCTCTTTCGCCTTGGTCAACTGTTTATGTATTAGCTTTGATATCTCGGGGATGGAGTTGGAGCGCTTACCAGATGGATGATTTGATCTCGCACAATCTGCTCGACAAGGGCGGCGGTTTCGTTGGCGATATCCTGCGTCTCACCGGCGACGAACATCATCTGCAAAGATTAGCAAGCGCACGATAAGAGATGAGATTAATACCTACCTGCTGAACTTCATTGTTGAACTTGGGTTCAAAAGTAGCCATGATGGGCAGCGCACTCGAGGTAGTGCTTCGAGACTGGCGTTCGGTATCAGGTCGGGGGAGATGAGGCGAGAATGTATGTCGGTATGCTTGGGTGAAAAGAGAAGACCCGTTTCGCTTCATAGGACTTTGATTTATCACTTTTTAGAGCGCGTCTCTGTTCATGGCTTCCCTTTGTGATGCACAGTGGAAGATCGAAGTCACGAGGGTTGGTGGGGAGCTCTGACCATTATTTTGAACAAAGAGGCAGCACTGCTCGACGCAGCTAAAAGAAGAACAGACGCAGGGACTTTTTATTGTTCCCGAGTATCCTTTGTCAGTGCTATTGCTACGAGAAAGCCTTCTCCACGGCGAACCTATTGTCCTCGAAACAATTGAACATCAACGAATTACTGAACATCATCATTTGACATTTACCGTAATGCTGTGGACATGGTTGCGTCTTCCCGTCAAAGGCTGCTTCATCCCACTTTCAGACGTCGCCCGAGCAATCAGTTTCCAAACCCCAGGCTCGAGCTCAACAGCCGCGGTGAACTTTTGCCAAGCCTGCTCTTCTTTATCCTCAACCTTCCCTCGAACCCAGCTCTGTCCTTGATCTTTGCTAACTTCTACCAGTGCTACACCTTCATGACTCCAAGCCCATCCTTCGACCGTTACCAAGCCTGCACAGATGACTGCTGAGTCCTCGGGCTTCGTCATCATCGAGTTAACTTCGACTTCCCATACCGGCCGCATCCTCACTCCTTCAGGGTCCGTTGGGTCTTTCTCGTTATATAGAATAGAAGCGAAAGGACCAGGTGCGCGAGTCTCCTGTAGCGAAAGCCTACAAAGCCACTTTGTCGAGTTCGTGCCGAACCAGCCAGGGACAACAATTCTCACCGGGCCCCCTCGCTCTTTACTGAGTGGCTCTCCGTTAATCTTCCATGCCAGAAGGACCTCAGGCCTTTGCGCCTTTGTTACTGGTAAGTCTTTCTGATAGCGGTCTGCTTCGTACTCAAAGAACTTTCCATGATCGAGACCTTCTGACCAGACAAAGCGCGCTTGAGGCAGTGGCTCAGCGAGAGCTAGGATAGTAGACAGCCGAACACCAGTCCATAAGACATTGCCGATGCGCCATGGGTTACTAGTTGGCGGTTTCAGAGGACTTCCATAACATTCGTGAAAGGACGTAACGGAAGTCTGAGGTAACGCCTTGAGTTGTGCCAAAGAGAGAGAGAATGGGTTTCGGACAAGGCCATCGACTACTAGTAACCACTTTTCGGCATCTACTACAGCAGCGCCCATATGTATCGTTTGGAATAGTTTGGCGTCGGGCGTTATAAAGGACGATAAATGGTGAGGTGTCGGCGGAGGGCGCAGGAAGAAACCTTCGGGATGAATGGATGTACAAGCCTCTCTTTCAACGCCAACTGGGGGTATTTGAGAAACAGCATGTCCTACTGGCTTTGTGACTGATAAATCCATTGTCAAAGTACATGGACAATGAGAAGTGATTCGAGTGTTCGCTGAACGATGTAGTCCCAAGGTGAGATGTCTAGCGGGTTCTCATCCGCGCTCCACAACGCTCCAACTACCGAACTTCAGCAAACCCCATCTTCTTAGATCTTGATTTTGGCCCCGAACTCTAACAACAAGCATCACGTGCAGCAATGCCTGATTCGGTCTGGTGGTCTAGTGGTATGATTCTCGCTTAGGGCAAACCCTACAGCTTAGCTTGCGAGAGGTCCCGGGTTCAATCCCCGGCCAGACCCTTCCTTTTGCTGTAGAAGCCTTCAATGTGCTGAAGGGGCGATTATTTTTGCTCCTGGATGAGGTTGGAATGGCGGGATGCGAGCATGTTGTGAACTCGGTGCTTGCATTTCTTTGGTTGAGGCACTGATAAGATAAGCTATCTTATCGTGAAACTCTACTACCCGGGACGTATTATTCAGCTGCAATAAATACTACTTATGCATGTCTTGAGTAGAAGTATTCCTCTGTTATTGGAATTCAGATCTCTTCTTGTTCCTGCTATTCTGCCCGTTAGCCTCACATCTCAAGACTTGGCATCGTGTTTACTCCGATACGTGTTTGCCTGTTCCGACGCAACATTGCATATTTGCGACATCATGAATCGCCTACAATTCATCACACATAACAATCTAATTTAAATATCCTCCACAGCGGTAATTCTGGCCTAATTTGTTTTATATCGGCTACAGCTATGCAAGAAAACACAGCAGCCATCTCCCCTCGAAATCAACTGTCACCCAATTCGCACTCGCCTCTCAACCAATCAGAGCCACGCCCGGTTAGCTCAATCGGTAGAGCGTGAGACTCTTACGAGTACGCGATCTCAAGGTTGCGGGTTCGACCCCCGCATCGGGCTGTTCCTATAAACGATTGCGAGCAATAGCGAGGCATCTCTCTTTTTTGCATTTTTACTCTACTCTCCTGGTACCTCAACGCCAGAAACTGACTTGCATATCTCGAGCAACTCTTCCTGCTTGCTCACATTATCCGCTCCAGGATGAGGTCTGCTCTCTCCACTCGTTGTAACGAATGCACCAGATGTAATTTTTGTCAGAGATCCTTCTCCAGCGACCCAGCTTGCCAATGCTGTGGCTGGTTCGCTCAACTGAACTGGTGCTGAGCTTCCTCCCATTTTGGTCTTTACCCAGCCAGGATGCATGCTGAGAACTTGGATGTCGGTCCAGCGTCGTGCAAATGCTTTTGCGAGCATTGTGTCATGAAGCTTGGTGTTGTGTGGCGTTCCTAAGAGTCTCATCACCACTGTAGTGACTATCCGAACTCATGAACAAGAGCCTGCTCTTTGGCTTATCCATGAGACATGTGAGGATGTAAGGCGCGAGGGTGTTCACAGCAAACACGGCTGAAATCTTGTCCGAAGTCATTTCCCTTGATGCCGTCGAGCCATAGCCGATGCCTGCGTTGTGTACGACGACATCAAATGGCCCAGCGTTGTTTGCGTCTTTGGCGAGCTTCTTCGTCTCGTCAATTGATGATAAATTGCCGACAAGGACGGCTGCGGCATTGGGAATGGCCGCTTTGGCTGAAGCGGCGCGGTCGGCATTTCGGGCGTGGAGAACGACGTGGTGGCCTTGTTCTGCGAGGAGCTTTGCGGCCGCTTGGCCAATGCCGTCTGTCGAACCTGTGATGAATACGCGAACCATTTTGATGTTTTGTGACCCTATTGAAACGAGGATGCGATAAGTTGCGAGAGGTCTGAAGCAGGAGCTGTTACGCCTTCGTACTTTTCACCATTGCATGATATCATAAAGCTCGAAGCTGGTTACGTCATCAACTCCAGCATCCGTCACTTACGCAAACTCTACGTACCAAAGAAAAGAACCTGGTTCTGGAAAAAAGCGGAACGGTTCTGCAAATATTGATAAAATTAGATGTTATTCGATTCTCATCCATGAGGATGCAAGGAAAATGAATGACCTGAATTGTTACAAGCCTCGTGTTCGTGTTCTAGAAAACGCGGGGGCGGAACTATAGCGCCAGTAGTCTGTGACTAGATGCCTGCTCGTGTCTACCGATCGGACATTGATCAGTTTATTTAGGTTACTGGCTAATACCCTCGGTTCGGACCTTGAGGAGTATTAACTTCACCAGAGGTGACCAGCAAGCTACCGATGACCTCCATCTTCGGCGACGGACGCCGATGCCGAAATGCGGAGGTTACATGCTCTTTTTCCCCAGCTGATCTTCATGGTCATCTACCAGAAGAAGCAATTGACTAGACCGTCATGATCTTGTTGTCGGTCTATAAGTTTGCCGAAACCCCTCTTGTAATTTGCCGACGAGATGTATAAATATGTTCTGATATTTGGTGAGGCCATCCCAAAACCGGGATAACTCGACCCGATCACTTCGCACACGATGGCCTCGTCAATGAGTAAGAAGCTCTTATACCTGGCAACACTGGCTGTGTCTCCGGCGATTGCAACGGAACATTCCAAATGTTCAGCGAAAAGCCTATTCATTCCTAATGGGACCATCGCCTCAGTCCAGCACCACTCCCTCGGCGATGTTATTCCACTACCAAACACAGTATCATCATGCGGAGGTCCAAGTTTCAAAGCCAACATTACAGCAAACCTCTGCAGAGTTGTTATCAATGTCTCAACGAGTGACTCTAGCTCAGTTCGTATCGAGGCGTGGCTTCCGGACGATTGGAACAAACGTCTACTGGCAACAGGTACGGGCGGAATCGGAGGATGTATCGACTTCCCAACTGTTCAGAATGGAGCTCAATTGGGCTTCGCCAGCTTCGGAACCAACACGGGCCACGATGGCGAACAAGGCTTTGACTTCTTCCTCAACCAGCCTGAGGTCATCAACGACTTTGGACATAGAGGAATTCACGTCGAGGCTCAAGTGGCGAAGCAAATCGTGGAGCAATACTATGGAAAGAAGGCTTCAAAGAGTTATTACCAAGGTTGTAGCACTGGCGGACGTCAAGGTCTGCAGAATGCTCAGTTGTATCCTGATGATTTTGATGGAATTCTCGCTGGGGCTCCAGGCATTGACTGGCTGCATATTGTGGCGTCCAAGGGCATACTGGCTCGACGTATTGGATGGCCAGATCTCAAATCCGATGCTTATGTTCGACCAGAGCAGTGGAAGGCGATTGTCGAGAAACAGATTGAGATGATTGATCCTCTGGATGGTGTTGAGGATGGTATTATTGACAACCCGGCTGCACATGCCTTCGACCCAGCGATCATGGCATGTGGCACTGGATTACTCAACAGCTCATTGTGTCTGAAGCCTCAGCAAGTCACATCAGTCAGAGCTGCATATGAGCCTCTGGCGGACTCAGAGGGCAGCATTGTGTACCCAGGATTTGCTCTGGGTGCTGATACTAGCGTCTTCTCCGCAAACCAGGTCAACGGCACCGCTGAGTTGAACTACAAAGTCTTACAGGTATGCATAGAATGCATGGGTGTAGAATAAGAGCTAACAAAAGCCTGCAGGACTTCTGGCGTGGTGCCGTATATAATGACTCAAATTGGACACCTCACAACTTCACAGCCAAAGACATGGACTTTGCTATCAAACTCAATCCAGGAGGAGTCAACGCCGCAGAAGGCGAACTTCAAAGGTTCTACGCCAAGGGAGGCAAGATAATTTCATACCATGGTCAAGCTGACCAGACCATTACACCCAAGCTACCAGCTGAGTATTATGCCAAGGTGCAAAGCAACCTTAATGCTACGCTGGATGACATGCATTCTTTCTACAGGCTGTTCTTCGTCCCTGGGATGTATCACTGCTCAGGGGGACCTGGTGCATTCGATATCGGACAGGTATATCCCTTGAAGAAGGACAGGCTGACGGCGAAGGAGAGTGTTTTGTTGGCTTTGACGAAGTGGGTTGAGGAGGATCAGGAACCTGAGACCATAGTTGGCGCCAAGTTTGGCAGCAATGGGGCTTCAGGCAAAGCTACAGCAAAACGAAGTAAGTTCCCCGCTGGCTTCCTTGGATCAATGAGCTAACAGTGGCCAGAGTATTGCCCGTATCCGTATGAAAGCAAATGGGATGGATCTGGAAACACGACCAAGGCCGACAGTTGGCGCTGTAAGCTTCCTGGAGCTTAATCGCCGTGTTAAAACAGTGCTGCGAAGAATGAAATTTGTTTCCGGCATTGAAAGTGAACTGTATCATACTGCTGCTTCGTACCCCATCTTCGTGTTTGTAACCTATAGCTTACTCTTGCAACCCACTGGTTGAGATGAGATGAGACTCTTATCGATATCCCCAACCGTGTTCAACCCAGCGACATTCATAAGAATATCCAAATCCGCCAACAATCCCTTCAGTACATGACGTACTCCATGCTCTCCCATGATACTAAGTCCCCAGATCCAAAGTCTCCCAACAAAGACAAACTTGGCACCCAGGGCAAGAGCCTTTACAATATCAGCTGCTCCCCTCACACCACTATCAAAAGTCACGACGATCCGATCGCCGACCTTTTCAGCGATCTGCTCCAAAGCATCGAGACTTCCAATCGCTCCATCAACCTGCCGGCCGGCGTGATTACTAACAACAATACCCTCAAAGCCCAGATCAGCTGCTTTCTCAGCATCATCGACTCGCTGAATGCCTTTGATCAAGAAAGGCTTCCCGCCGCTGATTTCTTGCCACTTCTCTCTTGCCCAGACAGCTTTCTCCCATGACCATGCACGGCCGTGCCAGACGTTATCGATCCAGAGTGCTCCAGCCTCTGCAGGTTGTTTCTTTGGGTCGATGCCATATTCTGCGAGTCGTTTCTGAAAGACGGGATCTGAGAGACCCAAGTCGGCGCCGATGCCACGATAGAATGCGTAATTTGATGTCGCGATGTCGTCATGTCGCCATCCGAGCTGCCACGTATCTGTTGTCAAGATACATGCAGAGAATCCGGATTCGTGGGCTCGCTTGAGTAATGACAGCGTTAGCTCGTCATCATGAGGCATGTAGAGCTGGAAGAAGCGGGGGGCTTCGGGGATACGATGGCCCTCTTCACTGTTCTGAGCAGTCTTTCGTCCAGCATTATTTGCTTCTGCAACATCTTCAATAGGACATGATCCAGCAGTCGAAAGACTGTACGGGACTCCAAGCTCACCAGCAACCTTAGCAACAGGAAGCTCGCCTTGCGGGTGATAGATCTTATTAATCCCAATAGGCGCAATTCCAAACGGCGCAGAGACCTCGTGGCCAAAGATGGTAGTTCTTGTCGAACGATCGTTGGTATCTACGAGTTGGCGAGGAACAATCTTGTGTCGGAAGAAAGCCTGACGGTTTGCCAGATGTGTATCCGATAGGCCTGCGTTGGATGATGCATAGAGCCAGCCATTTTCAGTGAGCTTCTTCTTGGCGAGTTCCTCAAGCTTATCGGGGTCTGAAAGTATCAGTATCAACCAGCTTAAAGGGTCTTGAGATTGCCCTACGTGTGTTGAATGGCGGAACTGCACCGTCATTCAGTTTCCAAAAGTTCTCGCGCTGGTATAAACCCCATGGAGGGGTATCACGCGTTTTAAGATGCGGTGACCGCGGATCCGACATTTCGCAAGTTCTTACAAGTGTGCCAAGAATAATGAGGATCTGTTAGTTTGAAGATACATGGACCTTGGACACTGAGGTTGCGTCCACTTATATCGCGATCATCCATATTCATGACGTAGTCTACCAGACTTCCGAATATCCGATCGAAGATCAATAATGACGAACAAGTGATTGTCTGGAGCAAGCTATCCACAATTATTAATCAAATTGTAATATATGCAGATATAATACGAGGTTAGCTAATTGTTGATAAGACCAGCGACCATTTCAGCTTTCCAGACGCTCAATGTTGATGGTGGTGTTAGGTTGAATCGCGTCATCGGGAAGCTCAACTGACGCCCGGGCAATTATTAGCTTTGCCATTCTTTTGCACGAAACTCTTGGCACCTTTCCGTAACAGATTCCCGTACGGCCATGGGATCTAATTTATTGTCGCTGCTGGGATTTGAGTACGCGACCGCTCTGCCGTTCTCTGTGTGATCAGGGTATTTACAAGTTCTCGAAGAACGGGCACCTGATTGCCGAAAGGTAGGGGCATGTATAAGTTTTGTAGTCCAGCACTAAATATTCTGTGCAGTATGTTTTGGTTATTTGCTTCATAATTAAAGTTAGACGTAACCTTCATTAACTCTCCGATTATCCAATATCGCTAACGTTCACAAGCTTGCGAGAGTGCCGTGATATCCGTGTCCCGCCACGTTATCGCCGGACATTCTGCCTACTCTAATCAATAGTGGCTTTTTGCTGGTCTTAATTCGACCAGTTCAGGGTAGCATTCATTGATAGCACGCAAGCAGCTGAACCCTTCAACATATCAACAGGCGTCTACTCACGCATGTTTATTGGACTTTGAACATTGTGGCTTGAAGGTGATGGTGAGAGGACCTCAAATGATTGGATGGAGGAGTCTAGCGTCGTCAATAGCCTCACAAGGCGTTCCTGCACTGGCGTTTTGGAGACAGGGGTCGGACTGCTGCGCTGCTGCCAGTTGGAGCTATGAGTTCAATGGTTTGTGTCTGTCCTCGTTAACAGGAAGATTATCAGCATGCGCTATATAACCACCCTGTTGCTTGCTCGTGGACTCGCGATAGCTTCATTCTTTGTAGACAGTCAAGATTCCTTTTTCAGCCATCGCTTTCTGCCTAAGGGACTTCAACGCAGCTGCAAAGATGTCATATCCCGAGTCTAATGTACCATATAACAAGAACCAAATTTTCTTTATCGTCGATAACCAAACCCCATTCACCCTAGTCCCAAACCCAACAACATTCAGTGACTGGGGAGATTTCGGGGCAGGCCCGACGACAGTATGTTCTCCGTAGAACAGTCTCGTACACCCATGCTAAAGAGTATACAGATCAAGCCTTTTCAAAAGGGAGATGCGGGTCATCTAATATCGTCGAGATCACCTTTCGTTGGGTCCGCAGGCATAGTCGGATACTCACTCACCAGCAAAAATGGCGCCACTGTCTATATTCGCTTTCTTGCAAGTAATCCATACTTGAGCGTCCGAGACAACTGGGCGTGCGTCTCGTTATCTTCCATCGATCAGGGCATCAACCAAGATACTTATAATTACCATTACTACAATGAGCCCCAGCATGCCAGCATGTCTTTTGAAGAGCGGACTCTTAACGTGAGCATCGGCTTGTGTTCTCTTGACGGAAGGCTGATGTCGATGTAGCTTACTTCAAATATTGGTCATGCAGACCGGGCGACGGCAACGTTCGTTTTGACATATGTGTAAGTAACTACTCTGATATGATCTTACTACCGTATGCGTATTTGCGTCATGTTCGGTTTTGTTAACATCTTTTATAGGGTCCCAGATATATACCAGTCTTCGTTTGTCAATCAAGGCTAACGCGTAGCGAGCCACAGACTTTAAATCTATGAACTTGACTCGCGGTTGAACTTTTTAGGCATTACAGTCGCAATGGGATGACACAAGAGGTTGAGCCAATCAAGTCGTTAATATCATAAAATAATTTCCTATATGATGTTACATGGTGACGATCCCAGTGATAGTTGGTTTTCCATGTTTTATAAATGCGCCAGACCTTCCCAAACTCCAAATCATGTTCAGTTTGCAATCACCTTGGCCAGGCTCTGAACGAGATATACAGATATTCCCTTCGGAAAAGCTGTATCTCCCCGATCTCTCTCGTTCAGAGGGCTGATAAGGTAACCACAAACTGAACAACACAAGGAAAGATTGTGAGATCGGGGGTTTTTACTAGAAGAAATAACACTACTTCATGGCGTTCAGACCACCAGCAGAGATCGGTGGAGCCTGATCTCCAGCCTGCTCCTTCTCGTCGATCAGTTCACCGAGAGGCATCTTGCCAATGGAGGTACCGGCCTGGGAGTCAAGCATTCCACGGTTGAGAGCCTCACGGGGAACGAAGTGCTGATAGTCGGAAGTCTGGTCGCTTCTGTTCTGGAGGGAGTAGTTGGTCTCATCAATGGAAGGTTTCTTTCCAGCGGGAGCCTGGTTGCCGAAGAGTGTGCTGGATCCTTGTTTGGATGATCCAGGCTGCACGCCGGAGCTATCGCTGCTGACATGGGGGAACTTGGAGTAGTTAATGGACTTTCGGTTCTGGGCGTAGTCGGGCATATCTTGATCTTTGCTAGGAGGGAAGTTGGAGCTGGACTTGTTGGAAGGGAAGTCATCAGAAGTGCCGTGGGAGAAGCTAGAAGGAGTGTCCTTGGACTGGCTGGAAGAGCTATCAAAGCTACTCTGGGAGAAATCCTTGGATTGGTTGGGATCCGCGTGGACAGTCTTGATTGGTGATCGGTCAAGGCTGCCTGAAGTGCCGCGAGCGCCCATAGAAGCCAAATGTTTAGACTGCTCAAATGACGTATCGGAATCATCCTGGGGATACTTGGAGGAGATATCCCTGGCCTGAGTGGGCCCAGAAGAACTGTGAGGAACAATGGAGGTAACATCCGAACGGTTCTCAGTCTGCTTCGAACCAGGAACCATGTTGACAGCACGTCGCCTCACGTCACCGGCGGTGTCTTGAGCCATGGAGGAGATGTTGGCCATTGTACCCTTGGTATCCTGGGCGAGAGAGCTGGCTTGGTCAACGGCTGTGTTGCTGATCTCTTGAGCGCGGGCCATGCCATCGCGGGCGATACCTCGACCTCGCGGGGAGGTAACGAGAGGGATGGTGTAGATGGTGGTCAGACCGAGTATAGCAATGCCGAAAGGACTCATGAATTGGGTCAGGAAGTAAAGAGAACCAGTGACAACGAAGGCACCAAATGTCTTCTCCAAGTCTTCGGCAAAGAGGATCTTCTGAGCCTGGACAACAGCATACTGAATGAAGTCGTGAATATCCTTGAGAGTAGCGTTGAGAGTTGATTCCGGAACGGTCTTGTACTGTCTGGGTCGCATACGAGACACAAAGTTGTTAGGGCCGAAGGAACGACCAGCGAACTCGGCCATGGACATCACTGAAAGCAATTATCAGTATCGCCTGTGTCGAGAATCGTGGATAGACTGTTACCTCCTAGGCCAATTGCCATGGTCTTGAGTGTCAGCTGGGTAAGGTGCATATGATGAACTGCGAGCATGAAACCCAGGGCGGCAAAGTAGGATCCGATAGTTCGGGCGGGATTCTCCCACTAAACAATGTCAGCCACCAGCCACGACAACGGTTGAATGGAAACATACGCTGATGTACTTGTAAAGACTGTCCTGTTGAGCTGTGGCGCAAGAGTTAGAATCATGAGACTTCTGTTCGATGACCGGCATCATCTTACCAATCATCTCCTTCAATGGCCCGGAATCTCGACGTTCGACATTGCTCTGCGAGCGGGGGGCATCTTCAGCCAGGACGGGCTGGAAATTGTTTTGCAGTCCACTCATGTTGACTCTCGACTATCCGATTACTATAATTCTGATAAGATTCGATTCAATTGATTCAAATGATAAACAGTGAGATCAGAGGAACACAAGCCACTCATCAAGCCAGCACCGCCCTTTATCTCTTTAGCTTTAAACTGCGATATACAAGATTTCGGGGCTGATCTCTAGTGCGTCATGGCTGATGCGCTCATGATGATTTCTCCGCGTCGTGACATCAGTGCTGTCTCAGCCACCAGCCTATTTCTGGCCTAGACCTCATCCACCAACGTCTTGGATTACAAGCTACTGAGCTAGCCCTAACTACACCCACGTCATCTCCATCGTCACCGTTTCAGATTATCGAGATCAAGATGAGGTATTGTTTATATGCATAGTGTACGGCTAAGACGGATGCTGAGAAAAAGCAGGATTGAGGAGGAATTTAAATTCGTGGAATTAAGGCTTGGAACTTGGCATTGAGAAGGTTTGGACTAATGCTGAGGATCGACATCATGGTGGGCTTGTAACAGAGAAAAGGCACACGACAGATATGTGTTCAATTGGCGATGCATGTAAATTCATTCCTCTTGATATACGGTAGTTATCCCATATTACCTGCGTCAGCAGCGAGATCTACCTCTTGTGGCTGGTAACCCATGCATCATTAGGATCTTATTGGAACGTTTATTGAAGAATGATTCACATTCATTCCCGTAATACGGCTCCCATTCTTCCAACAGACCCTCCTCCCCCGTAACAGCTCGGACATTCCTCCCCGCGCGTAGATCCCCGCTCGTTGCTCCATAACACTAACACCAACGAATGCGAAGCATCTTGTCGTGGGTCTTATTAATCGTGATTTCTTTCTTTTGTAGATAGCAATCAGGCGCTCGAGTCCATGCTCCTGGCCAGGCTTGATGTATTTTCTTTTAAAATCGACGACTGTTGTCGTCGCGACTTGATGCTAATGAGGTTTGCTTAATCATTGCTAGGGTCTTAATCATAGGTTGGAAAGTAATACACTGATAGAGGCCACCCAGCTCCTCGCTCCTCTTGTGCAAATTCTTAGCCACCCTAGGCATGATAGGTATACGTAACATAAGCTGCCAAGCTCTCCTATTTGAATTGAGCCGGAACCACAACGCCAAGAGCTTCGCCCGTCTCCAGCGTTTATATCGAAGGTTAAGCCAAATGAGGCAACAGTATCGTTGTGTTCAATTTCACTTGTAAGCTAAATTCACAAGCGAATACTTTCTCGACATCTCTAGCTTGGAGTGTTACATGGATACGCCGGCGATCAGTGGGTAAAGTCAGTACCGTGACATCCGCATCATGCATGTTGTTGTAGAGATCTCCGTTAGCAGTGAGAGGGGTTGTAGACACAGCAAGAAGGGCCCTGTTGTCGTCTAAGCTCACGTTTGGATCACTTCTGAGCATGGCGATCCGGACCACAGGATTGGCGATCGTGTAGCCAAAAACTCCTCCAGCAGAACCTCCAAATGCTGAGTTAAAAGCTTGGACCACGCCCCCTGAGCCATCACTGTAAGGCTTGATCTGATTGAGGTAATATTTAGCTATAACTTATCATTTGGAAGCATCTACATGTTCGTGAACTTACAGTCTCAGGCGAGGAGTTTGTGTCGCCTTGGTACGTATTATGCCCATTCGGGACAAGGTAGCAAGGAATCTGGTTGTGACTAGAAAATGCTATTTTATGATTCATCTGAAGAGGGAGTACTTCAATATTGTTAATCTCACTGAAGGTGTTAAAATAATGCAGTGTTAGAACTCAGTATACTGCTGTGCTCTTAAAGAATACAGAACCTTGTAGGAAAGTGGAATTTCGACAGAACATTGATTGATAGATGGCATGATGTTACCTGCCTGCAAAATCTCCAGTACGTTATTGAATATCAACAGATGCATGCATAGGTTAAGGTTCAAAACAGTGGAATGTAGCAAAGAATACTATCATATTATCAGTCAGCCACAAAGTACGGCATTTGGCCCCGGGCCCTAGAACCTGCAGGTGATTCGAAATAACTACTGGAATGTGATGAGCAAAGTCTGAAGCACTTCGTGTGTCAAATCTATCTTGCTACTTAATTCCTACATGGAGTCTATTATAGCTACCGGCGTCATAGCCCAATACGACCCCGGAAATCCTCACCTAAATCAATCCAACCCCACTGCTACTTATCTATCCCCGATGAATCTAAAGTATCCGGCAGCAATGCTCCTTCTTCACCGGCGTACAAGTCCATCCTGGCACAAGCTCCCAGTCCTCAAACAGCTTTGCCTGATCCATCTTGATCGTGAGACCAGTCATGACAACCTCTTTATCTTTGCAATCCGTAGTTACCGTCAGTTGAAGTGTGTTACTGATGATTTCAACCTGAGACTCCTCACCACAGGCTACTTGGAGGCGGTCAGCGTCACGCATCATATCAGTTGAGTGATACGGTTTTGGGGCGAAACTAACCTGTAAAATCATTTTAGACATCTTGAAGTGAATTTGGAAAGATGAATTGTTAGTAAGACTCAGGTTTTGAGGAAACGAGTTATAAAGCCGTTAGGGAAATCGCTAGTTTAGACTGAGAAGAAGGTCAAAGGAGGCTAACTGCGTTTATTAAATACAATCAAGGGCATGCCTTGAATCCTTGTCTAGCCGTTCAACATTTTGCTGTTCAAATCACTGTTCGTAACTGTTTTATGAACATTTAACCGTGAGATACGTGGAACGATAGAGCTGGAACACACCATATTAAGGATGTTCTCGAGATTCAAGGATCTGTTAATGAGATGTTCGTCCATACAGGCTTCTTTATTACATCCCCCGCTAAGTCGGGGTTCGGTGTAATGCCAGACGAATAACTCCTTGTCCTCAAGCGCTCAGGGTTTCAGTCCTCCCATCCTTACGAGTAGCAGTTATTTCAGAGACTTCCCACTCGTTAAACATCTTCAGCCTACAGAAAATTGGCCATATCTCGGCCTTCATCCTCTGCGCATCATCGTTTTCCTTCTCATAAGTGAACTTGATAGTCTTTGTTGCGTGGTCGGCACAAGCCCTCACGTAAGGGCCAATGCATTCTTTGATCAAATATTCGGAGGTTGGATTCGCCCAAAATGTTAAGTCGGCTTTTTGCTTAAAGACAACAACTATTTTGGTATAGCTGATTTTGGTCATTGTTGGTTGGGATTAGGTGATATATTTAATAGTTAAACTTTCTTGTAGACGCTTGTGTAATACATAAGTTGAATTCGTGTCTCTAGGTAAGAATTAAGGTATGTATACCCTTTAACACTTCCTCATTCAGGGATGGCTGGTTTCTCCAAGGAGTAGTGATCCAAATTCCCAGAGGCCCCTCATAGTATTAACACATAAAGCCATTCTCCAGGTGGTAGCAAAAGAAATCCATATGATAGAGTATCAGTCTCGTAATCATCCATCTTATCAATTATACCACATCATGTGAGTTACGCTTATCACGGAAGGTGGTAAAAAGATCTTCTGTTCATAGTTGAGAGCTAAATAACCAACAGCTGTCCTTGAGTTACTGCCATTCATAAGCGTTCGATAATGAGGTTGTCATTCTCTCTGACGTTAACACAAAGCGCCGTCTAATCACCACTTCCAGTTTCCCTATCGTTATAATTGAAGGGTATCAATAAAACACCAGTCTCGAGGCATATATCCGGCGTATCACGGGTATTGGACATCAGGTTCAACGGGGCGGATTTAGGGGCCCTATTTCCATTGGATCGGAATTCCGTATTAACGTTGATGACTCCACCCCGCAACCTTTGATAGATCTCGCCGATTGGATACAATGCTCGGTAGCTACATAATAGGCTATCTGCTTACGAATGGGCTTCCGGTTCCATTCGGAAGGAATAAGAGGATGCGGCGTGGGTTTTGTAAACAGTAACCTGTCCTCAGGGAGCAAGAAAACTTCAGACCTTGATCCAGGGTGCCAAAATAAACTTTTGAGGAAATCTCCTAAGCCTATAGTAACTTACCTAAGTCTTTTTGTCACTTAGGATCAAGGTCCTAAGTTTTCTTGCCTCCCCTAGCCTGTCGTCTCTGGCGTCAGCGCTAGGAGGGACAGCGACGAGGGTTACGATCCATCGCGCTGATCTTTCCCTTCTCGAGATAAATACACTGGGGCAGCCAATCGTCGGCTTCATAAGTGAATCCTTATAGGTAAGCCCAGGCAAGTATATAACTATCGAACTGTCTGACAGAGTTTGATATCTTTTACCCTTCGGACTAGGAGAACAACTTAACGAAACGTAACTCAAGTCCCCATTGGAATCGCGGAGAACGAGGCATCAACAATGAATTCTCCAACCGCAACTATCAACGGTATCACAATCGTGGGATAAACTAGCTCTCTTTATGATCACCATCAAGCTAATTTGATATAGCGAAACCATGCCAAGCCCTACGAAGCCATCTCAGCTCAGCGACCAGAGTTGTCACAAACCGGTCGAACTGTCCTCGTCTGCGGCGGCTCTGCAGGCATTGGCCATGCAATTGCACGAAACTATTGTATCGCGGGTGCATCCAATGTTATCATCTTAGGTCGCCGTAGTGATGTTGCGAACGAGGCAGCCTCCAAGCTGAACGACGCTTATCCCAGCACCAAAGTGACCACGCGTACCTGCGACTTGTTCAATAGAACCCAGGCCCAACAAGTCTGGGATGACCTGGAGAGAGACAATATCTCGATTGATGTTCTCATTGTCAATGCTGTAGGTCAACCAGCGCTTCAGCCAATTCTAGAGCAAGGCGCGGATAGGCTGTGGCAGGACTTTGAGACCAACGTGCATGCTCCTTTATACCTCGTTGAGAGATTCTATAAGCAGCCCGGACATACGAAACAAAAGGTCGACCTACCAAAACTAACTAGAATGATTGACTGACCCTTGATTATAGTTTGTTGTGTCGGTATCGACTCAAGATATCCATCGTTGGGACAGCGCGCCGCAGATGCCTGGATACCAACTGACCAAGAACTCCTTCGCTACCGTGATGCAGCAGGTTGCTCGTGACACACCCGAGTCTGACATGCGAATCATTTCATTTCATCCATCGATTGTTTTTACAGAAGCAGCGAGGAAGGCTGGATACACCGAGGACACTCTGCCTTGGTCAGATGGTATGTTGAACCGTCGCTTTCGTGCTGAGCCCCAGTAACTGACGTATCTCAGAGAATATTCCTGGTGGCTTCGCTGTATGGGCTGCGTCCCCAGAGGCGCAGTTTCTCCATGGTCGTTTCGTCTGGTCAACATGGGATGTAAATGACTTAGGATCCGTAGAGCTCAGGAAGCAGATTGACTCAGACCCTTGGTTACTCAAAGTCGGAGTGAAGGGCTTATAAGCGTCTTGTGAGACCCTCAAAGGGCTGCGTCTTGTTATTTTCCATGTTGGGTTACACCTCAGTCCCTTCCCCGCACCGGTCAGAGATACACCATTACCAAAGATGTTTCAATCTGGTGAGATTGTTCTGAATCCCTGTCAGTTTAATCTATCATAGAACCTTTGATTGAAAATTGTAGACGAGGAATATTCATGCTTCCCATTGCTTCATGATACTGGTCTTCACGTATTATGTTGGGCACAGATATCCCCCTTCCATATAGCGTCATGCCAGTAGTTTAAAGTCGATCAATAGACAAGAGTCAAATGACTGTAGGCATCAGAAAGCATCAATCTCATAATCTTACTACCTAATCTCATGCCGTCTCACATGTTGCTAAGTTCGTTGCTGAGTTCTACGTGCTGATTACATGCTCTCAGAAAGGTCTCAACTGCAAATATCTGATCCAGCTCACAATTGTCTCATGTGTTGCATACTAGAAGAAAATGAATGTAAGCGTCTTCTATTGAAGGCTAAATGACTATTTGGCGATGGCATACGTTTCCATCATCACTGTGAGAGTAACCATCCTGAGTTCTATTTCTCCGCGCTGAACAAAGGTCGTTGATTTATATGAAATACTGTCTATGACTTTTTCCATGCTCATCAGTGATAATCAGTCGAAAGAATTCCCAATCTTTGAAAAAGCCAACCTTCTTAAGCACCTCAAAAGCGCGATTCTTTACCTTTTCCAGGGAAGTCGTGGGGGAAGTGTTGTCGACATAAAGCCTGTATCTGAGTGTCCCAGTTTCCTCGTCGAATCTTCGTTCGAAACACTCCGCGCCACAATCCCTAAAAGTTTCCTTACCTGGCATCTTAAACTCGCTTCCTTTGGCCTTGAAAAAGGCGTCCATTTTTATTAACCATGGCTTTGGTGCAGGCATTGCGAGTGTGTGGGTGTTCGTGCAAGGGTTAAATATGTGGTTTCGGTAGTGGGTTGTGTTGATGTACGATTAAATGAGTTCGTGTGAGTTTATGTCGACTTTCTGTCGGCATCGGTGGAACGCAGGGTCCTCATATAGCTGCAATGAGGACTGTGGCTCGTGACTCGGATGTCTCTCTCTTGCTTCACTATCGATCCAAGACCAGTGATTCAACTTGTGAGAGATAGATAGTGAAACACCCAATGCCAAAATAAACTGTGACACTGTCAAGACTACTATGATTCAAAGAACCTACAGCCTAATCAGGAGAAGCCCCCCTTGTACACAGCAACTACAGACGCTGATTCATGGATGCCGAGACGACCATCACAGTCTTAGATTGAGGTCCATTATTGTCCCTCCTATTTCTGACCTAATTCAATCATACAGTTGCAAGAAGCCTGCAGTCTCTCTTCGTAATAACCAGTAACAGTTTACTTCTTTTATGGCCAGCACGCCTACTTTAATCTAACTCGCATTTACATGCCACTGAAAAATTGATCTCATCATCAAAGGTTCATATCCAGTGACAGCTCCCGTGCTCAATTCGCCCCAATTCATGCTCAGGAAGATGAGTCCAAAGCTCAGCCATACTCATGCCACATAATATTGCAATCATCCTTCTTCACAAATGAAACATATTGTCCACGTTATACTTCGGTCGAGGGTGATGAGGTTTTATTATTACTACCCTTAGGGAAGTACCGCGAGCAACGGCATTAAACCGCAGAGATATTCTTCTAAAATAGACACTTGGTATCCTGGAGTAGCCGTTCGTCCTGAATAGCATCGAAAATGCCTGCATTGTTGGTCATGAGCAGCAGTTCGTATATATCCCATTCCTCTAAAATGTTCTCCTTTCCTAGCAGGTTCCACAATTCATCCTTCAGTTTCCCTGCATTGTCGAAGTTATCGTAGATTTTGAATTTGAATAACCCAGTCTTCTCTTCGTATTCTTGAGCGGACCGCCGTGTGAACTTATGTTTCTTCAAAATATCTTCTGTTGGAGGTTCAGCCAGGGGGGTCTTTGCCTTGAAACAGGCTTCCATCATCACGAAAATCGTTCCAACCATTTTGACGGGAACAATGTATGGAAGGCAGCTGATTAACTGAGCTTATGTGGCAGATATGGTCTGGTAATGAGCTGAGCCTCTTTGAGCATGTAAATACTTTGTCCGAATTCTTGTCTCTCTCTCTGTCGCATAGGTCACTTATATAGCTGTAAAAGAAGAGAAGTGTTCGTCAGAGACATCTCTACACCGCAACACGAACCCTGATTGTCGGCATTCGAATGAGATAGCCGGCGCATTCTTGGAATCAGTCTGTCAGGCTCAACCTATAAAGTACTACGATTATGTAACTTGGTAGAGTGCCACGATGCACTGGTAGTGAATATATCGGCTTCTCACTGTGAAGTTCAATCGTTGGTCTCTGTTTCAGAAGCACGCAACTGGGGTTGTGTGAATAGAACTGAGCAAGTGTAGATTAAGATTTCTGATGAGCATCTACATGGTAGTGACGAGCGTTGAATCTACTTTCTGCTGATGTATATTTATGAGATACCTTCGCTGAACATTCAGTCAATGGTCTTATCCTCAGTAATCCCGATTCTATACTCATGATGCTACCATCCATACCTCCAATATTTCAAGCCTCTGGTTTCTGTCCATAAAATACAGTCCTGTGTAAAGGCCCGGGTCAGTATGTCTTTTTGATCCTCCAATAGTAGCCTGGACTTACACTTCAAGATACGCATGCAAAGCTGGGTTCGTCAATTCTTTGCGCATGTCGGCCAAGAACAACTGGGCATCCTCGTATTTCCACTAAATCCGCCCCGTTAGCAAACTGTCGCTATCATCCGGCATCCGTTCCAACTTACGCCAAGCATTTCAGTCAAACCACGAATTGAGAAGCCTTCAAGACCTTGAAGAAGGAAATGGCGATTCCAAGCACCCCACTGCTTGAGAATCTTGTCCTTTGGCCAAGTTCCAATTGGAACCTTGATCCTTCGGCCCGAAACATTGGTAAATCCAGCGTCGGAGATCGACTTCTGCATCTTGTCATCCCAGAAGAAGGATTTTCCTGTCAGAGTTTCAATCTTCTTGAAAACCTCTACCCACTTGAAAAGCGGTGATTCGGGCTTCAGAGTATCGTCATCACACTTTGAGTTGCCCCAGAGTTCGACGCTTTCTACCCAGCCACCAGGCTTCGTGTGCCTAGAGAAGTTAGAAGCAACTCACAGTGTTTTCAAGGGTAAACATACTTGAACGCTTTACGGTAAAGCTCAGTCCAGTCGGGGATACAGCCTATCATAGAACGTACGTGAATAAAGTCGAAGTTGTCGTCGGGGTAAGTCCATTCATTTGTGATATCGTCAACCTCGAATCTGCAGTTGGGGGGTACGAAGTTTGGTTGGATGGGAGAAAGATCGACGCCAAGAACGTCAGCCGAAGGATGCTCATCAGCGAATTCACTGCATTTGTTAGTCTTGATATCAGGGAAGGGCTTCATCTATGTGAACTCACATTGCCCAAATACCAGTTCCGCATCCTATGTCAAGAACTTTCTGCCCCTCAATTAGAGGATGCTCTCATGTTTTGGGGGTGTTGTTTACCTGAGGACTATCTCCAATGGGTGCCTCATACAGCGAATTGCCAAGGATGATTCTATATACCTCGTGCCTGTTCAAATGTCTCAGAAGGCTGCCAGTACTTGTCGTAGATATCTTTCTTACATGAGGTCTTCGGCTTCTTGTTGACGATCATCATTGGGAGCCCTAAAACTTGTATAAGCTGACTAGAGCATCAGAAAGCACTCAATAACAGCTCACCAATAGGATCCATCTTGGTAGGCGTGGTATCGTCGTCCATTCTCCCACTTGAACGCCATAATCGAGGACCGAAGGGACTCGGTATCAGTAATGCCCGTGCTGCAATTATGTAAATAACTAAACAGGCCTTGTTCTGATATTGACTCACGATTTGGAGTACGAAGAATCGGAATCATCATCCTATTACCCAGTGTTCTGATTAGTCTCCAAAACGGTCGAAAACTATCGTGGGCTGATCATACAACTTCAATTGCCGCCTGCTCTTCTGCAACCTGGTCCAGCGCAGCCGGGGACTGCGGTCCTGGCGGCGACTTGGTAGGCGACCTAGACTTTTGCGACTTTGGGGACGACATTTTTCGTACAATATTCGCACCGGATATGCTAGAAGAGTCAGATTGAGATTAAACTTGGCGCCGTCGAAAACTAAAAGAGGGATTAAAAAGCAAGAACAGACCGTTCGTGTGTTGGCTGATGAGGGGGTTTCCACTGTATCCCTGTCGAGGGCATTGCAAGCCAACACATATTCTTATGCATATGGTCTTGGGTTACATTCCGTGGCGGAAGTGTCAATCAACGGTGCTAACCATCATGAACCTGGGGTGTGGAGCTTGGTTCAACGTTCGGCTAGGGAAGCTAAAATGTCAGATCATAGGCACCATAAGAACAATCTGTTCACTTGATATGTATTGTTCATAACTTTGGGTTAGTTCTGAGACATATGTACAGAGAATGCCGCGTGATACTGCGCAGCGTTGTACCCCTTGCATTATGACAGTTACAGTGACAGGGTTCGCATACGAGAAAAATTATTGCAGGGTTTTTGCATCAACCAGCCAATCATCACCTTGGCAGATCTGTCGCCCGCGCGGAATTAGCAATCAAATGCAGAACCGACAGCTCATAGTTACTTTGTTCTGGCCTCCAACTGCTGCCATTCACCATTCATGGAGCTGCCGAGGTCAGAGGTGTCAATCCTTGAAAACGCCACGAGTTCTCGTCGGGCTTTGATGGTGTTTCGTCGTCTTTGGCCAGCGCGCTTGCATGTGCGGCACCTTCTCCGTCTTGTCGATTGACACCCAAGACAATTCGACTGGTTTCGAGAGCAAGCTCCGCACTTCAAACTTGGCCTGCAATTCTGGCACATGTCGGATCCCTCAATCTCCCGTTGTATCTCAAGAAGTAAGTCGTCTGTCTCCTGCGATCCTCGAATATCGCCCCACTCACGTTTCCACGAGGAGAGTGTCAAGCACAAGCCAATGGCTCTGATGCGACAAATGTTATCGCCAGTTCTCAGCAAGCCAATGGCTTGCATAAGAGCTCTCTCGCAGGCGCTAAATTCTGCGTGCTGACGATGAATCGTGGCAATTATTTTACTTGCAATAGTAAAAGCCATAGCTTTGCTGGTCCAGGCAGGATGAGCAGCCAGAATAGGCTGGTGTCCTGTATGATATCGCGAGCCGTATCTTGTGCTTGAACTGTCTCGCCACAGACCCAGAATGTAGCGTAAGCAAAGTAGTGTCTGACTCGCACGCAAGCATCAGACTGCCGCCATAGCTCAGGTGGTATCATCTCCGGGCTGTAGCAACGCTGCCGAACTTGTTTGAACTTCAGTAACAAGATGTCGCTTCGAATATTCTCCCTTAGACGCTCATAAGGTGGACTCTCGGATGCACTCTTCCGTGCTGCCTTGATGGAAGACTTTGGTTGTTGCCGTGTTGGGCTGGAAGACAGCGGCTTGCGCTTGACAGTTTTAACGTATGGCTTGCAGAAATATTGAGCGTAGGTTGACCAAAGGTTCAGCATCATGATGTTCTCATCTGACACTTTGTGATCAAGGGTCTTGAGAGTCTCTTGAAACCCGATTCGAATTGTGATTCTGAAATCTGTCTCTTCAACGTCAAGGATGCAGTCGAGAATATCGGCCAAAGGGTTTTCGGGCCCATATGTGGTATAAGAATCATCTCTCATTCTCCCAAGGACTGTTGACACAGCTTGAAGGTGAGGAGCCCGCCGGTCCAAGCCATGTAGAAGCATCGCTAGCTTCCATATCTTACCAAAGAATAACGGATCCATCTGATCAACGAAGCTTTCCAAGTCGTTGTTAAGATCATTGAGTATTTTCTGAGCTGCTCTTATCTGGTTGCATCGTAGCATGGTCGACATGGAATCGCAGTAGGCTTCTACAGCTCGCCACTTGTCGGGCGACAGCTCTGTTCCATCTGGACAAACGAAGCCAATGGGGCTGGATTTCCATGTTTGATTATTATCTCGAACAAACATGGAATCCAAAATCTGGCTGATGGAGTAGAGTGCTTTCTCTTGAAGCCGGTATCGTTGAAGGCGAGGATGAGATGGTAGCAGAGGCGTGAAGCGAACCGAGTGGATGGACTTGAGAATACTTAGGATGACATGTTTTTTTCTTTCCTCTGGGTCCTTTGTGCGTGTCCTCTTCTTGATACCAGAGTTGTTGGAATTCTTCTTCACGAAACGCTTTCGAAGGCATCCTTGGCTTTGCTTTGTATCAGTACGGCAAATATAACAATTCATAACGCTTATTGGCATGTATTTTGAAACTGGAATAATGACTCTCCTTGAGTAGAATGGACAGCCTTGACATACCTTATTTTAAAGTCAAAAAACTCATCCAATATGCTTGATACAAGCCACGCAGGGACATTGTCTTCGATGTAAAGAGTCTGGATAATTGGAGTAACAGACTTAAAGTTGGCATCTGCCTCCAAAGTCTCCTCAATATGTCCTCTTGACAGACTCATAGTAACAAACGATCAAATTGATCGACGGTATCTTTGGCTCGTGCTGAGGTGGTATACGCAAGAATCTGACAGGTGAAAGTTGGATATGCAATACGGGATCCACGGATGTTATGTTATAGTCTCTCTTGTCAGAACACTGCAATCTCTCCGCCACAGAACACGTTGCTGCAGCTGAGAGGCAAGCACCTACTTGAGAACAAAAAGCCGCTGGCCAATGATTAGTGCTTTTCAGTTCGGGCAGTGTCTTTTCCGACGCTGATGAGCACTTTAGGTAGCAATCGAGTCAAAGGTGCAGATAGACGTTGTCGTACAATCCACACCAACCAATGGCACAGCTATGCCAACCCCGCTTCACGATATGACTTCTGGAACATCAGTGGCTGGTCCCTTGATGTATGGTGGGGCGGACAATAGTGAAGAGCCAATCTCACACAGGCATTCTTCACCTTCAAGCAGAGCCTACTCAGCCGGTCTAAGACAGCCAGTATTATTGCATAATCGACAACCTGATTCTGGGTTGGGGGGCCCAAGACTAATTGGATTGGGTGTTGGTATGATCGAACTGAACAGATTGGGCACGCCTGCTTATCTCGCAATTTCCTGCTCATCGGCGTGCGAAATGCCTATAAGTACCGGGCCCTTCACAGGAGATCACATTTTAACTTCCAAGCATTCTTCCTTCACTCAGCAATCACTTTGCATTGATCAATACCGAGCTTGACAGGATCACTTTTACTCACTTCAGACTTTACCTTACAACGTCGCCATGGCCATTATTGATATGCCCGTCACCACTCAAGAGACCAATGATCATCCAATTGACGTTCCAGACGAATCTGCACTTGTCTCTACTCGCAAGTCCACTCCATCTGATTTTGAAGATCAAAGCTCATCACAAGAAGATGGGCTGGCGTATAATGACCATGACTCATCTGAAGATACTACCCGTGACAGGTAAAGAGAAAATAAAGCTATTATTCTGCTAAGAAGTGTTTTGGCTAACTATCTGAAAGTGGGCATCAGAATCTAGACGAAACGTCTCCGAAATGGACCTGGGGCTTCAAAAAGTTGCGCAGTCTTCTGTCTGAGGGTCGGGGAGCAGTGACCGATCCTGTCGTACGGTTCGTTGGGCGCCAGTATGTCAATCACCAGATCTATACTTTGGCAACTCTGAAACTCTGACATTCTGGTATAGTCTCCTTGGCACTAAGCTCATCTTCGTCGTTGGTAAAGCTGGGACGGGGAAGACATCTATCCTGTCTGAACTCACAGATCATGGTGACCTACAGCCGTGCACAACCCTCCAAGCAGGTACGCCGCCGACATTTCCTCCTATCAAGTTGTTGTGTGGGTAACGTCGCCTAGGCACCAAGAACTATCGTATGATCCCTGGTATCATTGATGACGAACAGTATCTTTTTGTTGATACGGCCGGGTTTGGGGATCCCAATCGGGATGACATGGAGACGTTCAAGGACTCAGTAAGCTGTCTGATTGCTCTCGGGTCTTTTGTTGAAGTGGTCGGAGTTCTCTTTGTCATTGGGAATCCAGGAACCAGACTGGATCAACAAGATGCCAAGACCCTTCGTTGGTTGCAATGCTTCTGCGGTCCGGACTTCTTTCGCAATATCACCATTGTCACAAGCTTTTGGGACTCATACAATGCTGGTTCATTCAAACAGGCATTCAACAGAATGCAGAGCCTATATGCAGACAAGATCTTTGAGAAGATCCTAAGCCCTTCAACCTCGGAGAAACGCTACCATGGAGTCCATATTTACCATCATGGAGTCACAGGTGGAAATCTCACGTTGGACTCCTTCCCCGGATTAGACTATACTGAGAACCGACATGAACGCCGCGAAGAACTTCGCAACTTAATCCGACGCCGCTATGCAGAGCGTCGCTACAAGCCTACCAAGCTCCAGTTCATGCGGCAAGCTGAGGAAAGAGTGCCATTCATGGAAACCGAAGCCGCTAAGACTCTGCGAGCTCCGGCTGTTGGTGTCACTGTCAATATTGTCAAGGGCAGATGCGTAATTGAGGCTGTTCCAACTGCACAGGAAACTCCGCCTTTGGAGTATGGAGAAGTGCCTCATGTCAAAGAGGCTTCTTGGAGAGAAACTGTACTTCAATGGTGGAATACTGCCGTTCAAGTAGGGGAGTTCTTTCGTGACGCACGCCAGCGGCAGGCCCGAGCCCGGGCCTCCACTGCTGGAACAGCTGGCTTCCTTCAGGGAGTTCGTCAGTGGTGGAATGGATGGTCAACGGCTCAGACGTCGCCAGGTGATGCTGATCAATGAGAACTGGGTCTGAGGGTATTCTGTGCAGGACGAGAGAATACTTATTCATCGTGCGACTACTGTCATTACTAAAGTCGAGTTTGGAAATGACTCGTTGAGCTTACTTATATGTCAAATTGTCTTTGCAATCGCTACACATCTGGCCACGTCCTCTCGGGAAATGACGACCCTAGAATTACTAGACGCAACTAAATTTCTTGACATGGAATAACGAATCTTATGTAGAGCTCCACTTTATCCTTATTATAACTAGCTTACAGTTTCATGAAAGAATCGGATGGTTGCAAGCCCGAACTGACTTGTACAAACATGTTTTCTCGTTGAACGACTTTACTATCGTAATCTACCAGGTGGGTGGTGTAAAAGATCGCCTCTCCCCTGCCAAAGCTCCTAACTTGAACGCCAACAGCCTCCCAGCCGATTGCTCCCTCGTATGACCCGGGTCTATAGACATTCTCTTCGATGCACTCCTGTTACTTGACACCGACCTGTTTCTTCTGAGATCCACGGCACTCGAAGCTGAGATGAAGCTCTGTCGGGATGAAATAGACTCTCCACGCGACCGTCGGTTCAAACCTTCAAGCTTCAACTTCAGAGCCATGCTGGTCTCATAGGGTCGAGATGGAGGCGTTTGAATGACAGATTCAGTCACAGAGCCTGTAACGGAGCTTCCACTGAAAGAGCTGCGACGAGATTGTGCAGTTGTACACGATGCTGAAGATGGGACGCTCTCATCATCTGGAATGGACTTCAAGCGTTCCATGAGCGGTTGAGTGTTGGTGACAACCAAGTCGTCGGCTTCCTCGAAAGAAATGGAGCTGATTGAGGTACATTTGGCCGGGGCACTCAACCGAGAGGCTGAGCAAGACATGATCTCATAACCTGCCATAATTCTCATGCGCGCAGTGAGCATCTGGTCCTTGCAAGCAAGCAAAGCATTGGGGTCTAGCTTGAGGGCTGTCTTGAGCTCCAATGGCTTGAAGCGACTGGTGTTCTCGTTCAAGGCGTCGGCGCTCTCACTAGCCTGAGGGCTGGGCTTGTCGTTCATTGAGATAGCCTTTTGAAGATCTTCCAGCTGAAGTTGACTTGGCATACTGCTCAGCCGGCGGATTGCCTTTTCGTTCGCCTTCATGAAGCTTCCCATGCTTTCAACTGCCCCGACGTTCAATCTGGAGGCAGATGAGGCGACCGTGCCGTCCTTGGCGAGGGTGTTGCCTCTCTCGTGGTGAATATCATTGACTGTAACTGGTTGAACGACCGTCGTCGGTGATTCAACAGTCGAGGAAGTAATCACATGCTTGATCTGTGAGAGGATGTTGTCGAAAGTCGTTTTCTCCAATGACTTCGCGTTGATGTAGTACGACTCAGATTGACCGTCCATCGAAGCCTCACTGGTACGCGCTCGAGTCATGACAAAGAAGGTACCATCGCGAATACAACGTCTGAGGAAAGCCCATCGCGTTCGTGCTGGGTTATGTTCCAGCTCCGGCTGATACACAGTGAGACGTGCCAACTGAGTGTAGAACATGGCCAAGCGGTGTGCCATCCTCTCGAGAGTCTGCAAGAGGAAGGATGACAGGGCAGCCACAGGCGTAGAGTCCGAGTTAGACCCGTCGAAGGAATCGAGAACAGTCGCGATACTCTCGAAAGCATCCATACCATTACAAGCCTCTTGTCTAAGATCTTCCAAGAGCTCAATGTCAAGCTGCACGCACTTTGCAGTGAAATCGAGGACTCCCCGCTCTTGGAAGCGCAGTTCAGAAGATGGATCGCAGACAAAATCTCCAAGAGCACTGATTTCCTTCGCGCTGCGAACTGCGTCGCTACCAGACTTTGCACGAGCAATGGTGCCCAGAATGTCTGGTAGTTTGGAAGCTGCACCAGGTCCGCCAGAGTTGGCGAAGTTGAAAGACAGGCGAAGAACTAACTCCTCCAACTTTGACCCGAAGAGAGCAGCGAAACCACCTTGTAGCAAGCGATTCTGGTAATCGTAGAATGTTCGAATGGCAATGGTGTTTGGAAGTCCTTCGCGGAGCCAGATGTTGCTGATGCCATTGGGGTCATACGCAGAGGGAGAGTCAATCGAGTCTCCCATGATATCGTTCATCTCAAACTGATGAGCAACAAGCGTCTCGACGGTGACCCTCAAGTAGGAAGCCCAAAGATCATGAAGCGTAGAAACGTCGCTATCACGATAGTCGGGCTTGGTAGCTAGGTGACCAATGAAGTACCTTGTCAGAAGACTGGACACCTCTGGATTGTTGGTATGTGCAAGGTTGTCGAAGGACTTGGTACAGTCGACACCTGCGTTGGACTTGATGATGAGAGTCCCGCCAGGGTGCATGGGACAGAAGTCGGTGACGTCGTACACACTTCCGTGAACGGCAATCCACATGCGGGAGGCAGGGCGATGACCAGTATGTAGAGCAAGGCTCGAAAGAGAGATTGTTGGGAGGTTGCAAGGAAGGGCTTTGGGCGACATGAAAACGTCTAGCATGAAGCGACGCTCTGCAAATGCCTTGTTGATGATCAGGTCGACTGTGTCCATGGTTGCTGTGCGGTAGTTGTATATGGCCTTGCGAATACCACTCATGACCGAGTCGAACACAGACACTGAGCCGCAGACGTACAAGTGACCACCAAGGCCGCCTTGCTTCTTCGACATGACCATGTCGCAGATCGTGTTGCCCTGCTCGATGATGAGGCTGTCGATGTATCGAGGCGGCGTTGCCTTCTCCACAAGATCTCGCGCAACACCATCATATGTCAAGCCATGGCGATCTCTGGAGAACGCAAGATGGACCTCCATGAAGCCCATGTTGACTAACTCCCGAAGCTCAGCCTCGTAACAGAACTTTTCACGAGACTGTACTCCCAAGTAGAGCAGGTTGCGTCCACCAGACAGACCAGACGTCGCTAGCCGATGCTGCCAGAAGCTTCGGAAGGGGGCGATGCCACTACCTCCGGCGAAGAAGGCACAGGGAGCCATTTTGTCGATGGGAAGCTGGAAAGCCACTGGTCTAGAAACGCCGATCAAGACTTCGTACAAGAGGCTGTTCTCTGCGGACAAGGGACGAGGGTTAAAGAAACCACTCGCGACACCAGCTCTCGTTACGGTTTTTCCTTGAGAGAAGATGGGAGAGAGCTCGTATTCGGCGCGAGAGATGGTCAGGTCAACTGTGTTGGGAAGTAGTTCGTTGCTGTAGCTCGAGATGGAGTATGTTCGAGGGACCTCGAGCTGGACAAGTTCGGGCAGCCAGCTGAGGTCTTCAAGGTTGAAAGCCCTGTTCCAGATATGACTTGGTGTATCGAGAACCGCCTTCTGGAGAAGGTCGCCCAGAGATCCACGAACGGGCCACTCCTCTGTAGCCAGGACCTGAAGAACAGTGTTGGAAGAAGCGTGAAGAAGCTCGTGAACCTTGACTGTAAGCTCCTTGGTAATTGGAGCGAGGTGACCCCGGCGGAGGATGTCGATTACGGTGAGTTGTCTGTGCGCGGTCCTTGTGACTGTGGAAAGGTGATGCTCAAATCGTGACCAAGTGCCTGTAGTGTCGACTGGCTCCCTAACGTGTTGATCAAGACCCAGAGCAGCCACCATCTTCGCACATTCTTCCCAACTGTTGAGAGGCATAACAGCCACACGATCTCCAGGCGCAAATGTGATACCTGTGTCTCGAATATCCAGAGTGACCATGGCAGTTGACCGACTTGCATCTTGATCAATGGAAGAGCAGCTCGCAATCTTAGCCATATACCGACACTCCTCAAAAGTGCCCCTCATCGAATGCGGCTCCATATCGAGCTTGCCACGAAAAGGCTCAAGGCGCTCTTTCATAGCATCTGAGAACTGACGGTGTGTCTCCTCCCAGGGCCTCGTCGCATCTGCAGCTCCGGAGAGACCGTTTGTGGCTGTTCGTCCAGTCTTGGCTGCGACTTCGAGGATACCAAAGACTTTGTAGCGATGAACACCCATGAAACCGCGTTCGCCGGCGTAGGCTTCGACAATGCCCTCAAGGACACCCATGAGGCGAGCGTCACCGGATCGTTGGACGAATTCTGGGATGGCGTAGTGGTATTGAATGGCTGCGATAAAGGCGCGGTGGTTGGAGGGGAGCCATGCTCGAAGATGAAGGGCTTCGACGCCGAGGAAGGATGCGTGCCTTTACCGTGTTAGCGTTAGCCACAGAGGTATCCAGAACTTGACCCACGTCTTGCGACCTAAAAAGGCATCCATAACTAGATACGGAGGGAACTGCAAGCCCGAAGCAGCAGGGACTCGCTTGGACAATGGCGTAGAGAAGAGTCCCCATCGAACCCATTTGTCAGCAGAAACGTAGTTGTCGCCTGCGTTGGGGTTGGGCGAGATGCTGTGAAAGGCGTTGGGCATTCGTTCTAAGATTTCTTTTAGGCGAATCATCTCGTGGAGAAGGCCTTCGACGTTGCCGGTCATAACGTGCTCTTGACAAGCGGCGATGGCATCGGGACCATGTTGGAATGAAGCTGTAGGCAATTAGCAGGTGGCAACTAAATGAACTTGAGCAAGCGTCTTACCAGAGGTATCAGCGCACCCTTTCAGAAATGCGACCTCGGCCCTCTCTCCAAACATGGGCCATCGCAGATCAGTATTATCGAAACGCGCAAGATATGGGGTGTTGGACTTGACGTCTCTGATCTTGAGGTTATACGAAGCCTGATCAGGAAATGACAGATGGGGCAAGGTTCTTCCCATTCTTCGCGAGACCTGATAGTATGGAAGAGCGATGCACAACGGGATGCCCTCGAGCTCCTCGCAAAGGTCATCACCCATGGGACATTGTGGCTTCGTTGTCGATCCATCTGTGATAGCAAGTCCATCCTTCCCATCGTGCTTATCCTCAAATCTGTAGATAGAACAGAGCATGCCGAGCGCGACCACAGCGCCCCAGAGGGCTTGATCAGGAATATTCTCCTCCGTCCCTTCAACAAGTGGCAGCGCAGCGACTGCTTCTCGCACTCTTCCGCGGGCGCAACATCCTGGCATGCGCTCACAAAGATCAGACCAAATGCGACCCGGCGATCTTGCAAGCTCGGCGATGGGCTCTTCGTAGTCTGGAGGGCAGAAGCCATTCTCGACGCTGAGGTATCCGTCGCGCCATCCGGTTTGCGGGCCGATCTCTTGGGCTCGTTGAAGAACTTGTCGTGCTGGTGCACCGAGGGCGATGGCCAGAAGATCATGGTCGCTTGCATTCATGGCATCGAGTTCTTGTTGACTTTTGACGGAATCAACTTCCTCACGGGATGGGTAGTCGGCGTAGAGGAGTTCGTTGATCGTCTTTCGTTCTCTGTTCAACCGCATGTCAGCTTTGTCATGACTTGCCTTGTTCATGAAACATCCTACCTTGCGCGAAGCCATTCTTCTGTATCAATCCCACGGGGAATCTAGATTTTTCATCAGTACTTCTTTCCAATATTCCAGCACCTCTACTCACATCAAATGCAGCATGAAGATCACCAGGTTGCGCCGCCGCCGAAAATGCGCATCCTCGTCGCGTCTGGCCCGATCGCGAAGAACCACTGACAGGACATTCTCCTCCCGCAGAACCCGACACCGGACAAGATGAAATCGACATGACGAAATTGAAACGATCGACCAATTAATAAAGACAAATAAGGCCACCAGGGCAAAGAAGGAAATACACAAAACAAACGCAAACAAAAGCCACCAGGGCTGAGCAAAAAAAACGTACGACAATCGAACGACACAAAGCGAGGGACGAGAAAGATCAACTTTCGCGATAAGAGTGGAAATAAAATTATTAAGTTCGTGGTAATATACGTACGTAGTATGACTTCTCTGGGGCAGAGAATTGAGACATGTTTCAGGATGGTTGCACCAACACTAGACGGAAACATGCCAAGCCAGCCATCTCCTTGGTCACAGCTCCGCGGCGCTCTATTGCAACTAATATTTTAAGCTTAAATTGAGGGATGAGACGGTAATTGTGACATGGCAAGACGCTGGTGCACCCGGGACTATGAGGTTCCGTCTGAAACCAAGACATTGGAATTCCTGATTGCTCTTTTTACGATGTTATCGGCGTTGCACCACGTACCCTTTTATTCTTTAGGTTTCATAATGGGCAGTGTGAATGATGATTGATTAGATAGGAGAATTTATAACTTTAGATCTGTGCTTGTTACCCCTGCAAATTCGTGAGAGCCATTGCGGGTCGAAGTTTTCCCAGCATAGGCGGATAAAAATGGCCAGTATATATTTGTGGCGCTCTAGGAGTGATTGTAAGAAATAACATGGTATGAATTGAGTGATATAGTCAAAAGGTGCTTAGTGCCATTTATTACGATCATTAGTAGATCCATCCATCGTCTCATAGGATTTTGTGGACGTTGATTACTTGGTGGTTTAACTATGTCCTACTTTATGAAAGAGAGTCGCTCAGTCCACGAAAGCTTAGCAAAACATCAAAACTAATACACAAGAGCTGACCTATCATTGAACCCTCATCTTATGACTTAGATTCAGATTCCCATGCCAATTGATTCAGTAATGAAGCGAATGGGCAACCATTGGCTGGCTCTTGTGACTACCCTACATCTTTCGCCAACGAGACTAGTGTTCTGGACCAACGTTTTCCCGCTCGTCTCAGCGCGCTAACATGGGGAGGTCTCAAATCAACTCCACAGTGATCGGCCAGGACATGACCCAGGTTCAGTCAATATGTCCAATCAACCGAACCAGGCGCAAACAACGAATAACCCTTCTCGCCGCCAAGCACTCAACGTTAGTCTCATCGCCGCACGAACGAGAGCCAATGACTGACTGACCAGGCTTGCGAAGCTTGTCGAAAAAGAAAGACAAAATGTGACGAAAGGAAACCGGCTTGTGCTCGATGCACGCGTTTGGGTCTCGAGTGCATGTACATTGAGACTGTTGCTGCAAAGTATGTACGTGGACGAAACTAGAGATGGTGTAGTAGCTGATGTTTCGTAGGAAGAACCTGTCTATTGAGGAACTGACGGGCACGTTGAAGCGGATGGATGAGAAACTCGATGTCCTTACAGCTTTCGCTCAACAGAATGATGGTCATCATCGTGTGCCCAGGGATCACGGCTTGTACGATACGACTGGACTAGCCTCGAGTCCTGGAAACAGCCATACTGCTGCTTTCAGTCCCTTGAATCTTGGCGGTACTGGACTTCTTCAAAATGCTTCAACCCCATTTCTCGACACCGGCCGAGTATTAGAAGAGCTCTCACTATCCCAACGGCACTCTACCGCGCCGCAGCATCTTCTCACATGGCCTTGCTCAACTCTTTCGATGAGCGAACCGGAGCTCCAGTACCCGATGGAGTTGGAGATAAAACGTCCAAGGTTATCTCGATCGACAGCGCCACCTCGTTGCCATGAAGCTGGGACACCGGCTGGAGAGGACTCTTGGTTATCACGTCTGTCATTATCCCAAGTCAGCTTACTGACACAGTCATACTTCCAACACTTCCATCCGTCATGCCTAATCCTGGATGAATCTTTGTTCTATTCTCTTGTTCTGAGCAACGCCGTGCAGACTAATTTCGCGCCAAACTATAACTCATGTACAGTTTTGTTGGTCTGCAGCTTAGGGTCCATAGTGGCATACTACGCCGGTCACGAAGAGTGGACATCAGGTAATGAGCAAGATGTTGGATTGGGCTTTTTCAACTTGGCGAACGACATGTTCCGTGATTTAGAGGGAGGTAATTGGGAGAGCGTCCAGTGCCTGCTTCTGATGGGGTGAGCTGTCCCCGTTTGTCTTGCTTCACCGTCTGCTAATAGAAAGACAGTCTATTCTATTCCGCTAAACTCAGAGTCTACGACGCCTGGCAAGTCAACCATAAAGCTTGTTGCACTGTCTCAATACTCGTGCCACTGTATGCTAGACTTTATTAGCCCCTGGTATCCGTCAACTAACCTTATCTTAGGCAACGCACATTAGAGGCGCAGCATTGCCAGATATTCTGGATTGCATATCTACAAGAGAGGTAAGAAATCCCGCAGTACAACCGGTTCCAAGCTAATGCAGAGCTTGAAGCCAAATTCTGGCCGAGTTCGACTTTCCAGCAAGTGGGCTTGGAAAGCTCGCGAGCAGCATGCCTCTACCCGTCATTCCCGGAGCAGGCACAGATCCTCGCCACGCACAGTACCAGTTCTTCTTCCTAGCTCTTATCTCTATGAGAAAACTGCTAAATCGTATTTTGTTCCACCTTTACAGCCGAGGTAAACCACCGGACCTAAGGATGAATCCACAAGCAACCTAACATGGACCAGACCATACCAAAGACACTACGAATGGAGAACCAACACTTGCCGAAAAGCCCGCCGCATTCTTGTCAGTTTCCCCGTCGGTGATATTCGAGCTAGACCGGCAACTGGAAGAATGGAGAACTTGTCTGCCCCAGGGACTCGAGTTCCCCAGCTACTCAGAGGCCCAACTTGCAGAAGTCCCTGAACTTGATCAGACTCATCGTTCGACGGATGAGAGGCTACGTGGCCATCTACAGGCTCGCTACTTTGCTGCAAAGTCTATCATTCATCGACCATATGTCTACAAAACTCTACATTACGACACTACAGCTTCTCTTAGTGACGCCGACGCAGCAGGCGCACGCACAGCGGTTGGCAGCGCGTTAATGTCTGTGATATCAAGTGGAATCTTACATGAGCCATTGGTCTTGCTGCTTCATCCTATTAATTCCTGTAGAAGGTATAATAATGTCCTCACAATATAATCTTGCGCTGACTTATCTCTAGTTTGTTTGCTTGTGAGCTTCAACTTGCCTTTGTACTCCGCAGCGACTCTTGCCAATTTGTATTGCCCCAGAATTGGAAAATTGCAGAAGAGGTTCGAAAGGTTATTTCGGGGTTGGTAGCAGAGATGTCACCGACAGCGTTCCGAGATGGCGAAATATTAAACATTTTGGTTTGCTAAAATGACCTCACTAAGCAGGTATATTGTATTTTTGCTTACTTTATAATGCATACTTCTAATTGACCCAGTGACACTCTTTTGGAGACCTGAAAGTGACTGTCAATCCTTCGTCCCTGGAGTCCTTGGCCGCTGTCACGCGATACTCGGCATCCTTCTCAATCACCCACTTATCAAAGCTATCATCCCAGTAAGACAAGCTGACCTTGTCAATCTTCATACGTACAGTGACAGTCTGGCCAACAGGAACGAAAACCTTGCCCCAGCCCTTCAGCTCCCTCTCTGGTCGATGAAGCCTCGGATCAAGCTGACCAACATAGAACTGAACAATCTCCTTTCCATCGCGCGATCCAGTATTGGTGACATCTACCTCAACTTCAATGCCCACTTCTTCATGAAACTCATTGCTGCTAACGTGCATGTTGCTATACTCAAACGTGGTGTATGACAAACCTGCGCCAAAGGGGAAGAGAGGGTCGATCTTGCGATGGTCGTAGAATCGATAGCCTGCATAGATACCCTCGCCGTAATAAACCACATCATTCTCACCAGGATAATTATCGTAAGGTGGTGTGTCTTCGATGCGCTTGGGGAAGGTGATGGGTAACTTTCCGCTGGGATTTACTGTCCCCAAAAGCACATCTGCAAGACAATTGCCCTGCTCCTGTCCTTGGTACCAAGCCTGGACAATGGCAGAGACCTCATCCTTCCAGGGCATGGTGATAGGGCTGCCTGTCTGGTTGACCACGATGGTGTTGGGGTTGGCTGTAGCGACGGCGCTGATGAACTCGTTTGATCGCCCAGGCAAGTCCATGGAAACCATATCGCTTGTCTCCGTCTCCCACTCATGATCTTTGCCCACCACAACGATTGTGATGTCGCTGTCACGAGCCATATCAACGCCTTCCTGGAAGAACTTATCTAGATCACCGGGGTTTTCCATGAAGCCAATACGACCACCATCTTGAACCTCCTCGCGTTCAAGTTCCGCCATGTAATCGAGATCATAGGGCTTAGGCTCTCGACTTATGGACTCAAGAAGCAGTTGGTACTCTCGCCCGGCTTCCATGTACACCTTGACCCTCTCCTCTGGAGAACCGTAACTCATGAACAGAGAGGATTTGGGAGACCACCAGTGTCGCTCGATATCGATAATGACCTCTCCATCAAGCATGAGCTTTCCTGGTCCACATGAAGACAGTGAGAACTCATGGAGCCCAGTGGTCTTTGGCTTGAGGATAGTTCGTCCTCTGTATGAGTATCTCTCACCAGTCGTCAACTCTGGAGGAAGCCCATCATAGCAGACCAAGTTGGAACTAGGTCTATTCTCAACCATGAAGGGCTCTCCGCTGTGGTTCATGTTTCGGAACAGAGATAGTTGAAAGCCAGGCTTTCCAGTCTCTGGATTCGTCATGACAGATTGGTCGATGAGCGGGATGTACCGATGGGTGAGAATGCCTGCGTGGGCTTGGACCTTGGCTGTAGGAAACTTGGCGGCTATTTCGGCCTTGATCGATTGGTAAGGTGTTGTTCGATAGTGAGGCGCGAGGTTAGAGCTGCCTCCACCTGTAGCTACCGAACGGAGAGCGTTGGGTCCGAGAACAGCGATTCTTTTCCCGTTCAGATTGGACAGAGGAAGAAGCTTGGAAGAATTCTTGAGCAGAACGATACCTAGAGGTTCAAATTAGAATTGTGCTTCTCGACTTGGAGCTTCAACTTGCCTTCTGCGCCAGCTCGACGGAAAATTGCCCGATGTTCAGGAAGATCATCTGCCTTTTCCTTGCCTTCCTTCCATTCAGGAATATTACTCTTTCCAACTTTATGTACAAGCTCAAGGACTTTTGAAGCCGAGGCGTCGATAAAGGATAGATCGACAAGGCCTTTATGATAGGCGTCGATAAGATGCTTGCCTCTTCGTCGCACAGGCCCCGGCATCTCGAGATCAAGCCTACCACATGTCAGTTATCTTCTAAGCGCTGTTAGATCGCGATGTAATACCCTGCCTTGACAGATGGGACAACACTATTTGTGCCAAACCAATCACTCATCACAAGACCATCCCAACCCCATTCCTTACGAAGAACATCCTGAATCAAAAAGTCATGAGCCGAGCAGAACGTTCCGTTGATCTTGTTATAAGCAGTCATAACCGTCCAAGGATTACTATCACGAATAGCAATTTGGAACGGCTGCAACGCAATTTCTCGTAGAGCTCGGTCTGGAATCTTCTCATCGATGAAGAAGCGTCGCGTTTCTTGGTCGTTTGCGGCAAGGTGCTTGATACAAGCGCCAATACCGGCATCTTGGAGACGGTTGATGAACTCACCGGCGATTTTGCCGGTGAGGTAGGGATCTTCGCTGTAGGCTTCGAAGTTGCGGCCGCCGAGTGGTGTTCTGGGAATGCACACTAAGAAAAGTTAGAATCGTGTGATATTGAGCGGGCGGAGCGTTATTACCTGTTGGTCCGAGCAGAACATCAACTTCCTTGCTCTTGGCCTCGTGGATCAAAACGCTGCAAACGTCTCTAATGACAGATGAATCCCAAGTCGCCGCTAGGGAAACCCTGTGGTAGAACCTTGTTAGTCTCGGTAACACCGCATGGATAGAGAAATAATTACCCGGTAGGTGCTGAAGCGGCGCTGACTCCATCTGTAAAAATACCCCCACGAACACCTACAGGTCCGTCCGAGGTCTTGATTCTGGAAACACCAAGACGAGGAATTGGGTTCGTTCTCCAGAGGTCTTCACCCGTGAGCAAAAGGACTTTTTCTTCAAGAGTCATTTGCGAAAGCTTGTTTTGCGCCCAAGCCTTAGCCTCATTTTTGACGTGCCCGTTATTAAGGGGAGGTTGGGCTTTTACAAGGGTCATCGCGGGAAGACAGGTTCGTATAAGGGGATTAAAAAGTAGTGATGTTACTCGAAGTGACTCGACTCTGCGTATGTAACTTGAAATCCAAAGGCGTCATATCTGCTTTTTAAGTAGGAAAGACCAGTAAATAATACACATTTTCTGAAAGGAATGCTATTCGCTAACCTGCGTCATCCACTTCTTTGGTCGTGTGAGACTGTGTTTCTTGGCCCTGGCGGAGTTGGTCCGTCTATCCCCGCCAACCCTAACGCTATGATCAATACGCTCGGATCTCGTTCCAATTTCCTATCTTTCCGATGCTACACTCTAAACTGCCAGAACCGCTTTAGCGAGCCAACGACAGGCTCCAATGGTCTCATTAATTGCCCGGTTAGGACCGATGTAAGCCTTGTTCTTGACTGATATAAATTTCAACCGCAATGTGAGCGGCAGTTTGAATACAAATCTCATTAGACATATCAGTCTTAGCAATGATAATCGTGATCCAAGAGCATCCTCGGCTTGAGGGAAAAGTCCCAGGAATTTCCCCAGATGCCCTCTCCCAAGATTCTGCTTCCACTGAGACATTGAATGAGGTTCGAGTGCCCCTTGGCCTTGAAGCCCTTGAACTATCATTCTCGCTCGCCGATCATCTTCGTTCTGTCGACCTTGGTATTTCATCCACCCACGATGTGACCGACATATACCTGTCGCCATTCAGCTGGTCAGGTCACAAAAAGACAATCACCCTCTCGGGACCCTTCATGGCATCTACTCTTGCAGCATACGCAGCCGGAGCATACGCTCTAGCTTCAGAGCCCCTTCGCAACAAATGGGATATCAGCGATACCCTCTTCAACATCGGAATCACCCTTTTCGTTGTCGGCTTTGCCTTTGCCCCTATGGTTTTAGCCCCCATTAGCGAGATGCATGGTCGATATTGGACGTTCGTCGGCTCTGGAGTCGTTTTCTTCCTTGGCACTCTTGGATGTGCTGTTACAGAAAGCTACGTCGGCATGATGGTCTCTCGCCTGATAACAGGCAACGGAGCCGCAGTATTTGCAACGCTTACGGGTGGCGTTGTGAGTGATCTGTATCGCAAAGAAGACCGCAATACCCCAATGGCTCTATACTCCATGACAATCATGATCGGTGCTAGTCTTGGACCATTGATCAGCGGAAGCGTCGTGGACCTTCTGGGCTGGCGATGGATCTTCTTTATCCAACTCATCGCAATCGGTATAACGACAGCCGCATTATTCTTTCTGTTCAAGGAGACACGAAGTAACGTCCTTTTACGTCGGAAGTGCTTCGCGCTCAATGCAGCCCCATTCAAGACATCAACTGGAACAGTGGTTACCTTTGCTCCTGCGACCGAAGAATTCCTGAACATCGAGATCAGCATGATATGGCGAAGTTTTGCGTTCCCACTACGACTTCTCTCGACGGAGCCCATTGTGTTCTGTTTGTCGTTATGGGTTTCCTTTGCCTGGGCAATCATGTACATGCAATTCAGCAGCATTGGACTAGTGTTTCGCAGCGTATATGGCTTCGATAACGCCCAGGTTGGGGCAGTTTACACCGCTACTATTGTTGGCTCAATCATGGGCATCGGGGTTTCTCTGTTGCAGGAATCTATCATACAACGGATGCTCCCTCACAAAAAGCCGTTGTCTACACCGGAGCAGCGTCTACTCTCACCATGCATACAGTCCATTCTCCTACCGATTGGTCTCCTTTGGTTCTTCATGACAGCTGGACCAAATATCTCATGGATGTCTCCGTGCATAGCCCTTGGCTCATGTTCAATTGGCATTTTCAGCATCTATCTCGCTGTCTTTAATTATCTTGCTGATACATATCATGGATATGCCTCATCGGCATTGGCAGCTCAGAGTTTATGTCGTAATATCTTGGGAGGAGTGTTTCCACTTGTCACGGCTAGGATGATAAGTAGTTTGACACTACAAGGTACGGGTGGCTTGCTTGGTGGGCTCGGACTATTGTTGACTGGTATTCCATGGTTGTTGTACTTTTATGGTCAGAGAATTAGAGCTCGGAGTCTTTTCGCAAAGGGCATGGAGTGATCATAAGGGAGTGCGAGGGGATTGACATCGATATATGTAACTATAGAGAGGAAAGTTCATCGATATTATGACTTCCCGCTCTGCCGTCTACTGTAATTTATCTGATGTGTATCAAAGGCACCTGGCAAATTACTGTCTGTTTTCTAAACTAGCCTTAGTTAAATTAAATTGGCTTTATAGTTCAGACTGTTTTGCTATTTCCTGGAAGCGAAGCAAGGACGATGAATATCTTCCTTGTCGAACGTGGAACGGCATCCTTCAGCATATCAAAGCTCTAGTTTCCTTAGCATCGAGATTGAGTAGAACAACCGGCCTTGACACCGGTGATACGGCGTTTTCACCGGGTAACTTGGCATCGCATAGCTAAATGCTATTGAGAACAGGGCATAGGACGTCTTGCAAGAAATCATAATTGTGTAGTTAAGCGAGCTCAGGTTCGAAGCGGGGAGACACGGACTTTAGCTCCGCGGCAATGGCTGACCCATTTTTCAGTCTCCAAGAGCGGAGTTGGTCCGTCTCTCCGCGCCTTGGTCTGATTTACCTCACCGGCTAAGCTGCTTTCAGAATCTGGGGGTCACATCAACTAAGTTTTCTGGGGAACGGTCTTCCCTGGTCAATCTGGGGATGAGCACGAGATCACTGGAACTTGGGACCAGACTCTTTGGGACATGTAAATGTCAGCCCATGGAATTTGTGGCTTGGTCTACGACTCCGACAAGAGCTTGTCTACGGGAGATCCAATGAAGAGGCAACTTGTAGTATAAAGCTGCTACATCTCGCCAATGCTACCGAGTTTCTGGGACAGTTGATCGACATCGACTGACAGGGTCACTTCTTCTACAAGGCTGCTTCTCTTCTCTCGAGTCACCATGACCACCAATACTCCTTCCACTCGCCCGGCTCATACCGTGGCCGAGATTCTCGCCCAAGACAAAAGTTCTGCCTTTGCCTTAACCCCGTCACTCATCCATCTCTACGCCATCCTCGCTCCAGCATGCCTCGTCGTCTGCGCAACCAATGGCTATGATGGAAGTGTTCTTACATCTCTTCAAGGTGTATCCGCATGGAACAACCAGTTCGGTTCCCCCAAGGGCGCTCTTCTCGGTATCACCAGCGCTTCGTATCCACTCGGTGCAATCATCTCGACTCCTTTCTCGGCTTACATCTCGGATCGCTTCGGCCGTCGACTTTCTATCATTATTGGAAGCTTTATAATGATCATCGGAGTCGTCGTTCAATGCGCCAGCACGAATATCGAAACGTTCATCGGTGGACGTATAATCGTTGGCTTCGGTATCACACTCGCTCTCGCCGCTGCCCCGGTCCTCATCTCCGAGCTCGCCCATCCTCGACATCGAGTCTTCTTCGGTTCTCTATACAATACCAGCTTCTATCTTGGTGCTCTTTTGGCAGGTTGGGTGGCTTTCGGGAGTTATCGTATTCCTAGCGCTTGGGCATGGCGTCTTCCAACTCTTCTCCAAGCTGGCCCAGCCTGTATCCAAGTATGCTTTGTCTTTTTCTTGGACGAATCTCCGCGATGGCTAGCATATAAAGACCGAGGGGACGAGGCGTATAAGGTGTTGGTAAAGAATCATGGTGATGGTGACTGGGATAGTCCCCTTGTGCAGGCCGAGTTCTGGGAGATGAACGAAACTCTGAAAGCTGAGCGTGAGATCGAGGGCCAGGGTCTCGGGCTTTTTCTTGCCACGCCCGCCAACAGAAAGCGACTCGCTATCTTGATCACACTGGCAGTCTTTGGTCAATGGTCGGGCAATGGTCTCGTATCGTACTACCTAACCAAGATTTTGTCAAGCATTGGCATTGCAACCCAGAGGGAACAGACTATGCTCAACGGAACCATCAGTACTGTCAACTATGCAACCGCTCTCTTCGCCGCTGTCTTGTCCACCAAAGTCGGCCGGCGTTCCATGTTTGTTGGAGGTGGTATTGCAATGTTCCTCACTTTCTCAGCACTTACCGCCAGTATTGCGATATACAATGAGACCGGTTCAAAGGCAGCAAGCAAATCCGCGCTTGCTTTTATCTTCATTTACTACACCTCCTTCAACATCTGCCTGAACCCACTGCTGTTCTTGTATCCCACCGAGATTCTTCCTTTCAGACTTCGAGCCATGGGTCTCAGTATCTTGGTCTTCTCTACAAAAGCAGCTTCGTTCTTCAATCAATTCGTCAATCCTGTTGGTATGGACTCTTTGGGCTGGAAGTACTATCTTGTTTATGTTGCTTGGCTCTTGGTTGAGATTCTTGTCTTCTGGTGGCTTTACCCCGAGACGAAGGGTTACACGCTTGAGAGGATTCAGGAAGCGTTTGGAGAAGACTTTAAGTTGGATGGACCGGAAGAGAAGGGTAAGACGATGGATGTAAATGATGAGGACAGCACCCATATTGAGAAGGTGGCACATTCTACGGTTGCTGTTGCGTGATGGGCTGTAAGAAGAAGTTGTGAAAGGGCGGCCTGGGATGGGTGACACAGATAGCGCGTGTAGTGAGTTATTCAGGGCAGATTCCCCAAAAGCACAGTTCTGTTTCACTTGGCTGCCCAAACCAGAGTGTTACCAACAGTAAGTATTCACCGATTGTGCCAGATTCTCGAGCCAAACACCCAAATCACTGGTCATATGGTTGCTGAATGTGTCGCAAATTGTCTATCCGTATCCAAATCACTGCTTTGATGTCGACTTGAATGAGCTCTCATCGAAAGACAATGGAGTCCACCTACTTATATGAATACGCTATGCTGGGACGCTTTCCATCAACAAACTCGCAGCATATCACCACCTCTATACCAAAACAGTTTATCAATTCTTCTCCACTATCATCACTCTCAGAATGGGCAAATCAAAGTACCGCCAGTTGACTGCACAGTTCAAACCAAAGGCTGGAGTAACCCCAGCCCGAGAACCAAGAGATGATCCCCTTATCCATGAATATGGCTCTGGAGGCCGACAAGACGTCGATATTCAGAAGGGACTGCTTACATACACACTGAAGATTGATTTCAGCGATGCAGACAAGGCGATCGGGAAGTTGTGGAAAGTGCTTGACAAGATGCATGTTTTAGACGAGTGGGAGGGTCTCAACGTCTTCGGTATCAGGACGAAGGACAAGGGTCAGTGCGATTATTTTACAGTTCCTACGCCAGAAAATACAAGAGCTTCTTAGCAGTCCACTCCTAGCCTCTGATTCCAGGATGATGGAAATTAAAGACAAGTTGTGATGGATGAGGACGAGAGACGAAACGTTTCATGTCGATAGGGATGGATGAGGCCTTGGGCAGGGATGCTGTTATAAGCCAAACAAATAAACCTTTTTAATCAATTCATTCCTAGTTTGTTCTACGTGAAAGTCCCAATATAAGAAGGCCACGGGTGAATAGACGTTAGTTTCCCTGGCCATTGACCAAACCCTTGCGAGAAAGCCACAGATCCATGTCATCTCGTGCCAACAACATGAATCTTCATAAAATGCTGCAAAGCCAAATTTCAAGCTGAGTGGAACGCAAAAGAAGCTGTTGAACTTGTCTCATGACAGAAAAGCTACCTATGTTGATAGAACTCTGGCTAAGTGAGTAAATACATGATATCCGAACATGAGCGATGACCATTGTCCGAACAAGAGTTTCCTCGCTTGTGAACCTCGACCTTTGGTTCTGTGGATCGGCTTCGAAACAGAATTACCTCGTTGCGAGTGATCAAGACAGAGCTCTCACGCTGAATCCAAGGGTGTAGACAGCGTGATGAGTGCAGTTTCTATACAGCCACTCAGGAACGATTAGCCTATCAAGAACTTGATCACTCTTGACGCTTTTTGCAAGAGCGGGTCTAATCAGAGTCAAACGTGCACTTGTCCAGGCATATAAACAGGCCATGGGCGGTCGTGTTCCACCAACAAGTCTCTTCACAAACATCACTCCACAACCCAGCTATTCACAAGACCAAACAATAAAGATGAGCTGTATCATCAAGCCAAAACGATACACGATCGAGTTCAATTTCCTTGAACCGGAAGGGATCCGAGAAAGCCAAATCGCCGCCGGGGAGGATCTATACACCCCTATCCGAGAGAAATACGGGGAGCGCCTCCGAGCTTGTAATTTAACCGACGAGAGGCTCAGCATTACCATATCGCAGTGTTTGGATGCGGATGGCACACAATCATATGACGAGTTATGCGAGGTTTTGGAGAAAACCGGGCTGTTTCATCAACATGGCATTTTGCACAGCCTCAATATTTCGAGAGGGAAGTGTTCAAGGAGACTCCGGGGTGGTTGGAGTTTTCATCACATTACAAGAGCCGTAGCCTTGAGTTGCTCCACCAGACTGCAGGGAGGATTGTTCTTTAAAAACGCAACAGCATATGACAAGAATCTTCTTGACCGACGAGGAGACCAGGCCACGATCACCGAAGACGTGGTTAAGGCTGCGGCTGGTAATGATGAGAATGGGGAGGAGGGTAGGTCAGGGCCCAACGAGTAGTTAGCGGCTCTCAGAAGACATGTTGCAATATTGCTATATCCTACATACAATGGGGTGCAGGTACAGCATCAACACGTTGGGTTTGGGGTTTCTGGGATCCATGCCAAAATTGTAGGAAAGGATTTACTTTGGCTGCCTCCCGAGTGTCGCAATGGAGAAGCAGCTACTGCGGTAAGCATCGTTGCCATAGGCTATCGATCAGGAAGAGTTGCGATTTTAGGAATTTCTGCCGCGGTCATATAGGCCGCGAATATGTACATATGTAGCAATCGAGAAGGTAGAGTAGAATAAATTGCACCTTTCCAAGTAGTTCACTTACCCAAAGACAGAGGCCACTGAAGACGAGCATGCATACTGGTCATCTGAGTGCTAATTCCAGCATTTGCTGCTGTATGGTTACTAAATCATGCTCATCGTTAGCAGTAGTAGTAACCTGGGTGATTATTCTAAGCTAAAAGACAGGCTTATTCTAGACGCGTCACGTGGAATATGAGATGATAGATAACGATTTTCTTGTGGCTATCTCTTTGACCGGCACAAGGCTACAACAAGTAACTTACCCCGCTTTTTTGCAGGTACCTGCCAGGTATGTAAAGTTCCCGTCAGATAGCTTCTTCTTTTAATACTACTAAAATTATTAAAATCCTTATATAAATTAACCTTAATAAGTCTTAATTAAAATAATAAGCTCTTAAGAGATATATATATTATAATAGTTATAGTAAGTATTTTAGGATAAGAGGTCTAAGCTTGTTAATAGGGCTAAATAGATATTTATAGTAATAAGGTATAAAAGGGTAATATCCCTTTAGGACTATAGACTTTTTATATGCTTTTTAAGAGGCTTCTTTAGACTTAATTCTTATTCCTTTTCCTTTATATTTAATACTATTAAACTAATTATTTAATTCTCTATTTTATAATAAAAACCTTATTTTAATTAAACTTAATTAATAGTTTATATTTAGTTTATAATTAAGAAATATTAAAAGATATTATTTTATATAGTTTTTTTTTATTATTACTTTTTACCTTTAAATTAGTTTTTAAAACTTAAAAAATTTACTTTATTAATATAATTAGTCTTTAAAAGGACTTTAAAGTAATTTAATTATTTAAAAAAAAAAAGGCACTTTTATATTACTTAAATTATAAATTATAATAAAGAAAAAGAAAAAGAAAATATATTTAATAAAGAATAAATAAGAAGTTAAAATAAATATTAAAAACTACTTATAAAAATAATAAAAAGTAATAAATCCCTTAATTATTAAGCTAAAAGTAGTAAAACTAAATAACTTATATATATAAAAAGTAATATTAAAATTATAAAGCTAATATTACTTTATAATAACTTCTTATATTAAAATAATATTAGAATTTACTATATAAAGAAATCTAGCCTTAATATTATAACCTAATAAGGGGAAGCGCTTATATTACATATAACCTACTAACTATCTTGCCAATTATACAGCAACTTATAAATAAACCCTATAATACCTATAAGCCTTATAATATAGCTTATAATATTAACTTATAACTTGCTATAAGCCTAACTTATAATACTATAAGCTATTATATTATATATATATATTTATTTAATAATAAATAAAACTTAACTTACTAACTATTAATAAGACTTTTTTACCTTAATAAGCCTAACTTATATTATTAATTATTAAGAAATATAATATCTTATTATTACTTAATATAATACCTTATAACTTTATAAATATAAAACCTAATATAAATTAATTTACTTATTTAAAAACCCTAATTATTATATATTAATAGCTCTTATTTAAAATATATTATATTAATAATTAAGTAATACTATATTATTAAGATATTTAATAATATTAATCTAATACTTCCTTATATTAAAGCACTGCCTAGCACTATTAAGATAATAATTAAAGTCTAATAACTTTATAATACTATCTATACTTTATAGGCTTAGGTAAATATATATCTTATTATAACTATTAATAAAGGCAATAATAAACAGGACCTAGGTAAAGCACTTAAGCCCCTTAAGCTAAAACCTTTTAGAGGCTAAGCTGCTAATATAATCCTATTCCTAACTTAAATAAAGGCTTACTTCTGCCTTTATAAGAATAAGCTAAATACCCTTATAAAGAAACTCCTATATACTATAAGCCTAATTTAGAGAGATATAAAGGATTAGTTTAAACTTATTTTAAGAGATTTCTTTAAAAATAAAGAAAAATAATAAGATTAAGATATTTAAAATATCTTTAAAAACTAAAGAAATTTTAAATAAGCCCTTAAAGATAACTTTAAAGTAATTAATAAAGAATAATAAGTTATAATAAAGTTACTTATATTTAAATAAATTAAGTTATATATTACTTACTTTATTAAGTTATAATAGCATATATTTAAGACTAAATAAGATAATAAAGCCTTAATAAAAGTTTATTATAAAGGATTAAAGAAAGAAGTTAAGGATAAACTATATTTAGCTAATAAATTTAAAAAAGGTTTAATTATATATATTACTATAATAATTAAAATTAATAAATAATAATATAAATATAAAAAAAAGAGAGCTAATTATAAATAAGGTAATAACTTTAACCTATATTACCTTAATTAATAATATAATAATAATAATTAAGATAACTCTTAAAACTAAGGCTAATAATAAGGTAATTATTAAAATAATACCTTATATAAAACCTAAGCAGGACTTATAGTATTTAAAGCTATATAATAAGGCAATAAGGGAAAATAAGATATATATTAATATAAATACTATAACTATAACTAATTTAAATATATAATATAATAATACCTTAAACTATAAAAACCCTAATAGTAAAACTAAGGTAAGTAACCTCTTTATAATAAGATAGGTTTTAAATAGGTAAACTAGTCTATACTAGGTTTTATATTTATAGAGTTATAGGGCATTATATTAAGCAGTTATAAAGTATTATATCTCTTAATAGTAAATAAAGTAGGTTAGGCATATTTAGGTAAAGAAGTCTTATTAATAGCTAGTAAGCTAAGTTCTATTTATTGCTAAATAAATATATATATATAATATAATAGCTTATAGTATTATAAGTCAGGCTTATGGTAAGTTATAAGTTAATATTATAAGCCGTATTGCGAGGCTTATAGGTGTTATAGGGTTTTATTTATAAGTTATTGTGTAATTAGCAGAATTATTAGTGGGTTATACGTGATGTAAGCGCTTCCCCTTATTAGGTTGTAATACTTTTAAATTAACTTAAGTATTAGAAATAACTTAAAGTAAGTATAATATAATTCTATATTATAAGTTAACTTTTATAACACTATTACTTAAAATTATAAAAAGGAAAAAAGGAAAATTACTTTTAGAAAAAAAATAAAAATAATAAAAACTTTATAAAAATGAAATTAATAATAACTATTATTATAAAAAGATAAAGGATTTAAAATAAAAAAATACTTTTAATAAAAATAAAAAAAAGATAATAGTAAAAGAAAGATAATAAAAAAGGCAATAAATAATAATAACTAAAAGTCTTTAAAATAATATAATAAGAAATAGTAATTATCTTTAATATAAATAAAAAAGCTAAGTTAACTAGTAAAATAAATAATATCCTTATTAAAACTATAATAATAAATAAGTTTTAAAAAAAGGAAATAGCCTTTAATAAGGAATAA